TGGGATTAGTTACTGTTGCCACCCGCTAATGCCGCACCTGCACCAGCTGACAACGTTTCGATCGCGCAGCGTACAGTCATACGTTGAGTGACTTCATGTCGTGCACGGGACAAGGATGTGATTTCTAAATCGACGAGAAAGAACGACAGAGTGAGATATTGTTGCGGATTTAAGCGATCAAAGACCTTACCAACGTCCAAACGATTACCAAATTGAAATTGTTTGGATTCGTGTTGTTATCATCACCATTGGACCATTGGATAGATCTTCAGTTCAAAAGTGGCGTCGAGAGTGAATGGTGGTGAGAAATAGCAGAAGCATGTAAGTTTGATCAGTCAATGAAATCAATGATCAACGACTCCAGATTCAAAACAGAACGTACAGAGTACCAGATAGCTGTCAATCATGAATATTCTTCAATCTTCCACTGGTAGACCTTCCATTAATTGCCCACATTGGTCTGATACAATGCAACTTAACAGCAAACGGGTTATTCGGGATGGTTGCGTCTTGATTCAAGAAGCCACCAGATGCTAACACTGGTCTACCCGTCATGTTTTGATACTCTCGTTGACCTTCTCTTGTGGAAAGCGCAGTTTGAAGGTTTACTAGTTTTGTGAATTGAGATGAGTCTCTTTAACAATCTTAATGCTAAAGCTAAACGGCCCATTTACGCGTGGCAATCATAAATTTGGACAGCTGTACTTTTTTGCAAACGGGATCTATCACATTCGACGTGACACACACAAACAATCGTTTCAAGTTTCAGGCATAGTCTAGTCAAGAAGACAGCAAGACAGTACCGTTCTCCTTCAATTTCAACTTTATTTCAGTATATGACAGCACCTACGGGGACTACCACCTCTCTCTAATACATAATCGACAACCAGCAAAGCTCGTCAGCGCCTACAAGTGGGAGCACAGCTTTGAGCTACCTGTAACCATGGCTGGCGTAATCACTCTCTTTCCTGCTGGGCCTGCAAATAGCTTTCAAAAGTTCCATCATTAATGGCTGTGTGCCTTCATCCTCACCCCATATCGCAAACTCCTTTGATTCCGTGATAGCGTGTCGATTACTGACATGGACAATATAATCAAAGGCTGCTCGTTTCAATGAATATTCATCTCGAGCGTACTCAGCACCAAGAGACAGATATTTGAGCGTCCTTCCATATTCAAAGTCTCCTTCAGATATTTTGTCAATGACTGCTTTATAAAGTATACCCAAGTCATAGTAGTCTGCAGCTTTGAACAGCTCGATTCGTAGATCTTTATCTTCCTTTTTGGTCGGCAGCCATTCAGAGACGTCTTTTCCGTAGACAAACGCGAGAACGGCCCTCATACAAGCAGAAGTGTACTGTACTTTTACTCGACGACGTGAGACACATGAGCAACCATTGGGACTCGCTTCACTCTCATAATGTGTAGGGTCTCGGAAGACGATGTCTTCAAAGACGGCAGACGATAGCTTGAGTAGCAGACTGTGGGCTGGGATGACCTCCACGTTACCATTTTCGCCAATAGCTTCAATATCACAATCTGAGGCTTTATCCGTGCAGCAGAGCTCGCGTATGGGAGGAGCGTAGCTGATGGGTAGAGTGTCCTTTTCCGGTGCAGAGTGGCAAAAGTTGATTTCAACTCTCAGGCAATCTTGCATCAGGTTGTTCATCCATGGTCTGGGTAACACTATATTATTAGAGGTGAGGATGATCTGCCTTGAGAAAATCAGTTAGGAATTCACAAACCAATCCGAGGGCATGAAGCTAATAACACAGCAGAAGTTCGTCAGTTGGCTTTACACCAAATACAAGTAGGAATAACAATACCTGCTCCAGAAGAAAATGTGAACGATTTCGCGACTGTTGCCAGCACTGTGCTGCCATAGGTCACCACGATAGTGCAGAGCACATTAGAGGTTTGGTGAGTTCTTGACGAGAATGCGATATAGATGTGATTTCTGTCAAAACGAGACCCCATTTGAGAATTGCAATTTCACTGCAGTTGATTCCAAGAGCTCACCAATGCTCAAATCGTTTGGGATGAGGAAATTGTTTCTGGCTCCATTTCTTGGAAAGAGCGACAGTTCAAATGTCAAACTTCCCAGAGCGAATTGTGGTGACTACAGAAAGAGAAGCAGTAGAAAAGTTAGTCAAATTCAATATTATAACTGACAGTTCAATCCATAAGTGTTAAGACCATACCAAGTATTTGAGACCAGTCCATTGCGAGAATGTTTGAATCTTCCACTGATACACCCTCCATTCGTTACCTTCCAAGTGCTTGGCAACAGTACCAATTGCTTGATGAGTCATGATGACGCAGGGAGTGTTGATTTAATGTCTTGTCTTGTTATGGAGTACGCAGATTCCCGCTTTCATAAGTTTCGAAAAAAACGACCTCGCGATGAGAGCTTCGAGCTTCGTGACGATGATGTCTTCTTGGAGGGCAAACTGTAACATATGTTCATAAATTATAGCGTTTATACTATTACCTCAAGGTGATCTGTCATCCTCGACGTGAAAGACGGGTGAAAACATTGCTACTGTTGGAGAGCACTCGCAACACGTGTCACAACTTGCTTTGGACGAGTTCCCTTTGTATCTTTGCACCTTTATTGAAGGTACATACCTACAAAAATTCCAGTATTCTTTGATACAATATATCATCAATGACAAGCAAAACCTCTCGAACGCCTACAATTGTGAGAAGGTTCGAATTTGAGCTGGAGCCCCTAAGCTTCCATTAAGCAGTCCTTACATGCTAAGGCTTATTAATTGCAATGAGCAGTTCAGAAAATAATGGCTTTCATGTCTGCTTCCTTCGACCATTCCGCAAATTCCCTGGACTCCATCGATTCTACACGTCCTTCCCAAAGACATGCAAAAGCGGAACAGCGAGAACAGCAAGCACCTGAGTAGCCTATCTTAACAGACCTACGCCAGGTACATGAGCAAGTCTTGGGTTTTGCTTCACGCTCATCGCGGGCAGGACCTCGGAAGACGTCTTCAAAGACTGCAGGTGATAGTTTGAGCAAGAGGCTGTGGGCTGGAATGAGTTCCATAGCACCATTCTGGCCAATCACTTCGATATCACAATCCGAGACTTTGTTGTTGCAGCATGGTTCCTTTATTTGTAGAGAGTAGCTGACTGGCACTGTAGCCTTTGTTCCTATACATTGTAGCAGAAGTTGACTCGAATGGTCATGATACAATCCTGAATCATAAATGATGACTTGGATGCTAAAACATTCCGAGCGTGGGACCAATTTTCATGGAAAGTCTAATGAAAGGCTGAACCCACTATTCACAGTACACGATGCTAGGAACAAAGCTTCAGGTATGTCAAGTTGATGGCGAATGTACGAAAGAAGTAATAACTCTACCTCCTTCACAACAGAAGGTGAAAGTGAGAGAGTCCCTCCACGGTCGTCACTTTTCAGAACAATCCAAGACAGTCTTGCAGTCTTAATCTAGCTAGTATCGAATACTTGGCTGTAAGTGCGTCCCGTCTTAAGGAGTTTTAGTCTTCAAACAGGTGAAGTTGTTGATTAATGTGGGCGAGATTCTTGCAAAACGGGAGGTGTCTACAGTTGATATCACGAGGTATTGACAGTATCAAATTCAGACAATTCACTTCACATTTAAAGTACACGCTTCTGTGCTGGGAGAAGAAAGAGACAATGAGTTCAAAATACATATATTGATCAACAGACGCAAACCCAATGTTTCACATGGACTCACATAAGGGAGGCATGGCTCTCATAAAAATTAAAAAGAATGATACCAGCATATGCTCTATCTGCCTATGAGTGACTGCGTTACAAAACCGCTGGGGAAGGGAAAGTGGTAGTAATGTCGTAAACACCGGAGAGGCTTTTGCCAAGATTGAAGTCGCAAATCCCTTCATCTCGAGTGGTTGGTCATTTATGAATCATCTCTAAACTGATGGCGCCAGGGCTACCTCATCTTCGACTTGACACATCGAACTTGTTCTCGACGCCTTCCCGCAGATTTTGACTCCCTTATTGAAACTTAAAGACTTCTTCTCAGTGTCACCTTTGGTACAAGAGCACCTGCAAAAATGAATGTCAGATCCAAGTTCACTATATTGAAGGACATTTTTAGGCCTTGACTTTTGATGAAAAAAAATTGAAGCATCACTCTAGCGCCTGTTGGACCAACGAGAAGAAGAGAAAACGAAAGGCGATTGGCCACTATTGATCTTTCCTTCAACTTCTTTGGAATCAAAGAGACATCGCATCTCTCTTATTTAGTTCTTCAAGCATCACAGCCATACCCTGTCGCTACGTACTGCACTCTTACTCACTCTAATCTGATCACCGGCAGCAGTCAATAAGGTACTGCTTACGCCGATTTGAATCATTGGTTGTCTGTTGTGGCCATCATAGTAGAATTGTGTGAACATTGCCAGTCATTTGCTTCGCATTTTAACTATATCATTTGCATTGTTTAGGGGAGTTCAAACCTGAATTCTTTCAAAGCGGCTGGAGATGAGGTTTCAAAATTAGCGACTCGGACTATTGGTCTCTTGAACATATTTGTCTCTCCTGGTTTGCAATGGACTCTACTGTGGACACCAAGAAGTTATTCTTTGTTTACGAGAAATGTTTGGACGTACGGCTGCTGAGAAATCAGAAAACAAAGCATTGGTGGTATCAAACCCTGCTTTTAGAAACGCTTGATGTAACGGAAGTGCAGTGGTTCGAGATTGCAAGCCCCGAAGAAGGATGACAGGAGACCGACAGAATGGAAATAGTCTTGTACACTACTAGACTTCTCTAGTAGCATTCGGGGATCTCCGCGACCCTGGACGGTACACAGTCTGTGCAAGTCCGACTCACTAAACCAAATCCAACGTGAGAGGATATGTATGTAACGGAGGTTCATCAGTCGTAGAAGAGAAAGAGCAGAATCACAATGAGCAATTGAAGATAGGAAATACGTGATATTTTATTGCACCCACCCCACCATCAACTGCTCTCAAACCAACCAAATAGATACTAGAACTACCATCGAAATAGCCACCATGCCACCACCGCACTTTACACCACCACTCGCAGCCTTAACGGTCCCATACCCGGCCTTGAGCGAGGCCAAATCCGGTGCAACCGTCATACTAAACTGTCCTTGATACGAATGCATGGGTATACTCGCATTAGCAAGCGACCCCATACTACCACTCGTTGGGCCCACAGCCCAGATAAATGACATGGCAGTAGCAGACGTTATAGGTTTATCCGCCGAGTCACCTGTATCCCTCTTGCGAGTAAACTGGACTATGAATCTAGCGGCATTTGTAAACGGTGGGAGTGATACACTAGTAGTGACGAGTCTTATATCCTGCTGCTTGTCTGTTGATGGCTCGACTGTTGAGACTTGAGCGTATCTGTCACTTATTACTAGAGATCCGTTTGATGATTTCCAGAATATCATGTCGTCTGATCCTGCCATGCCGTCTCCGACACCGAGAGCGAGCCATCTGGTGTTGTGTGGGTTTAGTGTCTGGATCATTCATATTCATGATAAACTGAAAGTACTTACATGAATGTAGCATTAGCTTCAACTTGGAAGACAACATCAGATCCAGAATACCATCCATTGACACAAAAGAAGTTTGCAGGTGCACAATAAGACCCAGATGCGAGGTTTGGGCTGACTAGTGAGACTTGCGTACAATAAGTACTGGGTTGACCATTTGAACTACAAAAGTTTGAATGTTGTGCGCACTGTGAGACAAATGTGATAGTTAGTTGCTACTCGGCACGAGCAAAAAAGTCTCATTATATTACAACATACTTGAGCCATATTCATCTCTGAACACAGATCACTGTACACCTTCCAAACATAACAGTTTGCAATCATAGTGGTAGCATCACGAGCAGGGCATACAGAGCAATTCTAAAGAGGATTGAGATCAAAATTTTACACCTTATCTTCCCAAAAAGCAACAGTATTTAGCAAAACACAACTCACACTCATCATAGGCATCTCATAACAAATTGACGCAACAAGGCCATTAGCAGTGACAGAATCCGGCAGTCCGTTTACAATGCCATTATTACATAACGGAACCGCACTCCCGTTAACACACATGGATTTGTATGCCGCACATCCAGCAGATGAATTCAATGTTGAGTCTGTACATGCAGAAGCCAATAAAGACTGTGGTGAGAAAGAAGCAGAAGATGGCGACTTATACACAGCACATGCTGGATGGATTGTTGCCGATGCTGCACCGCATATTATGGTTAAATCGTTCTGAGCTGATGTTGAGGCGTAAACGTAGGTTGAGCAAGAGGACGATGTGGGAGATGCGATACAGTCCTGGCCGTAGACTGCCGCTAAAAGATAAAGCAGCAGTGCGGCTGTTGCAGTTGAGGGTTTGTATTTGTTGTAATGCATTTTTGCCGTTTCTGCAAAATCTTCTCAATGGTCAACTCGATTTCCAATTCACAAGCGACAACAAGACGCAAGAGCGGAAATAACAAAGAAAAACGCTTGAGAGTTGATTTTTCTAGAAAGGTAGGTTCTACAATCTCTCCAACAAACTATAAACTATCAAACTATGCGTTGAAAGCGACCATCAATGCAACAATCAAAACAGCCATAATTGCAGGAAACTTTTGAACATTTGCACTCGATTTTACTGATGATGAAGCTGCTAAGGCGAGAGTCCCGTTAGTCTTTAGAGTAATGCTGGGCGCTGGAGTCGATGGAGTTGGTTGTCCAGTGACCGGAATCTGAGTCCAGTTATTAAAGCCAACGGTACAAGCTTGGATGGTCGGAAAGTACAGAATGGTTGAGTCATTGGCCTGTGATGGTAATGATAGTTACGATTGGTTCTTATCCGATGTAATAATGCCTGTTGCGGCAACACCCATTTTTACAAAAGACGTGACACACAACAGAAACGACTGACTTACAGCAGGAAGCTTCATTTGGATTTGAAAATCTTCAAAATAAATGACATCCAATGGGACACCGGTTGTTGTGAATGTGACTGCCGAGACAGTCGTGTTTACTGTTACTCCTTCACTAACGACAGGAGGAACTAACGGGCGATAGTCTAGAGTAATGTTCCATCCTGTCAATGAATATTTAGGAAGATTAGAATCTGAGTCTCGAGTAATTGGCATTCTTACTTGATACACGTCACCACCAAAACATTGCCATGACAACGCACGCCTAAATATAGGCAGCATGGTTTGCTTACCTGCAAGCTGACGAGGCTTGACACTAGTGACGCCATCCGCGATGGATACACTGATAGAGACGGTGCCGTTGGTTCCGCATCCGTGGGCTAAAGTTTTTTTTTTTCAATGAGATGATGAGTGAGATGATGTGATGCAATCGATAGTGTAGTGGTATTTTGCAATTCAATTAAATCAAATAAGCGTATACGAAGGGATAATCAATGTCCAATTCCCATCGATTGCGCTGGTTGGGGCGTATACTCACGAACTCGAAAGGCAGTGATTAAGGAGGTTGCAGGTATGCCAACGTTTGGATTCGCGGTTACGTGGCCGTTTACGATACCAGCCAGGGCAATGGTGAACAGGATGACTGCTTCTTGGGCCTTCATATTGATGAGGTTTGGAGATTCGCTAAAATGCGAGGGTTTTGCCCTTTAGAAAAAAAGGGTTGAATCGATCATCTCAAAACTCACTTCACACGACAAGAGGAGAGGGAGCGGGCGAAAGAGGAAAGCAATACTTACACTCACACCAGCAAGCGAGTCCATTTGAGTATGGTTCTTGATGGATTTTGTTGTTGTACTCTACTAACTCCACCGGCCGTTGCACATTTAGCCATGACAACGGCATTTCTGTTATTCACCTTCCTGTGGCATCTAGTCAAAGCAATCGATGATGGTAAGCATAACTAATCGATGGAATTTTCATCTTGTATATCTCAACTGGTCCACTTCTTCCACTATAGCTACCGCAAACTCTAGCATCTCAGACCTATGCATCCAGATGCCAGGAATGCCAGGATGTGCATTGCGAAGTGAGTTTGCACAACCAATTCTTATCCCGAATCCAGGCTAATTTCTTCATATTTCTTCCCTTCCATCTCAGCATTCTGCGACACTAGCCCATCCTCTCTCGCACAACCATACTGCCAACCCATCTCCCTACTAGGCGATATCTGTCTCAACGACATGCCACGAATGGCATCATGCCAGCCCTACAATGAATCCTGTTCTCTCAACACGACCTGCCAATCCCTATATCCCCCTGTACCGCAGCTTCCAACATCGCTGAAACTAGCTCAAAACATTTACTCGATATGTAGCGCAATGACAATGGACGGATGCTCGACGTGTCAGTTAACTAGTGCATCGACGTACTCGGATTGTAATATGTTGGGTGTATACGCTGGTATGTGCAAAGTCATGCCGGGGATGACGCAGTGCAGTGAGTACGTGGCGATGTGTAGTGCATCGTTGAAGGGTAGTAGTCTGTGTACTAGTAGTGCCTCTGATGCTCCGCCGGAGATGAAGATGTATTTCCATACAGGAATAGTAGAATATGTGCTGTTTCAAGGATGGGTGCCACGGACTACTGTACAATACGGTTTCACATTGCTGGGATGCTTTATACTGGCTATAATCTATGAGGGCTTCCTGGCCCTACATATTGTGTTGGACACTTACATTGGTAAACAGTGATTTGCTGTCTCTTCGAGTGTGTTGGGGTTTCGCTAAACTTTGACACTGCTTTCAGGAACCACCAAAGATCAGAACAAGTCACTACAATCTTTTCCAACATCAGCATCACAATCAACCAATTCTTCAACACCGATTCAGCCAGCTCGATCAAAAGCCCGTTTTGCTTGGCCTTGGACGCAAATGGTACTTCGAGGGCTCCTACGGCTGATAAACGCTACGCTTGCGTATGCACTGATGCTCATAGCAATGACGTATAATGTGGGATTGTTTTTTGGTGTGGTGCTGGGTCTTGCTGTCGGTAGTATGGCAACGACGGGAATATTGAAGGCGATTCAACATAACTCATATGTCACTGCTAGAGATGAAGAGCTCTGTTGTTGATCAAACGTAGAATGATAGGTTTTTGTCAATGAAACAGCTATGTGCTGATCTCCGAACTGTTGGTCGGCGCTTAGTTGTCTCCAATAATCCAAAAGATGAAAAAGGTCTAGAAAGCGTAACAAGTACTATTTATACGTGAAAATGACGCGTCTTCCAGCTTTATTCAACTGTCGTCTGCGCATCGAGACAAGGGGGAAATCCTTCAACCGAAACACCCGTGTGGTTGACATTTTTGAAGCTGGTACAAGAACACTAAATGGAACTAGATCTAGCAGTTTCTCAATATTGTGGGCGCAATTCACATCTTCCTTAAGCTCATTAAACAAATTGCCATATCGTTCATTCGATTGCAACAGAGATCTGAATGGCATTGTACGATTACTTGGTCAAGCCCGTTACACTTTTGTGGGTGGAGCGAAAGATTATTGAGTGGGGGTCTATGCAGGTGTGGTAATTGAGGCAGAGTAACGGCTGTCGGGTTGATGAGTTGACGACGTTGGGCTTTCTAATATAGGCACTGATTGAGTTCGGAAGGGATTTTCAACAGGCGGAGTCTCGTGTAAATGCTATCACAGAATTGCATCTTCGTGATGTCAATGACCACAAGAACGCGTGATTGTGATCAACGTGTTACAGCACTCGTTTACTACAGGACATGCTTAAGTATTATGCGCACAATTAGAATGGATAGTAGGAGATACGAGCTAGGAGATACGAACCAGAATTGTTAGTAGCTTTTTATATATCGGCACTGACAAGAATCTTACTATTATGTAATTGCACCATCTATCTATCTATCTACGAGCAACATTTTGACATGAGGGAACAAGAGGGCGGCCTGAATCAGGTAATGGAAAAATGGGGTTTGAATTAACCGTCTGTGTCGCTTGACGCGATTCCAGGATGGGATTGAGTGACAAGTTCCCAATCTGAAACGAAGTGCTTATTAGTCTAATTCTTTAAGCGGTCGCTGCTTAAACGACACAACAGGGGATCAGGACAGTCCTTAATGAGGTTTCACTTGCTTTACCATGTCTTTTGAGCTGAGATAAATACCACTGGTGCACTAGTACTGTGTGTGTTTGGTTTGTTAGTATTATCTTTTCGACAGACCGACATGACATCTATAATGAAGAGAAATTTTCAATCTTTATTGTGTATGTGAAGCAGCAACTGCATCCACAAAATTCCCCGCCAACCTCATTGCAGATTGTCAGCTTCATTGTAAAGAGCGAATCTGATTGAAAGCAGAGCATTAAAATCAGTGAAATACGAGCTCAAAATATGTATGAATCGCTTACGAAGCGTTTGAAATACATGCCTCTCGAAAAGGAGTACTCATCATATGTGTGTGTGAGATTGTGGGGTTTCTAGTTGCAGGCGTGAGTCTTCAGATTTAGACTTTCACATGACTGTATATTTGTGGTCTCCCAGTTTACGTATTCAAATATTCTTTTTGATGATAAATCACGTCAAATTGCGTCCAACTCACTAGAGCTCAGCGTCGAAAAGCCTGGTTTTTGTGAACCTAGTCCGAACTTTGTAGTAGATTAAGCATTTTTTCTGAGTATTTTCAAATGCGCCGAGACATTCTATCGGAGCCTACAGGACTGTTTCCTTCTGCACTTTATGAACTGTCAACGTTGACGCAAACCTGACATGGAGCCCATCGCCAGCACCAAAGTTCGTAGATTCAAGCTACGAGATCTCATGACGTTGCTTCATATATACAATACGTATGCAAGAGCTGGAACCTCGTTGAAATTGGTCTCCAATGTGATTGACGCTTGTTTTTGAGCCTTTTGGGCAAACAATGATCTCACGATGAGCAAACAGGTCAATTTTGTGTATTAAAAATATAATGACTATTGCCTTAAAGTACACGTCTAGCTAGCTTTTGGACTTCTCGTAAACTCTTCTCCCAGGAAACGTGACGTAGCTAAGATACTCTCTTCTCTCTGGAAAGCACAAAACATATAGGAGATCCCATCAAGTGAGTTACTGGATCCAACCGGATAGTACCAAGGAGAATCACATAAACAATCACTTCAAAACCAGTAGCAGTCGATATGGTTGACGTCAAGGACCGAACGGAACTGCTTCCGTTTCAAAAACCTCAAGTTCTCATAGATGCCAGAGTTTGGCCAGTATGGAAAAAGACGTTGATGATGTTTATATTATGTGTCAATGGCTTCCTGACTCCTTTGGTGGGTAATAAAACCTTCATTGTCTTGATCTGTGATTTCGTGGGGGCGGCTCAGCAGCCAATTCACCTCCTCTTACTGGATTTTTGAAGACAGATTCAGCTTACGTTTCTGCTTACTTAGGGATCAACGTATGTCTTTGACATATACGCGTTGTTTCATACCTTGTAATTGACCATGTTTGCTTTTTCCTATTTAGAATGTTTTTACCAGCCATCGTGACAAGTGAGCTACAAAGCCGCCGACATGTCGTTGTCAACAGATCCATTCTAACACTGTCTTTGCATCCTAGTACAAAACCAATTATCAACAGACGAGAATACAATTAATTCGTCAGGTGCCTACCTAGACAATTCTGCCTTTTTTTCTGGCCAATGGTTGACCTTCCTTTAAATTACTTTCTAGTGAGCACTTACATTGCAGCTTTCGGCCTTGCTCCCATTTTCCTTGGCCCATTATCGGAAAGAATTGGACGCAGACCCATCTATGTTTACAGTTGCCTATTCTTTTGTATATTCAGCGTTTGCTGTGCTGTTTCGCCAAACATTGCCACTCTGATGATTATGCGGATACTGCAGGGTGCTTCATCTTCAGCTATCAGTGCTGTGGGAGGAGGTACCATTGGTGATTTGTATGAGGTGCAATACAGAGGAACGGCTATGGGATTGATGATGTTGGGGCCTCTACTTGGCCCCGCGATAGCACCGTTAATGGGTGGTGCCCTGGCTCAAGCTTTCGGATGGAGGTAAAGTGCTATGGAGCAGAACACATTTGTTATCTTTTCTCATTTACTTTCTCATCTTACGTATGTTCCTCCAATCAGATCGATATTCTACTTTATGGCCATCATTGGTCTAGTTGCCTTTGTCTTTACATTCCTCTTTTGCTCTGAAACTTTTTCGCCACGACGTGATCCAGTCACTGGCAAATTACCTAAATATCGCCCACTTGATGGCCTAGTCGTTCTGAGATGCATTCCGGTTCTTGTAAACGCTCTATATGCGGGTTTGGCATTTGGATGGTATTATTTGTTTTCAGGTGAGTCTTTCATGAAACCCCTTTCTCTTGGTTTTCATTGAATCCTCACACCTATACTGTTGAAATTCCATAGTTCTGTTTCCACGTACTTATGGTAAGTGTCTGACAAAGACGATACAACAAGACTTTTGTGTGATTATAACGTACCATTCGGGTGTGTTAGCTGTTCAATATGGATTTTCAGAGAGTCAAATTGGATATGCGCTGGTAGCTTCCGCACTTGGAAGTATTGTGGGTGCTGTTGGAGGGTAAGTATCTCAATGGCACCGCAGACTCTTGGAGTTTCTAACTAATCGCCATTCCTGTCAATAGTGGCCGTCTAGCTGATATAATCAGAAGGCGGCTTGTCGCAAGGAACGGAGGCAAAGGGACGCCTGAAATGAGGTTAGTCGTTATGACATGAAAGTACACTCATGTTTTGAATGGGATTGATGGTGTTTGTATTCATATAGATTAGTTGCTATGATTCCAGGAGCTGTACTGATTCCAGTTGGATATATGTTATTTGGGTAAGAATGTGCTGGTTCACACGGATTTAAACAACCATTGAAGTCCAATCCTATTAGCTGGTTGTGCGAGTATAACTATCCATGGTGGGCTCCGTTATTTGGAGCCTTTCTCGCTTCTTGTGGAGTCTTTATAATATCTACAGCCGCATCATCTTATGCTGTAGATGCCATGTATTGGAAGGCTGCATCTGTAAGTGATTTGACAGACTGCATGTAGTTCACCTCAACGCTCATCAGCCAATTGACAAAAATTGGCATTGCAACAGGCCATGTCGGGCTCAACACTTGTGAGAATGTCCTTTGGTGTTGTTACGCCGTTATTTGCTGCTCAGTTACAATCTTCGGTTGGAGACGGTTATACCTACACGATTGTGGCAGCGACGACTGTCGTCGCATCGTTGTTTATGCCTTTCGTATACTACTATGGTGAACGGTATCGTCCTTTACCTCCTCCAGCACCGGAGCCGATTGTAGCAAAGAATGACTTTGTTGAGGACGATGTCTGATTGCCTGACAGCGGAGTATAAGGATTGTAAGTGTATGTATAAATCCAAAAATTCTTGAATAAACACGTAATGATGTTGTTATACTGATGCAACAAAACACACACAGTGAAGAAACTTGATATATTGCCCAAAACTATTCGTGAAATGCAACAATTTTCTTGTATATTCTATCGATTCGTCTAGACACCATCACCCCGTCCTTCACTGCATGCTGTCTAAACGTGGTCGTGAATTTGACATTCTTGACGAGCTCTCAAGAATATTCCTGCTTTCATATGTTACATCTTTGTGAGGCTTTTTACCTAGTACTGATTCTGCAACAACTGAATCAAGTTTTAAGGTGAACTGACTTTGCATGATGCGTGTTTGAGGGAGAGTTTGCGGAGTCTGTGGTCCTTATCTAGGCTCATGGAGAAATTGGCAATGTCGCTCCTAGCGTGCGTAATTTCGACACTGAGAAATGAAAATGTTTCGGACGCAATATGGCAAAGAACTGCTAACAATACTCGCGGCGGGCTTGCCAACTTTTGAAAAATTTCGGCCCAATTGAGGCAGTCGATCATTTCCGTTGAGAGCTTTAGCACAAGATTTGCATAGCATGCATTGTGTGTACATAGTGGAAACCTGATCAAAAGTCCATATGCAACTCTCGTAATTTCTACCTTTTCCAGGGACTCAGCATTCTGCAATACCAGACTTATTATACCTAATCCAAGCATTGAAGCTAGGCGAGCGTCCGATCAGGCACCCGACGCCTGCAATGAAGTTGAGGTCAACAGTACCACAGCTCGAGCAGATTGAATATATTGATGTAAGGTCAAACTGACTAGTAGCAGCCTTAGTCCTATACTATCACAGGTCTACCCTTCCTTAAACCATGTCTATCACATTGGACGTAAAATCGTGAAAAAATCTGTCTCCGATCGTTTGCTTGGAAGGTTTTTCACGTCAATCAAACCACAAAAGATTCAAAAATGAGAGATCCTTTATTCAATTTACCACCTTCTTTCAGCCGTCCTAATAACCAAAACTATACAAAAAACCACACAACCATCAAATTATCAATTTTTAGTTTCCTTGGCAGCCTGCAACATGGCAAGTGCCGTAGCATTATCAGAGTATGGAGAGAGATGAGCGACTGCCGAGTAATGAGGCGGGAGACGACCTAACGAATTTGAAGCACCAGCTGCGCTAGATGATCCACCCGCAACAGCACTGCCACTACTGCTACCGCCTATATTCTGATACTCGAGAGCTGATGATGATCCTGCTGCTGCGATGGTTCCGGCCCCTCGTAGCGTTGCAGCTCTAGACACTGCAGGTATAGCTTCTGCGACTGGTTGTGTTGTATATGCTTGTATCGGATATGCGGGTTGATATGATGTTGCGGGTTGCTGTTGATATGTGGTTGGCTGGGTAGCGTACATGCCGGGCTGATTTGCATATGTGGTTGGCACGAGTTCATGGACTTCAGCGGGCATGGCTTGTCCTGCTCCTGGCGCGCTGGTGTATGCCCATTGAGCTGGCGGTTGATACATTACTGGCTGTTGCTGTTGGCTGTATCCGGCCATTTGTTGCGATGTCGGTGGTGCTCCATATTGCATCATTGGAACTGCTGGTGGGTACATTCCGGCAACCATTCCAGGCGGTCCTGGTCGTGTGTATGCCATATGTGGCGGCATATATCCTGCATTATTATTATACATGTCGGAAGACTCGTCATAATACTCTTCATTATCGTCTTGTCCTTGTTGTTGCACGTACTGGTGGTCGTCTAAAAATCCAGGGGGATTTTTATAGGATTGATTGCGCAGATTATTATCATCTAACCATCTTTTCCCATCATCATCGACTTTACGGCGTCCTGGTGAATCACTTGCTGGTTTTCGACGTATGTATACTAGGAAGAAGACTGATCCTAATATTCCTGCTACTATGATTGCCCCTAGCACTATGCCGGCCACAAGTCCAGTAGACATCCCGCCGCCTGCTGCTGATTGAGTTCCGGGTGAAGCTGTACTTATTGCACTTGTAATAGCATTACCACCACTTTGGAATGGATCTGATGTTGGACTTGGTAAAGCGGATGGAGGTGCACTGGGATTTGGTGATGGTGATGGACTGGGTGATGGTGATGGGCTGACATATCTAGCGAGTACAAAAAGATTGGGTACGTTCAGTTACTTGTTGATGCCTAGCATTGCAAAAAACAGCATTTAACCACAACGTACATTACAGAAGCGTAGACTGGTGCTTCATCCGTACACAGTGGTGCCAGACCAGCAGCCAAGCAATCCTTCCACATGTATTGGATTGACCACTTGAGATTCGGAGGCACTTCTGGAATGGAGGCCTGACATTGCGACACTTTACATGCATTTGCGTATAGACACCCGCTACCCTTTCCATTCCCACTGCCACCAAGAGTAGTGCTGTTGAAGTATGTGCATAGCGTGTACGAATATAGTGGCGGTGATACTATAAAAACAAGCGTCAGTTGTGATTGTAATGCTCATTTGTCTCATCTCGAGCACTACCTAGTGAAAAGTTGCTGATCAAACCTAGTTGGACAGCATAATCGACCTCTGCCTGAAAGGTGATCTTGTCGCCCTATTTGATCACTCTAGGAGTTAGCTTCCGAACCATATGCGCATGAAACCCCACATTGGCTTACAGCTCCTATTGCAGCAGCAACACCAGCAACCAAATGTGCAACTAGAAAATGGTGGGAAAGTTGGTTTGAAAAGTCCTCCTGAAATCTTCATGTTCAACACATTGGCGCAATCGTTCAATGTCACAAGGCGAATGTTGACACCAAATAGAGCGAATATCCAAATGCCATGTCTCCTTACTTGTTGTAGGGGACGTTGGACTAGCTGCAGCTTTGATTGCGGCCATTTCTAGGTGAAGTGGAGCAGTAACTAGAACTCCCGGATTACTTGATTTACGTGAGACCTCAGGCTAGTACTGCAATGTAAGTTACCATCTATCAATGTAATCTAACCTATTCAACTATTCTTTTTCTCTCCGAGTTTGAACTTTTGATTTTTCTTGCGTTTGCTGCCGTCGTGATATCTTTCCCACTTTCCAGGGATGGAACTGTTTGGCGTGCATCGAATTTCTGGACAGAGAAGTGCAAGGGCACTTATAAGCGTTCGCTCTGCGTAGTACTGGCATCTTGATATATGGTCTGTTGCGCCGAGCGCAAGACTTCGTTGAAAACACAACCAACTTGCAAATTGGAATTTTCAAAGACTATTTTTCAAACTTTTCAACTGATTTAATGAGGTATATTTTCTGGGTAATTATATAGACTTGAGTTTGTATGATTATGACTCTTGAAAAATTTTCCGTTACAGTACTAGCCGGTGTTCTACACATGACAATGTTCCAACATTTCGGTATCAGGTAGCTTGCTCAAACAGTCCAGGTTTCTCTGAACTTGTCACATAGAGATGAAAACAGTGTGAAGGATCCTATTGGCAAAAAAGGGGTCAGGAATGCATCACCACCGTTTAGATTACACACAACTCCCTCATTACCTTGTTGTTGAACAAACACGACCTTAATACCATTTGGATCTTCATCTTCACCAATAATATCTATGCGGAACTTGGTAGTTGATCCCATCTTATCGGGCTTGATCTCTTCTGATTCGTTAGACTCGGTAGGTGATGGTGTGTCAGATGAAACTCCCCGTTCGTATTTGCATTTGAAACCACCTTCCTTCCGGCGTTGGTATTTGACGTCCAAGGTCTACGAAATATGCAACCAAATATCAGCTCGACGATCTTGTTGAATACGTCGACTGCTGGACGACATGCACAAGTTACATACTGTGAGACGCTCCATGATATTGTTGACGGTATCCTCGTAGTTTTTGCGACTGACGAATGTAAAGGTCTCTGGTTTGAAATTGAACAAGTTGGCAAACCAGCTTCGTTTGGGTGTTGTGGATGTAATGACTGGCGAGGAGACTTCGGTGACTATCGAGCATTAGAAAATCATATGTGAGTGCGCTTTTTTCCACAAAATAACACAAATGGCAAAAATAGCGTGTCACATCTCACATACCTCTCTTGCGATGGAATTTAGGTGTTCCAGGAACATCTGAAACATCAGGACTCTTTCCTGAATGAGCTGACGATACACTGGCGGTAGATGAACGATCACCAGCACTTGGAATTGAAATGGTGAGGCTCTTGGCACCTCCTGAACTTGGTGTTCGGTAATCATTCATGTTGGTGTTGATGGGAGAAACGTTGCTGAGACTTGATCCAGCACTTTCGTTTATCATGCTGTATGCTGGGAGGCTGGCTGATTGCATGTAGGAACTGTTTGTGAGGAACAAGTTGGTTAGCGGCAAGTAAAAAAACCAAACCAAGCTTTTCGAATCTGCTTACGTTGGATCAGCACTTGTAATGGATGCAGACAATGGACTGTTGACCTTGACACTTGCATGATGATTTGAAACAATCCTATGAGATGTCGCTGATAAGCTTCTTTTGCTGCGGAACGCAACACATAACACACAAAAACTTACTTGGCCTTTGGAGAAATCTCACTAACAGGTCTAGCACTCTTGACTGGACTCGTAGGCGCAGCGGCCACAACAGGTGCTGAAGGCATCGACATGCGCTTATTAGCAACATCCATCCCCTCGGCACTAGAATCTCTCGAAGGCGGCAACATATCACCACTAGAACTTGTAGGAGTAGTAGGAGCAGACGGTCGATTCAATTCTTCTCTCGACTTGCGAGATTCGTCCAATTTCTGTCGCAGTTCATCCATGGATTTACCCATGTTTGTAAGCTCTGATTTGGAGCCGCTGCGATCCCCGTATAAAGAAGAGAATGAATCTGCACGTCGTCTTGGTCCACCTTCAATATCCCATTCCTGAAGTTTTCGGACGTCAAAGTTTTCCATGGTTTCCAGTTTTCGATTGCAGAGGAGAAAGTAAAAGACCTTTTCAATGTTGGCTCTGATCGGAGAATTGGTTGTGAGAATACGACAAAAAACAGTGATGACAGGGTTTTCAGGACCATACTCTGGTTTCTTCAGCGCCTCATTTAGTTCAGCTTCATTGCCCCATCCCAGAAGACCAAGGGATGCAATGATTTCTGAATCTAGTGGTTGGCCTTCCATGATCTTGGAGAAGGCCTGATGTGATAAATCGAGCACAAATCAGTAAGAGTACCAGTAAGAGTACCAATGTACAATTTTTGTTTACCTCCTTGTTATCAAGAGCACCTTTCAAATACATTTGGTCAACAGGCTTGAAGGTCTGGGACTTAAACCATGGGTGCTCCATAATGCCCCTCATCTATGAAGTTTTGAAAGCCAGTTGAGCATGATTTGAAAGGATGGCAAAAAATGCATATATCGTCCACATGGCACTTACGGTTATACGTTGAGTTGGATCAACCACCAACATTTTCTTGATCAGGTCCTTGGCTTCGACGCTCACAAACTCGGGAATGATGTACCTATATAGGAATTAGAAAGTCTTCCTTTAGGGATTGAACTAAAAACTGTTGCTGCGACAGGAGTCATACATTCCAGATTTGACCTATTCAAAGAATGTTCAATACATTTCTGACTAAATCATTCAACCCCATGATTCCACATACCTTGCTCAGCAATCTACGTATATTCTCATCATCGAACGGCAAGTTTCCAGTCAAGAGGGCGTACAGTATCACACCACAACTCCAAATATCAGAAGTTTGTCCATCGTACTTGATACCCTTGATGACTTCGGGACTTGCGTAGTGTGGAGACCCGCAACTGGTCTCCAGCATCTTTCCAGTTACTTGCAAACTGGCCATACCAAAGTCTGCAATTTTTACATTGAGATCTTTATCGAGCAGTACGTTCTAGAGGTGAAGAATGTAAGAATGCATTGTGAGTCCGCGGTGTTCTGGCGAATGGGCTTACTTCTGGCTTGAGATCTCGATGACTAACAGGCAGAAAGAATGTAGGATGAGGGGAGATAATCACCTACACGAGAAACTCGAAGAACACATACCAAATTAAGTGTCTATGGCAGAAATCGACTCCAAACACAATCTGCTGGAAAAACTTGAGGGCTTCTCCCTCAGAAAGTCTGCCCTTCTTGACCAAAAAGTCAAACAATTCACCACCCTCGACGTGTTCCAAAATCAAAAACCTATCGAATCAAATCGGAGATAAGGGTCCATTTCGTAAGCAGCCGGCGCAAGCTCGAACATGTACGTACAATTCCTTCTCGCTTTCATAGACATCGAATAACTGAAGAACGTTCGGATGCTGAATCAGTTTCATAATTGTGATTTCACGTTCAATCTTCATGTTGTTTGAAGTCTTCTTTTCCGGCGATTGGTTTTGAGAGAGGGATTCACGAGAAATGATCTAAACGATATTGAGAAGAGTTTCAGTATCGTCACTGTTGTTGTTGCCAAGCACAGCCAAATCAAGAATCAAACCTTGATGGCCACGCGTTGACCAGTCTCAATATGGGTTCCGAGCTTAACGCGACCTAGATAAGAAACACGACAGTCAATATCCTACAACACGTCGGATCGCAGCTAAGAAAATAAAGTACCGGTACTGCCGACTCCCAAAGTTTTTCCCAATAGGTACGGCCCTATACGTAAACCAGAGCCTGAAGCAGGACGACTAGACGGCGCGCTTCCAGAACCACCATTGGCAGACGCTGGTCGACGAGGAACTGTTGCGAGCAAGAATGTTAATATTGGAGTTTTTGATTTATGATGCAAAGCGAGGTCCGAGAGGGGGGAGGAATGACATACCTGGAGCCGCTGGTGTCGACATTATAATCGATTAAATATTAATAGGATTTTTAAGTCTCTCCACTGCGACTTTGCACGAAAGTGTGTGAATGAATCAGGGCGAGGGTAAGCGAAAGAAGTGATTCGGCGGACTCCTCCCGGTCCACCGTAGCTTTGGGACGCTTTGAAAGGAATTTGTTAACAACAATTGGTTCAAAGTTGCGTGTTTGCGTTTCTCACCCCTTTCATAATTTTCTAAACATAAACGCAGGCGGTCGATCTAAGTAAAGAGGCGATAAAAGGATGGCCACCACTGAGATTCTTGTCGGTACGCAGTTAGCTAGCGCCTACAGACTGTATTTTTGCTGTAGAACTTGTTTCTAGTTCAACGATGACATTTGTGAAACTTTGGGAATTGTGAGCGAGATTTCTCACTCGGTTTACGCTGTAAATAGTTGGCGCCGGAGCTGTTGGTGCGCTCTATGGGTCTAGACTTCATGCCTCTCCCATGGCCCGAGTCAGCTGCATCTGCAGGTTTGCCAACATCGAGACGTTTGGCCCAATCGATATTACGTGGTTTTTGACGTTCTGACTCTATTAGGTCAAACTATGAAATAGTCAAACGACAAGGCTTTACAATCAAATCTCCTTACTATGGCGAATATAGCTTCAAACCAACTGGTGTCTACAAATCGGTACAAGAAGCTGCAGATGCCAAAACTTTTGACTTTGTGCTCGTGTCAACCAAATCCCTGCCTGACTTTGAAAACATGGCGGACATAATAGCTCCGGCTATGAAAGTAAGCACAAAGACTGCTATCGTGTTGCTACAGAACGGTGTGGGAGTAGAACAACCATACCGCGTAGCGTTTCCAAAGAATCCGATTATAAGTGCTGTTGAATACGTATCTGCTGCTCAAGATAATGGGGTAGTTCAGGTAAGCTGTCAATTCAGTTCCAGCTTTCAAGCTCAATCCGCTGAACTCCTATAGCACAACAAATGGACGAGAATCTGCCTTGGAAACTATAGCGGTGTACGCCCAGAAGATGCTGATGAAGAACGAAATGCTCGTGGAGTAACCATGACAAAGAAGCTGGTGGAAATCTTCCTCGCCGGCGGTGTACGAGACGCTGAATTTTGGGAAGAGATTGCTCTTGTTCGATGGCACAAGGTCCGAAATTCGTAAAACCTTGCAGGCTACGGCTATTTCACCCCAAATTTCGACACACTGAATCCATCCCACTTGTTTAGGTGGCTCTGAACGCAGCTATGAATGCTTCAGCTGTCTTGACTGGAGGGTTGACGAATGCCGAAATGTCGAAGGATCCTATTGTGCGAGCGCATTTGAAGGATGTTATGGAAGAGATCATGACTGCTGCACCACAAATTATCGGCAAGCCATTTCCGAAACAATTGGCTAGTGCAGAGGCTATTCTCAAGTCAACGGAGAGGAATGAAGGTAAAAATAACAGATGAGATTTGCTAATTTATTCGTCAAAAGACATCTGTTGCAGTTGACTCTGAACTCTGCAAGCAAAGACTGAGATGGCTGCGGTTAGTTTTGGTGAATCACTCTTAATTGACTTTCTATCACGAAACTCAGGATCCAAACCAAGTATGCTTCTTGACTTTGAAGCAGGCAGAGCATTGGAGATTGAGACCATCTTGGGAGAGCCCTGCAGGATTGCACGGGCTCATAATCTACGATTATATAAAACAGAAGCGATGTACGCGTTGTTGCGTCCATACAACACCAAGATTAAAAACAAGCTGTAAACCCTGCGAATAAATTGTAACTAGAATACAAGACTTGTTAATAACGGGTGTTTTGCCATGGCAACATTCGTCTAACGGGGAAGTCCGAGTTTTATTGTTGGGGGTCGTGGTTCAATCACGGCGAGGGTTTGCTTCAAGTCTTCGACAAGAATTACGCAACAAGAAGGCTGAATTGAGCACTATGGCGCGTCTAGTGGCCCGAACGGCACAGTCGCTAACGAACCTGGATACTACAAGGGAACGCCAACTGTCAGAAACACGTCAGCCAAGTGTATCAAGTGAATTATCAAACTCGCAATTTTCATACGAAAACCTGAAGAATACTGCACTAGCCAACTCGGTCAGTCTTGGAAGTCTCACGCAGGGTGATGAGCTAGTCAAATCCGCTGGTAGCTTGACTGGAGCTTTACGTAGAAAAAACTCTAATTCACCATCTGACGATACTGGATTGATGAGATTTAATCGAGCGATCGGTGCTAGAATGGCTCATACTTTGGATGCTGCAGCTCGCAAGAAGAATGGTAGTGCAGAATTCACGCCAATGTTTGGATACCATTTGCAGGATGCTGGGTCAATGTCTAGTAGCTTTTCGGTCGAGAGTTTTGGAGGACATACGAGGGCGGATAGTCAGACAAAGAGTGCTCGGCCCGAGACTATAGATGCATCATATGCTGAAGCTATGTTGGATGGCCGGCCAATGGCTCCAAGTAATCCTGCATCGCCGCTGTCGCCAGACATTAGTCCACGGACGTCAATAACACGAAGGACTACCAGTGGAGCTAGAGGGATTGCCAGGCTCCAAGGTATATACATGGCCCGTGGCCCGTATGGTGGTGGTGGTGGTGGTTTGGGATTTTTCACTCACACCGTTTTGTATAGACTTTCACATTGGCTCATTCACAAATTTAACTTCAAGAAAGACCTCGTCTAAAAATCTGGACGACGACCTACCACCTGTTAGTTTTTCTAGTCTAGATTTTGCTGCTCGTTTACAGGGATGCTGACCCGACCATTTCAAATTAGGTGAAGGAAAATAACAAGGCATCTAAATTTGAGGATTTGCTCAGCTCGGGCGAGACGGCCAAATTATCGCTAACGCCCGCCGAAATGAAGAGCATAGAGGTGTTGTTGAATTTCTGGAGTGGACTATATAAGCTCCCACCGCTGACAACATTCACATTAGGAACGTAAAAAGTCACCAATACGGTTTATACCAAAAGAAGCAACTGTAGCCCGAGAGCCCATATCAGACAGCGCGAGTCCAGCCGATGATTTTGACGCTTCTCCAAAGAAAAAGCAAGAATCATTATGGGACTTTTTAAAGAATTCAGACCCGGCAGAACTTTCTGGCAAACCAGCTCCAAAACCTTCACCTTTATCACCAAATGCGACACTGTCTAAAGATGGAGTCATCAAGTCACCAAATTCTACATCGCCCAAAGACGGAATCACCAAGTCACCCAGTAATACCACCATACCGCAAAGCTTGAAATCACCAAAACCCAGGCCCTTATTATCTGCCAGGAGCTTTGAAGCCCGATCAGCTACTTCATCGTCACCGGCATTGAATGAAGACGACGACGACGATGACGATTTGTTGCCAAAGAAGAACAAGAAAGAGTTGGCACGCAACCAGTCATTAGCCGAATTGCTAAATAGTGAACCGCCAAAAGGATGGAATGAAAAGCCTGAAAAAGTCGTTGTTGTAGCAGAAAAGCCAACTAGGAGTGGACTACGGCTCTTCCCGAGCAGAAACAAGGTCGACTCGAATTCAAGTTTGAACAAGACGAGTCCAAATTCACCTGTCAAGTCTATTCCTCTCCAACTACCACCATATTCCGATCCTTACAACCCAAATCGCCATGACAGTCTTGCTACTATAGCATCGACTGCTGTACGAAGTGCCACCTTTGACAGTCAGAGTTCACAAATGTCGAGAACGGAATCTGGATGGTCTGGATCCGAGAATCAGTCAACTCGAGATTCTGTTAGCTCAAGGAATCCAGCAGAGACAATCCGTGCTTCAGTTGGTTCACGTCTCACTGAATCCAAATCGATCAGTCATATGCCAATGACAAGCCGGCAATCTGAATCTATGGATTTTGTTAAAACCAATTCGCAGCTGTCTCTAGTGGATAACCCCATAGTATCTAAGGAATCGGTAGACACGAATCGTCGCTCAGGATCCATAATCGAGTCGCCTGTGGTTGATACCACTCCTCAACCACCGCCACGAGTGTCTAGTGCAGCCAGACAGTCAGTAGCAGCCAGAGCGTCGACTGCATCGATGGGCCAATCACGGCAAGCGTCAGAGTTTAGTACTGGCCCTGGATCACCAACGATAGGGAAAAGACGGCCATCGTACGAGTCTTATGCTGAACAAAAATTTCTTTCGCTGACGACAGGACCAACGCTAGCCACCACACCTACAATCCCAACACCTTCCGTAGTACACGAGAGGCCAACTCTCAACACTGCGTTTGCAGTAGAAACACAGACTCTGGATGGTGTATTAAAGAAACTTGTCGAAGCCGATTCAGATTTTGCTGAAGTGCTATTTCCATCACCAACGAGGCCTGCTTCCGAATATACCAGTAACTCTGCATCACCAGGATCCATGAACATTCCCTTCCTCAAGGCCTCTGCTGGTCCAAGGTCGAGCGTCTCATCAGCCTTAGGACGATCAGGAGCCGTCACAAGAAATCGAAGGTCGAATACCAACAATGGACCTCCTAGTCCACTCCTCGAAGCAACATTCCAAGCTGTGATTGCTGAAGCTGCTGCAGTAGCATCTCGTCGACCAGTCAGTAAACTCAACACGAATCGATCGTCAAGTGCTGCTGAATTTATTGTGCCTGATGAGACTGGAAGTGTGTCTAGTGGAACATCAAACAAGTCTGCAACCCAATACGATGGCTTTATGGACATACATGAAGCTGGATATCTGCGATACATGATAGGATGGACGAGTAGCGAATCCTCGTCGCATCATCATCACCGACACCACCACAACCACGATTCAGCAAGTAGTAACACGAGCTCACCAATCCGTCGACACCGTCACGAATCAAATGCATCAGCATCGCCAATGTCTTTCGAAGATGCATCCGGTATAGAGACACGAGTGGACTCCAACTCGCACAAACGAGAAGTCAATAGAGAAGCTGCTAACGAAGCCAGATTTGAAAAGTTTGCTCGATTGACGCTGTCAAAACTGAATCAGCTACAAGAGGAAAAGAGGGTCTTGGAGGAACAGTTGGTTCAATATAGTCACGTAACATCAGAGTCTTCAAGTTAGAGTTTTACACTATGTAATATAAGTAAATGTGGAGCACCATTTCAAATCCCCTTTTTGTATTTATTTCGATCTCTGAAACAAGAAAGTTTAATTAATGACGAGAGTTGGTCGGGTTGGTTGTTATGAAGAAGTTGAAGAATGATGGAAAGCTCAAACCGCATCACATGTTCTACATAAAGAGAAATTTGTTGCGTGAAACATAAGGTCAAAGCTGTGTTGTTCTTTAAATCAATGAAGGAGGTTCTTTAACTATTTGAGACGGCTTCACAAAAAAGAAAGCAAGAACGTTTCAAGTCTACTGTACAAAAAACCCGCTTTCTATATCGAAAGACACCGTCCCCATAATTCCGTCCAGGGGTTGAGTGTGATTGCTACCAGATGCTGATGCACCATAAAGTTGCTGTTGTTGATGATGGTACATTGTTGGACGAGCAGTATATGGGATTGGGGGCTGAGCTGCAAGGGCTGGAGGATGTTGTGTGTATTGCTGGTTACTCCCGGTGGAGTTATATACTGAGGTGTAGCGGGCAGACCGTTACAAGTGTTCATAGGCCCGAAGGGCTGAAACAAAGTCTGATGAGGATGGTGAATAGGTAGGGCAATGGAGAGTGACGAAGGATCAGTGTTGAGCCAGGAAAGTCCTATCAAGCCAGTTGGCAGTAACAGATACGTCGAGTCGCGGGGGCTCAAGATGCCAGCTTGGTGCAAGTCGCGCTCGCACGGCCTATGTACCTCCAAGCTCTCGGGGGGGCCAGATTTTACTAGAGAAGTCTAGGGGTGTGCAGGGGTGCTTTCCGGTATGTTGCTCTGTCCCCATCGTTCTTCGGGGCTTGCAATCTCTAACAGCTACACAGTTAGCCACCGCAGCTCTGGTTTTTGATTTGCCATCTGAGACACCTTCAAGCAAATTATTTCAAGTATAGAATAGAGTCTGCTTGTCCAGCTCAGCGTCAACCTCAGTCAACAAGTCCACACAACATTCTTCCAAGCTCCAATGATCTGGGTCAGAGTCCGTATCAAAGAAAATGTCTCAAGCGGCTCTCACTTCTTTAGAGCTCATTTCAGACTAGATTCGCGTGAAAAAGATTTGTTCAGCTATGAAGCGTTGATGCTAAAATGGACCACATTGAGAATTTCTTACCATAAGGCAGACAAAAGGCGAGAGAACTCTCAAACTTGTCTGTTGTGCCTCGGATGATTGATTATGTGTTATTAGGCCGGTTTCAGGGCACTTTAGTGACCGTCACCAACCTCCAAAGTGCAAACTACTCGGTAGATGGGTGTGATGCGTGCTGAATGAGAAATAAAAGAGGCTTGCATTTCTCTTTGATTCCACAAAAGATTGAAGGAAAGACCAATGGCCGTCAGCCGTCCTTTTCCAAAATGCGTTTGAGGGATGCTTCGCTCAAACCTCAAAAATGTCAAAGCGTTGCTTTCAATACAGTGAATGTCAGTTCAAATCCAAGAGATGACAGCCTCCTATTGTTCATTTTGGCTGAAAGCCAGGTCCTCTCGTCACAGTTGATAATGACATGAAGTCGTCACATCTCAAAGAGAGGAGAGTCAAAATCGTCGAGGAAGGCGTCCGTTCAATGTTCGTAGCTTTTCAGGAAGATCTAGCAGTCATTCAGTCTTTAATCTAACTCGAAAATCGAATTGCTTATTGTAAGGACGTCTGGTTTTAATCAACTTCATGGCTTCAGTATACTGATTCGTTCCAAAAGGAGGGAGATTGTTCTCAAACTGAGGCAGGCGTGTCTCAAACAAATAACACGTGGTAGTAGTAGTGGTAAGTGGTAAATTCTTATAGCTTATAATATTCAAAATGCACGTTTCTGTGAGAGAGCCTATAGATAATCAGTTTCAATTCAGCAAAAAATCACGAGGCAATGGACGCAAACAAAACGTTTTACGTAGACTCACATAACAGGAGGTATGTTGGCAGTAGCAAAATATTTTATGCGATTTACCACCCCAACGGTGTCAATAATCATCACTCACCACAGACTAGGATTTGATAGAAACCACGAAAAAGGAGCTCGCAGCAAACAAACACTCGGGAGTTATTTTCTTCAGAGAGATCCGGTCAAATTCAGATCTCAATACACTAATTTACTAGGCGATTATCACATTCCTTCCCTCTTCTTATTTTGATCGCTCTCCCACCAAAAGACATTTAAATCAAACCTCAAACAGTTTCGCCCACATCCATCAACAATCAACACAGCAATCTCACACCATGACAGGCTCCGCACTAGTCTCCACAAAACCCGAAACATGGTATTCAAGACTCCACCACCTATACTACAACACCCCCACATCTCCCATTGTCAAATTCATGGCCGTGACGGAATCTTTTGCAGCATTATTGATTGCCGCTACATATGGAGCTGATTCAGCATCTGGATACTCGACGTTTGATACTATATGGGCTGCTGCGTTGCAGTCAATAGCATCGTTGATTTTGTTTGTGGTGCTGAATACCAAGTCGTTGGGGAAACGTCATGTGGAGTTTGTTATTGCGGTATGTTAAATACGAGTAGTTGATCTATGTTAGAAGTGAATGATTCTGTAGATTGATCGATAGTGACTGTATCTACCCTTGTTGGGCGACACGCTCTCTCAACGAGCATCACCAAACCAAACCCACGCCTGACAATACCTCTCCATTATAGCATCTTTCAATAACAATCATATTGGGCACCATCGTCGCAATCTTCTTCACCATGGGATACAACGAAAGCGACTTGCACTGCTGTCCAGGATCTGCATTCGAAATATGTCAAACCCATGCCATGATTGCTACACCAGCATGGCCGAAATGCACTGCCGTGGGACATTCCCTTATCAGGACTGGGATCTTATTGATTACTCAGGTTCGTTGCAGCAAGCTGTCGCTACTTTGATCTGTAGTCTGCGTCTAATCGATAGTTTTTTGTTTCGTTCTAGGTCTTGACGATACATCCAACCATATCTCATATTCTCCATGTTTGGACTCAGGAACGGGCTCAACAGAATTTAGCTGTAACGGAAATCAAGTCGGCTCAACACTGACAATGTCCATGATTCGGACAGAATCAATACATAGTCTCGTATTGACAGAGTCCACGCTGTAGCTGCATTTCTTTGTTGCCTGTAAACAGATTGTGCTCGACAGTATCGAGATGCTGAGTTCAAATACAAGGAATACACATAGTCTTCATATTTTGCAGACCCTCCATTCGGTTTGCTGGCCTTTTCCTCTCCATCCTTCAACACAACGCGAATTTGCACTATCTTTGTTTTCATATTGGCAAATCTTACAGTTTGTCATAAAATTCTTACAACAATATTTGGCACTGACGCGATTGGATTTTCGCTCTACTCAAATCCCATGTCGTCATCCTCATCAAAGTCTCCATCTGCAATCTCTCTAGCCAATTTACGTTCTTCTTCTCTAGCTGCATTCACAGACGCCAAGTCCTTGTTGACTGCATTCATAGGGAATCTCAAAGCCTAAGGAGAGTGGGACATTGGTTAAACATCAGTCACAAAAGTTGAGTAAACAGTACCCAAGTAAATATTTTCGAGTTGGAAGGTGGTTTCATACCTTGACAGACTCATTATGCAAATCCAAACAGAAAGTAATACGTTGATGAAATTGATTTTGTGGCTCATTGGTCGAATACAGATCAACAATCTCCTTGGACTTCATGTATCCCTTCTCATGAACAATGGTGGCATCAATCACACCATCACGAATTGACTAATATTGATATGTGTTGCGTGAGACATCGGTAGTCCTGGATTATGTGGTTTTGTTGCAAGCCCAACCTCAACCACAAGATAATATCTTCGCTTGTATCTTTACCTTGGCGACGATATATTCAGCATCTTGTTCAGAATCCAACTTGAGTTTCTCACAAATGTCTCGCAGAGAGATGGCAGAATAGGCGATACTGATTCTACGTAATCCAGCCTTGATGACATTATGACGGAGTCTAAAAGATGATACGAATCGCAATCTGAGTATTGAAACCTGCTTCGGAGATCAGGAAGACAAAACGGCATGTCCAACCAGAAGTCTTACCGCAAGATAAGAGTATAGGTCCTGTCAGCAAGGAAAGTAGCCTTGTGTTCATCAACAGCTTTGGGGAATCCATTCACGTTTCCAGATCTTACAGCTGTAGGTGGCAAAAGTAATGGGTGTGAGTATGCGGATTCCATACAAAAAAAAACACTAGATTTCAGATTCCTTATGCATACCTTGAGTGATTTCAAAATAGGGCAACAATGCTTTACGCAACATTGGCTGACGGAAGATGGATCTCTCTGGGATATCACCAGTCAATAATTGCACAATAATAGCTAGTTTGTTGACCTAAGCACACGCCGATGTAAATAACTCGTCCAGATGATGACGATGCTTGTGCGTTTCTCTTGCTTCACTCACAGCTTGTTGAAATCCAGCAGCAGCACTGGTTTGTGGAGCTTTGCGAATAGCTTGTTGTAGTGATCTATTGGCTTCAGTGTAATCCAACTGAATAGCCTTGATTCGACCTAATTTGAGTGTATGGATAAGCAGAGAGCAAAAAGCGGCCAAAATTAGAGCTCGGACGACCAATCAGCGCATGAGATACATACCTTGATAGTATAGGAAACGAGCATGTTGATTATTAGGAGCAGTTTCGGGAAAGACTGCTTTTGAAATCAACTTGTCTGCTTGATCATATAGATTGGCAGATAAATAGCTTCGAAGCAACAGATTCAGGACGGTTGCCTAAAAGCAAGCTTTTGTCATTCTCCAGAATCACCTCAACTCTAGGCATCGAATACATTACCTGCGTGTCTGGATCATGACGTAAAGTGGCAGTTCGATGAGCAGCCAAGAGTAGTCTAAATGAGAAAAGTACATCAACCGACCTCAGTAAACTTTGATTTGTGACTCTGCCTTTACTCACGGTCTAACGGATACGAAATCACCAGTCAATTCATAGAATCGCGCCATATAAAAGTAGATTCTAGCAGCGATTTGGTCCATGGTTCGTCGATTTAATGATTGGATTTGAGCAATGATTTTGGTTGTCAGTTCTTTACCCTGTAGTTGTAATATGTTGTAAGCAAACCGACGGCACAATGACCCTAAGAGCTAAAAAGACAGCTCCGAATGCTTCTTCTGATACCTTGACGTAATGCTTTTGATCATGTATAAACAAGACAACCAACATTCCCAAATAGATTTCAACTTCGGGTGTGGTAGGTGCTGTCGACGATGGATGATGCCCGTTTACGACTTCGTCTACTTCCATGACGTCTCCCATCTATGGAATACCAAAACAGGACAAAGAAACTGTGAATAAAAATAGCAAAAAACTACAGCTTCACAAATATAATTTAACTGTTCAACATACACCCAAGGCAGCATGCAATGTAATCTTTGTATGTGAATCTAAATTATAAAAGAGTGTCAATCACAACTCAAATCAAGATTCAACCTATAACAAACCTTTAGCTAAATGCTGATTCAATGCCTGACTCAAAACCTCAGCATTCAATCGTTTCCGGAATGCTTGGGTAGATCTCAATACACGAGTAGTGAATCGTGTTTCGATTTCAGATACAGCGCGCTCCAATAATGCGATATTGTTCTTGATGTCTACGGTGTTTGATGTCGTTAGGTAACGCCAATTCATTACATTTCTCGAATTTTGATGTTGGGCCAACGCAGTGTCTCGACGAGTAATATATAAAATCAGATATAAATATGCGTATTCCTGACCTGTTACGACGAGAGTATTTGCTTCAGCCAACAGTTCAGCAGGAGTCTTCATCTCGACATCTACCACTGTTGGTGTTGATGGTTTGATTGCTTCGACAGCCATCCCTAATTAGATTGGAAGGTAAGAAGATGAATGTGCTAAATTAGGATAGAAATAATAAAATGATGTACTAGTCTTGACTCTCTCTTACTTGTAGTTTCTCTTGTTTCAATGCAAGCAAAGTGACGCGTCGCAAATCTAACAGTTGCAAGACGAGACATTGACATTAAATTAACGTGTGAATTATTACTATTATAATTACCAAAACACGTGTCATAAACTATCTACATACACTTCAAACCTCGAAAGCTCGTCAACACCACTTTCTCCCAGAACTTCATCAAGCGCATGTCCTTCCACGCGTCCATCACAAAACACCATATAAAGCACACACACACTGTTCTCATGAGATACAGTCAGCGCATCAACAACATCTTGATCCTGATCTTTCTTCTTCTTTTTAAAGTCACCTCCATACTGGAAGCATGGCCCAACATCAGACTCACTCAAATCCCATACAGACACACATCCTTGATCATCCAATGCAAAAAACACTGAAGGACGATGTCTTGACCACTGTATGTGCTTGATACTGGTACTGACGTTAGTACTACTTGGCCAAGTTGTGACTGCTATAGGCAAGGTAGTGTGGAAGAGAGCCATCATTCCTGATTCATATCCTACTATAAAGACACGTGGCAAGAATGGGTGTATGCATATGCATGTGGCAGCGTCCCCTGGCATATGGCTCATAGGCAGATAGTGACGTGGTGCTTGTACTTGACCGTGACGGGATACATTAAGAATGTGGCCAGTATGTAGTGCTACCAAGAATCCTCCACGATCATCCGAAAACGCTACTGCATTCACATGCATGTCTAACGCGTCATTGGTTCTGTTGATGAGTGGAGTAAGCGTTGGAATATTAAGCCAAAAATGCCAAAAAAAATGTAATTGGATGACAGATTCTCACTTGATGGGAGGCCGGATCTGGAATCCTGCACTCTGAATCAACTTGACTCGACTGCCAAATCGCATTCCAGAGTCCAAGTGTTCTGAAGCAGCGGTAGCGGGCTGTTCAAGTTCAATCAAAACCTGTAATGACGATGGAATCACGTTAGACAAAAAAGGCGGCCCGTCGATAAGGAAGAATGGCATCAATTGGGTATGCTGCTTACCCATGACTGCACATGTCCACTAGCATCAATAGACATCACTTGCATAGTCTGCAGACTCTCGGCCCGCTTCTGAAGTGGAATCACAGACACAATCTCGTCCATATGAGCTCGATCAGGCTGATGTATGCCATAAGTAGAATACGAAGGCTCTATGATGGAAATTTCTTGTCCTTCAACTACAATGACATTACCACCTGAGACACCAGATGATTGGTCAACTGATGAATGTAAATCCCATACTATTACACCACCATCACGAGTTCCTGCTATTATGAGATGAGGTTTATAGGGCATGATGCATGCTGTTGTCACATATGATTCACACGTCAGAATCCTACCACGAATGATGTGTTAGAAAGGCCTGGTCAGCAAAAAGCCTGCTCTCACTCTTGGTTTTTGACTCACTTGTATGGAACATGAGGACTCGACACCCTCCAAAGACAAACAACGCCTTGATCCATCAACAACTTGTGTGAAGACTTTTTAGGTAGTGACCATGCCGACAACAAGATTTGGTTGTCACTGCCATGTATAGACAATACCTGAATGCGACGATCTATCAATACCAGAAAGAATGTCAATACGCCGTTAAAGCGTCTTTTTTCGCGTAAATCAGAATACTGCGAAGAGCATTACCAGCGAACAGATTCGGATCCACAAACTCCGCAAATCCGGAACTACATCCCAACCGACTAGGCTCTGAAAACACCCCAAATCCAGCGTCACCATTACTCTCATCCAACAAAACCTCCATTACAGATCTAGCTTTCTGCAAGAATCGATCTAAACGTATCGGATTTGGTATAGCTGGCTTGAGCAGCCTTGACGAATCCTGATTCAGATTGTCTCGAGATGTTCTCGGCGTGTTTCCATAGCCATTGTTAGTAGTAGATGTTGTTGGCAATTCCCATGAGGGTGCTTGTGACCATTTATCTTCAACTAGCCAATCTTCTGTTTGGGCGTCTTGTTCGACGCCGTCTTGATTCGTTTGTGTTCCGACCTGGGTGGATAACTTAGGTGTGAGCTGCGGTCGTAGAGGGACGACAAAAAAAGTATTGTAGTCCCTACAGCATGAACAAAGTACCTGTGCGGCATTCAACAACCCATAGTTACGAATATAGACCTCATACTCATTCATAGGTGCAAGATCGAACAGATCAAATGATACAAAATCCAAATCCACATAGCTTTTTAAGTCCTGACGACGAGAGTGAAAAAAAACTATAAGCCTCTATCGAGAAATTTTCTTCTTTGCCATCCTGACGTTTCACATTACTTTTGCTCGTTGAATTAATGCTCTCCGTAAGGCTTGCGTCGGTAAAGGCGGTTCCACCACGATACAGTTACTGTCAATGATTGAGGCCTTGGTAACTATTAAGTCGGAAGTTTGCATTTTTTTAGCTTGAAGGACCGAAACCAAGCAAAACTCAATCCTCGCCTTTCTCTGATTGTTGTTTCACGTATTGAACCTCCTCATTCCGTCCTTTCTGACTCTTGGCTGGCACGACACCTGGCTGCTGTTGTGACAAAGTCTCTTCTCCTTCCTCGTCTCCATGATCATCTCGCGCATGTGATTTAGAAATAGGTGATATCGGTGGTTCTGTAAATGCAGGTGCTGGTGCTATTGATCTCGATTCCGTGACAAGACCAGGTTTCTTCAGTTCTGGTTTTGTGCCACGAGGCACTTCAGGTTCTTCAAATCCCTCAAAATCGTCATCATATCCTTCGAAATCCTCTTCATATGCGTCTTTAGGAGGTGCTGGATCTAGTCCATCTGCCTAAAAAGTGGTATCCAATAGTAAACAGTTGCTCTTTTTTGCATTCCTGATATCGTTACCTCGAAATCATCCTCATAATCATCTTCTCTTGCCGTAGAGGCAGCGACAGCAGCACTCGTCTTGGACTTTGTAGCTCCAGAACTAGTTTTCGTTGTTGCATTTGGTTTTGACGGTTTCAGCGATGAGGATGATGAGTACACGTCATGACTAGATACGTTATGCGAGTAAATTCATTGAATTTTGTGGCACGGGATGTACGGGTTAAAACCACAATATCCGCTCACGTTGGCGATTTCAAACTGTCCTTGCTCTTTAATGTCGGCTCCGGAGCTCGTTGTTGTGATTTAGACGGTATAGAAGGCTAGCAGAATTGGGAGTGAGGTTAGAACTATATAATGCATCATACCGTACGTGACGGACTAATGTCAGTCGATTGCAAGGCAACAAATCATGATTGTTCTTGACATCAAGAAACATAGGAGAAGCCGACGATCAAGGATGAAAGTAACATCATCATGGACTATTCCTGCATTCAAGCGCATATCAGCTGTGGATCTACTCACCTTTCGCTTAGACATTGAGCTCAAACCTCCAGCTGCTGGTCAACATTGCAAGAAATCAAGACGGCACAAATTGATATCAAACAATTCAAACATGATCGGCATCAAGTTATTAAGCTTCTGATGCTTTGAATCGCGCCACTGCATACCTGCAGAATAATCTCCGTCTATTTGGAAACCAAACCTCGCAAATGATTGACTAGCTATAGGAAAGAGCTTGCTTCTTGATTTCCATCCTTACTGTTTTGGATATGAATCACTCAATCACCTTGTTACTCAAACAAATCCATGTCAAAATCACTCCAACATGGATAATCTGTCATCCACATATCCATGGGAGCATTGGATGACATTGTACCTGTCATTTATCCTCCTCTTTTCGGTCTCGCCTATCGTCGATGGACTACTACTAGCTGGTCTACTCAGTGATCTTGAACGTTCATCTAGTTTAACATTGCGCTCATACACCTTCACTTTATCTGGCACAAGTTTATTATCGATTATTGTGTCGCGTTGCGAATCATTCGGGATGTCGATTCGCAAGCATCATGTGACTATTGGTGTAAACCCTATTGGCTCAGCACATGTATCATACCGTAGACGGTCTATAATTTGTTAGGAAGCATCCACTCATTGAAGCTTGACTTTGAAGCGTGCTGACCAACGATGGAGCTGGGACTTTATAGATTTCATACTTAATTCACGTAGTATCGCAAATTGGCTTTCTTCTTTAGCACCGAGTCCATCTATACTACCCTTGAAAAGCGCGAAATCACACTTTCAAGCTATACGTATATTCCGAGAGACGTCTTTGCCGGTCTAATACAAGGATCAGAAAACGGACTCGTCAAAATTAGGATTGCAAAGTTTATGCTACATGAAGGCACTGGTCTGAGCTGGATATCCAGGTTCAACAACTTGAAGGGTCTCTGTTTGCACTACATTGGTTGCGATGATAATGAGGTCATTCCTCTAAAACTGGCCGACTCTATCATATTGAGCAGCTTCGCTATAGATACAACGTACATAACCCAGATCAATATTATTCGTATTCGATTTTGACCAAATCTCGATCTGGTGCCATTTGAAGTAAAGTCAGACGTTACCAACAATAATGAATGTCAAATGGTCCCAACAATAATGGCGTACCCCTACTCGAAGGGTTTGCTACAGATATGCCCAAACTCCATCCTATATCAGTATATCAATATGGTGTCAGCAACTCCCACTTGCATGGATTGAGACACTGGATTCAAACCCGCATGCGCCAGTTGAATCTTGTGCATGTTGGTGCATCTCGGCCATATGGCATCGCAGCTGCTCCTCACTCGTTCAGGTTCCTAAGTAATTATTGTCTCAATCTTACTGAAGTGTCAGTGACCTGGCTGTCCCTCACAGATTATTTTATACTTATGGAGAACACTTCACTTGTGAAATTGAAGTGTGCCACTTGGAGGTGGGTCTCTGGAGACCGTCTCTTGGCTGCAGCTGAAGTCATGGCTCATAATGATAGGAAGGTCTGTCGTCTGGAATTTCTATGACGAGGACGATCAAAGGACAATTGCATATAGATTCTCGTTTATTCAGGGGTGGAAGCTTTTTAAAATATGCAGGTGCTCGTAAAAAGGCTAATGACGTGCTTAAAGAATATTTTAACAGATTGTAATTGCGACTGGGATGTACTAGTGGTGAACAATGAGGAATCTCAATGGGCTGCATATTCTGGTCGAAGTCCAGCTTCTATCAAGAAAGCAGTGAAAGAGGAAATCAACTGATGGGCGGATTTGGAAAACAGTTGGGCTGCGAATTTGGACATGTCGTAGTAAAACGGAAATCCAAACAGATTTGTGTAACTAAAAGGTGCTTTTTATATAAAACCAAAGTCATTACTGTACATTTGGTCTACTGTATGCAGTGATCGAGCCTGGACTGGTGAGAACGTCTACTGATACTAGCTGTTCCTTTTCGGGAGTCAAGCTTATACTAACAGGTTCTTCTTTGTGGGCCTCATGGTTGGAGACAGGAGAACTACTAGGTTTTCGTGATGCTTGAGTGGTAGTTTCAAGAACTGGAGCAGCCACAACAACAACGGGTTTGGTCGTAACTCCATTCAGATCAACCACATTCCAGAAACGGTTGAAATCACCACGGACAAGCATTGCTTTGACTCCTACTTTATCAGCAAGCACCTTGAATAGCAAACTTCGATGATAAAGACCTCCTCTGTCAATTTTGCCCAATGGAATGACATTGGACGCTAGGTTTAGTTTTAGTTCAGCAATCCTGAATTGGAAGGGCTGTTCACCAGTTCCTCCCATTGTTTCCACAACTGTATCGGCAATCTTTTTGATTTGATCTGCTCGGGACGTAGTTGATTCGTAGAAACCATCGGATGTGATTTTCATTACGAGAGTGTTTAAAACGGTGTCATTCGTGAAGTCTACTACGAGTACTTCACGTTTTTGGTTTACTGGCATTGCTTGCAAGTCTTGTAATGAAGGGAAGCAGGAATCGGTTGCTGCTGCGGGTCCGATATCATAAAAGCCGTTTTGAATGGTGTCGGTGAGGTCTAGGCGGCTTCTAAGCCAATATTTGACGGGAAGATCTACAAGAATAACATCAGTTCAAGAAGGGAAGGCCAAAAATACTCGTCGAGACTCGACAATGCTTACGATAATCAAGCAATTTGCTTAGAGCATCAGTTGCAAAGCTTGCAGCACTTTTGCTAGATGTTCTTGAGAGTGTCACTAGAGTATTCACAGCTCCTGATTTACATGCTGTGTGAGCGTTGACATCTAGACGTAAGGAAACGTGAGGAATAGCAGGAAATGTAGATGCTAGCCATTGAGCAATGGCGTACCTAATTGACAGGCAGCTGCAACTGCGTAGGAAGCATTTCTGACCACTTGTAAGTCAGGAGACGACAGTAGTTCCGTCAATTTCGGAATAGCTTTATTCTCATCCAGTGAAGTTCTTCCTTCCGCTAAAAAATTTCTTGTTAGGTGACTTGTGGCATGACTCTTTTTCGCTACTACAAACAAAGCGCTTACCATCCAGAGCAAGACGAGACAACGCTAATGCTGCACTTGCAACAGCTTTCACGTCACTGGAACTCAAAACGTTGACGAGGATTGGCACTGCTCCTTGTTTGATTATTGTGGCTCGTAGATCAGCTGTGTAAAAGGAAGTCTCGGTATATAGATAATGGCTTTTCAATACGCAGAGAAACATGACGTACAATCTTCAGCCATATTGGCAATGAATTCACAGCCACCAGCAAGTATAGCTGCATCATCGTGGTACTGCTGCAACAGTGCAATGATCCGAGTTGGTACATCCATTGTTCGTACTTTGGTTCGTACTTTTGCTAAACGACAAATTTCAAGTGTCAGACCCACAGCGTTTTAGATGAATCTGGTTTGCGAGAGGATTCACCATTTAGAGCTAAGCCTGCTAAAGCCCACTCTGCATTTCGAATCACTTCACGATCCTCATGAGCCAATTTAGCAAAGAGATTCTCTACAGCTCCCAAACGAAGGAATTCGGAACGATTCAGGTCTGAATTTGAAGTTGGTAGTAGTGCTTGAGTATCGCAAACCCCCCGAATTCGAGGTTTTAGAATGCCATACCTGACTTGGCCAAAGTTGCGATGGCTAGAGCAGCCCCAGCAACAGTTTGTGGATCTGTCAATGTCACATTGGCAGTCAGAGCTTGTAGTATACCAGCGTCCTTCATCAAAGCGTTTGCCTTTTCTATAAGGATTCAGAAATGGTGAGACTTTGAATGACTGCGTGCCAATTATTCCGTACCATTGCGAGCTATCCTTGAAACGACAATGGCAGCATGTCGTTTCGTTTTGGCGTCTTCTGTGGTTAATGACTTTGCTACGGCTTGTATGCCTCCGTTTTCAATGAATTGAAGTGCCATTTCACCTAAACGAAAGGTGTTATAGCAATAAACCATGAGATCGAACAGCGTTTCTATACCATCTTCTAGGCAGTTTGATAGGCACAGTAGTGTCAGGTAATGTAATCCTGGTGAATCGTGTCCCAAAGCTTCAATGAATCGTTTTATTCCACCAATCTTTCTGATGTCAACACGTGTAGCAACTAGTGACCGAAATGATGAGCGATGTGGACGTGAGCCATGACAGAGGTACAGTACGTACAGTCTTCAGTGCATCTAATCAGGCAAAGCAGAGCATTCTCCTGAATTTCCAAATATTCGGCATTCACCAAATCTAATAGAGGCTGTACACCACCAGCACTTCTTAATTCGTGACGGTTGGTGACTATTTGTGAAGTATGTGAGCCATTTGATCGACCATATTTTAACTCGCTCTGTTGGGCTTACAGTCGTCTAGCACAGCTGATAGGGCGTGCGCTCCATTCTTTCTACAATCAGGATCCGGCGAGTCAAGTAGTTTTATCAAAGCCTTGATGCCTCCTTCAGTCCTGATTTCGGTCTTGTTTGAGACTATGACGCAAAACGATTAGCTGACATGTCACCGAATCCCATCAACTTGGGACTTACAATCTCTGGCTAGGTTGGCCAAAGCAAAAGCAGCTTCCTCTTGTACTTCAGGTGCTTCTCCCGTCAATAGAGAGATCAAGGCGACGATTAGATCGTGCTTCCTCATATCTTGGTGCATGTCCACATTTTCAAACGAAGCAGCTAAACACGCAGCAGCTGATCTCCTCGTCGACGCGTCTTTGGATTTAGTCAAGTCCAATAAAGGCAAAACGATGCCCAAATTCAACAATTGAATGCGTTGCTTAAGTGCTAAATGGAGAAAGTGACAGTGAGAACGCATTCCGCCATCAGACGAGATCTCAAAGCAACAATTCACATTTTTCAGCGTATTTGGTTATAGCATCGGCAGAGTTCACACATATTCCAGGTTCAGGTGAACGTAATAGTAGAATCAAAGTCCTCACATCTACTACTGAAATTGCGACGTGATCACACTAAGAGAGATGAAGATCAGAACAACGTTCCAGTGCTAAAAATCATGCAAATCTTACAGTGGTAGACTCCATAGTGTCCCTTCTCCAATGTGAATCGCGAGCTTTTCTCTGATCGTGAAATCGACTTGTTTCAGGCAAAGTCGGAAATATTAGAGAAGTATTGATTCAATCTCTAGAGAAGTATTGATGCAATCTTAGACAATGCCCAAGGCGTTCAGCACCGCGGCTAAGAGGAAACAATTGCAGGAGAAACGTGCTAGAAAGAGAGAACAAAACAACGATGGTGACGATGAAAGTTGTACTGATGTCAAGAAGCACGGACATCATAAACATGAAGGAGTTTCAGCCGCTAAATCGAGATCATCTGACGAACTGCTGGAAGGTATTGAGTCTCGCGACCATCTGGAACATCAGATCGTGTGGTTTTGAACAAGTCGTGTCTCTAACACATTCGGTCTTTCTTTGTATAGAGAAATCAGTAGATCCAGCTACTCCGTCTACAAAGAAATCTCGAGATCTGGTCTCTGTATTTAGCAAGATTCCACCTGCTGTCATTGAAGACAGAAGGCGAGACTCTCGCAAACCAATTATTCGTCTCCCAAAGACTGCTCTCGAAGTCGGACCAGAGAAACTGTATCCGCCTGGAAGATCAGCTCCAGACATAGCCAAACGGCCGACGTGGACATTTGATGAAAGCAAAGCTGATTTGGAAGAAAGAGAAACGGAATACTTCAAGAGCTGGTTGAATCGATTGCATGACGAGTATCCGGGAGACCAATTGAGCTGGTATGAACAGAATCTCGAAGTTTGGCGCCAGCTGTGGAGGACAATCGAAATATCGTAAGTGGCGTGAAGACTCTTATAGTATACTTTGTCTGATGTTCGATTTGCCTTCTAGAGATATCATACTATGTTTGGTCGACTCGCGACATCCAGTGCTTCAATTCTCTCCCCCTCTATATAAATGGATCTCAGAACTTGGCAAGAAGATGATACTAGTGCTTAATAAGGTAACGAAACCAGGAATTCACACCGCACGAAGAACATGGACTGATTTGGCTCTCCATTTATAGACTGATTTGGTAGATTTTAAGACTATCGAAGCTTGGACTCTGTACTTCAAAGGACTATATCCTGAAATTGATGTCGTCACATTCGCTTGTTACAAAAGACGAGAGCCATCACGTAGGTTTATACTTCTTTTCATAGTTTTACTTGCTCTTACAGTGCTTTCCAATCAGGTACGATATCGAAGAGGTCCCCGCGCGCTCAAGGTGTTGGTGACATTCTTCGGGCCTGTCGAGATTCCCAGCTCAACAAACCAGGGCTTGCTCCAATTGATTGGGAGGCTCTGATTGCTGAAGCTGATGAAAGGCTGGTCAAGCAGGAAGCCATGGACAAACTGAAGGAAGCCCGGCGAGAAGGTGAATTGAGTGAAGATACATTCCTTGGTAGAAGCCGTAGACGGCAGAGATTCGAATCCGCAGACGAATCTGAGGTAGAAGAAGATGTCAGCGAGCAAGTTGAGGAGTCGGATACGGATGCGTCTGATCAAGGTATGCAGTTTTCTATCAGAAGTTTCTAATGACGAGACAGCACCTTGGTGACAATATCCGATGGACTTTTGGATATGTAGAACATTTGCCTCCACTTCCCCAACATCAAGAAAGGTCCAGCGAGCTGACGATTGGATTGATTGGACATCCAAATGTTGGAAAATCGAGTCTACTCAACGCTATGCTCGGCAAGAAAGTCGTATCAGTGAGTCGGACTCCAGGCCATACAAAACACTTCCAGACAATCTTCATCGCACAGACTGTAAAGTTGTGTGATTGTCCTGGTCTGGTTTTCCCGTCTTTATTGCCCAAATCACTGCAGGAAAGGAGGGCGGTTTCAGACTCATTCATTCGATAGCAAGCCTGACCAAGGTTTGCCCTTTGTAGATCTTGTCAGGAATGTATAAAATTGCTCAAGTACAAGAGCCGTACTCTGCTCTTCAGTATTTAGCAGAACGAGTATCACTGGAAAAGATTTTGAACCTTCCACCACCTCCAGAATCTGATCAAGATTACAAATGGAGTGTGTGGGACATTTGTGAACAGTATGCTATCAAGTGTGGGTACCTTACTGCACGAGCAGCAAGACCAGATGTCAATAGAGCTGCAAATCTGATACTCAGACATACCTGCGATGGAACGATTATATTGAGTCTTAAACCACCAGGATTCTTCAATACGGTTGAACATAGTGACGAATGACGAATATGACCTGGTGTCCTGATAGTGGTGTTAAGAAAGCAGTGATAAATATGATGAAGCTCATGTGTAAATTTAGACCCATGTAAAGTTGCATTCACTCAGCAATAGCTACATTGTATCTACGTGATAATGTTGATAATATTCTTCATTTGCCTCTGGTTTCTCTTGTCATGTCTGTGTATCTGTGTGTGACTCTGTTGACTTACTCCCTCTGTCCTTCAACCAAACAACCACAAAGCTTTCAAATACTCTCAAGCACTTGGATAAACCGAAAACAAGAACACTTTCAAGCCCAAAATCACTTATCAAATCAGTACAATTCTATACGGAAAGCAAAACGACAAAGGTAATTATCAAGACACAGCTGACATTGAATTCGAAATCAAACAACATGTCTTATATGTCTTATCAATTCTGAATCTACTCCAACTGTACAATAGATGACTGTCGAAACTCCAATTCACGGTACTAAGCCCACTCCATCTGGTTCGCTACCTGTTCACAGCGAGGGTCTTCCAGCATCTCGAGCTGAAGAGATCACCCTTGGAATGTTGAAAGCGACAATGGCCAACCTTCAAGCAGAAGAGTCTCGTACTTATGGATCTACATTGGAAGGCGGCGCTGGATCTACTGCAGCTCAAGGTATGAGGAAACTGGTGTGAGATATGTGACTCACTGCACGAGAGGTGGTTTAGCGCCGTTCGGTCTATAGCACTCTCTGCATATGCTGCCGCAGTAGCTCAGCAACATGGAGTACCCACTACTGAAATCCTTCAAAAGGTCCACAAGGGAGTCGCAGCTGATCCTGCAGGTATGTGAAGGGTTGATACCTGACCGAAGGCTTCACGTCACTTAATCGCTTTGTTTTGATAGATTTGGCTGAGAAACTCGCTCAAGAAGGTCAAGACATGTCTGCAATGGGCAGTGATGTCTCCAAGGGTATCGCTCTATTGATCGAAAAGGCTGCTGAAAAGATGCGTGAAGCCTCTGCCCTTGCTTTACATGAATTCGAAAATGAGGCACGTTCCTAGTTATATAATAATATTGCGGTCGTCGTTGAGTTGTAGCTGGCAAACCATGGGCTCATCCGCTTCAATTACTTAGCCCTTCCCGAACTTGGCTGAAATTCGAAAAGAGTTCATGAATCAACACAAGATTCTTACTCCTGAAAAGGCTCGTGCTGCTACACCTCTCACTACGGTCAATCGTCAATTCTTGGGCGTCTTGAAGGTAAACAATTTTTTTTGTTTGGTCAACGATCAACTGATTCGTTGCTGAAAATCTTGCTCTTCTCCCCCAGGATTCCGTCGTGAAACTCGTTTTTGAATCTGCACTTCGCCAACCATCCGCTGAGCCAGCATTGCCCATGAACTCTTCTGGAGACAAGGCTTTGGGAGCATTCACTCGCTATGTTTTGGCTGTTGCTCATGAACACGACATCAAACCTCATGACATCTTGAAAGAATTGGGGCTCACCCATACTGACAAAGAGCAAGATGCCGAGCTTGCCACTTTGCTCAAACAAGAAGCTGCTCGATGGAACGCGATTGAACAGCAAGCATGTAAGTTGCGTTTTACCATAAAAATGTGATTAAGGCCTTTTTCAAGTCAAGGCGAGCCTCTATGCTCGTAATAAGAGTAGTTTACTCTTATTAATAGATGGCCACATTGAAAAGGGCGGTGTTGCAGCATTGAAGCAAGGTGCAGCAACCAAAATGGATCAAGCTGTCAGTATGGAGGGATGAAGTCGAATGGAAAGTGTATCCTGTTTTAGCCTGTTTGTACTTGAAGTTGTATATAGCTAGCTCATGAAATGAAACACCATCACCAACTACATGGTCAAGTTGCTGGCGTGTCAGCAATGAAAGCGATGCGAACGATAGCAGTCACAGGGAGGCTCAAGGTGGATCGACGCGCGATCAGATTCTATACCACGTCGCTGCAGCATCGTCGACCTTGGATTCAGAGTTTTGAGATCTATATTTTGCTATACAACTTTTTACACAGTTTTATTCATACAAAAATCAAACAAAGAAAGATGCACCCTTTTTCGGGTATACAGGTGGCGGACGTGGATTGTCAATCTCATGTTGAATCGAGATTGCGACATCCCCTCCCAACCATTCTCGAATTTGTGCCATCGAGATGGTGCCTTTGCGGATGAGTGCAGCGAGAGACACTTCGTCTCGACCAAAAGTGAACAGAGTTGTTGCTCTGCCACTGTTGCCAGCGCGACCCGTACGACCACATCGATGAACATAATCATCAGCATCTTGTGGCAAGTCATAGTTGACGACGTGCTCAACACTTGGAATATCCAAACCTCGTGATGCTACAGCCTAATATAGATGTGTGTTTTGAATAAGTGCTTTTTCACATCTACTTGGTACTTTTCGTAACTGTTCCAACAATCAATAGGTTAGCATTTACATACCGTTGCAATCAAAACAGAGGCTTCACGACTTTTGAATTTTGACAAGGCAGATTCACGTTGCCATTGATCCATTCCACCTCTCATACATACTATCGAAGTAGTCAAGGGCAAGTGTCGTTGCAAAAAGACTGTCAATTCATCAGCCTTGTGTTTGGAGTCAACGAATATCAAAGTTGATTGAGTGGGAGAAGGAGGACTTTGGTCAAGTATTCGTAAAAGTGTTCTATCCTTTTCGTTTTTGGATGTTTTGATCATCTAACAAGGTTTAGAGATACTTTAATTACTGAATGGCCTGCATTGAACCAGAAGAATGGTTTTCGTTTGTGGAAGTTCAAAATATGGCACTCACAGATTGAGATACAGTTGACGCGAGATGGCCAACGACTCCAACCTTCAAGCGAATTGGATCATCAGCTTGGAACTCTCGAACGAGTTGCTCAACCCGTGGAGGAAACGTAGCAGATAGCAAGACTGTCTGACGTCCTTCAGAAGGTGTAGGCATATCTAGCGAAAAGTGAGGGGTTCATACAAATCGATACATAGTATGATTGGTCTAAAATTTTCAATGTCCGTAACATTTCATTGTAACACACTCTTCGACACTCATACCTGTTGATGTGAGAGCGCGAATGGCTGGCAAAAAGCCCATATCTAGCATACGATCTGCTTCGTCCAGAACAAGACAGCGCAACTTCTTCATAGAGATGATGCCACGATCAATGAGGTCTTGAAGACGACCAGGTGTGGCGATGAGCAAGTCAACTCCAAGACCTTGCAGTCGTCGGACTTGTTCATCAAGTGGAGTACCTCCATACACAATCCTTGAACGAATCCAAGAACGATAAGAAAACTTCTTGAGCTCCAAATATACTTGCTGTGCGAGTTCTGAGAGGTTAAATAATTGGGGTTTAGGAAATATTTCAGTCAAGATACCTGAACATTCAGGAATGAAGGGAGAGATAGAAGAATCAGCAGTGAAAATAAAATACCTCTAGTTGGCTCCAAAATGAGAATCAACGGATGAACGAGTTGCAACTTATCATCCTACAAGTCAATAGCGCATTGGTGAGAATCTCTTAAAAAATGCGATACATTGAATACGACCATGCTTGCCTGGATGATAGGCACGACATCACAAGGACCTCCACGCAATACCACATCCAAGATTGGAATGAGGAATGCCGCAGTCTTACCAGATCCCGTTTGAGCAGAAGCGGTCAAGTCTCGTCCATTCATGATAATTGGGATAGCATGCTTCTGGACGGGGGTAGGAATTTCATATTTGCAAAGAGTGACATTCTCTTGCAAGAGCCAAAAGAGATTGGCTGTTTGAAACTAGAATCGGGAATATATATGAACAGCAGCTTCAGTAGGATTTGATGCCATGGCGACTTTTGCGAAAGGTTGCTGGTCTTTGTTCCTCTTATGCTGATCCTCCTCTTTGACAAACGAGGTTTTGCAACTTACAGTTGCAATAGGTCCAGGGATATTGACACCAATAACTTCAACAGGTACGTCCAAATCGTTAAATCGGTTTCCACTGGTTTGAGAATCTCCAAATATCTTTGCTTCAGCACGTGCATCACGTTCAGCAAATTCGAATTTTGGTCGCTAAACAAACGTATGTGATCATTAGGACTGATGAAGCGATGGGGGAAAATCGCAACCTACCAAGCTCCTTAGCTTCTTCTCCCTTTCATCTTCCCACTTTTTACTCTGCGCTGCCCAGTCAGTCATCGAGGTGGAATGACTGAAATTGATGAGTCATAAGTCAGTGATATTTACAAATCTGAAATCCAGACCAAGGTATACATACCTGTCCCAAGGATTCACTTCTTGCTCAGTAGGTTGTGAAGCAGGAGGTTCTCCCCATGACGAAGACGAGGTGGATTGTTGGGAAGCGGGAGGTTCTCCCCATGATGAAGATGAGGTCGATTGTTGAGGTGTCTCATATCCAATCGTAGTGGAACCCCATGACGTCTGGTTGCTATTGTTGGCGTCTGACGTGTCAGTCACCCATCCTGCACTGGTGTTTCCATCGGACCATCCATTGTTGTCTCGTATTTGTTGACTCTGGGCTGATGGGTTCCAGTTGCTGTCTCGTGGCGGTGGTGTAGACCTTTTATTGTTGCCGGTAGTTCTATTTGGTACTCGTCGATCACCTAGATTGGCGTTATCGAATGGTCGTGAGGTATTGTTGTTGAAACTTTTGTTGGTGTTACCATTATATGATGATCGTCCAGAGCTACTATCATGACTTTTGTCCCATCCATGGCGCTGGTCTTGGTTCCTGTCGTTGTAGTTACTTGGATTGCTTGGCGTGTGTACAGGATACCAACCGGTTTTCTGTGGGTCGTTTGAGGAGCGAGTCAAGTTGCTGCTACCACCACTACGATTATCATCGTGGCTGCCGCTGCGTTGCTGTGGCCAGGAATCATTACTATTGGCCGAGCTTGTTGAGCGGTTGAAGTTTGAGCTTGCAGGTCGAGTGGAAGGTTGGCCGTATGGAACAGAAGATGGTGGCTTGGTGGCAGCATTTGTAGACCATCCAGAGGATGCATTTGAGGCATTTGCAGGTTGTTGCTGTTCAGTGACCCAACCATTTGATGTCGCTTGTTGGTTTGATGTCATGACTTGTACAAAACGACTCGATATCCTGGTGATTTTTGTACTCTATATAAAATGTATGCCTCCTATTTTTTGTAGTAGCTTGTTAGTGAATGTATTTTATTAATATTGTTCATTCTACAAAATTGCTTTGGCATTTACGTGTTTGCAAGTGCAATGCTTCCTTCCGTAGTAGTATAAAAAGCAGATTCTTACAGTATCTAATGCAGATATAAAGCTATTTATATGCAAAGAACGTGATAACCTTAAATGTCAAAAGCTACTGACTGAGTGTTGAAAAAATCACGCTGCAGCAAATAAAAGTTCGCGAGGGTCGACGAGGAGAAAACACGCCCAAGATTACGTCGGAATGAGTTCCTTAGACGACGAAATCGCGTCAATTATTACAAGTTTGGAGTCAGAATCATCAGAGTCAAATCCCTTCGCAAATTCCGTGGAGCAAAGCAAGCTACAATTGATTCGAAGCCAAAGGCTCCTATTAGAGTCTCAACTGAAAAGCCACCTTGATACACGGGCTCGTTCTATTCACGCTCGTTTCTATCAATCTGATTCAACATGGACGGCATCAAATTCAAATTCATCATCATCGTCGGGACCTTCTCTTGCTCGACCTTCTACAACTACCAGACAAATTGGACAAATGGACGAAATCATGGGTCGTTTGAGACTTGTTGTGGATCACGAATGTGTGCTTGAAGATCCCGATGTCAGCTCCAATATTTTCAGAGATATAACTAGGATGATCGGTGCCGAAGAGAGGACTAGCTTCATAGATGAAGGCCTCAAGGTATCGCAAAATTTGAAAATTTACGTGTTGTCCTAAGAATTTTGACATTTTTTGGTCATCTTTCAGGCTGAACGAGACCAATGGAGACAAGAATTGTCTAATCGAACAAATCCACCAGCTCTACCAAGGCCGATTACGAGAACACAACCGCATGATGAAACTTACGATGATCAACGTTTGTCGAGGCCCTCTACGAGTAGCGATGAAATCTACAATGCTCTTCCTGTGAATCCTGTACCATCCCACCATTCCATGAGCTCATCTAGAACCAGAACAATGGGGATCGCCGAGTCACGATTACAACGAGATATAATTGATCGAGCAGCTCAAGAAGCTGAGCTGATACGGTCACAGTTCCGTGCAAATCCAATACCGGCTACTTCAATACTCGCAGTACCCATACCGACAAGGAAGGGCAAGACCAAGTCAAGCAGACCATCAACAGCTCCTTCAAATTCGACAAGTTCAACCTTGCATGGAAATATCGGACGTGGGTGTGCTTGTGGTTCATCTCACGTTGCTGCTGATTTGGTAAATGAGTACAAACCTGATGCTCCAACTCAGAAGTGTATCCCTCGGCTGACTCTTTCTGCGGCAGAGGATGGCCGACGGAGGCGGCAACGTTTACTTGGTAAGGAAAATCTCAAAAACATCTTTATAGGCTCTGAGAAGTATTCACTGAATTGCACTCTTCAGCTCCTCCTGACATCAACCGTTCAGAATTTGCACCAGACATTAATCACGAGGTACCCACCTCTACGTATATCCCTCCTTCTGGATACCGACCTCCAAAGCGAGTCTTGAAACCACGACCCAAGACACCACAAGCAAGTACACCTACCGTCAAAAAGACTTTTGCTCCAGTTTCTCCAAGGATTGCTGCATTGGGGAGGCCTCGAACACCTAAGGTGGTGGATGAAGTGCCGCAAATCAAGAAGGGACTGTTGGACTATGAGAGAGCTGAACGTGTGAGAATCCTGCTTTTGGATCAGCATCGACGAGAAGAGGCGTATCTCAATGATCTTGAAAACATTTCGACTCGCATACGATCCAAACCTACGCCCGAAGAACGTGCGGCTGTAATTGGGGCTGTAGCTCGTGTCAAGAAAAGTAAGTTCGTTGAAGCACAAGTCATACAAAGCACAGTGCCAAAGTATCTAATTTGAAATTCTAGCCATCGACCACATTCTCGCAGATGAAGGACTAGACAAGTGAGACACGACAATGAAATGTAGATCTGTCAGTATAGTTTCAGTTACATAGCCAGAGTTGACAGCAATACACCGAGTTTTCAGTATAACAGTGTCTTTGTATTTAGCGTTAGATGTGGGAGGGACAATACTGCCAATACCAACATGTTGAAATATATAAAGTCATGGTGAGTGACTCTCAATGTGGTGGCCCTGAAGTCCTCACGTTGATGTTTGCCTTGGTTCCATCCCAAACGAATTTCGTTGGTACCGTTTGCTGAGTTGCAAATGACCCATGCTCTACAAACTTTGTGCTTGTTGAAGGCACTCAGAGCAAGCCAATTCGACACGTGTGTGTGTCGTCTCAGAGGCATTCCAAAAAAGCGCAAGCTGGATGTTTTGCAAAAACGATGTTGCAACAACAAAAAATCCACTGAACAGGAGCTAACCAAAGCGAGATCTACTCATGTTCAATCGTATTAGACACGCATCTATAATCCTTGTATTCTTTTGGGCTTGATCTAGAGACAGACAATGAACCCGGCTTTCGAGAGAAGAGAGGAGGCGACAAGAGGGAAGCTTACATAGAGCGATTTCACGCGTTCAGCACAGTCTAACACCTTCCTCGCCGACCTCTTCTTAATGCAAATTTTCATCCAGTTACGAGTGTTCGGTGGTCTTCGCAAACGTTCCACGTAATTTGAGAGAACGACGACGAGACATAGGCGGGCTATAGTAGAATCAAGAGACAGCCTATAGACCCCAATAAGTCTATTGATTGCACTTGCTAATTCTATTTGGCTTTATAACGTAAGATTAGGCCGATCCAGCAAGCTTCATGTTTGACTGCTCTTTCTCATCATTTGCACTTTTGTTCTCAATCCATGCTATAGATATTGATATAATAGTACAGTAATGCCCAAAGATACAAAGCTCTATGATGTGTTGGAGGTATCGCCAGATGCTTCTGATGCTGATTTGAAGAAGGCTTATAGAAGATTGGCTCTCAAATTCCATCCCGACAAGGCAAGTCCTTTTCACTGATATGAACACCTTCTTGGGTGAGAATGATATAATCAGGTCAACCATATTATTATGGCCTGTTCTATCATCACTCTTTGTCCAAACTGGCAACATCAAAAACAAAACATTGCTGTAGAAAAAAAGCAATTTGCTTCATCATCATCGCAGACCAACCCGTTGTCGACACTCTTCATTGATCTAAATCTCTACATATCATCATTCTAATCAATGTATATTTTCATTTGCACAGAACCCCGATGCTGGAGACAAATTCAAGGAAATAAATCATGCATTCGAAGTCCTGTCAGACTCAAACAAACGTGAAGTATACGACAGATACGGCGAAGAAGGCCTATCCAACGATGGAGGAATGGGTGGTGGTGTCTCTCCCGAAGATCTCTTCTCCCAACTATTCGGTGGCGGTCTCTTTGGTGGGGGTGGAGGTGGTGGTCGATCTAGTCGTCCATCAGGTCCCAGACGTGGTAAAGATATGGCCCATAGCTTAAAAGTATCCCTCGAAGATTTGTATAAGGGTAAAACCTCGAAACTGGCCCTCCAAAAGCAAGTGTTATGTGCTAAATGTGATGGAAAGGGTGGTAAAGAAGGTGCTTCCAAGACTTGTGGCACGTGTCAAGGTCGTGGTGTCCGTATCGTCATGAGGCAGATAGGGCCAATGATTCAACAAATGCAACAAACATGCCCTGAATGTAATGGTGAAGGTGAAATCATTAAAGAAAAGGATCGATGCAAAGGTTGCAATGGGAAAAAAGTCATTCAAGACCGAAAGGTAAGTTTAGAATGTGATTTATTAGTATGTCGTCATATCGTGGGATATGCCGTTATAGCGATAAGGCTATGAGTACGCAGATTCATGTTTTCTTGGCAAGAACTCTCGTTTATTTCGCCCTGATTTGTCGCAACATCAATTACCAAGCTTTAAACTCCGTCATCTTTTTCAATGTAGATTCTCGAAGTATTTATCGACAAGGGTATGCAAGATGGCCAAAGAATCACCTTTAGTGGAGAAGGAGACCAAGCCCCAGGTGTCGTGCCAGGAGATATCATCATTGTCATAGAAGAAAAGGAACATCCCAAATTCAAACGTAAAGGAGACGACCTATTCTTTGAAGCAAAGATCGATCTCTTGACTGCTCTGGCTGGAGGACAATTCGCAATCACACATCTCGACGATCGAATGCTGGTGGTGACAATCTTACCTGGTGAAGTCATTACTCCTGGTGCTGTAAAAGTAATCAATGGAGAAGGCATGCCAGCGTAAGTCTTGATTGACTCTTTTATGATGATGAAAGTTGGTCGACTGGGATGATGGACTGGGATGATCAAAGTCCAAAAAACCGAAACATATGTCGATCTTCATAGCATTCAACTCACACGCTCCACCATGTCTTATTCAATAGATTCAAACGACCATTCGATAAAGGAAACCTCTACGTCAAATTCGAAATCCAATTCCCTAAAGATAGATGGGTAGAAGAAGATCGTCTAGCTCTCCTCGAACAAGTATTACCTCCACGAGATCCTCTACCTCCAACAAACGGTGCTGAAGTAGAAGAAGTCATGTTATCCGATATCGATCCAATGCACCAACAACGATCTCAATACAATGGAGCTATGGACGAAGACGATGATGGTAGACCTGCAGTACAATGTGCTCAGCAATAAACGCACACGTAGCTTAACAACTACTAAAGAAGCAATATTATAAAAAGAAGGTCTCGTATAGACGTTGTTGACTTGTGACATATCAAAGAGCTGAGAGAAATAAAGTAGTGATCGTTTTTCCCTCAAAGAATGATTTAGCGTGCATCTGGTTTGATTTCTTGTCCTGTAGTTACGATGTACAAACAAAAAAGTCTGAATTTGAACGAGACTAATATTGTTCCTAGACAAGATACGGCTCATCGTCGTCGCGCAATTGTGAATTCTTTCCATATCTGCTGCCTGGTCTATCCTTTATTGCATCACAAAAAGGCTTTCGCTGCTTTCCACGAATGCCTCTGGGCCAGTTTGCAACAAAACCACACATATCGTTCCCCCTCACCCTCTCCTTGGCTCTTCATATCAGCCATGAGAACTGTTTGAAGATACTGAAGAGAATCCAACTAGGGTATATCAGAAATCAGTTTGAGTTGCAAGTCGAATCACTGGCGTGAATGACGCTTGAGGGAAATCTAGAATGGTTGAGGGAGTGTCCTGCATGGTTGATGTTCCTACAAAACAAAATAGAATCTGAGATAATCTTGTTCACAGGTTTTGTTTTACCCTTAACAGACGATTCTGAAATCCTACCTTCAATGCCAGCAATTTGAGGTTGCCTCCAACATAGTAGTACTGCCTACTGCCATTCGGATCGGGAATGTTATTTAACTACATGAGACTGATCCTTCGCGTTTCCTAAGGCATCTAAACCGTTGTGGTTTAAACCAAAATGAAAGCCACAGCTCATTCCAACTCGTTATCCATAGATGCCAGAATCCAGAATGCTTGACACTTGTGTAGTCACGATCAATTTAAAGGAAACAAAGATGAAAGGACAGCAAAAAAAAGAGAAAAAAGTGATGCAATTAAATTTGTTCATTTATAAACGAGATCTTTCCTACAGTTGCGATGTACAATCGTGAGAAATATAAAGCCTCACACGAAACTAAACGAGATAAGTTTCATCAAACACTAGTCGTTTCTCGACCGTCAATTCATTCCATATCTGTTGCGTGGCCTCAATCACTTCATCTAAATCCTTGGTACTGCCAGCAGAATCCAATCCTTCTTGTTTTGCAAGAAACTTGAGTCTCACAAATATAGCACACATAACTGAATAAATGCTTTGATTTGAATCTGATGTCACTGTTAGAGATATGTGTGCTCGTGGTTCCTCGCTTTGATCTAGATTTCGTGAAGTGAGAAGGGTGAATCAACGGATCAGGCAAAAAAAACCACAACCAAGAAATTATAGAATTGCTTACGAGCTGTTAATGTCAGCGTCACTGGTCTATGAGACGTAGGTACACAAAAGTATGCAAATCCTGCATGAGGTATTATAGCTTCCAATGCCCCAGGAGTACTAAACGAAACGAGTTGGTTCAGTAGGTACAGGGTACAATAGACAAACAAAATCCATCATATAAGTGTCTGATGCTATACCTCTTGAGATGATGTGAATTCAGCACGCTGGCCAGAAACTTGCGAAGAGCATCCATAAGACCAGCGTCGACATCCACTTCCATCACATTCTCATTCTCAGCATGTAGTCGTGATTGCAAGAAGAGTGTATACGTTTTGGATAATGATGGTGCTTCAGGCGTCTATTGGACGACAAAAAAAAAGATTAAGACCTGACCTTTAATGGCCCTGAATGACTCAAGTAACAACGCCATAAGGACACATACCATTGCTTGAGTCTCTCCTCGGCCCTTGACAATTCGTTCCACTCTCATATGGAAATCATCACGACTGATTGAGAATGGCTGGAGTGGATCCAACAATGGTATATCTGAATCATTTCGTGTCCAAGTCCAATCACCGACTGGTGATACTGATGGTTGAGTAAAATCAAGAATGTCGAGAATGGTAGATGATATGTCGTGTATGGTTGAGACTCCTACAAGAACGCGGATCAGATCTTGCTTTATGAACATTTTTTTTTGCGTCCACGAGACTACGCAGATAAGGTACCTTCAACGTCAAGAACATGAGGTGCCGTCCAACATAACGATACTGTCACTCGAACAGGGAATGGGATGAAACGAAATGATAGTGCTACTTCTCGTTCCCTTGTATCAAATTCTGTGAGAAACAATCCGCTCTCCAACATCTTGTTGAGCTCACCAATGAAAAGCACATGGTAAACTACTAATCCCATATCGTTGAGTCATACCATCATTTGATCCCAGAATGCTCGACACGTGTACCATCACTAGCAAATTGAAAAATATTAAGCTCAAAAGACCTGCAAAAGCAAAAGAAACTTCGATCAAACGCCTTCATACCACTCCAACAACCACTAAGATCCAATGGCTCTTTACTCTTGCATCGAACTGCGACATGAATGTATGCAGAATTCGGATCTGTAGATCGTCGTGTCGTCAAAACAGGTGCAGGGGTGATATTTGCCTCCAGCTTGATTCGGGGATGAAAATTGAGCGATTCGAGGATTTGCACTGCCGGTCCAATCGTCGTGATGGCTTCATTGAGAGTCTGTTTGTGAGAGAAGGTAAAAAAATCTCGGAGACGGAGGAGTGGGATGACAGGACGATCTTCTGAAAAACCTTGTTCTGAGCGTCCAAAGTGGCTTGTAATTCAGTAAGACTTGCAAGTTCAGCGAGTGAGTCCTGGCAACGTAGAGGGAAAAAGTAGGGGGAAATGAGTTTCTGTTTCTCAGTACAGTCCACCTTAAAGTCAACGTCGCTCTTGACCACCTTGATATCCCGACGTAAGGCTACTCCAGTCCCACGCTGACCAGATGCCCTGTCACTACAGAACAAACTTCATCAGAACGCAGGCAGAAGAGACATGATTTATACCAACGATCGACGAGCTTACACAGCTACAGGAACTCGGAATACATGTATTGGACCTTCTTGAGAAACCAGGCAAACAGGAAACACTCCATCCTTGACTTGGCCTGATCGTTGAACCAAGATCTGGTCTCGAGATACTGCGAAGTACTTGGGAATCAATAAAGTAGGCCATTCTGTGCGTTCAAGAATCGTGTGAGTTTGGGGGGACCAGAAAACTGTGCAATTAGTAGCGGTTCACCTCCTTTGTCATTTCGATACAAGTCTACTCTTGCGAATCGTCCGTCTTCAATAATCAGCAACAGTGTGTTCTAGAGCATATGCTAGACGTCAGATCTACTTATATCTTGAACGGCCAAAAAGGTATGTACGACTAAACTCAGGCAACAAGGTAATACCTGAAACATATCCACACCCAGCACTGGCTGAGGAATATGAAACTCCTTGACATCCAACGAGGGAGCATCCTTGTCTTGTTTAGATGTTAACAGAACGATGGTTCCCTTCCTCCTGAATATGGGAGCGCAAGGGTCAGTGTTGCTGACGCAAAAAAAGATTTCTTCTAATGATTAATGCTGTACCCTATGACAACAAGTGTATTCGCTATCTGCTCCTGTCCACGATATAATCTTGCAAGTAGAGGATCACATAGCAGTCCAATGAAAACCACTGGCTCCTGTTGTTTAAAGAGGCGATGTAAGTTTCGATTCAGACAAAGTCAAACCACAATGCTAGATCCAAACACATTTACATGAATAGCATAGATGATTTGTGTCTCCTGACAGTCTGGCGATATAAAACCGATACTGCCTTCTTTGGTTCCAGATGCGAGAAGCTGAGAATCTCTCCTATCACAAATAAAAACGAAATTCATTAGCGTGATCACGAAAAAGATCAAAAATAACGGACTCACACAACGGGGTCTTTAACAAAAGCAGCATACAATTGAGGTATAATCTGTAAATCGTCTCCAACATCAACACCATGTCGAAAAGGCCGAAGAAATAATGAACACGATGGAGATTGTCCATTATGTCCCCAAGAACTTGTTTCCTGAAGTCGTAAACCACGAGCATCCTCCTTCAAGTCTGATATGGCAATACGGTGTGGTGTGAATGTGAATAGCTTGGTATTAGGAAATGAAGCCCACATGTGCATGTAGAATACGCCATCCTAAATCACATTTAATATAATATTTTAATTGATATCCCAGTGTTTTAAACAAAAACCACGAGGCTTTCGATCTTACTAGCTTTTCAATGAGGTGATCTTTTTCTTGTACATACGAGACAGCTACACTGTCCTTGGCAGCTTTACGCAATTTCGTATGACCCGTGAGAGGGACCTTCCATATACACGACTGTGCATCCAATGCAAGGAGAAACACTGTGGTACGCCTTCCCAAACTGATGTGTTTGATGTCGTGTGGAAATCGCCATATTTCCTATAAGAAGGAGCAAAAGTTAGAAGAGAGATCCCTTGTATATCGTACTATTTTTATGAAATAGATTGCATTCTAGCTCTATATTTTACCTTCAATACGCCATCACGAAAAACGTGAACGAGGTTTGGACGAACTCTGATTACAATCGAATTGGTGGTTGATTCCAAGGCTTGCAATGAATTCTCATGCAAACAAAAGCCAAGCTGAGCGCCGGCAGCCATGCATAAGATTTGAAATTTATGATGTATTTACAATTTTGTGGAATGGGTTTTTTAAATTTAGTGCATTTTACGAACTTATATGATCAGTGTGGCAGAATTGATACTCATTTGCCACCTAACATTCAAGAAGCGTGTAGTACTGCCTTCGGTACTACTATTCATTTGTCGTGGTTGATTGTAAGGCCTCAAAAACCACCTCACCTTCCACCTATTCAGCTCCTCTGAGGCTTCACCAACCAGAGCTTCAAGTGAACTCAATATCACTTTACAATCATCCGTTTCCCATCCTTCATCATGGAATTCAACCCCTTCATCACGAAGGGCATCAATATGCGCCAGGATCTGATCTAGCCTGTGACCAAACCCAGACAAGTCTCTATCACTGTCTCCATAGCATTCCTTCAGTTCCTCGAATACTTCGATAGCATCTAGTCGTACTCTAGCCTCATACTCGTGTAGCAGCATCTCCTGTATCTTCCAATGTTGAGTTCGTAGAGCTGGTCGAGTTTCATGTGGAGAGTCACCACGACGAGAATTGTTTGATGGACTAGATGGAGCATTACTACTATTTGATGATGCGGTTGACGGGGTTGGGGTGGTTGAAGGTGATCGATTATACAGTGCTACCCCGTGATCCATACCTACACTACTAGTTGCAGCCAAAAAGTCATTACATATCTGCTCAATACTATCTAATTCTACAGGTTTGAGATGTTGGGTTTGACATTCCGATTCATGTTCGTGAGCGTGAATATTGACACGTTTTATTTGAGCTAATTCGTCAGCAGTCCATGGGGCCCCTTCATTCCTAGCAATAGCTTGTAGTTCGTGATTATTCCTCGCTGATTTTGGATGGGGTTGGGAATGTTTACACGTCTTTGATGTGTGAGAGGATGTTAGCGTGACATGATTTACGGTTTTTAGAAGGTGCATCAGTCCAGATCCTAAAGCCGTACACTATAGGAACTGACAAGTATAGTACGCTCTTGCCAACTTTTGTATCAGTTGATGGATTGCAAACTCGTTCCTACTGGCTCCGTCACCAAAAAACATCAGAATGGTGACCATGTCAAACCATGACGAAAACGGTTAAATTTTTGTCGCTAGTGAGAGGCCCATTTTGAATAGCAAGGTATTTCCGGCTTGCCTCCATACACGTCGAGACGCGTTGAAGTCTCGAAAATTAATTATTTCTACTTTTTCTACATCTATTCGTCAAAAACCAAAAACCACATTTTACTACATTCAAGCGGCGATCGCTAGTATGATGACGACGTCCCCGCCTAACTTCGGAGCTCTTTGGACTGGTGACGCCCCTCTGAAGATGAAAAGACCTGCAACTTCTGAACCAAAAGCAGAAAGACCAAAAAAGAAGATCAGATCAGAGCCTCCAGCCCCAGAACCTGAAGTTAAAGTAGCTCCTGTAATTGTCGCGCAAGTCAAGAGGCCTGTCACTTTAAAGGACAAACTCAAACAGGTACACCCTTCGTGTTTGTGCAGGTACATCATGTTTTTTTTTGCCCTTGTTTGATCATTTCCCCCCCCCCCCCCCTTGATCTTTATAGGCTCTGGATAAGTCAAAGAGTCGGGCTGTAGCTGCTTCAAAAGTGTCAAACCCTTATTCATCGTCTAAAGCTTCCCAAGTCAACAAGAAGGGAGGAGTCAACACGACTGCAAAACACCCAAAACTACAACCGCAACCAACAACCTCAACACAAACACGGCCAACACCAGCTGCTCCTTCGAATAAGCATGCCAAAAAGTTGGCTGGTGCCGAGTTTCGTTGGATTAACGAGCAATTGTATACCACAACAAGTTATGATGCTGTTGATCTCTTCAAAACCCAACCAAACATGTTTGATGTGGTATGTTCCTTGTAATTTCCGTTTCAAGTTACCTTTCAGAGCTAACTGTACCATCCTTCGCTAGTATCATCAAGGATTTAGATCTCAAGTCACAACGTGGCCACTGAATCCAATCAATGTGATTATAGCATCATGCTCTAAACTACCCAAAACTACCATAATTGCTGATCTAGGCTGTGGAGATGCTCAACTAGCACAAGATCTAAGTCACGATTACAAAGTACATTCATTTGACTTGGTTTCGAAAAACAAGCATGTTGTAGCATGTGATATTGCTCATGTGCCATTGAAGGATGGCTCAGTGGATGTTGTGGTTATATGTTTGGCTCTAATGGGAACGAATTGGGCTGATTTTGTTAAGGAGGCTGTACGAATTCTTCGGAAAGGGTAAGTCTGGTTAATGAACAGCACAAAAAAGCTCCACTCACGAAAAATAATCAAACGCTTACTCCATTTGCTAGTGGGATGCTCAAGATAGCAGAGGTAACATCGAGATTTGTCAATGTGGATGACTTTGTAGAGTATTTGACTGCATCATTGGGGTTGAAGTTGAAATCTCAGGTATGCTGGATAATTAGCCTCTTTTCTCACCAGACCCATAACTCTAAACTTAACGGTGTTCTAGGACGTGTCGAATCCCATGTTTATACTGTTTGACTTTGTGAAAAAGACTGAAGCTAGTGCAGAAGTTGAGGACAAAAGCTCGCTTCTGAAGCCATGTGTATATAAAAGGCGCTGAACGCTTGCAATAGATCTGATGCAGTAAAAACCGTAAAACCAGGTAGAAAGACACGTCATGACGCGTTTAAATTCTGTTCAGACTTTTGATATTGCTCGAATCTGTGCTATTTAAAGCGTACATTGCTCGTTCGACTTCGTGTGTGGGCTTTGGGCGATGATGGCAGGCGGTGACAGTGAGGAAGGACCTCCGGATTCTTCCAATAAGCCTGTAAATAATCCGTATTTGGCTCATTTTAACGTCAATCAACAACACTCAAGACCTCACAAAAGGCTTGGAAACCGTTTTGTATCAACACGGCAACAACAGGCACCAGCTGCACCTGTGAGGAGCACTATTATAAATACACCGCATATAGATACTCCTACTCCTATTATCACGCCGCCAGTTAATACAGAAACACCAGCATCAGCACCAACATCAACGCAGCACCAACTTCCACAACACGCATACGGAAACTACTCCAACTATTACTCTACCCGTCGTAATCCAATCGCACGACTAGATCCCCGTCTAGCACTTCTAAATCCATCATGGTTTGAAGGCAAACGAGTACTAGATATTGGATGTAACTCTGGCGACATAACGATCTCCATTGCAGTCTTGTTTGGCCCTTCCCATATCGAAGGTGTAGATGTGGATTTATCTTTAATAGCTAAAGCACAGACGGCATTACGATGGAGGGCGTCAGTCGTGAAGGCAGATAAAAGTAAAAAGAAGAGGAAACGGGTTGCTGTATGTAATAATACGCTGGATTTAGATTATTATCCGATATCTGCTCCTGCTATGCTTGGAATGATGCCCGTAGATACCGAATATACGCCACAAAGTAAACTAGATGCGAATCCAGAAGCAGAAGAAGTGACTGGTGCTGAAACGTCCAGTCTCTTTCCAGAAAACATACATTTCCGAGCCTCAGACTGGCTAAACGAACTACCAGCCCCCTTAGAATCAAGCCATGACTGTATACTAGCTCTCTCAGTAACCAAATGGATTCATTTGCATCACGGTGATGATGGCTTACTTGCCTTCTTCGAACGTGTACATAAGACCCTAAAGACTGGCGGACGATTCATACTTGAACCACAGCCATTCGATACATATAATCAGCGACTCATGGCGCAACATATGAAGGATCACTATAATAGTATTAAAATCAAACCAGATGACTTTGAGAAAGTCCTGGTACGAGATATTGGATTTACGAGATGTGATGCCTTGGGGGCTGGTATGAATGACAGCAAGCAGTTTCGAAGACCTGTATATGCTCTTGTGAAGTAATGTAAAGTAGTTGTCGATACACAGAATTGAATCGCCCAATTCGTTGCCTTCCCACTTGTTCTTTTTTCGCCTGGAGCTTTGTACAAACTTGGGTTTTCGACATCAGATATTTATTTATACTCCATTACACTGGTTACTTAGTTTGACACGGAGCACCACACAGGTCTTCTAAAAGTGTCGAGTCCAGTTCCCACCAGTGACATCAACTACAAGTTTCTCATCTCTATGTAGTTTCCTGCTAGCTTCAGCTGCCACTGCTAGTATCTGCTCTCCAACGGGTGCTGCTGACGTGCGAGTGGAATCCACGCTGATTCTTTTGGGTGTATCTTGTGATTTTATAGGATCAAATGAGTTCTCTCTCATGTAGAGCCGTGTAGCCCTCAACGATAAACTGTATTGAGCTTGAGCGTCCTTTGTAGCAAGATCCTTTCCACCCTGTGTTTGAAAGTATTCGCCTGTTATAGGATTGTAGTCCACGCTAAAAAAAGATCGCGTTACAGACATACATTTCTGCTGCATTTTTGAATTTCCTCGTCTTGTGCGAACAAGATATTCGAATGCCCTACCTGTTTCGACCCATCGATGTCTTTTCTTGTCGGTACCCCACTCTGTCCGATTTACGAGCAAACTCCTGGCCCATTCTTGACCATCGGTCAGTCTCAATTTGTTGAAGCTGAGACCTTTTGAAAACATGAATCAATAAGAGTCACTGACTAGTCGAGAACTCTTCAAAACAAAACAGCGACTTTTCGACAAAGCTTACCTCTTGTGCTCCACACGTCTATCACGTTGTTCTCGTTCCTGTTCTCGTTGCTGCTTTTCGAGCAGTGATACGTCTGATTTTCGAGCAAACTTTTGCGTTTCTACATGCGAGATTTGTTAGCCCATACGGCGAGAGACTCCAACCAATGCGAACTGCAGGCAGGTAAATACCATCAGAAAATCCTAAATGACTGCCTCCAAATGAGAATAGCTCATTAGACCTATTCCTAAGATTCCCATTCAATCTCGGTATTGTTTTTGCGGACCCAAGCTCGACGGTTCGTTTATTGGGAGGTAGAGGAGGAGGACCAAACATGATTCCCGTATGATCCAATGATATTAAAAATTTTTGATAGAGAGTGGTTCCAAGAACTATTGGTGACAAAGTTGATCGATTTTCAAAGTCTCCGCAAATTCAATCCACTGGATGACCCTGGAGTTAAAAGAAGAGATACAATGTTCCATGTGTATCAGACAATACAATCTTGAGATGAGAGTAATGAATTTCGTGTATCGTTCGGTTTTCAAAATGACGTTTTTCCTGATTTTACATTTGCGCTTTTTTCTGAGGTGACAAGGTGAATGTTTAGTAAGAGACTTAGGATTATAAGGAGGTCATACCATATTCTGCACACAAGTATGGGCGTACGTGTTGAACAAGTAAGGCCCTTTCATACATGGTTGTCTTGTTTGTCTGGAAGCTCACAAGTTTTGCAAAGTTGGCAATACCAGTACCGTCTGGCATTACATTACGCGCCAAGGCTTGGGGGGTACCGCCAGTAGACAACGATGATGCTTGCCGAAGAGCCATCATCGCTAGTCATGGTTGGGTGAGTGTGGTTTTACGTTGATCATTACATCAGATTATTGATCAAATAACCAAACACGATATAATAGCTGGATAACGCTGGATCGTATGATCTCATCGCCCCAATGCTTGCCGAAAAGGCAGGAGCGTACATTGTTTGTCTGGATCTAGCTGGTCATGGACTTTCTGATCATCGCCAACCTCATCTTGAATACTTGCTCTGGGATTATGTAGATGATATGCTTGGAGTCGTCGATTACTTTGGTACGAGGTGCCAAAACGTCTTTTCGTTAGCTGCTGCTAATCGTTGATCTTTCCCGATACTGACAGGCTGGCCAAAGGCAAACATCCTTGGACACAGCATGGGCGGCCACATATCCTTAATATTCGCGGGCACATTCCCAGACAGAGTATCCAAACTCTGCGTCATCGAATCATTCGGCCCGTCGTTCAAATTCCAGGACGACCCCAAGGAACTACGAGACCACATATTGAAACGCAGAGCTCTGGATTCTGGACGTGGTAAACCAATCTATGAGTCTATAGAGAAGGCATGCCTAGCTAGAACGAAAGGGTTGACAAAAGTCTCAATGGATGCGGCTCGTCTCTTGACTGAAAGAGGACTGACGAGAGTAGTTGAAGGCAATCAGGATGTAGGGATACCAGGGCGAGGATTAATATCTGAAGAAGGAGATGATGAGATTGAAACTAATGGTGGTGCTTCCGTAGACGCATCAGGCGTTACGTCAGTGAAATATACATGGTACGACATAGTCCTTTTTTTTCAAACTGGTGATTTACCTAAAAAAAATTCATCTCGAAACATAGGTCTACCGACAAACGTCTGACTTTACGTCCCTTCTTACGATGGGCAGATAATGCAGTGGAAAACTTCTTAAGGGCAATCACTGCTCCAACTCAATTGATATTTGGCCTACAAACCGCTATTTGGAATCTAGATGATGATTTCTGTAAAACGAGATTTACTTGGTTTGGGAATCTGAGAAAGGATTTGTTGCCTGGTACACATCACTTGCATCTAGAAGCTGAGACTGCTGAAGCTGTTGGTGATTCGATTCTGGAGTTTTTGGAATTGGGAGATGATGCTAATCGGCCTTTAAAGAAGGCCAAGGGGGAAGAAAACTGAAACCACCATAGTAGTATTTCGCATGGAAAATAGACCTACATTCATCCACAATGACAACTTGTTCATTTTAATGTCCCTGCTCATGTATTTCACGATTATGAGAGCTATATCAGATAATTATTGTACCAAACAATTCTAATGACCCAGTTTTATGAATAGAGAAGGTCAACACAATAGTTCTTGTGAGTTATCAAACTCTTCATCAGCGTCAAGCCACAGGTCATCGTCTGAAGAGACATCACCCGCCGCTGGCTGTTTGCTGATCGTAAAAGCTTCCTTGGTGAGCAAGGGGCCAGCGAAATCCAGAAGAGTGACTTGAGACCTTCTATCCTTGGTCGTAACAACAACAATATGTTCAAATTGAGCTTGAATTGTGACGATAGGTCCACCATTCAATTTCACGGAGTGACTTGGAACTACTGTCGTTGCGTTCGACAACGTGTTTAAAGACCAGACTAAAAAGCAGAAACTCATGAGATTGGATTCTCGAGGCAAGTACGGTTAATTACAGCTTTACTTCTCAACACTTCGTCATAACCACCACTGACCAGCCATGAACCTACAGTGGATATTGTTTTTATCCACTGTTGATGACCTTGGAAGGTTCGCAAGCAGTCCGTCGAGTTGATGTCCCACTCTAATTAAAATATCGTCAAAACCGACTGGGTTTTCACCAGATCGCGATTTCACAGTACCTCTAATAGTCGAGTCCATGGATCCAGACAGTACAGATGTGGATGATGAGAGGGCTAGACTTGTAATGGCGTCGGAATGACCCCTACACTGTCGAATGCACGTTCCTGACGAGATTTTCCAAATCTAAAAGAGCATGAATTAATCCAGATACTATAACCTAATGAGTTCATTCGTACTTTGACGATTCCACTAGTTCCTCCAGTACACACGAGCCCAGAAGCTAATGAAGTTATAGAATATAGGTCTTCATCGGCAAAAGGCATGCTTTTCACTAATTCCAACGCATAAGCTTCTTGCATGGAGTCATCATTTTTAGGATTTTGAAATTTCATATTATAAGACCATCGAAACCTCCTAAATCTACGACGTTTCGCTGGCACTTGTTCCGAGTTCGATGGCGATCCTGACAATGGCGATACAGGAGAGACTTGTGATGATGATGGGTTTCCTAGTCTTTCAATGACGTGTTTCAGCCATTTTTTGCGTCCACTTATTGGTTGCTTCTCGATATCTTGTCTGCTGGATTCAACACTTCGTTTGTGAGCGAGTTTCCAGACGTGAATCATACCATCAAACCCGCAACTCAATATCATTTTAGCGTTCACGGTTAAGGATGATATGCCACTTTTATGAGCTTGTGGATATTGGCAGAGGATTTGTCCGTTGAATAGATTGTGGAGGTAAAGGGTTCCAGGATGTGTACCAACGACGAGTCTAGTTCCGAGCATTGCCATTGATAGCACGACACCATCATTCTCAGCAAATTGTATAAGATCTTGTGTAGGTGGCAGTTGTAATAGAGACAATTGCTTGGCGTTGTGCGAGTTTACGACAGCAAAGTCACTGCCAGCCATCATCCTTTTTGAAAGTTCGAGATCAGTGACGATAGACGTGAAATGGTGTAAAATCAATTAGTTTGACTGGGTACCTTGTAATGAAATCATCGCCATTCAAGCACTCAACCCTTTCGAATTCTCCACGCTTCCACACTTGATCTAGTTGAATCACGACTCTCCAAACGTCCATCCATGATCTTCCATCTTGCAGCATACGTTCAACCAATTCTGGACTCTTGTTCAAAGTGCCGTGAACGACATTAAAGTACTTCCACAACGTACTTGATGTACATTCACGATTGAAGGCGGGCGATACACTCCTTAGCCTCAAGACCTCGTTTGGCTGTAGAAATGATAATATACGACTGGCAAAGAGGTCTAGTGGAGGTAAGAATGGCCCATCGTCATGAAGAATGGATTCGCTACTGTCTTGAGTGGTTAAACTACACATGATAAAGCTAGATCTGACAGTGGATTCAGTTATCGTATACGTGATGTGCTTGTGGCTGCTTTTACGTGCTTGATCCTTGCTTATTGCCTGTTAGAATGTCGAAATTAATGTTTTGCGTGATTGGAACGCGAAATGTGAATAAGCGTGAACCGTATTTGAACAGAACACCGCGTCGACGCGTAGGTTAGCAGCTTGACCTGTACGTCAGATTTTCAATTTCTGCTACTCTGCTACTTCCGGCAGTTATTGCCCAGGATCTTTGGGTGCGCAGATACAATGAATATGAAAAGTACACAATAATGATCAATTCGTGAATTTCAGCTAATAAAGTCCAATTCGCATTAGAAAAACATGGGTGTAAAAGTTAATACCCCGAAAGTGAATGGATTTGGTGTTTTTCCTTTCTCTATCTTTGAGGCATCCCGTTTGATCTGGAGCGGGATACATTGAGCTGCTTCAGAAGTTATGTATCACCACTCAAATATATCAGGCATTCAGAGGATCCTCTCCTGGTGACGGTTGTAATTTTCGTGCTCAGGTCCTATCTGCGTCCTAACTGAACGGTTTGAAAATTGTGAAAACACAAAACACTAGGTGATAGTAAAGCAGCCGATCTGCATCATTTTGTATCAAGGTCACTATCGTTGTGTGTAAAACCTTTTTTGGCTCATGAACCACATCTTGGTTTCATTTCTCGTTGATTAACAGTTTCAAAAGTGAAGACATGTGAGAAACTTTCTACGATGAAATTCTTTACAAATCTCCATAAAGTTCCATAGACAGCCCAGAACATGTGGTCCATTATGGCACTTGACAAGTTTTCGTTCCTCTCAGAAACCAAGTCACCATCTCCTGTACTCACATCGAAAAAATCATAACACCGTGTCAAATAACGTTCTTCGTCTCGTGTCGTGTATATCAACAACCAAAATCAGCTTTTGCTTCTGACAGGTTGAGTCACACACCCTCCTTCACGAAAAGCCTTCAAACTTCCTTCACATACAAAAATTCAACACAACTCTTCCAACTTGCGAAATAACAAGTGACAACTTTGACAAAGATAACAAAGCACTTCCAACGACAACAAATCACATCCAAATGGTAAGTATGCTAGAGCGTACGATGTTGTATACCACTGACAGCCATAACCAACATTACGACATCTTGTTAGGCATTCTTCATGAGAGACATGTTTGAAGACCCATTCTTCTCCAGGTATGACCACATCAACACATTGCAAGTGCTCCGCACCTCCATCTTCTGCTACATGCTTCAAAACTGAACAAGCACTCACTTCAACATGCACTCTCACTTGACATCCTGCATCCTTCATAAACTAGGACCCCAATTGACTACTGGTTTGGATACCCAGCTGATGTCCAAACACGTCCACGCATTGAAGGAGCTCGTGAAGGAGAAGGTGCTACTGGTGAAGGAGCCTTGACTCAACAACAATCAGGCTGGATGACTCCCATGCGAGGATTCCGAGCTCCAAGGATTGATGTCGAAGAAACTGACAAAGTATGAAAATATTGAAGATGTCTCGTATGTTGACGCAATATTCAAGTGACAACGTTCTATGAGTGCACGATCAAACGTCTGACTCATGACACAAATTCATCTGACAAATCACATCCATTCATCTGATAGAACTGGATTCTCCGAGCCGATGTCCCAGGAATCAAGAAGGAGGAAATCAAAGTCAGCATGAAAGGCGATGTCTTGACTATCGAAGGGGAAAGGTGAATACCTTTTTGCTGCCCCGTAGTGGACGTCAACTTTCAGTTCATTTACTAACATTGTGATTGCTCCAAATAGGCACGATGACCGTGAAGAAAAATCAAGCACTCGTCATGTCGTCGAACGCTCATTTGGCAAATTCCGTCGATGTAAGTTTAAGTTGACGTCAATATGTTTGAGATTGCTTCTCACATAATCATTTGTAGGCATCTCTCTCCCATCTGACGTCAACACTGACTCTGTCAAGGCTGACGTTCAAAATGGCAAGTTGCAATGACCAACTTGTGCACCAACACCGCCAAGGAAAGCTAACTTGGACTCATTGGCATAACAGGTGTCCTCAAGATTGAGTTTGGCAAGAAGCCAAAGGCTCAACCAAAGACAATCACTCTCGCTTAGGTATTCTGCCTTCAGGTCCACTCTCCCTGGTATACTTCTTGTGCTCATTGATACTTTTGGTATTCCTTCAATAAAAGCTTGAGCTAGTAAAGCAGATATGACTGTTTTGAGCGTTTTATCACGGGCTCTTTGTTTAAAATTCACATATCGTTCGAATGTGTTCGATTTTGGCTGAAACAGCCAAAGCTCCAGCAGTGGGTCCATAGTGCAGAGATGAAACGATTCCGAAATTTCAAAATCATTGAGTCTCACGGGCAACAGCCCATAGGAATACGTGCCTTTACCGTGTTTTTCAGCATCTGAGCTTCCTACAATTCCAAAAACAAAAAACCATATCACATCAACCCTCGGATAGAAGGATGCCACGAAGCAGGTCACCCAGTAGTCGATCCAGGTCATATAGCCGTAGCACGCGCTCCTCATATTCATCACGCTCTCGGTCTTCTTCGTATGATTCTCGAAGATCCTACTCTTCAAGGTCATCACGAAGTCGAAGCCGCACTCCAGACTCTCGTAGATCTCGCTCACGTTCTCCAGCCCGCTACAGAGGCCGTCGCTCTCCTCCTCCTGCTCGTAGCAACAACGCCAGACGCTCTCCACCACCTCCATCAACTACCAAACTCCACATTCAAGGACTAAACCAAAATATAAACAAGGACCATCTAAAGGAGATATTCGCTGGATATGGAGAAGTCAAGGTTGTAGATATACCACTCAGCACCTTTGTAAAGCAAATGGGAAGCATGCATCGAGGATACGGAGTCGTGGAATACACGGAACGAGCATTCGCTGAAAAGGCTATTGAATACATGAATGAGGGAATGATTGATGGAAATCAGATACGGGTAACTTACTATAGAGAAGGATTGGAATCACGTCGCAACAATAATTATAATGGTGGCTATCGTGGTGGTGGTGGAAGATATGACAACAACAATAGAGACTCATGGGGAAAAGGACGTCCTTCTGATCGACCCAGTTATGGTGGTGGCCCATCACGATTTGGAGATCGACGAGACAATGATCGACGAGATAATGATCGACGAGACAATGATCGACGAGACAACGATAGAGGTCCGAGGGTTGGTAACAGAAGGTCTCGAAGTCCACCACCCCGACGAAACTCGCCACCACCATATCGAGGTCGTAAATAGAAAATAGGGAATTCGCCTCTAGATAATGTTGAAATATGACCCGCTCTAGGATATAGGAAGAAACTCAAACTTTGTTCATAGAAAAAAAAGGAAAGCTGTCTGAAAGGAAATAAAGCTCAAGCTCACATTTCTCAAAATTACTACTGTATTTGCGAAAAGCGTTTTTACATTGACATAAACTACATTCTAGCGAGGTCTTTATCACTTATTTACGAGAGGGTTTGTCATCACCCTTCTTTTCTTTTGAGGAAGATGGCCGCGATGCCTGAATCTTCTCTCTCAATCTCTTTGCTGCGTCGTCCCGATCCTTGGCAACAGCAGCTTTTGATGTACTTCCGATGGTTGCATCAGGTCTCTTGGCCATATTTATCATTCTATTCGTCTCTGCTCGATATGAAGTCTTTTCTTTTTCACGTTTATGTTCTGCACATTTCGGAGAATGAGATTCTGGCATTCTAACGATGGAATGCCAGAATTATTAGAGCTATGAACAAAAGAGCAAAAAATACATATGGTCCGTCAACATACCGATGAGCAGCACAATATTTCCTCGTACAAAATTCACAAGCCGGAAAGACGATAGACACCTTCTCTCTACAGTTTGCCATGCTACATTGATTCGATGGAGCTGGTGCAACAGCAGGACTATGAATTCAAAGCACCTGGTTAGCTCTCTGACACCAACGTGATGACAAACTCTACACGCACCTCTCGATCTTTTCGACTTGTTTTTCAACTTGAGCCTCTTCATCATCTTGATCCGCACCATCTTTCTTCTTTTTCTTTTTCTTGTTCTTCTTTTTCAATACTTCGCTAGGATCTGTCAACGTACTAACTGAAGTCTCGACGTCCTCGACTGGGTCATCCTCGATACCATCTAACAGCACGGTATCTTCCAAAACATCTAATACTTCATACACGTTTGCTGGTGGAAGAGGTGCCTGTACAGGCTCGACTGTGTCGGTTTCTACTTCAGCTTTTCTTATTGAGACTGGTTGCTCTATACGTTCAAGCTCGGTAGAAAAGACAATGTCTTCTCGGCCTTGCACAATAGCATCTACTATTTGCTTGTTCAAATAATAATCTTCACATCCTACTATCTCAATATCGAAAAACTTGTTTTTATGACGGTTTACGATTTTCATCTCGAATTTGAAGCCTCTTCCAACATGAGCCCCTACTAATGCTCCTATTTCACGACGTGTCATGGTGGGTGGTATGGAATAAAAGGTGAGAGAGTATCGGGATGGTGACGGTCTATGTTTGTCCTTTTCGATTGGCTTTAGTTTGGGTTTGGCCAATAGAGTAGCGACATAAGATGCTCGAAGTGCAGTTACACAAGGCGCGTACGCAGCAGCTTTACAATCGAATTTGATGATGGGTTCTCCAAAAGGTGATTTGCCTGTCACGACACCATGTTCAGCACTTATCTGATTACACGACATTACGGCTTCCTTCAAATTCCCACAAACACAAGAGACTTTGATGCGACTTTTACATTCTTGACCTGGATGACACGCTCCTTCATGTCCACACGGAAGCAAACAAGTGCACCCACGACTACAAGTACTCAAAATTCGACCACATTTCGAGCGACAAGTGTTTGGACAATCACCAGCATGGCATTTTTCTATACATGGATGGCCACATCCTATACGTATCTGTCCACAAGACCTGGCACATGAATATGATTCGGTTGATACATAGCATGGGACATCTTTGATTATGTGAGATTTGAAGCAGGGTACGGGTATCATGGTTTTACATGGTGGACAAGGTCCACGATGACATGTATGGTCGTTCGATGGATGGCCACATGGTCGTGGTGGTAACGAGCACGGAAGAGAGCACGGAACATCTAGATTTGTTCCACATGGTATTGGTGGGAATAATACGGACGTACCGCACTGACATGTCACTTCATCGAACGTAGCGATGAGACATGGAGCACATCGCCCTCTATGGCAAAGATTCTGAAAGTTGAGTAACCAAACAAAAATCAGAGCTCGTATCTTAAATAGGCATTCGCCGAAAAGGCACCAGATCCATACCATGCAGAGATGATTCCCGCACGGGAGTGGTTTGTTGCAGATAAAAGGACAAGCATGCTCTCCTTCCGTAGGCTTGAATGGACAACATCTAACACTGCATTGATGCCTTCCACAACTGAATATTCTTCCACATGGAGAATTACAAGTTGGAGTGAATGACGTGACTACATTGAAGAAGATGTATGATCATTGAGTTGGAGTAAGATTGCTTTTCTGATTTTATTTGGAATACCTGGTATTCCGACTTTCCCCACTGCAGCTAACAACGAGAGAATCTCTGCACAAGGATAATCGTTTACATTTGACTTGCATCCACATGTAAGAGATACCTACCTCATCTAGAGGTTAGCACAGACTCGAAAAAGGAGAAGCCTTAGTGGCCACTTGCCTTTTGATCACAGGGCGAGCAAGGGCCACTGTGACACCTGCTAGCACAAGTATGCACTCCGCACTCCAGCTTCTTTCCACAATTTTTACTGCAACAGGGTATCGGATCGGTGCATTTCTTCCTAAACACACCAATCTCTCTCAACGAAGTTTTGCCACAATTGCAATAGATGACAACCGCTGGGTTGTTTTGACAAGGTGCACACGGTGGGAGATGACAAGTCTTCATACAAGTATGAACACCACAAGTCAATCGCTTCGAGCATGGCTCTTGACAATTAAACATTTCTCGGATCTGGCCATTATGTTCTACTACAGACTTTCCAGTAGCACATATCCTCAGCTCTAAATGAGCTCCACAGAAACAGCTTTGGGTTGTCTGGGCCTCACAAGGCTGACACTTGTCGGAATGGCACGTTTGTGTGCAGAGATGTTTGTTACAGTTTAAGACTTTGCCACAAGGAGTCCCACAAGATGTTCCTGCATCAAATTCACCACAACGTATACGATACGTTGTTTTTCCACAGAAACAGAAGCGAGCGTCTGAAACTCTTGGGCATTTGTCACAAGGACCTGTAATTAGAGGGAGAATACGTTACATTGGAGCAAAAGCTGGGTTCAACAGTCTCAATGCGACAGGTATAATTTCAGAGACGCTTGCAAATGGTTTACCTGGATGACATGGAGCTGAACAGGGATGTTGACATGGATTATTAGTGCTCGAAGGGCGTGCCTTTCCACATGGTTGGCCGCATGAGTGAGGTAACTGGTCTGCATCACTTGGAAGTGTTTCTGGACGTTCGACTTTGCCTATAAGTGTAATAAATGTATTCAAAATACTGCAACCAGCAATCACGAAAATCCAGCGTAACTTCCAGCATAACTTACCGCAGAAGCAATAGCTTTTCTCATAATCGTTTGAAGTCGAAGGACTTTGGCAATGAGGACATCTCATTCCTTCACCTGTACCAGCCCATTGTTGAATACATTTCAGATGAAAGATTCGGTAGCAAGTCCTAAATTTAGTTTGGAATCAAATCCGGGGCTGCAATCGAGATGTAGGAGATGGACCACCTACTCATAACCTACCTGCATGACCAAACAGATGATTTCTTTGCGATATTGGCCAAGCAAACTGAGCATTCGATCTAAATAAGAAGAAATAGGTGCGATCAGTAAAGAAACACACGGGGCTGGAAGGTCGTGAATTGCGACAACCCAACAGATTTGATGTCGCGAGAAACCAAAGTTGCTTACAGTGCAGTCGCGGAGGAGCTTCAATTTGAGCTGTGTAAGCTCATGTTTCGGGAAGGAATCCATCTAAGGATCAAACTATGGTCGATTTGGTCACTGCCCAACATAAAACCATTTAAATCTCAAGTAGTGAAGAAGCAGTGAAAGGGTAAGTCTCGGCATTGATTGCGTACATTAAGAGCCGTGAATTACGCAACCTTACCTATGGTCGAATTGGACGTTGAGCCTTCACTCAGGCACCTTTTGACCAAAAGATAACTCGACTTTCAATTTTGTGAAGTTACAGAACTATCCAAGCGGTAGTCTTGGAAAGATGCAGAGCATTTGGCACTAACATCATTCTGCTCTTAAATACTAGGCCTTACACCTTAAACAAACAACCAACAAGTTTTCAACCGCATTGAACGTTTGAATCTCAACCTCGCACAACATGCCAATTATATATGGACTAGTAGCCAGAGGGTCAGTTCTATTGGCCGAGCATTGTGCGAGCACCGGCAATTACCAGACAGTTGTGACACATATACTTGAAAAGATACCGGACGACGGCCAAAATAGCAAGATGACCTATGTCTATGATCGCTATCTGTTTCATGTAGGAAATCAGTGTCTAAATGGAGTTCAGATGCCTAACTCGTTGTTGACCTCCTTGACGTTCATAGTACATAAAGCGAGACGGTCTCGTATACATGTGCTTGGCTGACGATGTATTTGGTACGTATTAGGCGTCTTTCTGAGCCCTGAAAGCTGTATCAGACCCATTCGATAACTCAACTTTATACAAATACAGGTCGTCGAATTCCATTTGCCTTCCTGGACGACATTGCTCAAAAGTTCGAGGCAGCCTATACTCATGAACGTGCACTTTCTTCGATTGCTTATGGTCTGAACGAATTCTCAAAGGTCATTGCTCAACAAATGGTGAGCAATGTTGTCCCCATGTTTCGAACTTGGAAGCTGACTCCTTTCTTTTCATGCAGGAATACTACTCAAATCCTAGCTCAGATTCCATTCGTCACGTGCAAGGAGAAATCGAAGTCGTCAAGGATGTTATGGTGTCAAACATTGGTACGTGATCTAGCTCTCCGCATCATTCATAACCACCAATCATTCGACCTTTGAATCTCAAACCTCTGTTTTGGCTGATTAGAAAAAGTTCTTGAACGTGGAGAGCGCATCGACATACTTGTCGACAAAACAGATTCGTTGAATCATGCGTCGTTTGCCTTCAAAAAGCGTAGTACGGCCTTGCGACGTCAGATGTGAGTTAGTTGGAAAGCTGATTGGATTAGTACTTGTAGTACTACGTCTAAGATTAGAAATGCTATGGTATTGTCGTTAAATTTATCATTATTAGGTGGTGGAAAAACACTCGCATCATGGTGATTCTTGGGATAGTGCTTGTTTTTATGATCTACATGATTATTGGCATGGCTTGTGGATTACCAGCATTCTCGTCGTGCACTCATAAAGTGAGTTATCTTGATGCACAACCATCGTTACGTGATATGCACTGAGCTCTGACACAATAACTGAAAGTAGGATTAAATTTCTGAATCGTCCCCGCAAGCATTTGTAGTATAGTTAGATTTTTTATTGATTAAGAACAGAGAAATTCGAGAAATTAGCTGCCAGAAATCGCGGCGTTGGTTTTGAATGTGTTTCAGGTGGTGGTTCGGAGCAAACATATATTACACACGAGTACGAGAAGAGAAACAATGCTTACAAGGTCAGGCCGATCGCCAGACCGTCCAGCTCTTCATTTCTCATCACCCTTCCGCAGTAAGTATTCGTTCGCAGTCAACTTTCCAAACACCCAAAATAATTGTGGACGGGTTTTAACGACTTTGTCAGTAGATGGTCAGGATTATGACGATGTCGACGAATATGATGGAGAAGATGGTGACGAAACAGCCGGTAAGAGCATCTAGATCTGCTCTGGAACTACGCAGAACTAATGAAATCGGGGTTGACATTAATCACACAATTTAAACAGATGCACCTCTTCAAGTAAATACCGACGATGGTAAGAGTGGCCTCGCTTACTAGTACAAGGCTAGACAATTAAAACACCTATATCTTCATCATTCTCAAATGGGCTCCTAGCTTCAGACTATTATCCGTCTGACGCTGAAGACGAAAATCCAAACGGTCCCAAGAAACGTTTGACTCGGGGCAATCTCGATATATTCTCATCAAGAGCAGCCCCAACAGTACTAGAAATGCAAAACAGATTTGGAAATCAGGTCGCATACGCATTTGCAAACATGAGACGTTACAATACTACGGAGCGACGCTGGGTTGACAAGGGGCCAATTATTATTTTCATTATATTGGCATTTCCTGCTCGTATTACAGCCAACTATTTGTACGGCACCAAGTCTTTGGCTCTGAATTTACGAGGTGAGTGTTTTGTTTAAAGGTGTACAACTGAATTGGCACTGAACGTCTTCACTTTCACTAGTATTTCCATTCTTGGACTATATTCTACGTGTGAATAGGCTTCGCGTGTGGTTTTGTATGTGACCCTGCCCCCAAGTGTAATTCAAGTCAGCTATTGACTCTTTTTTTTCCTTCCAGCAACATTTGGGGCAAACTCGGTCAACACCGCCACTGTAGAAGAATTTCGAACAAAGGTCTCTGAATACTACAGTACAGAGGTTGGAGATAATCGACAAATCACCATCGTAAAGACAGACATTGTACCCACTCAAGAGGATAGAGGTGCTCCAGTCTGTTTCAAATTTGTGGATCGAAAATGTGAGTGTCGTTTCCTTATATGAAGTCTCTCCTCAAAATTTCGCTGATTTGCTCTTTTGGTAGCGTTGGAGTTCTTTGTCAATGCACTCATTACGGTGTGCAATATAGAACGACAGCACTTGGAGCAACAACGAGTACAATCATTCCTTGATCCACGACGTGTGATGTCTTGCCACTCGAAACAAGAATCAACGTCGCAACGGGTAGAGATGAATTGCCCGTATCGAAGTCACCCTGACTTTGTGGGGAAGGTGAGTTACCTGGCAACCTGCAATGAAATGCACAGATTGGTTTTTAATGGTCTCTTTTCATGGTAGCTGGTTAGCAACGGATGGATGTACTTTCCCGTTGAAGATGACATCCGAGGCAGTTTCTATACCAATACTGGCACAATGTGCCAATTCTGTAAGGTGTTTTGTTCTGACTGGACTGAACGAAGCGATGTTGCTCAAAAGCATAGGGAGCTGTGTCTGGCGGAGGGCAAACTGTGTCCATTTGGTGTCCCAGAGCATGACTATTGGCACAATGGTACGCCAAGTGCTATCGAACGACCTGGGAGAGCCTTCAGCTACCAGTAAAAGCACAAACATCGGGGTAATAGTAAACCAAATGATCATATTGTACGTTTAAATTAGCTTCAACATTATAAATAGGAGGGGTATCCAAAAAAGGGTTGACCAAAACACTATCGGCGTGTTGGAGCTTCGCTCTGCAGCACATTCTGCACTGTCCAGTTGTCCTCATAACGATCCACCATACGTTCTATAGCTGCAAGCGGAACACCATGTTGATTTCTGTTTGCCATCTCTTCCACGTTTCTTGTCTTCCACCATTCTGTCTGAGGCTCGAGAGACAGGACCTCATGTCCGAATTCTAGAGCATCCAAAACGTAGGGCTTCGCTTCCCATAGCTGTGTATTCGTGTTATCGATAATGATGAGAGATGGAGTCCCTGACGAGATCAGTGCTTCTCGACAACGGTTCTAATGCAATGTATAGAAAGAAGGCATGGTTAGCGTAGTAGTGAAGGTTAAGCAGACATAGTGACTGACCTGATTCCATTGATGAGCTTCTCCGAGAAGCTTTGGCCGAAAGTCATATACTCCATCTCGATCAAAAAAGTAATCGTCGGACGACAATAGCTTTGCGTATGGGTATTCTGCAGCCAGTTGATTCGCAAAATACGATTTTCCACTTCCAGGTACTCCTACAGAGTTGAAAGTTTGATTTTAGCACAGATGTCTAACATTCAGATGATCCAAGCTCTTTGATGCTCTGGCAAGACGTTCAAGCTGTAAATACCTCTCAGAACGAGCAGTAGCTTGGATGGCAATGGATTCGGAAGTCCGGCAAGTCGTAACAGCGAGGACATTCGAAGTGAAGTCGAGAATGCAAACACAAAAAAAGGCGTTCGAAGAATCACTAGGGTTAAGCTGCCCTTAGTGAACAGGCCAACCTTGTACTAGAAGTCCAAGCCCATCTACACTTACGTTGTCTTTGCAAGAGTCCCTGCGGTTGATGTTCTCTTGGGAAAGCTGGATTGTAAGGCGAGCTTGAAAAAAGTCACGAATTTGGAGGTGACGACGCTTCAAGATGTAGAGATCAAGCTGGATCTCTATGCAATTTCAATCAAAAATCGTCAAATCGCTTCAACGTGGCACTTTTAACAGTAAACGAGAATATGGCACGGCAAACATTGAATGTCCATTTATGGTTACGATCTTTGCCTAGCTTCTGGGCTCAACATTAAGAAAGAATTACCTTCTTGTGACCTGGTCAAAGGCTTATCCTTTGGATTTGTCTCTCTTTTTTGGAACGTTGAGTGCCTGAGTGCCAAGAATGGCCGTTTGTCTCTTTGGATTTTCAACCACCACAAATCACCATTGCTGCATGAAGCGTTATTAGCTGCGCGAGCTGATATTCTTGCGAAGGATCTGCTATATTCACGTAAATGTTGGGCTTAAAATACTCGATCACCACGGTTGCGGTTGCATTCCTATTGACCGTGACACTGACGTATGGACAAGACTGTCAGTTGATAATACCTCAGAATGCTTTGACTTCTGCAGGTCTTTCAACGCCGTATCAACTGAAAGGGACTAATTGTATTCAAACGGTTGCTGTTTCGGTAAGGTCACACTCGTTTCAGTCAGTTATGAAACTACCTGACTCTAAAAAAATTGCACACCACCAGTCGGCGTTCGTGGAAGCTGCTATCTATGATCCCAATAATTCCACTTATCCTATTGTGGCTTATTCGCCTCTTGTCATCACTCAAGGTAGGATTTACGATGGATTGCGTTAAGCAAGACTGATGCTAAGAAAACAATTGAAATATAGGGACTACTCCTGCCGCAGCACCTGTTCCTATTACGCTTCCTGTTGGCGCAATAGTAGCATTGTGGTTTGGATTCAACGGAGATACCCTCACGCTGGTAGATTCAAACGGTGGTGCTGATCTTTCAGCAGCAAAATGTGTTAACGGTCTTGCCGGATCCGTATTTGGACAATTCTCGGCTTGCAACGCTGAGGCATTCTTTGTGAGTTCTGAATCTTCGAGTTATGATCAGGTTTGCTAACGTTGGTATTCCAGGCTGCAACTTTAAGCAAAAACCTGGTCCCAGCCTTAGGCAATATCCAGAATGGAGCAAACGTCGGTCAGCCTTGCCCAACAACTAGAAGCTTCTTCGTAGTTGACCAAGATCAGGTAAACCTTTTTGTAGCTCACCTCTCCGCAAATGATTTTAACTTTCACCGAATAGAGCGACAATGTTATTACTTCGTATTTAAATGTTGGATCCAAATCAGCTCAAAACACTGTAATAAATCGTGCCAACCTGAATGGAGCTGCTGATGTAAGCCAGCGTCTCTCACTCTTCAGTTGAATGAATTCAACTTTCCTTACATCTACTTTTTCTCAGCCGAACGGTTCAGACAACGGGCTTTTGGTTAATTTCATGCTCCCTGCATTGGGCTGCACTCCTGCAACGGTACCTGATCTCACTGATCCTGGGTCCATGAAGGGAGCACTAGCTTTGAATGAGCTGGGAGCAAATCAATTCCAAGCTTCTCCGATAGCTCTTGTGCCATTGGGAGATCCAATGACACTAGTGGATGGACAATTGTCGCTGGCGAAGACGAACCTCTGTAAGTGACACGGATGTCGCTGGGAGAACGACTTGAATCTAACTCTCACACCTAGATCGTGTCCAAGTGGGGCAGCCACAAGCAGCTACAGCAGCAGATGCAGATACAACATCCTACTGTACAAATCTGAAGAACGTCGGAGCCAAGTTTATCATTGATAACAAGGCTATATTCCAAGGAGCGTCGCCAGACACGGCGGTCAGCACCACACTGTTTGGTATGCACTATTGTCGACCAGTAACATCTTCATGTCACTCACGGCAAGCACTTTTTAGGTTTCCTCTCAAACCGTCTAGTGGAATCATGGGCCAATCTAAACTGCCCAACATATACCGGCCTGGCTGCTCCCATATCGCTCGTCATGGATGCAAATAATTTAGTCACTGATGCGTCACTTGTGTCGGACACGAAGCTCATCGCATCACCAGTCAAGGGCTCGAGTGTATCAACCCCATCAGCACGACGAGTTGGTAGACTTAGACCTCTCGCAACCAACTCAAGAAACCCTCGCGCAAGTCCCACATGTAGTGAAGCTATTCAAATATCGAGAGTCCGGGCATCTCCGACGGCCAGGAGCTCTCATACGGAGAACGGATGGAGACCTTCTCAAACTCATAATGCTACTATACCATCGCATACGGATGTTACTGCAAAGGCCTCCCAAATTATCAATGCTATTAAACAAGCAGAGACAAATAACACTGCAAAGGCCTCTCAAATTATCAATGCTATCAAGCATGCAATCACGGATAATACTGCAAGGGCTTCACATTCTGCTGCTGTACAGAACAATGCTAACGCAGCGACACCATCAAAGGCTGTTACACACCAGTTTTGGGCCAAGTATACAGGAGCTGCTAAGAGAAATCAAAGTAGTGCTCCTTGAAGGATATCGTTGTTGTGTGAAGGTGGTTTTGGAGATTTGGATTTGACCTCAATGCATGCACTTTTGTAACATAGAAAAATTTGAAGACTTGTGTTTGACTGGTTCAAACTCTGAAAAATATATATACCGGTCATGTTCCACTATTTTTACTGGCTATGATAACCTGAGTTTCGATGTTTTGAAACAACGACAGAAACGAGCTGACGAACTTTGGACGCAGTTGAGCACACCATTCTACCATTCTCCTGAAAGAGCGATATCAACGCGCCAAAGCTCTGAACGGTCATTGGTCGATGTAAACTTCTGGTAATATTCTCGACGCCACTACTCCCTGCGCAAATAAACACTTCCCGCAGCACAAAGTACAAAATATTTTGGCGCTTCCTCAGTACTTCTCCATTCATTCGCATTAAGAACACGGGTCTCTGCTATACAGAAGAGAACGATGAGTACTCAAATATTATATTATATTGCCTTAATGGCAACTCTTGCCTTTGCTCAGGACTGCTCATTGATCGTACCCCCAAATGCTCTTACTAATTTGGCGTAAGTGGTCTATTCCGTTCAGTCGGCAGCTATATTGAGTAGAGGTTTGAATGCTAACTGTACTGTGCTTTAGGTCTGTGTATCAGTTGACTGGTCCAGGTTGCATCCAAACGGATTTCGTAAACACGGTATGTGCACGCAGAGCGTGATGACTTCCTGAATTTATGGCTGCTCGTGATATTTTATATGACAATTAAAATCCCTGATAATCGAAACGCTGATTCTCTCTGCATTGTGTTCCCTCGTCAAAATGTGGATTGCATTGCTTTTAACTACTAACACTATGTCATTTCAATCTTTTAGGGTGCTTTCGTGGAAGCGGTGATCTACGATCCCAACAATGCAGCTAGACCACTTCAAGTTTACAACCCATTGGTTATTACTCAAGGCACTACACCACTTATACCACCAGTAGCTGTTACAATCCCAGCTGGTGCTGTCGTAGGCATTTGGTTTGGATTCAATGGAAACACTTTGACGTTGACTGACACAAATAATGGCGCTGATTTGGCTGCTGCAAACTGTGTGATGGGCCTCAGCGCGGGTGACATTTTTGGGCAATTCTCTGCTTGCAACGGTGAAGCCTTCTTTGTAAGTTTGAATAACCAGTACCCTTCACTGAAATTACAGTTGTTCATGATATTGAATGATCTACGTATGCTAGGCTGCAACGTTGGGTAAAGGTTTAGCCCCACCTCTTTCCACTATTCAAGCGGGTCCTTTCGCCGGTCAGCCATGTCCCACTACACGATCATTCATGGTTGTTGATCAAGACCAATCTGACAACGTGGTCACTACCTACATTTCTGTCGGTAATCAGACGGCTCAAGACACTCCTGCAAATCGAGCTGCAACCAATGCTACCGTCGAAACAAATGCTTCAGACAATGGATTGCTGACTCGGAAGATTGATCCAGCTCTTGCTTGCTCCGCTTTCAAAGTTTATGATCTTGCAGCAAATGATGGAACGCTTCGTGGCGCTCTTGCTCTTGATGAGCTACAAGCAACGTTTCAGCCTGCTCCTATTGCGCTGATTCCATTGGGTGATCCAATGGTTCTATTCAATGGCGGACCTTCGTTAGACAAAGCCAACTTGTGTAAGCCTCATCTTTCTTTCAATGAGTTACGGACCAGTTGGGTTTTTTTTCGTACGCTTACCTTCAATCGTTTAGACCGCAAGAATGTTGGTCAACCACTTGCTGCCACAGTAGGCGACGCTGATACTACCACCTACTGTACAAACTTGAATAGTAAGTTGTTTTCTCTGAAATCATGATCAATCCAATATGAGACTGTCTGGTCTCGAAGGACCAACATCTAAGAATTCCGTTTCTAGATATTCAGCCAAACTTCCTAATGGCTTACAAAACAATCTTTTTGGGCGTCTCATCTCCTGTTGCCGCTGTTTCTCCGACTCTCTTTGGATTTGTAACAGCTCGATACGCAGCTACATGGGAAATCTTAACCGTGAGTGTCAGCAATGATTTTGATTGAGTTTGATCGTCAACTCAAACGCGTCTACGTAGTGCCAAGCTCTCACTGGAATCCCAAATCCGATAAACTTAATATTTGATGCCAACGGCCTTGTCATTGATGCTACTATCGCGGAGACAACTACTACTACAATTCCAGTCAAGATTGTCGATCCAGCAACAACTTTAGCAGTCATTATGCCAACTGTTGCCGTCATCGCATCTACTACCCCAAGTGCGATTCCGTCTGCTACGGTCATTGCATCTGTTGCACCAAGTGTAGCTCCCTCAGTTGCCATCAGTACAGCTCAAGCTAGTGCTTCTCCTTCATCTACAGCCGTGTCAAGCCCTCAAACATCCATCAAGCCAAGTCCAATCGCCTCCACCAAGACGACGAGCACAAATGCTCCGTCTCCAGTTAGAAGCACGCGCCCGCGACGAAGCCATAGACCATGGGCCTCGTCTACTCTAAAAATAAGGCCGACTCCGTCACCCTTCCACTTCCCATCAATTAATATTCCACCAATCCATTTCCCATCAATCCGGTTCCCAAGTATTCATCTGCCATTCCCTACTCATAAGCCTGAGCAAGGTGGCAAAGGTGGTTATGGCGGCGACTACCATAATGATGTTTAGAGTACAAAGTCAAGATATAGAGTATCCTCAAAGTAGAGCAAATTCAAACAGTAGTATCTATAGAGTGGTCACAGTATTTATTAAGATGCAACCATAGAAGAATTTGATAACCGTAATAACACACAATTTTTGACAATTCATGTGTGCATACAGCCGAAAGTTTATTCATCGAATCATTTTTTCCCTTTTCAGAGCCTCTTCGCGTAGTCTTGACGTTTCAACGATAAACAAACTCAGAGAAAGTTTCATCCCACAAGAATGTTTTCAAACGGGGTCTCTAACGATGTTGAAGCACATTGTAATGGAGCATACACTATAAATATTTGTAGTCATCGGCTTAGGGATCCTATTAGTTTAAGTGGTAGTTATATAATTGGAGAAGGGGTCAGCAGTGGACTAAATCTCAATACACTTCTATTCACACAGACGACATGAACTGTATGCAATTGCCGCAGTTAAGAACCTCACCTCCGTAGAACAATATCAACGCGCCAAAAGGTCTGAACGGCCAAAAATCGATCTAAACATACCGTTGTAACGGCTCTTCTTCCACATCCGTCTGCGCAAACCGCAAAACAAACACTGCCAACAGATAAAATTTGAGCGGCAGTGCCCGTTTCTTCCTCATTCCTCGCAACAAGAACAAAGATCTCTACTATACAAAAGAAAACAATGAGCACTCGAATCTTATACTTTATTGCCCTGATGGCAACCATTGCCTTTGCTCAGGACTGCTCATTGATTGTTCCTCCAAATGCTCTTACAAATTTAGCGTAAGTGGTCTATTCCGTCCAGTCGACACCTATTGTTGCCAGAGATTCTGAATACTAACTGGCGCTGCACTACAGATCTGTATATCAGCTGACTGGTCCAGGTTGCATCCAAACGGATTTCGTAAACACGGTATGTTACTGCACGCAGAGCGTGATCAGTTGCAACATTGATGATTTTCGTTAACGTCTTTAAATAATAACCTGAATGCTAACGCCATGCTGTTTCAATCTTTTAGGGTGCCTTCGTGGAAGCCGTGATATATGACCCAAACAATGCAGCTAGACCTCTTCAAGTTTACAATCCCTTGGTAGTTACCCAGGGCACCACTCCTCTGCTTCCACCTGTACCAGTCACAATCCCAGCTGGTGCCGTCGTTGGTATTTGGTTTGGATTCAATGGAAATACCTTGACACTGATCGACGCAAACAGTGGTGCAGATTTGGCTGCAGCAAACTGTGTGATGGGTCTCAGCACTGGTGATATTTTCGGACAATTTTCTGCTTGCAATGGTGCAGCGTTCTTTGTAAGTTGAATACCCGCACAATCGCTGCGAATACGAATACCACAATAGTGATTTCTTCTTAACAACCCTTTTTTTGTTTAGGCTGCAACTCTAGGCAAAGGTTTAGCTCCACCTCTTTCAACCATCCAAGCTGGTCCTTTCGCCGGCCAACCATGTCCCACAACACGCTCTTTCATGGTCGTCGATCAAGATCAGTCAGACAATGTCGTCACCACCTACATCTCCGTTGGTAATCAGACTGCTCAAGACACCCCTGCAAATCGAGCTTCAACAAATGCTACCGTTGAAACAAACGCCAGTGATAATGGATTGTTGACTCGAAAGATCGATCCCGCACTTGGTTGTTCGGCATTCAAGGTGTATGATTTGGCAGCTAATGATGGAAGTCTTCGTGGTGCACTTGCCCTTGACGAGCTGCAAGCAACTTTTCAATCCGCTCCTATCGCATTGATCCCACTGGGTGATCCAATGACTTTGTCCAATGACGGACCTTCTTTAGACAAGACCAACTTGTGTAAGTCTTGACGTTGTTTCTGCGGACACATTGACGAGATGCTCTTGTTTGGTGTGCTAATCCTTTATCTTTGTAGACCGCAAGAATGTTGGCCAACCACTGGCTGCCACCGCTGCTGACGCTGATACTACCGCATACTGTACAAACCTGAACAGTAAGCTAGTTTTCTTTGACATCCACATTTCGCACAATTTTGGGTGTTGGACGAACCAGCTTCTGAAAAAACACATTATCATTCGTTAGACATTCAGCCAAACTTCCTGATGGCTTACAGAACAATCTTTTTGGGTGTCTCATCTCCTGTTGCCGCTGTTTCTCCGACTCTCTTTGGATTTGTAACAGCTCGATACGCAGCTACATGGGAAATCTTAACCGTGAGTGTCACCAATGATTTTGATTGAGTTTATTCGTCAACTCTAACGCTTCTATGTAGTGCCAAGCTCTCACTGGAATCCCAAATCCAATAACTTTGATCTTCGATGCCAATGGACTTGTCATTGATGCAACTATCGCCGAGACTACCACTACCACAGTTCCAGTCAAGATTGTTGACCCAGCAACAACGTTAGGAGCCATTCAACCAACCACTGCCGTCATCGCGACTACTACACCAAGTGTCATGGCATCAACTACAGTAATCGCATCAGTTGCACCAAGTGCTGCACCCTCAGCTGCAGCCAGCCAAACAGCAATCGCAAGCCCTCAAGCGTCAATCAAGCCATCAGCAATCGTTTCAACAAAGACGACAACCACACATGCACCATCACCAGTTAGAAGCATGCGTCCTCGACGAAGCCATCGCCCCTGGGCAACACATAGTATGCATGCTAGACACTCCCACAGTCTCCACGTACATCCTACCCACAGTGTCCACGTGCTTCCTTCTCCATCAATCCGTGTACCAAGTATTCGTATGCCATCTCCTAAACCATCTCACGCTCACGGATATGGCGATAACTAGAAGACAAGTCCAGATAAAGAGTGTCAAGTCAGCGCAAATTGCAAGTAGTAATTGTTTAGTAACATGTTTCACCGTAATTATTGAACAGCAACCAGTAATAAACAGTATTTGATACCCGTTAAACAACATTCTACAATTTGCCACATGTTTCGAGACACATTCCACGTTATGAGAAGAGAAAACTGTATTTTTTTTTGGAAGCGAACACCATATCATGCTTTTATTACATTGATTTGAGTTCTAAGAATAGACTTGTCTCTTTTAAATCTTGGCAGGTTTTGGGTAGACTGGAGCGTACATCAAATTTTTGATATGAGCCAACAATTTGGCAGATACAGCGGCGTCTTTCGGATTCGAGCCAACCATAGATATGACATTGGCGTCTCTAGCCAAGCCCTAGTAGCATTGATTACGTGTGAGGATTACTCTCAAGACTCACAAAAACTAGTGTACGTATACCTCTCGGACGGCACAGAGGGCGACATCCCTAGCGATCTCAGCAGATATTTCTCTGATACGGGCCAAGCGAGGATACAACAAACCTTCAGATATTTCGTCTTGTGTCAAGGAATTGGCCAAGGTGACAGCAGCAGTATTCACCATGGTATCTGTAACATGTTTGGCACCAGCAATGACACTTCCCAATCCAAGACCAGGGAAAATGTACATGTTGTTTCCTTGGCCTATTATGCAGGGAAGTTGAGTTTAGTCCTTTATGTGATTGTTTTTGGTGGGAAACCGGAAGGTCCTTGGTAACTCCTTTACCTGGTGTCAGAATCTTTTTCGTTGTTGGATGCTCACAGACTGGGAAGGCTGTACCGCTAGCAAACAAGCATCGTCCATGTGTGTACTTGACTGCATCAGCAAACGTGCATTCGGCATTTGTCAATGGGTTGGATAGAGGCATAATAATAGGACGTTGATTCATCTGAGCCATATCGACCAGAATTTCGGCATCAAATGCACCTCCAATAGTTGCGAGTCCAATCAAACATGTTGGTTTTGCATATTGAAGGCTAGAGAACGGATGGATATATTGTAGATTGGTCAGCACAAACGCGCTTGAGCGGCTAAAAAGATCAAAGTTCAAGAACACTCACACTTCCAACAAGGTCTTGTATTGAATACCCTTGTTATCCTTTCGTGCCCAGCTCACTTTATGTTCTTGTAACTTGTCACCACGGTCCGCAGTTATGAGACCCTACCAAAAAGAAAGACTTTGAGACTTTGACTCTATCATCCTCACTAATCCCGTGGTACTCAAGTACCATCCTTTGATCTATTATCCTACCTTTGAATCTACCATCCAGAAGAAACCACGAGCTTGTTCAATAGAAATGCCACAAGCTTCAGCAACGTGCTCAGCAAGCTGGGTGGCTACACCAACTCCAGCACTACCAGCTCCAAAGAAAAGGACCTACATTATGATTACAGATTTGAGAATGCCTCCGTATGCACACAAACTCAAACCAAAACAGACAACATACACGGTGGTCTTTCATAGCGACTCCTGACATCTTTACTGCGTTAATAAATCCACTCAAAATGACAGCGCCAGTGCCCTAGTTAAAATTTGTTAATTTTTGTGTCTGTCACTGAATTCTGCCCAAAGCCTTACTTGAATATCATCGTTAAATGTGAGGTACTTGTCTCGATACCTCGCCAAGGTATCAAAAGCATGGTCTGTAGAGAAATCTTCGAATTGAACGAGGATTCTGGGCCACCTTCGATACACAGCAGCCATGACCTTGTCTACGAAATCAAAGAATACAGCATCATTTGGACGGGCTGTACGGGCACCCAAATAGAATGGGTCGTTTCGAATGCTTTCTGTATTTGTTCCAAGATCGAGAGATATGGCAAGAGTTTTTGTAGGCTGTTGAGGTGAACGGTGATTAATTGAAAGGTTTGGGTTATACCGATGCGAGAATCGAGCATACGTTGAAGCCTGCAGCAGCGATGTATCTATGTGGAGATTGAGGGTTCGTGTAAGAACGCAGTTGCATACCGACGTGAAATATTTTACAGATCTTCTTGAGGAGGAAAAAAAGGGAGGTCTGTTGAGAAATGCAACTGCTTACAGTGCAAGTTTGCCTTGGGGAATACCCATGCCGTTCAGGCCTAGATCGCCCAGACCAAGGATACGGCTGCCATCGGTCATGACAGCCAGACTCATATCGTATGGGACGTCCATCATGATTTCGTCAAGGTATGGCAGATCAGCCATTGACAAGAATAGACCGTCACGATGTGCAGGAGTGTATAAGGTGCTGAATTTGACGCAGGCTTCGCCAATGGTCGGTGTATATATCAAACTAACATAACGGCATGGCGAGAATGAGGCTAGGATTGTGGGGATAACAAACAACCAAAGTTTCGACTTACGGAGCCATCAGCTAAATAATGGTTGAAAGTGAGTGGAGGATTGTGCGAACGACAAACTGCGAAACGTGACCTACGCTCAAGTTGTCCACCACCAAACGATAAAATAGCGTAATGTCTTCATACTTTAATCGTTGCAAGTAGTTGTACTTGTCGAGATCAGTGGTGCAGCAAGTATTCATAAAATGAAGACAACGTTGACATTGTTGCTGAATCGTTTCTACAGCGGAGGTGGGTATACGACCGCGCAGATGGTTGGCAGTTCTCATTGCCATGGTCAAAGCAGTCCCTATTTTGATATAAAGTTGATAAGAACAATGAAGTAGACCGGCTTTTCGGGCAATTTGTTGGTGGTCGTGCCTTGTTTGGCAAACACCAAACCACTCATGGTCAAAAGACGAGAAGAAAGGCCGAGCGAATTGTGACTCCTCTTGTAGCTTTTTGTAATTCAGTTTCAATCGCCAAACGAGGTGAAAACAGCAGTGACATGTGCACGTTGAAATCTCAGATGTCAGCTTTGAGATGTACCTTGATTTGTGAATGTGTCGGTCAAGAAAGAGTTGTTGCTCTCACTAGGAGCAACGACAGATGGAGTAAGCATATTTTTAGCTTCCTTGGAACCTGGTTTTGGCAATGCGATTAGTGAAGGTGAGAGTTTCTTGTGACCAGCACGAAAAAAAAATTACAGATCGAGACAGACGAACGTTCTCCCATTCTTTCAACAGATGCAAGGTCCAAACTATTTCCGACTTACTTGAAGAGTGGGAAACGATGAGTGTGGTCCGCTACTGAAACCGTCGGGCAATGTCAATCTAGCTGTGGTTTGTTGATGGTGATGTAAGCCTGGAGTTTTTCCTGACAGCGACGGTAAAAGGTGAGGGCAGGAGCTTAATTCTTAATGCAACCTATTTGTAATGATTAGAAGCAATAGACACCGTGCATGTGGTTGCATTCGAACGTGATCTTTGCGTCAAAACAATGGAGCCTAAAACAACGAGCAGAACGGTGCATCAGGCCACGGCAGGTCCGACTTACGCGAGGAAGATATCATGAAGCTCAATTATAGTCTCATCTGGCCTATAAACAATATTAAATGCGTTTCTTTCTCTTCATCCTCGTTAAAAAAAAGCCCCACACCTTTTCTGTTTACCACTCACAACCAACAAACTTCATCGCACATAACAACTACGAGAAGCCAGGTCGTTTCACTTCTACGGGCATCCCCCAAACTCTACAAATCATCTACATCAATCTTTCGCCTGCTTTTGGCACAAGGCAGGCTCTCGATGACGACTTTCTCTAGTCCATCAACCCTTTAATCTCGTATGCATTATTATGAGACTGAATCCTATTGCTATTCAAGACGTCAAGTAAGTCTCAACCCCGTAGCTCTTGTCGTCTTTGGAGTTGTTGCCCAATATCTGGACATCAGAAAAGTTTTTGTTATTGGAGACGAGGTGCTCGTTGGACAAACGGTCGAGCTCCAAAGAGACACCGCAGATGCTTCTTCTAATCGATTGCATCATACAATCTATCCTCAATACGTCTGGATGGGTGCCCCTTCATTTTGTCTTGACATGTGCTTCTGATGTTTTACAATGTGATAACCTTTCTGTTTGTCCTAGCTACCAAAACAAGTCCTGGGGATAACTTCTCCTATATACGAAATCATCGAAACAGCCATCAACCCACTTCCACCACCAGACGAGATAACACGCTCTGAATTAGAGCTTGTCTCCATTGCGAAAGGACCCAAAGAGCCGCCCTAGCATCGCCTACACCCCCTTATAACTCTCTCACACTCTCTACTACTTCATCGACACTAAGCGAATGACTCCCGTCATGGCCGTTCCTGATGTGTAAGTTGATCTTCACGATGATCTGCCTGTCACACAGAAAATCAATTGACATCTGCTTCCCACATAGCACTCCTCAAACTACGACCGTTGCGTCGGCAACCAACATCAACCATCATATATACTCGACTCATAAAACTCTCACAGCCCCGCCCTTCCTTCCCGACAAACCACCACCAACTGGAATCACATTATGTGGATTTGAAGGTCCAGGTAAACGAGTTTGTAAAGCTCACAGTTGCGGTAGCTCTGTGACCACCTGGATTGGAGCTTCATTCCTAGTGTTTGAAGGGGTCATCCGCACCGCATTCCTGGTTCATTTGATTGTTACTAACTTCCATAATTCAATAAAACGCAGAAAAACTTCTTGAGATCTGGTTTTCAGCTCCATCTCGCTCCGAATCTCCGGACTCTGGCTTAGGATCAGGACCACCATCTCCACGCCAATCTGTCTCAACCATCTATGAAGAAAATTGGTATATTGAGACTGGTCTACGTGTAGTCCCCAAACACGTATGGGATGATATGCTTGCTATTGTCAAAGCTCAGGTATTGAGCTCAGTCCACAATGAATATGCTGATGCATACTTGTTGAGGTGAGTTCGATATATGGTTTTTTGACATTGACTTTGTGTGCAATCCAGAAATCGTCACATGCCAGTATACCAACAAACATGCACTACATTAGTGAATCATCCATGTTTATCTATCCTCGTAAACTCATCCTCAAAACTTGTGGTACTACTACCTTGTTGCATGCCGTACCTCGTATATTGGATATTGCACGTGAATATTGTGGATTCCATCATGTCGACCATATATTCTACTCGCGTAAAGCCTTCTTGTTCCCAGACAAACAAGTATGGCCTCATGGTAAATGGGGCGATGAAGTGGTCTATCTAGACTATCTCTTCCCCTCATCTCAATACAATACTGCTGGATACGTAGTAGGTAAAGTCAATGGAGACCATTGGTGTTGCTATCTAGCTTCACCAATTACTCAGAGTGATTGCGATGAGAACCCAGAACCCATTCCTCCCTCTTGGTCGGATTCTGACTCGGAAAAGGATTCGGAAGAAAAAGTAGATTCCTTCCAAGATGATCTCACCTTAGAAATCATGATGACGGGTATTGATAAAGATGCAGCCAAGGTCTTTTGGCGTAATAATAATGAAGTTGAAGATGACAAGTCTGGTAATGCTGAGCAACGTGTCTATGTAAGTTGTGATAGAGATTCGATATCTTGATTCTGTGGAAGACTAGAAAAAGCGAGTATACTGATCCAACCATGCTCTTTTTTGTCTCAGAATGAAACAGGCTTGGCTGATATCTACCCTACTTCCAAAGTCGACCATCATGTATTTGATCCATGCGGCTACTCACTCAACGGTCTTATGGGCCCATACTACTGGACTGTACACGTAACCCCCGAGGAGCATTGCTCATATGCTTCCTTTGAAACGTCAGCTCCAGTACGCCGCTTCTATCCAGATGCTGCTTCTGCTCATACAAGTGAAGGTCACGATGTTTATAATACCTTTGAAGATGTCATTAGTCGTGTTGTAACGAGCTTCCAACCAGCACAATTCTGTGTCTCGTTGTTTACTCGCAAGTCAATTAGTATGCAGCATAAACGAAACGTCTTGCAAGGTCGTATTCCAGGATTTGATCGTCGTGATTGTATCCGTCATGAAAGTGGTAAATGGCAGGTCCAATATGCCAAATATGAGGCACGAAAGGATGAGAAGATCCTTTAAGAACCCGATGTACGTATTATTATTTGTTTGGAATGATGTGGTGTGGGACATGAGGTTTTTGGGTGATGAATGGATTAAGGCTTATTACTAAAGTTTATAAAGAAGGTTTTGGAGGGCGGTTGGAAACAGATGTTTACAGAGACATTTCACAGTTGGAATATGATGGGATAGTTTGTTTGAAAAAAATAAAGAAATGGGTCTTCACAATTTTACATGTTTTTGTTTCAAGTTGATGCAGTGCACGATATGTTCAAAATTAAATATGATTCTTGTGGCAGACGAAGCCAGGACAGAGAAATTGTCTTTGGGGGCGCCTTCCAACAGATCAGTTGATTTCAGGAGCGACGACATTGAAACCTGCAGATTGCCGAGTCAGCGACCCACTTCCAGAGGGGACAAAAAGCACACTGAAATATTTACCTTGACATATCTGCTTCAATACCAGTATCTCTCTCTCAGATGAGTTGATTCTCTTCATTGTGGGCTCAGCCACAGTATTGGCAGCACTTCTTGGAATTCCAGCCTGATCTCTCTTAGTTGGAGCCGATGGAGCAGCGGCAGTATAATGAGTCTGCATAAATGAATGGAAGGATGTTAGTGATCTGTTTGAGAACGTTGGGCATAAATCGTTTAGACAAAGTGCACACACTTGCCTCGACGGTTTTCTTAGGTGCAGATTTGGAAGACATGGTATAAGTGTGGATTTAATGCCTTTATAGAGTTAATTAGAAGCTTTAGTCGTTGATCTTTGTGGCGCCTATGTCTTTCGTTGTGAGTATATGCTTGACAACGATTTCGAACTTTTTGTAGGTGTCTGCCGCGTCGGACAAAAGCACATAGTCTCCTCACCTTAAATAGAGACTGATACCAACGTGCGATATACCGCGAGAGATTGCAGTGACTTAGAGATTCGAGATATCGGACACGTCGTGTGGTAGCAAATCATCGCGTAAGAAATAAGAAATCGGGTCGAAGGAAAGTTTTGAAACCCAGCCGTTGGAAGGGAGTAAAATAGAGTCAAATACATTGATTGTGACATAAATCACGTAATTTAATCTCAACTTCCTCGAAAACCACAATATTAGACGTGTAGTTCCTGTGGCGCAGTTCAAATAAGAAAATAGGCTGCTGCTAGTAGTTCAAAGAGAAATTCTCTACGACTCTCGTAGCTCGTAGCGACCGCTCTGATATGGACGCTCGAATACTTGATCTCCACATGTTACATATCCGGTCTGTTATCGCCAATCGTTCACGACATGTGAAGGTGGAAGAGTGGCTTTGACAAATCAACACCCAATGATTGTTGACCGTAACAATGAAGAACATATAGGACCATGTCGTTAGCAGTAGCAGCAATAGCTGAAGCTGAAGAGGCTGCTGAAGATGAAGACCACTTTTCTGAACAGGAGAATCCTGGGGGTTTGTAAGTTTGAGCAACTTTTTTGCGGAAGTGAATTTTACTAGTCAAGGAGGAGGAGAACTGGTCCAGTTGCGTTCAAAATCGATTCGTGACACTGCAAAATGGATATTTGCGCTGCAAACGTTTGTGGTTGACCGGTGGATCTCCTACTTCTTATAAACATTTCTGATAACTCACCGAATCAAAAACATTTAGAACTTTACACATCGCTGGTGGTGGAATCCAACCTCGAGAACCGCCTCCTCAATATGAATCTCCATACGCCTTCCGAGATGCTCCCTACCGACGAGAAATTGAAGGCGACATGCCCGTAGATCTTATAGTAACGGAGCACGACATCAAGGACTTGAATGACTATGCACCACTAAGACGAATCGATACGCTGCAGTCTGATCTTGGATCGCTAAGTCCAACGTGGAAGCGATGGAAGAGATGGTTGAGGGATATCTTACATGAAAGGGGCACTCGCGAGACTAGATGGATTGGATACGTGGTGGATTTTACGTCGACGACGCTGCTGCTGCTTGCGATTGCTAGTTTCGTGGCTGCAACTGTACCCGCTTATGTTGCAAGTTACGAACAGCGGACCAAGTTTTTTATAATTGATAATGTGTGTGTTGCATGGTTCCTCATTGAATTTATCCTGCATTTTCTTGCAACCAAGGTAAACGGCGACACTTGGTATTGCTGAATGGGATGGAATCTAATGGTCTATTTCTTTTAGAACTTCTCACACATGTTGACGCCACTCTACTTTTTGGACTTGTGCTTGATTGTACCGTTCTATGTGGAGATGATTGTTGGTGCTGCACGCGGAGTCAGTCTGATTGACGCAGCTACCGCTGTGGATGGGCTGGGAGCTTTTCGAGTCTTTCGATTGTTTCGGTTACTGCGGCTCTTTGCAATGTTTTCAAAAAATACAAAGGTACGAACACAGCATGTCCCGTTCCGTATAAACTATTATTTAACAACAATTCTCAAAGCTTGGCGCATTCGCCATGGCTTTTAAGGAATCAGGAGATGGAATTATCGCATTGTTTCTGGCCCTTGGTGTATTTGTGACCTTCTTCAGCTCGTTGGTGTATTACGCAGAGACCAGCAATGCAAGATTTGACAACCGGCAGTGGATTTATAATTATAATAATGAAAGGTCGCCGTTTCAATCGATACCGGATGCCTTCTGGATGGTGATTGCGACACTTACAACTACTGGATATGGTGGGTGTTGTTTCGATTGTACACATGAATCCACTTGTTCATTTGTTGTCGGCACTCTAGGTGATGTGGTGCCTCATTTGCTGCCCGGCAGGCTAGTTATGGGCGTTGCCATGATATGCTCTACGTGTATTCTAGCGTTTCCACTCACTATGATCACCATGCAATATTCGCAGGCAAGTCGTTTGCCATAGATTTTCAACAGCGTAGTGCTCTAAACTAGCTGTACTCTTTAGGTCGTGCATAGAGCCAACGAGCAGATCAAACGCTACAAGGAGAAAAAGAGACAAGAGAAACTGATGGCAAGGTACGAGCAACTCAAAGCTCAAATGGATCAACGTAAAGCTCAATTGAAAGAGAAGCAAGCAGAGAAACAGGCTCTTCAGCAGGAAAGGCTTGGTGTTTATAATACAGTGAGCACTGGAACCTCTCAACCGGCCTTCCTATCTGCCGCTGGTGGCAGCGGTGATTCTGCAGAAACGCTTATAGATAGTGATGATGCTTCAACCACGGAAATCAGAGACCGAAACCAGCTTACGGTGCCGAGATCAACCAAGATAAATAGACCTGGCATATTACGAAACGCATCGTCGAACAGTCTATCGGGAATGGTTGATGCAGCCACAATGGAAGGCATAGAAATGACTCGCAGCACGACAACCGAAACCTTTACACCGTTCGTCGGCGGCACATCATGGTCTCGCGTCAGAACAGCACTACAAAAATCATTAACAGTTGCTACCATACAAATACCAAAGCCTGACCCTGAAGAAGAATTCGAAAGGTTAAGAGTATTTGCTGAAACATGGACCAAGAAGTCGGGTGTTGCGAATGCTAGAGACCGGCATTTAGCTGCCCGACCACCTACGCCTATAGAAGAGAATGATTTAGGTGATCCACAGTCTTCTAAAGAAGTAGAAGAAGTACGTAGCTCTAGACCCCGAACACGAAGTCGTCGTGATACGACTACAGATTGTGGACTTGCTATGCCAATCAATGGTGAAGGCGACAACATGATACCACCAGCTCAATCAGAACGTAGTAGCAGGTCCCGATCACGCAGTAGGTCCCGTGCTGCTCCCGATAATTTGTCCATATCTATACCCATTCCTACTACCCCACCATCAGTATACGATGACGACTCATCCACACTATCACCGTCACAAACCGGAAAGGCAAAAGCCAAACGGGCCTTCCAAACAATACGTAGCATGACAGCTCTAGGAAATAATCGGAAGATGAGTATGACATCTCCTCCTACTCCCCCTGAAATCATACCAACAGCAGCAGTCTATGATCCAGACGACGTGCCGGGCAAATACCCGCCACATGTTGTAGGTTGGAAGCTAGATTATCAGGAGGAAGATTTGAGCTACGATCTTGAATTACGACTAGCTGTTAAAGATGTGAAGCAGCTGGGAAGGTTGATGATTGCCATTGGGCAGTTTGAAAAGGAAACTGGTGAACGAAAGCGGCCGTCAATAAATATCAATTAAATGTATTTTTGTATAGTTACCCTCATCATCAGTATAAAATGTGCATTTTAGAAGTGAATGTCAATCACGTGTTTGGTAAATTGTTCATTAGAGCCTGCCTGGTACATTTACGCGGTCTATGCGTTCTTTGTGACTTCAAATGTATTTTTCTTGATCCTACTTGCATTGCTTCGCTCAATGCAAAACGCTATCAACACGTGAAAAAATTCGCAATCAAACAAGTTGTGTAGATAAAGGTTGTCTGTGTTGTTCCGTCGGAATTAGATCTAGATCTAATAGTTCAATCAACCAAGGAATTATGGTGCAACTTGAATGGAGTCGTATGGCGGACATCTATAGCTATCACATCAACAATTCACCTCCGAAATCCCTTTGGAAGCATTTTCTCGAATACAAGCCGAAAAAGACTGACACAACCATCATGGAGGTCAAAAACAATGATGAGAATCAAACTCTTTTGCATAATGTAAGTTTCAACCAGCCGATTTGTGACAATGCATGTGCATGGATTTTGATCATTTTTTGATCTTGTTCATCAGGAACATGTTATCGCGGCCGTAATGGACTTTTTGCCATATGTATCTGCTACTACTCTAAGTCGAGTTTGCCATGCTTGGCTGAATGCTTCTCGAGCATCTAGGGCCTCACGAGAAGTCATCATTGAGCTTACTTTGCCTGCGTAAGAATGCCCTTTCTTGTGGTGTTTCGCTCACCATATTGACATTTTTCAATTGATTAGAATGATTAGTGAAGCAACTCGAATCGCTAGGCTCGGGTATCCTACTGGACATATACCTCCTGACACGTCTGAAGCTGATGTCACACTTCCAATAACAATGTACTTTGAACGGTGCTATCCCCTAGAGGAGGACGATGGACCAAAAGTATTCCGATTTTTCCCAACTACAATGGTACTGATTCGATTGAATGGAGCTGTTATGAATGTCAATTTCACTCCACGCCATCGAAAATGGAGCAAGAGTGGAAAGTGTGTCTTGTTGAACACTTTTACTGACGATGGACAGCAGCGATATCCTATGGATGACGATGAGGATATTGTAGCTCAATTTTCTACTGGTAGGGCCGTCATGTCATATTTTGTATAGTGTAATTCGTCTAAAATCACCACGATTTAGGTGCTCGAGGGAAACTCGTCTTGTGTAATGCATCCATGAACCTTGTACTGACCCAACACATGTATATGGGAACTGGTGAGTCTCCCAGAAACCTGGTCCTGCTTACTATGCTGAGATTACAAGATATCGTGGCGTCGCACTGACACTGTCTCCCATTTAGGTTGGATTTGGACGGTCGAGAAGCTCGATGTATGCGAGAACTGGGTACGAGATCGAGCCAACAGTAATGTATCAAAGAAGATAATCTCTCCCTACCGCATGGACGTCCTCCGTCGTCATTTTGAAAGGAAATCAATCCCTACCCCCGACTTTACCAACCCCGTGCACGCTCATAACTCGATAGGCTCGTCAGTCTTCTTGACTGTGGGAATGTATAGATATCTTAGATGCGAGCCTGAGAAAGCTCTCTGGTGTCTATGGAAATTAGGAATCCTAATGTCTGGTCCCAGAGAAAGCTCGACAGTAATCCATCGCCGTCTGGTACTTCAGCTTGAGGCCGCCATGAACGATGACCATCCCTCACACCGTGATGAAAATACTCGTGTAATTAATTTATGTAGAATTGCCTTGGTCGAATTTTGGAATGCTGTGCCGTGTGGACTTGCTATTCTTGATCATGAATTGGGCCACGAATTCGTTGATATATTCTCAGAGGAATCTATGAACCAACGATCATGGCATCTTCGACTGGCTAAGGTGCTTGACAAAGTCCAAATGGGACTCATTCATATATAGAAGGATAGTCACAAGTAAATTAGGACAGCTCATGTGTTTTGTTATAGATACTTTATTTCAGATAGGGCTTAGAATTGTGCGTTTTGTGTTTGTGATGTGTGCAGTATTTAAATAGACTTAGTAAAATATCAAGTAGTTTGTGCAAAATATGTAAAGTTGTCGGCAGCTTCACTTGACGACAGGTCCACCTCTTTCTATAAGAGAAACAGCTTGAATTGCACCGACTTTGGAGGTTTGGACGATACTTCCATTTGACACCAATTCGTCCAGCAACATGTAGACCTTGTCAAGTTGAAACATTATCTAGATCAAAGGAGTCAACATCGGTGTTTATATCCGTGTTTCATAGTACAAACTCACGTCTATTTCAGCCAAACTTTCGAATTGAGCAGCAAGAGCCTCCACAAAGTACTGAAGGAATTCTAGCACGGCAAATTCGTTCTATGGCAAGTAATCTGTGATTATTGGCCAACTCTAGCAAAAGGGAGACGGCATTCAAACCTCTGGTGGCAAGCAAAGTGCAATAAAATTGAGCGACGCAAATTTCCTGTGAATGACAATGAGTTCTTCAAAGTCCATGATAGATGACTAGCGTGGAAGCGCGTGAGTACAAGCGGATATACAATAACGAGACGTGCATCTCTTTCTTTTGTACCATTTCTGACTTTCGTGAAGACACCAACTTCAATATTTCTTGCAACCGAGCTTCTGATAACTGGTCGCCGTCCAGCTTCTTCCAGAACCTCTTTAGTCTCACCCTAGATCCATTTGCGATAATTAGAGCAACCAGCATCCTCGGTATGTAGCTCTGCCTGTTTCTTTTACAGCAAACGTGGAATCGACCTTTAACGAGCAATTTTTGACAAGAAGAAAATGACAACTCAAGTGAGAACTAATGGAAAACTACCGCCAAAGCATGCCATTGACGAGTTAAGACGTGTTCTCAACGCGGCTGGCGGTTCTGCAGCCGAAATCTTGTTGCCTCAAGATGCTGCTTATGAAGCAACAGTCAAAGATGTAAACCACCACTCAAGTTTTGCTATTTACCGCCTATATCGATGTTGATGCATCTACTTGCACGTAGGTTTGGAATGGTGATGTGGTCGGCATTCGGCCATTAATGTTTATACGATGTACCAACACACATGATGTTGTACATGCGGTGAAGTGTAAGAAATCTTTTATCTGTCTTTGATCGTTTATCTGTCTTTGACCCGCTTGTCAAAAAAACTCAACATGATCTGTTTTCTTATCAAGTCGCTCGTCAGCACAATCTCGATCTCACTGTTGCAGCCGGAAGACACGGCGTCCGCTGCTTCAAAGAAGGAGCTCTTTGCATTGATCTTTGTAAGATGAGAGGTGTACATGTTGATCCCATTGCTATGACGGCGACTGTTGCTGGTGGTGCCAGAAATGGAGATTTGGACCATGCATGTCAATTATATAATGTTGGAACACCTGCTGGAACTAATTCTGATACTGGTGTTGGTGGCCTGACTCTAGGTGGAGGGTAAATCTACTTGATTTTACATGAATGTGACGAACTTTGACGCTGACATTTTGGTTTGTAGATGGGGCTGGATGGCGCGTTCTAGAGGAATGACGATTGATAATGTTCTTCAGGCCGAAATTGTCCTCGCTGATGGGACTGTTGCTGTTGCTTCTGAGACATCCAACCCTGACCTCTTGTACGAAAATATTGCATTTTCAGTCTCTGGTTGAACCATTCTTACCATTCCCTCTTCTCGTAGCTATGCTGTCAGAGGAGCTGGACACAATTACGGGGTTATAACATCACTTACTTTCAGAGTACATCCAGTCCCCGTCTGTGTTGCAGGCCCCATAGTCTATCCAATCGCGAAAGCTGAAGAAGTCTTGATGATATGGCTCCCAGCGTCTTTGGCCATCCCACGAAAATTGGGTGTTGGAGCTCTACTTCGACCTGCTCCTCGTGGTAGCTTCTGTATGCTGCATCCCGTGTATCTTGGAGACTCTCAATCAGAGGCTGAAGCTCTCATCAAGCCATTCCGAACAATTGCCGGAAAGCCGTTAGTGGATCAAGTACAACTGAGACCGTATCGCGAATTGCAAAGGTTAGTAGTTTTTTAAAGATAGTGACCTGACAGCTAAGAGCTATACTGATATTTTACACTCTCAGATATGCCGATGATCAAATGCCAAAGGGTGCGCGATACTATCAGAAATCGCTGTTGGTTTCTGGCCTTACGAAAGAAGCCCTTCAAGTATGTATCGACTGGTTCAAGAGGGCACCACAAGGGCCTGACAAGAACTGCTCGATGGAATTGCTTCCATTCGACGGAGCTATCAGAGTAAGTTTGAGTTTGCAAAAAAGTCGCACCTATGTTACGGGAGAAAGGCCACAGGGTATTCGCAAACCAGCCTAACCCTTATAGGACAAGAGCGCTGATGCCATGGCTTTTGTACATCGAGTCGCCGATCATTGGGTATTGTTGGGGGGCAAGTATACAAGCCCATCTGCCAAAGATGAAGTTGCTGCCTGGGTCAATGGATATTACCAGGCTCTTGCTCCATGTAAAACGAAATCTGTGTGGTCAAAACAAAGTTGCACAATTATTCAATTCATTCTATCAAATTCGTAGGGACTGTGGGAGATATGACCAACAGCCCCGGATCAACTGACGCCAGTGGAAGCATTGAGAAAACATTGCAGAGAAATTTTGAGAGACTGTCTGAAATCAAGGCCAAATATGATCCACAGGTAAGTGATGATGTCGCACGTCTTTGAAAGCGTGCCAATATCAACCGTATCTCTCGCCAGGATGTATTCTGTAACGGGACTGTACACGTACCTCCTAAACGGACTGCTAGACTATAGAGAAGAGGTTATTGAATACACTCTGAATTCCAAACTCGAAACCAATTTTTGAAACAATGATTGCAAGCCTGAATTCTCTTTTATTGAAGTTCGAACAACAGTCAACCGGACGACACTCAGAAACTATTTGCTCTAGCCACATTGATTTGAAAGATACATAAGTCCCAACCCGACGTCGCCTGATATCAAGATCGCCCCGTCAAGTCTTGTATTTCTGTGATTTTGGAGTTGTAAGGCTAGGGCAGAAGTTCGACTTTCTGATGATACATTGGGACGGTCCGCTTGTTTTTGGCTACTGATACAGTATCAAGATTGAGGTGATGATGTGATACTCCCCCAAATCACGATAGACGTTGACCTACATCAATAACGATGTCTCCATAGTATGGTACATCAATTCTTGTGTGATGAAGCAGTGATGAGCATGATGATCCAATAAATTGCTTTTTTTGTCTCCTTACCAGCAGCAGTGCCAGTGATCCAAGCCAGATTGCTTGAATGTAGAAGGCCTGGTACTCTTTTGAGCTGTTGGTCTACAATTGACAATGTCAAACACACGTCTCTGGTTATGTCTCGTCACCCAATGTATGGTGATAAACGAGCATTAATATTTGTCGGGGTTCCTCTCCACGAAACAGCACGCCTGATCCAACAACGACAGAGCCTAAATTCTCAGCCTGCATATGCAGAAACGAATTTCTTCAATTTATCACGACTGACAGATGTCTTTAACAAACCCTGCAACTGATCATGTCGAGCAGAACGCCATACTTGAATTTTAATTTGAAAGACACACCTTATCACGTCAGCTGCCTTCCATACCAACTCACCAAAAGGATACCACACAGTAGCCAAATCGTTCAGTCTTCACTAGATCACAAGCAATCCAAACGTTTCGATGTGATTCGTCAACTCCAGATTCAAGATGAGAAACGACTCAATCTCATCGCAGGAAGGACTTGCGTAAGACGTCGAAGTGCAGCAATTGTCCTCAAATTTCAATCAATATCAAAACTTAATAAAATCAATATCAATATCAGTATCAAAACTTCACAAAAAATTTTAATTGTGAAGTTTTGATACTTTTCAACATGAAACGGCAGTGATACACTGCATACTCTTTACAGTGCGATTCGAGTAGTATAGGCCCCAGTGCTGTTCAACGCCACCTAGTGATATGAAGAGAAAGGATGAGGTGATATGAAGAGAAAGGATGAGAAGTGCGCACGCAAAAATCCCACTGTTTCAATATTCTTCCGACAAACCATGTTCAGCAGGCTTCCATGACTCATCAAAGGCTTCAAAGAAAAAGTGTCCCATATTATTCGTTTTGGCCATGCGGACCCAAGTCGTACAGTATTGTTCCAGGTTCGAGAGTGATGGAAGAGCATCACGAAAAGCATCTCCACCTGTTGGCCACCCAACTTCTCCCAAAACGAGCGGTTTGCCTTGACCACGACTGGCCAAATCCCGGGTTTCTGTAATTTGGAGTTGTGGTGCTGTAGCAGAAGCTCGACCCTCTGATGATTATATTGCAATGTTGAGTTTTTTTTTTTTGGTTTCTGATATCAAGTTTAAGATGATGGTTTAATACTCACCCCAGTAGGGATACACGTTTACGAGAAGATAATCTACAGCAGCAATCAAGACGTCTCCATAGAATGGTAGATTGATTTCTATGTGATGAGCGATATGAGCATGAGTCTGCGATCCACGAGAGGCGTTTTTGTCCCTCACCAGCAGCAGTTACAGTAATCCGTGCCAGTTTATTTGAATGTAGAAAGTTTCGTACTTTCGTGACCCGTTCAGCTAATGTCTACAGGCAATCCACGATGGCTCACTTCGTCAACTTCAACCAAAAATAAGAGTATCACCTGTTGAGTTTCCTCTCCACGAAACAGCGTTTCAGATCCAACAACGACAGAGTCTACATTCTCAAACAGGTTTGGATGTGTCGACACAAGTCTCTTCAATTCACTATCGTCGGCCTATGAATAAGATACCCAAAACAAAGAGCCACTCGATCGAATAGCCATACTTGAACTCCGATGTAAATTGCGCATCAATAGCAGCCCCGCGAAACTCCATCCCAAGATACACCTTCATCTTCACTACATCAGCTGCCTTCAACACCAATTCACCAAATGGACAAGACACGGAAGCCATTCCAGTACCGGAATCAATCAATCCAAAAGTTTTGATACGGTTTGTCAAGTTTGAAAGTAGGACAAGGTCTGATGTGATTATGTCGAACGAAGGGCATGAGTTGAGGGTTCGTCGTGGTCCGTAGTTGATGCCGTAGAGAGGTTTGTCAGAGTATGTAGTCCCTGTGACATTACCAATACCGTAGAGAGGTTTGTCAGAGCATGTAGTCCCTGTCACATTACAAATATGTGAAATGTCAATGCTTAATGTCTTAAAGACAGATGATTGTTATAAGTGGTAGACACTTACCAAGGAGCAGAAGAGTAATGACAAGGAAGACGATCATCATCGCGTTCAGAGTTCAAGTCCCTAGTTCAGTTCAGTTTGAGTTATGACTGCCAACAGGACTATTCCTGACTTGACTGGTTTTTTGTACTCTCAAGACAATGGGTTGTCGTCTTGCGAGCTTAAAACTTCACACATGGAGATGTCAAAGTTTGGCACCAACCACCAAAATACATCCGACAGGACCAACAAATGTTCCTCTTAAGTAGGATGCGAGGCAAATACTTTGGCAGCCATAATCCCCTGTATTGCAAAAATTACAACCACGGGCACGCCATTATGCACCAACACAACCGAATGTCCTCCCCACGTATTCAGCACTTGAAATCATCTTCAAACAAATCTCTGCGACATCCGCGCGAGCAATTGTTGGCCCATCTAGGAAAAGTACGTCCGTTAGTCTGGTCAACATGGGAAGATAAGACTCAAACACGAAGGTATACATATATGCTCAGCAAACAAATATTTGCCACCGGTTTTCGGCTTGCTTGCTAGTCCAGTTGGTCGAAGAATCGTGTAGTCAAGTCCAGAGCTCCTCACAGATGCTTCCTGAATCTCCTTGTCTGCGATTGCTTTGGCCAGCACTGTAGTTATGAATACAGAGGCCATGTACGTCACGTCCTAGTTAGAAGATAGCACCTCCCGTCATGAGTATTGTGTTTCCTGATGGGGTCTTTCTTGAAAAATACCTTGATCGAATCACCAACTCCCATAGAAGTAACAACAAGCACTCGCTTGACTCCAGTTGCGATCATAGCTTCATTGATTTTCTCTTGTCCGATACTACAGGTCTGTCGCGTTCAGATGTCAGATTTGATTTCCCCAAAGTCCAAACACCAAAAACCATCGAGACAAAGGCCCCATACCTTTCCCTGCATCTCTGTATCAGCAACAGGTCGATTCCCAAGCGACACTATAACAGCATCAGCACCTTCCACTGTGTGTTTGACAGCATCAAAATCTTTCAAAACATCTCCAGTGATGATGGTGAGTTTGCCATCAGCTGGCAATAAGTGAGATAGCTTTTCTGGGGACCTTGCCAGTACATTAACAGAATGACCGGCTTCTAGAGCTTGCTGGACCACTAAGGTGCGATAAAAGTTGTTAGAATCTCGATGAAACGTGATTTTGTGGAGAGGAGCATAGGAACCTTCGAGGCCGACACCGGCAGTTCCACCGAATACAGCAAGCTTCATTAAGGTATTAATCTGCTGGTGAACTGTTACTTTTCGGCTGGTTTGTTAGCGATTTCGCTGTTTGCGTCTGATTTTCGCGTTCGGGTGTTGAAACAAACCGATGCAGGTTTTCCACAAACACATATTTAATGAGAGAATAAACTATACCAACAAAACTCTTCCTAATTTAATGTTTCTTCTCCTCGCTAGCAGCATCCCTCATCGCCGACAGCGTCTCCTTCAACGCTTCCACAAACGGCGTCCTCTGGAAATCCGGCACCAACGTCTTAAACTTGGTATCATCCAGAATCAACGTATTGTCCATCAAATACCTCATTTCAATAAGCTCTCTAATGATTGGAACAAACAGTCCAATAACCGAAAGCACTGGCCACGGGATGTGAGCCAGTTTCACATGTTTCCCTCCGTTGAATGCCACTGCGGCTTCAGAGACGGCCTCGAGTACCTGACGTTGCGTGTGGGCGATGTCGCCTTGGAAGTGGACTGCTTCGAAGCCGGGTGAGAGTTTGTCAGAGATCATAAGGAGGTCGACTGCTGCTCGAGCCATGTCTGGAACTATATGTAAAGGTCTCAAGAGTCAGCATGAGATGACAGAGGAATCTTTTGGGAATTCCATTTGGACACATCAGAATAACAATTAATTTTGTTTACCATAAACATATTCATGAATAATGTCCAGCTTGCCAAAGCATTGAAGTCCCTTTCCCAATACAGCGTTCATGTACACACCATCAGTACCTACACATAATTTGTCAGATTCCAGGTGTTCGCCAAAACCAAAGGCCATTCACATCAAGAGTGTCTCCATTTAATGGCCCTACCTCCATTTCTTATAGTCGGCCCAAAAAAATCACCAGCTCGTAAACACAACACTCGTTTTCCTGATTTTCGTAACTGAGCTTCAATAGCGTTACGAACAGCACCCTTCTTGGATGGTGGTTGGAGTGGTTGATCTTCCTTTAAGGGCCTGTTATACTCTGGTTTGTAGCCATACACGTTGCCAGGGAAGAGTATCAATGGATCTTTTGTACCAATTACTATGAAAGGACTGGTTGATGAGTTGGAATGTTGGGGTTATGTCCAAAAAATGTAATTTCGTTCTCACACTTCAGCACAGCAGTAACAACAAGAGGCCATTTGACCTCCCACTGATCGTATGGCGCATTATATGTCAGAGCAAGCACGGTAACGTCATCGGTAAAGTATGGAGCAATCGTTTCTAAAACATTGGACGCTGTTGCATGAGTAATTCATCTTTATCACCAAATGAACGCAAGCCAACGCAAGGAATGGCATATACAACAAAACGTACCAGGCTTCTCAACATCCCCAATAACAACATTCAACTTGGTCTTTGAATTGGAATGTTTGGCAAAAAAGGCAGTTGCTTTAGCCTTGTTACGGGCTACAGCTGTCACCGTAATGTTTTCATCATCTCTTGCAAGCAATTCAAGTACAAATGCTCCGCTATATGTAGAAAAACAAACAAAAACGAGGTTGTTTTATGCTGATCAGAAATCTTTTGACGCAAACACATGATCAAACGTACCCAAAACCTTGAGTGGAGCCAAGCACCAGGATATTGAGATTCGTTACCGTCATACTTCTGGAGATTTCTCGATTTATTGAGTTGGAGGATCTAAGATGTTTGGACTCATAATGTGCTGTTGCTTAGAATGTGGGTGTTGTTGTACAACCTTAAAACTTCAACCAATAGAATCACTTCCCGCACGCGCTTGTGAGTAACCGCTCCAAGTCGGGTTAGCACGTGGGATGGGTTTATTATTATCTAGTTTACCGTCTTTCCTTCAAAGAACTTTACCCAGAAATTTACCATCGAATTCTGACATTTGACTAGTCTTTTTTACCATATCCAACCATTCATTTAGCATTTCGACACCATGTTCCGGTTGATCGGTTGGAACCTAACATATGTAAAAGAGTAGTCGGAATGCAGTTCAAATACAGTTCGGCAAGCTAAAACCACAAAAAGGCCCAAAGAACTTACAAAGTGCCCAGACTCATAAATATTAACATATGCCAGCTTCAATTTTGGCACAAGTTTGTAAAATCCAGCATCTCTCCCAGTGATGGACGACTTCCATGGGATTTCCTTCGCATCAAGGAATCCAACAAACGCGCGTCGCATCCAAAGCACTTGGGAAGGAGCATTACAAATCCAATCGGCATCACCAACGTAAATTAATACAGAGATATCGTTCAAGAGGAGTTCTTGGATTTCTTTGACGAATGGTTTCCCCTAAGTGAGAAAGAGCAAAGTAAGCAAGCGGGGGGTTTCAAATCACGACGATCCCAAAACGTACTTGGTCACCACTAAGCGAGAACAGTCCAGCCACAGTTTCAGAGCCAGGAACAAAGGATCTGTTCACTCCAAGGTATGCTTGTGTGGATGGCAAATCGAGCCAGAACTCGATATCCTTCTCTTGTGGATAACAAGGATCATCATTATCTCCTCCACACACCATTCTCACATCGTAAGGGTTACGTCCGGTAGCTGAAGCACGGAGTTTTGTCAACAAAAAAAGAAGGAATAGACCGCAGCCCGTCTCGTACCATCATAAGGCCCATTCAATTGTCGTTCACAATATAAATTGGCCGGAAGACAAGTGACACTGGAAGCACCAGGGAAACGGTAGCAAAGATCCATTAATTGACGGCATCGGGTTAAGGAGCCATACATGCTATCACATGATTCGTCTGATACCAATGGGGCATATTTGCCATCACAAGCCATTTCAGCGTATCCCACGAACTGTTCGCGTGGATCAGTCCAGCCGTTTCCAATAGCGATGGACTTGAGATTAATGTTCACTGGTCCTTTAGCATCACGGTTGTTGTTGAAGATGGTAATGCCGATAGCGGGAATGTCTGAGATGAGACAAACCATGTTTTAGTATTTGTAATAGCGCTTGCGAGGTAACAGAGAAACTTACAATGACCAGCATAACTCTCTCCCGTAGCATGGAAGGGCAATTTGGCGTATTTTGGGAAGTAGACAAACAATAATTGAAGTAAACCGTATATATCAGAGGCAGCAATCATTGAAGAGTAAGGCGTAGTCAGGATATTATCAGAATAGCTGAATCCCACTCCAGCAGGCTATCGATGCAGAGCAGCGTGTCAGTTCCTCTTGTTCCCGTGTAAAACGTGCACCGTTCTTCGTCGCGACACATACGTGATCCACAAACAAGACAGTGGCTAACAAACAGGAAAGACGTTAGATATCATAGTTTTAGATTGAGAACTGAAACATATATATATATATATATATATATATATATATATATATATATATACATCATTGTTGGCTCACCTTTCTGATTCCAAGAGTATTCAAAGGGTGTCGTTGTCTTCCCTCCGGGATTCACTCTACACGGCCCCAACTCCATCAACAGACCATTTGAAACACTGGAACTTCCTGGTCCACCATTAGTCCAATATCTGGAAGTTTTGATGAATGTTTGGAGTCAGGGTTGGTAGAGATGGAAGCAGGAGTTCACGTACACGAAATCATCCGCTTCAGGATTGGATCTTGATTCAAATAACCAAAAGAATAAATGTCTGGATCCCGTCACGTCGAAATATCCATAGATTTGTTCGACATTGTCACAGACAGCTGTGAGGAAATGTAGATGGTGACGATTAAAGCCATGAGTGATACAGTTTGAAATCTCAAGAAATTGACGATATTCCAATAGGAGCTGATGCATACCTTTGGTTCCCTTTGCTACGTGGTGAACACGCAACTGGTAATCAGGAAACGCTTCGTGTTTTAGCACCTGATATTCCACTGCTTGTGGAATAGGCGAGATAGGGATTTGATTTGGTAGAGCATTTGCTACCGTGAATGCAGACACAGTTAGTGCAAGATCGCGTAAGACTCTCATTCTTGATATACGAGCTTGTTTGGTTGTGTTTGGAGATTAGGAACAGCTGGAAGCTCAAGGATCAAACAAGTGTGCTAATGAAACATGGATGACAAGTGAATATTTTATTCGAGTATCGTGCACGCTGTTATGTCCAGATCTTTTGTAGGTACAGCAGTCCAGCCCAAAACGACGCGACGTCAAAAACCGAGCAATCGAGCCAGTTCCAGGGGATTTCGACAAGTTTCAGCGATATTTCCGACGTGTTCCGACTTACTGAATAGACGAAATTTGATGCAGTTCACAGGGTCAACGGACGGAATACAGGGAAAACGCTGTCAAACACAAAAATCCGCAACACTTGGTCACCAACAGATACAAACGCTTGCGATGATGGAGTAGACGTCACCTGACATACAACAGCGATCAAACTCAAGACACTCGGAACTTCTAGGAACAGCCCTTCCGTTTGCGTTTGCACGCACACACAAAACACAATGTCGTCAATGATTGCTCCAATACTGCTGCCAAACACACTGCCAACATCTCTAGACCGCAGGTTCAAACTCATTAGGGAACTTGGCCAAGGAGCGTATGGCACCGTCGTGTAAGGATCCTCATGTCTGCTGTGTTTGTCGACATTGCAAAATGGTGGACATACAACAGACATTCCAAGTTGGGTGCTTTTGTATTCCATCGTGGAGGAGGAACAAGTTCTCGGATGCTGACAATCGTTCCGATCTTGTATTCCAACCATGACTTACTCACACTCCACTCTTCCCTAGTGCTGCCAAAAACATCGAAACTTCCCAGGAAGTAGCCATAAAGGTACCAAACATTCTTGCTGTATTGAGTGTATTGGGTGCCTTCGCGCTTCAATCTATCTTCCTTCTCTCTGTCTCTGTTCTGACATCTCCCCAACTTGCTATAGAAAGTAACAAAGATATTCGAAAAGCCTATACTAGCCAAACGTGCACTCAGAGAACTGAAGCTTTTGATACACTTCAACGGACATGAGAATGTAAGAACGTCAAGGAGACCAATTACATGCTAGGTCAAAGTGGTTTGTGCTGTGTTAGCTAACCACGTTCCCTGCCACACAACGCTTTAGATAACATCCGTATTCGATGTGGACTTGGTAGATCCTCGAGACTTTAATGAAATGTAAGATTTAGAGAGTTTTCCGTTGATGCAGAGATGATTGGCAATGTTTGTTGGAGTCTTTTTGCGTCACTCACATACTTCATTCCAACCCTCCATGTCAAACTTAGATTTATCGTACAAGAACTCATGGAAGCAGACCTCCACCAAATCATCCGATCAGAACAACCGCTCACAGACGCACACTTCCAATACTTCCTCTACCAAATATGTCGCGGCTTAAAGTACATTCATTCTGCCAATGTCTTGCATCGTGATTTGAAACCTGGTATGGAGAACAATCGACACACTATAAACAGATGTGATGCAGTCGCCGATCGGAAAAGTTTTCATGCTGACAGCTTCCACTCTTTTCAAACTAGGCAATCTACTAGTAAACGCAGATTGTGAACTTAAAATATGCGATTTCGGATTAGCTCGAGGATTTTCAGATACACCAGTAAACAATGCTGGATTCCTGACCGAATATGTTGCTACGAGATGGTACCGTGCTCCTGAAATCATGCTGTCGTTTCGATCGTATACGAAAGCCAGTACGTATCCATTTTACACAGTTTTTGTATGGCTCGGTAGCAGTAGTCCTCGCAAAGGAGTGTCCGAGACATGTTCTTGACATTTTTTTCTCCTCCCTAGTTGACATGTGGTCAGTAGGTTGTATCTTTGCAGAACTTCTAGGCGGAAAACCGCTCTTCAAAGGCCGTGATTACGTCGACCAACTAAACCAAATCCTCTCTGTCCTCGGCACGCCGGACGATGCCACCATAGAGCGTATTGGATCCGCTCGAGCGCAAGTCTACATCCGCTCACTACCGAAAATGACAAAGACGTCGTTCACCACTCTGTTTCCAACCGCATCACCTTTAGCCATTGATTTATTAGAATCGTTATTATCATTCGACCCTGCTAGACGTATGACGGTCGAAGAAGCTCTGTCACATAAATACCTTGAAAATTATCATGATGAGAACGATGAACCACTATGTAGTGAAATGTTTGATTTTGGGTTTGAGCAGCTGGAGAGTATGGATGACATGAGGAGTAGGTCTTGGATACCAGGCACTTTCTTCGTTTTTTTTGGGTACATGCAGAACCAAACTCACACTCACCCAACTTCAACACATAGCTGCTATCGCCCAAGAAATATATACCTTCAAACAATCCCAAGCTGCGAGGAGGCTGCAGGCAGCTCAAAAGGATTACCCAACACCTCTCAACAGGAATCAGGTCGACTCTGTGCCGCGTGAATGGGCTGAGCTCCAGCAAGCTGATGAGATGATGGGCATGGATTTAGATCAGGAGTTGTCTCAGAAGCAGTGGACATAGATTGTTTGTGGTGGAATATGGTTTTCTTGGTCATTACGTTTTTTTGGATTGCAGCATCGAGAAATATATAACATCATCATACAACTTGCAAAAATTGCAAGTTGACAGGTTCCAGCTATATGGAGGAGCAATTGCACAAATATTCAGGAAAAACGAGTACATATCACGCGAAAGCCACGATTCGGCTATGCGTGGTTTGTTTAAAGCGTGATTTATCTCGTCTCAAACTCCAAACATCCATAAAACCAAGCTCTTCCGACGACAAACGAGCGATGAGTCGCAGAGAAGGCCAGGGTCATTACACCGATCCATGTATAAAATGGTACGCCCATTCTGCTTGCTTGAGGTTGTTTGCTCCGTCCTATTGGCATCCCAGTCAACAACTCACTCACTACAAACAACACAGGGAGAGGAAATGGGGCCAATCCTCCAACAAGATAGCAATCGCAAATTACAGGAATGGAGCACCTACACCACAAAGGAAACCCAAAGTTATGAAATGGGTCAAGAGTAAGCATCATTTACACAGCAACCAAAAAACGAAGTTGAATATGAAACTTAAATCTTTCTCATTACTAGCACCCGTACATTCCGAAATTCCAGAAGACATCATCCCGGAATACGCAATTGAAACAACGTCATTCAATGCTGCGTTGCCTGCTAAACCTGTTATTGATGTTGCTGCTTTTGGTAAGCAAGATGGATGGAGGAGACGAACGAAGATTGAAGCAGTACATGCATTCGTCGATATATCCAATTTTGTGGTGGTCTGTCTTTGACGTACTTCTGCGCCATCAATCTCTCTGTTTGATTTGGAAAACCAAAAGTAGCAACGACACCGGTTTTTTGGCGAATCTCCTAACACATCCCTCCACGTCTCCTTTTGCGCAGAAAAAGAACTTATTGGAGCAATGGCAGAAGGATCGGCCGTATCTGGAGACTTGACATCGTTAGAAGATCTGGATCAGTCTAAAGGGTCTTCAGTGTTGCAGCAGGCGTTGGGAAGTGTTAGTCAGGAACGTCCAGTTACGCATATTGAGAATTATGACGATTGAAGGTTTCCAGACGGCACACAAAGTTGACGAGTGCTATGTGAGAAGCTTTGAGTTACAGCTCTTTATGATTGTACATTTTGAGGGCTTTTACATAAGAAATTTGCATGTTTGTAAGTGCTGTAGCTTACTTATCTGTACATATAATAATCAACATGACATGGTCCTTGGTTCAAGGTTTTTTTTTCTCTTCTTGCTGCAAGCAACAGACACGCCATGTTGTTGGAGTAGATAGATTCAACCAATAATATATTTTTAGAAGAACAAGAATGGAGTATGAAATCCTCCAAATACGGGAATTTCATGGCTTTCTTAAAAGGGAAACAACTTTTTTCTCTAACGTTTTTTACATTTTACATATTTTGGAGCCTCACCAATCCTCTGCCCCGACCTCTTCTTCCACAAGAGTACAAGATTATGTTAAGAGAAAGAAAAAAATTAAAAGGAGTAGTTGCTTTTGTTGTTGTTGTAGTCTCTTTGTAAATGGTGTTGTTTTTGATGAAGCTTGTAGTTGTTGACTGAAGGGAGAGCGCGAGATAGATATTTTTCGTGGTTTTTGCTAAAGTCTACTGGGCGACCTCTCGTTGTCGCAATTCCTCGTCCAAATCCTAGAAAGACAAAAGAGTTAATATACGTTATGAGCACAAAAAAAAGAGATGCATCCAGAAATATTGACTGTTGTTCTCATACCATTGCTTGACCAACGTACTCGTCAACATCCTTTTCAACATGACCAACTTGGGATCTTGTTGGACCAGCCAGTCTAGAGATGAAATGTGAAGGTGTCAACATACTTTCCTTCCCAGATAGGACTTTTTTTGCGATTCAAAAAGGCTTACGGTTGCTTTGGTGGTGGAAGAGTAGACTGGTTTTGCGAAAGTGCCAGCTTTTGTGCCTTGTATTCCATGACCTCTTGTGCAATCATGCCTAAAGAAACATTTTTGAATGAATATAAACGTAGATATGTTTCGAACGAGCAAAATATGTGGCAAAGCCCCTCCGGATTGCTCTCACTCAACAGTTTCAGTGACTTACGTTTCATTTCTTCAATAGATTCCACAGTCTCGAATGAGAAATCAAACTGCCGTTCGTGCGATGGCTAAAACACAATGTTCGAGTAAGTTCAGACTTGCGATTTCATCAGTCAGAACACCAAATATATGACTTTTCAACCCCAACATCAAAAAAAGTACCAAAACCGTATCTATGAATTTACCTCATCATTCTCATCATGATAAGCTTCCAAATATGGATGACTCAGAGCTTCTTCTACAGTCATTCGAGCAGCAGGATCAAAAGTAAGTAACTTTTCTAGCAAGTCTAGAGCATTGGGGCTGGCACGAGAATAGAGTCTTTCCCATGGTTGTTTCTTCATCTTTGGTAGTGATCGAATGTACAATTGTGCCTGTGCAAGGCAGAATGATTAGTGTAGGCACTCAAGGACGCAGAAAATCGGGCTATGATTACACCAGATTACTAAGGTATACGTACTCGTTCACTACCGATACGCTTGAGAGTAGCATCATCAGGAGTACCCAATATGTTGAGGATTTGGTTTAATTGATCTACATAGTCGCGACCTTTGAAGAGAGGCTTTCCACCCAAGAGTTCAGCAAAGATACATCCAACCGACCACATATCGACTAATTACGATGAGAAGGCAATGTCAATTCAACCGTTTTTGATATTATTGGGGGAGTGGGGTGAAAAAGCCTGCAAAGTTTCAAAGTATATATATTTTGAGCAGCCCAACACTTACTAGCTTTAGTATAACTCTTAAACGACAACATGATTTCAGGAGCACGGTACCATCTAGTAGCTACATATTCAGTCATGAATCCAGAAGTAGAGTCTGATAACCCTCTAGCCAACCCGAAATCACAGATTTTGAGTTCACAGTCAGCGTTTACTAGTAAATTACCTAATTGAGAGTGAAGCGTGTCAGCTGCAACATTCCATTCCTTTTATTGGCTCCTTTTGTGCTCATTCCATACCAGGTTTCAAATCACGATGCAAGACATTTGCAGAATGAATGTACTTTAATCCACGACATATTTGATAAATAAAGTATTGGAAGTGTGCATCAGTCAACGGTTGTTCTGATCGAATGATTTGGTGCAGGTCAGCTTCCATCAGTTCTTGAATGAGATAACTGGTTGAGTAAGAAACATGGGTTAGGAGCAAGCAAGAGATTCATTTGGTACAGAGAGGACTCACATTTCATTAAAATTGTTGATATCGGCAATGTCCATGTCCAGGATGGATGTGATCTGTGTATAGTGCAAAAAAGGAAGTTGGTCTTCCAAGCAACCACTGCCTCTCTGTCGGTCTCAAACCAACCACACGACGACATACATTTTCATGATTAGAAAAGTGTCTCAAGAGTTTAATTTCTCGTAGAGCACGTTTGGCGAGAATGGACTTTTCAAAGACACGTTGCACCTTTTTGATTGCGACTTCCTCGTTTACAGATTTGGGCTCAGCTTCCAAGTCCTTTGCAGCACTAGGAAATAGATATAATATTTGAATACTATTCTGTATGATTTCTTGCTAGGTCCATTCATTATTTTTTCAAGGACGAGGTTATTCCACATTGTTTAATACCCGCGCCAAGGGGGGGCAATGTAAATGAGGGGGAACAAACAAGAGGCCAGGAGAAAGAGAGAGGATTCATCTAGTTGCAAACCTACCATACGATACCTAATAGACATGGGACAACAAGTTAGTACACACACATTTAAGGTTGGAAGTTGTTTGGCCACCGCGAACAACACGAGAGAACAATGTAAAATGAGGAAATACGAAGACGTACCATAGGCGCCCTGCCCTAATTCCCTCAGAATCTGATACCTCTTAGCCAGAAGTCCCGGTAGCTTTACTTTATCAGACATGTCTCTATGTCGTTAAAATGTATTTTGGGAGTGTAGACAGAACAATGGGAAGAAACACAACAAGATGGTCAAGTGATGACATTTTTTGCACAGCGAGGACTAGATTTTGTTGATATTATACTATATGTCCCTGATGGAATCACTACTTAAAGACGTCGGCTACGAGTAATACATGCTTGAATTGGTACATCACCAGTTGCTCCAATTTATTCTGATCTTTACCAGAGACGGACGCGATTCTAGGCTTTACAGCGTACTTTCACCTTAATGAATCTTGAATTTACGCGTTCTGCATGACGCTGTAAGTGACTTTGGCTTGTCGAGCCTCTATCAACATCACCCAACTTTTTTTACTTAGGAGCTAGTCTTGTTGCGAGGCTCATTGTGCGGAAGCGAGCTGATACTATGTCATGTACATGCATTCCTGCAGCCATAGACGGGATACCCTATAATCAAATCATTGGCACAGTGTTTGGAGATTGCGTGAGATCGAAATACGAGTATGTGAGCTTCTCACTCGGTATCGTAGGCCTAATCGCTTATTTTGTAAGTCAATCGAGAGATTGGCCCTCCTATCGCCAAGATCGCAGGCCCTGCTTGCTTTCGCTATCGTGATTTTGACACTCACAATCTTGTGTTTAAACCCATCTAGTTCTCAATGATGCCCCAAATGATTGAAAACTACCAAAACCAGTCGGCCGCTGGATTGTCTATATCATTCATCATGTGCTGGCTACTTGGCGACTCGGCTGGCCTCGCAGGGACGTTCTTGACAAACCAGCTGCCAATCCAGAAACTGACTGGTGCCTATTTCGTGTTATCGGATGCTGTAATACTCGGGCAAATACTCTACTATGGACACCGTAATCGGGCCATGTCTTCAGCGGACGATGAGATAATACAGCAGGGTGAAGAAGACCCGTTACTTGACACGTCACCACGATCAAACAGCTCCTCGTCATCTTTAACCTCATATACCTCATCATCGTCAACAACATCACTATCTTCCTCATCTGCCTCATCATCGTCGACGAAATCAACTAGACATCTAATAACAATTGCAGCGATATGTATGGTCGCCTGTTGCTTAATAGTGCCAGCTCAGGCAGCCTCATTAATCGATGAACCTCAGCGGTTGTGTAATGAGCCATTCCCTGTCTCTAATATCGGTCAAGCAGCTGGATCTTTATTGGCGTGGGCAAGTGGCCTGCTTTATTTATTTTCTAGGATACCGCAGGTCATCAAGAATTATAGAGAAGGCGTTGAGGGCCTGTCGCCAATGTTATTCCTCATTACCACGATAGGGTAAGTCTCTTCTCTGAGTTTCTAACGCATCAAAGCTGAATCTTTGCGTCATAGGAACGTCGCCTACGGTCTACAGATAACTATGAGATTTCCTCCCGTAAACCAGAGATTTTTTGCTGCAGTGTTACCGTATCTTATGGGTTCCTTTGGAGTTCTATTCTTTGATCTGGTGATTCTAGCTCAGACGTATCTGCACGGTAAACGAATGGTGGTGGTTTAGAGAATAGAGAAGAGAGGTCGTTTAAATGATGCTTTAGAGGATAGAGAACTTTGATAATTTTTGAAATGACATCAACACACTGTATATTTAATCTGCTGAATCTAACACGTTAAGACTTGATGTGCCAGGTCATCAAGTCATCCTTTCTGCATGAGAGTAGTCTTGTGATCGCTGACGCGCCTTACTGAGCCCTCACAGGGGAATTCGGCTCCTAAACACCGAGACGCGTCCTGGTTGATAAAAACTACAAACCTTTTAAACTTCAAACTCTCAAAACGTCCACAAAGTCCAATTTGAGCCTCAAATCTCGATAAACGGGGAGACCGGACTCCTTACTATAGATCTGGGGCATGTATGGCTCCCAATAGGTTTCGACCACCAGTAAACCGGAAACTGGCAAATTCACAAAATCCACACCGAAAGCCAAACTGTTTTAGGACGATATGGAAGGCCGGTCTTCCACCGAGATTACCAGTGCTTTTGTTGTTGATTGGAGGCTTGATAATGTACTCTGCGTTTTGGTTGAGTAAACAGACTTTTGAGAGGTAAGGATTCGCGAAATCACGATTTTTGGTGTTTGGTTGTCGATGATCAACAAGTGGTTGTCTTTCGCAGACGGAATGAATTTTTGGGGAGCTGATCAGACGTTTTCGTGGTCGCGGTTAGCATTTGACGCTAGCTTTGGGTGAATCAAATCTCATATCTAACCAAAATCTTATCTCTGTGTCTATCCAGTTCTCGCCATCATACAGCATCTACTGCTACTGATCAGCCACAGGAGAAACTGCATCTTGTAACATACGTGACCAAACCTGCTGGTGTTGGATTTTGCAGGTTTTTGAAATCTGCACTCGCTGTTGGATACGAACCCATTGTTTTAGGAGGATCTAAAAATGCTGAGATGAGTGGAGAGCCTGCTAAGAAGGCTAAAGTTGGTGGTTATAGACAAGTAGGTGAAGGCATTGCCATCGTAATGTACCGTGGCCTTTTTTGGGCATGTCACCAACACTCTTCCCCTAGTACATTGACAAACACGTAAAAGACACCGACCTCGTGCTTCTCGTCGACGGCTACGACGTATACTTCCAACTAGGCCCGACCTACATGCTCTCCAAATACTACTCCCTGACATCCAAATCCCCAGCCACCCCTATAATAGCATCTGCAGAAAAAGGATGCTGGCCCTTCATAATGTATGGCGAAACAGGACACGATCTATGCCGTCTCGCACCAATCCCACCGATACCCTCCGACCTGTACCCAACCGTAACCGACCCAAACGACAAGGAACCATGGAGCAAGCGCACCACACCACCACGATGGCTCAACGCCGGTACCATCATCGGACGTGCACATGTCACGATAAATGCAACACTGGCATACGGAATGCGAGACCTCTTCGACGGAATCACAGGCTCGGAGCTTGAGGCTGCGTTTGACGACCAGGGGGTCCTCCTCGAGCGTTTCCTGCACGCAAAGCATGGCATCGCGCTGGACTATATGAGTGATTTGTTTCAGACATTCGAGGCTGCTGTGAATGATATCCAGATACGGAATGTGACTAGTCCGGATGTGAGCGATAAGGGTGTTGTGAAGAGGTTTTGGCAGAATGTGTATACCAGGAGTATACCCGCGATACTGCATTTTAATGGGGAGGGGAAAGGTGGTGGGGTTATGGATGAGAAGTGGAGAGGGTTGTGGTTTGTGGGTGGTGAGCGGCCGTTTGTGCCGAGTCCTCATCAGGGTTATTTTGATGAGGTATACGGAGTACCAGCTTAGCTGTTTTTTGTTTTGCACAGGAACATTCGTACTCACATCTTTAGCCATTTTAGGACCGTCTCTTTATATCATATGAGAGTGCCTGCGGTGAAAATGGCACTTCATAATAGGGCGACACACCACTTGTAAATATTAGACTGAACAACACCAAGTATATCTCTTACGCACACAATGTATTTATACCCTCTCTCTATATGTATATAATAATAACAAGTAGTATTTTTGGCCAACTTTTAGTTTACAGGTGCTTCAGTTTCGCAAAATTCCAAGCACAACATCTAAATATTTCGGTGACCGATGTCTACTTCTCACACTCTCAATCTCAGCTATAGTTGCTTCACGGGGCGCCAATACAGCACATGCTTTTAGAGCTTCTAACGCTGCCTCCTGTTCAGAAAAAGTAAGCGTCTTGTTAGCACACCATATGCGAACAACAATGACGTTAAGGACGGCTGATACCTGAACAGAAGGGTTAACATCATCAACATGCACAGTAATACTCTTAATCATTCCATTCCATGCTTCACCATCAAGTTTACTGCCATTCGCATCCCAATTGGCACGAACATGGTGATAAAAGGCAATCAAAGTACGACATGCTTCTATCCGAATCACGTCCTGTGCATCATCTAGTCTTTTAATGAGTTCTGGGTATAGGCTCTTGTATACGGCATCTAAGAAAACGATTGAAATTTCAGTTCATTACATTGACTTTGACTGACGAAGGAGGGAAAAACTGCAGAGAATTACATGCCAACCTAATGCCACCACCAACTCATCAGATATACACTTTACAACACTTACCACTCATGACGACCCCACCCTCCAAAATTCTACACAAAGCCTGCAAACACCCCTTCCTCGAGCCCACATCATCGTCATCAATACACCCAACAAAAGCAGGCGATAACGCTACCTCAAAGATCTCATCCAAATCACTCTTTAGCACAAGATCAGACAAGATGAATGCAACAAGCACTTGTAATCCTCGACCACGAATAAAAGCAGCATCACGACCAGGTCTCCATATGACTGATGGTAGGATAGCTTGGGTTATTATTTTGGGCGTGTATTGAACACAGGTATTGGATGAATTCAGATATCCGGATGTGATTAAATTGTGGAGGAGTGCGAATACACTAATTGTTTTGTTAACGGAAAGAAAGAGTAAATGACACAAAAAAGCAGGATTTTATCGCACCATGATCATGAAGACGTTACCTGACACGGATATCACCATCCCGTTCCTTGGTACATAAATCGCATACTAGCACAACAAACTGTTCCAAGTGATTTCCAATAGCAGAACCAGATTCAGAGATTAATGGTGACAATAATCGACGTTCGGGAGTATGTCGAGTCCATACTCTTGACGCATTGATAAGCCATGACAAGGATGTTGGCAGGTGTAGTGCAAATAATTCAGTGGTTCTAGAGAAGTGATGCAATTCAACCAGCTTCGACATGGCCACATTTGCCTATTTAGATCTCATGATTATCAGTCTTTTTGTGCATTTATCAAAGCTTCAATAGCAAAACAATTGGCAAATTTGAATGTATACCTTTTTGGGTAAGTCACTCCACCCCAATAATCGTTCATCACCAGGAGTGGTAGATACAATAACACATCCCAACAAAGTCTCAAACTCTCCCACACCACTATTACTGCCACTATTACTATTACTCAAGGTCACTTGCCCACTTATTTCAACAAGACAATCCCCAATAGCAGATACAACAGGCACACTCTCAGTCAACGAAAACTCGACATCGGTAACAGCCTCAACAAGCTTCTTTAACTCTTTCCTCTCTATATTCTTTGGCACAGAAGCACCTCGAATCAACCCACTCAAAACTCTTAAATTACCCAACCGTGCAGAAGACGTCGGAGCGACTTTAATGGGCCCTACAATATGTGGCAAATATACATCCGATGTTATAAAACATCCAATCAATTCAGCACACGAGACAGCGTGTTGAATGACCCAGGATTCATCTGATGAGCATATACGACATAATGGTGGTAACAGGATGTTGACATAGCCGGTAGCATGTTGCTGCACGATACGTAAATAGACAGCTAGGATTTGAGCTGTTTTGGCTCGTGTGTCAGGAGTCCAGTGTATTAGACCCTGAGCAAACTTGTCCACCATTTTCATCGAGTGGTCTTTGAATGCGTGGCGAGATCCTACTCGTATACGACGTTGGGGCGTCACACTAGTCGTATTACTCGTCGTCGACAAGTCATACTCCATTTCATCTTTAACACGATCTTCCCAATCGTGTTCATACTGGATCCCAATATCATCTACACCCGTCCAGCACAATTCCGCTAGTTTGGGCACTTCGTCAGAGCAGCCAGCTAATATGATTGGGTAGAATTTATAGCCGAACGAGTATCGGTCGTCTAGATGTAGAGCCCATTCTATGGCAGCTTCGTATAGTGCTTCACGTACAGAGGACGCCTTGTCTAGTGTCAGTGTCATGAGGGCGTCAAGTGATTCGTCGAGGACGGTTGCGTCTGCTATAATTACACATTTTAGAGCCTAATATCAACATAAGAAGAGAAAAAGGGTGAGTCTTTCGAGACATCTCGACAGTGAGCATGTCCTTTTGCGCTTTACCCGAATGCCAGCAATCCTAACACCAGAATGCCGATGCGACAAGACTCCAACCACAATAGCTTTAGCAACAGCTGCACTAGAATTTCCTCTCACAAACCTAGCAGCTTCCGTCCACATGACCTGTACGAGTCTACACCCTTCCTTCTTGACTTCAGCATATGAATCATGTAGTGCTGCGACTGCTGCAACTGACAATGCAGGTAAAAAGGGAGCCATCAATACAGGTGATGATTGTACAATAGATATTGCCAGTCGTATGAGACTCAGACGTGTTTCTTCTGATGGTTCAGTTGGGGTTGGGATCGTTGATTGCTGTGGTGACAGGCGATGTAGGACTGGAGGGAGTAGTGTTTCTATGTGATTTGAAGTGAGAGTGCCGCAAGCCTCCACGAATCTAGGAAGAAAAAAAGGATTGAGATTGTGCTCTCGTTTTCACATGAACAGAAAAAAAACCAGCCAAAATCGTGATGCAGATAGTCTGTTGCCTTCATCAATCTAATATGTATGGATTGTACCTTTTCAGAGTATCAACAGCGAGTTCTCTCACTTTTTCTATTGAGTCGTAGAGACTGCGAATCAGAGCAGAAGATACATCCATCAATAGTTTCCGAGCGAGTAGTGGATCTAGTCCTTGTGATCTCGATACAGAATCTCTGGCTATCTTTTCCAGAGCCTTCTTTTTGGCATTACGATCTGCTTGGACGTCCAATAAAATGTTTAAATCTCGTTGAATAGACTATGATAGAGAATAGATTAAGGTTAGATCCAATGAATAATAGTATATAGTACTATGTAGACGGCAATTGCCTGTATAATCTGCTCATAATCAGCTTGTAATGCAGGCGACAAGTCTACGTCCATTGAAATGCGTTTTGATGAATCTTGCACTTGGGCTTGTTTGGAGGATGCGACTGAGAATTTGCGCATTTCACGTTCGGCGTCCATGATTCCCTCATCTGATTGCTCCGCGTTGCTGGCCAACATTTCCTGCATTCAATCTATGACTTGTTCATGCGAAGAAGAGGATATATAAACCAATACCTACTTTAATCACGAGGATCAGCATATACAGTTCAAGTCATGCCTAAAGTGAATCTCAGTTTTGAGATGATGAAGGTACGTGAAGCTTGAAGCACAATTTGTTTCTGACTCAATGTACTAACTGGCCTCCATATTCTATCATACTAGTTTGGAATCTATTGTCTATTTCCTGTAGGCACTTTATACGTATACAATAGGCCCGAAGTACAGGACTTTTTCTTTGCTGGTCAGGTATAAACATTCGAGCATCAAGCACCAACAACAATAGCTTTCCATATTGACCAACCACTCTCATATCTAGACTCATGCATTAGCGGAATTCATGCCAAAAGAAGCGGATTTGGTTGTATGTCCCAACTTTACTTTGCTACCTTCAGATCAAACCGATGACTCACCCTTTGCTCTCTCTCGATTGTAGAAAGTACCTCATACTATGGAAGAAGTGAATCGCATCACTGATGCTATGAAGAAACAGCAAGATGCAAAGGACAGGAGATGACGCTGTTACCATCGAGTCTAGTTTTTGGTCTCACACTCATACCGTCATATACTCCCGTTTCCACTCTCTTTTCTTGGCTACCAACAATACATTCACTTTTTGCATACACCAAAACCATGACTTTGTATCCTCCTCTTTCTTGATTCGGGTCAGCGTGCAGTCTGCAGGTTGTCGAACTTGCCCTGTTTTGAGAAGTAAAACTGAAGGGTTTAGGAGGGTTAATTAATGTAAAGGGTACTGTGGTGATACAGGCACGAACTCTTTTCGAATGATTTGGTAATCCCTCCAACTTCCAAATCAAGATGTGCTTCATGTCGAAGTTTGTCTTCAGGAAAACGAACATGGGTCCACATTCACCCCCCATCGTCCAAAGACCTTCTAATGTTCTTGCTGGTACATGGCACTGGTTTGATGATGTCGATGATGAGATCTGGAGTTCAAAGGCGTGTGTCAGATAGGTATGGAGAATCATCAAACAGACATTATAACAATGTAAACGTTTTTTTTGTTGCTGTACAAGATTGAACTTTGCACTGCCGCAAAGACCATTCCCATTGGCTTTCGAGGTTTGGAGTGTGGCTCCATCGGACTCTAAAATCAATGAAACGACACAAGTTGTCACCAGTAGATTGGAGAAGGGGGGGGGGGGGGGGGTCGAAGCAATGGTCTCATTGGCTCAACGTGACCCATATCTTATGTTTCACGTTTATATTAACAAGTTAACTCTCTTTACTAGGACGAGCCTTGTCATAACTATGAGATCCTGACGAAAGGGCATTCTCCTTTTGAGACAATTTGAAGGCACGACCTTACACGATCAATTTATTACTGGTGCGACCAGACTATAGGCTCTACGAACGATTGTTATCAGCATTGTCTATTCGATTTTTTTGCCACTAAAATATGGTCAACGTTGGTAGTATACATTGTTGGCACCCCTCCTTCAATGGTATTATGAATCAATTTATGTGGTGCTGTCGGATTAGAGAAAAAAGTGCACAAGCAGTCACAAATGTGAGTCTTGTCAAGATCACACAGCTCGTGTTTAACAAGACCGCACATTTCACCTCCATTGCTCCATGTCACTGTCATACCAGCGAAGATTTCGTTTGTCTTTCCTGGATCATTTCAAAACAAATTCCTTCTTTCAAGTGTATCAGACCGTTCAAACCGGTTCACTTTTGAAAACGCCAGTTAGTTTTATTTAGAATGTTTATGTTATTACTCTCAAATTAAGACAGAGACTCTTTAAATTGACGTACGATACTTCTTCCTACACAAGTCAAGCAAGATGGGCTTCTGTAATGAGACATCGAAGATTGTCCTCAATACGTCGAACATGAGCGACATCGAAACCCATCTTTTGAAGATAGTCCTCTGACGTTCGTGCTGGTAGTAGCAACTGGTTTGATGATGATGATGATGATGAGGTTGCCACTGCAGAAGGTGTTGCTGAGATTGGTTTAGAGAACTATGGAGAGTATAATCAGTGAAAGGTTTATTTTTCCTTAGCAGATTGTCTTCACCAAATCCGGGAACTTACAGTGTAGCAAAGACCATTCCCATTGATATTTAAGACTTCTTGGACGGTAAGATTTCTTGTATTGTCGATTGGGCTCTAAAACAACAACAAAGGTCAAGTTTGCTACATTATAAACGAAGGAGCAAAAAACAAGGACAACGGGAAGACTAATTGGCTCACCTTGAACCCCCACATCTCATCCTTGACATTTGCATTAACAAGTTGCTTTTCCTCACTAGGTCGAGTCTTGTCATAGCCTTGAGATCCTCCATATGAAATAGCATTGTCCCTTGAGAGGATTTGGAAGGACCACCAGATACGATCAATTTGCGAGTGATGCAACCAGAAGATAGGATCTGAAAAGGAGTTGAAGACCGATCAATATGATTTTTTTTTGCGGTGAGGCACCTCAACAGTGTAGAGTCCTCACCATTAGTACTATACATTGTTGGCATTTCACCTCCAATAGAATTATGAATCAAGTTATGTGGTCCTGCCTGTTTGAAACAAAGAAACTCAGTAAAGTCAAGGGTTACGTAAGAACCTTATCAACAACACCACGATTCAATAAGACCAAAAGCAATCAACCTACCTCCAAACGCTCTTTGAACGTATCATACCCAGCAGAACCCACAATCAGCGACATTGCCTTTGGACTATACCAAACAGGCAAAGTATGATTTGTAAATCCATTTTGCTCTTTAATAGCACCATCACCTCCAAAACGACGTTCAATGCAATGAACTGGTCTTTCTGATGAAGAAACATCCGTTGCTGATGATTCTGCAGAGGTCCAGTTTCCAGCAACACCATCCAAGACACATGATGTGGGTAGTTCGTCGTCTTGAGGGTCTGGGGGTGATGACGATGTTGTTACACCATCCGTTCCAAGATATTTGGCATTCCAGAGAGGTGCTGTGTGTGGTTTTGCATAGTCGAGAGCCCAGTCCTATTTGTGTGATGTGTTTGTTGAATGGGATTAGAATTTGAAAGAACCAAAAATCCAAATTCAAGACACATTCCATACCCAATAAGGGATGGTAATTGATGAATCTACAGCTTGTAATTCCTTTTCAAAGAGGTAGGTAAACCATCTATGCCATGGAAGAAACTGAGGCTAAAGAAGTAGAGATGGAACGTCAATATGTGGAACTCGCAAATCAAGCAATCCCACTGGGATTTTTACCGTAGCATGACAACTAGCTGCATTCAACAAATGTACATGCACGAAATCCTCATACAAGTTCCTTCGTCCCATTTTCGATGGACTGGACTTGATGACTGATATGGCATGTAGGAATTTGGTGATTTCAGTTTCAGTGAGTTCTCGCCATTCCTTTCTGCAAGGTGCCAAAATATAGCTGAGCTGCCGGAATTTTATACATGTAACCAACAGGTTGTGTTTCGCCATACTTACCGAAGTTGAGGATGCGTGCAAGTAGTTGCAGGAAATATGGCTGCATGTGAATCTTGATCACCAGATGGTGGTGGTGATGGTGTCCTGCTAATGGATACAGATGCGACTTGATCAAGGCTCAAGCCAAGAGTTGTTGTGCAGATCGATACGACGATGATGATGCAGAAATTTACAATCATTTTGCTTGGAACTTGGATTTTGATTCGAGGAAATGCAGATCAAATTTGGTAGTGCTTTGTATTGCAATATTCTGAACAGGGTACTGTGGGAACAACCCCAAAGTGTCAAACTGTGAGAACGACTTGAAAGTCACAGTGACGTTGACAGGTAAATACAACTCATTTTCCCTTGATGAGAGTGAATAAGTCCAAAGGGTATTGAATTCTGTTCACCTGAACCTTTTTCAATGTTTGTGTGCCTTTAAGGAAGCCAACAGGGATTTCAACGAGACCAACAACTCCAATTTGTACTTGGATACGATGATTTGAATATTTTGAGTCAGAGAAATAGAGAATAGATAAATTACTTGGCTCGGTACTATGTGGTAATTGGAAGGTTGGGTTCGTCAGTCATGACAACCAAAAAAAGCGCAAATTTAAGCTTCCGTATCTACCTTCTTGAGAGCAGCCTCACTCTTCTCGCACTTCCAAGACAATTCATGAGCATTTTGATCAACCTATACAAACACATGGTTGTCAGTATCAACCAGCCAAAAAAATGAAGCTCCACAAATCCGCTAGATGATCCCTCACAATACCTTCTTATCCATAGCCTCTAGCTTCTTAAACATATCCAATTGCAAGGTTTGCATCTTTTCCATGATGGCTAAAGATAAAACGTATTGTTAGGACAACGGCTTTGCGTCGGTTGCGGAAAAAACACCTCATCCAAAAAAAGGGTCCAAAGTAGGCTATTCATATGACAACAAGCCTCTCGTGTACCTCGAATATCTATAGACCGAGCCCTCTCATGTAGCTCGAGTTCAAGCAATCTCTGCTCAAGAGCAGTAATTGAGCTCTTGTCGAGATTGGAAGGCAGCACTGTTCCAGCCGTTACGTTCAATCTGGTCAGTTTGGCCTAGAGTAAAAAGCGCAATGAGTAAGGTTGTGCACGTTGGTTTCCTCAAACATTTGGATCCTATCATCGATTGTTCTGTTCAGCGACACGACACGTCAAAGCAACCTACATCCTTTTGTCGAACAGTAGGATCAAGACCATGCATACGATCAAGCTCCGTAGCAATCAATCCAGCGTTAAAAGCCTTCTGGAATTTCCCAACCTGATCATTGGGCATTTCGGTTTCAATGACATAGACTTTCTCGTCTGCTGTGAGCTTTATCGATGCTCGGTATGCTTTATAGTGTTTTTCCAAGTACCTGTTTATGTTGAGAGGAAGGTGTCATTTTGGGACTATTTGGTTGCAAAACCCAGATATCTGCATTTAGATTTTCCGACGACCATGGCAAAAAATTGGCAAGTCATACAGTATTGACTAAACTCACCAATAAAGCTCTGGCTCAGTCTCCTTCCATATCTGCCACGACACGGTAGAAGTCTTGGCTAAGAATGTCACTGTCCTCGCGTCTTTCGAAAGATCTTCGTCCAATGAAGCCATGTTATTTCTCTATCGATCGCTCAGTGATGAAGCAGACAGTATATTCCAATCTATAATGCGATGAGGTTCAAGATTTTTTTAGTTGCTCAACAAACCTCTCAGCTTCGCACCAAATCACGTAAAAAAAGTTTCCGAAGGATGTTGGCCAAACACAACAAAGACAGCAGCAAGTCGCTACAAAATCAGCAAGTGCAAAAATTGTCTATTGAGGTGGACTTATTATTTGTACAGTTCACGGCTTCCTAGAATTTATCCCTTCCAACAACCTTTCTAAAAACTTGCTCATGTTTCCTTCATCAGAGCGTGACAGCACATCCTGAACAAAGTCATGATATGCCTGCCATATTTCTGGAAGGTCCTGAACATTTTGAAGAAAGAAAATAAGAATGTGTTTAAAACAGAAAAAACCTTTAGTAGTGGGCTCTCACTTTGAAACAAGCTTCAAACGCATCCACACATTTCTTCAATGCAGCAGGGAATAACGGACTTGTTGGATCGTTTGATGCGTCCAACCATAGATATCGTTGAGCTAAAGCAGCCTTGCTTTGTACAGTGGTGAAGTCTCGTTCGATTCTAAAGACGTGAAACAAAATGAGGACCAACATTCAGGAAACGACTTGAGCTTATACTCACGAATCATAAACTTCATTCTGCCCGACAGACGGAAACTCGAATTTCCGATAAATGGAAAGGAATTCAAGTCTGAAATCAAGGTCTTTTGAAATTTCTAATGTGCCCAAAAAAAGGAAAATAAACAAGGTGGATGAGCGATGCTCAATAGATTCCGGGAAGACAACAATATATTACCTTTGATAGCATTCCGATATATAGCTCTAGGTATAGCACCATCGAAAAAGGCTGTTTGGGCAGGAGTCATTCCTTCACTGAGTAGCGTTTCGGCAACAGTGAATGCGGATTCCTAGCAAGTACATCAGTTAGCAAAAAAGACAGCGATATAAGCTATGCTGTATTTACCGATTGTAAAGGCAATGGTCGTAATTCAGATTCTTGAGGCAACGACGGTAGTTTTATCATCGTCCCATCTTCATCGTCGTCTTCGTTATCTGAATCTCCTTCCTTGACATCGTTAGCTTCCTTCTTGTCATCGGCGCCCATCAAGATCTTGCGTCGTAGCAACAGCTTGTGGAGATACAGACATTCAAGTTTAAAGTATTCGTGCCATACGAGCTTTGAGCTGTTGAGGAGACGTAACGCCCGTTGGAAGAGTGCTATCAAAAGGAATTGAAAATCAGTATTCAATCAACACATGTAACCTTTTTTGTGGTGAAGGACTCACATCTAGCATTAACCATATTCTGATTCTCCTCAAACTCCCACCCGGCCGCCATAATCCAAAACACCTCCTTCAACGGATGCAGCTGTATAGCCCTTGCAAAGCTCTTTCCCAGGGCTTTCGTACTCTTGATCTCCTGTGCCCAGTTCAAGTATTCCACCCACAGTTCAACATCACCACCGAACTTTTTCAGAGCCTTTTGATACAGGGAATGGATTCGTTGGACGATAGAATAGTCACTAACAGTGATTCCTTTCGCGCCGTTACGTTTGTTGGCAGGCTGGTTTAGTCCAAGTCGGTGTTTGCGCTTCTTGCGAAGCTTTTCGAGATTGATTTCGTAGGATATGTAGCGGAGGTAGTCGGATTTTGAGGTTATGCGGCGGTGGATGGCGTATTCGAAGGATGTGCGGGATTTAACTATGGACTTTATTTCGACCTGGTTAAGGAGAAAGGTGTCAGTTCGATATCCAACTGGATATTTTTTTGTGTGTTTTGACGTTTACTTTGCTAAAGACTCCACGTTCTTCGAGATCCCGTAGCTCGGGTAGCATCCGCTCCAAATGATATTGTACTTGCTCGGCCATCCTTCGTATACGGTGTTTGTTTCAATCGAACGGGTTGTGTTGTCTACTTGCAAAAAAAAAATCACGAAGGCTCTGCAAAACAATCACCACGAACAAACATCCCCCTACAACAACGTCTCTTGCTACAGTATGAGTATATTTATCTTTTTAACTACTACTAATATATTCTCGCTATGCAAAGTGCAATCAAAATAATACAGTGTGTGCAAAATACCAAAACTCTAAGTTATTGGAACTAGTAGTAAAATTCAGTCAGTCTTTCTAGTTCTGACACCAAACCAAATCCAAACGAAACCGAAACCAAGGATATAAAACTTACAGCAAAAGTTCCAGAACAATCGATACCAAACGTTCCTCCATAAGTCAACCTATTAGTATACGACTGCAGATCCGCAACATAGGCAGCAATAACTGCTGGATTCGATGCAAGCCTCCAATCTGACATGATACTCCTATCATTCAGCTTCTCTTCCTCAAAGTTCACCACCATCTTTAGTAGTGGGAAGTTGGACAATGTTGTGGGTGCGTACACTTGTCGCCACCAGCCTATAAAACATTCGTTTTAGTATCAAGGCAAAAAAACGGTAATAATGTGGCTGATAATACCTTGTTTCAGAGTCAACTCATCAACTCCTCCATATGCGGGATGATATGGGGACCCACTTTCAGGGAAACACATTGGCTTGTTCTTTGCAGATGCGAAGCGTGTGTAAAAGTCGTGGTTTGTCTGGTTGTATCTTGCGTCTACTAGAGCATCAATGGTTGGGCCTTGGGCAAACATGTAATCCTGTATGATGATTTGTAAGTTTTTGGGCAGAGCCAAAAAAGATGGTCGCGACAATCGCTGAAAACTTACAGAGAAGTACGTAGTCTGGAATGCAACATTGGTGGTTCCTTCTTGGAAGACGTATAAACTGAGTCCAACCCAATCAACGTAGTCATCGCCAGGATCTGTCGGAAAGAAAGTATGAGAATTTTGTGGGATTAGAGAAGTGACAATTGTAAAGACTCACAATATGGACCATACGGCTATAGAGACCATGATGGAAAAATGATGAGTGTTGAAGCAAAAGCAATATGTCTCAAACACAATAACTTACGTCGTCAGCATCATTTATCACACCATCCGCATTGGTGTCCAACAATTTCCAGTCAACTGATCCAACAGCAGGTAGTTGAGCTGCAGTAGCAGAGAAGGGATATGTTATTCCCACATTAGGTGCCCAAAGCATGGCTATTTCACAGCATGACGAATGTTAGAACGCGCCCCTTTATTTGTGCTTGTACCGAATATAGAAGACCCACCTGTGAGATTACTGTACTTTCGCATAATAGTGGTCATTCTCCTAAATCCAGTGACATATTGTGTTGGTTTCAGACCATAGTTAGTCCATGCACCTAATAGTATAAACAATAAATTAGCTCGCTGCATCTTCCAAATCTTTCATCTGTATAACCAACAAAACGAAGCAGACTCGTATCTATACCATTCATCTCATGACCAAAACGCAGCAGCACAGGAACACCATATTGTGAATTAATGTAAGCACAATCTTTCGCAAGGGCAGTCAGAGTCGAGTCAGGAATGAGCGACATATTCACAATAGGTTCCATAGTGACTTCGAGCATAGAGCCAGTGAGAGCAGCCTGTTGACCCATCCAATACAACATTGCCGATCCTCCATATTGGGTTTCATCCATTGTTGCAAACATGGCTACGACTGCTGGTTTTAAGCCAGCCATACGAGTTGATATGTTTTGTGGTGTGTCGACCTGTGTATGAATAGGGTGTTGCGGTTAGGATCAAAGGTGGTGTTGAGACGTACCGTGAAACTTGAACGCAAAAAACCGACAGTGTATAAGAAACAGGATACGTACAGCCCAATCGACAGCAAAGCCCCACATAATCTTTCCAGCAGGCGGTTCCAGCCTTCCCAGACCAGTCCTGTTTGTAGCCGAGCATGCAGCGGATGTAGGATCAATAACAATTTTGGGAGCTGTAGCAGATACCCTCTTTGCATAGACCAAGTAAGCAAGGAATGCCATGCCAGCCATAGATAAGGTCAAAGCAATAAAAGCCTTAATCCAAAACAGCACATTGCATAGTCCTTTATTGCTCTTGCTACGAGGTTGTGAGCTAGGAGGTGGAGGTATTCGATGTAGAGATTTCTCATTAACTTCCATAGACAATTCTCGTCGTTGCCGTAAAGGTGTGTCTCCGTTTATTCCGTTTGGAGCTAGGTTTGTGGTAGTGAATGCATTGTTAGAGTCTAAAAATGCATGGTTTTGGAAAAGCAATCGCCTAGTACTTACTTGGAATGGGAGGGAAGGTCCGGGGCGGTGGCCTCCTTTCCAACGTAGTTGCTTCGTCCCCTACTTGAGACGGCATGCTTGTTGTCTCTCTCCCTCTCTCAGGTCCTTGTCCGTTATTGGTGGTGTTGTTGTGGCTTTCAGACTCAAATTGGCCAGTAGTAAGAACGCAAAAATGTCCACAATTGGATTGAAGGGAGAGTGCAGAAGTAACGTTAATCAGTTACAAGGTGACGTGAGAGAGATCAGCCTTTTGTCGTATGGAGACCAATGAAGCGCAGTGAATCGCCATGACCCAAACCGCTTTGAAAAACTTTGAAATGTGCGGATGGAGAATTTCTCGCGTTCCTTGTATCGACTAAGAGAGGTCGTACTTTACGAGCACTGGAAAACATGCCATGACGCTGGTATAAGATCCACTCTTATCCGGTTCCTCATCGCTGAAAACGCGTTTGCTCCAAAAACATGAACACGACGATAAACACCTAGTTTTAAGAACGACACACGTGTAGATTGAACGTCCATAGATATTTTCATACATGATGCACCATTTTGGTATGAGCGATCGCCTGTGTTTGACTAGTGGACGGACCTGCTAAACTTGAACTTGAAGCTTCTCGCAAGCCAACATACGGAGACTACGCTATGTCGCGTCAAAACACGACTAGAACGGTAGCTACGAAGAATGGAACTGTTAAGAATCTTTAAATGTTCGTGGCATGACTCTTCAAGTGGAGATTCTCCTCCTTTGCTTGTGACCAAGTTAAAGTTTAAAAAGGTGCCATCAAAACAAAACCTCCATCCCACTCTTCCTTCCAAACAAAACAACATCCAACTTATAACATATAACAAGTAGCATACTACAATCTCACAACTATGTCCGGAGTACTTGAAAAGGTTTTACTATGTAAGTCATCGTTTGATACTTCGCAGCCTCGAGGCAACGTGAGGAGCTTTTGACTCCGAAACGTTATTGTTGTGGGAAGGACTGTCCGTCCATTCTATTTGAATGAGACGGTATGGAATGCAGTCTAATCATTCAAAGGCACATCAAAGTCGGTTTGAATGGGCCCTCTGATTTTCGAATCAGAAGATTTGCCGCAAGTTTTGAGAAGAAATATTTAGTAGTCTTACTGGTTGCTAATACGAGAGAATCAGTTCTCCTCGTTCATATCATCATGATCATCATGATGGTCCCACTGTGCTGTTTTGAGTTGTCATTGTATCTACATCATGACACTAATGTCACTACTTGATCAAATCAACTAACCTAACCACATTCTATCTCTTCTCTTTTAGTCGTCCTGGCTGTCTTGCTTCCACCAGTTGCCGTCGGATTGGTTGAAGGATTCTGCACATTCCCAGTTCTGCTCAATGTGTTGCTTTGCATCCTTGGATGGATTCCGGGCGTCATTCACGCCTTCATCGTCATTCTCTCTCGCCCTGCACCTGGTATGTTCCGCTCTTGCAACTCGGGTCTCGTGTACCAGTCCCAACACTTTGTGCTTGTTTTCCTGACACCTCTCTTCCCTTTCATCTAGTCTTTAATGCGGTCTAGTGAAACAGGATTGCAATATTATAATATATAGTCTGTTGAACCCCTCATCATTTGTGTATGCACAACTCATCAAACGAGAAAGAAGCTTGTAGAATCAATAAAGCTAGCTTACATTATATATATATAACAAAAGTGCGAAACAGAAGTTCTGGGTACCTTTACTGAGGTATTAGGTACTCGTTCAGCAATGTGATGAATGGCTGGATGACACGAAACACTTGAGCAACCTTGTCTCCAAAATCTGGTGACAACACCTCTGCGTCCGTAAAGTTCTTGCCGACCGTGAATCTAAGTTCAACAAATGAGACAGCATTTTAGTCACATATTCTCCAAAATGAAACTGGAGCAAGCTTTTAATGCAAGTTCAACGTATCGTGTAAATGTACCCAACTGCATCAAAAACAAGATGTAAAGTAGGCATAAGATGTAATTCAAACACATACGATTTCATCCTGAGCAAATCAATAGCTTCATGAGTCTTATCATATCCCTTTGGAGCAGTCTTTAGCGCCTCTGATTCAAAAAACTTGTTTCCAAAAATCTCCTTGAATTCACGATTGTTCAAAATATCTCGCAAAGCTCCTGGATTGTCAGCAATATTTTCACGAATATCGGCTAGTTCAGGTGATGATGGTTTCCAAAGGCCACCTCCAACGAATGATTCACCATCAGGAGCAACTGCGGCGCGAGAAATGTGTGAGAAACGGTGGTGATTGGACGAGCTTGAGTGGGCTTTTTGTTATACCATGAACATAGTACTTGGCACTCTCGCCTTTTCTCCCAGTTCTAGATACAGCAAATGCCATATGGGCCTCTAAAAGACAATGTAAGCTTCATCATCGTCAAGAACAAAGTGACTCAACTCACGGTATGGAGGTCCTCCAAATCTACAATCTCGGTTGATTCGAAACAAGGCTTCTCGAGCATCGACATTCCTGATAGTAGGATCAATGTCTCTGGCTTTTGCAATCATGCTTGTGACGAAGCGAGTGAATTGTCTGCGTAAGGTGTATTAGCTTGTCAGTTCAGGTTGAGCTATGAGCTTCATTGAATTCAAAACACAACCGAGACATTGGTCTTGTACATACGGGCGATATTTGTCATCTAATGGCTTCTTATGAGCATGCATCCATTCCTTGTTGTTGTTTTTCTAATGGACAGTTAAGAAACAAAGTATTGAGATTGAAAGTGCGGTCCATACGACAACGCTGAGTGTCTCTCCCAAGTACATCGGAAATCCCAACAACGTCAAACAAGTACCAAATCAAACTCAACCAACAGCACGACACTCAGTGCACCGACAATGCCAAATCATAACCACTAAGATCAATAAATCAAAATACCTTGAGCTCTTTAAGAAACTCTAGCGTCTGCTTTGAAATTGGTCCACCTGCACCATCAGTGACTGCCACATCATCATTCTCTTCATCTTCATGCTTGACTTTCTTGGTTTTTCCTTTAGCAGATACTTTAGCACGTTTCGGCTTTGGCTTGTCCTCCTCCTCTTCCTCTTCAGATTCACCGTCTTCATCAGTTAAGTGTTTCTGAATGTTGGATCTTTTACTCGATGACGCAGCCTTCTTGGAGCTCTTCTTTGGAGTGGATTTATCTTTTACTGATTTACGTTTCTTTGCTGTCTTTGGAGCTTCATCCTCTTCTGAAACGTCAATAGAGTCGTCGTCGGACTTGACTTCAGATACATCATCTTCAGTTGATGGTGGAGAGACATCAGATCCAGACTCTGATTTGGATTTCTTGGATGATGGAGCTTTACGTGCCATCGTCTTTGCTTGGAATGGAGAGCGTCGACTACTAGCGATCGTGAAGTTCCAACAATTTCAAAACGTCGCAACTCAGCAACCAAGGACATATTTGTACCAAAAGTGCAATATGGTTGTAGCAGTAGTTCCAAAGCAGGAATCTGAAATGGAGATGCTAGATCGCGTCAAATAGAAGAAACGACACGTTTCGCATTTCCTTTTTTGGTTGCTAGAGCAGGTCTATTTGAACTGAAACTGTGGGAGAACATTATATTATATAAGTGGGATTAAGTTCCAGTGGTAAACTTAAACGGTGGCGGTAGCAGTGGCCTTTTCATCTAAGACTTCCAAGGATGATGGGACCAATTCGTATCCAACTTCACCCATTTCAGCGAGATCAGCACCTACGAATAGTGAGAATTTGTTAGATACATGTTTGTAAAACGACATGAATGTATGGTATATATATGGCAGGACGCTTACCCAAGATTTCTTCTTCTTCAGAAGGACCTGGATTTTAGTTGAGAAAAGAGTTAGGAGAGACGCAAAACAATCGAAAAGCAGAAGAGCGATTCAAACGAGCGAATTTCAAATAAGCACACTTACGGAGGTGGAGACCGGGGATACGGTTGATGATGATGAGCATTATGTATGAAACGAAGAAGGCCCAGAAAGCAATGACTACACATCCTACGATTTGGTAAGCCATTTGGATCCAGTGTTGGTCCATCCAGCCTCCCAAGGGGAGAGATCCATCGAGTTGAATAATCCATCGTTGAGCGAAGAATCCAGTCAAGATACCACCCAAGACACCACCACATCCGTGTACTGCCTACAAATCAGAAGGAGAGGAACGTTAGAAAACATATCTGTTATGATCTGCTCCGTAACATGATCAACCTACCCATGCGTCAAGAGAATCATCGAAACCAAAGACGGTCTTAATACGACAAGTCATGTTACAGAAGACACCAGCAGAGGAACCAATGATGACTGCAGCCCATGGAGCAACGTATCCGGAAGCTGGGGTGATTGCTACAAGGCCAGCGACGGCACCAGAGCAGAATCCAAGACCAGACATCTTTCGGGACCAGATGTAATCCCACAAAGGCCAGGTGATTGAACCAGCAGAGGCGGCGATGGTAGTGACGGATGCAGCCATAGAAGCACGTGGAGAAGCAGCTAGAGCAGAACCACCGTTGAAGGCAACCCAACCAAACCAGAGGAGAGTAGTGCCCAAGAAGACATTGACCAAGTTGTGGGGCTTGAATTCTTCGTTACCACGACGGTATCGTACACCCAAGACCATAGCGTAGGCCAAGCCTCCGAATCCAGAAGCGATGTGTACTGGTCCTCCACCAGCAAAGTCGAAGGAACCGTTACCAGCACCTCCCAAGTTGTGGAGCCATCCGTTTACTATTGAAGACATGGATTGGGGTTCAAGATGGGGCTTTGACAGAAGATTTTGAAATCGTTCGCAACACAGGACTCAAACTTACCATTCCAGGTCCAGCATGCAACAAAGTCATAGACAAAGGTGGCCCAGAAGAAGATGAAGATCATTGCAGGGAGAATTCGGAATCGATCGGCGACGGATCCGAAGATAAGAGCGGGGGTAATGGTTGCGAACATGAGTTGGTACAACATGAATGTGGTGGATGAGATTGCTGGGGCAGTCAATGGCATAGCCCATGGACCAGTGTTTGACTAGAAAGGACCAATATATATGTAAGTTGATGATTTCCACTTATCTGCTCAGTATGATTTCAAAGTCAAGTCTAGGGCCACCACTCACCAAACCAGCGTGTGCAAAGTCACCAATGAATCCGCCAGATCCTTCAGAGAAAGTTAAAGAGAAACCAAAGGCGATCCACTACAAGTTGAAACATAACTAAGTCACCTTGTTTTTATGCATTGATCGAACAAATCAACATACCTGCATCGTCACCACACTGTTTGCCATGAAACATATCATGATGAGCTAGATAATCGAGAGAGATTAGTGCGAGTCCATGCCTGTCCATGAACTTGAGATCGATCTTGATGTTCGGCAAATATGACGTACCGATAAGGCATTCTTTGCTCTGACCATTCCAGAGTAGTAGAAACCCAAACCAGGCTAGAGCACACGGTAGATAAGGTTAGAGTCGTCATTGATAAGATATTCAAGTCGATATGATGGTCATTATCACGCTTCTTCACATCTTCGCCACCACACTAAGCCACGAAGTGTTGCCCCACAATTTTGCGATGGGGCAAATCGGGATGTGAAATACGTACTGTCATGATGAATACAAGGGCAGCACCCCTATATAAGTGGAATCATTTTTAATATAATTGTCTTGACATCCTTTGACGGCAGGAAATTCAAGCTTTTAATAACGAAACAAGATCGTACCAGATCATGAAACCTTGACTGCCAGTGTCAGTGGGAAATATGGCAGTAGGAGTTGCCCATCCCGAGTAGATGGCAGCGAGCTGGCCGTCACTAGTATTCATGATGTTCTATGTTGCGAAGTGAAAGTTTTTAGGTTTAGCTTCTTGAATCAGAGTTGCAACCGTAAATAGAATAACCGGTTTTTGTGCATCAGATGCAGCACTAGTTTTGAATCCATCGCACAGTACTCACCTTGGCTGTATGCTATCAAAAAGCTTCTAGTCAAGAACTACTTCCAGATGTCGGTGGTTGTGTTAGAAAGAAGAAGGATGTGTTGAAATAACTTGAAAAAAACAGGGGGTTGGCGATAACAGGTTTTGGCTCAGCACGATACGGGTGGGCAAGAGATTAGCGGATTTCGTTGCTGGGGCTTTATCGGTTGTCCAGTTCGGTTGTCTAGGATTAGTCATACCTGCACTATTATCATTGCTGGGATTTGCCTCATCTGTCCATCCAAACATATGCCCATACGTCATACTCTCAACGTGAAGTAAATTCACCGAGTGCATCGTACAATCCTTGCCCAATTGGAAGCGCTCTTGGCCTATATGTCTTCAACGAAAAAATTTCGAGCTTTTTGCTGTACTTTCTGCTGATTGTTTCGACTTGGATCTATTGGCTCTTGGTTAATATAGATATCCTCGCGTTGATCGACGGTTGATGTGTGGTCTAGCACATGTTTGTTCGTGTATGCTTCGCTAACAGCAGTACATGTCAGACCAGTCGTAGTATCTGATAATTCTGCGCCACAAAACGTTAGAATAGATTCAGAAATGGCAGAAATGTGTCTGCTGCCCAATTCGCTCAGTCAACACGGATGTTTGTTCTTCTACTATCGACCTTGTATTCGCAATGACTAGGCTGAGGATTACAGTTTGGCAGCTTCACCATGGCACGTCTTTGATCCACAATGATCAGTCTGTTGAGGTGGCACATCCAAGGTTGGCGTTACTGTATAAAAGTTCGCTGGCCTATATACAAATCCAGTCATCTCGACGGGCTAAATAAGATATTTTGTTACGTTATTAGCATCAAGTTGATCCATGTTCTTACTCGAACGTCATACCATAATGGGCCAGTCCTCCGTCTTGGGACAATGCGTCAGACCAAACTGATGCCACATCACTAAATCTTCCTTGACGATCCTTCTATCTTTTTCAACCCATTTCGACACTCCATCACTTTTGCTAGTCAAGTTGATGAAAGTTCCTGCAGCCCAGAATTCCGCTGGGTCTGCTTTCGTAACCCAGAGGTGTTTGCCTGCAAATCCAGCCCGTTTTGCAATCATCGAGTCCTCGTTGGCCATAAGAGGTTGGGAGTTGGTGGGGAAGAGCTTATAAGCTGGTATCTTTCCTGTCGTCTTATGAGGTGGATCACCCTCATACAAGACTTTCCATGTTCGGGCTGTATCGAGATTAGCTAGTCGGCCAGCACTCATTTTTTCAGACTGCAATACGGTTTCCTTCGTTGTAAATGCGTTTCCATATGGATTCTCCTTGCCCACCACAGGCACCACATCGACTTCTGTTACAGTATTTGAGCCTGGTAAATCCAATCTGGCACAAAACAGGTGTTGGTGGAAGGTTGCATTGACACCAGGAGCCACAAGCGTTCCATATTTGGGCACACCATCTTCAGATGCTGTTGAGGATGATGAAGGCATTCGGTTAATTGTCGACTTTCCATATAAGCTTATTCATACAATATTACACAGAGATTCAACGCATAAATACAACACAAACGTACCACCAATGACGGACAAGATTCCAGTTGCCTTAACCTCGCACTGAATAGCTCCGTCTAACCACAGGTACCAGTATACACAATACTCGTAATTCAAGAGGGTTGCTGTGAATGAAATCACGAGTCTCCTGTTTCGACGGACCTCGACCTTCTTGGTCGCAAAGTCGGTATGCTTCCAGAGAATACCCTATCAGAAATCACACATTAGCCACATAAACTACGAGGAGTAAGTTTCAAATTTTGTAATACTTGGTCCTCCTCGTGTATGCAAATGGCATTCTTGATGGTTGTAACGTCGCCTTTTGATTGAATAAAGGTTGAGTATGCTGTCTGCGTGTCAAAACTTCACTCTTTTCACAAACACCTACCGGCGCCGTTGCCGAAGACAAAATCGAGATATTCGACATCTACAAAAACACGTTTGTCAGACAACTTCACTCTGTTTGCTTTTAAGAATACTTACGGCCAACACAATCACAACCGTATTCCAACGGGTTTGCGAGATTTCCAAGTCCAAGTTCACCAATATCAAAAGCGTGTTTACGTGGAACCGGCATTCGAGGATCTCCATATGGAACAACCATCTCATTGATACTAGCCCGATGCAAAATCGGACGTTTGGTACCAGATTGTCTGTCATCAAAGACTATATCGTGGAGTACCAGCCCCTCTCGATAGTTTTGGCCAACCGTCAAGGACCAATTGGCCCACGTTACACGTCGGCCCTCGATTTTGAAACTGGCTCCTTGAGGTTGCGTGATCTGGAATGGTTTCAAGTCCTAATTCATTGAAACGTTGGTCGTGGACACTTTGCTTCTGAGATTGTCCTTGAAATTGATACATACAGTACGGAAACCATTCCATTCAGTGCTATACTTGGCGGCATAGTTGGCAGTTGCCATTGGTACACCGGCCTTGGTTTCCTTTTCGGGGAAGTAGTCGAGTTTGATCATCTCCATAGCAATACAGTCGACAATTGGACATATTGGCAAGGGATGAGCGTAATAGCTAGTGAGAGAAGGTGAGTATCCGGGTGGTACGCGAGAGTGATCCAGGAAGCAGCACTTACTTGTCGTCTTCAAACAGCCGTCCATACATGAAGCACTGGAAGACTCTCTTGCCCTGCGAGACACAAGAAACAATTAGACAGTGGTTTACTACACAACAGTTCAGATACTAGAATACCTCATGTTCGGGCCAGCGTCCCAGAGGCCACGGATCAATGACAACCTGATCCATACGAAGACCGAATTTAGCACATACCTCGATAATTTTGGGGTGCTTCAACAAGTACCTGATATTGGGTGTGTGAGTTTCGATAATTTGATGTACAGGCAACATCTGAAATCACTCACGCTGCCACAGCATCAAGCTCCTCTCCAATATACGTTGGTTCGACATCAGGAACAATTTTCCAGCTTTTAACCTGCCCCTTGGGTGCCAGTTCAACAGTTGTTTCAACAATCGTTCCTAGTTGACCCACGTGAGCGATAAACGTAGACTACAATCCACACGTTTCTTCGATTTAAAATCAACACGTTTCTACAATCTCCACCACCAAATGACAAAACTTACTCGTCTTATCAGCATTCAGCAGTGCCACAATAACTGATGCCTCACGAGGAATCAAATACTTGCTATCAGCCTTCCATTTCCGAAATTCACTCTTTGTAGGCTCGTTTTGGATAATCGAGTAAAAGATGATTTGGTTGAATAGTAAATCGGGCTTGTAGGCTCGAACGATTTTGGACGCAGAGCGTAATTCGTCTGCGGTAAGAGGATCCAGTGGATGAAAAGGGAGTCCGGGAGCCATGGCGCCGCTTTCGTAAGCTCCACTTGATGGGACTTGCATCGAATATTGGATATGCGTTTGTTGGACGTTGTTTGATAACGCTTTGTATTACCACGATTTTTTTGTGCCGATTTCCGTATCGATCGCCATGTGAAGATACCGTGACTCATTCTTTGCGACTAATCCTAATGAGATTGAGTGTATCAACGCTCTAAACGCACTCCTGTACGCGTTGCAAAGCGGTTTTCAAACAACACTGAATACTACCACAAGATCGATGATCAAATGAGAGCTAAGAAGGCTCTTGATTTAAACCATGGATTTATATGTACGTAATACTACAAGAATAACGACCAAAATGAGGTTTCACTTATGCTCTCCAAGCTGTGTATTCAAAATACGAATAAACACCCCATGCAATAAATGCCAGCCAAAGTGATGCAACGTCAACGGCCAGCGTAGACCTAAGTTGACAGTTCACATTACAAAAAAATCTCTATATGAAGTTGAAACAGCGTACTCACCACACGACTCCATTCAAAGCGCTAAGACCATCAATACAGGTCGGGTATTCCATGACGGTTATCGCTGCATGACAAACATGCGAGAGTCCCACTGAAGTATTTATGGCAGCAGCAAGGGTAATAACTAGGTTGCAGTAAAGATCAGTATCGTGAATCCTTGTCCAAGGCATTCTTTCTTACTTGTAATAGCTGCCGAAGCCAAGAAGAGATACATGATTGTTGTCTTCTTACGGCCACCACGGCCTCGAGTGTTACTCAGAGCGTAGACATTATACATTCCCATTCCGATTGAGGCTAATAGTGTTATGAGGCCCACGGCGACATCAAAATCACAAGTGCCGGTATAGATCTCTCCGTTAGACGCCCAGAAGACACATATCCTGTATGATACTTCAGTGGGAGATGTCCACAAGTAGTATGACTAGCGAAGAAAGTCAAGACGGTGGGGTTTATAACATGTAACAAACATTCCCAATGTTTTGACAAAGACGGTTGTAAGCTATACCTGACTAATAGTGCATGCCGTTATCAGGACACCAAAGAGCTATAGCGACAAATCTTGTAAGAATATATTCATCGGATTGCAAAATTGGCGTTCCAGAAATGTAACAAGTTTCCAAAATTCTTTTTTCGGAGCTTTTTGCACAAGTTTCTGAATTCAACTTACAAAGTGGGCAAAGTGAAGCGAGTAGTATACAGTGGGAGTTGCGACTACGCCCATGGGTATCAAGTTCAAGGTCGAATTAGAGCTGCTCTCAATAGTTTTTGGAAGGAATGGTAGTTGCGGATTTGTGGCCGTCGAAAGGAAAGACGAGCCCCTAGAAACCAAGCCACCTGTCAAACCACAACACTTCCCGTGAATTGTCAATTACACAATTGGTGTATTCACGTTTCAGATTTCGAGACTACTGTCAAACTAGGCAAACTGTCAATTCTAGACGTGCAGCAACAAAAGACAAACCCCAACACGATGAATAGACAAGACGTACAACCCAAACGGCACACACAACACTTTCAGAACACCATTTTTAAGCCCATCACTATGGTGTATTCTATTTAAATTGACGACCATGCAATCATCCACGATGCAAACACTTGAACTTATATATATCCCAACCACGTATTTAATCATCACCACCACCACGTATATTAGCAAGCACCTCGTTGTCATCCTCATCATCACTATCCAGATCATCAAGCCCTTCAAACAGATGCATATCAACCGCAACATCATCAACCCCAACCAACTTGACATCCGAAGCAGCAAGCGTCTTATCCTTCTCAAACAATTGACGTCCAGTTAGCTTACCTTTAAACCTATCAAAATGTTTAGCAACACGACTAAGTGAGATATCACGCATCAAATACTTACCTATCTAACTGTATTCCCTTCTCTTTAGCAATACGCAACTCTTCAGCAGCCATCTCACTCTGAAACCTCTCCCACCATGCATCAAATACCTCAGGCGTGACTTTGGATCCAGCGAAACGTATAGCTTCAGCTTCTTCTTCCAGTCGTATTCGTTCGGCGGCTTGGTGAGCAGCTAGTTCTAGTCTCTTTTTAATTGTTGATTCGAGACAGTCCTTTGTTGATGCGACAATGGCGAATACGGATGCCATGCCGAGGTTTGATTCAGCTTCCTTTATGGCATTAGATTTTAAGTATTCAAGCTCCTCTTCGTTGATGCCTTCGTCGTCCTCAAGTTCAATTTCGGGGATGATGTCTGGGTATGAGGATGGATATGTTATTTTTAGTGAAAGAGAGCACTCCGGGTAGTCATCAGCATGAATCTCGATCGAAAACTCCTTGTCAGATAAAGCTGTAAATTCATCGGGGTATATAGCCTGCAAGGCTTCAAGTTCATTTCGTTGCTCTTCTTCATGATTTGACGACATTCTCTAGATTGTAGAGCCTAACAGGCGATGGCAGATACTCCTATAGGGCTATGCGTCGAACGATGCTGTTATATATGTGTGTTCTAAGGTGTACAATGCATTTTTACAATTTTTTACGTTTTACAGCTTTTTGATCATCTATAGAATCTATAGGTATATCTGCTTTACGTTTTTTATTACGCGTCAAACGACCGTTTTGATCATCAGATTCGTCAGCGACGTGTTCGTCACCGTGTTCCGTTTGCTGAACATTTTCTGGAACGCGTTGTTTCTTCTTCTTCTTCTTTGCTTTAAGCGTCTTCTCGTGTTTGATGCTCAGAATTGGAGCCTCGTCTATGACAGGAGGAGCCTCTGCCACTTTCACATCCCCTTCTTCGTCTTCATCTGAACTGTCCTCAGAATCACTGGCATCAAACCTGATATGTTTGGACTTGGATGATACTGGCTTGACAGATGAGCGAGGCAATGACGGAGCTGGTATGCTGGGGCCAGGTCTTGTATCGGGCCTTGCATCAGGTCTAGCAGGATAATTCATCATTGGGCGACTGGATACAAATCGACTCCAATAATCGTGTTCTTCTCCTCCTAAAAACCATTCAAAGGAGTAAAAAACGCCAATTACATGCTCTTAAATGTGCAGAGACATACCAGCTAGGAACCTCAATTGTATAACTTTAGTATCAGATTGTAGTTGACCTTTATTAGGTTGCTCCACAACAATTTCTTCAGGTACTGATATCTCCTCATCCCCATGCGACTCTATTGTATATGACGGTGTTATTATCAGGCCTTTTTGTTTACGAGTCTTGGATTCATCCACCACAAGGAAGGATCCTGTATCGTGCTTGGTTCTTTGAACGATGGATTCACGAGTGAAATACATTCGTGCTATCTGTGCTCCAGTCACGGTTTTGAATCGTACGTATCCCTGTGTAAATAGATTTTGGTGAGAAATGCGAAAAAAAGAGTCGCGGGTGCAGTGGCATGCTTTTTACACCTTTCCCATTCCTTCTTGATGTTCAATGAATGCAACAGGTGCAACCAGAGTAAACAATTTCTGCAAACAGAGAAGTAGATGGTAAGAAAAGGGAGAGAATCTGTAACATGAGCAACTTTACCCTCAGAACTTGTCGAGTCGTGTGTGGATGAACGCCTGAATACTCAGCAACCAAACCAGCCCGTTCATTGATTCCTCCAGGCGGTGGAGCAGATCTTTCAGCCAATTGATTTTTTCTGGCATTCAAGACGTTTCGGTATTCCTCCATCCTCTTCATCCATTCAGACCTATGTTCAACAAAAAATATCAGGCTTATAGAGACCAAGAATGTTTCTTCAAACTTACTTGAGCATAGCTCTCAACCCCGTCTCTCCACTCAACACAATATCCTTCCAATTCTGTTGATTCAGTGCTTGAAACTTGTTCAACACTGGCATTGATACATTTGCTGCATCTTCGCTTTCGAATGTGATGAAGCAATACATGGGTGCATCCTTTTTAGGCATGTCGATATAGACTTCGGGTAGAGGGGAGATATTGGATGTTGTTAAGAGTTGTTGGATTGATTCGACGGTGGATTTCGGTGGCAGGTATTCCTATACGTGTGTGATGAGTCAAGTCATGGATGCGAAACACGAAGTTTCCATCTGAATTTCTTACAATATATAAAGTTCTAGCGTCAATTGCAGCGAAATCCGGTAATCCATGCCGTGGTTTTATCGATCGTCCATCTTGGCTGATCTAAAATACGATTGGGTTGATCAGCGACTGTTAAAACACAACAAAGCTGTTTTAAGTAGTAATACCTCTAAATCAGGTGCATAAGCTCTAACAGCTTTAGATATCACAGCTTCATCATTTGTGAGTGATTTGATGCGTACAAACAATTCAGTAATGTCCAGCCCTACCAACACAGAGCCCATCAGAATGCGAAACCAACGATCAGATACATTCATATAGCGTATTGTGCTTACATCCATCGGTAGCCTTAACGAGCTTTTCTCGAATCCAGGCATCGTGACAAATTGCTAGATTTCCAAGTAAGCTTGAGACTTTTGCAGCGACGCTTTGTTCAAATGCTACATGGGGATATACTGGATTTGTCATGCCTAGGCTATTGATCAACTCGTCGTGCCATATGTACTACTGATGAGGTTTCTATTATTCGCTGAATTGCTATTTTACACAACGACTATTCCGCACACTTATACAACCCTCGGTCACCTCCAAAACGTGTCAATCACTCTCTACTTTCTAGGTGGTGATGCTGGCGGCGATGGTAGTCCACCATGTTCAAAAATGTTGATTTTGGACCTGATATTCGGACAGATTAGTGCAGCTATATGAATCTCTGGCAGAATCTTTGTCTCCTGCAGAGCCTCGAGTTTGGCACGTTTCTTAAACCCTTCAGAAGCGTTACGATTTCGTAAGCGTTGGTTCAATTCAAAGGCAGTCTTGGCTAACTTTGGTGCCAGAGACGATGTAGGAGCGATTATTCGATGCACTATCGATACGCAACTGTCAGTCAATGTGATCGAAGGTCCTTGTCCAGTCAAAGCGTCTCTTCAATGTCTGCCGTTTGCTTACTTTGATTCAAGTCGCTGGCCTCCCAATCTTCAGACTTCATTCGTCGAGTAAGAGCTTTATTCAATGCGTTGCGAGTAAGAGCCTTCCTGAGCAACATAACTTTCGGCAACAGAGTTGGTTGGATAACTGTCCTTTGCGCTCCATGTGTGGTTGATGACTTTGGCAAGGCTTCTCGAGGAATGACATTACGTTCACTAAAAGTCGGAAAGTGAGCATTTGGAATAGTAGTTTACAGAACTTTTGGAGAACTCGTATACGAGTAATCGGCCATCCGAACTAAAATCACGTGAAGCACTATACCTGAGTTGTTGTATGTTCAATCTTGCTTCAATCCTCTTTGTCAGATTTCGTTTTCTAGACCAGTTTTCGAGTCCCTTTCTTGCCTCCAATAGCGCTCTAAGCGTTGGACTTCCTAAATAACCACCAGTTGCCAAAATTCGGCGCATATGTTCTCGAGTGGGACCTTTTATGATGTTTAAAGTGACTAAATCTTCTCTACTAGGTCGCTGTGGATTGCCAGTGTATAGCCGAGCTTCCAAACGTGATGAATTTCGTCGCAGCAGATGTTTAACCAAGATGATATCACTTGATAATCTCCTGAGCAATCGAGATACGTTCAGGCCAGTTTGCAGGTCAAGATCCTCTACCCACTATATTGAATATGATATAGATATCAGCCATACTCGTAATCAAGTTACAGAGGAACAAGTTTCAAGGTCAGCTTCCTTGTGGGTGACAATCTGCCGTCAAACAAGACAAATTGGTTTCAAACGGAGCTTACACATAGAATCATGAATAGAAGCTCTTCAGGAATATCCTGCAGCTTCAGGATCGGAGGCCCTTCTGCTCTGATCATTGCCGTTTCAATGATGTGTTTGGAGAAAGTGAATGAGGAAGAAATCACTAGGTGTCGGATATCATGTGCTGTGTCAAGAGATCAGAAAAGAGAATGTTTCAAGCTACGTTTCAATACGCATGGAACGTTGGCACATCGTACAACTATTTGGGGATGCGTGACTTATATGGGTACAATCCTCAAGTTTTATTCATTTTTCTCGAAAGGGCGCAATTTCCAATTTCACATCCCAGGAGACCTCTGAAGCTCCATAGGATACTCCACCAAACGACATCAAATCTTGGCTGCTATAGTTTGCTCGAAATTTAGACGCAGCAAGTTAAAAGGTTCAACCTTAACCGATTACAAACTCCTCTTTTCATTTTGGCTTGGTTAAATTTGTTGATTGGTGTAGACACGTTCAGCTTCGTTGCCAACACATCAAAAATTTCAAATCTGGCATCATTATTAAAGGGCCAGCCCATCCTTTCCTTATATCGCCAATTCCCATTTCAAACCCTTGAATCCTTCATCGCATGCCATCTGAACAAGAAATTGGATTGCACGATTTGCAACCTGAATCGTATACATTACTGACTTCCTCACCACCGACTACGTACATCCCATCCGAGAAACAATACCTAATGCCTCAGCAATCGGGCTTAACACTGCAACAGTCTCAGGAACTGGGCCAACTCCCATCTGAAAAACTGCTGAAAACTGATCTACCAACCCGCATCGAAGATGATGAGGCGGAAGTTGCTGTCAAGTTGTCTAATTTCGAGTATGTACTCATCGCATTTGGTGGTGATGTTGCAGATGAAGAATTGTTGATCTACAACGAAAAGTGTGATTTGCAAAATGATGTGATCTCTGATCGAATCCTTGTTTTTTGAATAGATTTGTGATGATCTTGCTGTCTCTTGCTGCCGCCGTACTACTTGCTGCCCTGGATCAAACGATCGTCTCGTGAGTTTATGTGGAGAAGCGCAGAATTTGAAGCGATTGGTGCCGCAGTGACTTGACGACATGTGTCCAATCCTAACTTTTCTACATTCAGTGTTGCTATTCCCGCCATTGCTACCGAATTCAATGGTCTGGAAAAGATTGTCTGGGTCGGCGTGAGTGACTGGGGCAATAATTTTCAACTAGCATGTCATAGTGCTAACTCGTGTCTCACCTAGTCTGCCTACTTTTTAACTTCAACGCCTTTCATTCCGTCTTACGGAAAAGTATGTGTTCATGCTTCAATTCGCCGAAACTGAGGGCAAAGCTAACCTCCAACATGTTACAGCTGGCGGATGTTTTCGGACGTAAAGTAGGAATTTACAAGTTTCAATTGCAAATTCAACCGTATTAGTAACCATGTATCCTTATTAGGCTACGTTCCTTGGCGCAATCATCATCTTTGAAGCTGGTTCCATGTTATGTGGTGCTGCTCCAAGCCTGGATGTCCTGATTGTTGGAAGAGCTGTCGCTGGTTTAGGTATGTATCAGAATTACCCAGCGTAAATCACAGTTGCATGGCTTGCCGGTCCTCATGCCTTCGTTTCCTCTAGGTGGAGGAGGAATTTTCTCCCTTTGTGTCATCATCATTGCCGATCTTGTACCACTTAGAGATAGAGCTCAATACTCTGGTAAACTACTTCGTACCCTTTTGTGTTTTCATTGTCGAAACTTTTCAACTGCTAAAAGAATCTTTTCAAAACAGGTATCATTGGCGCAGTATTTGGTCTTGCCAGTGTCATTGGTCCTCTAGCCGGAGGCGCGCTTACCGATCACATCAGTTGGCGTTGGTGTTTCTATATCAACGGGCCAATTGGTGTTGTCGCTATAGGAATCATTGTTGTGTTCCTGAGGTGAGAGAGTCAAGTAATGGGCTACTTTTCTTGTTTTTAGACAGAATACGCAAACTTATCTTCCCCAATGTCTGGTATAGACTACCTCCTCCAAGTGGAGATCTGTGGACCAAGTTTAAGAAGATTGATTGGACTGGTAATTTTCAATTCTTCACTACCAGGAGAATAAGAAGGATGTAAAAACGAGAATTGATTACCTTTTTTGAACTCACAGGTACATTCTTCTTGGTTTGCGCCGTCGTATTCTTGTTGGTGCCTCTCCAATCCGGTGGTTCAATTTACGTACGTGGACTGCTTTATCAGAACTACTGAGACATCCAAGCACTGACTTATCTATGTTTTTGTCTCTTTCTTCCTTACTTTAGGCGTGGAACAGTCCAATCGTAATCAGCCTCTTCGTCCTCGGTTTCGCCTTCATTATTGTCTTCATCCTGTGGGAAACGTACGTTGCTGCCGATCCAGTCATCCCCATGAGCTTGTTCAAAAATCGGTACTTGGTCTTTACCTATGCCAACACCCTCTTCTCTGGAATGGCTTTCTTTGCGCTGATTTACTATATTCCTTTGTGTAAGTACTGCAATGCGTTGTCACTTAGACTATTCAGTATGACTGAAAGTTTTTTTTCCTCCAGACTTTGAAACTACGAATGGATTGAGCGCTACTCAAGCCGGTGTCTCCAGTTTGCCCTTCATTTTGGGTGTTGTTGTGTTCAGTATTGTATCCGGAGTTCTTGTCACTGCTACCGGTCACGTAAGCTAATATCTAAATACTGTGTCAGTTTTTTTTGGTCTGACATTGTCATTGCTCTTTCCGTAGTACACTCCACTAGTCCTAGTCGGATGTACAGGTACCGACATCATTCCTATGTCTCATTCCGAATGAGTGTATCTAATTTCTCTCGTCTTTAGTTGGTGCTGTTGGTGCCTTCCTCGTCTCAAGACTTGACGAAAACAGTTCAAGAGGCGCACAAATCGGATATCTCCTTGTGGCTGGCAGTGGCTTGGGCCTTACCCTCCAAACTACTCTGATTGCTTCTCAAGCTGCTGTTTCTGAAGATTTATTGGTATATGTGTATTGCTCGCCCTCGTTTGCTCTCGGCGTGTATCTCATACTGTTATGTCGCTTTAGGCCATCGTAACAGCCAATAACCAGTTCTGGCAAGTCTCGGGAGCCGTTTTGGGTCTAGGTAAGTCTCCTCACAATATGTTGTGTTTCGCGCAGATGAACGTGAACTCACATAAAACATGCTTTCCTGGACGTTTATTAGCCATCACATCAACAGTATTCAACAACAAACTATTGACATACCTCGCCGAAGATGCTCCAGGCCTTCTTAACCCCTCCGTTATTGCGCAAAATCCAGCCGCATTAAGAAACCCAATATTCGTACCTCCAGAATTACAAGCTGCTACGATACATGCCTTTAACAGGGCATTGTCATTGATTTATTTGTCGGCCCTGCCGTTCGCTGGTTTCGCTGCCATACTGTCACTAGGTAAGTCATGCATCATACGCTGCACTACATGGTTTTGTTGCTTGGCTGACTTTGTGGTCTTCTAGGAATGAAATGGCAACGTATCCCCAAGGGTGTCGAGATACAGATGGTGGCTGGCTAAAGCGGATTTCTTTAATGTTGGACCTGTGATTTTTTGGACCTTTTGAGTATACAATGTAGCTACATATTACTGACAAATAGACGCAACTGTTTCTTGAAAGAAAGATTGGTTATTGTTGGTGGTTAAAAGGAAGTGACTAGTGGAAACATTCAAGCGCTGTAAGTGGACGAGACACATTGGCTTTGATGTACTCTACAGAAGTGGTGGACTCCTTGTCCGCAGTAGAAGAAGTAAAAAGTAAATTTATACAAGAACAGGATTGCTGCCGGCCTAGTATCTAAGCCTTGTCTGCTATGGTCATTTGCTTGTCAACAATATGTTGAGAAAACGAACAGCGTTAAGATTAAGTCTAAGCGAGAAAACACACTGTTTCAACCTAGGTTCAGGCTTTGACTACGCAAAGAACAGTCAAGCAGCGATCAGCTTCTTGGAAATGCGTGTTTCTAGTCTTATAGGCAGCTACAAGTCGTGATTTTTCATTGTGCATAAACGATTGCCGCAAAGTCAATTTACTCACCGAACTCACACGATGACCTCACGGAGGCACCGAATGATACTCTATCCCACCAATTTGAATCTCAAAGTTGCTACAACTGATACTGAATGTGGTCTTTTGCTCATTACAAATCCTCCTATTTTCAACCTACTCTGGCTTTGGTCGATTGGTACACAACACTCCAGTTTTCTTGCCAGCACATCGAAATTTCAAATCCGGCCTTAATATTATTGAAGGCCAAGATCGCCAACCGTACAACCCTCAGAAAGCTCTCGTTTCAAACCCTTGGGGCATACGTCTCTACAACTGATGTCCTTTGAACAAGAAACTGGATTGCATGAATTGCAACCTGAATCGTATACATTACTGAATTCTTCCACTCCAACAACATACATAACAACCGAGAAACAAGCTCTGATGTCCCAGCAATCGGATATAACGCTGCAGCAATCACAAGAGTTGGATCAACCACCATATGCTGAAAAACTGGTGAAAAGTGCTGATGCACCCATCTCTATCGAACGTGATGAGGCCGAGGTTACTGTCAAGTTGTCTAATTTCGAGTAAGTTAACATTCAAAGCATTTTCCGTCTTTTGTTGATGATGAACAACATTCGTGATCGCCAACAAAAAATGTGTTATGCAAGATATGTGATCACTGATCGAATGCTTTCAATTGAATTAGATTTGTAATGATCTTATTGTCTCTTGCTGCCGCTGTACTACTTGCTGCCTTGGACCAAACTATCATCTCGTGAGTTGGACGAGATGCTTTGAATTTCAAATCAGCCATGTCGTTGTGACTTCACGACGCGCATCCAATGCTAACTCGCCTGCATTTAGTGTCGCTATTCCTGCAATTGCTACAGAGTTCAACGGGTTGGAAAAAATCGTTTGGGTTGGAGTGAGTGACTGGAGCAATATGTTTCACCTCACGCCAGTGTTGCTAATTCTTGTCTCGCCTAGTCTGCTTACTTTTTAACCTCAACACCATTCATTCCCTCGTACGGAAAGGTATGCATCATCCTTCAAGTCATTTAACCTGTCGACCATACTGATCTTCGGCATCTTACAGCTGGCGGATGTTTTCGGTCGTAAAGTAAGAATTCACAAGTTTTAATTTGCGAAATGTAGCCGCTTTAGTTACCGTCTATTCCATTCGTTAGGCTACTTTTCTTGCCGCGGTCGTCATCTTTGAGGTTGGTTCCATGTTATGTGGTGCTGCACCAAGTCTTGATGTGTTGATTGTTGGAAGAGCAATTGCTGGATTAGGTATTTAGCGTTGTGCGAAATGTGCTTCGTCCCAACTAGGAACATTGGTCCTCAGCACCCTCTATTTTTCGATAGGTGGAGGAGGAATTTTCTCCATATGTATTATCATCATTGCTGATCTGGTACCACTCAGAGACAGAGCACAATACTCAGGTACGATGATAATCACTTAGTCGCAAGGTTCCTTGACCTGGTGTAATCTAATCCTGGATTATGTCTTCTTCAAACAGGTATTATCGGAGCTGTATTCGGTCTTGCCAGTGTCATTGGTCCTTTAGCTGGCGGGGCACTTACCGATCACGTCAGTTGGCGTTGGTGTTTCTTTATTAATGGGCCAATTGGTGTTGTTGCCGTCGCAATCATTGTGGTGTTCTTGAGGTGAGCGTATAAGATCCTGTGAATAGATTTTTTTTGCTTGCATTAATCTGACCTGTCTGCAATGTATTTTATAGACTACCTCCTCCAAGTGGAGATCTTTGGACTAAATTCAAGAGTATTGATTGGCTGGGTAAGTGTTTTATAGGTGGGAAATAAAAGCGAAAAGGCCGATCTGAGTACCTTTTTTTTATCTAACAGGCACACTCTTCTTGGTTTGTGCTGTCATATTTTTGTTGGTACCTCTTCAATCTGGTGGTTCCATTTACGTACGTTGGTGCTAGACACCTCTCGAACTGTGAAACTCTACAATGGGTCTAATACGTTCCCCCTTGAAAACAGCCATGGGACAGTCCACTCGTCATCACCCTTTTCGTCCTTGGATTCGCTTTCATCCAAATCTTCATCCTATACGAAGTCTACGTCGCTGCAGATCCAGTCATCCCGATGAGCCTGTTCAAGAACCGATACCTGGTCTTCACGTACATTAACACCCTCTTTAATGGAATGGCTTTCTTCTGCTTAGTTTATTACATTCCTCTGTGTAGGTCATTGTGGGGCTGTTGCGTGAGACCTTCACTTTCCGTCGTTTTACTGACTCTTTTTGCTGACTTAGACTTTGAAACTACAAATGGATTGAGCGCTACCCAAGCCGGTGTCTCCAGTCTGCCCTTCATTTTGGCTGTCGTCGTTGCCAGTATCGTGGCAGGAATTCTCGTCACAGCTACTGGTCACGTAAGCTAATTATACATTTTCACCTCCCCGTTGTTTGTCTGACTTCGAATCGGCTCCCATAGTACACTCCAGTAGTTCTAATCGGATGTACAAGTAATCACTCCACTCATTCGTCTCCCTGTAAAATGTAAGCAGTCTAATGTCATGTTTTTTTGATTAGTTGGTGCTGTTGGTGCCTTCCTTGTATCAAGACTGGACGAAAACAGTGGACGAGGCGCACAAATCGGATACCTCATTATTGCCGGTGCTGGTTTGGGTCTATCATTCCAAACCACTCTTATCGCTTCTCAAGCTGCTGTTTCGGAGGATTTATTGGTATGTCCTATTATTGCACTTTGGAATGTCATATAGTACGAGACTTATATCTTGCTTCCTTTCGTTCAGGCTATTGTAACAGCCAACAACCAATTCTGGCAAACGAGTGGCGCTGTTTTGGGTCTAGGTGAGTTTGGAATCCTCTATCATATCTTCAATATGACATTCGACTCACATCGTCATTCGTTGACTCGGCGTTTTTAGCCATCACTTCAACAGTATTCAATAACAAACTATTGACATACCTGGCTGAAGATGCTCCTGGCCTACCATATCCTTCAGTTATTGCTCAGAATCCATCTGCACTAAGAAACCCGATATTTGTGCCTCCAGAACTACAAGCTGCTACGATACATGCCTTTAACAGGGCATTGTCTCTGATATATTTGTCGGCTCTACCGTTTTCAGGGTTGGCTGCTCTATTTGCACTGGGTGAGTGAGGTATTGAACGATTTATCGCCCTTTTGGGTTGGTTTTCTAACTTTACTCTCACCACAGGAATGCAATGGAAACGTCTTCCAAAGACTGCTGATGTGCAGATGGTAGCTGGTTGAATGAGACTTTCTAATTTTCTGTGGCTTGGGCATAACCGTTGCGCAAGTGTTTGCCATTTGAACTCGTCACAAGCTTGATACAAATCATACCAGCTCGAACAGGAAAATATTGTTAGAGATACGCATAATACACAACAATTAGTATTTGTTTTACTTTAAGTATATTTGGTGGTTAATACATGATCATTGAATATCCCTTTGAATTAGTTTATACCTCTATACCCATATTTAAGCAATAAGAATCTGCCTTCGGGGCTCAGTCTGCGCAACCTTCTTATTAAAGGAGATGCGCAACACACCATCCTCAACACTCCCAGCAGCATCATCAGTATCTGCATCCGATGGTAGTTGAATGCTTCGTACGAATTTCCCAAAGCTTCGTTCAACTACGTGACGTCTTGAGTTTGCTGCCTCTCGATCGTCTCTCCTATTAATGAGTATTGTGAGTATAATGATTGGATATCAAGGTGACGACAACAAAAAAGACGCTTTTTAAGAAAGAAGCATACCTTTCACCCTCAATAGTCAACACATCATCCTTTAAATGAACGGCCACGTCCTCCTTCTTCAATCCAGGCAAATCGGCCTTGATAATATATGCCTTTTCGGTTTCTTCCACGTCGATACGTGGTGCCTTGAAAGACCTCATGGCAGTTCCAAGTCCTCGTTCTCGTTGTTGTGGTTGTTGAGAGACTGTTCCAGTTGAAGTAGGTTCCTTGTTATCGGTAGAAGGAGCAGCCGATTCCTGAGTGACTCGACGAGAGGGAGTAGCAGATTCCAAGATGGAAAAGAGTTCAAGTGGCGAGCGAGCAAAGTATGGGTCTTCGAAGAAGTCTCGTACAAAGAAGGCCTGATGAACCGGTGAGAATATTTGTAAGTTCGCGTAAGTGTGAGTCAATGAGCTTGTTTACATATTGACGCGAATACCACCTACCATTAATGTATCGTCTGGTGATTTGGATTAGATGTACTTTGTGTGCTGATAGGTGGAGTTTCAGATGTTTGAGCTAGAATGCTGGATCTTGAGCGAATAATAACGATAGACCGTGATCTGATCTTGTAAACGAGGTTAATACTCTAGGTCCGTTTGTCTTTTTGTATGTTCAAGGTCCAATCGATGGGTCGACTCAGGAAATTTCCAGAAATTTCAGCATTGTCACAACAGCTTCCGTTAAGCCATAAAGTAGAGACATTACGAGAGTGAGTGGATGAGTCTCTGTCGATCCGAATGACCTGATTATAGCGTCCAATCTAGCGATTGCTCTTCCTCATCACTGTGTCTTGATTTGCGGCCATTTGGTTTTGTCAACAAGAACGTTACCATCTGAACATTTTTTGACATAAACATACGCGTGCTTAGTTACTACATAATATTTAAATAAAAATAGGAGACGTCTGTAAATAACACAAGAAAAACGAGTCTTGTTTTGCGACCACTATCCTCCATAACACATTGTTCTTTCAAAATCACCTATCAGTCCTTGGAGAAGCTCTTTCTCCAATATTCACATCTCTCAATAATCATTCGTCAACGTCTCATTCGTGGTTTCTGTAACCGCACTACTCTGCGTCACCGGTCTCGGCCTTCTGGTTCTTCTATCAGCCAGCACGCTCCAAGGTCTAAATCCCGTCTTCACATTAGTAGTATCTTCTACTCCCGTTGGTCCATCAACCACGGCCGATGGAGTATGCCGCAAGTCAGGAAGATACGATGTCTTTGTCTCTGCTGATTTTTCAAGAGTGGGGTCGATTCCACCGTGGCGTCTGCGAATGATTATTTTGTTGATGAGGAGGATTATGAAGAGGGCCACTATAAACGATCCCCATGCCCAGACGACTATTATGACAAAAAGAGATGGTGAGAACGTAGGATTCGCAATGTGGAATGTGAGGAGAAGATTCATATGGTACTCACTCCCGATGACGGCAGTATTTATGGGATCTACGAAAAAGAAACATACGGGTAGGATTTAGCAATCCTTTTCAGATAAGCCCAAAGCAATACTCACTTCCGCTATTATACAAGGAGATTCCCAGACCAATGGCAACCCAGGAAGTAATCAAAATAGCACGTCCCATCCAATGATGCAAATAATCCCACCACGGAACCGCAGTCCTCTTTTCATTGTAAAGTCGATCTATCATGATACCCCATACCCATTGGAAGAATGATAGTGCGATTACCACTATTCCGACCATCTGAGAAACAGGAGGTTTTCGAGGTTTTCCATATTAGATCGGCCTTTCTGCGCTTTTTGCAAATGTAGCACAGTCATACCGAATGAGACCCTTCATCGTTCGTATCAATATGATCATCCCCTTGCTCAGACCGTTCGCCATACACCAATCCAAACGCAACAGCAATGAAGATGACTGCTAGTGACATCAGTCCCCAGTGTATCCTATTGGCAAAAGGACCGAATTTTGAAAATCAAAACATTGTCGATAGACGTAGAAGAGGCGTTTCAAACTTACTTGAACCAGAATCCGTGCCACTTTGCAAACATGGCAGCGAATATAGCTAGGGGCATGCATACCATGAATGCCAGAAACATCAATGCGCCATGTGCCTGCACCATAAGATCCTGACGATTTGTTTCTGCGGCAGGTGCACCAATACTGCCTGTTTGACCATTATACGGCGCAGTTTCAGCACCCATATTTGCAGCAGCTACAATTCCGCGTCCCTGCGGCCCATGGCCTGTCGCATTACCACCTGTCGGCGATACGGCCCAGATGAAAGACTGCGGTGTGTCGGTCGTGATAGCAGGGTATGATGTGTTTGCTGGGACCAGTGGACGCAAGAAGGTTGCGACAAGTCTATCGCCAAAGATCCCGCTTTCTTCAGGGACTATTGTGACTAGTGATTGGTCCGGGTATGCGACTGGTTGTTTGTGTCTGGGAGCGGCGGCAATGTCGGAAGCGTGCACGACTGTCATGGTTTGGTTGAGCATGTATGCCATCTGGTAAGCAGTAAGAGTATCGTCAAGTTCGATCGGTGGCGCATGGGAGATGCATTGCAAGACAAAGGTTTGCAATGGAAAGCAAGTCGTTTTTAGGCGCTGAAGACGGCTGGCACGCAAAACTTGCGGGTTTTTGTATCAAACTCACGTAAATGTCTGCCGTAGTCATAAGATTGCCAATTCCAACACCAAGAAACCCATTCTGATACATTGTAGCACTTGCTTGCAGCCTAATCTTCATACTAACGCCATCATCAGACGGCTGACTGAAAACACAATAGTCTACAAAGCCTAATGTTCAAAGTTGAAAGTTTCAGTCAGATGAACCAGGCTCAGACGTTTTAAACGATTAGTATCGAGATCTTGACTGCCGATGCAAAAGTTCTGGTTTACCTGGTGCACAAAAAGCTTGACCATAAACTGTCTCTGAAAAGCTTGCAACAGCAGCAAAAATTGCCAGCCAGTTGAAACTGTGCATTATATCGATCGGTGACTCTATGATGATCTGTGTAAGTAATCTCGATGCATACGTATAAAAGTGTGCCAAGACTCTCTCTGCTTGTGCTCACCTTGTGTGCGGTTTGTTTAAGATTGAAGGAAAGCCAGATTGGTGGACATGGTTTTTTTTTCACGAGCTAATCCGTCCATCACCGGCAGAGTCATCAAACAATTAGTGAAAAGATTTACACCAATTCATCTATTTATGTACTGCCTTTTGTTCTATTTCAATACAACATAATACACGTTTCGCGTCAGATCGGATCTGCACCATAAACAGAAATCTACTTAGATTTGCCATTTGCCTTAAGTCCAGCCTTTACTGGCGCTTGTTTAGATTCTGTGCCATTGATCTGTCCATTTGCACTGGCTGCAATCGAGTTGGCCTTCTTAGCGTTAGCTTCCAACATGAATTCCAGAATCAGTTTGTTAAACCATTCTGGCTGTTCTGATGGTAGAGCATGACCTATTATATAAAGATGAAAAGTCAATCGTGACGTCGAAACTGGGCAACTATTTTTGGGTAGTTTCTTTGGAAACAACACAACATACCACCAAGCGGGTAGATTTCAAGCCGACAACCAATGGTATTTGCAAGGTAAAAGCTGTTGGACGGGCGAACCAAGTTATCTATAGTACCGCTCACGACCATGCATGGCACTGACTTTCCAAGCAGTTTCAACCTAGCTTCAGACACCGAATGTGTCATGGCAGCAGAAATTTGACCTATAGCACCAGCAAGAGGTTGTGGTCTTGTTCGTTTGATACGATCAAGAATTGAATCCTATATTCAAACAGCGGGAAAATGTGTCCCGTCAAAAGGCGAAAATACTTGATATTTCAGCGCAGCAGAACATACTCTGTGCATCTCATAATTCGTCTCATATCCAGAATCTGCTGGAGCCTTGGCCTCGAGATGGTGTTTTGGGTATAATAATGGCAACATCAACGGCACACGGTGGGTTGGATCCTTCATTGCCAGCATTCGGGGAATGGAAGTAAGCGATGGGACTGACCAATTGTCGTCGACTGGAGGAAGAGTTCCGCCTATTTATGAGACAAAAATGTTGAGATGCATGGGGGCAACAGGACTGAATATTGATTTACAAGTACCTGCATGTGTCGATACTAGTATACAGCTTGAGAATATAACGGGACATTTCAATACCAGTTCCTGATTGGGACTAGTAAGCGAATTTGTCGATTTCAAGGTTTACCAAGTACATATATACCTCAGCAATCATCCCACCCATGGACACTCCCACACAGTGAATGTTCTGACTCCACCCTATACTTAATAGCAATTCTAATGTATCGAGAGCCATTTCACTAGTCCTGGATATGAACACCACGTGTCAGTAAGATATCACGTCGAGAGGTTGCTGTCTTTACATACGTGTAACGACCGGAAGGAGAGTCCGAGGACCCGACACCACGATTGTCAAATAGGAGAGCTTGCCAATCAGGTAGCGTCTGGAAATAGTCTGCCTGTTTTTGCCAAGACCGACATGAATTGTTGAGGCCCATGATGAAAACGACTCGATTCGGAGCAGTGGATTTGCCCCATAGCTCGTAGTATATCTTTATAGGTGCTGGGCCTCTTGTTGACGCTACAGTTGCGTGTGGCATCACTGTAGAATTCTAATGGTGAGATGTTTGGTCAGTAATCATCGATTGTGCTTACGACGCGAATGAATTGTCGCCAAGCTGCAACGCTTATATGGAAAATAAACCAAAGAACATGAATTGTGAGGCTCACCTCTCTATTCTCGTTTAAATCTCTATGTAAGCCTTGAGCCGGTGTTTTCTTGGGTTTGCGAAAACCACAACAAAGACAATCATAATTCATCTACATACAATCGACGCGATCGCTCTATAAAATATATACGCGCCTAGATGACTGAAAACATAGTGGCTCTCCCTGGAGACCCTGTAAACATAATAGCAGCAGACAACAAGACTCGAATAGGACCAGGACTGCGAGAAGCATCAGGTTCCATAGTATCAACGAAAGCTGGCATAGTCGTCAATCCACTCAAGACTAGTCGTATTTGGATCGAATCAAACCAAAAAAGAGTGAGGGCATTAATCTTGAACATTTGATATATTTTTTTCGTTCCGACATTTGATGTAATCTTGTGTTTGTGTACTATACTAACACAACCTTCTTCTTTGATCGCATAGTATGTTCCAGGAGTACGCGATGCAGTCATTGGAATCGTCAAAGGGAGAGGGAATGAAATGTATAGGGTTGATATAGGCAGTGCTCATCAAGCCCAGTTAAGCTATTTTGCTTTTGAGGGTGCTACAAAGAGGAATCGTCCCATCCTAGATGTGAGTTACTGATCTATACATTCGTTATGCTTTTTTGACTGTGTGAGACGCTCACACTTTTCATCCTGTAGACAGGAACTCTGGTATACGCAATAGTAACACAAGCAGATCGAGACATTGAACCTGAACTAGAATGTATATCTGCGACTACCCAGAAAGCGGATGGATTTGGAGAGTTGAAGGAGGGATATATGGTCAAGGCGTCGCTTGCCTTGTGTAGGAGGTATACCCTTGTCTTGTCCCATTTTTGCGTACCAAGACTTACACTCTCTCAACAATCACAGTCTGCTAAACCCAAAGGGCCATCCTGCACTAATCGCACTAGGCAAACTGTTTCCATTTGAATGTTGCGTGGGTATGAATGGTCGTATATGGATCAAGAGCAACCATATACCGCAGACGTTGGCGTGTGCTACTGTGATCAAGAACTGTGAGCATATAAGTGCTCAGGCTTCTGATAAAGAGATTGGTAAGATGGTCAAGACGGTTGTGCGTGAGGTGCTCAATCAGATGGAGGAGTAAGAGTTGTAAAATTATTGATCGACGCGAGATTATTAATTATTGTAAATATTAAAGCATGTTGCATAATGGCACATAAAGCAGAGTTCCATCAGGTGCTGTCTTGTTTTGTTTCTTGTTTGTTGCAATTTCGAGTCGCTCCATATAACATTTACAACGGCGAGAACAGCTCAAACTATGTTGGGAGCAGTTCCAGAGCACATGCACGAGGAACCTGATGCATCTGAAGATCCAGAAACTAGTCATCCTGCCAAGAAACAGCGACTAGAATCAGCACTATCAACAGACGAAATCATCACAGTTTTTAAACCAACTGCTGATATCGACGATGGATCAAGTACTATGCAGACAGAGGAAGAATCAGACAAAATTACTCCTGTCGAAGCTACCAGTACGGACAAGCAAGAGGTACGCTCATGACTTTGGATGGCGAAAAAACGCGCAGCATCAGACAAACGATTAGAGCTTGACCTAACATGACCTTCCAACAATTTCTAGGACGAGAAATCCAAACAATCATCACCACGATACACAGAGTCATTACTACAACTCGAAAGAGACACTATGGGACCAGACTGGTTTGAAATCTTTGGTGCTGAGATTGAAAAGCCGTACTTTCTCAAGGTAATCTGTTGTTGGTGCAAAAAAAGACGTTGAATTGCAACCTATAATGAGCCCTGTACTATTTATTTGTCTGCTTTGAAGTCTTGATGCTGACCATAAACACTGTACAACTAGATCAAGAAGAGACTCGAACTCGATGAATCAAAAAGAATTACAATCTTCCCACCAAAGGAACAAATTTATTCTTTTACGAAATGTCCTCTTAATAAGATCAAGGTTGTCATCTTGGGCCAGGTAAATTATACATGACTTCGAAAATGTGTTGAAGAAATAACATGCTGTCAGTGACGACATTACTTTTTTTGCCCCTCACTCGCCATCTTTTCGACAGGATCCATATCATGGTCAAGGCCAAGCTCATGGATTATGTTTTTCTGTACAGAAGGTATGTTCTTTGTTCTAGGGCACATTGCTCGTCAACAAAAAGAAAACCGAACGCAATTACTGGAATCACATTCTAGGGAGTCGCAAATCCACCATCTCTCAACAACATATTCAAGGAACTAGCAGATGATTTAGGTAAAGACAAGTTTCAAAAACCGAAACATGGGTTTCTTGAAGGATGGGCTACTCAAGGTGTGCTGCTATTGAACTCTGCACTGACTGTTCAAATGGACAAGGCAAACTCCCATGCTGAGATCGGATGGGCTCGATTCACTGATGCCATTGGTACTTCCTTGCTTTTTTTGCATTTGGCAACAACGAATCTCATCTTGTTATTTGGTTGTCTGCTGTAGTCGAATACATTAACAAGAATTCTAAAAATGTTTGCTTCTTGTTATGGGGTGGGAATGCTCAGAAGAAGGGAGAGAAGATTAATAAGGTATTCATTGATTCGTGAATTGAGGTATTTTCCAGCTTCTAGTTGTAAACTTTGACTCCTTATTTTTTTCTAGTCAAAGCATCTAGTTTTGAAGAGCGCACATCCATCTCCGCTTAGTGCACATCGTGGATTCTTCAAACAAAAACACTTTTCCAAAGGTAAAGACTTTGTTGAAGTGCTGAAAGTGTATTTTACAATTTTCAGCTTGTCTTAACGATAGTTTTGTTTTATTTATAGCCAACGCCTTCCTGGTGAAGAATGGACTTGAACCTGTAGATTGGAATCATCTTTAAAACAATCGTTCTCTCAAACAGTGCCAGAAAAGATATATACTGTGAAATGTTGTATGAGGGTTTACAAAGCTTGTAAACATATTTGTATACTAGTTGAACACTTTGTATTTCGTAATGTTCGTAAAATCATTCTCTCCAACCTGATCGTAGCGCCAAATCTATAAATAAATATATTTTTCAAGCGTCCACATGCTGCCCGATAGGTATAGTGTTGTAAAAGCTACGATTGTCTCGCACGTTACCCTCTATCTGATAGGAAGTACCGGTGCTTCTTTGCACAAAAGATCGTTCAATGAATAAAGACCGAACATAGAAACAATTGCTGAGCAATACCGTTCCTCGTGTGAAACCGACTTAAGGTTTCTGATGGCCTTGGCAACAACATTCCTTTGGAGGTGTGTCAGATCTATAGAAGCATATTCAACCAAAACTTGACACAGAAAGTCGGCACTCAAACACCAATCTTCAAGTCATTCTTCAAGCCATTGTTCTGGAGTGAATTGACTGTCGGGATCATAGTCGAGGCAATAAATATTGAACATGCGAAAGGCATAGACAAAGTAGAGATACCACTTCCATAGTGACCTACACCCGTTGCAGTCCAAGTTATGAATGTGGATATTACGGATAACGCAAATTTAATGTAGGCTTAATAAGGCTCCATCTAACCAAGCAAAAATTGCTCTACTCTTTAGAAAACTGTCAATAGTAAGGTAGTATGGTCAACGTCTTGGTTATCAATCTCAAACAAGATACGGAACGGTTGGGTAGAATGAATGCCCAACTGTCACATGTCATCAGAATAGGAGCTGCCATTGCAGCTGACGTACCTACGTACCTCCAGAAAAGAGTATATTCATGTGTCGTCAGTTTTGCACCAATACAACGCTCTGGACACGTCAAAAACACGACATATTGCATAATAAACAGTATTAGCAAAGCACCAGGCAAAGCAACTACCGAAGTGGTTTGGGTTAAGCCACACAGTACATTGTTCAACATGGTCGAGTTGTCATAAGACACACGACAACATCAACGGACGGTATTTGCTTTATACAACATGAATTCATGGGGATATCCGTTACCATACACAGTTTAAGCAGACATAAATCCTGCTGCGAACCAAAATGTTGTTACTGACATAGCATATGCTGTTGAACACTTCAGAACGAAGGGCATACCAGGTACCAGCATTTCGAGATTTTTGTATATATTCTACCTCATATGACGCCCATGTGTGTCCTACCTTTTATAGCTATGAATGAATTTGCTGAAACATCACCTGCATCACCAGCGTTCGAAGAGTCCGATTATACGACATGGAATATGGATCCTTTACGAACAAGGATCGTTTATCATTTTATGATGACTATTGGCGAACTAGTTGGCAAATTATGGGCTGACAGAGATCTCATCATATCTCCAAGTCATCTGGCTGTGTCTGCATGGACTTTCACCGCCAAATATCGAGATTTACGAACGGAAATAGTACACAATCCACATCACACGTTTCTGAATTCAGCACTGCCAGCAGCTCGATATAAGACTATGCACGATGCCACTACTGCTGCATTTAACGATTTAGATAAGTTTACAACCTCATTGTAGCCCGATAGCAATTTATACCCAAATAGACCTTTTGAAATATCATTCCAAGTGGTTGGAGAATAGATTGTGACATGAATGCTGTCATTTCTGAGTGGAGCCAAAACCGATTTCCATTTTTCATCACTCCCCTTCTTCAAATCCTCATCTGTGACAATGAAAGCGACTTCAGGAGGTGGCATCGTTGATTGGATGTATACGTTCTGAATTCGTAATCCTTTGAGGACCGGAAAAAGAGTCCTGAGGGTATTTTCAACTGTCATGAAGAAACTTTAGATACTGTCTTTAGTCTTCTTTGGATAGTGAGAATTCATACGTTTTGAAACCGCCTTGAATATAGCGACGTCATCATAATAACCATAAGGTTGAGGATTTTGCGTTGTCATCTTTTGTACTAACTAGTCAGAACGAGCAATTAGAATGATTTTCATCAGATATATCTAACTGGCCATGTTAATGAGTTCTCATTGCCGCTTACAATGGTCTTAATGAGATTTTCTGTGATGCTCTTTGGCAGTTCCTTCTCGTAGTCGCTGATTCACAGCCTTTTCTGTTGTTTTGTAAGTGATGCAAAAAATGTATTTTTGAAGATTTCAAGCAACATGGATGCTATCCCGTATAGCTTTATAAATTTAAATTTTCAATGCCGTTAAAGTCGAAAATTGCTCGAGCGCGGTCAAGTTTAAGTGCTGAGGGGGTTTGTTAAAGATTTGTGTTGAACGACGTGTACCCCGCCTTCCTCAAAGACTTTCAACACACAAATGTTTATAATTTTATGAGATCTAAACTGATCTGCTCCAGCTCTGGTGGTTTCCTTCAAAGAAAAGTCAAGGAATCGTACTAGCAATGAACAGTATCAGATTGTTTGTCCTTGATCACGACTTTGGTACAGCTACATCTGTCAGATTGATCTAGAAGAAGGTAACAGACGCGATGGCAAACGACCTTTCAACGCGTATAGAAACTTGAGACAGCGGGAGAATCAAGTTTACAAAACTTTATAAAGTGATTTTGAGCTTTATGTAAATTCTGTAAAAGTCTACGGCAAAAGCATCCATCACTGTATAGAATTGACATTTTTATGACTTGGTTGTTGGTGGGCTTGAGAAACGGCCACTGAATAGAGCAACTGTCGGTACTTCGGCAGACACTATATCAATAACCTTTCTCATCTTGATGCTCCGTCTAGTCCAGAACCACTCCTGCCAGTTGAGCAAGTTCTCGCATTCGGGGAAGAGACCTTGTGGTTTGCTGGTCATCCATGACGAAAAAAATCCGATTAATGTCGCTGGTGTTGACAACAGTCTCTTATTTGCCTCTTCTTTCTCACGTAGCTGTCGCGTCTTTTCGTGCAGCATATCAACCTTCCAGTATCGATGTTCAGGTAACGTCACTTGCTGAGCAACAGATCCAATAACCTCATACGTTAATTTGATTTGCGATGTTGATGATGTGGTGGTTGTGTATCGTCCAGGCGTGAGGGTTATATCGAAGTCTGCCCTTTCTAATGTCACTTCACTTTGTGATTCAGTGTTGTCACAAGTATGTGCCTCATCGCAAGCACCAATAAAGGCAGTTAATCCATTCCGGATCGTAGCATGATAATATTCCCGTGGCGATCCAGTTATATCCACACGAGCAGTTTTCTCAAATGGTGGGGATGTGGTTGTGACGACTTGACATGTCTGTGTAGCTTTCGCCAAGTCGATTATGGGAGAGACGAGCTTTACGTGGAAGCAAGGTTGGCCGTCTAATCCTTCGAAGCTTGAGGTTTTGGATCCGAGTGGATAACCGGTTGCGTCGAGTCCACGCATGAACGAGAGGATGATTTCTCGAGGTTGTGATAGTGTTTGGGATTCGGTGACTATAGTCTCGGCGGTAGATTTGAAAGTCGTGTTGATGGTGCGTAGTTGGCAAAACTTGACTTTGTCTGACACACTTGATGAGCTGGCCATGAATTTTAAGATTGACTTCCATGCGACCATAGAAGACAGAGCTGGGTTTAGAGCCTCAACATGCTGGTCGTCCGATTCAGACCATGTTTCAATATCCTCCCATTCATCACTCTGATGCGTCCTTGCATCGTAGTAGTCGGATGGCGATGAATACGTTGTCGTTATGGAAGAGAATGACGACGAGCGCTCGACTACGGGTGGTATGATGGGGGCGGAGACTGTTTCAATTGGATTCCACTAATAATCATCGTGTTAGAATTCAAACATGCGATTAATGAAAGACCCAACCATCCTACATTAACAAGAAATTTCTGATCCCGTCTAACCAACTTCTTAAATTCTGCAATCTTCTTCTCGTATCTTCTACGCTCACTTTTCATAGTCTCGGAGCGAGTTCTTGATATTAGAACATTCAGCTGATCCATTCCCAACGTGATTTTGGGATATGGTGCTGGGGACGTGTCCTCGGAAAGCACCGAGCCTGGATTTGACACGGTATCTGGAGACATGACAGCCAACAATTCCTGTACGAGCAGTCCTATCATCTTGCCCGTCATGTTTGAAAGTTTTAGATTTGAATTTTTGGATTCATGATAATTGTGTGAGGGTCCATCCGACTAGATGCACGGAGAATAATTGAATCAGATGAAAGATGCATAGAAGTTCAAATATAATTGATTTTGACGTTTACAATGCAGCCGTGTGTTTCTTCTCACCTTTGCTGACGGAGTCGTTCCAGTAACATTTGAGCAAATTAAGAGGGCTTGCAGTTTAGTTCCTAGTTAGACGATGAGTGTCAGTATGTCTGCTTTCAGGCTCTCAAAGCGAGGTAAATGCAAACTAGTTATCGTTCGCTATTCAAACTTGGTTTTGTCAAATGTTGTGTTTGAACGTCTTGTTTGATTGACATTCAATTTCACTCTTTCCTACAGGCATACCGAGACTGAAATGTACAGGCTGTCTTGCACGTGGATTTGCTACTTTCGATCCATATTCTGCTCTACATTGCCCTCCAGATGCAACATCAGACACAATCAAACGGAGCTACTTCAAACTGGTCTTTGACTTACATCCTGATAGACAAGGTACACTAAATGAAGTTAATCAAAGCTCAATATGCAGGAATCTATCTTAAAACTGCTTTGCTTTGTAGGAGTTGTTGACACTCGCAAGCCAGAAACTGCGACCGAGAAGCTCAAGAAGGAACAGTTTCTGAGAGTGGTTAAAGCGTATGAGATACTTGGTAATCCTGACAAGAAAAAACAGTATGTCGTTTATTTGACCGATGATGCAAGCTCCGTTTCGGTCCTCGTTGGCCGCAGAGGTGTTCACACGTTATTTACGCACGTAGATACGATCTTGATGTTAGACGAGGAATGGGATCGAGGTATTCAGATATATCAAGTAATGGATCATCTTCAGGTGTGTGTTATCATCACGACGTGTATAGTCTGGAGTCATCGATAGATCACCTATTTTTGTGCTGACACCCACACAATTCAAATATCTACAGCCGCTTACAGACCGACCAGAGGCTGGCAATCAACAGGAGACGACTATTACAGTTATTATTACAACAACTCTGGTAGAAGTACAGGACCTCGTTATATGACCAACGGTCGAATGGCTTTCTTGATTTTCGTTGCTGCTATTATATCTGGAGGGCAAGTACCACGATTTTTGCTGTGTTGATTTGGTCCACTGGCACAACCATCAGCGTCAATCGCATTGATGAAGTACTAAAATAATTGCTCAATCTTAGGTTCACATTCCTACACATCGCCAACATCAGATCCGTCTTTGTGCGGCAGATGAATCAACGCGATGAGGCTTTACAGAGAGTTTATAATGAAGCTGCTACTCAGGCGAGGGCTAATGGATCAATTGATAGAGGTATTGATCTGTTGCTTGCTAAACAGAGGGCGCGAGGTGTTGATGTGGATACGCAGCTGGCTGGTGCATCATCCGCATCGCTGAATAAGAAGATCAAGGAGCTGGAATAGTGTGTGGTTTATAAGTATAATTTATTTTTGTAGAACTAGAAATAATATCTGAGGGTTTGAAGAACGTGATGGATTGTAGCGGATAACCGGTACGACAAGTTTTGTCTACTGCAGAATTCGTCGCGAGTCGTTTTATGGACCCCCTTGTACGTTTAAATCCGTGTTGTGTTTTTGTGTCTGCCACACGGCCGCATATCAAGACAACTGGGAAGAGGAAGCACAATAGCTAGAATGATGACAATCATCAATACATCTCCATTCTTCCATTGAGGTCTTTTATTTGATCTTACCCTCTCTCTACCTTCAATGGAAGCATTTGGCAGGTTCTCACATTTTCTGGAAAATTCGTGACTTTTCGAGTGGGCTGTTCCAACACTATAAAAACTGATACATCTTCCCACACATTTCCTCATTCAAACACGACAAGATCCGTTTCAAACAAGCTCAATCAAGCTACTAGCTATAAACACCCTCACACACTCTCTACCACATCAAACATCAAAAACTCAATAATGGTATGTGGCACTCAATTGAATCCGGTTGCTCTAACATCAACCACAATGATGCTAAATTTTTAAATTATTTTTACTTAGGCCTTCTTTGTACGAGACTTTTTCGACGACCCATACTTTGCTCGCTCTCCATTGGAACTCTTCTCAGTCTTGGAAGCTGCTACTCCTTCTCGTCGAATCACTCAGGACTCGTCCTCGAATCCTGCTTCTGACAAGGATAAGGAATCTACTGGAACAGTCTCTCAACAATCACAACAACGAGGACTTGGCACTGCCATGAGGTCATTCAAGGCACCACGTATTGACGTGGAAGAAACCGAAAAGGCATATGTCATTAAAGCTGATTTGCCTGGATTGAAGAAGGAGGAAGTGAAGGTGCATTTGAAGGATGATATCTTGACTATTGAAGGTGAAAGGTATGTAGTAACCGCTACTAAATAACTTTTTGTTGTCTTTTTCAATTTAATTTAATTTTAATCACATATAACTCCCTTTAGGCAAGATGATCGAGAAGAAAAGACATCTACTCGTCATGTGGTTGAACGAAGCTTTGGGAAATTTGTACGAAGCATTCAGCTACCCTCGGATGCAGACACTGAAAATGCTGCTGGAAGTGTTGAAGATGGTGTATTACGCATCTCATTCAACAAGAAACCTGCTCCAACTGAAACTCGCAAGCAAATTCCTATTGCTTGAAGAGAGGAAGGATGTTTGGAAGGAAAAAAAAAAATGTATACCAAATGCTCATAACATATAAAAAGAGAATCATCAAATAAAATTAAAGTGAAATAGTATACATCCTGTGTGATTTCTTATGTACCAAGTGCCCTTTCTTTGCTCCAACTTGTCACAGTTCTTCAGAGCCATCAACTTGTACACAACAGCAAACCTTGCAAATCTACCATTCACTACTAAATTAAATCATTTTATTTGTGTTGCAAAATGTGCTTGTACTTGTACGTGAATGTGCGAGAAAAAAAAGAAGTACAAACGACCTATGCAGACGTAGTCCTCACTCGTTGCGGTTTGGGAGTAGACATGATGGACTCCCAAGACTGATTGATGGCTTGCTGTATCCTCACAGCGACCTAATAAAGACAGTCAGCCTCAACCAACACACACTCAGCGAATAAAAATTGCACTAAAGGCGGCTGCAAAAATTGCTCTGAAAGACCAAAGCATTACCTTCTTACTGGTATCAACCATATCAACCAACTCATTAGTCCCATCAGCAACCAGCCTGACTTGCGCTCCAAGCGTCAAGTCCACTTCATCCAGTAGACGTCCAGCTTCTACACGTCCAGATTCTCCAATTAAAGGCAAGTATGCTGCAATCATGCATAGTGCTTGTGCAGCTTCCATTACAGTATGTAGTGCTCGACACGGTACCATGTGCCAGTGACGGTCGAGAGGTAGAGTTACTTGTGACACGAGTTTACAGATGCGGAGAGCAGCGGCTTTAATGTATATTACAGATGGATCGATAAGGGATTGTACTGTTGGACGTGTGCGCATTACGAATATCATTTGTGATCTACAAGGTAAGTGAACCAGTCAACAACCAAAAAAAACTCTCCAAACTTGAAAAAATTCCATACACGACGAAGATACAAAACGACTCTGTACATTAAACTGATTGATAACAACAAAGGTACTTACTTGTTGAGCATTATGACAGCCATATTATAAAACAAGTGCGTGCAAACCAGATGCCATAACTCTGAATCATCCGGTATAGATCTTGGCTGTCCCTGAGCAGCAACCTTTTGCGTTTCTGCAATATAGGGAGCAGCGCGACCAGTTACATCTTTGGCCCAATGAGGCAGATTGATGTACCAGGTTGAAAACTCTAGATTCAGTTTCGGAAGTTCGTCCAAATCTGGAAAAAAAAAGTTTCAGCATTTCCTCAAAACCGTGCGCTCTCTCGACCATTTTTTACATGTCACTTACAATCGATCACAAGCCATCTCGTCTTGTCATTACTTGGGAATTCCGTCTCGCCAGCAACACGATCAAAGCTAAAGTCATATGTAGGGTATGTTTCAGAGGAATATATAGACTACAAAAAGACAGAGCGAGATGGTGTTAGCGACTGCTTCAACAACAAAAATAGCGATATTAAGAGAACTAAGACATACCAGCCATTTATAAGCCTTCTCCCACAACACCGAAACCTGCGAATCCAAAATACATAAATTATGTTCCTGTGCAAAATCAAGCTCAACATCTCCATTCTCTGACTGCAGTCTAAGTTTCGTCCCATCAGCAGCTGGGTACCTCACTCTAGGCATGTTGTCAGGGTCTGTTTCTGGTAACATGACAACAGTATGTCTGAGCAATTTAGCCATGAGTCTCTCATAATGATACAAATTCCAAAACACTTCTCGACGAGTATTCTTCTGCAGCCACGTCATTTGCTGTTGTTGTCCGTATCCGTTTGCTTCTAAGTCGTCTGGATCCACATGGAATTGAAGTGACAGTGCCAAGTTGCATGCAGAGTGTAAATGGGTGAAAAATCCTGTGAGGTCACTATTTGCGTATGCAAAACGGTATAGCAAGCACGCGGCCACTACATGTGCATCAACAAGTTGTTCCTTCCCCTGTAACGTATCATCCAGTATCTTGAGCGCCTGTTTATAAAACGGTAGACCACGTTTCGAATATTCCATCGACAAAAGTATCGGCTGTCGGCTGTTCATGGCACCTAGAGCCATAACCGCATTTTGAAGTACCGGATGCTGAGACTGAAAGCTGGCTTTAAACACTCGGGGATGCAGTGGCCGATGCCCGACGTTAAACCAGCTTGATCGGAAAAAGGACTGCAGTAGTTCGTCGGTATTTACATAATTCGAGACTTTTTCTGTAATTTGTTTCAAAGGCACCATCAGTCTTGCCATATCAACTGACTGTGATCGAGCTATATCACGACGATTAAGTTGCATCAGCTGTTCCTCGTCCTGGCTTGCGGTCTCTGCTACAGGCACGATCTCTCTCCTAAACATTTCTGGTTGATACTGATGTGGAGATGGCTGATGCTCTACCATCTCGAATTCGGGTTTTGCCTGAGGCACATCATATCCTACGTCAATGGAATAGAGTTTTAGCCACACGTACCAAACATGAACTGTTTGTGAATCCTTTGACGTAGCAACACGATACTCACCAAATGAACCCTGCTTCATGGGTCCTGATATCATAGCAAGAGGTGGAGTACCAACAATATACGAATATGATGATTCATATGAAGTATTAGTTACAGGTGCTATCAGTGGAAGCTCGGCCGGATGTATACGTGGATTTATAAACCATACACTCGAGTCCAAAGTCTTGTCATTACTTTCATTACGAATAAACCATGGTTCAGCGGCTTTAGTCTGATTACCAAATGCCGCATACCCAAATGCTTCAGTAATGGTAGGTGCCTGAAAGTAATCGGTTGAGGGATCTTCTCCTATATCATGGTACTCGTTCTTAACTGTAATCCAGTCTGGCGTGTATGGCCTTGGAGACTCAACGAGACCAGTCGTTACAGTAGCAGTAGAGGGGGTTTCTAGATATGACACAGGTGATTGTGATTCAGATTCACTGGTTTTTCTACGTTTAGGTGCCGAGTTGCCATCCTTCTGTAATGTGGGAGGAGTAGCGACAGCAGGGGTCTTCAGTCGTCGCTCTCCCCAAACGCACTTTCTATTCGTTCCAGAGCATCGTCCACAGCAGGGCTTTGTCCCATCACATCGACGTTTGACTCTCCTACACTGTTGACGAAAGGTGAGATCCAGATATCAGTCAGGTATCAATCGATTAGATGCAAGCTTCGATCACAGCGAGGTTGCCAGAAAACCATGTCGGCTTTCAATCCCTCATGTTAGAATGTGGGTATAAAAACAACCGAGGGGTTTGGACCAAGCTCGTTTGGTGACAAATTGTGTAAAGCAATCATCCAATCACGACGTACGTTCTCACAAGCTTGTTCCGAGACAATCCGTGGACCTTTCGGTGTCGGTTCGCAAATTGGGAACAGTTCAGTGGTGACACTGAGAGATGATCTTGGGGAACGCAATTTCCTGACATGATAGCGTCCAGTTGTTGTCGATTGCAGTGCTTCCGAGGTGTCTGGGTCCATGTCAACAAGAGAAGTGGCAGGTTAATTGGCAATCTGGTAGTATCAGCGAAAGTCCCTCAGATCTTCCGTTGGACAACACGGCCCAGCCACCAGAATCGTGGGAGAATTGTTGGGTGGTGATGATGGTGATGTTATCGCATTGGACTCGGCATTGAATCCATGGAGATAATGTGATATGAATTTTGTTGCTGTGCAGGGAAGTGTGTCTTGTAAGAAGGCGTTTGGTGGGTGACTATTATAGCAAGCACGAAAGGGTCTTTGTTCCAATGGACCATATTTGAGCCTGGCTTACTCAGCAAAGTTTATTAAACAAGGATCAAAGTTATGCCAAGACGTGTGTCTCAATGTGCTTGACTCGATACGTGCATTTCCGCACGGTAATACGTCCATCTTGTCCCAGTTTCAGCAGTCTGGGTTGAGTTTCAGTAGCCTGTTGAGGCGATGTTCAGAAAACATCAAAGTCTACCCAAATTGTTCCGGACCGAGGTTCTCTGAACCGTTTGAATATGTAACTGTGTCAGTAGTTCCTAGCTCGTTGATACAACAAATCCAAATCATCTTGTGTTTCAAAACGTGTATGCTTGATCACCATCAACATCAAACGAAATCAGGCAAGAATTCACCGTTTCGCAACACCAATAAAGAGGAATTGAAATGTGAATATGTGCTCTGAAAGGTGCTTTCTGCAAATCCGAGCAAAGCTCCGTACCATCATCCACAACATAGTAAATCAACCAACTCGTACCTCAAGATGGCTAGAGCAAGGAGCGTATCAACAGCCACCAAATCAACACCAATTGCGCATCAGTCTGGCGGGAGATGTCATGTTAGGACGTCTTATTGACCAACTCTTTGACACACACGTTGACGATGCGATCGCTCCAAGTAATCGGATATCTGCAGATATACTACTTAAAAGGTCACCAAAATTGAAGAATATCAAGCACGATTATGTATGGGGAAACATCTTATCAACTATGTGAAAGGTATTGTGTTGGATGTTAAGCATTTCAACATTGGACATCGAACTGACCTCACACGACAATTAGAGTGACTTGAACATTGTTAATTGGGAGACATCTATAACCAATCAGTCGAGAAAATATCCAAACAAGGCATTCAACTTTAGAATGAATCCAACAAACTTGCAGTGGCTCAAGCCAGCAAACGTACAATACATGTCAACCATTCTCTTGATTTTGGAGTAGAAGGAATGAAGGATACCATGTCTTCGCTCTCTGATGCTCATATCGTATACGCGGGAGTTGGCAACAACAAGCACGAAGTTATGCAGCCCAAATATTTGACTGTCAAGGGAGTCAGATTTGCATTCTTGTCTGCTTCTGATCGTCCTGCTGAATGGTAGACTCTTGATGAATTCAATTGTTTTTATGTTGATAATCCTGATTTTCAGGAATTACGAACTTGTCTGCGTAAAAAAGAATACAAAGTCACTCTATAGTTGGTTTAAATAACTCGTTCATTATAGACCATTTGAATCAGCACGACTAGACGCTGATGTCGTCGAATAGTCGATTCACTGGGGCCCCAACTATCGCAGGAGCTGGTTGCGATATCATCCACGGACACTCGGCTCATTACGTCCAAGGTATGTTCAATTTTCCATCCGTTCATTTGCGTTAACACTCCAAAGTTTACCATTCTCCTAGCAGGAATCGAACACTACAAGATCAAAAGGATTTTCTATGGATGTGGAGACGTTGTGGATGACTATGCAGTAGATCCAGTATACAAGAATGATTTATCTTTCTTGTATCAACTGGATTTCACAAAACAAGACTCGAAAGTCAAGATTGAGAATCTGGTATTGATTCCTGCGTGTATTGATACGCTTCAAGTCAGACGTGCTATAGGTGCAGAAGCTGAATGGTTGTTGAACACTATGACGCGTTTATGTCGGGACCTTGGAATGAAAGTGGATCGACTTGAAGATGGTAGCTATTCTGTGCGCGAGTGAATTTTAAGGGTAGGAATGTATGATTGTAACTAGCAAACTGTATGAACCATATTGTATGCAATATTTAATATAAAATATATGAAAAATCAATATGAGAAGTCATCGTCCAACATTTTGAAACTCAGAATTCTACGCAAACACCAATTTCGCATCAAACAACAGCCATGAAACGAGCAACGAGACTTTTCACCGTTTCATCTGCAATGAATGTACAGTTACGAAGAGTTCAATCGTTGGTATATGAAGCTTTTGGAGAGCCAGGAAAAGTTTTAATGTAAGGTCTTGCTGCAAGAACAGCATTCTGTTATTTCCAAGCTTGCATCACTAACGTTCCCGATACTAAATAGGCCAAAAGAAACGTCTCTACCATCGCCAATACCATCAGGTCACGTCCAAGTTCGGCTTCTAGCTTCACCAGGTACAACGAATGGACTTGCAGATCGCATGGAAGCAAGCTCAAGTTCAGCCAGCTTTTGTTAATTCGATGAAATTTCATCTGATTCTAATGGGGCTGCCCTTGCTGGATTCGAATTTTGTTGTTTTTATCTCACTTACCAAACGCCACTGTTTCATTTGCTAGTTAATCCATCTGACATCAAACAGGTTGAAGGTGCATGGCACATTCTTCCTAAATCGTTTCCATGCGTTGCAGGAAATGAGGGAGTCGGTGAAGTTGAAAGTGTTGGTGATAACGTCACCACTGTTTCGAAAGGGGATTGGATTGTGCCGTTACGTGTCGGTTTAGGTATGGACAGTAGAGGACAGTAATACATTGATGACTTTGACCATGAATGTGGCTGCTGATAGTCCTTTTGAACCATTCAGGTACATGGAGAACTCAGGCCGTTTTAAATGTACAAGATATAACATCCATACCATCTAAATATCGAAACAAGATTTCGTTGATGCAAGCTGCTACTGCCTATGTATCCCCTGTGACGTCGTTGCAGATTATGGATTTGTATGGTATCCAATCTGGAGATTTGATTGTCATAAATGCTCCCAATGGTGCTGTTGGACTGGTAACGTTGTCGCGGGCTGCTCTCGCTCCGAACCGAGATACTAATATTTCACCTTGAAATATAGGGTATAATACAAATTGCTGCTTCCCGAGGTATCAAAACGATATGTATAGTACGACAACGAGCCAACGAACAAGCACAAGAGGAGCTAGTAAACGCCCTAAGGCTTCAAGGAGCTATCGCCGTGACACTGGACACGTCACTGGGACTAGATAGAGATGCAGACAAGCTAATCACTGCTCTCATCGACTCCAAAAACGGAATATACGGAATTGATGGTGTAGGCGGTCGATCAGGCCAAGAGATATACAACACAATCACGAGGTTCAAACCATCATGTCAAAGATCTGGATTCATATCATACGGAATGATGTCCGGTACACCCGTCAAAGTAGCCAAAGATGCACCACTAAAGATTCAACGACAGGGGATATTTAAGAAATTGAGTAACTCGTTCGAGTGTAAGCCGGACGGAATAGCTGCTGTATTGGAAGCTGATGAGCAGGCCACGAGAGCTGCGACTGTAGATTATGCTAAATGGATGGAGAAGGTGTTTGAACTGTATGCTACGAAGGTGTTGGGCGAACCTTGGACTGAGAAGGTTGTTGCATTTGAAGAGACGGGAATGGGGTTGACTCGTGCTGCTAAAGATGTGCTAGGTTGGAGAGCATCTAGTCCTGGAAGAGCTGGGATGACGAATCGAAAATATGTATTTGTTTTCAAACACTAAAGATGGTCATTCTCTTTAGAAAAGAGCAAGCCTTGATATAGAACTATGGCTCGAATCTTGCATATATTGGATATCTGACTTTGTCCTTTGGTTTGATGCACGTTAATCGCGATGATGCACGTTAATCACAGACCGCAGACACACTAGCATGAATTCGCGTCTGGCACAGAAATCTCAAAATCTCCAGTCTCCAGTCTGCAACAGCAACAGCATCGATCGTACACGTGCACGTACAACTATTTGACGCCAAAACACGTGCAACTACTTCAATCTGTACAGCAAGTTTTGTTCGTCAGCTGCGGAATCGAGACCACAGGCAACGCTCATTATTAATTACACGTTTGACCTACATTGAATACTTGAAGTTGCACATTGGCACGGCAAAAGAAGCGCCATACCCTTTTTTTGACTTTACTCCGTCCTTTTTTGTGGTCACATTGTTCACGCACAGCCTGCGTACCGTAGTATCGCAACGCTGGTTGGTCGTTTTTCGTGAGGCGTTTCTCAGCCAGGTAGTTTTTCAAACCACGAATCCAACAAGCGAAGGAAGAAGGAATCAATACTGGAATAAGGTAAGTCTTACTTGTATGCACCACCATCGCTGAAACAATTCCAGTGGCTGGAATGTGTGTTGCTTTGACCGTGATCTGTTTCTCATCCCAACATAATACGAATTCGCATGTTATTATGCGATGAAAGGAAACAAACTCAAGTTTTTCTTTATGCAGACATTTATCGATATGGCTGTAACTGACTTCCTTTAACGCTTCAGATCTTGCTCGGAACCTTAAAGCAAACAATTCTCTCAGCAGACCTTAGAAAGTTACGCGTCGAAAAAACTCTAGAATCACGGCCGCTTGAATGTCTCAACAGGGCTTCACATCATCACAGATTGATACGAAGAATCGACAGTCATTTGCAGTGGCTCCCGGTCAACAATCTAACACTTTGAGAAGGACAGTGACCTGCTGTTGCAATTGTGGTATAATAACTGAACCGTCAATACCGTCTTGCTGTATAACAAAGGTACCGGACAACGGTATAAGTGATTACATTGAACTCGACTTGTTGGAGGTAAGCCAATTCAACCAAGTTTATAATCAGCCAAAAAGGTTTTTTGTTTGGTCGGATTGGTTTGAAACAGCAACCTCTCGATCAACGGTGGTTTAAGGCACTTGAATCGAGTTAATTGCAGCATATTTGCCTATTGGATTTAGCTCTATTCTTGCCGTTTGCAAACAAGGTTTACTAATTGTTGCCCAACATTTTACCAAAAAATGTAGGACTTTACCACCATGATGCAGACCGATCATCATGGTCAAATGGACACTTCGGATGATTCCTCATATCATGGAGGATCGAACTATACATCAAGCCATCTCTCATCGTCACGAGACTCGGGATACTCTGATCACGGTCACCCAACAACCACCGACATCGCCATGTACTCGAATCTCCTAAGCATGCTAAATCAAACGCCTCTAATGCCAATGGATCAATATCCTCAACACCCGAATCATGCTATGGGTCAACAGCAAGCCACATATCCACTTTGGGTTGGCACGAGATTTCCAACATCTCGAATGTCACACACGCAACAAACTCAACAACACTACTCGCCGACATCAACTGACTCTCCACATACGCCTCAGCTATTTGTAACATCTCCGATAAATAGTAGATCGAATACGCCACCCTTCGGAAGCCTATCGCCTCCTGCATCTCCAAGTCATGGGCACTTTAGACTCAATCCTGAACTAAAGGGCGCAGAGCACGTAGAACAATTTGTCGATTACGGAGAACATATGGGTGTTCCTAGTAGTCAACACCCCCACCCCCACCATCACCATCAACTCGTGTATGGATCACTCCCATACTCGTACCCTGTCTCACATCCAATAAATGACCACCATCATCACCACCACCACTCTGCTGCATACGGACTAGCTGAATCAGCTCTAGATAGTATAAATGACCCTTCTGCTGCTGCTTATGGACTCGGATTATCGGCACTAGACGACGAAGACGACGAGGACGACTACAGCTACGACCAAGATGAATATGAAGTCAGCTCATCCAGCAACTCGACGGATATAACGACACCAGCATCATCAATCAGCTCATCATCACGTATACACCTTACGTCAGCACAATTACATCAACACCGGTCTGCTGCAGGAGGAATGGTTGGTGCTACTCGAGTAAATAGTATCAATAGTGACGCAGCATCTATAATCACCACATCATCAACTGCTACATCATCAACAACATCATCGGCAGAACCATTCAAATGTGAATGTGGGAAGGTGTTTGAAAAGGCAACACAGCTACGGGCTCATGCCAAAATACATTCGTGTCGAGAACGATCATTTGTCTGCGAGCACTGCTCCAAGGCTTTTCTCCGTGGGAGAGACCTGAGGAGGCACAGTGTCATTCATCAGGTAAATATATATGTAATTTTATTGATGATATTCACTAACTTTATGCCTTTCAACAGGAGGATTTCGTGCCATACGTCTGTGAAAATTGTCGAACTACCTTTACGAGGAGTGATGCTCTACATAGGCATATCAAAGCTCTACGCTGTAAAACGAATTAGCTAGGAAACTTTGTCTGTGTCGGTATATGTGAATGCTAATATGTAAATGATGGAATTGTGGCTGGTGTTAGTTTAGGGACTATCATAGTGTGTATGAAAAACTGCTTTGTCTGGAAGTGTAGTATGTGAGATATATCTGGAATCAACCTCGAGAAATGAACTAGTGTTTGACACACAATTTATGGCACACAGGAAGTGGATTGCTGGATGATTCATGTAATGAATGTCTAAATTGTCGTCAAGGAATGTAGGAATAAAAGCTCTTACCTGAAAAAGTGATATCGTCTTTGGGTTCGCAGTTGCTTTGACAGCTTAAACCGTCTTTGCGTAATTTACTTCTTTAGGTTTGAGGAATTGCAACCGAAACGCCACAGGAAGGAACGATACGCTATAAACTGCAAGGACATATATGCACCGTCTCATATACGACGTTCAGTCGCCATTCTTTCATGACGACACGCTCGGGACAAGACAAACTTTTATGTTCAGCAAGGGGACATGGTTTAGGGAAAGGTTGTCCCCTTTTGATGCCCCGCTTCAAAACTACACACATTTTTAAGCAGAGTCTGGCTTTGGAATTATTATGGGCATGTCCACCGTTTCTCTGACATCTGCCAGCACACCACATCAAATCGTACATTTTTTCATCGATTGAACGCTGTCAATTGTCAATTGTCACATAGATCCAACGCTTGATCTACTGACTTTGACAGCTCCTCCGTCTGTGCAGACTTTAATTCCATATTTTGAATCCTTCGCTTTTCACACATCAGCAAATCGCACCATCACCAACTAAAACCTCACAAAGACGATGCATCACACTGAGAATTTCGCTAAAACGGCATCAGGAACCGACTACAATGGTCTGAATCAGCAAATACCGCCTGAATTGCCCTTTGATCATTCCGCAACTGAATCTACATTGGTGCACGACGATCACGACACGAACGTGAAGGTGCCGATAAATGGCGGTGGTGAAAAGGGATTGGACATCGAAGATGATGAAGCTGAAGTCGCTGTAAAGTTGACTCGTTTCGAGTAAGTCGCGATCTGTGGTGGTGTTTATATGAACGTGATTTCACATCGGGTGGTGTAACTGATGCAATGCATTGTTTGAATAGATTTGTGATGATCTTGTTGTCTCTTGCTGCTGCTGTGCTGCTCGCGGCTCTTGATCAAACTATTATATCGTAAGTTAGACGAACTTTTCCTTGAATTTCAAATCAGTCGCAGTGACTCGACCACCTCTTATTCAATCCTACGTTCTCTTCGTTTAGCGTCGCCATTCCTGCAATCGCTACGGAATTCAACGGTTTAGAGAAAATCGTTTGGGTTGGAGTACGTGACTGAACCCAAAAATATTCACATCCGGACGTCTTTGTGATGCTAAACTTTCGTCTCATCTAGTCTGGCTACTTCTTAACTTCAACACCATTCATTCCATCGTACGGAAAGGTATGCGTCAGGTTTACACAATTTAGCTGCACGAACCTGGTACTGACTTGAGCCAAACATGTTACAGCTGGCAGATGTTTTCGGACGTAAAGTAGGAGCTTCACTCGCTTTCGCTGCATTTTGAGCATGCGCATAACCGTCTATTCTATTTATTAGGCCACCTTCCTTGGTGCAATCATAATCTTTGAGGCTGGTTCCATGTTATGTGGTGCAGCACCGAGTCTTGATGTGCTAATTGTTGGACGAGCTATTGCTGGATTAGGTATGTATGAAGGCAGCAACCCTGAAACATATTTGATTGTCAAGATTTGAATATTGTATTGACCAACATCGCTTCGCTTATGCTAGGTGGAGGAGGTATTTTCTCCATCTGTATCATCATTATTGCTGATCTGGTACCGCTCAGAGAGCGTGCTCAGTATTCTGGTAAGACATTTAACATGTGCGTTTGGATTATGGAAGTTCAATCCAGATGATTAACAAAATGATTCCTTGAAATCAGGCGTCATCGGAGCTGTGTTTGGTCTTGCTAGTGTCATTGGTCCTTTAGCTGGAGGAGCACTTACTGACCATGTCAGTTGGCGTTGGTGCTTCTATATCAATGGGCCTATCGGCGTTGTTGCTATGGGGATCATTATTGTGTTTTTGAGGTGAGGGCTTCAACATATTTGTTTCGATGGGTGTTTTTGGTCATCAGAACATGGAGAACTAATCTTTCTTGCTTTATATAGACTACCTCCTCCAAGTGGAGATCTATGGTCGAAATTCAAGAAGATTGACTGGATTGGTACCTACTTTATTTCTGCGAAATAAAAACGATGATAACCAAGTATTGATAACCTTCATTTATCTCACAGGTACATTCTTGTTGGTTTGTGCTGTCGTTTTCCTGCTAGTACCTCTTCAATCTGGTGGTTCCATCTACGTATGTTAATGGCTGATGTCAGTTCGCACACTTGAAATAATTCAACCAGTTCTAATGCTTTTTTTTCTCCTCATCAACAATAGGCATGGAATAGTCCAATTATTATTGTCCTCTTCGTGCTTGGTTTCATCTTTGTCATTGGCTTCATTTTGTGGGAGATGTACGCAGCTGCTGATCCAGTAATCCCAATGAGCTTGTTCAGAAACCGGTATCTGGTCTTCACCTACGCCAACACTCTCTTTGCTGGCATGGCATTCTTTGCTTTGATTTATTACATACCATTGTGTAAGTACTTGGGATGTGTTGTTACTTAGAGTAGTCATTCACGCCAGACATTTGTCCCTTTTTGTGTTTCCAGACTTTGAAACTACGAATGGATTGAGTGCTACTCAAGCTGGTATCTCTACATTGCCCTTCATCCTGGGTGTTGTTGTGTTCAGTATTGTATCAGGAATTCTCGTCACTGCTACCGGACATGTACGCTATTTGTGGACAGTTTCTGGTTTTGTTTTTGTCTGACGTCGCATTTCCCTTTCATAGTATACTCCACTAGGACTAGTCGGGTGTACAAGTAAGCGCATGATCTCTTGGTCTTAGCACCAATAAACCGTCTTTAATCTTTTTTTTCAGCTGCTGCTATTGGCGCCTACTTGATATCCACTTTGAACGAGAACAGTGGACGGGCTGCGCAAATAGGCTACCTGCTTATCGCTGGATGTGGTCTAGGATTGACCATTCAAACTACCATCATCGCTTCTCAAGCTGCCGTATCTGAAGACTTGCTGGTAAGGTGAAATAGTGATTGCACGTTGCCAAGTTGATCTGATGGTTTTTTTCGCCTAGGCCATCGTAACAGCCAACAACCAATTCTGGCAAGTTACTGGAGCCGTGTTAGGTCTCGGTAAGAAGCAAAACAAGATGCGCCTACAGTACCACTGAAAGGAATCATTTGAAAACTAACACGCTCTGTTCACAACCTTAGCAATCACATCAACTGTCTTCAACAACAAACTGTTGACATTCATTGGTGAAGATGCTCCAGGCCTACTCAACCCATCAATCATTGCACAGAATCCGGCTGCAATCAGGAATCCAATGTTTGTACCGCCAGAGTTACAAGCTGCTACGATACATGCTTTTAACAGGGCGTTATCACTGATTTATTTATCTGCTCTGCCGTTTGCTGGGTTTGCTGCTCTATTGTCATTAGGTAAATGCAAACATCGAGAAGGGTTTTTTTGCTGAGTGGGGTTTCTAACACTGTCCGTTTTCTTCCATTTAGGAATGAAATGGCAGCGTATTCCAAAGGGTCAAGAGGTACAAATGGTGGCTGGCTAAGATTTTTTTTATTTTGTTGATTCATTTAGAGTGTATATTATATGATAGCTACATTACTATTTGATAAATAAACGCACAATTTACCAACAATCTCGATGTCTTACCACGTCACGATTGTTGCATTTTAGGCGTATTCATTGATACCAGGTGTTATGTGCACTGACTGGTACTGAGAAAAACTTGAAGATCAAATGGTACGCAAAGTGGTCATTGTTGTTGATTTCAATTTATTTTGTAAGTTTTTGTTTTATATAGACGATATGAGTATTTGATTTACAATTTTTACTTCAACGTGACTTAAGCAATAGGAATTTGCTTTCGAGTTTCAGATGGAGCAGCCTTCTTGTTGAATGAGATGCGTAATACACCATCTTCAACACTTCCAGCAGCATTTTCGGTATCTGCATCCGATGGAAGTTGAATGCTTCGTACGAATTTACCAAAGCTTCGTTCAACCACATGACGAGTAGATGTCTTTTCTTCTCGGTCATCGTGTCTATCCAAGATAAGAAAAGTGAGTATCATTGATTAAATATGAGAGTTATCACCAAAACAAAAGCCAGTGTTGTAAAACATACCTTTCCCCTTCAATAGTCAAAATATCATCTTTCAAATGAACTTGCACTTCCTCCTTCTTCAATCCAGGCAAATCAGCTTTGATGATATATGCCTTTTCGGTTTCTTCCACGTCGATACGTGGTGCCTTGAATGACCTCATGGCAGTTCCAAGTCCTCGTTGTTGCGGTTGTTGAGAGACTGTTCCAGCAGAGGTAGCAGAGTCCTTATCCTTATCTGAGGCAGTATTTGGGGATGAGTCCTGAGTGATTCGTCGAGAAGGAGTAGCAGCTTCCAAGATGGAGAAGAGTTCCAACGGAGAGCGAGCAAAGTATGGGTCGTCGAAAAAGTCTCGTACAAAGAAGGCCTAAGCAAAGAGAGTGGAAAATTTTAGTATCATTGTGGTTGATGTTCGAGCAAACGAATTCAATTCATAGATGATGAGTGCTAACATTCACGTACCATTATTTTGCTTTTGATGTTGGATGTAGAGTGTGTGAAAGTGTTTATAGTAACTTAGTTAGTTGGGCTTGCTGAACCAGTGTATGTCTTGGATGTTTCTGAATGATAGAATGCATTGTAGGTTTCGTCTGACTATATAGTGTTGCAAGGCACACTCGAAAAGTCATGAAAATTCTAGAAAATTGTAGAACATGCCAAACCCTTCTATCAATAACTAAAGAGAGAGATACCGAGGTAACACGAATAATGTCCGTTAAGACAATCTGGATGCCACAATCTTCGCGTTTTTCTGTCGATTGGTTTCCTCGTCCCTGTGTCTTGATTTGCGGCCATTTTGGTTTGGGTGAAATGTGACCGAATCTTAAGATGAGGACCGCATTAGAATCTCGTTTTGATATCCAAGCAAGCCATCCAAGATACAAGACCAGTCCGATTCTAGCATTCGACAAAACAAACAAGAATTTTTAATTCTACTGTCACGACTCGCCAAAAACAGCAAGCACGCCTTTCGAGCCCGGAGGAAGAGTTGATGCAGCCCGAGAAAGTAGTATCAACGGCAGCGCTGTATCCATTATCATCACGTCGTCAGTAAACCACATCGTCAACAACATCATGTGCAGCAGTATCGAAGACATGATGAATGTTGTAGAAAGTTTGAAATGACATACTGTTACGAAGTCATTTTAAGACTCACTCGCTCCAAGGGCGAGCCTTTGTCTGTGAGCATTGCTACAACGCTGCTCTTCGCGGAAGGGATCTAAGACGACACAGTGTTGTCCCAGACTTGATGCCAAAAGGGTTTGACAACTGTTAAAGATGAAATTGGTGCTGTTATGTAGAGATAATATCATAACATGTATAAAGCTCCTTTTTTTGGAACTGTACTATGTGATGTGTATCTGGAATGAACCTCGAGAGAATGAATAATATTGATAACTTACAGGATGTTACAATGCTGCGAAAATATAAATTCAGTGTCAGTGCCAATGCCCTTGCTTTTCTCAAAGGTACAATTTTCTTGGTTGGTGTTGTCGTATTCTTGCTGGTACCTCTTCAATCTGGTGGTTCCATTTACGTACGTGGCTGTCTGATTGTCGGCTCCAACCACTGAAATTCAGAAAAAACTTATTTCCTTTTTGTCTCCTCTTCACATGTAGGCATGGAACAGTCCAATTGTAATCATCCTCTTCTTCCTTGGCTTCCTCTTTGTCATTGCCTTCATCTTGTGCGAGATGTGCGTTGCTGTTGATCCAGTAATTACAATGACCTTATTCAGAAACCGTTACCTGGTCTTCACCTACGCCAACACTTCCTTCGCTGGCATGGCATTCTTTGCTTTGATTTATTACATCCCATTGTGTAAGTACTTGGGATGTGTTGTCTCGTGAGATTTCTCTTTCTCACCCTCTCTTTCCACGTTAGACTTTGAAACTACAAACGGATTGAGCGCTACTCAGGCCGGTATCTCTAATTTACCCTTCATTCTGGGTATGGTTGCTTTCTGCATTTTGACGGGGATTATTGTCACTGCTACTGGCCATGTAAAAAATAATTCAGACGGGCTAAACTTTGCTCCTGCAAAGGTAACGAGTTTTTTTGCGTAGTATACTGCACTTGTACTTGCGGGATGTACAGGCAAGGATTGTCTGGTTTCTACCTACATTGTGCTGATTCTAAAAGAAAACCATAGTTAGCTGCGGCTGTTGGTCCTTACCTAATATCAACTTTGGACGAAAATACTTCAAGGGCTGCTCAAGTCGGTTACTTGTTTATAACAGGACCCTTCAAACTACTGTAATCGCTGCTCAAGCCGCCGTATCTGAACATTTGCTGATAACGTGAATGTGGACCATATGAAATTTACGAAATCAATCTCATTGTTTTTGGCTTATTTCCTTTTTTGTCAAGCCATTGTAACAGCCAACAATCAATTATGGGAAACCACTGGAGCCGTGTTGGGTCTAGGTGAGTGTCATTATAACCACACTGTTGGCGTGTTGAATCTGAAACTGACTGATTCAAGCACTTTTGGGTTTCAACTTGTTTAAGCCATCACATCGACAGCCTTCAACAACAAACTATTGGTCTTTATTGGTATGCGTCAGGCCTACTGAACCCGTCAGTGATTGCACAGAATCCAACAACAATCAGAAATCCATCTTTTGTTCCTCCAGAACTCGAAGCTGCTACCATGCATGCCTTTACCAGGGCGTTATCATTGATATATCTTTGTGCTTTGCCGTTTGCTGGGTTTGTTGCTCTATTGTCATTAGGTAAGTGCAAACATTGAAAAGAGTCTTTTTGCTGGGTGGGGTTTCTGACACTGTGTCCGTTTTCTTCCATTTAGGAATAAAATGGCAATTGCATTCCAAAGGGTCAACAGATACAAATGGTGGCTGGCTAATACTTTTTATTTTGTTGATTGATTTAGAGTGTATATTATTTGACAGCTACGAAATAAACGCACAGTGTTACCAACAATCTCAATGTCTTACCACGTCACGATTGTTGTATTTCAGACGTTATCGTTGATACCAGGTGTTTTGGGCACTGGCTGGTACTGAAAAAAAACTTGAAGATCAAACCGTACGCAAAGTGTTCATTGTTGCTGATTTCAATTTATTTTGTAAGTGGTTGTTTTATATAGATGATATGAGTATTTGATTTACATTTTTTACTTCCAATGTTACTTAAGCAATAGGAATTTGCTTTCGAGTTTCAGTTGGAGCAGGTTTCTTGTTAAATGAGATGCGTAATACACCATCTTCAACACTTCCAGCAGCATTTTCGGTATCTGCATCCGATGGAAGTTGAATACTTCGTACGAATTTACCAAAGCTTCGTTCAACCACATGACGAGTAGATGTCTTTTCTTCTCGGTCATCGTGTCTATGCAAGATAAGAATAGTAAGTATCATTGATTAAGTATGAGAGTAATCACCAAAACAAAAACCAGTGTTGTAAAACATACCTTTCCCCTTCAATAGTCAAAATATCATCCTTCAAATGGACTTGCACTTCCTCCTTCTTCAATCCAGGCAAATCAGCTTTGATGATATATGCCTTGTCGGTCTCTTCCACGTCGATACGTGGTGCCTTGAATGACCTCATGGCAGTTCCAAGACCTCGTTGTTGCGGTTGTTGAGAGACTGTTCCAGCAGAGGTAGCAGAGTCCTTATCCTTGTCTGAGGCAGCATTTGGGGATGAGTCCTGAGTGATTCGTCGAGAAGGAGTAGCAGCTTCCAAGATTGAGAAGAGTTCCAATGGAGAGCGAGCAAAGTATGGGTCTTCGAAGAAGTCACGGACAAAGAAGGCCTAAGTAGAAACGTTGAAAGTTTAGTATTGCTGAGTGCTAGGGTTTGATGCAAATGACTTCAATTCACACATGACGAATGCTAAGATTAACATACCATTATAATGTTTTTGTTGTTTGATGTAGAGTGTGTGAGAGTGTTTATAGTAACTTGTTTGAGCTTGCTTGGGATATTGTCGTATTTGTATGTAAGAATGCTGTGCAAGCTGCATCGGTTTTATAGTGTTGGATGGTACACTCGAAAAGTCACGAAATTTCCAGAAACGATGAGAACCTGCCGGATCCTTCCATCAGTGAGTAAAGACAGAAATGTTGACCAAGGCCAGAATGCTGATGCGCTGGTCTAAATGCCTTGCCGGTGGTGCTCTTTGGGTGAATGGTTCTTCCTCATCAGTCTGTCCTGATTTGCGGCCATTTGGGTTTCGTTGAAATATGCGAGAATCTGGAGATGGATCAGCATTTTACAGCATAAGATCTAGCCATCCACGAGACAAGACTAGCTAAATCCAAGAACCTCACAAAAAGAAGCCAGATTTCTCGTGAATGATGCCGTTCTTAAAAATGGGCGGGTGGTGCCTGACAGTTGTATTTGAGAGTTAGGATTATAAGTGATGTCTCTTGGATACCTGCGCATACTGTTGACCACCTCAGAGCATGACGTTTGACCTGGGAAGCGCAAAAGCATCCTGCAAACAGAAACGATCGTTTCTTGAGCAGTACTCAATCAAAAAAGAACTCGCTTTACCCTTCCTTCTCATCATCTATGAACGAGATGTTGCTTTCTGTCACTCTTGTTGTATTCTTGTTCTCTGTGGTTGACGCTTATGGAGTTTTGCTTATCCAAATATCACGGTGAGCAGATGCTTCAATTTACTTTCAATTCTGATAACCGGACCTCTGCATAAACTTTTACGTTTACGCCCTTTCTGTCGGACATTACATTGTTTTTTAAGTGTCCTCGGGGATTTGACTCTGGCGCTATAACGCAGCTCTGACCTCTCCAAACTGCAAAGACTGTATTGAAAAACAGACGATTATCGACTACTGGGAACTCTGTGTCAAATCTACTCAGGCAGAATGTTGTGTTGGAAACGGCACAACTGGATTTGCTGCTAGTGGAGAAGCATGCAAGTATGTAACAACACCTGCTGCCACGTATTGCTCATACAATGCTGCTGCAAATCATTCGCTTGTGTTTGTATTCCAGCTGGTGAGTTTTGAGTTGTTTTCAGGGATGGAGGATGGTAGTAGTAGTAGCCAAAACTGAGAAAAGACGAGGTACATGTTATCACTTATACATATTTAACGCTTCTCTATCTTAGATCAGCGTAATATGTTCAAACCAAAAAAAATGATTATGCGAGACAATCATTCGAAAGGTGCTCGTGAACGGTAAACTTGTGGTTTAAGCCATAAGCTGAAGAACCTGAAGAACTTGTTGATTGAATATAAAATTGTGAAATTCAAATCACTGTTGATCGCTTTTTAAGAGCGATCGGCTGCGATTTCTATGCGAACTTCTGTTCCCAATGGTTAAAAGTGTCGTATTGAATGATTATTGCTCCTTTAATGTCAGGAACGCGTCTCTCATTCCCTCAAATACGGAAAATCACGTGAATTTCAAAATGTGTTGTGAACCCATTGAACGATGTATGCAGTAGATAGAAGACAAGTGCCATACTGATCCTGAACTTATATGCGACACTGAGGGAAACCGCCTCATGACGTCGTTCAATAACAACGCGTTCGTTTATGCAAAAACCGCAACCCACCAGACGTTTGGATTTCTTGATTGCTTGGAAATTGTGGGCGAGTTGAACCCCAGTATGTCGCCAGCAAAACCAAAACTATGTTACAATTGACGCTAGGAATGGCTCCAAAATTGATTCCCATGCTTTTAATATGCCAAACGTTGCTTTGAGACATAACTCTACACAAAACCCAGCATTCGGGAGATTTGACTCATTTCAATTCACATCGCCCTTTTGCTTATTTTGCTTATAACTGTGCATTATCCAAGTTGTTAAGGTTGGTCACAAGCCACATAGTTAGATGGTTCTCGATGGGAATCGGGACAGATGAACTTTAAAATTTCCTGACGTTCGTTCGGCAGGCCGTTGAAGAAAGTTTTGGTCTGTCACTCCAGATTCACACGCTTTGTCACAGACTCGTGGCTAACCATATTGGGATGGAGTGTTCCAGATTTTCCGAAAAGACCGAGATTGCATGGATTTAAGCATTCAGCCACGTTCAACTTCGCTGGTCAAATGAAGATCCTGTTCATTTGTCGGACTGATGACTGGCATTGTATCATAGAAACCATACTAAACCATGCCGAATGTTGACTTCGAGACAGCATATCAGTACCTTTGGCATCATATAAAACATGCACGAATAAGCATCCAATTCTAATATAAATAACACCCGTGATTACGTCATTACAGCTTGCTGTATGCCATCAGCACCACTTTTATACGATTCACGGCAACATCCATAACCTCAGGCTTCATGGTAGTCATTCTAAAGAATCCTGGGCGTGTAGCCAAACACGATTCACCATTGACCAGCATAACACCTCCCGATGCAAGTCTCTTCCACAACACCCTTTCCCCCTCGAAGCTCTGATTCTTCAAGTACATGCTTAGATCCAGCCATACGTAGAATCCAGCTTCTGGAATCACGCATGGTATCCCTGCACTTTGTAGCAATTGCCCGACATGGTTGGCACCATTTCGTAAGTTGCTTCGGTTTTGGTCTATGAATGATGATATCCATTCATCGTCGTTTAGTAGTGGTACGATGAGACGTTCTGATAGTGGAGCAAATGGTGTATATGCTGCCCATTGTTTCATTATCGCGAGTATTTGAGGATGGCGTGTGTGTAAGACACCCATTCGAAGACCTGGACAGCATAGGTCTTTTGTTGCAGACCAAATCCAATGTACTCTAAATAGAAGGAAACGTTACATGTGAGTAAGAACTGTCAGATTCAATGTTAAGCGAAGAAAGGAGAAGAAACGTCAGAGGATGTGCCAACCAAACTTACAAACTCACTTATCATCAAGACCCGGAAACGACAATATGCTCTCAAACGTAGATTCTCCGAAAGTGGATAATCCATACACTTCATCCACGATAACATGCAAGCCTTTTGAAGCAGCCCAATTCAAGATATTCGCAATCTCATCCTTGGAGTAAATCAACGCAGTCGGATTATTTGGATTCGTCAATATGATTCCCTTCACGTTTGCAGTCGTTTGATGCACTTGCTCAAATGCAGATACCGATAGTGTCAGTTTTGAAGATGATGGGTCGTGTGGAACGCCAACCAGTTGAGCTCCAGCTACTTGATAAACGAAATATTATTACAAAGGAAGCCAAAAAACAAAAGTGATGGTGGATGTTGTAGTCACAAACAAACGTACTAAAGGCAAGCATAGATTCGAAGCTCCTGTATACAGGTGTTGGAGCTAGCATGACATCACCGCAATTGCAGATTGCCTTTCCAAGTAGGGCTACGAGCTATTGCACTGTATGTGTCAGCAAGCGACATATGCAAAACAACAGACAGAAGAGCAGCAAAAACCATCCTGACAAGAATGTATACGTACAGAAGTGCAACCCCCAGAAGTAACCACGAGATTATCATTCCCAATATCTTGATATGATTCAAAATGCCTTCCAATAAATCTCGACAAGGCCTGGCGAAGTTCCAAACTCCCACATTCAACAGCAGGGTAAAAGCAGTCAGATTCCGTTATTGCTGATCTGAATGTGTTCAACTATGCGAAAAGAAAGGAAGGTGTCAGCTTTCCAATGTCCCAGCTCGAGTGTTTGATTTGCAATCAAAAGTTCCAAATGACAAACTCGTTGTGCGATGATGTCGGCTGAGAAGTGATTTTCGGCAGTAGCTGTGTATGGAATCGCAGGTAATTAGCGAGCTGACTACATTTCAGTAGCTTTTCAATACCGTAAGCTTACCCAACCAAAGAACACCGTTCGGATTACTCGCCGATTCCACATTCGACCAAGCTTCATTCCGGACCTCATTCTCGAATGGAGTCCTCACGGATTTGGTTCTTGTGGCGATCGATAGGTCTGGCATACTTGCTATATTGATGCTTGTCAAATCCTTATCAACCAAAAACAATAACAGCCCAGACTTGACGCAAGTCGAAGAACAACAAAGATCGGAGGTCTTTTTTAATTATCAAGACGAATGTCGCGTAAAATTACGTGTATTTTTACATTTTACAATATGCGTACCAGATAATAAGTTATAACACGTCTTTCAGCTTCTTGCTTTATTACACACCCACTGACAGTCACGTACTTGGAGGAAACAATGGAAGATCATCATCGCTACCACTACTCTCTCCCAAGCTACTACTGCCAGCACCACCCTCAGTACTTACACCGCCAACAACAACAGGAGCGACATCACCTCTCCGCTTCCAAGCGCCCAAATCCTTTCTAACATATTCAACTCTCTTCTTATGTTGACGTCCTGCAACATGCTTCTCCCATTCTAATGGTCCATTCAACACACGAGGCTGGCCATGTGAATCAACACACACATCACACGTGTGTTTCTTCCATTCGTGGACGGAGAGTGATGCTTGTGGGTTGATTTGTGGGATTAATTCGGAGAGCAGGGATGAGCTGGGAGGCAACTCTGATGAAGGATCGAGAAATTCTGTGATATAGCATTTCTTCTTGGTCAGTTGAAAGAACAAAGTGATTTCTGCGAATGTAGCTTGAGCGTCTCAACTTAACTCTTTGCAATGTCGATAGCAGTACGACCAACATTTTCATCCCATTTACTCAAATCTAGCATTGTACCAAAAAATTGAGTCATTCAAATTCAAATCATTGTGAAACAATCCTCGCACAACATACCAGTAGCATCTAAAACATAAAACCCAAACCGATTCCCTCTTCGCTTCTCGTCGAAGACTCGTGGTCCCAATCGATTCTTAATCCAGTTTGTTTGACGACGTGCATACTGTCTTGTTGCAATCTTCATTGCAGTGATGCCATCTTCCTTCAACTTTTCTGCATCTGCAGCATTCGAAGTTGCCATCAAGTAATCATGAAATTCTTTAAATCCTGGAATGAGAAAACCAAGTGCTGTCAGTGACAAGCAAAAAAACGACGAATTTCTGCGATGTCTACATACCAATAGTTTGAAATATCCCACGCGTATAATCTGGCACACCATCACTCTCCCTCTTAGCCTGCCACGCATCCATCATAGTTCTTAACTCATCAAACATGCCTCCCGTACTAATCATGGCGTCTACACGATGATCAAGTCGTGGATCCAGGATTGTCGGTTGAGCGTAAATCCAAAACACACACGATGGGTACCTCATTGTTCCCGATTCTTCATTATCTTCACTACAGTTGGATTCGATGTTTGATTGACGTTGAGTTTCGAGCCATTCACTATGTTTCGTTGCTGTAGTGTAATATACTTCAAGTGATCGTCTGATTTTTCGTGTATCGTTTGGGTGCCATCGTTCTCCCATCACTATGGATACGGTTGAAATTAGCGGGATTTCATATATCCAAAAACGAGAGGCAATACCTGGATCGACACGTTGAAGCACTCGATACATTTCAGCATCATGTTCAGTTTCTCGTCCCGATTCAGGAGTTCGTAATGTTGGTTCGATGAGTGTACGTAACTCTTCAGAAAGGCTCGGATGAGCTGCATTCTTTGACTCTGTATCACTAGCAGCGGTAGAATCACCAATCAACATATTCTTCCAAAGTAGCGATTGCATGTAGTAATGGGTTCCGCCTACAAGAATTGGGTGTTTTCCTTTACCATGTATATCTGCGATCTATTTTGCAGATGAATGCGATGTCAAAACATACGAAACTAATAAAGCTTTGCTCAGTTTTACAAGTTACCACATTGTTGGCATCCTTTGAAAAGTCAATGACTGAATACTCCTCATTCCAATCAACAAAATCCATTAAATGATGCGGTATTCCATCACGTTCAAGTACCGGTATCTTGTTTGTGACTGTATCGAGTCCTGTATAAACCTGGGTTTGAAAAAAAATTGGTGTTTGATGGGACTCGCATCTGACAGGATGCAGCAAGTAAACAACTAATAGTTGCAATAGAACGATCTTAGCTTACTTGCATGGAATCAGCATTGATGACTTCACCGTTTATAGCTTTAGCAAGCTCAATGGCGAGTTTGGACTTTCCGACGCCTGTCGTTCCTACAATAGCGAAGACGAAAGCATCCTTCATTAGCGAACGACGAATAGAAAGTGCTCTGTATATGTAGCTTATGCAAGTGGTGTGCGGTATTATAGGAAACTGGCTGACTCTGAACATGCAAAGTCACGTTTTGAGAAAATTGCGTGGCATGCAATATAGTTCATATTTCGCACACAAAGATTCACTATATGGAATTGTGTCTTGCCATTCTATGAAGTGAATTCTTTTGCTTACAAGGGTGCAAAGTACAGTGCTAAGATATGACACTTGTCAGTTGAGTTTGGAATCGGGAAATGGTGGCAGTCCAGACCGATTGCGATGTAGACTCGGCAAACAATTGCCAGATCACGGCCATCGCGCTTGTCAAATGCGAGAACTATCTACCAGGGAGTCGTTTGCGACATATCAGATATGTATTACAGGCAGTATATATGCAGTCACGATTCCGTGTGGTGGTGCTTGTCGTTGCATTGAAGCCCACGGTTGGTGCAAAGTGAATAACACGGTTGGTCATAGTTAAGGGCTGGTAGTTGGAAATTTGAAGAGTCACTTCTTGATCGTGAGTTGGAGAAGGCAGGTCTTTTTGCGAAGACGGCTCTAGGCAAAATAGAAGATGGCTGATTTTGACGACATGAGGCGGTGCTCAGATAATGGATTCAATCATCCGCTTCTAGATCTGAGAGTACCATGAATGCTCCTGGAGAAAAGGCTTTGACACTAATTTGTTCTGGTCTATGATTTATCCTCCTGTGATCAATTTGGTTCGAAAAAAACTTGATTCCAAACCATCACCAATTGCCAACACTAGGAACAGTCTACAAACATTATCACTACTAACAGCCTAGACTCTACCCTCCAGAATTATTTGCTCTGCCCCAACAACAGGTGATTCGGTCATGAACTTCTCCAAGTCTCAGAAAAAGCCTTTCCTGACGTTTTCGATTTTATGACAAACAGTGCCAGGAAACAAAAAGCAGATATTCACCATCATTGCCACTGGAAGCTACAATAGCCACTCTGGGTGAGCCATCCCTTCACTTGCATACACCTGTTTTATGAACCTAAAGCATATGCTGACACCACACATAGTTCATACTTTAAAACTCAAATGACCTGTTTGGTTGAAACAAGGTGCCTAAAGGAATCCACCCTATACAATATATCCAAACCAACATCGCTCCTCGCCTCGCCCATCATGAACGAAGCCACTCCTCTTCATCAACAGCAAGAACAATCACCTCCTGCTGAACAACCATGCCCAGAACAAGTACTCTTCCATCATCCACCACCAGCAGCTTTTACCGACAAGTACATCATCACCGGGGAGCTTGGGTCTGGTGGTTTCGGCTTCGTAGTCACTGCCATAGACTCTTCTCGTCGAGAGTGGGCTGTTAAATTCATCTACAAGGACCGCATATCCGCCGAAAACTGGTGTCAAGATAAATTACTAGGACGAGTACCTCTAGAAATCCATATATTAAGCCGTATGCATCACCCTTCTATCATTGGTATGGTCGACTATTATGAAAACGATGCTTTTTGCATACTGGTCACTGAATTACACGGGGCTGCTTGGAAGGACGAAGTAGTCTGTGACGCTATCGACTCTATAGATGGCTCCACCCAGCTCTTGTCTATGACGGATCGTGTCTCTAGTATTGTCATCGCCGCGTCATCGCCATTTGGATCATCAAAATTGCAATTCAACCAACAATTACCTTTCCATCTACCAACACCGTCAGCCGATTGTATGATACCTGAACCTTTGATAAGGAGATCCAGTATGGACTTGTTTGAGTAAGTTAGTACTTCATTTATCCTGTCTTAAATTGTTGTCATTTGCATAAATCGGTGTGTGTGGCTGTGCATGCGAAAGAGGGAAAAGCTGTCATCGATTACCTCCCCACCCATAACATGTGCCCACCGTCATTTGCTTCTTTTGGGTTAGCCGAGGGTCTTCGACGCCGAAGGCTTTGCAAACAGACATGATGACACACTAGTCACAATCACATGAAATATATGCTGATTACTGATTTTCATTTCTCCACTTATCTATTAGATGTATTGAACAATGCGATCACCTGACTGAACCGCAAGCTGCATATGTCTTCAAACAAGTAGTGGATGGTGTGAGATTCATGCATTCCAAGAACGTAGTGCATCGTGACATCAAAGATGAAGTGAGTCTCTCTATGCAAGTTCTACCGCTCGATCTACTTCTGCAGTATACTAATTCGTATTTTTCCATCATTAGAACATTGTAATTGATGATCAATTCCGAGTCAAGATAATAGATTTTGGATCGGCTGCAGTTGATGTCGGTACACCATATCGAACATTCAGAGGCACAATCCAATACGCAGCTCCAGAAATATTGAGAGGGGAAAAGTATCACGGTCGCCCTTGTGACATATGGGCTTTGGGTATACTGCTGGTAAGTTGATCATACCTTTGCATGATCAAGCCATTCCATATGCTTACCGATCTTCATCAAACTCAACAGTACATTATATTATACGGCGAAGTACCATTCTCATCTGGTGATCAAGCCATCAGTGAATCACCAAGAGCACCACGCTTCCAAACATCCGCTGAATGCCAACACTTAATATATTGGATGCTACAAAAGAAGTCAACAAGGAGGCCGACCATTGAACAAGTGTTTTATCATCCATGGTTGTTACGTGTGCCTACACGTACATCGTCTCTATGAAACGAGGTTATATACAGACCAACACACCCTCCCATTATACATAGTTTTATATTTCTAGTTGCACGAAGGGTTGAAATCATCAACACCAACACACACTACCACCACATTAGTTTTATATCTATAGTTGAAAAAATTCCCATACTTCGGTTATGGGCTGCACGAAATTATACTAGTATAGTAAAAATGTTTAAAACAGATAAAATACCTCTCAAAACAAAATGCAAAGAAATCTACATAGGAAATCAGAACTTTCCATGATCTGGTTTTGTTGTTTTTAGACTCGTAACTAGCTAACAAGCGCGTGTATTCGGTGGTATTCGGCTTGTGATTTTCTAAAACAAAAATCTCAACTTTCAAGATAATCACATCTAGAGAGACAAGAACGAGGGAGGTCAAACAACATAAAGTAGAATCTTTCAAGGATAAAAAAGCAGTAAATATGGACGCAATCAAAGCTGTAAGTAACTACTACCATCTCGCATTCGTTGCTTTTGATATATCAGCCACCAGACCGCAACAAGAATCTTGAGGAGAATCGGGAATTGGAATATGAAGACACTAGATGAACATGAAGAGAGACCTACATGACATCATCACATATTTATTTGATGCATGTCGACATCTTTACTACTTGACAGTCGAACTACTTGTCGCGCACATTTCCCCAACAAATCAACATTTCGAAACAATCAAGAATCAAACTACACATTCATATTTACTAAACCAACAATGGATCTCTACACTCATCATTAGAAAATGGAAAAGCTCCGTATCGAGGGCGAAGGACACAACGCTCGCGCTGAAAAGGCTGAAACTGAAGTCAAATCACTCAAGTCCGAATTGGCGAAAAAGGAAACAGAGACTCAGTCTCTAAACAATAAGATCTCGCTTCTACAACAAGATTTGGAAAGGACTGAACGTCGTGTTGATGAGGTATGTTTGTTTGCGTTGAAGGGGTTTGACGTGGAGTTGGTTTTGACGTTGATGTGTTTCAAGCATATCAAGATGGAGTGATTTTCATGAGCAATCAGTTTTCTCATGAATGACCCGTCTCACCGCACCAGCAGTATTCCCTTGTTGGGTGTTGTGGTATTGTGTTTGACGGACAACAACAAAAAAAGAGACCAGCACCATAACCGATTGTTTGCCTTCTAACACTACTTCGTTTTGCTGATTAGCACAAAGTCAAGGCAGCAGACAGTGAAAAGGAAAACAGGGATTTCGAAAGTCTACAACGCAAAATACAATTGTTGGAAACTCAACACGATGACAAGGAACGTCAATTGAAAGATGCTACTGAAAAGTATGTATCGTGAGCTTGTAGCATACACCTTTTTTGCTGTTGTTTCTGAAATCCCAATATTGCTAACCACCAAACAATTTGGCTGACTTTTAGGGCACGATCCTTGGAATTGGTATCTGAACAAAACGAACGCAAAGCAAAGCAATTGGAAGGAGAAAGGAATGACTTGGAGAAACGATTGGATGAAATGACATCCAAATATGCAGCCGTCAAACAAGAGCTGGAACGTACCTTAAAAGAGTTGGAAGGTCTATAGAGGAACTAATAGTAGAATCTCCAATCGTTGTATCGCTCTCTCTCGCTCTCTACCTCCTCCCCTTTTATCATTGTTGTTGTGGAAAAAAAGATAAGAAAGAAAGTTGTTCCTTGTATTGGTGGGAAGTTGGGATTTTTTCATAAAAGAGGTATATAGCTTGTAAAAGTCGAAAGTTTTTTTTTCCGACTATGAAAACCAAAACAAGAGAATATAAAACTTGAATATCACAGAACATTGATGGTGTTGGTTTGTGTTCGCATGAGCACTGTGTTGAGGGATGCATCCTTTTTCTCGTGTAGCGTATGAATCTCATTTGTCTTGTTGCATATCAGATAATTGTATTAAGGTAATGAGAAACACAGTAGTACAAATGTGACGCTGCGCTGAATCGTATTCAGGCGGATCCTGAGGAAATAAGGCCTCCCATGAACGCAAGGTTGAAGGTGCTTTCCAACAACACATATTCCCAGATATGTCCCACAAACCTATCATGGAAAACTTTGGAAAACGAGTTAGAAAACATATTTGACCTCAAAATAATGTCAGCTAATGTCTAGAGAAAAGTACATCATTGACACGATGGCATTTCTGCTTTCATTAGCTCCCACCACCTCTTGCGGTAACTTGAGTGTGGCAGATGTTACTCTACGCTCCAACAGTAGTATGACGTGTTATTGACTAAGCACGCTTCATGCCAGGAGCAGATGTATGATTGATGGTCGACAAAAAAACAGGAAGGACTTACATTTGATAGGTTGAAGACATCCAACGGGAGGTCATGTTGATGGTGATGAAGTAGAGGTATGGGATGAGTGACACAATGGATGAAGTCAGCTTCACGGAGGGTCTTCAGCATTTTTTTCGTCGTGTGGTTGATGTTCAATCCAACGACAAAAAAACAACGCATGCAAGCATCAAAAGCCATCCAGTGTTCTTGAATCAATGCATAATTACAAGTTCAGACACCATCCATTCAAAGGCGACGAGATGAAGAAGCTTTGTTGTGATGGGGGAAAAAACAACCATTCACCAGGTCCAAACGCATCGGCCATCCATCCATGCGATATCTCCATCATGGCCTTGATTGTATTTTTGCTTTTAAATTTCCCAGCTACAGGTATGCAGGCTTTAAAGGCTACACGGTCGTGTTTCTTGTGTGTGATGAGTTGTTGCGACCAGGAAGAAAAAGTCTCAAGTTTCGGGACGCTGACAGCGTTCCAAGTTGCGAGACATTCACGGTCCCAAATCCCATGTAAATAAGTAAAATATCAAATCCAGGTCCCTCTCTTCTCTTTCGAGCTTTGTTCTATGGGTAGTCCTGTGGCGGTGGTGGTCGGAAAAGAAAGCAAGTTTACGGTCAACATCAACCTCTCGCCAAGTTATTCTTCCAAACCAAAATCCATATAGAATGAGTGGCGACCGTAGCAGACGGGCACCCCAAGAAGATCCATTCGGTCTCAGATCTCAAGAAAATGGCGAAGCTTTTGGGCCTGGAGCTCAACAAAAGCAGAGGAAGGAGCCAAGAAATCAGCAACAGCAAATGGTGTATTCGCCTGTTAGGGTCGTGCCTCCTATCACTGCTGCCACTATGATGGTGCCGCAGAATATGTATCAGCCTTATAATCCGGTATGTGTGGGCGCTGTTGCGTACTTTGGAACGTACAGTGTGTTTTGATCAATGTGGAAACCTACAACTTACACAACCGTTTTGACTTGAAAATAGTATCCAATGGATCAAAGGATGCCTCAAGGACCACCTCCTATGCAGAACGTTCGTTTTGACGTATGATGCCAACGTATATTGCCAAAACGTGAATTATGACTAACACTCGATCTTTCTTGAATGTATCATAGACAAGCGCAGACCGCCAACAGCAACAACACATACACAACAGCGCTGAACGCCAACAGCAACAGCATTCCAGCGCAGAACGCCGCATGATGCAAGACCAACAACAACGTGTACGCAACCAGCCCTCAGATCCAAACCTCAGACAAGCACAAGTCGTACGTCCGCCACACCATGTTGCTATGCCGATCCCGCTACCGCCACCAGTCGTTACTCCAAGAGCTATGATGAACAACCAGCAGTACTATCAGGAACAGTGGCAACAACCGCAACAGTATCAGAATCAGGGACAGCAGTATTATCCGCCGCCGCAGCAGATGCGTGGTAATGGTGGTGGGCATCATATGATTCCCATACATTTGCCACCTGGTGCTACGATACAGAGACGTGCCGGTACTAAAAAGACGTTGAAGCTGACTGCACAGGGAAATTTTGTGGTATGTGTGAACTCACTATTATGTATATTTTACGGTATCTTTTTATTGTCGGTGCTTCCGTACAATGAGGTGTTTTTAAATCAACCCGCTTTCAACTCTGACAAACACGTCATTTAACTTCATTAGCAAGATCTGCCAGTCTCTGAACGATGTCTATCATTCGGTCGCTTCAAGAACTCTCAAGGTAAACATAGTTGCTTTTGCCCTCGCAAAATGCACCGACTCTTGCTCTTCGTTTTTGGTTCTTTTTTGCCAACACAATTCAAATCCATTCTCTTTAGAATTCTCGTCTTTAAGGTACAGTAGCCTGTCCAAACCACTCAAAAATTCAAATCTCAATCAAAACCATCAATATAGGTATACGGCCATCACATGCGATCCAGATGAGTTCCACCATCAGGGATACAACCTGCGTCAAAAAGAGTGGGGTCGAAAGACCGAGGTCTTTATTGTCGTGACAATGTATAATGAAGACGATAACTTGTTTGCTAAAACTATGGATGCTGTGGCAAAGAATGTGAGCTTCTTGTGTAAACGAAAAAATAGTAGTACTTGGTATGTATACGTTTTTTGGAGCAAATATTATGAGGTTCGAAGGGAATTATTGACTTTTTGATTTCTTGTTTAGGGGATCAGACGCATGGCAGAAAGTCGTTGTGTGTATTGTGGCCGATGGTCGTTCCAAGGTGCGTATCGTATCCTTTTATGTTTGGTATTTGCAACAAAAATCTCATATGAAATTTGCCTGATAGATACATCCACGAGTCCTCTCAACCCTCGGCGCAATGGGATGTTTCCAAGATGGCGTAATGAAAGAATCCATAAACGGAGAGCCCACAACCGCTCACGTATTCGAATACACTACTCAAATCGTAGTCGACTCGGCTGGAACCTTCAAGGGCACCGAAGATGGATATTGTCCATTGCAAGTACTCTTTTGTTTAAAGGAGAAGAACGCCAAGAAGATTAATTCGCATCGATGGTTTTTTAATGCGTTCGGACCGATTATTAAACCTGAAGTTTGGTATGTGCTGTTTGTAGTGATTTTTTTGGTTAAAGCGCTAACATACAATTTGTTCCAAGTGTGTTACTGGATGTTGGAACAAAGCCAACGACACCGTCCATATATCATCTGTGGAAGGCGTTTGATCGGGATTTGAATGTTGGTGGTGCATGTGGAGAGATTTATGTTGAATTGGGTGCTGGATGCTCCAATCTGCTAAATCCGTTGGTGGCAGCACAGAACTTTGAGTAAGTGATATTTCACATCTTATACACTCTTTCTTTGTCGCTCATCATAGCAAATTTCTCGTCTTCTTAGGTACAAGATGTCGAATATTCTTGATAAGCCGTTGGAATCCGTGTTTGGATACATTTCCGTCTTGCCTGGTATAAATTCTCGGTTCGCTTTTTTGGCAATCACGACTAATAAGATTGTTGTATTGCAAAATAGGTGCATTCTCGGCTTATCGATACGTCGCACTACAAGGCGAGCCACTTAAAAAATATTTCGTGGGTGAATACATGCATGGAAATGGTTCAGGAACTGTTTTCTCGGCAAACATGTATCTAGCTGAAGGTATCTAGAACCATAATATGGCACTCTCAGACGAGAGAATTGCGCTCTCAGATGAACCAACATCACTCAATGACTCTTTGTAGATCGCATCCTATGTTTCGAATTGGTGACAAAGGCTAAAAGTGCATGGAAGCTGAAATATGTTCGATCAGCGCAAGCTGAGACCGATGTGCCAAGGTGGCGAATTATTTCCTTGCAAATATCATCTTTTCTTGTCGTTCGTTTTTTTTGCTAACCCAACTGTTTTTCCAGTGGAGTACCAGAGTTCATATCTCAACGTCGACGTTGGTTGAACGGATCATTCTTTGCTATGCTCCACTCATTATCTAATTGGCTGGCCTTGTGGACATCAAAGCACTCCATTATCCGTAAACTTGGGCTAACGTTCCTGACGCTGTATAATTTTGTCTCTGTGGCCTTCAGCTGGTTTGCATTGGCGAATTTCTATTTATCATTCTATGTATGTGTTGTGTTTTTCCTCTTTTCCGTGCTATTTGGACATTCATTTGTAACCCCCATGTTTTTTTAGTTTGTATTTTCTGGAGCCAACAGCCAGAACGCCTATGATCCCTTCTTTGGTGCAGGCTACTATGTATTCGAAACGCTACGCGAAGTCTACCTGCTCGCTCTGATGGTCATCTTTGTCACATCGATGGGTAACAGACCACAAGGAAGTAAAGTGCTATACACAATGTGTATGGCACTTTTTGCATTCCTGTTTATATCGATACTGTATGTCACTGCATGGGTGGTGTACTATGCAGTCCCGAAGAGCCAGGCTCAGTGGCTTCTTATTGGTAATCTGATATTGAACTCGGCGCCATTACGGGATGTGGTGTTGTCGTTGGCTAGTACTTATGGAATGTATCTGGTTGCGTCCGTGCTGTACATGGAGCCGTGGCATATGATTACTAGCTTCGTGCAAGTAAGTAGTTGTGAACGAGAGATTCATTTTCCTTGATTGAGTGTGCAAAAGAACCACAATTGTCTACAAAAGAATGTTTCCCTGTCACTAAGTTCGTTACAAGTACTAACGGAAACACTGCTTCTTCCTCCTCGTAGTATATGCTATTGCTCCCGTCCTTTGTAAACATCCTGCAAATTTACGCCTTCAGTAACTTACACGACGTGTCGTGGGGCACTAAAGGAGACTCTGGTGGTGCGGCTCTCGCAACTGTCGAAACAAAGAAGGGCACCAACGAAGTAGAAGTGGAAGTAGTAACAGAAACAGCTGATCTCGAAGTAAACTATGAAGCCTTCCTTCTTGAACTACGGAGCGCTCCTGAAGTACAGGTTCAAAAAGTCGATAAAGCCACTGCCGAGTCAGACTACTTTAGAAGCTACCGAACCAACTTGTTGCTCACATGGATTTTTTCGAATTTCTTGCTGGTGATCTTGTTGACCAACCCAGAGCTGAATGTCTTTGTAATGTCAAAGTTGGGAATTACGCAGTCTTCGTCGTTTAATCCTTATTTGACTGTAAGTTTAAACACTCCTGTTTGATTTTGAAGTGTGAAACGGTTGTGTGTCTATGTTGTGTGATGTTTGTACTAACCATCCTGTTTTTCTAGTTCATCTTCTTTTCCGTGGCTGGATTATCTGCCATAAGGTTTACAGGTTGTATACTCTATTTACTGCTGTCGTTGATCGGCTGCTAGAACATAATTTTAAGAGGACCTCTTAGTCATAAAACACACACAACACAATGTGTATATAGAAACAAGGAACCCCTCAAAAGAGATAACATGTATCTTAGTCATATTATAAAATGAAACCTCGTCAACAAAGACAATTTGCTTTTGGTAGATTGGAAGGGTTTGGTAGTCCTTCACTTCTTGCTGGTTTTGTAGTGTCTCGCTTCGCGCACGGACCAAGGCATTCGGAACTAACCGCGTCTACATGGAGACGTGATAATTCATGCCATTTCTACATTTGAACTGCTGGAACTGCATTCAAACGGTTTGCACTTTTGGACGAATATGTGATGATTGTTTTCCATTGATATTTTTCGAGCTTGGTGGAGTCGCGAGACGCGTTCGCTTCCATAGAGAGACTGTAAAATCGACTCTGAAAGTGATGTGGTCCATGTACCAGCCATAGAACGCGATCCACTGCCCAATCATATGTTTCTTTCTGCTTTGGTTATTTTCAGATCTACAGCCACAAAAACAAAGCAGAAAGAAGAAGAGAGCAACGGTGCCAAGTGACAAGCAAGGATCTAGTGTCTCTGCATACTCTCGTTACTATTGAAGCACTTTTAGTAGTTTGTGGCTTTCGTCTAGGCCGTTTCAACCGTCAAACCTGAAAAAGGGAGCAAAAGATACTCAAGACATTTAAGCTCTTCTCTTGTTTTAGAGAGAGTTCATTGGTAACTTGCTGGTTGGTTGGAATATCTAGTGTGTGAGCTGTATAACTGACTGCCAAGGTCTTCTTATACAGATTCCCATCTAGATTGGTTGATATTTATCGTCAACCACCAAGTCAACTTACTACCAAACACACACACATTCAAGTTCATGAATCCACCCAAAAGAGACCAGTACCAGCCAGCTCCAAACAACGACAATTTGCCACCGCCCAGAGGCACTTCCGCAACTACTCCTATTACCTCACCTACTGCTGCAAGAGGCATCGCTTTGCCTGCATCAGGTCAACCAGCTGCAGCACCACGCAGTCCAGCTTCTGCAAATCAATTCATAAACGTACAGACTCCGGCTTACAGAGGTGGCAATTATCCATCACCAGCTCCACTAGGTAGTACTGGTAATATCGCAAGACCACCACCACCTACAAACGTAGCAGGCTCTGGCCCTCGCTCCCCACCACCTGCCAATAATAATCAACCTATAGCTGCTCCAAGAAGGCAATCAGCACTACCTCCTACTCCACAAATGTCGGCTCCTTCTGACTATGTCCCAGTGACACAACCGCCACAGGCTCAATGTAAGTCCAGTATCAATTGAATGATGATGATCTGGTACTCTTGATGGTTGAATTGATCATTTATTATATTTGGGAATCATCTATTGTGTGATTGGCTGATCATCAGCCTTTTATTTTTCTGATGACCTGTCTTCGCAATGTTGCAAAATAGAAAAAAGGACTATTTGGATCATTGCAACATGCTAATCACTTTCATCATTCCATCTAGTCGTCCAACCTTCAGGCTACGAAATGGCCCAACGTCGCCCAAACGCCGTAGGATCTCCTCCCTCTGGTGTATCATCCGCAAACCATACCGTCGAAGTAGACCAACCAGGATACGACTTCCAAAACCCAGCTCCCGATGACTACAATCCACGATTCGACCGAACCTTGTACCGCTCACGTACCAAAAAGACTCTTAAATTGACACGTGAAGGTAACTTCGTAGTAGATATTCCAGTGCCTGAAAAAGTATTGTCGGTGGCTCGATTCCGTAATGAGCAGGAGTTTACGCATTTGAGATATACGGCTGTGTTGGGTGATCCTAATGAGTTTGTGCAGAGGGGTTACACGTAAGTTGCGCCAGCATGTCTCAATCTGTTCATTTTTTTTTTGGCATCTTGGGATTCATCTCGAACTAACTCTATTTTTGCTAGCCTACGACAAAACCAACTGGGTCGTGAAACCGAATTGTTTGTCGTCATCACAATGTATAATGAAGATGACCGTCTGTTCTGTAAGACGTGGAAGGCTGTTGAAAAGAATATTGCAAACTTGTGTGCCAAGAAGGGAACTTCATTCTGGGGTAGGAGACTGCTGACGCCATGATGTGACTTCGTGCCCTAGTTTTTAATCCTCTCCTCCCAATGACAGGTCCTGATGCATGGCAAAAAGTCGTTGTGTGTGTTATATCTGATGGTCGTCAAAAGGTAAATTGAATGATTTAGCATTATGCTGCTTCTTAATATCTCTGCTGAACTTGAACGTTTCCTTCAAAATCAATCTAGATCCACCCACGTACATTGAATGTAATGGGTGTCATGGGTGCCTTCCAAGATGGTCTGATGAAAACCTCCGTCAATGGCCAGGAAGTCTCAGCCCACGTATTCGAATACACCACCCAAATCCTCGTCGATACCGAATCCCTACAACTACGATCATCAGATCAAGCTGTAGTACCCGTCCAAATGATTTTCTGTCTCAAGGAAAAGAATGCCAAGAAAATCAACTCCCACAGATGGTTTTTCAATGCATTCGGACGAGCCCTCAACCCCCAAATCTGTGTTTTACTTGATGTTGGTACAAAGCCAACTGATACTTCATTCTGGCATTTGTGGCATGCCTTTGATCAGAATCCTAAAGTTGCTGGTGCTTGGTGAGAAAGCAATTGAAGCGTGACTCGGCACTGTTTTTTTGCAGCTATGCTTAAACATTACTATTGATATTTCTTAGTGGTGAAATTTACGCCGAAACTGGTTCTTGTGGTGCCAAGCTACTCAATCCTTTGGTGGCAGCACAGAACTTTGAGTAAGTACTACGACTTACAAAACGATTGATTTTTTTCCTGTCGACCGTCCGAATCGTGTTTGTTGGTGGCTTCTAACACCTTGAGTTACTTTTCTTAGATACAAGATGTCCAACATTCTGGACAAGCCATTGGAATCTGTGTTTGGTTTCATTTCCGTCTTGCCAGGTAAAGAAACTCAAACTTTCTACATTTTATGGTTTGCTGAAACTAATCACATCTTGAAACATCAGGTGCATTCTCAGCATACAGATTCAAAGCACTACAAAATGGTCCAGATGGTACAGGTCCCTTGGAAAAGTACTTCTTTGGTGAAACTCTACATGGCGCTGGAGATGTTATGAAAGCAAACATGTACTTGGCCGAAGATCGTATCCTGTGTTTCGAATTGGTCACTAAATGGAAGGAAAGATGGGTATTGCAATATGTTAAGGCTGCTAAGGCTGAGACGGATGTGCCAGATACTGTTCCTGAATTTGTTTGTAAGTGTGCACACAAATTTTGTCTGTATAGCGGTTTTTTTGTTCGAAATGTAACTGACAATATCGTTGCTAACTTTACTCCACGATTATAGCACAACGTCGTCGTTGGTTGAACGGATCCTTCTTTGCTGGTGTCTACGCCATCTTCCATTGGTACAAGATCTTTAGATCTGGTCACTCATTCGGTCGTCAATTCTTCCTCCTCATTCAAATGCTATACAATGTTATTTCACTCATCTTTAACTGGTTTTCACTGGTATGGCTCTATCTCCCTCTGCTTTTATTTCAACTCTCAAGAATTCTCACACAAAACACCGTAAACCTTTTACAGGGTAACACATACTTGATCTTCTACTTCTTGACAGCCGATATTGTGACAGATCCAGCACCAGGTCAGCCTGCTCCATTTGGCACAAACCACTTGATTGGACAATGGATTTTCTTGATATTGAGATATCTGTATATTGGAGCCATCATTCTCATCTTTATCTCGTCATTGGGTAATCGACCTCAAGGAAGCAAACTTGTATACCAGTTCTCCTTCTTCTTGTTTGCTGTCATTATGGCGTTCATGTTGTACATGTCTGGTAAGGGGTTGGGTATTTTGTGCGGAACCAAAAAAGTTGGTCCTCATCTCGGTTGCTGTTTGGTTGCTTGGCACTTCTCTCTGTATTTCTGACCTATTCTCTCGCCCCTTCATTAGCATTCACCATTTACCTGACGGTTCCGAAAACAGAGGCAGAATGGGCGAATATTGGCAACATACTGCTTGCTCAACCATCATTCCGTGATTTGGTGCTCTCAGTTGCCATGACATATGGTGTCTACTTTTGCTCCAGTTTCATCTTCTTTGAGCCATGGCACATGTATGTTTATGAGAACCTTCAGTTGACAGTGGAAACAGTGTGTGCATCTACTCGGGTTCTCATTTTTTCCCCGCATAATTAGGTTCACCTCATTCTTACCATACCTCTTCCTACTCCCATCATACATTAACGTGCTCATGGTATATGCTTTCTGTAACTTGCACGATGTGTCTTGGGGTACTAAGGGTACGTTTTGACTTGATCGACTTAAGTCATAAGTTCATTGACTTACCTCTTTTTCTCCGTCTCTTTTCCTCTAGGTGACAACTCAGTATCAGTAGACAGCGCACCCGTCAAAGTAGTTAAACAAGCAGACGGTCAACTCCTCACCACAGTCGACATCCCATCAGACCAAGCAGATATCGACAGCAGCTATGACAATTTCCTCCGAGAACTACCCAACAGGCCCAAAGACTTCAAGGGAGACACTCGATCAGCAGCATTGAAACAAGAAGATTGGTTTAGGACCTTCCGATCCAATCTGGTCTTGTCGTGGATGCTTACCAATGCTTTCTTGATTGTCATTATTACGACACCGGAAGTTGGAATCATCAAGTCTGGGCAGATTTATAATCCGTATTGTGAGTTCAGTTTGTGTCGGTTGTGGTGATTAGAGTTATGGTAGAGTAGTGTGCTCACTTTTTGTCACCGTTTAGTGACCTTCATCTTATGGTCTGTCGCAGCATTGTCTGGGTTCAGATTCTTGGGCGCTATTGGTGAGCCATCCTGATTTTGAGTCATACCACTCAAATGATCATTTCGCTAACATCTTGTTTTGTATAGCCTACTTGTTTACGCAGTGAGACATTGGTTGAGAAAAGAGGGGAAGAGAGAAGGATGGAGTTTATTAATGCTTTTATAACATGTAAGGTGTTCTCATAATGAAGTAAAAAAACTTAGAATATGGAAACGAATATTGCACAAGGGTGTTCAATTTTTCCAATAATGGCTTATTGCGATCGCTCAAGTGGAGTGAGTCTGCATACTCTACGTCAATTTATACGTCCGAATGCTTCATATCCGTATCTCGAATTGTATTTCGATGGTAGCCAATGCTTGCAAACCATAATTTATCACACATGTTTTCTCATACACGATCAGATGTAAGAAGCTGAAGTTGAGAGCTCTGCTCGATTCAATTGAGATAAAGTTCTATTCTATTTTTCTTATGGTACAATCCAAAAACAACACAACGTGCTACATATTTACGGTAGCCGACCAAGGGGCAACCTTGATGGCGTTAAAAAAATAAAGTATTACATTTTATGGTGGCCGACCAAGGGATGTCCTTGACGGCCGTGCTATCTCACTGCATAATACAACCTAATACATGCCAGTCCAAGACTTTTGACAAGTGATTCGAGACTCCAGTCGCTCCTCTGAGATAGGCGCTTAGCTCCATATCGTCACGGTGGCTTAGACTTCGATGAGTGTGGCGTTTTGACAGACCTCTGAGGACATACTGGTGGTAAAAGTAGAGAGGTTTGAGCAGGGATTAAAATGAACAAATCAATGTGGCATAAAACGGGAGATAACACCAAACAACATACCTTGCGTGCATCGACACTATCTGAAATCAGCACTACTGTGCGACCATGAGGATCTTCCCATTTGATGGCGTAGACACTGGCAAAGAAGGATCCGTTCAACCAGCGATGACGATGTACTATGTCGTAGAATAAAGTTAGTAAAGATGTTTTGAGTTACGTTTCATACAGTGTGGAGAACGACAGCACTGCAAAAAAAGCAGTCTATACAGGTCATTGTCAGAACACTTACAAGCAGATTTAAGCACAGTATCTGGCACATCTGTCTCAGCCTTAGCAGCCTTGACGTACTGCAATACCCATCTTTCCTTCCATTTAGTGACCAATTCGAAACACAGGATACGATCTTCGGCCAAGTACATGTTTGTTTTCATAACATCTCCAGCGCCATGTAGAGTTTCACCAAAGAAGTACTTTTCCAAGGGGCCTGTACCATCTGGACCATTTTGTAGTGCTTTGAATCTGTATGCTGCGAATGCGCCAACTGCTAAAGATGTGATTAGTACCAGCAAAAAAAGAAGTATTATACAAGTAGGAATGTCAATATCGTTACCTGGCAAGACGGAATTGAAACCAAACACGGATTCCAGGGGCTTGTCGAGAATGTAGGGCAACTTGTGTCTAAGAGAATGACCGTATGTGAGACACTGCGAGCAAAATGACTTGCAAAGTCAACAGGGAAAAAACAAATGATTTCGTCTGAACTAATGCTTACTCAAAGTTCGGGGCTGCTACCAAAGGATTGAGCAGCTTGGCCCCACGAGAACATATTTCGGCATAACTTTCAGCACTAAGAAACACGGATAGATATGTTAAGAGAGCTGCAAAAGAACCTCCATCCATGAATCAAGCGAATTGCTATCATCTTACCAAGCACCAGCATCCTTAGGATTCTGATTGACCGCATGCCACAAATGCCAGAATGAAGCATCAGTTGGCATTGTACCGACATCAAGTAGAGCACAGTTTTGTGGGTTGAGTGCTCGACCGAATGCAGTGATTTGTTCGGCATTCCTTCCGTTGAGACAGAGATTCATTTGGACGGGTCCTACAGCTTGAGCTGATGATCGTCGTTGTAGAGATTCGGTATCGACGAGGATTTGGGTGGTGTATTCGAATACGTGGGCTGAGACTTCTTGGCCATTGACGGAGGTTTTCATCAGGCCGTCTTGGAAGGCACCCATGACACCCATTACATTTAATATACGTGGGCGAATCTAATTCGACAAATGGAAGATTTCATTAGGGTCACTATTGGAATGAAAGCGACCAAGCCAAAAACAAGCTCCCAACTTGGCACATCATTCAATTTACCTTTGGACGACCATCAGATATGACACACACAAAGACGTTTTCCCATGCATCAGGACCTACCAGGAGTGGAGGGTTAAAAACGTTCCGATGAAGTCATGTCATGGGAATCTCTTACCCCAAAACGAAGTTCCTTTCTTGGCACACACGTTTGCGATATTCTTATCAACAGCCTTCGATGCTTTACAGAACAGACGGTCATCTTCCTTGTACAAAGTGACAAACAATTCAGTTTCACGACCCAATTGGTTTTGTCGTAGGCTAGCAAATACAGAGTTAGTTCAAAATGAATCCAATGATGCCAAAAACAACCAAACAGATTGAGACATGCAGGCGCAACTTACGTGTAACCCCTCTGCACAAACTCATTAGGATCACCAAACACAGCCGTATGTCTCAAAGGCGTAAACTCTTGCTCATTACGGAATCGAGCCACCGACAATACTTCAGGCACTGGGATATCTACTACGAAGTTACCTTCACGTGTCAATTTAAGAGACTTTTTGGTACATGAGAGGTACAGGGTACAATCCAATCGTGGATTGTAGTCGTAGTCATCGGGAGCTGATTTTTGGTAGTTATATCCTTGTTGTTCTACTTCGACGGTATGATTTGCTGATGATACGCGAGATGGAGGAGATGCTGCGGCGTTTGGCCGACGTTGGGCCATTTCGTAGCCTGCAGTTTGTACGACTAGGTAGAGTGATGACTTAAGATGATTAGCACGTTTGGATAATGTATACGTGGTTTCTTTTTGCAACATCGTGAATGCCAGGCCATCATCACGGAAATGATTGATGAATAGCCCAGTCACCTGATAAATGATTCGCCAGTGTATTAAATAAATAATCATTTCAGTCATGAATCACTTACATTGAGCTTGTGGCGGTTGTATCACTGGGACATAGCCAGAACGAGACATTTGTAGAGTAGGAGGTAGTGCTGATTGCCTTCTTGGAGCAGATACAGGTTGATTTCTATGACGAGGTGGTGGAGAGCGAGGACCAGAGCCTGCTTTGTTTGTACGTGGTGTTGGTCTTGCGATATTACCACTTTTACCTGTTGGAGCTGCTGCTGGATATTGCGTTGATAGATCTGGAGATGATATGGTCGTCGGAGCTATACTACCAAATTTAAAGACAGGAGCTGGTGTCAACGTAAAAGAGTCGGAAGCCTGTCCATCTTTTTGATGATTAAAAAGGGGCTGCAACGATGAAGGGTTGCCATTCATTTCTTTGTCAAATTCCGCCTGTAATTTCCTTGCAAAGTGTTCATCCTGCTCTATAATCTGAGCTCTTCTAGCTGATTCATCCTCCTCTCCCTTTGCTTCTTCATCTTCTTCCCTCTCAATTGCATTCAGATCTTGATCATCTATATACTCCATACTACCACGTACACCAGAAGAAGATAGTCCATTCTTTATAGGGCCATGGACCTGTGAAGTTGATACAAGATGCTCAGGCAGTGCGCTATCGAATTCCTGTTGTAATTGCATAGCATAGAGGGCATCGGCGGCCTCAAGCTGCTTGCGAGCATCGTCGTCGTAAGTTGTATCGTCGTAGCTCCCATTAGCAAATTGAAGTGCCAGTTGAAGTGCGTATGCTTCATCAGCTGCCTCTTGTTGTTTTCTAATGAGGCAAGCAGGATCCACCAAGATTGAAGGCGATTGTATTGATGTTGATATGGCTGTATTCTGAGAGCATGGCAACTCTTTGGTAATTATTGCCGATGGTTTAGCCTCTTGAGAGAAAGGGAGGAGTGCCTTTTTAGAAGATGTAGTTGTCTTATCGGTGGGTAGTATTTCGATTGCTTTTGGTTTAGGAACTAGAGGTTGGCTCGCTGTCGCCTGTACTTGGAGGTCGGGGCTTAATGACGGTGATCTGTATGCCGTCTCAGCCTTGGACTTTTTCTACCCGAGAAATAATCAGATCAATTGGCCAATGACAAATCAACGTGACTGCGAAAACTTACCACTTTTGTGTAGAACAGCACATATGGCGTATCATTACATATTTCTTGCCATGATGACCTTGAGACATTTGTATCGTCCATCTCAAACCATGCGTTGTTTTTCAAACCCTTTACATAGCTGTAATAGTGGCCGTAGTTGACTGACGAGCCTTGATGCACAATTACCGACGAAAGCTCGTAATCGGCATTTTGCTTTTTAATCTATGTGGCCAAAATATAGGAACTTTGAGCCAGAAAATTCGTTGAATTTCAAACACAAAGACCACACTCACCTTTTCATGCAGCAAGTCAGTAAGACACAAATTTTCAGGAACGTTGACCTTCTTGAAAATCTTTATATGCATTCCATTCTTGACGACATAGTGGAATCGCTTCAATTGGATTACTAGCATGTCTGGTTGCTTGTATATATAGGTTTGACGGTACGTCTCTCCTTTGGCTTTACACCCTCCACAAGTAAAATCAGCCATGTTCTCATTCATATCCTTTTTGAGAAGATCTAGCAAGTCTGGTGGGCCATCCAAGCCCAGATTAATGGCGTTCTGGGGGTCGATTCTTTCGTGTTGTAAAGAGCAGACCTTACAAATTGATTTGCAGGCTGTAAGGGTATGAAAAACATTTTCCGTATTGTTGGTACTATAAGGAAAAGTAAAACCTGAGTTCGTAATCGCCTGATTTTGCGTTTTGGAACTGTTGTCTCAATGATTTTTGGCCTACCTAATTGCAATTGTATCCAATAACCCTCTTATAACATCAAAGGAGTCTTCTTGATGGTACCACTGCATATCCGGGATCAATTCTATATCGAAAAGAGGGCGCATTGAGTCTTCTGAATGCGACAACGCTTAGCACGTCAGAAAAACGCAGGGATACTCACGCTTCAAACCACGATAAAGATGCATAGGGTTTAGCGCTTTTGATGTGGACTTGAACAGCTCAAGCCCGACATTTCTCAAACTGCAAAAACTGCACCAATTCCCACACCACTCTTTTGGACCTGTACCGCAAAAAGTCACCACTAGAAGTCAGCCTTTGAGTATTGGCGTAAATCAATAGATGACAAAACTTACAAACATGAGCTCCGTTGGCTAATAACAACATCATGTCCGGGCAATGTAAGAGAGCCTGCACGGCAGCGTTCAAGAAGCAGCTGTTGCCGAGGTTTTCTATTAAATAAGTAGACATTGTAAGATGTCAAATGGACACAAATGACAATAGCAAAACAAAATGGTGGGAATCTAGCGTTGAAAGAAGTATATACTTAGGCCTCTTCCCACAGGCCTAGATGGTATTTCTTGTCGAATTGCCACTGGTAGCTCTTTTGTGAACGAATTTGCTTGATTGGGTTCTGGCAGATGTGATGCATCGGGCATGGCTCCATCCCGAGCAATAGTAGCAACAGCAGCTTGAGCTTCATTTTGAGCAATAGTAACAACAGCAGTCTGAGCTTCATTTTTGGTTACTATAGTAGGTGGTAGTATGTGTCAGAAGAAAATCTCGTTTTTCGGCAAAGTGGGAGTGAAGGCCCAGGTTAAAAGTGGATGGACGAGAAGCAAGAGAAGCAATGCGCAGCTATCTCAGTACGCTTTCAACATGTGCTTCGCAGTACATGAGGCGTATGCTACTTCTTCCATCGCACTTCTCAAACAAGCACAAAACGAAACGTGACTTTCAATGTGATTTTTAAAATGGTGCCTTTATACCTTCTTCAGTAGGGAGCTTGCCCTTTCTCTTCTTGAAGATGTTGAAAAGTTTTGATTTCTTTGGCTCCTTTGGATGCTTGCCCTGTGGGCCTAGGATAGAGATGTAGTTGAAAGTTAGTGAATTGGTTGGACTTGTTAAACGAGGGGCATATCGTCAATACACCCTGACGTGAGGTGAAAGAAGCTTTATACCTTCTGTATGGAGACTTGCTTTGGATGCACAGGCTCCCATGGTGTAATAGGACCTCTTTCTGGACTTGGTATGGGGACGTTTGGTAATTTGGAAGGCAAAACACGCCATGACCCCAGAACACATATAGTACAAACAAGCTCAAAGAAAAGATACCTTGGGGAGATGATATACTATAGGTTGCATCTGCTCGCACAGATGCAGCTCCTGCTTGCTCTCGCTCAACAAGCTGTTTGATTGCAAAGTCTCGAAACTCAAGAAACAGCAAAACATTTAAATTTGGAAGCAAAATAGAAGCAGGCGGGACTTGAAATGTATTTGGGCGTGTTGAAAAAGGCATAATATGACCTCTCGGTCACCCTTCTATAGGAAATTGTGTCGGCTTATAGCGACTAGAGTTGAACAAACACGTTGTAGGAGACAGAGCGTGGATTACATTCAAGGCATTCAAGGCGTTGTAATTTTCAGCTTCGTTTTGAAGAATTCAATGTCGTCACAGGTCTACTTCCTCCTCACGCACATTGTCGCAAAAAACTGTTGATTGTGACAAGCAAGAACGTCAAGAAGAGTGTCGCCGTCCATCACCACAGATGCACCTCCGTGCAACGAGAGTCTCCGTGCAACGAGAGCTTTGTGCAGCAGTCCTTGCGGTGGTCTGCGGTCCGCTCTCGCGGAACCATTTATTTAGGCATTTTTGGAGCTAGGCCATTAGGGTACAACTTTCGACGCACGACAAGCAGCTATTATAAGCAGCATTTTAAGGTGGAATTAGTGTGAATTAGCACTAGGTTGAATGCGGCGGCCGTCTTGTTATAGTCTCTTATAGTTTTCCTTCTCTCATTTGCATCTCGATTTTGCAAACCCATCGGCTTGGTCCGCTCCTCCAATCCTATAAAAAAATAAACAAAAAAACTAGTGAAAGCAACATGCCAACACTAGGACAGAGAATGAAGCGCAATGACATTGAGTGGCTGAATGTCGTAATCTTCATCGTCACGCCGGCCTTGTCATTGTACGGCTTCTACACAACCCAGTTAACCTTCCAAACCGCAATCTGGGCTGTCGTTTACTACTTTTGCACGGGCCTGGCTATCACTGCAGGTACGTCCTATTCTCGTCGCTCTTACAACGTTGCCCGTTCTCACCGGTCCCAATCTCTCCTTCATTATAGGTTATCACAGGTACTCAAACTGTCGAAAGCATCATCATCTCACTGCCAAGCACAAACCCTTTCGAACAATTACATAGGTACTTTGCTCACAGATCATATGAGGCTGCATTTCCTATGCGTCTCCTGCTAGCACTCTTCGGTGCTGGTGCTCTGGTATGCTGCCGTGTCTAAATCTGTCGGACTGCCACTTTTGGCAAACTCTTACTCACTACCACCTCTTCCGCTACTTAGCAAGGATCCATAAAATGGTGGTGTCGTGACCATCGTGCCCATCACAGGTAACCATCGCCGATGCACAATCTCACATCTCAAATATTTTGACTTACACGTCAACACCTGTCGTTTGCATAGATACACCGATAGTAGCAGAGATCCGTATGGTGCCAACAAGGGTGTGTTTTGGTCGCATATCGGCTGGCTGGTTGTCAAGCAGGACAAGGACAAAATAGGTCGTGTCGATATCTCGGATCTCAAACGAGACAAAATCGTCATGTGGCAGCACGACTGGTTTCCTATAATCGGACTCTTTATGGCATTTGTATTCCCTACTCTTGTCGCGTACATTGGATGGGGTGACTTCTGGGGTGGATTCTACTTTGCTGGAGTCGCAAGACTCGTCGTTGTCCACCATGCTACATTCTGTGTAAACAGTCTAGCACACTGGCTGGGTGAAGCCTCATACGATGATCGTCAAACTCCTCGTGACCACTTTATTACTGCTTTGGTGACATTGGGTGAAGGATACCAGTAAGTTTATCTGAATCGTTTGGGCGATGCGCAGTACCTGACATTACATGGCCTTCCATAGCAACTTTCACCATGAATTCCCATCTGATTACCGAAATGCAATCCTCTTCTGGCAATATGACCCTACTAAATGGACGATTTGGATATGCTCCTTGTTTGGACTGACGTATAATCTAAAAATGTTCCCAGAGAACGAGATTGTCAAGGGCCGAATTCAAATGCAAGAAAAGAAGGTATGATTCCACGTGGTTTGTGGTGTATTGGAGGACACGACACAATGATGATTCGGGCTTATCCCTTTTTTGTCGCAGATTGACGAATTAAAGAAGAAGCTCAACTGGGGTAAACCACTCGATGAATTACCTGAGTGGACATGGAAAGAGTGTAAGTAAACCCCTCGCCGTCCTTTCTTCGATCTACGTCTAATAATCCTTCACTCTCACAGTCATAGTTGCCCTGAAAAAGGACGGAGGTCAAAACTATCTTGTAGTTGACAAAATAGTGTACAATGTTCACAGCTTTATGGAAGACCATCCCGGTGGTCGTGGCTTCTTGAAAACTTCTATTGGACGAGATGTGTCGGCTTCATTTAATGGTGCCATATACTTCCACTCAAACGCTGCTCGAAATTTGGCTACTCGTATGAGGGTAAGTTGTGAGACTATTTTTCCATAGTGTTCATGTGTATCTGATTTGCATTTTGTCTTAGATTGCCAAGATTGTTGGCGAGATACCCGATGACGAAAAGGCCAAGGAGGAATAGATTTTTGCTCCGACCGCGTTTACTGTTGAAACACGATATTTATAGCCAGTAGCTAACACATAGAATATTTATAAAGATCCTGGCTTCTTTTTGTCTATTACGCAATCTATATATCTATATTGAAAATACATGGACGTACAGTACAACGAAACAGCGCACGTTTACAAGCCTATCAGTTTCATTCAAACTAGGATGCAATTCATGAAATACGAACTTGAAAGTCAATACTGATACAAAGTACCCTTCTTGGGGCAGCTAGATTACAAAATGTACCTGTGGAAGCAATGATACTTTCACGGTTCAATCCCAAAGATCTCAACAGTCGTGCCAGCAGTCCAGGATAGCTCCGGCCTTGCAGAGCACCATCTTTGCTAGACTTGACAAATCTGCCATGATTATTCAACCTCTCCACAACACGTCAGCGCAAAGCAACGAGTTACACGGTGTCTGCCATATAAGCAATTCATTCCAACTACTAAAACACGTCTAGCAATTCTCGATACAGCTGAAAACACCATGAAAACACAAAAGGAAGAATGTTTAAATCCAAGTCCGTTTATAAATTGTCCAAAAACGATGCCATATTCCAAAATGATCCAAACAGAAGAGAAAAATTACGATTGGTGTTGGGAAGCGATACCCCCAGTATAATGTGTTTCAATCATGGATACTTCTTGAGTAAGGCACTGTATAGTGTCAAAATCTTGTTTTTGTCCTCGGACAATAAATCTAATCATAATTTGAAAGCTTAATGAAAACGCGCAAAGACAGCAGAGCAGGAAATCGCAGTCAATACCTTGTGGACTAACATAACGAACATCAATATTCTTCTTGGACAAGAATGCCAGCATGATGTTTAGATTGTCCACTTTCTGCACATTCATTGTTGCTAGTTTCTTGTATTTGCCAACTGATTCGCCTGATGCTTTCTAAAAACCGACGTAATTTGTTAGTCCAACGACCAAAAAGAACAGTACTCAACGTCATTCAAATACCTCAAGCGCATAGATCAAATTCAGTCCACCATCACTGAACGAGTATAAACTATCGACCACAATGTTTTGTGATGTCAAGTGCGCATTTAGCCACTCGAGTGCAGCCTACAGATTTAAAAACCGGTGAGTAGGATGAACATGGCGAAGAGAAATCATTCGAGCTGGGATGTGACTGCTACCTTCTCTAGTGCTCTATCATCACCAGGAACAATCTTTCTAACAGCCTAAACGAATAACAAAGTTGGGTCAGCTTCTAATGATATTAAAACTCAGCTTTCGGGGGGGTTTTTTTGGTTTACCGGTGGTGATGGAAGCGTTGGCCGTCTTGGTTCTTCAGCCTAATCGAAAATGGGATATCAGATTGCCAGCTACCTTCTGTGCGACCGTAGAACACATTGATTCATACTGGTGGTTCTTCAGACTAAACGAAAACAGAGAAAATGAGCTACAGGTGGATTTGAAAACAATAAAATTCGATTCTTACTGTTGGAGATGAAGTACTCTTTGTAGCCTAAATTGGAAATCAAAGAATAAAATTCTGTTAGCACAGTGACAAAAGGCTCGGAGATCATATTCCATTGCCAAGAAACTCACATCAGACGTAGGTGATGCACCATGGCCCAACTCTGATGTCGACAATCCCGACGGTTTAGGTGGTCTAGCAGGTGGTCCTGGTCTCATACCGCCTCCCATAATGTTTACCGCACCAGGTGGTAATTTAGGTCCTGTACGTTGAACTACCGGAGCAGGAGCGGCCTCTGGTTGTTCAACCTCTTCGCTGGGTGGTGTACTAGGTTCCTCACTAACTATACTATTTCTTGCTGGGCGAGCAGGAACAGCTGGTCCAGGTGTCGATACATTGTCGTCAGATCCCAGAGTTGAAGCTACGCTGAGCCGATTGCCTCCATCTACAGCAGCTCCCAATGTAGCAGTAGATAACGGTCTAGCAGACTCCGAATCAATAGTAGATGCAACACTTCTAGGTCGCTCCGAATCAAGTGTTGCTGTACTACGTGGGCGAGGTAAATCTGCTAGTTCGTCGGTACTAGATGCTGCTGTTGTAGTCCCATCTGATGAGCCAGGCTTCTTTACGGCCTGTTTCATGGCTGCAGCCATAGCAGACATTGCATTTGTTGGCATGGCCTTCTTGGGTTTGATTGGTACAAACTCGGGGGCTGGTTCTTCTACTGGTTTTTCTTCTACTGGTGGTGGTGCAGCTGCGGCTTTCTCTTCCACTACTGGCGTTGGTGTTGGAACTGGCGACGCGGCTGTTGATGGAGTGGATGGTTTGGATACAGGTGATGCTGTCGGTTTGGGAGCTGTTGCTGGTGGTGCTAATGCAGCAGCAGGAGCAGCGGCGGTTGCAGATACAGGTGTAGTTGGCGTCTTTGGTTTACCACCGAATAGAGATTTGAATCCTTTAGCTAGGCCACCAGACTTTTCGGGGACGGCAGGAGCGGCACTTGGTGCTGGAGCACTGGCAGCAACTACAGTCGCGGCAACAGCACTTGCAGCGACACCGGCAGCGGCTACGGTCTAAATCATAAACTAGGTTCAGCAGAAAAACACAAAGGCAAAAGCAACTCAACACAGCAGTAAACGTCTGTTAAACTTCAGTCTTACAGCTGTTGTAGCAGGGACAGCTACACTTGTTGAAGAAGTAGCAACAGGACCTTCAGCCTCTTCTTCTGCGCCGGCTTCCGAAGTAGCACCAGACGTGGACCCTTTAGCTCGTTTAGCAGGACCTTTAACTCTAGCCTTTGTCAAATGCTCAATCTTGGGTTCTTCATGAGGAACAGCATCACCTCCTTCTGCAGCAATCTCTTCTTCAGTCTTGTGATGTGGTAGTTTAGGTGGAGCGGCGAGCATCCTGTTCAGATCACCCATGACATTTCCCTGGAACAAAAAACCATGTTCGGTATCAATGAATGAACATCAGACATGATGTACGTATTCTAACTTACACTTCGCATAGCAATAGGTCTTTGCGCTGTTGGTGATGATGGTTCTTCTTCAGGAGATGAAGTAGAAACCGCAGCTGGTTCCGTTCGAGGAGGAACTACTGGAGGTCCCGCTGTTACAGGTGCTGCTACGGATACAGGCGATGTTGCTAGAGGTGTTGATGACTCTCTACGAGGTACGGCGGGAGGAGGAGTAGCGACTTCTCGGGTGGCTACGGGTGGTGGTGTGGCCTTTTCGGGTACAGATGCAACTGGAGATGGTGTTATAGCTGGTTTAGACGATCCTAAAGGTGTAGTGACTATAGCTGCAGGAGTGGCGGCACCAGCTGCGGCTTCGAGTTTCTTGATGGCGGCCGTCAATTTAACATCTAGGGCATTAGCACCAGAAGTGTATGTTGAATCAATCATGTTTGTGTATGCGGTGCGTGCTTTTGGTCTGAACGTTTTGCTTATATATTCCTATTTTAAGAAACCTATATATTGAGTAACAGCATACCACGAAACGGCGAGGGACCACTGACCAAACACCAACCTCAACGATAGTCTCCAAATCCCCCGCATGTGCAAGATCCTTGGACGCAGCATGGATACCAGCTTTGGCCTGGTCAGCTTCCGGCTCTGACAAGACGGGCCTTGCCTCATCAACCAAATGAGAGTTCAGCTTGTCTACCTCCCTCTTAATAGCAGCATCAGCCTTTACGACCCAATCTTTAGCGGCAGATTTCAAAGCGAATACTAGTCTATCGTCTACGGTAGCATCGGCCGTGGAAGAGATTGTGCTCATTCCATGCTGAAAGGCCTCCGATTCGTCGATGATGGATGTGGCTTCCGAAACGAGAGCTTCATGGCCCGGTTTTCCTTCTACGGTTTTGACTAGGCCCTGGAGTTTGGACAATTGGAGAGCCAGCTTCTCCTTGCTCATGGTTGCGATTATCTGTTGTTTGCGGTGGAGCAATGTTAGTAAACCGAGGCGTCTCGAACTACTTGAGATAATTACGATACATACTGGCTATTGATGAGAATAATACTGTACACACACTGTCTCCCTTTCAGATTCCGACTTGCTCCAGGTTTGAGGTTGTTTGAATATCAAAGAGCAAACGGCACAACTGTCTAAATTTACAGGGCGTGTTTCTAAGCAAGTTAAACTGTCGATACGCGCCAAATATTCAGCAATTCGGAAATTACGCTCTATCTTGCTATTGCCTGTGTTGAAAAGCTGTTAACCTCTGCACACTACATCAAGAGGTAAGCAAACATCAATTGTACGGTTGAAAACACGCAAACGCTTATCCAAAACCACCTGGAATCACTAGAAAATTCATCTGAAAATGACCAAGAAGGTTCAGGAAGATCCGGCAGTGTCCAGGTTTCGTGTACGTCCTGACATCAAACCCAACATATAATCGAGCTCTCGTCTTCATCTTCCACTTCTAACCCAACCTCCCTTTTAGAACTATCTACGCGTTAACACGATGCAGCCAGCTCCTGATTACGCTGCTGCAAAAGCATTCCTTCACGATCAGGCTCAAGATATAGGCCTCGACTTTCAATCCCTCGATTGCGTCAAGGGAAAGCCCATCTGCATCCTCACTTGGATTGGCAAAGATCCATCACTTCCAACCATCATGCTAAATTCACACATTGATGTGGTTCCCGTGTTTCCAGAGTCGTGGAACTACCCACCGTTTGCGGCTGAAAAGACTGCTAATGGTAACATATACGCTCGTGGTGCACAGGATATGAAGTGTGTGGGATCAGGGTATCTGGAAGGCATTCGTGTGTTAAAGGCAAATGGGAAACAGCCGCTGAGGACTATACATGCTGTCTTTGTGCCTGACGAGGAGGTATGTCGGTACAATTGTGTGGTATAAATACGGTGCCCAGAACCTCTCTTTTGTCTCAGATTGGAGGGGTCGACGGAATGAAGCTCTTTGTCAAGACAGACCTCTTCAAGAGCTTGAATTTGGGGTTTGCTCTGGACGAAGGTATGGCAAGCCCGAATGATACATATAGAGTGTTTTACGGAGAGAGGTGTCCGTGGTGGTACGTGTTTTGATGTTTGCAGATGCTATTATGGTTCCTGTTGTGTGATTTTCTTTCTCATTCAAGCCGTGTCTCGGATGCTATTGTGGCCTCTGTTGTTTGTTTTCTTTTCTCAAACACTTTAACACACAACCATGTAGGGTTAAGGTGATTGCCAAAGGCCCTCCGTCACACGGTAGCTTGTTTGTAAAGGACGGCGCTACTGAAAAGCTGATGAAAGTCATACAGGTAAGGCCTTCAAGGTACAACCATGTCTTCTGATGAGTAACCATCTTACTTTCTTTTGTTTGTGTAGAAATTTATGGCCTACAGAACTGCCGAAGAGCAGAAACTTCATATCGGGCGAACGGAATCAGGACAACCACTCAAAGTCGGCGATGTCACGACAATCAACTTGACTATGCTGAACGTAAGTTTTGTGATGATTCTTCGACGGGATTTCAGGCAACAAAAACTGTACACGGGCCTCGTATAATAATCTCTACTCGTAGGCTGGTATACAATTCAACATAGTGCCTCAAGAAGCAACGGCAGGATTTGATATCCGCGTTTCCCCTCAGGTTGATTTGAAAGCATTCCACGCCATGCTTGAAGGATGGTGTACTTCAGAAGGGTAACACGATTTTATTTTTCGAGATCTCTGTCGGAAACGATCTTCAAGTTCTTTGTCTCACCTAGTTGCACAATGGAATTCGTAAACTCTTTCTGGTGTAATGCTGTCTCGTCCACCGACGAATCCGATCCATATTGGCATGCTCTATCAACTGTATTCCAAGCGAGAAAGATCACTATTGAGAAGGAGATTTTTCCTGCTGCTACTGACTCGAGGTATAAAAGAACTGATCATGTCGCTTTACTAATTGAATCTGAACACATATGCCATCTCGTTTAGATACATCCGCGAAGTCGGAATACCAGCTATAGGCGTCTCACCCATCCGAAACACGCCAGTCCTGTTACACGATCACGACGAGTACCTTAACGAAAAGACATTCATGGAAGGCGTATCATTCTATGTAGACGCTATAGATGCTTTGGCTAACATTCCAGCTCCACCTGGCTTACCAAACGGCAGCAAGAAACGTAAATCATAATCTTGTTTCGTAATCTTTTCTTTATATAAATAAGCACAATTTTCAACGGAAACGACTCCTTGTCAAGTTTTAAGCTATGCACAAATGCGAAATATGGAAATTTGTAAACAAGACACGCAATCCATTTCATTCAACTTTAAGCGTAAGTTTTTCCAACAGCCAGACTCCAACCAGCACCCGTTGTTCCGCCTTGAGACAATGCAGTATTTTGTGTCGGTGAGCTAGTCGGTGCTGGAGCTGCTGACGCGGCTGCCGCTGATGGTGCCGGTCCAGTTGATGCAGCAGGCACAAGACCCAACAGCACAGGATTCAATCCTGCACCCTGTTGATATGTCGTGTTTTGGTAAAAGTTGTTCCAGCCCTAAGTATGTCGATGTCGAGTTAGCCTCAAGCCACAGAAAAAAAAACGCTAAGAACGCGATGACGAAGAGATTGCATTTCTGTACCTGACAAACACCAACAGGCTGAACAAGGAATCCATCATTGTTCACCATGGTTATTGCAGCTGGAGCTTGCTGTGCTGCAATTGGGAACAGGTCGTGTTCGAGGGATATGAAACCGGTGGGAGAGTTGGCGCCATTTTGGCCAGCGCTATATTGAAAACAAGCGTTGGCTCGAGCAACAAAAAAGACGCATCGGCAACAAAACGAATTGAAACTGTATCTCACAAATCCCTAAACATCTACTTACGCAGCAATCCAAATAGTGAAATTATTCGTAATCCAATTTGGATCAAAGTATGGATTTCCTGATGACATCCAATCTGATGTATCCTAAACAACCAATTAAAAAAGATTAAATCGATGCACATCAGTCAACATTTATGCTGAAACACACATGATTCCATAACACGTTTCTCAAACCCATAGCCCGAATCACAGCTCTCGTTCTATCATCGGCATCTCCATATGGATTCCTGTGGCATGTAGGAATCACGCCGATTGTTTGATACACTAAAATTGGGTAGTTAGAAAATGTGTGTCAGCCTGTGAAGACGTCGACTAGTTGTTTACTAACCTGCTTTAGCAACCCAATATATCTCCGTAATGAACTGTTCGTTCGTTAACGTCGTGGGACTAGCATGCGACCAGGTATGAAGACTATTTGACCAGTTGTGAGATTAGACTTCCATGTATGCTGTGAGCGTGGACCAAACGTTCAAGACATATTTAGAAACTAACCAGATTTCATGACCCTGTTATTGCAACAAAAAGATCAATATCACCCAGACATTGCAAAAGACAATCAAATAGACACATACCTCTTGGTACGTCCTCAACAATATATCAGGCCTCTGCAAAACCCGACTCCCAATAACAAAGAAAGTAGCCTTCAAATTCAATGACTTTAATCGATCGAGAATTAGCGTCGTATAGTTCCTAAAATCCACAAATGATCAATAAAAGGGCTTTTCCCCGCAGTTTCGACCAACAACACGTACGATGGACCATCGTCGTATGTCAACCCCCAAACACCTTGCGGACACGTCTTGATTTCATCACGAGTGCACGCCAGTGCACATGTATAATCACAGTATCCTGAAGGGCCCATTGTTGCGTTTGTGGAATCACCGGCACCACATACAACGCCGTAGTTTGTTGATGGAGGTCCACGTGGAGGAATGTTTGGTACCTGGCGGTCGCAAGAGCAATGAGTATCCAGATGATGATTCAGATGTGCAGGTCGTAACAATGTGTAGAACGACACAAATCGCAAACACAAAGACACCGCAAGACACTCACTAGAGACAAGTTGACAGCTTGAACCCCTAAAATTCAAGAAAAAAATCATATAAGCCAAGTTCGTATTCGTTCCGTACAAGTTCCTCCTCCAAAAAAAGTTTCATATCAACAACAAAATGTACAAAACTCACAAGCTGTTACCGGGGTAGGAACTCTATCCTGCGTCGGCCACGGTCCCGGCAGGCAGATCCCAGCATTGCAGCTTCCATACGGATTGAACGTTCCAGGAGGAGGAAACTGAGTTAAATCAACGGTTGCCTGTCCGTTAACGGTCAGGAATGTCGCAGCAAGGAATGCAAGTATAGATGGCCGGAAGGGCAACTTCCATGACCCGTATGATGTGCCAACCATGGCTAGCCGCAATTATGGATTTTTTCAGGCTTCCTACAACCTGTGTGGTGACTAGTTTTGTGTGGGTGTTCGGAGAGAAGGAACGAAAGTGAAAGTTTTGGCCAAGAGAAAAACTATATTTTGATCAAAGCAGAGAGACACGCTCGGATCTATTACCGTCATCAAAGCAACTTCATTCTCAGTTGACTTTGCGTTCAGACACTGATTGCTTTGGATGTAATTCGTCGTGGCGTCGGAATTATTTGCCAAGTTGGTTCATATTGGTAGAGGACTTGTTCAGGATGCCTTGGAAGCTAAGCGCAAACAGCCAGAGCTTTTACAGTGCTCAAAAATAGTTTAATCCGGTCTTTTGAGCTTCACAGCACGCTGTAATGCGAGTCAAAGTCAACGTTTTGAACGATGAGCTGGCAGTGGATCAAAGGCACCATTTGACGTGTATGCAAGTCTTCATATATATGTTACAGCGATACAAACAAATCTACTTTCTGGATTTCCTGGACGTTGTTTTGCTCAATCCAGCAAACTTTCTCGATTCATTGCGACTCATAAGAGTACGATCCCTCGTTCCTTGACCACCTTCCCAATGGCCAGTCCCACGTATTCTAGTAACTGATTTCCCACATACACATTCATTCCCAACTCGTTGCTCACGAGAACAATATCCACAGACCATACGAGAACCAAACACCATTTCATGACCATCTGGATTTTGTTCCTCGTGGCATAAATCACATGGATATAGACGTCCACAACACGCAAATCTAAACCATCTAGATTTGAAAGGTACTACATCAATCAGCTGTTCGATTTCAGACCACCAGATAAAAAACCTTACCGATGCGAGTGCTTATAGTGGCTGCAGTTCCCAGTCTTTGGAAGCGGCTCACCAACAACCAAATTCACATCATCTTTAACCCTCTTCTTCTTCTTTTGAGGCAAAACACTCGATGCAGATGTCTTGCTCAACACAGCAGCCTGCAATTTCACAAACTTGACTTCATCAATCCCCAACGTCAGTTTTGAATGACATTGCTCACATGTATGTGTGACTAGCCCACCACGTGTCTGGTTTTTGAAGACTATAGTACTATCACATGTACCACATGTAGCGATATACGTTGATGTAAGCACATCGGATACGCCAATATCATGTAGATCTATATATCCGAGGTTTGATTCACCTGCAAAACAATACGTCGGCCTGAGTCTGCATCCTACATCAGACGAGCATCTATTACAAGTCCACCATACGTCTTGATTGAATTGTGTCGAGTTTATAGTTATTGGTATCTGGATGTGGCATTTATGGCAGGTGGTGAGGAGTTGTATTGTTGAGGTTCGTAGCAGGGCAATATTCGTTAATGTCGGTAATATAAATCGTATCTGAGTTCCTCTATGAGCTGTACCAGTGATTTGACCTTCTTCATTCGCAGTAGACTGCTCGCCAGTACCATCACCATCTTCAGTCTGTGAATCGGACGACGATTCAGATTGAGAATCACTAGATTCTGTGCCCTGACTGGCCACATTATCTATGTCAGTCGTCGTGGTCAAGCCATCATCAACCACATCAGCCTGCCTACTCTTATGATTGACAACGATCAGCTTGGGCGCTGGCTCTTCCCGTCCAATCAGCAATCTCTCTAAATTTACATCCAACCAATTCACGAGCTGCAGCAGTGTCAATCGATTTTTATCCTGCATGCTGGTACTGACTGATGCTTTGCGATTCCAGCCTAAGGATACGGCCTTGATGAGATGCTGGGGTATTATGGTCGAGTTTACGACCAGTGTTGCTGGTGTTATCGGGTAAGTACGTGGGATATTCAGCGCTAGATCAATGGATTCCAGATCGAATGGAAAATCGGGATCTGAAGGAGCCATAGAGAAAGTAAACCGTTCAGTGTCCGTTCTGCAAAATAAAAAAAACGTGTCAGTTAATGTCGTTTTGATCGTAAGGATGCGATCAAGCTAGCAAAGACAGAATAATGTCTCCATGTTTTGACAATATCATCAATTATTTAACGACATACATTCCCTTTGGAAACCTCTTTTGAAGCTGCACCATTTCCACATCTCGTATCAAAGCAGCCTTTTCAAGGGGAGTTTCAGCCGATTCTAGCTTTTGAGCCAGGCCTATATTAGTCGGTCTAGCTACAGGTGTTCTTGCGACTACTGGCCGTAAAGATCTAGCAGCTGGAACTGCTAATGTTGATGTTGATGGTGTTGCTGCCCCGTTGGGAGCTACTGTATTCGAGCTCGCTGCAACTACAGGTTCTGACACAGATACAGCTGAAGGATTTACAGACGATTGACTCTTGGTGGGAGCTTTTGGTAGTGGAAATGATTTGGGCTGACGAGCTTTGCTTTGGGTTGAAGGCTGCACATTTGCTGTGGCGTCAGGAACGGTAGAAGACGGATTCGGAAGTCTTTTCGTTATTGAAATCTTGATGCCTGAAGCTAACTGTTTCTCCTTGATTTCGGAAGCCATCCGTAGGATCTGATGCGATTTCTTGTAAAGGAGCGACGCGACAGCCAAGATGCAAACAGCTCAGAGATCAACCGTGCACGCGTTTTGCTACTTCTTCTATACTTATATGCAAGCTTTTATTTTACACCTTTGTCCAACAAACTACAGCTACATCTGCATTCACGTTACCAGCGAGTTTGATCGCATGCGTGGTTCAATCGTTCAGCATGCTGTGGATTGTGCAGTGCCGTACGACAGCTCCTCCCATACCAACAGTCGTTCCGATTCTGGTATCGAGCTGTTTGGTAAAATGTCAAGTTAGCATTGGCCGACAAGAGCCTTGCTTTCAATTCAGATCCTGAAAGCATGACGTACCAGGCAACTCAGCCTTTGGTGTTTCTTTGCGACACAAGAAAGCCATTTCAGCCAATATCTAGTGATTTAAAGCAAGACGTTCAGCCGTAGCAATTCAAAAGTAGAAAAGGCTTTGGGAAAACTCCTTGGACCGAACCGCTCACTTTACTAGCACATAATATACACGCATATGCATCTGGATCAACTTGCACAAGTGGTGGAATAGCCGATCCAGGCCTCTGAGGCACATAAACTTGCCCTGTACTAGCCAGCATTTCAATCTTCCACGTCTTGTCTCGTAACTTGTTGATGCCAGATTGATAGAACTGAGGAACATCCATGTTTTTAGCGCGAAGGTATTCTTGAAAGACCACGTTTTCAAAGATATTGTGGTTGAATGCTGCTCCGATATTCCTTAGATTGAATGACGAGATCTTGTTGAATGCTTCTGCTGCATCAGGTCTGAGTTCAAGTAAAAGGGTTTGAGCAAGAAACCCGACAAAAAAAGGAATGCCGAAAGCAATGATCACCTGCATCCACCAGGCATAAATCGACAGCAATAAGTCTCACAATATGAACACTTTGATTGCACTGCCCCAAGTGCTGCTTCATTTTGGATGGTTGGGATGAAACCTCCACAATGGAAGCAAAAGTCATGCTGGGTGTTCGGTGGACACGTGTAACCAAACTGATTATTAGGTGCTTCAAATCGACACCTGCTGTTCAGTCAAATTTAGTTTAAGATATTTGAATGAAGTTTCAAAATACAGATGTACTTGCATTTCATCAGCAGCAGAGTCTTCATCGGAATCATGTATTGATGCGTCATAATCATTGGAAAGCTATTATTTAGAAACAGGAATTAAAGACTGAAAGTCTTGAGAGTGACAACTTGAGAATTTTTTTTTGCAAAGAGTGGGATACCTTCATTTCTCCGTCTATCTTGTTCCGAGCCTTCATATCTTCCTGTTCTGCAGCAGGTCTAGCTTTTTCAGGATGTGCCTAAAGTGTCGTGACGTGTCAGTTTTGCGACCACACATAACAGACAATTCGGCGTACCTTGAGGAATGTGTCTGCTAAACTTGCGATAGTATGGTTCTTCTTTACGAGTTTACATTGAGCTAACAAGAGTACAAGTATATAAGACAATCAAAATGTCCTCCGTTTACGACAGGATCTTACTTCGACAATTTGGACATTCAGGCGCCATAGGTTTGCATTTATCAATCCACGCTGAGAAACAAGCCCCACAAAAATTATGCAAGCAAGGTACAGCACTGACAGCCTAGAAAGAAAAAGATGCACAGATCAAATCCATAGATCAAGTAAGTTACCACAGCCTTTTTTTCTTTCTTGCTTTACCCACCTGAAACAACAAGTCCTGACAAATCCCACACGTTAGAATCTCTTCTAATTCATCCTTCTCATCCTCAACCATCTGCTTTTGCTTCTTGATCTTCTCATCATTGCTACTCGAGGCCACCTTCTGAGTCAGACCATCGGAAAACACATCCTCGTCATCAGACTGATTGGCCATTAGAGCGGTGAATGGCCGTTTCAGTCCTGACGATGGTCCAGGAGATGAGGATGAATGTGTGAGGGTCGATATACGCTCCTTGTACAGTTTTACAGTATAGTCGGGCAGAGAAGGATCTACTTTCGACATGTAGATGGTGTCACCGTCACTGACGATACGAGATTGTAGCTTTTCGAGGCGTTCGTCGTTTAGGAATGTGCCGTTGGTGGACGAGTCTGTCAAGGTCACCCGTCCGTTGAAATCAAGATGGAGCCTGTTGGAAAATGAAGAGCACGAATAGTTTCAGTGTATGGAATGAATGTGATAATATTTGAAAAATCCTCGAATGCGACAGCGTTTGTATGCCTTGTGCAAAGGTTTGACCATGTCTCACCTAAAATGTTTGGCTGAAAGGGACAAGGAGCTGCCTATCTGACCAAACGAATCTAAAGTCGAAAGCAAATCAAAATAGAGTACGCAATACGGTATAAAAACCCACACGATTAAACTGTACTTGATGATCGTCCGAAATATAGCATCTGTTGCGATTTCAGTGGCACATCGGGGAAGGCTGCTGTTTGCTTTGACGAGGACAAGAGGCCCCAACAATTCTCATCTCGAGGCTTGTCATCTTGGCTACTCATTGTCACCTGTGGCTTTCAAAGTCGAGGCACTTGCTGGTTCTGTGTTGTTTCGACAATTTAAGGACGCAGCCACACACTTTATCGCTGAAAGACCTGCTACGAGCCGAGAGCAATCTGATTTCTTTTCGAACGCGTTCGTCGTAACCTTGCAACGCGCGAGAAATCGACAGATGCGATCGACTAAATAGTTTAAATTACAAGCGGCATACAATGGGGATGATATAAAAATGTTTCTACACTTATTCCAGAGGCGGCCTGTTAAGTTTTTCAGCTCCCTTATCTCTCATGACTTCGGGGAAAAGAGGAGATGCAGAAAAGGGAGGAAATTGTTAGCTTCCACACTATCACGGATTCGAAGCGCCCTTCTTCATTTAACACTTACTATGTTGTTTAAGTCCTTGTCCAAAGTTGTTGAAGCACACCACTGAATTCACCAGTGTTAGTACGACGACAGTTAACGATAGAGCAGCTATGAGCAACAAAAAGAGTTAGTACGGCCTGACAACGGATATCTGTGATTGAAAGTCTCTCCAATTCCATACCATAGAAAGTCAAATAGTATTTCGTATCTGCGTATTTCTCTGGTTGGGTATAAATCCTCACGACTTTAAATATGAAATAGGCTATAGCACAACACAGTCCAATCATGAATAATAACATAATCCATTTATCCTCTCTCCGTACCTGAATACAAGATTGCATGTTAGAAAAAAACAAAGGAGTATTCGCGATGCTGTGGGAAAGCAAGTCCCAGCAAAAACGAGTCTAAAGACCTGGAAATGGGGCTTCAGGTACGTACTCCATATACAGCCAGTGCTAGTATGGCAACCATAACAGGTAATGCAGCAATAGTCAAGGCAAATTCCGGATCATTGGTTCTAATAACAAGCACAAGAAATTGTAGACCAAATCCGAATACGAAAAATACGTCCAGTTTCAATAAGGTAATGAAGATTTGGTATGCTCGGTATAAATCTAACGGGTTGAAGAAGTGGGTCTAAGCCTACATTCGTGGATGCAAACATGAAATGGGATATCACGAGGTTTGTTTGAAAAGTTTCAGCACGAGCATGAAGCAGGGCTATGGTATGACAGAGATACTCCAATAATCTATCATGTACTTACTCCTCATCTTTGGATCAGCTCCAATCTTTTTGTAAATCTTCCAGCCAAACTCTAGATACAGCTTATACGACAGATACGCAAAAGCCGTGAAACCCAACCCCAGCACAACAGGTATAGCAACCAGCGCCCCCCTCAGAATCGACAAGTTTGAGTCCGAGATAGAACTAGCAGCGCCGACAATAGTCGGATTCCTCAACTGAGCATATTGGAAGATGGCATAACAAAAATCAGCAAGATTAAAAAGCACAAATCCAATCATTTGAATCGTGTTTTGATGCCATACAGCGTCCCAACATAGCACGATCTGGAAGATTTGAGCACATATGAATATGGTGAGGTAGACTGGGACACCTCGTTGTGGATTTGGGTTGTTTGGGTCGTATTGGAGAGTGAAATCAGTGGCGGGAACTATTATGGCAGCGACGATGGATTCTAGGACGATGACTATTACTGCTTCTAGTAACACGAGGGCTAGAGTTACGCGCCCATACTAGGAGTGTGAAATGCGTGTTAGATGAGTTTGATGTGTGCAGCGAGAATCTGATGCAATAGACTCTAGAAGCCTTGGAAGCTTGATTGTGTAGCTTCAATAGCATCGGAGTTATGCTGATCAAGTACCTTTGTGGCTGGTATCTATTGAGATTCGAGTTAAAAAACCTTGATCTGTTAAAGTGTGCGTTTGCTTCAAACTCACCATGCCCTGGGGATTGGCTTCTATTCAAGAGACTAGTACTCAATAACCAAGAGTTCTTGCCTCTTATAATATCCTGGCTATAGTCTCGACTCGCCTCCTACAAGTGGATCTTTGCTTCAAAAAGCGGCAGTGTCAATGTATGTCTGCAAAAGTGTGCTGAAAAGTGTGATGAAACTATGTAAAAGCTGCCGAAATCTCTTAACTACGAGCAAACGTGCAAGAACGCCCACTATTTCATTAGACGCTTTTAAGCTTAGATCACCAAAGTTTCAAAAAGCTCGAAAACCTCCGTTGCGGTGCAGGGCCCCTTCATGCAAAGAAACGTACCAATAACACCCTGGGGCACTAAGCAATTGGCTATAGAATATATGATTTCATTTTATCGCGGTAATCAATACACGAAACACCCAGACGAGACAAATAACCACCACCATCTCTACTCCTCTATAGCTTAGGCGGAAGTGTACTTGTACACACCAAAAGCGACAGCAATGACAACTGGAATCAACACATAGAGCATCCTATGAGGTGCAAGAAAAGAAAGGGACTGAGTTTATCAAATGCAATGTGACAGGTCAGATTTATCAAGGTCACATTACGTGTTGTCAGATCCCTTGTTCAATGAGGAGGAGGAAGCGTGAAGTGCATGAATGGAAGGCTTGATTGGTTTGTCCGCCTTTTCCTGTTGTTGATTGTGACGTGTGAGTATTTGTCAAAAGGCTTGGTCCACGTCTGAGATTGCACTCTTTTTTGCCCCTTCATATACAGCACAATCATTGCACATAGCCATGATGATGATTGACACTTACAGTGCTGTCCAAGTCCCCAACAAAGTAGCCTTCCATGAGCTTACGAGCATCGTCAGAGTGACCAATTTCTTCAAATGCTTCTGTAGCATCCACACCTACGATTATAGATACAACCGGTCAATCAACCTTATAATTGGATATCCTTGATAGTTCTTGTATCTGCTCTCTGTCCTTGTTCCCTATTACAACCATCTCTCCTTGTGCATCTCATGGACCACCAGAAAACATTGATGTGTTTCGTCTGGAGACATACCAGCCTGTTCTAATAGGACTTCTTCACCACCAGGATGCTAATATATAGGGAAATGATTAGTACAATACATGAATAAAAACCAATGCCAAGTGCTTCACTCATCCAAACTTTTGTTTTTCCCAAAACTCACTTCGTCAAGGAATTTAGTAATATTGTATACTTTTCGATGAACTACGACCCAGATATCATTGCGGGTGTTGTGGGTTCCAACATCGTTCCATGTGAAGGTCTTGGCCATTGCGATTGATTCTTTTCTATTGGTGGTATGTTTTAGTCGAAGTTTGGTGTGGATATTTAGAATTTTGCCCGACAGGAAGATTTGGAAGAGTGAGAGATAAGGCTAATTCTTGTAGACTTTTGGAAATGTCGCGAACGCATTGATAGTTCATAGAGCCGTTGGGCTGCCAGATGCAAATTTTCTGAACATGTCAGAACTCGCAATCTCAACAACACGTTTCCACCAACTTGAAGTTCAAGATCAGCCAAAACAGTTTCAATTCGTCTGCTCCGTTCTTCTGTTTGTTGATGCAACCGTAACCGTAACCGGGTCAAATGTCGAATAGAAATAATGTGCTGTCAATTTTGACCGTATTACGCTGCTGCATATTTTGCTTCATTACAAGAAAGTCAACATGCGCATTTGCCCATCCATAGCCACACAAGCAACATTCGAATTCCAATGACTAGCATCAGGGAAGTCCTCAATACCATCGACACCACGACCATTTATAATCTCAGCAATCTTTGAAGTTTTCTACCTTGTAATTGATTCCCTGTGTTGTGCCTGTTCGTTTAGAGAAAGCTTGTAGTCTGCGCGTGTTGTTTTCATGATTTGCTTCCTATGATACGATGATGGTGAGATAGAGGTGAGAAGATCAACGACCAAAAACTGATCATCAACGACCATATCCAAGCAGTCTGGTTAGACTCTACTTCAAACAAAAGTGTTGCTTACGCTCCAGACATCGTTTCCAACTGAATAGCACCACCCACACCTTTTGCAACCGAACAAAGTGACGGAGTCGTAGCAAATGTGTCCCTGAAAGCGTATCAAGCAGCTTCCGTTTTGAGCAGCGTGGGTAACAACACAGCTTTCCACCCTCTGGCCTCGCAATGGTTCCACAATTGAAACGATCAGGCACAAAGTGACAAAACCAAAACACCAACCATGAATCAAGAAATAATATACGGTCTTCATTTTGTGAGCATCCATACATCTTTACACCTTTTTCAATCTGTGGTTGTAATGACTATTTTGCCAGAATTCATATTGCTTTCCATATACCTATATTTCAGAAGAAGAGTGGTTGCTTTAGACAACCAAAAAAAGGAATCTCTTTCTTTGAATCCGCGTGAACTTGCTTGTGAGCCTCTGCAATACGAGTCCATGGAAACTCTGAATCAATAATCAGCTTCATTCTTCCATCCAATAGTCCAGGCATCACTTCTTCAACGAATTGATCACGTAACCTGATTTGGTAGGCTAGAGAGCGTGATCGTAGTGCTGATCCTTGGATCTAAAGCATAGAGATTTTGGTCTGATTTGCTTTTGCTCCAGTGCAAAGCGATTCTTTGCAAACAAGCTTACCCGTAATCGCTTCCATAAGAATGGTGCCAAGTTGACTGATTCTTTGGTTGCACCACCCTAACACACCAACCGCTATCAGCAAAAAAAACCATGTCGTACGTCCACCATAATGGCTTCATCATACCAAGAAAGCCAACATGCACATCCTTCCGTCTATCGCCATGCTAGCAACATTTGAATCCCAATAACTAGCACCAACGAAATCCACAATACAATCCACACCACGACCATTTGTGATTTCAGCAATCTTGTCCTTGAAGTTTTCAGTCTTGTAATTGATTCCATGTGTTGCCCCTAATGATTTACAGAATTCGAGCTTGTCTTCTGAGCCTGCTGTTATAATGATTCGGTTTCTAAATTGACGTTGAGACGAATGAGACAACAAAAACGCACGCGAAGGTCTTTCATCACAGCCTGCTAGACTCCACTTACGCTCCAGCCATCTTTGCCAACTGTATAGCAGCAACACCAACACCTGATGCTCTATAGACACCCAAAAAAAGGGACGATATTGGCCTCCGTACACGTTTCACCACAATCTCAAACAACCTCTTGCTCACCCAGCATGAATAAGTACATCCTCTCCACTTTGGATTTCACATACAAAATGAAGTGCCTTGTATGCAGTAAAGTGGGCTTCGGGGACTGCAGCAGCTTGAACGAAAGAGAGTTCTGGTGGGACTAGAATAGCAGCACGGTAATGTAGCAAGCAGTATTCCGCGTATGCTCCACCACCGACGAGTCCAAATACGTGATCGCCAACTCGGAATGACGTTGCTATTGCGAGATTGTTAGGTTTGTCTCAACAACAAAAAAACTGGCCCACAGATACAACATTTGGTGATCAGAGAGATCAAGATCACCAAGTACATCTTGATGTGCTTGACCCTTGCAAGATCGTGGTAGAGACATACCATTTTCACCGACCGCTTCCACAATTCCAGACAGTTCAAGTCCCATAATAGGAGAACTTCCAGCTGGAGCAGGGTACCCTAAGAGATTTCATATTTGACAATGATTTAGCAAACGAAGATACAAAAATCTGCAGATACTAGTGTCAAGATATAGTTCAACGCCATTGTCACACTTCAGACTCCATAGTCAGCATGGTCGTTGCATGTGCAAGACAATAGCCAGAGCCATCTCATCTTCATTTGATTCCTCTCAACAAGGTATAGATATCGGAAACAGCCCCAATTGTACACATACCTCCACGTCTTTGAAGTGTGTCAGCTCGATTCAGCGCAAAAGCCTTGACCTTGACCAGCAATGAATCTGGGCCAGGAACAGGCTTAGGAGCATCTCCTATGTACATATCATCTGCTTCTCCTTTGCCATTTTGGACCAACACAGCCTTCATAGTCGCCATTTTCACGTTTGTTGTTTGTTGTTGGGGTTGATAGACGAAAGCTTCCTGATGAGAATAGAAGCGGTGTACGTGTCAAGAATGGAAAATACAATGAACCTGTTTAAATATTGAAAGATCACGTTAGATCATGTTGACCGTTGGGCTAAAAGTTATTCGATCACTCTTTCGATAATGGCAACGAATTGTGACTAGTTCCATGGCAGTTTTCTGACGTTTAACGCGTCATTACTGGTACAGATGAACAGAAACGACCATTGAGACTCTTATTGGTCATGTTTCGCGAATGTGATTTGAAATGTGGTTCTTTTTTGCGAGTTCAATCTCAGAAAAAAAGCGACTTATTGAAGCAAAAATGGCCGGCGGTGCTAAGAAGAAGAAAACTGGTCTTGGTAAAGCGCTGATGCGATCTCGCTTCAGTACTGCCACTCATGTGAATCCTGATGGTTCATTGCGTGTAAGTTTGTCGTTTGTGCTTGTTGGATACTTCGAGTTGATGTTTGAACATATCAATCGGTTGCCAATAACTAACAATTCTTTATTTGCGTCTCATTTTCTAGCATACTACGGATTTAGATGACTCCACAATTAGTCTAAAGTCAATAACCCAGGAAACTGATTTGGATGCTTTCTTGACTACTGCTCAGCTTGCTGGAACCGAGTTCACTGCTGGTAAGAAGCTTACTGGTGGTTGATCCAGAGTGTATACAACTTATTACTTCTGTTCTGAATGAAATCTGACATCTCACACGCTTGGAACAGAAAAACTCAACATTCAAGTAGTCTCAAATGACTATCAGAATCCATTCTTGTTGAGTCCTGAAAAGGAAGCCGAGACATTGAATCTACATGCTCAGAAACGTGATCGGCTGACTGTCCCTAGAAGGTGCATGCTCATTTCGTAGAGTATTTCTTGTTGGCTCACACCTGTCTTGTTGCAGACCTGAATGGGACGAGACTACTACAGGAGAAGAGCTCCAAGAAGCAGAAAGGAACTCCTTTTTGGAATGGAGACGTGGATTAGCTCAGTACGTGATGCTAAAAAAGCCATCGTGTATCATGGAGGCATCGTCTGTAAGGCTGACACTCGCATTCTGTACATAGACTGGAAGAAGACGAAGGAATGTTACTAACACCATACGAACGTAACTTGGAAGTCTGGAGACAGCTATGGAGAGTCATTGAACGATCAGATCTCGTCGTTCAAATCGTCGATGCTCGTAATCCACTCTTTTTCAGATCAACTGATTTGGAGAAGTATGTTAAAGAGGGGGATCCACGACGTATAAATTTATTGTTGGTTAATAAGGCTGATATGTTGACTGAATCTCAGAGGTAACTAAACTGCTCTTTTGGCCGAATATCGCGTTGCGCTTTTTTTGCCACCTCATCACCCCATAACATTTCATCTATTTGGTAGATTACAATGGGCAGACTACTTTCAATCACACAACATCCGCCACGCCTTCTTCTCTGCCGCCTTGTCCAAAGCAGAACAAGAACGAGAAGCTGGTGAATTGCAAGGTGATGATGATGTAGATGCCGAATCATCAGACGATGAAATGGCCGAACGCGATGATAGTTATAACCGTTTCAATATGAATGATGCGGAAGAAATCATTGATGACTCCGATGATGAAGTAGCAGATAGTAACGACATGAAACTGGGTGATAATGAGATGGAGAATGGAGAAGTCATTGAAGATGATGGTGAAGACGAGTATACAACGGAAAGTGATGATGATGACATACCGAATGCCAAAAGCAATATACCAACCAAGTCGAATCAACAACCAACACCACCACCTTCATCATCCAAACCTGCATCCACACAATCGCATTCATCGAGTGCATATCCTCTTGGACATATATTATCAGCTTCTGAATTGTTAGATTTGTTTTCTGATGAGGCTCCTGAGCCTTTAAGGCCAGGTATGGATACCTCGACGATAATATTTTTTGTTTTGCTGCTGGCTCAAACGGTTATTTAATAGACATGGCTGACAAAGTGACTATTGGATTTGTTGGATACCCGAATGTGGGTAAATCTTCAACATTGAATGCTCTAGTTGGAGCCAAGAAGGTTGCTGTTGCTTCTACGCCAGGAAAGACCAAGCATTTCCAGGTATGTGGAGCGAATCTCATGGACGACGTCTGCGATGGTTATTTTGTCATTGTTGGTGTCGTGCTAAAAACGGCGCGGTGCAAAACATACCGCGGATTGAAACCGTGATTATGTCTTATGTCCCAAGTCACAAACAATCTGTCTCACACGACCTCATCTTCAAAACTCTCAATCCGCCTATAAGACCATCCACATATCCGACTCCATGATCCTCTGTGACTGCCCAGGTCTCGTCTTCCCCTCCTTTGCCACCACCAAAGCCGAAATGGTAATCAACGGCGTCCTCCCCATCGACCAACTCCGCGAACACACCGCACCATGCACACTCGTCACCCGCGTAATACCCAAACGAGTACTCGAATCCACATACGGAATCCGTATCAAAACCCTCAACGAAGAAGGGTTCCCCATAGATAGGATGCCGACGTCCGAAGAGTTTTTGAAGGCCTTGGCCGCTGCTCGTGGATACAAGAAGGCTGTACAGGGTAACCCGGATGAAGCACGAGCGGCGAGATACGTGTTGAAGGATTTTGTTAATGGGAAGCTGTTGGCTGTTGTGCCGCCACCTGGATGTAGTGATTTGGTGCGGTTTGCCAAGGAGACGGAGGAGGTTATGATGTTGAGGGTTAAGAAACATCGTGGCGATGACAGTGTGACTCCTGTATCGGTGTTATCATCGTTTGATACGAATGGAGGTATCACGTCGCTGACTGGTGATACGACAATGTATTCTGCTCAACCGCAGCAGAATGCGTTATATAGTAGTACTTTTGCTGATGACTCGACGGGTGGAGTAGCAGCTAAATCTACTGGCAAGTTTGCGTCCTCGAATTTCATTCGAACAAGTCTAGCATTGGGAAATAATTCGGGGGTCAGTAAGAAACATAATAAGAGTTCAAAGAGACAGGGGAAGAGGAGAGAAAATTATACTGCTACTTTTGATTGATGACAAGGGAGGGTGTGTGCAAATATGTCTTGTATGAAGATAGAATATCAACAAATATATTGATTTTGCATTTTATGAGCTGGAAGAATCTTCTTGCGAGGACGTTCTGTTCAGCGTTTGCAGGTTCGTTTTGGACAATGCGCATACGAAACCAAGGAATTATAGAGCGATGAGTAAAAATCTATTCTACAATACAACAGAGCGAACTATAACATCTTTCAAGCAAAATTACTATATCTTGTAAAAGTGCCTTGAGTCATCCATGTCTACAAATAAAAAAAGAGTCATTCAAACCATCAAGAAAGCCCACTTTAAAAGCATCAACAAGGATCTTACCTGCTTCTTGGTCTCACCTGGAGCTTTCTTGGCATACAAGCTCTGGATAGCTTCTGATTCATGAGTGAGTTTAGCAGACGATACAGCCAATTTAGCATTCAAGTTTGAAGGTATCGAAGCATTTATGTTCTTGTTTATTGTGTTGGTGATTGCTTGTTTCTTATGTGGGTTGCTATTATTATCGGTGGTGGTATCGTTGGTGGCTTCCTTTTTACGTTTTTTGCCATCCGTATTCTTCTTGTCACCACCAGCAGCAAGAGCCTTCTCAGCCTTTCGTTCTTCAGCGACTCGGACCCTCTCAGCCTTGATGGCATCCATACGAGTATGTAGTCTAGCAATCTCATCTTCCAGTAGCGAGTTTATGGGGATGACGTCTTGAGCTGTATATAATTTACCACAGTTGGGACAGCCTGGATCAGGCACTTGTTTCAATCCAGCTTCCGAGAATACACATCCGCATGTACTTATATAGCTGAATCGATGCTTCCCATTCATCTCCTTGAGCGTGATGGGACACACAAACGGCGACACGATTGTTCTAGCCGTATTATTGTTCGTGACTGCATTACTATCTTCATGTGATTTCGAATATACTGGATTAGGCTGTAGATTCAACGTTGTGACATCCTTTAGTGAAGTGATGTGTCGACAGATGGTGTCTCCATCTCCGAATTCGGCCTTGTTTACGAGGTATGAGAGGATTGCTTCTTTATTGTATAGTTTGCCGAGACCACAAGATACGATAGGGGCAGCTAGCGGTTGTTTTGAGAGTGCACAATGTAGCCATTGTTGGATTTGTTGGATTACGGCGTCTGGGATGATAGTTTTTGGTTTTTCTTTTACGAGTTCTCGACGGGTCGGGATTGAGCCTCCATCGCAACCTATGACATAAAATGAGTTGATGTTAGTATATGGTTGTATATGCTTCTTTATCGCTAAAACGAAGGGACAGAAACAAGAGTCCATAAATTACCCATTGTGAGGCCTTGAGCTTGCGTAGGAAGGAGCAATATGTATATATGGTGGCGCTCTACAATCCTATTCGAAGCAGACTACTGCCCCGTATCGTGGTTTGGCTTCCTTTAAGTGAGAACCTGTCGTTTCGATTTTAGCAAACGAAAGCATTTATAATTGAGGATTAGGAAGCCAAAAGAGAGAGCGTGTCATATATATTATCATTGACAGCCATCAATCATGTACAATGGAATAGGCAAGTCCTCTATATTTCATACTGCAATGTTATGTTTATTCCTCAATTTCCCAAAATCCAACACCTTGAACTAATAAATCACATCCAAATTACATTCTAATAGGTCTGACGACTACACGAGGCTCAGGAACTAACGGCTACATCCAACGTAACTTATCCACAGTCCACTACAGACCCCCCAAAGGTGGCCAATATGACGATGCATCAACAGGGCCAGTAGGCTTTCGTCCTCCAAACAAGGACATCCTCACCCACGAAAAGAAACGAGCCATAGAACTCAAATGTATCACTCTACGAGACGAACTCGAGTCCCGTGGTACCGTATCCGAGGACGATATTGATACCGCTGTTGATAACTTACGTCGTGAATTACTGGGTCGTCTTGAAAAGAGCACTGGTGATGCTAAAGACCTGAAAGTTGGGCAAACGCATCAGTTGTCGGAAGCCAAGGAACGTGAGAATGAACGTGTTATGGAGGCTTTTGGGATTAAGAAGAGCGAATATGTGGAGGGCGGATCTTTTGATATGGAGTTGCAGGCTAGGAAGAAGCAGCAGCGGATTGCTGAACGTGAGGAACGAGTCAAGCTGCATGAGAAACGACAGGAGGAGTATAAGAAGCGGGATGAAGAACGTAAACAGATTGAGCTTGAGCGCAAAGAGTCTGAGGAGGATAGGGAAAAACAGAGGAAAAGGAAGGATGATGAATATAGAAGAGAGGCTGAAGCTCGTAAGCACATATTGTTTTAGTACTAGAACTCATCGTGATGGAATCAAGAGTGTTTACTCACGTTACTTTGCTACTAGGAATGGTTGAAGCTGATCGAGAAGCTCGTCAACGAGAAGAAGGAATGAACAAAAGACGACGTGAAGACTCCCCAACAGCATCAAGGAGGCGCAATCCCACTTCTTCTCCACCCCCTCGACGAAGAAATGACTCCCCACCTTCTCGAAGAAATGATTCCATATCTCCATCTCCTCGAAGAAAGCGTCAAGACTCGAACTCGCCACCACCACGAGCAGCTGCACGTAGAGAATCAATACATAGCAACTCAGACCGAGGATATCGTGATAGGCGTCGAGACTCGTATGATGATAAACTTGGTGCAAGTCGTGATAGAAGAGATCAAGTACAGGAACGTAAAGCTAGTCTACCCGATACTGGATTTACCATACGCGGAAGAGCCGATAATAGGGATCGACGTGATGAGGATGAAGAGGAGTACGAACGTCGTCGAGGAGACACCGGATATGGACGTAGTAACAGAGACGATTATAAACGACAACGACGTTATAGTGATGACGAACAAGATAGTCGTCGACCACAACAATCAGTACCATCTATACGAGGCGCTGCATCCAGAATAGCCGCAAAACGTGAAGAGGATGATATGAGTCCACCCAAAAATCCAACCCATATGCCGTTACCACGACGTAACCAGGCATCATCTTCTCCTCCTGCTAGAGCTAATAGTGGCAGTAGACGAAGGCAGCTATCAGATTCTGAAGATGATTTGCGTGATGGAGGAAGAGGGAGGAGCACCAGAAGAGGTCGTAGTCCGTCTACTGACTCTCGTCGATCTGATGGTAGTAGTGAAGATGGACTTGTGAGGAATAGGAGCAACGGTAGTAGTGGTGCAAGAGGTAGGAAACGCTCATACTCTTCTGATGGGGATGATTATAGAAGAGGTCGTGGACGTTAAAACATAGCTAGCTTTGAATATGGTTTTTTGTATAGCAGAGAAGAATAAAGGAGGCACGATGAGCATCAATTGTGAAACCTGGTCGTCTACCATAATATTATTACATCTGTTCAATTAGCCGAAATCTTTACCAAGGAGTCGCGTACCCAGCAAAGCAGCATCCAACCTATAAAATGTTTTCTCGAATCGAATTTGGGCCTGCTTTCACCAGATACACTATGAGTTATTGCAAGACGTATGTGTATTTTAGACCGTTCCGTCCAGGGGTTTTCCTTGCATTGTGTGTGAAAAGGATACACGCAGTTGACTTCCTTGTTGCCGCAAAGTGGTATTATAGAGTGTTTGCAAGCTTTACTGCCAGCATGAGTGTTGCATTAGCAGTCTATACACGAGATGTAGGCTAAAAGGAGGTGTAGATTTAGACACGACGCATACGCGTGGTCTAGACTTGTGTGTGCAGCGCTGCTGCGTTAGATGTGTGGAGAGAACAATAACTTCACGATTGATCGACCTCGGCTCGTGCTTAACTGGCTGAGAAGGTAGAAAGAATATCTATATTCATACTAGGTACAAGATTTAACATTGTAACCTGCACTAGACTCTCTATAACAGTCATCCATACTTCTGAACGAGAACCCTACCAATGTGGAAGCGCTTGTTGGTGACCGTATTACTCCTGTTTTCAAAGACGGCGGCCGAATTTGTCACGTAAATTTCTTTGTACATTTCTCGTTGTGATGCACGTCAGACTCATTTAAATTTTTTGTCGCATACTAGGCATGCCGTTCAGTTGAATGTACCCGGATCGCATGGTGGAAAGCTAAAAGAAAATGACCCTTTTCGAGTCAGCCCAAATGTCAGTCGACAGGATGACGATACATTTCGTTGCGTGTCCTTACTGAGATTGCTGGGGTGATAAATTTAAAGGTTCAACAGATCGAGCACTGAACAAGTCATGCCTTTTCTATCCTACCGGAGATCGGTCACCATTGGTGGGGTAAACCCGCTCTAAACAGATCAGCTATATTCTGGGCCCAAAACTCTCCTTCCCTTGTTGATCCCGGAACAATGTTTGTGCACAACCAGGCTGCCATTGCTAGTTGACACTGGGTATTCGTAGTTATCCTTTTTATACTTGGTAATACAGCTGACTTTATACTCGATTAGGACAACCATGATATATCAACCAGCTGCAGTTGCACAGGCGATAGCCAGCGCATTAAATGCAACTGCAATACTGGATGCTGCGGGAAAGACTAATGGATACTATTGCTCTACCCCAGATATTTCCCAATATCCAATAATCTTCTTTGATATGCTGAGAGTCAGTTTATCATTTCGACGTTTGGACTATGTAACAGCTTCTGCTCCTGAGAACGGCTGTGCAAATGGTGCCGGTGCACTCGTTTTCCCACATTGAGCTGGGGTTGCCATTATGGGTGCTTTAAGGTATTCTCGGCAAATTTGTGACCACTCATTCTAAAACTGTAAAACTGACTTTTAACTTTGAGTCAATCGAGTTTCTACACCGTTTTCGACTGGAAACAGAGAAAAGCAGGATTTACTTTGCCGACAGTATGAAATCCCTGCTCCTGCTCCTGGAGTCAGCAAACGGTAGCATATGGGGTAAGACGTAACAAGTCCAACGAAGCTGCTAAAGCGAAGCCTGGAATGGATAAGGTTTAACCAACCTCTTCATCACCACTTCAGCCTTCTTCTACTTCATGGAATTCCAATACGATTTCAGGCACTTCACCTTGACTTATACCGTAGTGCCAGAATTTCAGGCACTTCACCTTATACCGTAGTGCAAGGAGACTTGCCAAGTCGTCGGGTTGATCTTGCTTTTAGAAATGTAAATGAATATATTATTTAAACCTGTCCGGATTTTCAAACGTGGTGCTTCCTTTTAAAGAGCTGCAGCAGAGTTGTATGTCTACGTTTGCTGAAAGGCGCAGGCAAAACCAGCGAAGATCATCAAGCCGGATCTCGCTGACAAGAAGCTATCCATTCCCATTGTTGCTTTGAATAGTCCATATAAAGTAAGTGCTGCCGACTGCAATGACACCCTCACAAAATCCAAGCTTGTCTTTGGAGTGAGCTCAATATTGAGTATGCTGAGGTAACAGGCTTGCAGCTCTCCGCGATGCTTCTGCAAACTGATTATTTTCAAAACTGATCGGTCTGTTTCCTCTCTCCTTGGTCTTGTCTTGCAAAATCAACGACATTAAACACTAACCTCATTTCAATTAGCACGCTCCCATGGACAAGACAACATCCTTCCGAGACCAAATCGCCAAATTCAAACATACTGAACCTACTACAGGAACATCCCCTCGCAAGAGATCTGCTACTGAATCTAATAGCGCAAGTGAAGCTTCAACACCGAAAAAGCTCAAGAGCTCTGAGACGAAGGATTCTAGCAGAAGCAAGAAATCTCCAGGAAAACCTAAAGTCGATTACCACTCGTTGCCACCCTTGACTGATTGTATTGCTGATGATCTCGATGTGTAAGGACCTCGGACGGTGTTTGGATTTAAGTGAATATAGTGCAAAACCAAAGCCTGTTTTTTTGGTTGTAATAGCCTCTTTTGTGGTTATAATCCTGGAATTCAATCAGCTACGTACGTCCGCGTGTGTTGTCTCTGGTGCTGTACAATCGCAATTTATCAGCTTCGTTTTTGTTGCAGCAAGCAGCACCACTTCGCAGGAGGTGGAAATCATTTTTGGCCCTGTCTTTCAGAGGCTGGGTTTGGAAATGGTGCGAAACTGACATATGAAGACGATAATGATTGTCCAAGGCTATATAATTTTGGAATTACGAATCTTGTTGAGAGATGTACTCCTGGTATGTGTGAATGAATGAATGATTCAAACCCGTTTCCAAGGACATTGATGAATAAGCTCGTGCCTCTTATTTGCCAACTCTCAAAAATAGGATCTGCAGACCTAACACCACAAGAAATGCAATCAGCAGTAGCACCACTCAAAGCCAAAATCCTTAAATATAAGCCGAAAATTGTTGCTTTTATTGGTAAAGACGTGTATCGACATTTTGTTGGCAAGGCTGTATATAATGGAGGAAAGAATTTCACATGGGGTCTGCAAACCAAGAAAGTATCTTATGCAGATAGTGAGAAGCAAGGATTGATTTATGTGATACCGGGTACGTCTGGGCGTGTATCCGCATATCAGAAGGGAGACAAGTTGGAGATGTTTGTCAAGTTGAGGAAGATTGTTGAGGGTTTGAAGGAGGGACGAGATGTGCATTCTGTGGAAGAGGAGGCTGCTGCTTCTGTAGTGGATGATGCTGCTTCTGTAGTAGATGATGCTGCGGATGATGATGAAGTGGAGGAACAAGGGAAAGAAGACGAGAACGAGGAAGATTGATTTTATATCATGCAAACTAAATATTTTATGTGTGTACGTGTGTGCTAAAGTAATTATATACAAACTGCTGCTACATCAAACAAACAACTCATTCGTCCTGTTCATCCTCTTCCTTCATTTCTTCCTCCATATCCTTGTTGGCTGCTTTAACTTCAGCCTCTCGTTCCAACATCTTAGATCTTCGCGCAGCAATCTTTGCCCGAATGTCGGCCTTGACAATCTAGATTGAAACAGGGTTCAGTATCTGTCTGATATATCAAGCGTTTTTTTGCTCTTTGAAGTGGTTTTTTTGGACATACCGTAAAGAGACCACCAGTAGCAGAACCACATATAAAGCATTTTGGACTTGTCTTGTGATGTTTGAATGCACAATTTTCACAAAAGTAGTGTTTGCATCTTCGAGTTCAAGCCAAAAAACAACGAAGCAAGTTAGCGTACAAATGTCACAAAGTGCAAATCAGACGTTCACATAACTCACTTGGTAACAATAGGATCCCTAAACTCCTTCCTACAAATAAAACACGCAATGGGCAGCTCATCATCTTCCTCAATAGCAACCTCCACATCCGGCCCATCATTGAACGTCATCTCTCTCCTAGCCTTCTCAGCCTTCTGCTTCGTATCCCATTCTGCTTCAAGCTGCCATCCAGACTTGTAGTCTCCTCTGTCATGCATGAATTTACAGGAGTCCCCATACCCACAATACCCCGTTTCTTTATAGTCTTTACAAATGTCGGGCTGGTAGTCGAAGCGAGATGATATACGGACGTTTGTGGGGCCGCGGAGAGGGCCAGCGCGGATGGAGGAAGCGTTTGATTGGGTTGTTTTGGAGACTCGCTTGTTTACATATTCGGTGTACTTTGAGAGGCCCTTGTATGTGGATGGGTCTAGTGATTCTGCGTCCTATATTTAAAAGGTAATATGAAGATGGATAAGAGTTTGGCTGATGCAAAAAAAGACACCAAAGCTTTTGTATGATCCTAACTCGTGCTAGATCAAACACACCGCACATAGCGACACATACCTCGCCAGTCAGCACATCATCAGCACCATCAATATCAATAGTCCTCGTAGCGCCCGAATCAGCTACAGAAGCAGCAGTGCCCGACGCAGCAAATGTTGTCTTTGTATCAAACACATTTGATGCCGTGACATCTTGTCTCTTGACCACCGTAGACGTTGTCAACCCAGATAAGGTGGCTGAACTGGCTGCCTTTTTCTGTATTATCACTGTATCTTCGTCGATAAAGGGTAAAGGTTTCCTTTGTTTGGATTGATCTTGGTCTTCATCGTCCAGAGCTTTACGTTTACGAATGTTTTTGTTTGTTGTGGATTTCTTGAAAAAGGACACTTTCGCCTCTGGTGCTGTGTCGTCGCCCATTCTTGGGTATTACTTGCTGTTGGTAGTTGAATATATCTGTGTTGGAAAGCTTGGTGTGTTTTGGCGAGGTAGACGACGATGTGTGCTTAGAAATCAAAAACCTTGAAGATCAGAGAGAAGGAACCAGTTCTGCATCACATTACACGTGAATTTCTAGGTTTGAACGTTCTGGAACGCGACATGAACTCACAAAGTCAGAACAAAACAAGTCTATCGTAAAGATTTGCGACTCTCTACGTCGTAGATGATTTAGATGAGGGCTCTAAAAGATGCAGGCATTTCTGGAGGTGCGACAAGTAATTTTTCTCGTAGCTTGTCACATTCGGCCTTGGTGAAACCGATTTCGTTGACAAAGTACTGTTGTAATGATCCGTACTTGGCACGGATTCCTTTTAGTGCTCCAAGCATTGAAGCCGGGCTATAGAGACCAAAAGTGAGTACGTTGAGCACTATTTGGAGAATGGAGACAGGGTGTTTTTTTTTGGCTATTTTCAAGACAACTCACTTGGTACCAAGCATATTCGAAGCACCTTGCATATCAATTTCAGTTCCAGTTTGTGCCTTGTATCGAACCATGAAATCCTTCAGGACATTCTCGTCACGATCACCTAAAGCAAGAGAACGGTATGGATTTAGTACTCTAACAAAAAACCATCGTAGTTGGCAACATATATGATCACTCACGGCCTTCAATAACAGCACTCATAGCATAATCCCTCGCAACAATATCATCATCAACCCCTAAGAACGACAACAGCAGTGCGATTCCAGTTCCCACTCGATCCTTTCCAGCACTACAGTGGATAATGCAAGGGGTGTCTTTTTCTAGTAGGTGGCGGTAGTATTGGCGGTATGCGGTGGCTCCTTTACTACTCATCATGGTGTAGACTATTTGGAAGGGGTTTAAGTTAAGCACACCAAAAACGATCGGGAACAGAGCTAAGCGCAAAAAAATAAAGATTGTGGGCAGAATGGGAAAGGTTATGAGTACCTTGCGAGAATCCATCAGGTCCTTTCGAGTACTGACCCCATCGGATAGCAAGAGCTTCAGGTGAGTAATCTTCCATCTCAAATACTAATTGTAGTGAGTAATGTGTCCCAGTCAGTCAACACATTGCGATCAAGCTGACAACAAATTCAATCTGAAAAGCACCAAACCTAACCTGGACATTGTACTCGGGTTATTCCCAATGAGCTGAGAGAGTGGTAAGCGAGGATAGGTGAGTTTTACTGAAGAGCCATGAGAAAAAAATCGTCGAGAAAAACGAGAAATGACCCAAATTACCTGAGATCTGCGACTCCATTGTTCTGCACCTCGGGTATAGATCTTAAGTCAAAAATGGTCTTGACTCCCAATGCCAACAAGGTTTTGGTTCCGGTTTCTGTCACTTCATGGACACTAAATCACGAATACGTAGGAATGCTGAGTTCAATGGAAAAAAAACTGCACTGACAAGAGAGAAGAATATTACCTCCCAGTTCTAAATATCCGTCCCCAACGAACGATTTTAGAAGGACCACAAGGGTAACCTCCAACGTCTCTTGCATTCGGAACACCTTCAATCTTGAGCAGTCTTCTCTCTTCACCGAATGTTCTCCAGAATACACGGAGAGATGTTTCATTATACTGAATCCATTCGACAATATTTTTAACTGCTTCTGAGGCATGGGCCTTGTTGCCAAAGAAATGATCACCGCCCAAGATGAGCTTAACACTAGCGTTTGGTATGAGCGAGGCAAAGTTGGCGATATCTGAGACTAGGACGGTCTAATAGAGCGAGGTGTTTACTTGTCGAAAGACAAGAAAAAAAAGGAATTAAGAGTTCTCTTCTAACAAGTTTTCTGTACCTCGTCAGCAGCTCCATGCTGCAAGAATACAGGCAGAGTCTTTGGCAAATTTCTGGCTTCACGGACAGCATCATCTGAATTCATAAGCTTATTCCACTCAACGGGTGAGATTCTGAATGGTCTAATGGCACCTCTAGCCCTCATATTCATGATGAAGTATCCTTGTTCTTTTAAGCTCTTCATGTCTTCACCATCTGCACCTCCATGTTTACGTAAAAAGCCATCTCTAAAGTAGAATCGTGCTGACACAGTGCATACAAAGCGGAGAGAGTGTGGATGTCGTTGGGCGTAGAAGAGAGAGATGTTTCCACCGCGAGAATGTCCGATCATTCCGTATACGTTCCAGTTGCGTTCTCGTAGGTAGGCGACGATGATTTCGAGGTCGTCTACGTCTTCCTGGTATGATCCATATCCTAATTCGCCTTCAGATTCTCCTTCACCTAAGAGAGCAAAAGGGGGAGTCAACAACACGATTCATATGCTATTTAGCTTCAATCGGGCTGCCGATTCTGTGTGCTGTGTGGGAGATGGAGATCCTACAAAATGAGCACCCAACAATGTACTCAAACCCATGTATTTTGTGCAGCTGTGTGTGGAACAGCAACACCAACCCAAAAAGACATTACGCACCACGGAAGTCAGTTCTATACGATGGATATGGCAACGAAGCAGCGAGCTCTCTAAAGAATCCCCAGTTCTTGTTCGCTAGAGCAAATGTGTGACGTCAATACACCGACATTACAACGATTTCAGGACGAATACATATGCGGTCGCTGCATTTAAGAGCTCATTCTGGTTCAATACACGTATAAAGTAGTACAGAATGCTTTAATATGCAGTCTAACGCACCGTATACTCCATGGTTGATCAAGACAAGTTTTTGGCCCTTTCCGTCATCAATGTTCAGACCAGTATTTTTGCTCTCGAGAAATCCAATGAGCTTGAGCCCGTCGCGATTCAGGATAGTGTGCTTGGTCTCTGTCTTTGACATTTTCGCTCTACTCAAACTAGACAATCGAAAATAATCAATTGCAGAGAGGGAGCGACAAGCCGAGACAAGTTTGATCACGATGGATGATATCGATGAATTGCAAGGTATGTGAATGGCATATTGCTCATAAAGTCGGCTTCGTTTGAATTGAAAAGGGAATCAAAACTGTCGCTGATGAAAAGCGCAGACTTGAAAACTGTGAATATGTGTAGCTAAGAAGTGTATTCGCAGTCTGATCGCACTTATTATGACCCGATTTCGTTTCCCTAATTGCATTTGACTCGTTTATCGATCAAATTTCGGCTTTCATCAACGACATTGGAAGGTGTTTTGAATGGATCGAAGATACTGCCCCTAAGTGTGATCTGAACCTAATACCCTTGATCTGATTCTTGCATTTATTGATGTTAGCACTGGTTTATCAACCTGAACCTGCTCAACTCACAGAGCTTCGTTCGTATTGGGAGTTTGCTGCCATCTCCCAATTTATGAGCTTATTTGGAAGCGTTATCAGCATAGAAGAGTTTGAAACCGAGGTATTATACCACCACCGTTTTCCAACGAACCTTTCGCCTTTTATTTTCGGCTAACTCATTGGAAACACGTAGACGCTCGAGTCTCAGATGTTGAATCCAGCCCGAGATCCTGCGTTGATCGAAACTATGGCCAAAGTAACGCTACACCTTGTCACTAGTTTTATCGCATTTTCGATACTAACAACCAATTGTTTTACCAGATGATGCGCATGGCAACGCTGAATAGGTTCATCACCCCCGAGACCTGGCTACACTATCTCGATAGAGAGTTTGATAGAAGGGAAATCACCGATCGTCCCATCAGAGAGGGCGACGACTTCTTTGCTCTACCGATTCGGAAAAAGGTCGAGCTACTCCACTTCTTGTGTGAGGGTCTCTTTGATAATCCAGACCGCATGCGTGCGCTTCTGAAAGATGAAGAGGATGATGCTGTGGAGTGGAGAGTCGAACCTATCGGATATGATGCGAAAGGGAACAAGTTTTGGATGTTTGATGGTAAAGTGTTTGAAGCAGCGGTCAATTTTATTTCGGACTCAAATCCATTTTTCGTTCACTAGACAATCGATTGTATATGGAAGTTACTAACAAGACTGACAAGAGCAATAAGAAGTCTGGAGATTCGGCACCTGCACGTCGAGGCAAAGCAGGCTCGTCATCAATAACAACAGATCAACCTCCTATTAACTCTCGATCTGGAAATGGATCATGGCAACTAGTATGTCTGACTCCTGAAGATTGGCAAACCTTCCCAGACCGATTCAAGAACTCTAAAGATCAACAAGAGAAGGCCTTGTATACCTTCCTCACCGAACATGCAATTCCCATGGTATTACAGGATATCGAAGCTAGAAGGGCCAGGAAGCTTGAAGCTGTAACAAAAAAACGTTCTTCAAGGCTGAAATTGCTAGAAGAATCAGATGCTTTTTATGAAATTAATAGGAAATCGACGTTGAGGTCGTCTGCTCGCTCAACGACGCCGGGAGGTAGTCGAGGAACCCCCGAAGTGAAGCTTGAAGAGACGGTGGGTGTTCTTGTGATGAACTGGCGCTGAAAGTAAGCAGCTTTTATTCTAACTCGGCTTTTCCTCGTCTTAGCGGTCTGGTCGTAAAGAACTCCGTGATCGAAAGATCAAGGAACGGCAAGAGGCCGAAGAAATGGAGATCATCCTGGAGCAACAACGAGCTGCAATGGAGGCAGAAGAAGCGAAGAGGAAGGTCAAGGAAGAAATAGACAGAGAAGAAGAACGCAAAGAAAAAGAAATACAACGAGCTCTTCAGGCTGAACTTCGCAAAGAAGAAAAGCTGAAAAAGCAAAAGGCTCAAGAGGAACGTCAACGCGAAATTGATCAACTGTCGAAACTGTCGCCAAATGCAACTAAACGTAAAACTCGCCATGAAGTAAATTATGCTCAAAATGGTGATGATGAGAATGTCGTGGAAGCAAGTAGCACTACCAGCACGAGTGCTACCAGTACTGGAAGCAGGCGTAAATCCCAACCTGTAAAATCCTTAAAACAACAACCACCCAAACCCTCCGTACCAGCATATGCTTTACAAGTAGTAGTGGGAGGATCTGACGATACCGCTCCTTCCGACCCTAATGTGCCAGAGCCGTGGTATTTTAGCTGTTTGTGTGGTGTGAAAGGGTGAGCCAAAGTCGATGTTTGTTGTGCGGAGTGATGTGTCTGTTTGCTTACATATTCCCGGATTTTGTTTAGGAACAATCTGGACGATGGAACTGCTATGATTTGTTGCGAGGTTTGTAACGTATGGTCGCATCTGGAATGTATTGCTGCCCACGGAAACAAGAAACGTGGGCCAGCGAATCAACTAGACGTGGCAGCATGGCAAGCTAGCCAATTCGTGTGTAATGCCTGCGCTAAGAAGGAGAAAAAGGCAGCAAAGAATCATGCAGTAGATGAAGTTGAAAGCACTCGAAATCAGGTGCCTTCTGCTTTATCTCGGTCTGGACGAGCCGTTAAGTTGCCAGGTTGGCTAAGTAAAGATGCTCCTCAAGCTGGAGATGTGGAGCTGTCGCCGAAACGTAGTCGCAGCAAGTCCTCTCGAAGCACTCACGGTATGGAGCCGTCGCCGAAAAAGCTAAAATCCAAAGTAGACAGAGAAGAATACGAATCACCATCATCTTCTAGTATACCTTCTCCTCACGCCGTTAATGGATATTTTGCTGCTGCCTCCATGCGTCCAGGATATATACAACCTCTCTCTCCGATGTATTCATCGCCCCGTCCCCAACAACCACAAGGACATATACAGGCGCCACCTTACACGAACGGTTTTAATATGCTTGAACAGCCGTACTACTCGAATAATGGTGTTTATGCATCACCTCGTCAACGGGAGCATCTTATTGACGAGTCACCCTTGGCCTTATTATCAACTGTTGCCTTTTCTAGACCCGCTTTACCTGCTCTGGACTCTCCTGTACAGAATGGAGTCTCGCCATACAATCGTAAGTGTGTCAGGGATACAATGTCTAATACCTGCTTTGCTTTTGTTTGCCTACTTTTTGGTTGACAATGTCTTTGGAACAGAATCTGAAGAAACTGTAAATTTGCCAACTGAAGTCAATCATTCTGATGTACAGCATGTGTCTGAACTAGTCAATAGCTCTGTCAGCAGGACGGATGAGGGGATCGTCTCAAAGGACAACGGAAATATGATGGACACTAAGGATATCCGTAGTAGAGAAGCTCCTGCCGAAAATGCGGTCAATGTAAACGGTGTTTTAAATCATGCGTTGTTGTAAAAAAGTAGTACTATGGTAGTCAAGCATAGAAGTTTGACGATTGTAGATTTTTTGCTGCCCGTTTATAGAATATATCTATGCTTGTTGCTTATTATTTATGCGACTGTATATGTGCCTGGTACGGATTCCATTGTTTTCTTGACGTGATCCGCCCATATTCAAACCAACTCTACCAATGAAAGCTCATCACAACTTTTTGCGAAGTCACGAATAATTCAAGCAAGCAAAGATGATGAACCAGGACGAAGAAGACGGTGGAGGACGACGTAGCAGACGCCAGCCCAAGGCCAAACAACTATCTCGAGCTGACCAGCTACGAGCATTCCGTGAAGCAAAGGAAGGACATGTCTCAAGATTAGATCAAGTCGAGGCAAGTTTATTTAACTGAACTCAATTGACATCGTGAACTGCCATAACTACAATGGATCTCATCGTTCTTTATAATTGAATTTCATACTGTCACATTGTATTTCTTGTTCTGGGTCTCGTCGCTGACATCAACTTCGCTAAATCTGACATTTTGACTTGAATCTAGCTGGGCCATGACGATGTCTTTGACTTGGCCACTGAAGACGAATATACAAATCTTGTACGAAATCGACTCAAGCAGCCTGATTTTGTCGTTGATGATGATGGTGCTGGGTATCTTGATCATGGTCATGAAGAATGGGATGAGGAGGAGGACGAGTATTCTGAAGATGAGGAAGAGGAGGAGGAGTTAGATGCAAAAGGTACACATTGTATTTTTGGTTGTAGTGTATACGTAAAGGATCTGATTGTAGATTTGGTGTTTTAGGAAAGAGGAAGCGAGACAAGAAGAACAAGAAGAAGAATAAGCATGCTGAAACGGAATTATCAGCCATGTTTGCTAAAGCTGCGCAGAATGCACCTGCTCCTAAACGAGATGCTGTAAGTTTCTCGTAAACCTTTTTTTGGTCTGATTTATGTACATGCACTCAACCAAAAAATGCACATATATTTTGCAGGAATCTGCTGCCCAAGATGCAGCAGTACTTGACGACATTCTTGGAGGCTTGGACGATGAAGATCAAGGAGGAAGTGCTCCAAAACGTTTGAAACCAAATCCAGTTGCTGCTCCAGCTCCCAAAATTATAGATGCTCGACTCAACCCATACCGTCGTCCAGACTCTAAAAAGAGCGCATATACCGCTGCCTATGAAGCCAAACTCAAAGCCGCAACACTAGCTGCTAGTACACCACGACCATTCATGCCTACTGGCCGATTTAGTGGAATGGGTGCATCATCGAATAATGATAATAACGATGATTCTGGAATGTATGATGACGATAATAATATGGATGTTGATCAACAACAGCAACAGGAAACAGAGCATTTACCTGGAGATGACGATGATGGTACATCGGCGAATGAACCAGGAAAGCAGAAACCAGTACCGAATCCTCAAGCTGTAAAAGTACGCGCTATACAGACTCGAGGTGCTGCTGGTAGTAGTAGTGGTGCTGCTACATCCTTCGTACCTAAATTCGCAGCACCGGCTGCTTCTATAGTTAAACAAGTCGCCATTCCAGGTTTACAAGGATGGGAATCTATACGTGATTCAGTAAATATTGAACCTACCCTTCTTGTACCTACCTCTGTGAACAATACTTTGGCTACCGATGGTAATCATGAGTTGTTGGAGGAGGATGGTAGTTTGAAAATGTATTGGTTTGATATGACTGAGGTTAAGAATGTGGTGTATGTGTTTGGCAAGGTAAAACATATATGTCATGAAACTTCTGTTTTGTTTGCTGCTGTTCTGACGTATTTCTTTTGAACCCACATTAGGTCTATCATCGTACACAACAAAAGTACATAAGTTGTTGTGTTGTTGTCAACAATATTCAACGTAATCTGTTTATACTGCCACGTAAACGTGAAGTTGACGGTATGGACCCTTTTCTACGACCTTCTCATTGGTTTTGCTCTGTAACGTGTTTCCTTTACCGGCTTCATTTTTTGCTCATATTTTAGAGGGAGGAAATGAGACAGACGTACAAGTTACTTGGGAAGCTGTCCATAATGAATTCAACAATATACGTCAGAAGGCAGGAATCACAGAATGGGGTGTCAAACCACCAGTCAAGAGAAAATATGCTTTTGAGATTCCTGGTGTGCCAGAAGAGAGTGATTACATGAAGGTTTTGATGGACTTTAAACGTAAGTATCCCATCCAACTTTGCTCGGTTTTGTTTCTCTTCATGCTTTGGTCCAATCAGTTTCTTTTCGGACCATCCAACTTGTCGTCGCTAGAACCCGCTTTACCCGGTGATCGCAGTGGACGTACATTTAGTCACATATTTGGTACCAATACGTCAGCATCTGAGCTCTTCATTCTCAAACGCAAGCTCAAAGGTCCTTCTTGGATTATCATCAAGGACGCTCAACTCAAGACTAAACTGCCTGTGAGTTGCCAGAGCCGTCGAGAATTCAAGACTTCTATTTAATTTCTGGCTTCTTTTTTACAGACTTCGTGGTGCAAAGTCGAAGTCGTGGTAGATGATCCGAAAACCATTAGTGTTTTGCCACCGGATCAAGCTGGCGATAAGATGCCTCCACTGGTGGTTATGAGTCTCAATATCAAGACGGTCTATAATCATCAAGCTCGCACAAATGAGATTGTCATGGCTAGCATGACTGTCTTTCCAAGCGGTATGCGTCTCTGCTGTGCTTCTGTAATTTTAGGCCGTGGTCTAACATCATCTGGTTTTTTTGTAGTCAAACTTGATGAATCACCCGCTTCCATTGAGAATCTCGCAGCGCATCGATTCTCAGTCATTCGCCAATTGAATGATGTTCCGTTCCCTGTTGGATTTGATAAATTGGCTCAAGAGCGAAGGAGCAAGTTGGAAATACAGACCAATGAGAGGGCCTTGTTGAATTATATGCTCGGTAAGAAAACAGCAAAAGACCCCAGACGACAGTTCACAGTACAGCTGACTTAATGATGCCATGACTAGCTGTCTTGCATAAGATGGACCCAGATGTCATTGTTGGTCACAACTTTCTTGGATTTGACCTTGATGTGTTGCTGCATCGTATGAAGGCTCATAATGTCAGTGAATGGTCTCGACTTGGTAGATTACGACGAAAAGAGTAAGTAACTTATGCACCTTCAATGCGTAACCTGTTTTTTGTTCGTCGTGGTCATTGGTAACTCCCTTTTTCAGATGGCCCAAGTTACAAGCTGGTGCTGGTGGCATGGGAGACTCATCCTTTTCAGAACGACAAATTGCAGCAGGTCGTTTGATTTGTGATACATACCTGGCTGCCAAGGATTCAGTCAAATCTCGATCTTACAGTTTGACTGTCCTTGCTCTGTCGCAACTGAAGGTTGAACGTGAAGAAGTTGATTTCGACAAGATTCCTGAATACTTTTGGGATGCTCGACAATTGATAAGATTTGTCGACTTGACTGAAACCGATACTGTGTTTGTTGCTCAACTCATGTTCAAGTTGCAAGTTTTGCAATTGACCAAGCAGTTGACTGAATTGGCTGGAAATTTGTGGTATGTGTAATATTCATAGCGGGAAAGACAGATTTTTTTAGCGAGAACTTGCCACGTGTTAACGATGCTCACGCCCTAGGGTTCGTACTATGACTGGTGCTCGAGCTGAACGAAACGAGTATCTTCTCCTACATGAATTCCATGGTCAAAAGTACATAGTGCCAGATAGGTTCTTTGGAAAAAATGCCAAAGTGATTGTGGATCAGGGACAAGACGATGATGATGGTATTGAACCCAATACCACTTGTGCTTGCAGACATATGTGTTCTCATTTTTTTGTTGATTAGATGATGGTGGTGGAAAGGATGGCAAGAAGGGACCAGCAAGACGAAAACCACAATATGCCGGTGGTCTAGTTTTGGAGCCCAAGAAGGGATTCTACGACAAGTTTGTCTTGTTGTTGGATTTCAACAGTTTGTACCCATCCATCATTCAAGAATTCAATATCTGCTTCTCGACCGTCACTCGATCATACGAGAAGGATGTATGTGCTTGTAAAATGTCGTCGTGTTACGAGTGGTTCCTTATTTTCCTTGTTTACATTTTGGCCATGTTTAGGGAGAAGTTGAGATACCCAAAGAGCCTAGCAAGGATTTACCTCAGGGCATTCTACCACGTCTCTTGGCAAATCTAGTGGCGAGACGTCGTAACGTCAAGAATGCTATGAAGGGTGTTAATCCAAATGCGCCTGAATACGTCAACGTATGAAATGATCCGTTTTGTACCCTGTCTTGTTTTTTTGACTCACTTTGCACTTTGATTTCCTGAATCTCTAGTTGGATATTCGACAAAAGGCACTTAAATTGACTGCCAATAGTATGTACGGTTGTCTGGGGTTTTCGCACTCTCGCTTCTATGCCAAACCACTGGCAATGTTGATTACTTCAAAGGGTCGAGAGATCTTGCAAAACACGGTCAATCTTGCTGGAACTCTCAACTTGGACGTAGGACAGCAACAAATTTCAAAATGCCAAGCAATGAGATGGTTGAATTGATCGGTTCGATGTTCTTATTTTTAGGTCATTTACGGTGATACCGATTCCATCATGATTTACACAAACAAAGACGATTTGAAGGAAGTCACTAAAGTTGGTGATGATTTCAAAAAGGTCGTCAATACGAATTACAAGTTGTTGGAGATTGAAATTGATGGTATTTTCCAACGCATGCTTCTTCTCAAGAAGAAGAAATATGCTGCTCTAGTCGTGGAGCAGCAACGAGATGGTGGCTATGTGACTACCTTGGAAATGAAGGGTTTGGATTTGGTTCGTCGAGATTGGTGTGATTTGTCTCATGTTGTCTCGCAGTAAGCATGGTGTTTGGAAAATAAGCAAAAAAGTACAGAGCCCTAGATTTCGTGATCTAATTCGAATTCAATTAGATACGTCTTGGATCAAATCATGAGTGGTGAATCTCGAGAAGTGGTTGTAGAAAAGATTCACGAGTATTTGAAGAATGTTGCTCGACAAGTTCGTGAATCTATACCTGAACCCATTCCTATAGCCCAATATGTCATCACCAAGGCATGTCTCCGCTGTAGTCAACAGATGTCCACTTTTCTTCATACGCTGAACCTCCTGCTTGTTGTTGTAGGGCTTGACCAAAAACCCTGAAGACTATGCTGACAAGAAGGCCCAACCACATGTCATGGTTGCTATGGCTATGAAGGCTAAAGGAGTTGGTGTTCGTGTTGGCGATACCATTCCCTATGTCATTTGTATCGGTGAAGATAAGTCACCAGCTGCTCGAGCATATCATCCTGATGACGTTGAGAAGGCCGGGTCTACTCTGAAGATTGGTATTTGACGTCTTGAGAGTTGTTCCTTTTGCCACTGCGAATTTTAAACTCGTCTCGTTTACAGATCTTGAGTATTATCTTGGATTACAAGTCCATCCCCCTGTTGTTCGTCTGTGTTCTGAAATCGAAGGAACATCGGCATCACAGCTTGCTGATTGTCTAGGTACGCATTCAACCTTTCCCTTATGACCTCTGTTTTTCGCTTTGCGTTTTCTTGGGTTCTTAATCAGCTGTTCATTTCGAATCAGGTCTTGATGGCAGCAAGTACAAAGATACCGGTGGATCGAGTGGTAATACGGAAGGAGAAAATCTTCATACACTCGAGTCGATGATCAGTGATGAAGAAAAGTATCGAAATGTGGACAAGTTTATCCCTCTGTGTAAATACTGCAAGACTCAGCAACGGTTGGATCCTCTTGTTCGAAACAAGGTACTGCACGCTTACATTGCTCCTTATGACCGGGATTTTTTAGCTAACCTTAGTGAAACAAAATGTAGGATTCTGAGAATCCGACATGTATTCTTATGTGTTCCAATGTTGATTGCAGTATGCCGTTACCCACAGCATCGCTTTATGCCCAACTGTCTCGAGAAATACGCGATCATATTAAAAAGTACCAAAACTCTTGGTTGGTTTGCGATGATGCAGCATGTCGTAACCGAACTCGACATATGTCTGTATATGGCGAACGATGTCTCAGGAATGGATGTCGTGGAGCCATGACCTTTGAGGTACGAGGCAATTCGACCGCAGCTTGTACTTGCTGTCCGCTGACCAACTTTTCTGTTTGGTAGTACCCCAACAATGCATTGTGCACTCAATTGGAATACTATGCAAACTTGTTTGATTTCGAAAAGTTTAAGAAGAAGCTTGAACGAGATAGTGTCAAGCTTGGTAAAGTCAAGCATAACTTTCTTTTCAGTCAGCTTTGTTTTGCTCATCGAATTCTTTTCTGCTTTTGTCAGACCGATTGACTGGCCTCATCAAACCATACACGGCCGATTTCCAAGAATTGAAGGCTTTAGTAGACGAGTATTTGGAAACCGATGCTCGTCGATATGTACAGTTGGAGAAAATATTTGCCTTCCAGATCAAATCGCTGAATGCTCAAAGGATGTAATTCACACGCACGGCCAAGAATTTATAAATTCTTGTTAAAGGAACATAAACCTTTAATTGTACAAGAACGACCTAAAATAGAACAACACGTATAAAACTAGATTTCAGCTAAGCGAATGTAAAGATATATGGATGTTTCATTTTCCAAACAACAGAGATAGCAACTATACAAAGGAATCATAACGGTAGTGCAAGCAAACAAATCATCTTCGAGCATCTTCCAACACTCTCAATATGGCGAGAAACAGGTTGAGCAAGTCAAGATACAACTCGACTGCAGCAATAATATATTCGTCTGGTGACAGACGTTCGAATATCATTTGCGTGTCATATACGATGTAACCGCAAAACAGAATGACGATGAATAGCGCCTGGAAACAACGATTGTTAGTTTTGAAGGCATTGAGCGAACGAATGGCATGAATGAACCTACCAGGAACAAATCAAACATCTTGTTGAATGGCAAAAAGATTTCAATAAATCCTGCAATTATTACAAGCCACAAAGACCCAAAGAGGAATGGCCCTAGACCAGTAAAATCCTACAGGTAGTTTTCAAACCATCAGTCTCGTCCATGCTACCTAAAAAACTCTCAAGTCAACCCTCCATACCATTTTCGATTGAAGTGTAAACAAGGTCAATCCAAAGAAGAGAGCGAATGTCAAGACAACTGCTTGGAGCACAGTCTCCGAATCATAAAATGTCACAGCGTTGCCCACAGTGTACGATTCAAGTACAGTAAATGTAAATAATAACCACATGTTTGTTGGATGTGATTTGCGCTTCCATATCAAGGCAATCAGGACGCCAAGTGATCCAAACATTGAGACAAAGAGCAGCCATGAATTATTTTGAGAGAAATCCTACGTTGATATAACACGTCAGAGCAAGAACAAGATTTCCGTGTTGGATTATCACGTACCTGAACAGCGGGAGAATACAAGAAGGCTGCCGAGAAGATTGTAGTGAGCAACAGTTGTGCAGCGAGTAGACTATGAGGATAAAGAATAAGGATTTTCAGACAGGAGTTTCAGACAGTTGGCTCAAACGTTCACTAAGCATTGTGGCTTCAATCCAACAAATTCGTATATCTGACTCCACACCCTTCCACAATTAAGCGTATTGCTCCTTGTGGCTACAAGGCACACATCCCAAGACCATCGAAAAGGCCGCTCCATATGTGACACTTACGAGTAAACCTTGCGAACGAATCCAAGTCTCACTTCAACTGAAGATTGAGCTACAGTCTGCCCAAACTTGTCAGCAGCCTGTCCCTCCAAATCTTCATTTTGGTAGTATGACGGAGCTCCTCCCAAGGGGGCATATCCAGAGCTGCCTGCTTTTGACATTGTTAGAAATTCCAGACGTTGTCGAGCAGGAAGCAGGCGGAAGAGATTGAAAGAGATAGTGCCAAATGCTGTGCTTGCCTGCTTGATATGTAGTTCCTGCCTCTTCTGAAGACAATCTAGATGCTTCAGCTTCTTTCTTAGATGTCATGCTTTTTGGTCGTTTGATTGCACCTGTTGATGGGTAAAGCAGATAGAGAAGGAGTAGGTAAGAGTGCTTGTTAACTGCGGAAGTAGCTATTGCTCTCTCTTACCTCTTCTTAGCTGTTCTCCGCGAAACTAAGCCTCGACCGTTTGCTTCTTCAAGAACGACGAGGAAGACTGTAATTTCCAAGATCAACACAACTACGGCACGAAACGTTTTCAGAACTAAAAGAAGTCGCGACGATTTCGCTTTGGTTTTTGACACGTCAACTCGCATACATTGAAAACTTTCAGCGACAAACACCTTGACACGTTCCTGATTACAACATACCAATATATATGTATTGACAAAGGTATAAATCATGCAACTCAACCAATCTACCACTGCCATTACTACTTTATCTACTCTTCCTTTTGGTTGGTGGTTGTTTGGCGGTTTGGGTGATGAGTTTTAGCATGGCTGTCAGTATTACCATTCACTTTAGCAGCACCGTTGGCCTTGGATTTTGAAGCACCGTCCTTCTTGTTGTACGTTCTCCTCTATTTGGTATAGAATGGTTGGTGTCTGTTCGAGGACGAGCTTTGGACCACAACCCGTCACACATAGACGACAGTAAAAGGTCAATGGAATATAGATTTCCGTCCGAACTCACATAAAAGTCCATGAAGAGCACCAAATAGCTGAAGAGAACGAAACTAGCAACTCCGGCGTGTAGATGGGGATCCGCCTTCGCAGAAAAAGCGTCGTTAGTCAACGGTTGAGAATTTGTCGCAAATTTCGAATCCGACACCATACCGAGTAGCAGTCAGAGATGACTGGGAAGCCGTAGTCGGTCACAATCCAAGGGAATAGGTCAGCGGCAAAAACATTGTACACCAAGAACCCTATGAGGGCCAGATCGACGACGAATTGGATTATTTGCATGCTATAAGGGCGGACTTAGTATCAGGTATTCAAGTTCAGACATGTTTGACTGTGTACGTACGTTGTAAGGTATTTCTTCCACCAAATTTTGATTGATAGTGCTGTAACGGCAAAGTACTAAGAAGAAGTTTTAAGTCATCAGCTGATATACCAAATCGTTGACGCGAGGAGGCCCGGCTCGTCCTTACATAGTACATTAGGACGTGGACGAATAAGTTGATTAAGATGTAAAACCAGAGACTAGATTGAGGCTTCACGACAAACATAAAGGCCATTAAGGCGGTCTAGTAGAACACTCGAATGTGAGCTAGTGAATAAGCTTGGATGAAGTCAAATTCTACTCACTGCACTGTGGTGGTATACGTGCAAGAACTCCAGTGGTCGTTTTCTCAAAACGATGAAGGCGGTGTCTATAAACTCCCAAATCTTGAATAGGAAATTGAAGTAGTACAGCAACTCCAAACGAGGAGTGTATGCCTGAGGTGGAGAAACGACGGTTGGTTTCACTTTCAACGTTTTGGACACCGTTGGTTTGCACATGGATGCACAGTTCCAAATCGTTAATATGTACCTCCTTGTTACAAACTGAATAGTTTAAACCCCTTTCATACAGCATTGGAATCAGAGGTTCCATAATCAGCACGAAGAGTATTGCTGATGCAACCGACATGATAAGATTGTGTAAGAAAATCGGAACTTTGAGCACGAATGGCTGGTAGTTCTTCATGATCTGTTTGCCACTAAGCATTAAGGCAACATATCCTACAGTGGTGGCGACTAGATCACCAAAAAAACAAGTCAGCAATTGATGCATGATCAAAAGCTCTAGTTTTTTGGTCTAACTTTGAGCCGCTGCAACACTCACAGACCACGGGGAATGTCCCGAATGGCAGAGACTCGTGGAATCTGAAAGTATCTGCCGATGTATTGAAGGACTTGGCCAAGATAACGTCAAGCGCATCATTCACAGGTGAGAACTTCATTATGCCGATGCGATCAGTCCTCAATCAGTCAAATTAGGCCTCTGATAGCAATATTCAGAGTAGGTGGAGGTTTAATTAAATAGTTCGGAGGTGTTTTGAAACTTCTTTCTTTCAACGTTTTTCCACTCGGCAGGCTGGATTGACTCACTTTGTCATTTTGAAAATTTTGCCTTCTGATGGAACAATAGTCAATGGAAGGACTAGGAAATGGGCATTCTCCATCAGCCTGCCAAAACGACCGATGATGATGCGAAGTGCAGAAGGTATTCACATCTCGGTTGGGATAGTCCTTGTTTTGTAAGAAGTGTTTGCGGCATATTGCTTGGTTCCTTCAAACTTACAAACAACTGAAGAGGATAAAGTTAACTCACACACTAATTTATGCGATTTCACGTGGAAATCAATGTCATGCCGGTTCAAGCTCTGTGTTTTCCCTTCCATCAGTTCAATGTTACAATCGCGACGAGCCTCAACTCTTTACACTTTGAAGGCAACACGGGAGACATCTTTTTGATGGACAATAGTCAATTACAAGTATGTATTCTGTGCAAAAGTTAGGGTAGTGACACTCTATCTATTAGATCTTATTCTTCGTGGTTCTTGTCCATTTCGGGTATATCGCCAACGATTTTGGCAATCTAATTCGAACACAGTATGGGTTAGATCACATTGAAGACATTAGCGAATGAGGGTCAAGTGGGTGGAGACTTACTCTTATCTGCGTAGCCAAGTTTCGAGCAGCATTGGAGTGATAGTAGATGGCCCCATTGAATGATTCGGATACATCTCGACCAATAGACGATCGAAGGAAACCACGGCCGCCGGGATGCTCGTCCATGAAGCCCCCGACGTCGTAGACTATCCTGTCGACCACAAGATAGTCGTGCTTTTCCTTTTCTACGGCAGAGTGGACTAGAGAGGAGATTTCGAGTTAGTAAAGCTTTGAAGGCTCAAAGAGGCTAAAACGGACCAGCACATATTTATACGTACACTGTGTCCATTCCCACTCAGGCAGTTGATCCAGTGGCTTGCCCCAATTGAGCTTTTTTTTCAGTTCAGCAATCTAAAGAAGAAATGAGTTAGGATATTGGTCGAAACGAGCAAGTATGCGAACGTACCTTCTTCTCTTGCATTTGTATTCTGCCCTTGACGATTTCATTTTCTGGGAATTGTTTGAGATTGTAGGTCAATCCAACCCAGTACAAAGCAGTAATCAACCATTTCGTTGGGTCATATTGCCAGAATAATACGGCATTTCGGTAGTCGGATGGGAATTCGTGGTGAAAGTTGCTAATTAAGATGAGTGTTAGTCAGCAGTCAAAACCAATAGACACACCCAAGCAAATCAAATTCAACTTACTGGTATCCTTCACCAAAAGTCAGTATGGCAGTTATGAAGTGATCTCTTGGTGTCCTTCTGTCATCGTATGATGCTTCACCAAGATAATGTGCCAAGCTGTTTACACAGAAGGTACCGTGATGGACTGCAAACAGACGAAACATGGAAGCGAAGTAGAAGCCTCCCCAAAAGTCATTCCATCCATAGTGAGCAACAAGAGTTGGGAAAACCCAGGCCATTATTGGAGCAATTATCAAGTAGTTCTTGTGCTGCCACATGACAAGGTTGTCGCGATTGAGATCTGATATGTCAACACGGCCAATAACTTTGGGGTCTTGTCTCATTATGAGCCATCCGATGTGAGCCCAGAAGATACCTTTGTCGGCACCGTAAGGATCTTTAGAAGTATCGGTATATCTACAACGATGACATTCACGGTTAAGTTAAGATACAGTTTGGTTGAGACTGTGAAGTTGCAATCTGGACTCGCCTGTGATGAGCTCTGTGATCTCTCGACCACCATCGAATGGATCCTTCCTGTTTACGAGAGTGCTGGTCAACATCAATCACCACCAAACATCCAAGTGCATCAAACGTCAATTGTCAACATTTGCACTCATACTCAGCCATCAGATTGAGATCAAGAGCAACACTTACCATGGCACCTGCACCGAATAATGCAAATAAGACTTGAACCGGAAGCCTGGCGTCATACGACTTATGTGACCAAAGACGGTGGTACCTTTTCATAAAACAAGCATAGTAGTAGTTAGTTAAAGGCCCATATCGACATTTTCTATGCCATCGGTTCTGTGAAAGAGACCTTTCAGACCATCAATCAAAAACGGATGCATACCCTGCAGTTATAGAAAGACCAGAGAGGAATATATAGGCGACAGACCAGGCCAGAGTCAGTGACGTTAATTTTGTTGTAAAGCACCCATAGAGTCCCAGTGCTGGAGGCACTGTGAGAATGAAGACATGTAGCCAGTTGACTTGATTAGCTTTTGGAATATGCATTTTGTACATTTAGATCTTGGTATAAATGAGTTTTGGAAAGATGCAAGCGCAGAAAATAAATAGCAGTCGGAGGGCAGATTGAGTCATACAGGCTGTTTTGTATCGCTCGCCAAGTGGCTGAAATTTTGCCCGTTTTTTTAAATTCACAGCCGGCTGGAGTTGGAAAGAAACTAACTATTGGTCACCGTGACAGTTCGGAGATCGATAACGCTTGGCCTCTATGACTTCCGTGACGAATGGATAATGACTGGGTCCAATGTAGACCCAGCCCAGCAGCTCCATTAAACACGAAAAGGCAGTTTCTGCAGTTTGTTTTCGGCCAAGTAGAAATGTTTTGAGATATACACTTCAGTCGACCTTGAGTCCTCAATCGGTGTGGTTGCTAGAATGGTTTGGTATGTAAGCCGATGCCCACGCAGTCATCCACTTCATCTTGGTGGGATGACATTGCCTGTGAAGTAGAACAGCATCGGACGCAATTCCCACTTAAAGGAGTTAGCGGGGACTGCTGTGCCTCTTGAATAATCGGTTTTCGCGGCAGACCCCGTGCCAGCATTGCCACAGACATTTCAGCTGTTACACCTTAGTGTCGAATGGTTTATAAAACACATTTTCGTTCATTAGACCACACTGTTGAATGAACCTGCCTTTCGAATACTGGAATTTCAAAGACATCATGACGTCTATCATTGGAAATCGGAATCGAATGTCCGAACTTGGTATCAAAATTGTTGCTGATTTTCTCAAACTCTGTGAGCGTTCGTCAACTACATTTTACGAGCACAATTACGAAAAGCTCCACGCTATTCATATACACTGCCATCGAAGCAGCCCTCTCGTGAGAGGAAACGTTAGAGAGACTACAGTCCGTGATTCTGAAACTTGGGTCAAGTGCTTTGCCAATCTCGCTGCTATAACGGTGTGAGCCGATTGTTCACCGTGGCAGAGAGGTATCGAGACCATGATATCGCTATGCATTACTGTGTGCACCCCCTACGCTAGTTTTTTTGGTGGGCCTTTGAGGTGTTGGAGGAGTGCACATAGGCTCTGGAATGGCTGACGCCATTAAACTTTGCTATATAGTGGCCTGTACTCTTTCAACGTAACGGATGGCTTATGTTTCACAAGTTGTGGCGAGAAGCAGCAATGCTGTAGTTTGCCTGGTGGTCGGTTCGCCATCTCAAGGAAATTGGGCTTAATTGATAGACATGGCCCTCGCATAGAAATGCACTACGAAATAAATCCCGTCTCATCATTTCAGAGGTCTCATCATTTGAAGGAGTTCTTGCGCTTAATTTACTGGATCTGTCATGATCGACATGGTTGGTTGGAGCGTAGCGTATTCAAGTAACGGTGCCTCTGGTCAGTGAACACGGATATTATATGAGAAGGTTCATTTTACACATATAAAGATATTCAGAACGATTGTCGAGGAGTGTTTGACAACCGGAACGATTTACGCGCAATTTTTAGAGGATAGCTGCAAGGGCTGTTGCGATTCCAATGATCACAGAGCACACGCGACATTAGCCACTAGACACACGTGTGTTCACTTATTGGAAAGGCCTGCGATCGCATTGTATAATCCTCTGTCCCAATTCACTTTTCCCATCCCATTTTCAACGCAGCAGACAATCCAGCTCTCTCAGTTGTTGACGAACGGAACTTTACAGAACAACTGCATATCTAGCGCCCATAAAAATGGCTATTGCTCGCCATGAGCCACTGAATAGAGCCATGCCCGATGCATCTCATTTGCAGAAACCGAATCAAGCAAATTCCTTCACAAAACAGCACCCAGTCGCTAGTCGGCAAGAAGGAACATCCAGGTCTGTGGGAAGAGGTCTCAGTAAGTGATGTGCCTTCTCACTGTGACCCTTTTTGTTTATAACTTGGTCTAGGAAATCTTTTTTTCATTAGACATTTGAGTTTCTCACACTCTACCCTTCTACTAGGCAACCAAGGGAACACCTGTTTTCTGAATGCCGCGATCCAGGCCCTTTTACATTGTCCAGATATGCTCCAGTTCATATTGAAGGCCTCCCACAAATGTAAGTGTCCTTGAACGTTCCCTGGACAGTTGCACATGCCTTTTTTATAACACTGGAACTATTTCGACAGGTGCCAAAGGATGGTGTGGTTTCTGCTCCCTGAAGGCTATTGCTGCTGAACTTTTCAAGCCAACAGCAGGATCAATCAAGCCGGTGCAAATGTATCGCGGTTTGAAACGTGAGTATTTGCGCAACGTGTTGTCAGAAGAGATCCGTAGCCACCACTAGGGATTTACACTCTTCGTGACAACAGATATAATACCAGATATGCAGTGGTATCATCAAGAAGACAGCTTTGATGTTGTAAGAGGCCTGTTAGATAGCATTGCGACAAGGTAGGTCAAAAAAGCATAGAACAACATTTCCGAAATGCCAAATCAGACATACGTATATTCATGTTTTCCGTTTCCCTATAGTGCCAACAATACAGAAAATGTGTTTCATACCCTTACAGCCTGCAAATCAATTTGCAAGGTCTGCTCTTTACAACACGAAAGAATCGACCCTCAGATTTCAATCATGGTGGGCTTGAATGGTCCATCAAATTTGCTGGATCTCCTTAAGAAGGACATGAATGAAGATATGGCTGATTCCATTTGTGAAAAGTGTAAAGCTAAAGGACAGATGCGCCGTCAAACCTATATATACAAGCAACCAGCCATGCTGGTCATCCAACTGAAACGCTTTCATTATGTCGTCAAGAATGGAAAGCATATAAAGATTTCCAAGAAGGTGAACGTTCCTGAAAAATTGTGTATTACGGACTTGTTGCATGAGAAGGTGAGCGTGGTCTCAGTGTTTGCATTCTATGAATCTGCTGGTTCATTACTCATTTGTTGTCGCCACGTAGATTAGAAAGCAGGATGCTGATTACGAGCTTTCATCTGTGATTGTGCATCAAGGCTCGTCAGTCCACTACGGCCACTATTACAGTTATGTAAAGGGGTTGAAGAACAACGCATGGTTTGAGATGGACGACACAAATGTCTCAAAGTCATCATGGCAAGATATATGTAATGACATGCCATATGTGCTGTTCTACACAAAAGTCGTAAGTTGTCGCCGTCACGTTGATTTGTCGTTGGCCCATTGATCTGATTCATTTCTCGGGTAGAAAAAGTCCAAGGCTGAAGCAGCGTATAGATCACCGTCATTAAGCCCCGAGCATCAAGTACAAGCGACCGCCAACCAACCTATAGTTCCGAAACCAAAAGTAATCGAAATAGTGCCCAGTTTGATACCCACTGACAAGACAACTCCGTCTCCCAAAAAGGCACTCCTCTGTTTGTCTAACGAGGGTAAACCAACGGCAATAGTCACCAAAGAGTTGCCATCCTCTCAGAATACAGCCGCATCATCACCAATAAAACTGGCATCAATCGTGGTGGATCCCGTAACACCACCGCCGTCAGATGAATCCGATAACGACGATACTGCCGTCGCTTCTACTGGTACCTTGAAATTACTGTCGTCTTCTAGATTATTTAGCATGACACAACCAATACCAACACCACCAGCTTCACCATCGATATTAGATATGAATTACAGTATAACTATTAGGAATAGTACTAATGATTATAAAAAGCTCTTTACGGCGATGCAAGTCGATGGGGGAAGTCAGTGTATACCTTCTTTATCGACTAGGGTTGAAAGTCATTGTGGAGGAGAGCCTGCTTCTTCTATGGATGTAGATAGGGAATCCGTGCCTATGCTAGTAGCACCCCTCTCACCAAGAATACTATTAGAAACCACCGAAACTCCATTAAGTACCAGCAGTACTTCCATACCATCTAATGCAGCTCTATCCCAACCATCAGATAATATCACCGTAATGCTTGCCAGCCCCATACTGAATAACTCGAATGTATTTAATTTCGGATCGCATCACACTGCAACGAGCACTTCATTTTGGAAGGTGACTCCAACTCTTCTTAAGTCTGGCTCAAAGCGTCGTGGTGCTGCATCACGAGGACGCCGTGCTTGGAAGGTATCTGATACCGTTTCATGCACTGGTCGTTCTGACCCGATTGGGTGGATTACAACGTCGTCTCAGGAGGAACGTTCGGTGAAGAAGATGAGGACGGCTTGAGTTGAGTGAATATGAATAGGAAACTTTTGAGTAGGGGTCGTTTGGAATCATCATTTTCTTAAGTGGGATTATCTTGCGCTGATACCGGTTTCTTCTTGTATAAATGATAAATGGGGCTTAACTTCATGTCTAAAAAATATGTAACATTAACAAAGATCAATAACATAACGAATAGAAAACGGTTTGACGTATTTGAAATCTTGAACGCCTTTGGGTATGAGAGGCTTTTATGTTGGTGTTTCTACATGCGTATGGTACAGATTGACATCTAATTCTAATGAGGATCAAATTCAATTCTCTTCTACTGCCACGACCTCATCGACTATTGCTGATGACGGGTCTCCATTGGTCGTGGCACCTGACGCCCCCGCTGTGCTAGTGTTTTTGGCAGACAATCGTTTGATATAGGCAAATGGCCCTGCTCCAAATTCGCCAGGTATCAACACCGCCAAGATGAAACAAATACAAAACAGAATGCTCAATTCAGTAGCTCCACTCCAGCCATACTCGTCGTATACAAGTGGGCCAGAAAACGATCCGAGGAATGCACCTTAGGAGATAAGTGTGAAGATATATAAATATATATGTTGGTATAGACTTCAACCACTTCTTCTCATTACCTGTTGTACTCAGTACTCCAGAAACAGAAGACAATCTTGACCTAGCGCCAGGCGCGACCAGGAACGAGAGCTTCTGATTGCCTACACTGGATAATTGCAGTGCGAAATCCATTAATAGCATAGCCAGGCACACGAATGCAGGATGTATCCTTGAGAAGAAGAGCAACACAACGTTGGACGTTAACATGAGAAGACCACCTATAGAGAAACGTGTGAGATCCAAATTGGCTAGGCTGCAAACGTGTGGACTTTACCAATCATTCTAGCAGGAAAAGTTCCCAGCGCATCGACGGCGATTCCAGCAAAAGGAGCACTAAACGAGCCCACGAATCCAACGAGAGAGAAAAGCCCAATTTCTGATAGGGCGAAGTGTGAGTTCGATTCAACACGCCTGTAACCGAAACTTCGATACACCGCTACACTTACCAAATGGATTGTAACCGTAAAAGCTTGCCAAGAAGAATGGACTTGTTGACCAGTAGATCGCAAATGCAGCATTTCCAAATGCAGCTAGAAGGCCTATAGACCAGACCATAGGAAACTCTATTGGGACTGTAACAAGCGATCGTAATGTCTGGAAATACGTCTTATCCGAGGAGCTCGACACGGTTTTAGGATGTATACCGGGCACAAAGAAGAAGCCCAAGACGAGATATAGAGAGAGCAGGGCAACTGCCAAAACGAATGAGGCTCTCCATGTTCCAAAGTAACTTGCAACTGCACCTGACACCACTCGTCCTGCCAGCATCCCAGAAATCTGTCCTGACATGACTAGGCCCATTGATTTGCCCATGGTAGCAAGATCTGAACAGTCTTGGACAATCACGAATATCAGGAAATTTAGATAGGAGACTGTAGAGCTGATGAAACTAAAGGTGTTGAAAGAGAAATAGTCAGCGTCTCGCTATGCGGTGCTGAGGCTCCCCAAACTCACAAACTGATCTGAAACAAGAGCAAGTCCCTTGTGAAGATTCTAATGAGTGTTGCTCCCAGGTTGATCAGACAAGCCCAAAGCAGTAGAGATCTTCGAGTAAGCAAATCTCCTGTTGGCTGAATAAAGATTTGAGATATCACACCGCCAGCACCGCCTAAACCAAGCATGAAAGATACATCCTTCTGCGTCATATTCATATCTACGTTTAATAAGGATTAGATTGCCGTCGTTCTCTGAAGGTAGTTCCTAGATTCTAACCTTTTGCCAGTTCTGACAAGATTGGCGACAAGACATTGAGCGATGCGAATCCTATGGCCATCATAAACGACATCAAGAGATCAAACCTATAGGAATGGACGTGACATTGCGGGTAAAACAGTAACAGGGACACCAAAGCCTTACCACCATGGTCTAGATGCCTTATCGAACTGTGCTGATGAAGGTATAGGCATGAAAACATTGATTTTGGTGAATGTCTGTAGGAATGGAATCGGCTTGAGCTCTGCAACAGCCGACGCATCTGAATCCAACTCTGGCTGTGCAGGACTGATAGCTTCATAATCGAAATGCTGATCCGATTGTAGCAGTGGTCTAGTCTCTTCCTCGTTCGCTGAACTCATGGTTGCCTATCGTCCAATCGACTTCTAGTAGAACAAAATAGGAGGTTTCAAAACTCTGCACAACAATAGAAGTAGCTTACAAGACGTGAAATTCGATCTTGTAGGTTGACCAGACGGCGATCGCGATGTAGATTTACCACGCAAAGTGAAGGTGGAACATTGCAATTTCGAGCTAGATTCTGTAGATGCAACGGGTTTACGTGTCTTAATTTACAATATTATCAATATCTGCGAGTGTACGTCACATTTGCTCATTGGACAGTCCCTCTTTTCGCTCGTTGTTGTTCGTTTAAGTGCTGCTTGCTTGTTGTCCTCGGTACAAATCAGTAACTTTTAGGATTGTTTGTTCGCATCCACACATCCAACTCATTTCTAGCAAATAAGATGGTAAGTGAATAAGTGAATGTCTTCATCTAGCGTCAGAATCATCGAACATTCGTTATTATCTTACGAGAAACCGATGAGACCAGCTCGAACCGAGTATTGTCAAAGGGTTGGCCAAGGAAGATGTTAGCACTGCAATCGAAGAGAGGGAGGACAGTCGAACATTATGGAAATGCATCTCAAATCGCTTTGTGATCAGAATTCCCCTTTGCTACTACCAGACTTTCGTATTTGGCGAAAAGATTCAACATCAAACATTGTTGCTAACACAAATGACTTATAATAGGCAAAGGACGCTGAGAAGAGTGGCCGAAAGCCAAAAAAGTCGACCTTAGCAGAGGCACGTTCCTTTATATACCGTGTTTAGGCATATAGACCTAGATGAATAACGGTTTTGTGTATAAAACTAGGTTGTCTCACGAGAGTTCACCATTCACCTTCACAAGGCTGTATTTGGAAGGTGAGATTTGATAGATACAAATGAAAGTACACAGGTGGTCGACGTATCAGTGGACGAGATGGACCAGCAGCTGGAGATTGAGACAGATATGATGGAGTGCAGTAATCTGGAAAGATCCCAACACCAAACCTATGAATGTTGGATGCTCAGAAAGAAGCTTCACGATCTACCCAACTCAGCTCTTGCCGTCGAGCCCACTGAATGCAAGAAAGCACGATTTGCTCATCAAACTCTTGACAAACTAGGACATTCAAAAAACGTGCACCAACAGCTGTAAAAGCCATCCGTGCATTCGCTGAAAAGCACATGAAGACCAAGGACGTGCGTCTTGCACCAACTTTGAACAAGGAAATCTGGAAACGAGGAGTCAAACACGTACCACACCGAATGAGACTCCGTCTCTCAAGGAAGCGTAATGATGCTGAAGATGCCAAGGAAAAATTATACACATATGTTGAAGCTGTTCCAGTGGCTAAGTTCAAAGGTAGGTTGTTGGATTTTGTTGGTGTCATGGTGCGGTATCTGATTCTCCTTTCTTGTCTTTTCGCAGGTTTACAGACCGTAACCATCGACGAGTAGATTTCTTGTATCCATAAATATACGATCCTTTCACGCACCATTATCTCTATTTTTTGTTCTTGTTCTGCGCGTCACATCGTAGAAAACGAAACACCATCATAATTCTGAATATGTCTGGAGTGAACATTGATTCCCTTTTCAAGCTCCCAGCTAGACCTAATAAGAGGAAAAAACTGGATGATCCCGACGAGTTTCTAGAACGTTTAAGGCAAAATCAGGAGGATGAGGAGGTTTCGGCAGCGAAAATTGCCAAACACAAAGATGAAGAAGAAGACGAAGATGAAGATATGGATGGCCGATTTCATGGTGACGGATTGTCTGAAGAACAGCGCAAAATATTGGAATTGGTCGATCTAGCTGAAGAGGTAACCAACATCAAAAACAATGTTTGGAAATTGGACTCGCGATTCATTCCTGCGTCTGCTGATGAGCATTATTCTTTAATCATTATGAAATATGGATATGTCTAGGCTCCAGCTGCAATTGACTTGCCAACGATGCGTAAAATGGTGTTGAAGCTTGAGAAAAACATCACGAAGAACAACCAGATGCGGTCAAGATACCCTGATGACCCATTAAAGTATGAGAGCTTCTTTCTAATCAAACGCTCACATAAATGAACGAATATAATTTTTTTCTCGACAATAGGTTTGTGGAATCAGAGGCGGATCTAGATGAGGAAATCAAAAACATGACTGCCCTATCGTCTGTACCCGAGCTCTACCCAGAACTGATACAATTGAAGGCAGTGGACTCGCTTGTATCGCTGATACAGCACGAGAACACAGATATATCCATAGCATCTATCGAATTGCTGAATGAGCTCACAGATGAAGATGTAGTCGCCCAATCCTCTGAAGAGGGTGAATTGGGAATGAGTGCCTTTGTAAAAGAGCTTGTAGAAAAAGAAGTGTTGGTTGTTTTGACGCAAAACATGGCGAGATTGAATGAGGAGCAAGCTGAAGATCGGCAAGCTGTTTTCAATACCATCAGTAAGCTTTGTCAGTTCTCTCCGCATCACACCCAACTGACGCCTTCCGTTATTATAGGTACCGTGGAAAACATGATATCAATAGACCCCAAGATTGCCGAAACTGTAGTATCCACCACCAACTTCATGACGTACCTTCTCCAACGCATACGCCCGAAAGCATTCGACTCAAACAAACAGTATGCCAGTGAAATGTTGTCCATCTTGGTACAAAGCTCTAGACCTCCACGACTCAAGTTAGGAGAATTGGAAGGTGTTGATATCATGCTGCAAGTGCTATCACAGTATAAACGAAGAGACCCGCGGGATGCTGATGAGTATGAGTATATGGAGAATGTATTTGATGCTCTGTGTTCCGCTCTTGCGGAACCGGAAATCAAGAAAAAGTTTATTGATGCTGAAGGGCTCGAGTTGATGCTGCTTATGCTCAAGTAAGTCTTGCGCAAGCCAAACAAATAATTCGATGGAACAGACTTTCTCATCCATTCGTATACGCGTAGGGAGAAAAATGCGTCGAGAATGAGAGCATTGAAAGTACTCAATCATGCCATGTTGGGAAAAGATGGTAAAGACACGTGCGACAAGTTTATACAGGTGTCTGGACTCAAGACTATCTTTGCAGTCTTTATGAAGAAGGGTATCAAGCAACTTAAAAAGACATACAAACAGTATTCAGAGACTGAAGAGGATGGTATGAAGTTTTGAGGTCCTTTTCTTTCGTCAACGCGAATTCTAACCCCTTCCAACTCGTAGAACATGTGGTTTCCATCATCACGTCGCTGCTAAAAAATGCTCTGACTATCGATATCCGCCAACGGCTCCTGAACAAGTTTGTCGAAGAAGACTTTGAAAAGATTGACCGTCTGATATCCATGTACGAACAGTATACAGCCAAAGTAAGAATAGCTGATCAAGAGATTGAACGACAAGAGGAACGTCGTCAGAATCGTGATCCAGATGATGACGATGCTATGGATGAAGAGGAACGCAAGCTGGACTATTATCTCAGAAGACTAGATGCTGGATTGTACACGTTACAGTTTGTAGCGTATACCATCGCCTCGATAGTAGATGCTAGTGATGAGATTCGAGAGGTTGTCGTCAAGGCATTGGAAAAGAGAGGCAGTTCTCTTCAAGAGGTGAGTGGCGTTGGTGTCATGAGGTATTTTGGCCGCTTACTCACATTTCGACAAACACACTTTAGGTTGCTCTGATATTAGATGAGTACGCGTCTAATTTTGGAGATGGGAATACCGATGCAGCTCAACAACAGGAGGAATCTGTGGAACTGAAGCGACTGGTACAAATGCTCAACCCTTCATTAGCCGAATAGTTGTAATATAGTATATTACGAAAGAATAATACATGCACGAACATAAAAAGAATGTCTGAAGAGTTTCCAATGCGATCTGCGTAGAAATTACGTTGAGGTTGCAAATCACTTTCTATCCAATGGTACTTCCTTCACCCTTGCTAGCCAAAATCAAAAAGAGAAGAGAGGAGATGTCTTCAGTCACATCTGTGGCAAGAGGTAAGCACAGCCGCCGTCGAATTGGCCTCTTCTTCAGCATCGCATTGCCTGTAAACCAGGATGTTTCCCAAAATTTACGGGAAGAAAAGCGATTCTTCATTTTCTGTTGGATAACTTTTTGGTCAGGAAAAGAACGATCAAGCTGATCTATATCTTCTCTAGTGTATGCCAATGTCAATCAGGAGCAGCCTCGAGACTACTGGGACTACGACACTCTCAACATCTTGTGGGGGTAAGAAATTGTACCGTTCCCATCTAGCTCCATGCCACGACGATTTTAATGAATGTACTTTTAATTAGCGGCCAAGAGAACTATGAGATTGTACGAAAAGTCGGCCGAGGCAAATACTCTGAAGTCTTTGAAGGAATCAATGTCGTCAACAATGAGAAATGTGTCATCAAGGTCCTCAAACCAGTGAAGAAGAAGAAGATAAAACGAGAAATCAAAATCTTGCAAAACTTGTCGGGCGGTCCAAATATTGTGCAGCTTTTGGATATTGTGCGAGATCCACAAGTGAGCTTGTATAAAAAGAGTTTTTTTTTTGTTGCTTCGTGGAATGGGCTGATAACCGCTTGGTTCTATCTAGTCGAAAACTCCCGCATTGATATTCGAATACGTCAACAATACCGATTTCAAAGTCTTGTATCCAAAACTCACGGATTATGATGTTCGATACTATATACATGAGTTGCTCAAAGTAGGAACAGCATCAAGTTAAACACAAGCATTGGAACAGGACTGACAAACGGGTATTTATAGGCTCTGGACTTTTGCCATTCTCGAGGAATCATGCATAGAGACGTCAAGCCACACGTAAGTTGTAGAGTGCCTGGCAGTGGTGTTTTATCTTCTCATCTTTTTTTGCCATCCTAGAATGTGATGATTGATCATGAGAAGCGAAAGGTTTGTCCCGCTGAAGCACCTAGCAATAATTTTGGCAGTGGACTTACGTTTTCGCTTACTTACACAGCTGAGATTGATTGATTGGGGCTTGGCTGAGTTCTACCATCCTGGCACTGAATACAATGTGCGAGTGGCGTCACGATACTTCAAGGGCCCAGAACTGCTAGTAGATTTTCAAGAATATGACTACTCGCTTGATATGTGGAGTTTGGGGTGTATGTTTGCCAGCATGGTAAGGCCTGTGTGTTGGTCGCGAAAGTTTTTTTTTGTTCGTGTACTTAAAGGCATCGAATCTTATCGCTCTGCAGATCTTCCGAAAAGAACCCTTCTTCCATGGTCATGACAATTACGATCAGCTCGTCAAGATTGCCAAAGTATTGGGAACTGATGAGTTGTTTGCATATCTCGACAAGTATGGTATTGAACTTGATTCTCACTTTGATGAAATCCTTGGAAGGTGAGGTTCTCGACTAATTATAGCTGGCCAACACCTGTCGATGGCTTCGCACTTACTCCTTTGTTCGCACTTTGAGGTATCCACGAAAGGCCTGGACGAAATTCATCACTACAGAAAACGAAAGATATGTATCTCCGGAAGCCATGGATTTCCTCGACAAACTATTACGATATGATCATCAAGAAAGGCTAACACCACGTGAAGCCATGACACACCCATATTTCGATCCAGTCAGGCAAAAAGAACCTGCTACATGATATTAGCAAAACGCAATTATATGGCCTCGCTTGGTTTGATTGTATATTGATTATCCTGGAGGTTTTTATCCAGTATTTAGCCAGCAAACGCATGGCGGTGGTTTGTTGTGGGCGTTCCCAGTTGTGGTAACTTGTATAAAATTGCTTTTCAATAGTAGATCTGATCTTGCTCAAGTCGTTTGGGTTGGTTCGTATGTCATGTCCGGAAGTTGCTGAGTTGTCTTCTGAAATTTCAGGGTTGGTTGATGGTGCATCTGCTTCAGATTCTAAGGAAGAATCAGGAGACAAATTGACGAGGAATGAAGTCCTGGCCAATAGTCTGTTATTCTTGACTGCCGGAATTAGTACATCGGCACGACGTAAACATTATGGGAATTGTCCGCTCGGTTTTTTTGCTGTTCCTGTGCTAAAGCTCTGGTTGATTTTGGGCATGGCATTACTTCTCATCAGTCTCATTAGAAACCCAGTCCCTTACAAGAAGCTACAAAAAAAGAGATTGATAGTGCACCAGTGGACCCATCAACTAGCAATATATCACCTGAAGTCTGCAAACAGCTTGCATGGTGAGTTTGTTATGGATCTAGTGCTGTAATATGTTAATATGATGCTAATCTTTCGTCCCTCTAGCATGTGTCAACGAAAGTCCGAGACTGTATCGATTTACATGGATAGTGAGGTTCTTGAATCTTTATGTCCACATAGCTGAATTCTTCTTGCCCAAAGGGACTGGTGTCATCACTCCTTTGTTTGTATTGATGAGGGACCCAGCTACATGGTAAAATCCAGACTCATTCATCCCAGATCGTTTCATGGATGGATCAAGGAATGATAGTGCTGATGTAAGTCACTTCATCATTCAGTGTTCTCCATTGAAGCTTTTGTTTTACTTTTTCTTGCCTCCTCCATTAGTCTTGCCATTCAGTGGGGGAGAGTACAATTGCATAGGTCACAACTCTGCTCTATCCGTGGTCAAGATCTGTACGGCCAACTTGCTCAGAAAATTTTATGTTGAGGGCGTGGATCCAAATCATTCTATGGAGCTTGTTGTGGATGGATTTACTACATTGAGGCCGTTGCCGTACCTTATGAGAGTACGCAAAAATCGACGAGCGGAGGAGTAGCGTACATAAGATTGATTTGTTGGGTGTAACGTTATGTATATTTGTTGTCACTTTAAGATTGTATCTATATTCTCTATATTCGTCGCTTCATAAAGGTGACAGGTGAACAGTTACTTTTCTCGTCGTGAATACGACGCTTGATTTGAAAGTCTTAGGAAACCGTAATAAAGGTGTTTGCCTTTGCATTGTGCTACACATATTTTGTGGCCCACTTTGTTTGGCATAACCCTACAGGATAGGATAAACCTCAAACACCGTAAATGAATATCAGGTCCGTCGACAGGTCTAGCTGCTTTGCATCAAGGCGTGTTTTGTTGCTTGAAAATGGACTTTGCGGCAACTGCAACTTAATTGTGCCCTGGGCAAAGGTATGGGACTACAGATATTCCACTTGCGGCGAGATAAGACTCTTAAAGTACTATAAATACTGTAAAACTCTACGAACTGACTAGATTATCGCCCACTCATTTGATCGATCCAAGAAGCCTTTTATATTACCTGACAACCTATCACGACATGATGATAAGAGGAGGGAAGGGGCTGAGTGCCGTGTTGCAAGTCATAACTTACTTTTCAGGCAGATCTGTTACCACTTCAAAGCTTTTGTTTGTGCTTTGGCATTGGTTGCCTTCGCAACTGTCCGATTCTTTGGAACAGTTCATCCAAGCGAAACCCCTAAAAACCGTTGAACACGTTGGCCAACAATGGAGCTTCCAAAGAATGCAAAGATCTTGGTATCGAGTGGAATTGCTGCAGCTGTTGTAGTCAAGTTTCTCTGGTTTGTCCAAAAGACCTACGTGACAAGTCCGTTGGCAAAAATCCCAGGACCATGGTGGATGCCCTTGCTTTCAAGGACTTTTTCTGCGATTGCATGCACGATTATGGGATGGACGCTATTTCCGATGAGTAAGATATTTGGCTAGATTGTAATTTTTTCTGTGTTGCTACATTGACATTGTTACATCCAAAAATTTGACGATATTACTACTAGAGCTTTTACATGATCATCGAAAGTATGGGCCTATTATCCGTGTTGGGAGCACGTGGATAACAGTTTGTCGGGGGGATGTCGCGAAATACCTGCTCCTGTCAAATGCAATCGATAAGCCCGATTTCATATACAGGACTTTGCGTTACAATGAGTATGGTACGCATCAAACCAACCGAAATCGGCGTTCATATTAAGTTGAGTATCCTGATTTTGGTTTCCGTGTAGGGGACAACTTGTTGACGACGTTAGATCACGGAGAACATAAACGAATACGTAAAGCCATTGCCCCTGCTTTTGGAATTCAGCATTTAAGGAGGTACACTTCATTTGGCCTCAAATTTAGTTTTTTAAGCTCATCAAACGTTTCTTAGTGTTGAAGCCTACTTTGCGCAAAACTTTACAGTTTTGGCTAGTGTATTAGACAAGTCGATTGATGGCAGCCCGAATGGCGAAATCACTGAGGACGTATGGCAGAAGCTCAAACTGTTTATGGCCGATTGTCTAGGTGAATATTTGCGCCTGTGCGGCTGGAGTTTGTGACCTCCACGAGCCTCAAATTCGTGCTGGTTAATAGGCGTAAACGTTGCCTGACTCGTGAGGCCGATTGATTAGGTGATAGTGCGTTTGGAGGATCATTCGAGGCTCAGACAACAACATCGGGAGCTGCCAGAGTACCAGATTTAGCCTATGCCATATTTGCTAGGAAAGTGTTAATGGCTATTTTAAGCTTTTTGAAGTACTTCCCAAATCCGATTTTGAATGATGCCCATGCCAAGACGTCGGAGCTGGCTTCGATTATTGAGCCATTGATTGATGATCGTATTGCTGGAAAGTCCCGGAGAGATGATTTACTGCAAGGTTAGTGTGAAAGTAACTTGACAAGTAGACTAGTGGAAAGGAATTGTATCTCATTTCATTTTTATATTCTTGTAGTGCTGGTTGATGGTGCATCAGCTTCGGAAATTGAGGAAGAGTCTGGAGACAAGCTAACGAGAAATGAAGTAGTTGCGAACAGTCTTTTGTTCCTCACTGCTGGAATTAGTACATCTTCACGAAGTAAGTAACTGACATTGAAATTTCAGTTGTGTTTGCTCTTGTCCTAAGGCCCGTCTGTTTGGTTTTAGGCATGGCATTCCTTCTCATCAGTCTCGTCAGAAACCCAGTTGCTTACAAGAAACTACAAGAGGAGATTGACAACGCACCGGTGGAACCGTCGACGGGAAATATTTCGCCTGAAGTCTGCAAACAACTTCCATACTTGAATGGTGAGTTCCCTGGTACAAACATGTCTCTTGTGTAGTATGAGCGTATTGATACCCATTTTCCTAGCATGCGTGAACGAGACGTTACGAATGTTTGGATTCACATGGGTCGTGAGGGTATTGAACCGTGATGTCCATGTAGCCGAATTACTTTTGCCCAAAGCAACTGGTGTAATCATCCCCTTATTTGTGCTGATGAGGGATCCAGCTACATGGGAAAATCCAGACTCGTTCATCCCAGATCGGTTCTTGGACGGATCGAGGAATGACAATGCTGGTTGTAAGCGATCTATTCTCCGCTTGTTACCGTTTTTTGTGCTAATTCTACGTGGTTCCCTAGTCTTGCCATTCAGTACAGGCGAGTATAATTGCATCGGTCGTAACTTTGCTCTATCCGTGGTCAAGATCTGCATGGCCAACTTGCTCAGAAAATTTGACTTTGAGGGCGTTGATCCTAATCACTCTATGGAACTCGTCGTCGATGGGTTTACTACGTTGAGAAAATTGCCATATCTTATGAAAGTCCGCAAACATCGACAAGTGGAGGAGTAGTGTAGCAAGAATAATACTCGTGTGCATATATGAATCAAATTTGGTGCTGGCGTGGGCGTTCCCTTTAATATATCTATGATTTGTTTAACAAGACACATAAGAAGTTCCTTGGTTGTCAGAATGAGGATGCGCGATTTAAATTCTGGAGTGAAGCAATCTGTCTTAGTACGACAAGGAAGTCCGCTAGAAAAGACCAAACAATTCTAGAGAAGATCCAAACAATCTACCCCAAGGCAATAGTCTGCCATTCTCCAACACGTGGGGAGTGGAAACTGATAATACATCAATATCTTGAGTGGGAAGACACTTTTGTATTGCAAATCAACACAGAACGTGAGTTTATGAGTCAACACGATTCGTTGCTGCATTTCATCTTCAATGTTTAGAAGCTGCGACGAGCATTGGCGTCCATTGTGAACAATCTAATCGAATGGTTGGCATATGTGAGATTTTCTGAGATTCAATAATTGAGTGTTTCGGCTTCCCGTCTTGCTTCCTGACACTCTCTGAAGAGTACTTTGGGTATTTTCAAGCCACTTACACTGCTAAAACCAAGTGAGTAGCGTAGATGGGTGCATTGTTCAACTTGTTGTCGGCATAGTCCTTCATGGCCCGGACAACAGCGATCCAGTGATAAAATCCGACTGCGGTGGATACTTTAGAATCGAACGGCGTATTTGTTAGTTGCATTCGAAGATGTGTGAGCGTAATAGGAAAGCAACAGTGCCAGTTCACCTTCGAACGATGGGTTGTTTCTAGTCAAGGCAGTCAAGATGCCGAGAGACATCAATGAGCCTCCCAATAACCTATGGTTTCCAAGAGAAAGAGCGCCTTGGGACTCCTTTGGTGTAGTGGAGGCCTACAACACGAATGGTAAGACTTCATGTCCAATGTGAAAGCGAGAGAAGCTTGGTCCTTACTGGGTCGGCCAAGAAGAGGAGACCGGGAATCAGCTAAGGAATAGAAGCAAACGGTTAGCTTATCTTGTGACTACACGGTGTTGTTCGAAAGCGGCGTAATTCTGCTCCAACGGTGAAAATTGTGAAAGAGATTCTTGACAAAGCAAGCAGTGCAAGAGGCTACTGACTTCCAAGAATGCGTTGACGATGTAAGTAGTAGTCATCTTGCTGGTTTTTGTAGTTCGTTGTTTGGTTTGAAAGTAGAGAATGCAAGAAGGAGCAGTCACACGATGTAAACGATGCGACAAAGGATTTTCCACTTAAAGTTCAGTAGTATCAGCTGCCGGTGTCTAGATGGCTTTGACACGTCCCGACTGTGTCCTAGAGACCTAGCTGCTTCAGATCGTGGTGTGGTTTTGCTGGCGTTTTAAGGATGGTATATTTTTTTCAAACTGGCGTAACTGGCGTCGTGGACATGTGGCGACCTCACAAGACAATTTCTATGTCGAATATACGAGACAAAATTGATAATGGCTCTCCCTCGAGTTGGATCTTACTCTTTTTTGAAATTTTTCATTCAAAATTCAAAGAATCCAAATCCACATCAGATTCGCGAATATTGAATCATTGAATCCTCGCAATGGATATTGATAGTCCAGATGAGGATGTCCAGGTAGAAGTGTATTCGCCAGTCATGGACGACTCGGAAAATGAGCAGTTTGAACATGTCGAGATTCCAACCATCCCAGGTAAGAGCAACCGCGCAGGTCGATCCGAGTATTACTGTTGAATGCACGCCTTGTCCTTTTTCTTACTTGCTCTTGCTCTCTTGTTGCCTAGCATCATCAACATCAAACAAAACCAAGTTCAATCTCGCGGAAGTTCTTGACGGTGATGCTGATCATATACTTGTTGATGACAAAACGGCATTGGGCTCTCTCGGTGGATATGATACTCCTGATCCTGATGACGAAGCTGATGAAGAAGAACGTCCTCCTCCAGAAGGGTTTTGTGTTGAATGTGAAGATCAGCCAGCCAATGGTGTTTGCGATGTTTGCAAGGACGCTTATTGTGAAGTTTGCTATCAAGGTAACCATTCTTGATATTCGTTGGATTGTGTATTCACTGTCATTGCTTTGTTGAACTTCTGTATTCATTGCTTTGTTAAACTTATTTATTCATTGCTTTGTTAAACTTATGTATTCGCTGCTTTGCTAATTTCATTCGCTGTTCGCAGGACAACATCGAAAGGGAGCTAGACGACAGCATAAATTAGTCTTGTTTGCAGGTGTCCCAGCGTCTCAATCCATCACCAAATCAACCATGCCAACACCTAATATCAACAACAACAATAGCCATGCATCCGCATTACCCTCACTATCTGCCATGAACGGAGCCGCCAATGGTCAAGGTTCCAAATCACCAAAAGCTGGCTGGAAGTTTTCATTTGGATTCAGTCAAAAGAACTCGGCCCCAGACTCGGATGATGATGACATTGAAGATGCAGCAGATAGTGGAAGTGAAGCTCCTGCACCATCTATATCCACACGAGCACCGCTACTCGACGAGTATGTCGAGAGATCAAAATATATACCTCTTCGGCTCGAATACGGTGAACGCAAGTATGTGAGGCTCATCTCTGCTGCTCTCGATATCTCGGAATATACAGACAAGGTCGATATTCAGAGTTATGCAAACAAACCCAAACGCATTGTTGCTCAGATAAAAGAACTCTGCCAAATCCTTTCTGGTTTGGTAGTCAGTGCTGATTACAAGAGTAAGTCCTGTGTGTCTGTGTTTCGCTCAAGAGTTGAACTGACAATGCCCACCCTCTCGCATCAGTTGGACAAGAACTCTTCAGCAATCGGGACTTTGCAGACAATGAGAGTTTCTTTCAAAGGATATTTGAACTTGGACGACGCCATAAAGTGATGAATCCAGACAAAATGAGGTCATCTTACGGCAAATTGATGTATATGTTAATGGATTCACAAATACCAGAGATTCAAGAGATGCTAGAATTCAATTGTGTTACTCCTTTGCAGACCGTGCATGGTACTTTAAATGCCAAAACAGCCCTGAACGTGTTGAGTGATGAGCTCATGCCCGTGGCGACCGAAGAGATCAATCCAGAAAACAAGAGCCGTTATCAGGTATAACTCCGACAATTTGCTCGCTTCAACATAAGGAAATCGAGCGTTGCATCTGACATTCTTTTCAGATACAAGCAGATATAAAACGTAAAGAAAAATCTATAGAATTGCTCGCCCGAAAGTATGGAAGTGCCGATTGTAGCCCGGAGGTTATACGTACTTGCCTATATTCAATTGGGTACTACCACCAACTTTTCTGCTTGTATGCCTCTGGACGGTACTTATGTGTTAAACCTATCATAGAGACAACAATGCATTCTTGAGGCAAAATCGAGATCCATGTGATAAGATGCTCTACTATTTGACGAAATACTTTCACGCTGAGAAAGTTGAAAAGAACTATTCGCTGGCCATACAAGTAAGACTTAGTTCATGCGATCGACGTCTTATTACGCCCACGGAGCCCCCAACTCGAACATCTTTTTAACGAAAAATCGGTCCAAATTAGTCTGGGAAAGGCGGGGCAAGACTTACTCACAACCATACTCGTCAATTCAACTACGTCTTCCAATCTCTTACCCTCTGGTCGATGGTGTTGCATGAATTCTATAAGATGTGGATGATGGCCGAACTTGATCTACTTGACAACCAATCAATGTATCGTTTGAGAGACACAGGCCAAGGTCTCAATCGAGTTCAACATGCACCACGTGTGGGCCGTATGATGAACAATATATTGAATGCTGCACAAACCAAAGTGGGAAGCTGGGTTGGAAGTAGCGTTGTGCATCTCGGTATGTCATCGTCGTTCTCGTGAATGAATGAGTCTGTTGTCGAATGAGTTTCTCACACCATTTTCCTCAACTTAAGGCGACCACAATGTGCCTAATGCATTCATATTCATTGACAAGTACACTCAGATCTGTCGAATACTTGGGCCCATTACCCTATGTATTGAAAAGATTGGTGAAATTGCCAAAGATCCAGCAATTCACACATACATCAAAAATGGATATGGTTCGGTCGACGACTGCAGGAAGACTATATTACGAGATTTCTTTACACATGCGTTTGATGGCAGTGGTGCCGACAATTTCTTTGATGCCGGAAGTTGTATTGATGGCCGCTTGACTTCAGCATGGAATTGGTGTTCTAAAATTGAGTCCAAACCGTATTTCTACGTGATGCTCTTGACTGGATTTGTTGGATTCGATGGTACGTATGATTATCTGGTGAATCATTGCTTTTGGCCAAGATTGCTCTAGTATCCAGTTGAATTTTGAGCTAATAATATGACTATATCATTAGGTCAAATATCGTAGCCGGCTTTACTGCTGGGAATATAGAAGGGATGAGGGCACAAACTGCACAAATAGAAAACAATAGACTATAATTTTTATATTTATTGATCTGTTGTCTCGATGTATTTGCGAGAAGATACGACACGCGAAGTTCATAAACCTCGTGATTCCCGACGACCGAGTCTGTTGATTCTCAGAGTGATGTTAACGTAATGCCGTTCCTCTTTGATCCATTCGATCCCTTCTGCATGTGAGTTCTGACACCACCATCGTTCAACAACACTTTCGCAAAACCAACAGCCAAGACGAAGACTAATCATATACGAGGAGAATGTACATTACGTTTGAAGGAACTTGGCAGGAAGGTATGTGCTTATCTCGATCTATCACAGAACAAGCTGCTAGGCATTGTCTGTTGCATTTTCATTTGTCGCTAACAACAGCCTATACCGTTAATAGATGTGGCCTTGACTACTTCTTATCAAGATGTATTGGCGGCACAGAGTATTTCCTGGGCTGTTCGACAAGTATGTCTCTACTGTTTGGTTGTCATCAAACAATGAAGTGTGGTTAACCTTGACTGTTGCAGAACCAAGCACTAACACCACGCAATAGGTTATCAGGATGATTACTGTAGTTTACACTATTACTGATACCGAGACTACACTGGCTTCTACCGATGTCCAAGGTGATTGTGATTGTAGTTTGAATGTCTGGGAAATCACTGGAACTGAAACGCTTCGGATCTGTAGGAACCACCGAGCACTATACTATTGATTTCGAGTGGGCTGAAAGGCATCATCCGATCTTTGGTAATTTCAAGGATCGAATGAAACGCCTGGAAGATGGATCACTCTACCTTGAAGCAGTCAGTGAAGAATACCATTGGAGCACTGAAGGAAAATGGACGCTGGAAGAAGATGGACAATTGCTTGTGCGCTCGTATCATTTCAAGTCGCCCACACTGGAGAAGGATTTGAGACTTTGTTATCGCAAACAGCCTTAAATTATCGGCTTGACAGATGTCTATTTTATGTTTCATATCTGTAAATTTGTGTAGAGATACTTTAACCGCATATAATTAAAACTATTTAAAAGGATTGAGAGTTGTAAAACTACACGTCACAGTGCTTTTGCGTATGTTCCACTCCCAAAAAGGATCAATCCAAGAAAATGCCAGTAAAACCGCCTTCACTACCAAATACCACGATTCTAAACAAGGAGCTCTTCTCGTGTATCATCAATGTAACGGCTTTGCGTATTCCAGCTCAACGTACAAGTCAATTGGTTGCTGCACTTCGTGGGTAAGTTGTTCTTGAAGAAAAGTCTTAAGCTTGACGATTTTGAGGTGGTTTGAGACGCGTTGCGACACGTTCTTTATGCATTATCTTGTATTGTTAATCTTACTGTGTCTCTTTTATGTTAGAACTGTGCTGCGAGAAGCAGGCATCAAACCAGTCATTGACATTCCAAGTCACTCTACTGAACGAATGTTGTTACTTGACCCGGATGTCGTGCGAGAGCCAAGTGAGTTCTGATCTCGATTTGAACATGGATTTGATACCTTGACTGATTTACTCTCCTTATTGGTAAACAAAAAAGCAGATGTCCAGACAATGTCCCAAGCTCTTCAACAAGTCATTGCTAAGGAAGGTGCTGTGGTCACTCCTTACGAGCTTCATTTGACGTATGAAGATTGGACTTTTGGTATGTTTTACCTTTGCAATCTCGTAACGTATGCACTACAATGGTCGTGTTTCTAAAGCGACATTCTTGCGCTTAGAACAAGTCATTCGATCAGTGTTGCCCACCACAATGGACGTTCCTTCGTCTTTTGAGGGAGTCGGTCACATAGGTACAATGTGTGCTGAATCTTGCATTGCTAAAGCGGACCTAACATTCACATTTGTTCTAGCTCATTTCAATTTACGGGATGACTATTTGCCATATAAGAACCTTATAGGTCAAGTCTTGCTCGATGTACGTGTATTCGATTTCAATGATCAACATTGAAGTTTCCCCTCAATCACCTTTGTTTTTGCTTAGAAAAACAGACATCTACGAACAGTAGTCAACAAACTAGATTCAATTGATCACACTTTCCGGTTCTTCAAAATGGAGGTATTGGCTGGCGATGATGATTTTATGGCTGAAGTGGTGAGTACTGTGTGAAAAAGGCTATAATAGTGACGTGATCAAGTATTGAATTTTTTGCAACAGCACGAAAGCAATTGCAAGTTCCGCTTCGACTTTTCGAAGGTGTATTGGAACTCTAGATTACAGATGGAACATTCAAGGCTTTTGAGTTTCTTCAAGCCTGGTGATATTATATGTAAGTTTCCAGAAGATAGTGCCTGCGTCAATTAATTTGGGATGCCTGACCTGTCTTTTTCGCCAAGGTGATGCATTCGCTGGTGTAGGCCCATTCGCCATTCCGGCAGCCAAGAATCAAAAATGTACAGTGTTTGCTAGTGACTTGAATCCTAATTCATATGAGGCTCTAGCTGAGAATGTTCAGCTAAATAAGGTAAAAAACGCACGATGAATGAAGCACCAATTGTCTTTGAATTTGATCTGACACACAAAATCTTCACACTTGACAGGTAGAAGATAAAGTCGCAGCATACAATATGGACGCACGTGAATTCTTTGCCTTTTCATTGCGAGAATTGAATCGTGCTGATTTACGAGTATCAATGGCATCAAAAGCACCGAAACCAAGTGTGAGGAGATCCAAAGCGCAAAAGACGTCGGCCGATAATAGCTCGGCGCCATCCCAGATTGCTACTGATGCGGCCAAGAAAACGGAGGAGAGTCAAGTAGAAACAAATGGTGGTAAATTGCGGTGGTTTAATCACTATGTGATGAACCTCCCTGCTGCTGCGGTTGAGTTTCTAGGTGAGTTTGACGCAATCATTTCACTACTTGGAGGATTTTTTTTCATTGTGACTTTTCTTACACTTCACCCTTTTCACACCACAGATGCCTTCCGTGGACTCCTATCTGAATACAAGGATCAGATACCAACTGAAAAGCTCCCGATTGTGCATTGCTACCTCTTTACGAAAGGACAAGAGGAGGCCGAGAAGGATGCTGTCGAGGTGCGTTTCAAGTCTCGCGTACATTCTTGTTTAGAACGCTCACTTTTTTCCCTCCATTTTATTAGATGGTCAGCAAGAATCTTGGAACACAACTACTCCCATCAGATATAATCAAGATACACCGCGTTCGTGATGTATCTCCAAAGAAGGAAATGTTTTGTGTTTCATTTAGGCTTCCTGCTTTGGTTGCTTTTGCAGGTATGGTGAAAAAAAGTTGGTTTGACCGATTTCTCCCAGCTGATTTCGAGGTTCTGAAGTAATTCTCGTCTTTCCAATAGACAAGTGAAGCCAGCTACAGATGCCCTTTGCATGAATTCCCGCACACACTTTGTAGATAATCTCAAAAGTTTCGATGAACGCAGACTTGCCATTGTCGAATCAAATTGTGTGTGGTACTCGTAACCATCCAATGTCCAATCAAATCTCTGCTTCCTATGCGTCTGTTCCTCAACCAAAAGGCATCGGCTACTGTTCACCACACAAAATCGAGCTTATAAAATCACGAATTCTTTTTTTTAAACTTGAGCAAAAGCTTTTATCACATTTGATACCGAAATTCTTTTGGGACAGTTGATGAGAATCTTCATTTGGGACCTTCCGTTTAGTCGAGCATGATGCAGACGGATTTGACTAGAAAGTGAGAAAAAAAAGTTAGAACACAAAAACGGACGAAACACCAAGGAAGTGGTGGCATACTTTGGTAGTATTCCATAAGACCGTATTCACCGAGTTCTCGGCCACTAAGGTAGCACAAGGGGATTGTGTGAGTAATAAGTATCAAACATGAGCGACGATACAAAAACAATGTAATATGCAAGGTTTTTTTAGAACGAGTTGAGCGTACATTCCGGATTCCTTGTATCCACCTAAAGGACCATAAACGTATTAGTTAGTTTAATCGAATAAGGATGGTAACGTCAGAAAGCTGCGAGCATATTTTTATTGCAAGTGTCAGGAAAATGCCGATGGCAGTCTGAAAGCCATGGGCAAGTAAGCGCGTTTAAACATTCAAATTCTTACCGAATGGTTGTTGAGGTGTAAGCCTTAGGGAGAATGAATGTTACAACATGATTGAGTTGGAAGGAATTGCTTCTTGGAAACTGGAGACAAACTTTGCTTCCGCGCTTACATGTTGTAGCAGTTAACCCAGACAGTTCCAGCCTTGAGAGCGTTACTGACACGCATGGCAGTGTTCAAGGACTTGGTGTGGACAGCAGCTAATAACGTTTGGAAAAATTGTTAAAGTCTCACCACAAGCAAGTCCTAGTCTATAGGTTCCAAGCAATTTACAAAGAGTCACGAGCACGTACCAGCCAAACCAAACGAGGTGTTGTTGGCCCTCTTGATGACTTCTTCGATGGTGTCGAATTTGAGAGCAGACAAGACGGGGCCAAAGATTTCGTCCTTGGTTGTGACGGTGTCGTCTGTAACGTCAGTCAACAAGGTAGGAGCGACGTAGTAACCTATTATATACCGATGATTAGTTAAGATATTGATGAAAGATCTAAAACTCGCAACTCTCACCTTCAGTGCCGACTCGGTTACCACCGAAAGCGACCTGGTTGCATTGTAAGACACACATAAGAACAAATGGACAAATTATGCAAAGCGAAGGCCAAATGTTCACCACCGTACCTTAGCACCAGCCTTCTTGCCCATGTCAATGTAGTTCATGACACGGTTGAATTGGATTTCATCGACCAAAGGACCGTGATTGCTCTTGTCATCGAATGGATCAGCGACGTTGATAGCTTGAGCAACGGCAGTGAGCTTTTCAATGAATTTGTCGTAGATGGATGATTGGACAAAGAGACGTGACCCTGGAAAGAAAAATCCAAGTCGTTGGTGACAGGGGCTATCATCAAGAACATGGAACGGAAGCACTTACCAGCACAACAGACTTGGCCGTGGTTCATGAAGATACCGAGAGAGGCCCAGAAAGCAGCCTTGTCCAAATCAGCGTCTTCAAAGACAATGTTTGGAGATTTGCCTCCGAGTTCAAGAGAGACCTTCTTCAAGTTACTACCAGCAGCGGCAGCCATGATTTTCCTTCCGACAGCAGTAGAGCCGGTGAAGGCAACCTTGGAAATGTCCATGTGGGAAGCAATGGCGTTTCCTGCAGTTGCACCGTATCCTGAAAGGACATTGATGACACCAGCTGGATAAAACAAATGGGCAGTTAGATAAATTGCTTGAATAGACTAGTATAATGTTGCGGGACACTTACGTGGGAAGCCTGCTTCAACAACCAATTGAGTCAAGTATAACCCAGACATTGGAGTCTTTTCACTTGTCTTCATGACCAAACAGTTTCCGCAAGCCAAGGCGGGACCGTACTTCCATGCCATCATCAACAATGGCTGGATTGAAAGAAGAGGTCAGTTAGACTTGCTTCAATAGACTCATGCGATAATGCGGGATACTTACGAAGTTCCAGGGAATGATTTGTCCGACAACTCCCAAAGCTTCATGACGAGCTGTTTGGAAAACAGAGTTAGTGAGTTCTGACGATTGGCGTTTCTCCACCGTAAGTGTTCCGCTAACATACTGTAGGTTTGCAAGTTGGGGTTGATGTCTGCGACTTTGCCGGTGATCTTGTCGGCCCATCCAGCATAGTATCTGATGGAGGCAATTGCTCCGGGAACATCAATAGTTCGGGCATCCTTGACGGTTTTGCCGTTGTCCATAGATTCGAGTTCAGCGAGGACTTCAGTGTCTCGTTCCATCAGATCAGCGAGTTTGTTCATGAGACGAGCACGTTCGGAAGGTGTAACCTTGCACCAAACATTTTCGTAAGCCTCTTGGGCAACCTTGACTGCGACGTCTGTTGTAGGGAAAGCGTCACCGATATGAGTCAGTAACTTGACAGGGAAGATGTAACCGTGGGTAAGGGATGCTTGCCTACGTCGGCCTTGTCGGCCTCGAAGAAATCCACAATAACTTTGCCGTCGTGAGGATCGACAGACTAACAGAAGAAGGACGAGTTTGAGCTCAAATTTAAACTATAGTGTAGTTCACACATTCCGCGACGAGAGGAACACAACCAAAGGGAAATCCAATACGACAGACGACGGAATGGAGCTACATAGCCTTCAAGTCTGGTGCCAAGATGCATTCAGTTGCGAACTTACAGCAAACTTTTTGCCTGATACGGATTTCACGTATTTGTTTCCAATGAAGAGACCTACAATGAAGGATGATTGATTAAACGTCATAATCCTATATGATTCTTACTGGCAGCCATCATTCAAACCACGCCGCGTGTCTGATATGAAATCAAGAGACATAGGCAAGGACGACTCGTACCAGTCGGGACATTGTAGACTTTGCCACTCCTGTGAGTGATCTTGGCATCTATTACAGGAGTAGAATGGCCGATTAGTCGTGTTTAGCATTGGTTCGAATGAAAAAACACTGCCAGGTCATCGACGGCCAAATAGCTTACGAAGGTCGGTGTTCTATATGGGGTGGAGGGTGTTAGTCAAGATGAGAGATGATCACTGGGGCCGATGTCTTACGAATAGAGCTGCCATTGTAGTTTCGATTCTGTTTCTTAATGAGTTTCGTTTGGTTTTTAGAACGAGAGCTTGATCTTGTGACGTTGCACAGGTGTACTTCTCACTCGATTACGTACAACGTTAAAATGTCCACTACTTTTACAGTTATAATGGAGCGCTTGAACGTGTATCTGGTTGGTATCTTGATATAGCAACTTTCCAAATCGATCATGTGGTTGGTCTCTTATATATTCTCTTTGATATTTTTCACTAAATTTTACGTGATTCGCAAAGCTAATTTCACGTCAGGCGGCTATTTGGGAGCTCAATATAGTGTCGCTTAATGTGAATCGAGTATATGCATCCATTAGAACTTGTACGTGCTTGGAGAACTCGTTACTTTCGGGTGTCCGAAACCAAGAATATCATCATAGTGTTTTGAGCAAACCCCTGCTTGTACCTCGCACAGGGTCCTACATCAATTGTACGCATTTGCATATAAATCAAGCCTTGAAGCTCTCTTTACCCTAAGACCAGTGAAAAAGGTGTGGATTGCGGCATCGCGTCAGTCCAAAAACAAGTCGCAGTTGGCGAAATCACGAATTTTTGCTAGATAGGATGGCCGATCGCTTGCAGTTCATACATAGGCTTAAGCTATTATCTAGCTGTGGTATATAGCCCGTAGCAATAAGCTGAGACTTGTACTTGCTTGTAAGCTCACTTTGCACGAATCTTTGGGTGAACAGAGCGCAGAGCGTGTTGTGCTCAAAGCAAACTCCAGCAAAGCGAAAAATAATGACTCTGACAACGGTTGACAACGGTATCCAAAAATCCAATATACCTGGGGTACTACTTGGGGTCCGACGTAATCATCCAAGAAGTGGCTCAGGCGAAAATGCAACTTAAAACGAAACCACAGAAGAACGTTGCATTTGATCTAATAGTGAGGAGGTACAGCTTAACGCCTCTGGAGCACCTGGTTGTCAATAGCAGATATGGGAAAAGGAGCGTCAGACTTAATGTTTGCTACCCTGAGCTTAACGACTGAATCACCATCCAAGCTCCAATATGCTGCCCTAGAGAACGGAAAGCACAGTATCGAAGCATATCCGTGCCATCATCCTACTTCTCGTAAACTACCAAAGCAGCAAAAGGAAGTTCATCCGCCCAATTGGGTGCTTTTACTCACATATTGTAATTTTGTCGTTCTCTTCTTGGTATTCAGTGTGAAGACCGTTATAAAGGAAGTGGTTGACCTAATCAAGAATATGATACTCGGTTATGCGTAAGTCGGCTTAGCCGTGCTCTTTTGTCGTCTTGTGGTCTCTAGTCCAACAAGAGCTAACTTTTTTTCTCTCTCTTGGGTTGGCTTGAAGTTCACCGACACCACCAGGATTCGCTCCTGTAATTGCCAACGATTTGGAAGCCTTCTTGCACAGGTTTCAATCAGACGGACGTATTTCTCGCAGTTCCAACCTCAAACTCAAACACACTTTCAACCGCATAGGCACTTCTATCCTCACATGCAAGAGTGTTTCCACAGACCCATAACGGACGCGCCTGGAGCATATCTGACCTTACTAGAACGGGTTCAAGAAAATGGTGAAATGAAACTCACAGGGGAAACTCAAAAAGTATTGAACTTGTCATCATATAATTACTTGGGGTTTGCTGAGTCCAGTGGAAGAGTAGTTGATGCCGTTGAAGATGCCGTAGCAACGTATGGGATCACCGTCTGTTCTCCGCGTATGGAGCTAGGTACATTAGACTTACATAGTCAGGTCGAAGCACTAGTCGCCCGATTTGTGGGACAGGAAGCTGCCGTAGTTGTATCTATGGGGTTTGCTACAAACTCGACGACTCTTCCCGCCATTGTAGAAAAGGGCTGTCTGGTCGTATCAGACTCATTGAACCACGCATCTCTCGTGTATGGCTGTCGATTATCTGGTGCCTCTATTCGGCCATTCAAGCACAACAACATGCGCTCGCTGGAGAAGGTACTTAGGGACGGTATTGCTAATGGTCAAGATGGAAGAGGTAGCAAGTCATATAAGCCGTGGAAGAAGATTCTAGTTGTCGTGGAGGGATTGTATTCGATGGAGGGCACCATATGCCCACTACCGCAGATCCTCGAACTGAAACGTAAATATAATGTAAGAGGCGCATAGAGCAGATATGAACTTGTGACAAGGGCGCCACCCACAGCGTTGCTAACATTGCTCTAGTTCTTTTTATATGTCGATGAAGCTCATTCTATTGGTGCTATTGGACCAAAGGGACGGGGCGTATGTGGTAAGCTTACTTATCATGTTCTTATCAGATTTGAGTGAACAATTCACCAACGACAAACCTCTTGCAGACTACTATGGCATCAACCCACGCGAAGTGGACATTTTAATGGTGAGTCATACCGTTGCTTCAGGGCCGCTAATCATAGTCGTCTGTCCGTTCAACTGCCCGTCTCTGCACGAAACTTACAAGTTACGATTAGGGTACTTTTACCAAAGCATTCAGCTCTGCTGGTGGTTACATATCAGGCAGCAAAGCTCTCATCAACAGGATCCGCCTATACAACCACTCGTCTCTCTATGGCGAAGCAATGTCTATACCCGTACTGCAACAAATCTATTCATCAATGACAATCATCATGGGTGAAGACGGCACTAATGAAGGTCAACGCCGCATCCAGAACTTGGCTAGAGTAACTCGTCGATTCCGTGACGGTTTAAAGAGAATGGGATTTATAGTGCTTGGTCATGATGACTCGCCAGTGGTCCCGATCATAGTATGTCAGCCCTGCAAGTTTGTGCCATTCAGCCAGGAATTGTTGGCCAAAGGTATTGCGGTTGTTATGGCGTGTTTCCCAGCAACAGCCATTACGGAACCAAGGTGTAGGTTGTGTTTGAGTGCTGCTCATACGATGGAGGATATTGAGAAGGCTTTGGTTAGCATCAGTGAAGCTGGTGATAAGCTGGATCTCAAGTTCCTTGCTTGAGAACTTGGTAGAGTGCTAGAGTTTGAGAGATGAATGGTTGTTTGTGTTTGAAGGGACGTTGGTGGATCAAAGAGAGGCTATAAGAATGAAAATGAATGTTATTTAGTGGTCTCGGACTGTTATTTAAGAATTTATGTGTGGATATTTAACGAAATTATTGTAAGGAGGGTAAAGGTGCCCGTGGAGAGTATCTAAGTATATATTATACTGATTTAAACCTTCAAACTGGGGTTGTCGTGTTTTTGTTTTCGTAGATCTATGCTACAAGCACAAAGCGCGTCTGTTTGTTTCAACGTCACGTTATATACCGATCGGCTGCACTTTGCTTCCTGTTTCATGTTTCACGACGCGAAACGGCGTATTTGCAGCTTGGACAGGTATAGGCAGTCCCTGTCTTTTCGCCATGTTCGCTTTCGCTTTTCAAAGCTTGTAATTTCAGCACATTCACACCGCAGCTAGAAAATGAGAGTAGAGCTCGGAGGAAGTCCAGCTTCTCGCGTCCAGCAACTATTAGAACCCGAAACTGGAGTATATATAGCTGTTTGGACCGACAGTTACCCCTACGTCAATACGAGCTCGAACGACACTCCCAAACTTTTGAACGACCGTACTGGCAAGAAGTGGAGGTAACAAACTTGTTCTCTCTTCTCCAAAAATCCACAAATATATGTACTAAAGATATCACGCTCCACTAGCTTATGGCATATTGGTCAAAACATTCCAGCCTTCTCTGGTAAGATGTGTGGAATTTTTCTTGTGCGGAAAGCTTAAGCAACTTGCCAAAGTTTGCCCTCAAACCTCGGAGCGCGTTTCTCGACCTTTTCTAACATAAAATTGTGTATTTTATAGCAAACTCAAACACTCCGAACGTTGATACGACTGTAAACGAAACACTCCTGGAGTTGACCAACACGTAAGTTTCGGAATGGTCGTGACACACCCTCCGGAGCATGGTTGGAATCAGCTTGAAATTGTGTTTACACACTCAGAAAGAGGTTTCTATGCTGGATCTGTTGGTCCGGTGGTGTTTGGATCTTGTTTGGCCATAAACACCTTCAACCATTTTGACTCACCCTTTTTTGAACGTCCACCCTGATTTCCAAGTGTTTTTCTGACACAAACACCTATCTAGTGATGCTGGAATCTTATTGGACGTGTTTCCATTCAACAATGCCGGAACAAGCTACTCTGCAATATCGGCAAATGATATTCAAGCTCTCGCAAACCAATGTGCTGCCTACAACAAGAAGGGACGCAAGGTCTGGCTACGTTTAGCATCCGAGATGAATGGAAACTGGTATCCGTATGCTCAGCAACCGGTAAAGATCAAACATATGCAATACTCGGCCGTTTCTCTCCTCACGATTTGTTTATAGGCAAGCTTTGTTCAACTTTGGATCAATGTGACTAATGCTGTTCGAGCTGTCGCACCCTCGACGGCCATGTTGTGGTCCCCACAGATTCTGCCAAATGGACAATACTCTCTGAATCCGGATACGACTGGCCCCATCAATGCTGCAAACATGGCTTTACTTGATACGAATCATGATGGGAATATCAACTCTCGTGATGACCCTTGTAAGAACCCTGAGCTCGTTCTCTAGTCACAACGCGATGCTAACCGGTTGTGTTTGTAGATACTCCATATTGGCCAGGCACACAATATGTTGACTGGATTGGGACATCAATGTACAGTGTTTTTAATGCACTTGTGGACCCAAAACAATATATTTTATACCATTTTATTTATAGGTATTATCATGGTCCTTATCTCGACTCTTCTGCCATGTACGGCATCAACAGCATCCCTCCTCAAAACTACTTTGATGGCCTTATGAACACTGCGAACTTTCCATTCTATAATTTTGTTGCCTCCATGGGAAAGCCGCTCTCTGTAAGCTGGCAAAAATGTTTCGTTCGTGTCTGATTGTGCTTACCGGTCTTCAAACATCGACGTAGCTTTCCGAATGGGGCATACCATTCTACATTGCGCTGACACCTGATGGGCCCTCTGGGCAGTCAATACCGGTAGCTGTTGGTCCGGGCCAAGTTGCCATGAAGAGAGCGTGGTGGACACAATCAATGACCAATAAGACAATCTACGCAAAGTATCCCTTGATTAAGATGTGGGGGCTTTTTGAGTTCATCAAGGTAAGCTCTTGTTGTGTTATTTCTTTTACTGAGAACAAAAAACCGTCTGACGATTCAGTATCTGATAGGACGAAACTGGCTCATTCCGTGACTTCCAAGTATGTCTAGTACTTGAAACTTCGATCATCAGTCTTCTCAACTCAATTCTTTCATCTTAGTTCCTGAATACAACAACCCTGAATGGAAGCATCACAAACGCATTTTTGAGTGACTTGCAAACCTCTGGTATCAATTTTATATGGGCTAACGACACCTCCGTCTCACCAAACTCAACAAACACTACTATTACTGGAAATACAACAACCGCTGCTGCAACACCTGCGGCCTCCTCTCCTCCTTCCAACACTGTTTTGGCTTCTATTGGATATGTTCTGCTTCCTCATAAAACTTTTTGGCTGTTGCTATTTGCATGGTGGAATGTTTTCTTCCTCTTGTGAGTATATGTGCTCGTTTTCCTTCGAAGCATCGGGAATGTCGCTCAGCAAATTGCATGTCGTAGGTCTCGTCTGTTCACGGACTAAACGGCCATATAAAGGACTCAATATTTAAACAAAAAACAAAAGATAGAGTAGTAGTGGTAGTGTGTGTACATGTATCGGACAAGAAGACGATTGTATTGTTTTGCAGAAAGATGAGGTCTCCAAAGATAGTGTAGAAACGTAACAGCTCTGTAACATTGCAAACGCATATTAAAAGTGAAAGTAAAATTCAGACATGTCCGCTTGATAGTGAACCGTATTCTTGTCTTGATAAAGTTTCGGCCATAGAAGGCAGCACAATCCAGCTTTGTAGAGATGCGAGAGATCCCATCACCATGAGAAAGAAGAAGACAAACCAGTGGTTTAGTGGGAATGCTTGGCTGTTTGTGAGACTCCAGGCCCATAATGAGCCACCGAGACATGGTCCAACACTCCTAACAAACGCAGCAGATGTTTGACTGATGCCGTTTACTATTCCTAGTTTGCCCAAGGGTGCTGCATTGTTGATCTAATAAAAAAGTGTTGGAGTAGGATTTTGATTCCTGTCAAACATTGGCTTACCATAATCATGATACTCGTAAATGCACAAACATTCAAAAATGTTCGGCACGTCATGACTAGTAACAACACGGGCCATACGAAACCATCACGACTTCCTCCTTCACCGGTAGACACATAGGTAGAGACCAGAGGGTATGCAAGGAAAACGAATATGTAACAGGGCATTGCTATTCTATACAATGTAGCAGCTCCAAAGCGACGGGATAGAGATGGGTATAGACCGAGCTGGCATATGAGTGTCACAACTCCCATGATCGAGAGCGAGAATCCAATGTCTGTTGATGTGAATCCGAGACCACCTGCAAAAAAGAACACAAAAATTGGTTGGCTTCCATTGAAATCAATACTTCTCAAACCCACAACAGTACCATCTCTCGGAGGTGTAACAGTCCACAACGAAAACACTTCATCCAACATGATATTCTGAAACGACAGCATAGAATACGCAAATATTGTCTTTTTCGCAACACTTCCAATCGACCACAAAGCATCCGGTTTCCCAGTCTTGGTACCTGCAACTTGCGATTCGCCAACAGCTGTCGCATCAGACTCCCATCGTGATAACTCGGCACGACACTGATCAGTCTCGTCTTCAATAACTATATCTGATGGTGCTGTTGTGCTGTTACTGAGCAACGGTCGTTCTTCCTCTGCTGTATGTGATAGTCCCCGTTGTGAGAATGTACCACTTCCTCTGCCAGGTGCTGTCTCTTCGAGAAACACGCAACCGACTACGAGGCCGATACAGCTGATGAATGCAGAAACTATGCAAGGAAGTAGGTAGGGGTACTTGACGAGGAGGGGGAAGGGTGCGAATATTTCTGGCCATTTTTCGGCTGGTTTGGCCAGGACGCCGCCAATGACAGGCTAAACAATGAGAAATTGTTCAATTCTGAAGAAATCTCAATAGTAGCGGTGCAAAACCGTACCCCCATTATTGATCCAACTCCCCATACGAGTCCAAAGATACTGAATCCTTTGGCTTGGTTTGTAGAATCAGTTACTTCGCCCATGACACATTTCGCAACTCCTATGTTTCCGTTTACTGACAAGAGTGAAATTAGCATCAAAACTCAATGTTGTACTTGACGGCTCCTCAAATAACCTACAGAAACCACACAGAGCTCTCGACAATATACACCATCTCAACGAATTGCTTGTTCCGAAAAGTATTACAGACAACGCGTTGCCCAGTAGGCCAATCAATAACACTGGTCGTCGTCCAATTTTGTCAGATAGCCTAAAATGCAAAAAACTCAAATGTCTTGCCACAGGATTCGTTTGAAATACGTGGATCGTGACTTACCATCCCCACCAAATGGAGGTCAAGAATTGAGCCAAGCTGAAGGCAGAAGCGATAAATCCCACATAGAATCCAATGTCTTTCTCGTCCGTCATTCCAAAGTCTCGTACCATAAAGTACACGAACGGAAAGACTAGCAACAAGAAATTAACAGTAAATACAGTAGCATTCCAAATTTTAAACGAGAATTTTACGTACGGATTGTCATGCTCATAGGCTCTGAAAATATTATAATGCATAGCACAAAGAGAATACTCTTCGGCAAAGGAGTCGGTTCCACAACATGATTCCGCGCACCAGCAGCACCATAATTCTGCACTACCGGCAACCCATCAAACGGTTGTCGTCGTTCATCCTCACATATGGAATCCAGATATTCCCAGCTCCAAAACGGTGCCCCAACCGATGTGATTGACACAGATCGATGCCGTATATGCCTCGCTGATCGCTCCCTCACGCGTTCTGCAGCCTCAACCGAAGCAATTGCTACAGAAGCCTCGTATCCCAGTGATGCTGAAGAGGGCGTCAGGTGTAGAGATCTGAGAAATGTGTTTGGTAAAAGGGAGTTGGCTGGTGATGAGCATGCTGAAGATGTAGATCTGCCGTCTACGTGTGGTGGATGAGTGAATGAGGGCTGTTTTATTGGGCCACTACGCGTGAGTGTTGGTATATCTAGCGTTTTTGTTGGTGGTCGTGAAGGAGTTATGAAGGGATCTTTTTCCATATTAGTCGCTGCAGGTATTGGTGCCTGTGAAGGATCCGAAATTGCAGTATTGTTAGGACTCCCCACTCGCTCTTCTGCTTCCCCCTCCTCTCGCATTCCTGAAAAAGTTGTGTTGGTAAAACTGAAGGACGCAAACCCAAAAACAAAAATAGGACGGGTTGTACATACTAGTGGATCTAGCCAAAGAAGATAATAATGTATCCATTTCTTCTGTTAGCAAGGCCCCAAGGTGGTCGTTTGCTCAGGAAAACGCGGGAACAAGAAGAAAAATGGTGGTCCTCTACGTCAACGATCGATTCCATCTTCCAAGTTCACACGGGCTGGCTTACACCACCTGTAGAAATACTTCATTTTTGCGTTCTAGCCAAGACCGAACCTGCTGTTCACTTGATCTGACTAGTTTTTATGACTCGATTGCTCCTCCGCTTACACATCCGCCAGTCCCGGCAAGTTAGTAAAGTTGACGATGACAAGGAAGAGCCGAAATTATGAAATCCCTGCAGGTACTCTGCTAGGGAAGACTGTCGTCGTAACGTAAGCAATCTGACTGTCTAGGTTTTCAGAAGAATTAACTTTCAATTTTGGCCGCCATGTTTTTTTTTAGCGGAGCTAACTTTGGCATTGGAAAGAGTATAGCGCTTAATTGTGCTTTAAATGGAGCAAAAGGTCTGATTTTGTCCTTCGTTTTGCCTTCGGCCCCCCAGATCGTCAACGTCATTTGAAAACGTAGTGATTTTGGCATGCCGTTCCATTGAACGTGCAACTGTAGCCAAAGAAGAGATTGAGAAAATTGTCTCTGAAAGGCAAGGCACTGGAACTGTCGAGATTATGCAAGTCGACATCTCAAACATGGTTCGTGCTTCTTCAATTATCGCCCTTGGCAGCTTATGGACTTGACGACTGATCCATTGGTCATATAGGAATCCGTCAGGTATTGAAAACGAGTGGGCGGAGCTGCTTTGGAAATACAAGCTGAAAGTTGGCTCAACATCGTAACTAGGATGTTTGCCAAGGCATTTCTGGAACGGAGGGAGCCGCTGCATGTTCTCGTAAATAACGCAGGACTGGTTCAGGCGAAGAACACAAAGACCTCGGAGGGCTTTGAGCTCCATTTCTCTTTGGCTCTGGGGCATTTCTTGCTCTCAGTGCTACTGATACCTGCTCTGAGGTCTGGAAGTATGGCCGGATCACCCTCTAGAATAGGTATATCCAACTAGTGACTTGGTAGTGTGTAATTACTCACTCCCTGAACGCCCTGCACGTAGTAACCATGGCAAGTTCATACCACCGAGGAGCATTCTCTGTACCAGAGAAGCGAGTATTTGGTGATAAAGTCAGAACGTGGGAGTTCAAGTTGGAAGCTTTACAGGCATATGCACGATCAAAACTGGCGAATATTCACTATTCGGTACGTAAAAGTCGTGCTGTTGATACGTCCTTGTCGCTTAAACCAAATACTGGCTATAGAGGGTGCTCGGTGACAAGCTGAAGAGCACCGGTATCCATACATATGCCTTGCATCCCGGCCACGTTGCATCAGGTATATGGCAGGAGTTGCCGCGGCCGTTTAGGTGGCTTGTACCATTTGTGATGCTATCAGAGGAGCAGGGAGCTGCTACGGCGCTGTACTGTGCCACATCACCAGACTGTGCAAAGGACACGTCTAAATATTATCGCTTCTGTGCGCTGGGAACTCCCTCTAGCTCTGGATCTAGTGAAACAAAGGCAGCGGATTTGGTAGAGAAGTCGTTAAAGTGGTTGACACTGGACTACGGAGTATTTGGGAATCTGTCACAAGCTATACACACTGCACCTGGGACGCCAATCTCAGACGCGTAATGTTAGATCGCAGCCATGAACGCGACACACACTCACACACATTCCATATTTAAAATATTTAAGATTTTATTTTCAGCATATTTATATTTATATTATTTATATTCAAGAGTATGCGATTTTGCCTGTAATTTGCCTTCGTCTTCTCGCACCTCTCACGTTCACGTTGTAAAGCAACAATTTGAACAGTGGAAGAAAGCTAGACAGAACAGCCCGTGCTTCAATGGATCAACGAAACGAGTCACGATATCAAGATTCGCTCGGTGCATCCATTGCAGATACCAACAAATCATCAGCTTCGTTACTCGCAGGCAAGTTGTTGTTTTCGAGGTTATTTCAACAAGATCAGAACGTTCTTGTTGGACAGAATTCTAATATCCGAATGAATTATAGATAAGGACGTTAGCGCATTTGTACAGTACTTGCTGGAGGGATCTGGATCAGAACGAAACGTGGACTACTCGGCCATCAAAAACATACTGCAGAGAGATGCTGGCGGAACCACAGATATGAGCTTCAAGGCTACCATGGGCTCAGATATGAGCCCTAGTGATGCATGGAGGCAGCAAACTCGCTCCGTCAGTCCTCATCTTTCTGAGGTACGCGTCGTGTTGTGGACGCTGGGTTCCTGTCAATAGGACGCTGATTTCTGGCTTCAAAAATAGTCTGTAGCTAGTGATCTCGTGACACAGAGATTTCGTGAACGCAGTAACTACACGAGTGCTCGTGAGAGCATTGCTGATCGTATGTGTTGGCTTGGAACATGTTTCCTGATGGACGGTTATCTATTGCCGTCTAATAGTGTCTATTTACTGCTATTTTATTGACAACTTTCGATATATAGCACGATCACGAGTCTCTACCATGCTGCCGAGATCTAATAGTGCTGCTTCCTCCACGTCAGAATTAATGAGAGTCGCTCGAGAAGCAATTGCTGAAGAAGTAGAGTTACGAAAGCTACGAAGTCAACCGTCGAATAATGATATGAATGCTCCCATATCTCCGGATGAGCCTGGGACTCCACGTCCACGACCAGCAAGTCGACCATACCATACCCCACTTGAAAAGCAACTATCTGGATCATCACAAGCGAGTGGATTTGCTTCTGGGTCTGGCCCAACTACAGCAATCAAGATAGGCAGTAATTCAGATCAGAAAGGAAGCTCTAATAGCAAACGAGACTTGTTTGGTGCTCCAGATACCATACAATCATCGAGTCGTGAAAGTCAGGTCCCTCAACCTAATTCGCTACAGCCTCTGTCGCAAGCATTAATGAATGTTGGAATGCCTACCTTACATCCGTGCCTGCTATATGCTCCCACTATAAGATATCCATCATCCTCTCCGCTGTCTGAAAAACAACAGGAGGCTATAAGAGATGTCATCAAGGGCTTAATGAACGATTTGGAGAGGCGCGAGGAGACTGTGCAGACTCTCTTGTCGCGTCTCAACGAGATGGAGGAAAGGAGTCTCCTTTGGGAAGACCGGGCTTGGTCAACTGAACAGAAGAGAATGGAAGAAATCGGTACGGATTCTTATGCTCTAGAGACGCTAAAAGTATGTCTTTGCAGTTATTTCGAAACCTGTGAAGGATTTCTTAGCCACAAGTTGCTGTTTCTTGTCTAGGATGAATTAAAGAGTAAAAGCATGGAAGCCACCAGATTTGCTGTAGAATTAGCCTCAACACGATCTGACCTAGATGCCTCGCGAAATCAAGCCGAGACATTGAAGAGGCGGTTAGCAAACGAGGAGGCTGAAAGTGAAAATCTTCGTTTTGAACTCGCTAGCATGAAGGAGCAGGTCAGAATTTGGGTTCTGCTGTCGTGGTGGCTATTGAAGTACAACAGAATGCTGATTCAGACACGCTAATTTAGGCCGAAAGGACTCGAAGCAGAAACGAACGCACATTTGCAGCAATCACATCCCAATATCGTCGAGACCCCTCAAAGAGTGGTCTAGATCGGCTCACTTTGGAAGTGATTGAAGTCTATGAACGGAAGCTGTTGGCTCTCGAAGAGGAGAACTCTACTTTGAGGTCTTGCGTTGGGCTTTAGCATTTTTTAGCTGGTTCAACTCATATTTTTGTTATTTGGTAGATCGAATGCTAGAAGCCATCAAGGCCAGTCCATCCCTCGAGATGCTGAACAGAGGCTAGTCGATATCAATGATGAAATATCACGTCTCAAGCACAGAACACAGGTTTTGGATACCAAAGTCTCAGAAGATGAAGCCTTCTTGAGAATGGAAAGTGCCATGTCAGAGCAAATCAGTGTAGGTGTATTTTGAAGAAGTTTGTCCTCATTTCCAGATGAGTTTTGATGTAGTTTTTTCTCCATCATAGGAGTTAAAGGAACAATTGGCAGAAACACGAGACGAATTGGTGGATGCTCGTCGTGAGGCCGACTTGTTACGTCTCAAGATGTTGGCCATGAAGGACTATGGAGAAGTCGTTGAAAAGGATTCCAATCCTTCACCAAAGGCTACATCGACGAGAGCTCTGATACGACGACATAAGAAGGCATGGAAACTGAAACTATACAAGATTGACGCAATGGGTCCTGATGAATCGCGTGATTTGCTCAAAGTACGAGAACGTCTTTTGTGTGAGATTCGACCTCTTCATAGCGTCGAGGGACTTGCTAACTTTTGTTCGCCGTCTACTCTAGGATATCTGTGTCAAGCTGAATATCAACGATATTGATAAACTTTTAGCATCCGTTGACACTGTCGACCAAGTGGTGAAATTAGTACCACAGATGCAAAGATTCATCGAAGCCGTGGATACGATTGTTTGGAGGGCTTATGTCAAAACGAATGGTGTCAAGCATCAGCCTCACAAGTTATCTGAAACGTTGGCGCACCTTGAACGCTGGAGCTCAGTTTCAGGAGATATTGATGTTCTGAGGGTATGAGTGTTTGAATCATGGTCTTATTGTGTCATTGGCCCAAATTTCAATCCTTGCCCCAAATTTTAACATCTTTTCTTTTTCGCTTGTGAAGGATTTCCGAGAACGTATTTTGTCGCATTTGAGAATCGAAGAGTCGCCTCAGAGCACAATGCAGTGTATGGAATTGCTTCGACGCATGTCGATCAATGCTAATGCTGCTGGCAGTGGGCGGAGTGATGTAAGACATGTGTCTACTGCCAATGCAGTGAGGAGTTTGAATTCGATTTGTTTGTTGTCTCGTAGGAACCAACACCGGATCAGCTAGTAAAGCACTTTAGAGATCTATTTGAAGTTGATTCCCAGAATGATGTCTATACACGTATCAATGAATGTGAGGGCTCTTTGTTATAAAATGATCGTGTGATTGTAGCCTGTTACTAACTCTATTTCGTTAATTCAGTGTACGTGTTTTCAGCAGAGGTTCAAAAAGGTACGACTAGAGCCAGTTCCATGCTGCATTTTGAGTTGGTCTTCATGGTGTGTTTTGCTAATCATGTATGCTATGATTTTCCATAGGACTTAGAAATCTGGCAGAAGCTCTTAAAGCACCCTCGTCGCTTTCGCCTGGAGGTCTTCTGGCTCGAGCTGTCGAAGCCGTTCATTCACTGATAGAGCTCTCTCAAGGCGGGTTGAGATTCTGAATTAAGAGTAAAGTCTTTGCGCCTAATCTTGAATCGTTTTTTTTTGTCGACAGCTGTCCGTTCTGGAACAGGATCACCAACAAATACACAGAATCGCGTGAACGACCAACCTACTCCAGCAAATGAAGAAGAATCAGATTTCAAACTGCATAGCTCAAGCGATGATGAAGGAGTAGATAGAGAAGACGAGGAAGACCATTACCATGATGTGGATATTGGTATAGAAGATGAAGTTCCATCAAGTTGGAGACCCTTGGCGTCAACTTTGAGTGGACTTGAACGTTTGCTGGGTCGAAAAGAAGTTTAGGACTGGAGTTTTTTATACCTTTTCTTTAATATATATTTGCAAGGGTTGTATATATGAGAGGTTTGGTTCTGAGACATTTGTGATGTTACTGCTGCTCTCAGCTGGTGTTGAACAAACTGAGTGTATCAAAAGACTACAGCAATAGACGGTCGAAGCCCTAAAGTATATAGCACTGGAGATGACCGCCCGCCAGTGCTCGATCGTCCAAATGTCAAAACGAAGCACAAAGCCCAGAACATTGATACCAAGATGGTCACGTTTGTATTGAAACAGATTCTATTACGGTCGTATCAGAGTTTAACAAAGGAATGTAAACACCCTGCTGGTGGAAATCAGGCAACGAGAGAGAAAAGGACGCAGATCCAAAATTCTTCTACTCTTCCTTCAAGAAGGAGGAGCCATTGCCACTGGTATGACCATTAGTATGGCCATTGACGTGATTAGCTTTTCCGTTCGTCCTGGCGGCTCCAGCAGCAACCTGTTTAGCAGCCGCAGCTCGATTGTAGGACCTCACCTATTGAAGTGAAATGATTTGAAGGGTTAGATTCAGATGTTCAGGACGTTGTATAGACTGCTTTCGATCGTACGTAAAAGTCCAAAAAGAGGATCAAGTAAGACCCAAAAATGACGGCACAGACTGTGAGGTGTGTGTGCGGATCGACCTAAGTAAATGAGAAGCGATTAGGTTGAGTAATTCATATGTTTCAACTAAGTTTCGCGGAAAGTTGGTCCAAATCGAACTCAAAAGCGCCACAAATTGTTCCAAGTTTGACGCGACATTACAGGTTGAGCTTCTTTCAATCAAAGAACCAAGACACGCGACATACCGATGTGCAGTATTCTAATGTTTTAAATCCATAGTCCGTCTTCAACCTGAAAAGAAATTGCGTGAGTGTATTGTCGTTTGTAGTGCAATTGTTGTGTGTGCCAAATATAGTTTATTGACAAACTATTTGACGAATTCTCAACTTTCAGTCTTCTTTCTCACCATGGAAAGTATTCGTTTGTGTAGACGTTGTATGCGACGTATGCGAGCATTAAAAGATCCAAGACAAATTGCGATATTTGCATCCTATGAAATGGAAGAGTGTGAGTCACGCAACTTCAGAATTCATTATATGGTTTGTAGGACGTCTTACGTGGTCAGATGCTTCTTCCACCAGATTTTTCGTTTCGAGACAGTAGATACCGCATAGTAGTAGTACATCAAAACGTGGACAGTCAAGTTCATTAGAATGGCGAACCAAGTTATAGGGTGGGGTTTCACGAGGAACATGTAGGTAAATGCTGCGGTCTAGTGATGATAATGGGTTCAAAATCAACCAAACAGTTCGTCGTCTCACGTTCATGCGAAATAACGTGAGTAAACACATCACTCAATGCAATGCAGCGGGGACGATCCTTACAGCACTGTGATGATACACATGCAGAAATTCTAATGGGCGCTTTCGCAGCACCATGAAGCCCTGCAAAACGGGCAGCATATAGTCAGTCATGGGTGTTCGATTTTCGACACATGTCAACAAATACTTACTGTGTCTATAAACTCCCAAAGCTTGAAGAGGTAGTTCAAGTAGTAGAAAAGCTCCAAACGAGGAGTGTATGCCTAAGTGATGCAAAGCAGTTCATGAGCGAAAGACAACTCGTCGATTGTAATGATCAGTAAGAAGATGTAGAGGCTCACGTAACAAGCAAGACTACTTTGAAATGATACTTACATCGTAGTGACATAGCGTAAAGTTCAACCCGTGCTCTTGCCACATTGGAACCAGTGGTTCCAAAATCAACATGAAGAGAAGCCCAGATGCAATAGACATGATTGCATTGTGTAGAAAGATCAAGTACTTGAGATTAAATGACTGGTATCCTCTCATGATCTCTTGGCCTCCCATCATCACAATCACGTATCCCAGACTTGCAGCGACTATTTGCACGATGGCGAGAGAGGTTCAGCATTGATGGATCATGCACATGACAAGATGGTATGGCAACACCAAGGTAAAGCGTTGAAAAGCTCAGAAGGGTTCAGTAACAACATAATCTCACCGATGCTGGGTAGTGTTCCAAATGGCAATCCTTCGTGAAACTTGAATGCATCGGCAGAAATGTGAAAGTACTTGGCCAATATCATGTCCAAGACATCATTGAACGGTGAGAAATGCATCTCGCTAGATGTGTGGTCTAGTGATATAGTTCGGGATAGGCTCAGCAGCTATCTAGCACGGTTTTCACTGTTGATGCCGCGGGAGGTATGAGTTGGCCTCTGATAGATCAGATCTGGCTGTAATCTAGAGTCTTCGCTGCTCTCGAGTTTGTGAATCCCCTGTGTGGTTCGCTGACTTTTGAAAACCACCAAATCCAACGTAAGCAGGCTCAGATAGGGACTCTTGAGATGGAACACTAGACTCCAAAATATCCAAGATAACCCAAGGAGACATACAGTAGCTCGTAGAACGACGATAGTTGCTTCGGCTTACGGTTCTCCATTTTTATAGTCCAATTCGTGTATCGCGGGTTGTTGAATTGCACGACCAGCCAAGAAAAGTATTTACAACCGTCGGCGGTAGATTTCTAGCACATATCATTGAAAATATTAAATACTTGGGAACGCTAGAGGCGATTATGAGCGACCGGTATAGCAATTCTCTCAAACCACCCGAATTGTCTGAATCTGTTGTGATTACGCAGTCAAAGATTCCCAACTCCACCTTTCGCGTCCAACTCCCTAAAATGGATTTTTGGAAGAATTTAAAGTGATATCATTTGTTCTCCTCCTAGGCTCCAGCCTTGAATCGACCCTGAAATGAATTTTTCTCTTTAAAGTCCGTCCCAGCGAACTCGCCGTCTCACAATAAAACTTTACGACATATCCTCTTGACAGCACAATCCAGCAAGGATGAAGGTCTCATTGAGCCAACAACGTTTCCTGGGGATGTTAGGCGTACATTTGATAGCTGTAGCCGTCCCATTTTGTCTGAAGGCTACGTACAGTAGACTTTTCCTAATGTGGTTGGGTTATACATTAGCGACTCTAGGCATAACGTGAGTTATAGAGCGTGTTCACGGGTAAATTTCTTCAAAGATACTAATGCTATCCTTTTCTACTAGTGTTGGGTAAGCGACCATGGAGATCGGCGGTGCCATTGACCAAACCCCAATTTTTTCGCGCACACCTTGCAAGCCTTTTTGCCTCGACCTCACATCTCCTTTTGTTGTGATCCAAAGCTACCATAGATGCTATTCGCATGGATCCTTCAAGCCGTCTCTTGCTGTGAGAGTGATGGCAGCCGTGTGGGGTGGTAGCGCATTCCAAGGTCAGAAAATGTCATCACAAGGGGAATAGACTTTCTGATCTCAAATTCTTATATTTATAGGCAGCATCAGGTGGTGGGTGATACGTCACAGGCTCCATCACAGGTTTCCTGACACTGGTGGGTTATCAAATTTGCCACATTAAATTGCTTGTCGGACTGCAATCCGATCGCTTGGGGTTTGTTCTGACTTTTGAAATTCACTCTATGCCGTGTGTATGCTCCTCTTAGACAATGATCCTTACAATGCCAAGGTATTTCTTCGACATTGTTGCAAACCAAACCTTGAAACAGAACCTACGCTTTTCGTCTTTCCCGGTCGTTGCCGCTTCAAATATTTTTTAACACTTATGCTTTTCATAACTTAGCGTGGACTGTGGTTCTCTCATATGGGATGGCTCTTTGAAACAGCTCACTACTCCAAGCTTAAAGAAATCGATGATTCGGATTTGAATGCCGATAAGCGTAAGTCGAATCGACGCTTTCCTCGCCGTACTCTACCAAGTTTCTTGAGCTCCTCGATATTTACTCTAACCTTTATTTAGTGGTTGTCTTTCAGCACAAGTACTTTAATATCATTGCCATTTTCATGTGCTTCATATTTCCCTCCATTGTGGCCAAAGTTCTTTGGAATGATGCCATTGGTGGTTTCCTATATGGAGGTGTGCTAAAGGCAGTTTTAGTCTGGGTAGGTGGAAGTCACGCAAAACAGCTTAAAAAGATTAGCAATTGACTTGCCATTTCCACAGCACGTCACTTTTTCTATAAACAGTTTGGCACATTGGATGGGAGATCAGCCTTACACGCTCGATTCTACTGCCAGAGACAACTGGTGGCTATCCGTCTTTACCGTCGGCGAAGGCAGTCAGTAAGTGATTCTCGAGTGCCTGTAGAAGTAGAATCTGGAAAAGGCACTCATTTCACTTAAATTTTAGCAACTTCCATCACGCATTCCCGAAAGACTATCGATGTGGATCGGCATTGTTGCATTACGATCCTGGCAAATGGACTATCTTCATATTGTATCTCTTAAACCTGGCCACCGATCTTCACAGGGTTACTGATGAAGAGATAGAAAAGGGTACGCACTGTGACATCCAAGCCACGTAAGCACTATCCTGACATCTCAAACTTTTAGATTCCATCGTGGTTAGTGAACGTGTGCTCAAGAAGAGACGCCAAGCTGTTAGTTGGGGCATCCCAGATGAAGACCTGCCCACCCTAACTATTCAACAAGTGCGGGACCAGTGCAATCGAAAGGCCATGTCGTTGATTGTGATTGATGGATATGTCATTGACGTTGGCGCTTTCCTTGATGAACACCCCGGAGGTAGAAGACTCCTGGAAGATCTTGTCGGTCAGGATGCGACTGAGGCGTTCTATGAACGTGCGCACAATGAGGGAGCAAAGATCGCAATGAGGACGATGGCTGTGTCGAAGTTAGTAGAGTAGTTGATGTTAGAGTAGACTTTGATATCTGTAGTGTTCTTTAAAACCATACTATTTCCTTCCTTTTGTTACTCATGCACCGCTGAAAACCAACTTTGATTAGTATTATATATATTTCTTCATATGTGATCTCATGTCATGCTTTTGTGTGAGCGTTTGAGTTTCTGGGAACAAGGGTGCGATCAATAGATCTAATAGTCAAAACTTGGACCAGAGGCATTTTACGAACCTGCTCACAATGAAAAGCATATATATCCATGGAAGCCAGAGCCGTTTCAAAGTTGATGGGTGAAATTGATTTTCCCGTGGTTTTATTGATTTTCGTAGTTTCTCTCTGGCTATATGCTCCTCAAATCCTCATAGCCCCCCAAAAAAAATCATGGCAGCAATGTTTCCAATCTTTCCGATGTAGAATATTAACGTGTGTTGTTTGTTTGCATTGAGAATTTTCACAAATGCACCTGGACGCAGTTACGTCCGAACTCTCTATTCTTGTTGATTCAGTGGCCAATCTCGCAGTACACCGATGATAATGGCATGTACACTAGCTCTTAAAGGTCTCGTTCTCTAGGATTACGCAGTTGCGTGGTGAGATTTCAGCGTCTCAAACTCAGTGCTACGCAAGTTTCGGACTTGGTTTGAGAGGGATTCTCCATACCGGTCGCCTTGTGTAGAGAAACTAGTTCATGCCGAGCAAGATATTTAGATAATTTGGCTGGTCGTAATTCGTCACTGGCCAACTGTGCTAGTCGAAAATCCCACAATTGCTCATGTTTGGTTTTTTTGCGCCTCTGCGATAGACCCGGATGCTCGCGTCGGGAGTTTCAACGAATGAATAAATGAGATTAGTGCATCGCCAAACAACCCTTTCGTTACTATTACTTTGAACCATATCTGCATCGTTGCTACCCATAAGCTACCCATGGCAGTCGTTACCAGTAGAAAAACTAAGCCACAGAAATCTTTGCTACCAGCAAATACGTCAACTGCTTACACCCGAAATCAAGCTGTGGACGGACGACTACCTGACTTTGTAGAGGTCGATAATCGCCATCTTGGAACTGGCCTGTTTGCATCGTTCGGTCAACCGTGAAGAGTAAACACTGCTTAACGTAAAAAAGAGTAATTCATGCATTTAGCACCCTTCAACGATGTCTTGGACATCATATTACTCAAGTACTTTGGCTTTACTGGCGACACATTCAAGTTCCATGAAGGCTTACCGTTTGGAAGGGTACCTGTAGTCGGCAAGTTTGATTTGAGTCTAGCTTTTTTGGAAAAATTTGGGGGTGACAGTTCTCAAACGGGCTTGTCATCTAGTTTTTGTGAAGAAATCCTATTTTCAAGTATGAGATGCATCGATCCTGACACTCTATCTCTCTCCTCCTTTCTGTTAGCTGCTGCGAGTATCACCTACGTCCTTGTGATGATGGGTGGACAGGAGATCATGAGAGGATTCAAGCCCTTCACACTTAAATATCCTATATTTCTACACAATGCAATCATGTCTGTCGCATCGGCCATTCTATTCATGTTGATATTGGAACCGCTAGTTCCAATGATTTACGAGCATGGTCCCAACTATGCTATTTGTAGCATTAAGGTAAGTGCTACAGCTAGAGTGCTGGACGCATTCTTCATAAGATTGACACGTTCTCATGAGATGTTCTTTTCATAACCTCTAGGCAGTGACTCCTCGTTTAATGATGCTCTACTACTTTAACTTCCTATTCAAGATTTGGGAATTCATAGACACGGTAATATCATTTACAAACTTTTCGTCCTCGCTGCCATGTCACTGATTCTTCCTTATGGATACTCTCACAGGGCTTTATGGTTTTGAGAAAGCGACCTTTAGAATTCTTGCACGTCTATCACCACAGTGCTGTAAGGATCATCTCGCTGCTTGCATTGAGTGATGTGTTTACTCGCGTCTAAGACTGAAAATGATTGATTTGAAACCAATTAAACGTAGACGGCTGGACTCGCGTACCTTTTCTTGACAACGACTCAATCAGCTATATGGTTTCCTATTCTACTGAACTTGGCTGTCCACGTCTTGATGTGTGAGTAGATTTGGGACACTTTTTTCCTGATTGTTATCTCACAATTTCACTTTCTAGATTACGTGAGTAGGATTTGAGTTTGTCGTCACTAATTTGTTGCTGACGACGTCCCTGTCTAGTACTATGCCGTATCAACCATCTCAAAACGCAGAATTTGGTGGAAGAAGCACTTGACCAGGTAAGCGGCCTGAAAAATCGTTTTGAGGCGTTGAATGCTTAACCCAAGTTTTGCCACCACATAGTATGCAAATATCCCAATTCGTCCTCGATCTTGGTATGCTTTGTTATTGCTCTTACAATGTTTATATAAACGAGTACTTCCCATGGTATGGAAACAACCAAAGATTTTTCCTGAAATGTTCGCTACTAAGTCAAAACTCATAATAGGCTGAAAACTGAGTATGGGCTCAGAACTGTGGAAAATTGCCATTCGTCGGATCCACACATTCAGGCCGTCGTCACCGGTAGGATTTACTGTTATTGTCAGATCGGCGTTCGTTTATTCATCAGGATCTTTTTGATAGGCATCATCATTTCGAGTTACCTTGCATTGTTCTTGGACTTTTACGTACGTGCTTGTCAATTCGTTGCCCTCTTTCTTAAAGATCTCCTTCCTAACTTTGTGGATACATAGTTCCGGTCGTACACTCAAGCTGCTGCTGCAAAGAAGAATGCCATAAAGACCAATGGCAAAGCTCATCATACCAATGGCCACAGCAACGGCAATGGCGTTTATAACAAGGAAGAGTAAGGAGGACATCTCTCTCGCCGCTAAAGGAGGTCGGACTTTACAGACTTTGACACAAACATCCCATTTGAACAATTTGTTGTGCCTTCATTTTTTTTGAGTGACCTATCTATAATAAAAAATGTTAAGATCTAAATTTTATTTCCCGTGACCATCCGCCGTTTGATAATGGGGGTATACGCGATGCTCCCTCACAGCGTCCGTACAAGCCATCTCTTCTATATTTTGGGTTCTAAAATATGTACATAGCGTTAGATGAGGAGATATCAAGCCGTAGGTGCGGGTTCCAACTTTGTCAAGAAATCGAGAAGAGCCTTCCTAGACTCTGAATTGGAGGGTACATGGTGTCTATATTTGAAATATCATGAGATTCAAGCCACGACAAGGCCCTTGATGAGGACCATCTTACCCCCCAGTATGCTGGTAAACAACAGGATCCACAAAGTGAGATGCGAGTTGTATGGAGCGTTCTGGAGTTACCAGATTGTCAATCTCGCCGTAGATGTGTATTGAAGGTGTTTGTACATGTATTGGAAAGAGCACCTGGATATGAGGCTGATAGTATGACTCGAAGCCCCCGTAAAAGATACCAACTAGAGATAGCAGAGGGTGTCAGTGGCCATCTCTGATATTGAACGGATGGATCGTACATTTGAATTGGTTTCGTCCATCAGCTTGATCCTCAGCCAACAAAACGTGAGCCAGCACAGTGCCTTGTGAGAAGGCCATGATTCCCTCAAATGGGCCTTGTCTAGCAATAACCTCACGTATGTAAAGGAGTGATTGCTCAACTCCTCTCCAGTTTCCATTTCGGAAATCGTCTTCATCGGCCACTTCAAACCATGAAAGTCGCCCTTCGGCTTCACCAAACAAGGCTTTCGAAGCAAATGGAGCATCGATAAAGACTGTCGGCAAAAAGAATCCGTTGGCACATAGAGAATCGTTACAGAATCTTGATGCTGACGAGCGAATCCGACATGCATACCAAATGAGTAGCCCAGTTTTTTCGTGAGATCTTTCCGGACCGCTCCAGTTTTTAGACTGAATGTTCCAGAGTTCTGCCCATCTGATGAAAAGCGTAGTTGAACGTATTACTCGTATTGGCTCTGTTGCCTCGTGCGAGTTCCAACCTTGCAAAAGCCTTGATGAATCAAGGAAAAAGACTTACAAGCGTGTAGACACAGGATCTTCTTGCTCATATCTTTAGACTCTCAAAGTCTCCTAGCCTCCCAACTTCTTTGTGGCTCAATCTCTTGTGGCGATTCCTGTCAACTTCAACACAACTACTCCTGGGACAAAAGCTCAAGTTCTGCTGGTTCAAAAGGCTAGGAGAGAGGCCCTTCCTCTTGCAGTAAGGCAACAATTTGAGATCGCACGATCTGCTTCTGAAAATGTACTTAACGTTGTCCCTGCATCAACTTTCTAGATGAACTTGTTTCGACGAACCAAAGCAAATCAAGGGACTTTGGGCAGAGACAAAGATGTACCTACCGATGCAACACCGATCCCAGTAATCCCAACATCCAGTACTCCCCCACGTTCGCTGTTTAGGAGGAAACCATCATTGAAGAAGCTCAAGACTGAGATATCGGTCGTTCAGCTGCAGTTGTTGCCGATCCAGAGGAAGGTCTATAGGAAATGGATCAACTACCAGCTGTCGCGTAAGTCCTCCGGCTGCTTCTTTGGGTGTCGGATACAAGCATTTCGATGTTGGTTTAAAACAAGCCAGCACGATCCCATTATAATTACAAGCAAACTCACCAGATTCTATGTCTTGTAGTCGCTGGCAGGAAGCCGATTGTTAGTGTTACTACTGACTTGCGATCTGGACTCGTTATATGGGAGATTTTGCGACATTTCTCAAGTATTCCTCCACCGCCAGCTCCTCGCCGAATGTTTCCTACTCAGCAATGGGCCCTAAACCTCCAGTATCTTAATATGCATCTAAGACATCCGTTAAGAGGGGCTGGGCCCGAGCATTTTGCAGCAGGGGATGTCGTGGCCACTGTAGCCCTACTATGGATTATCATTAGGCGGTTTCGCGTCGGCAATGTTGGAACAGAGACACTCACGCAACCACAACCACGATGTCCTGACGCTTGTAACACGAACGCCGCGACAAAAGCTTTGCTTCTGTCATGGGCGGCTTCCATTCTGGATCCATACTATGAATTCGGCGCTCTGAGCGAGCCGATCATCAATTTTGATTCTGCATGGCGGTAAGCTCTTTTTTTTCTTACTTTGTCGTTTATAGATTCGTTGACTTTCAAATCTCAGGGACGGCTCGGCCATACTTTGCCTAATACACGCTGCAAATCCTGAATTGATTTCGGACGTCCCCGATCGCCGTACATCTCCAGGAGACTGCAATGAATGGAGGGCAACTGTGTCCGAGGCATTAGGTCTTGCAAACAAGCATTTGGGTGTGCCACTGGTGCGTCAATTTGGAACCATCTTGAACCGCTTTGCTCAAATATGTTTACAATCCTTGACCAATTCAACTCGTCAATAGTTGTTGGACGTAGAAGACCTTACCGACGTCGAGACTCCCGACGAGCAGATTGTAATGACCTATGTTGCTGAACTATATTGGGCTACACGCCCAAAAAATGTAGATGTTGAAGCAATGCAGCCTGTAATAGAAAGTACACCTGTAATCCCCGTGGCATCCACTCATCGAACTTGGCTCATGGCTCGTCTCGCTTCGCTTGACTATATCGCATCTTCAATGTCTCAGGCAGCCAGACAATTATCAGACTCATTAAATAGCTCGTCGCCACAACCTATAGACCAGGTCGCCACCAAGGTTGAAGAGTGGAAGTCGACTATAATCGAGATCTCAGATGAGCTGCTGAGTCGACGTGGAGAACGTGAAGAAACAATAGCAGCCTGCAATGCAGCATTGAGTTCTGTGGATTTGAACGAGTCGATGAAGTCTGAGGTGGCCAATTTCAAAGAGCAAATGGATAGTTCGTGGGATGGCATTCAGTCTCGTTTGAAGACTTTAGGTGTTGCACTAGAGGGCTTTACAAAGACTTTAGACTGGGCTCGTAAAGTGTCTGAAACCTCGAAGGGTATTCAGACGACGTCGTATGATTTGGATGCTGACGGTGGATGGAGCCCACAAGTCATTCAAGCTCTCAAACAAGGTGACTTTTTGAGATTCTTTGGATCTAGTTTAGATGCTGCGATTGCAGCTTGGGAATCTGAAGCGGCAGGACTGAAACGACGTGTAGATAGCTTGCTCAGAGGAGCAGAGACCTCGTCTAGTCTGAAACGATCGTATGATATACAGTTGGCAGAGCCGTTACGTACCCTAGAACGACGTTTGGGTGTAAGAAAGGACGCCGTCACCATTCTACGGGGGATGACATCCCTGTTTGACAATGGAGCCACATTAGTCATTGAAGCACTAGGTGAAGTTGCTGATATTATAAAGCACAGATTGGAAGGTATAGATGGATATTTGGTTCCAAGTGGTAATTCGCAGCAAGAAGACGAAGCGCAATGTGCGATCTGGTCTCAAAATCAATGGCAGATGGAATCTCAGTTACGCGGTGTGATCAAGGCCGAGATTGATCAAATCGAAGTAGTAGCTGCCAAAGTCAACGAAGCTATAAAACCCGCTGGGCTCGGAGCGAGTGTCGAGGCTGCTGTGCTTTCAGAGTCTCAACGTCGCTGTGAACGAGTGCAGGCACTGTTCATCAAGGCTCTCAACTTGGCTGAACGTGAAAGAGTTGCCGTGAATACTGCTAATGAATACAGCAGGTGGTTTGCTACCTTGGCTTCTATACAAAGTAGACTAGATACCGTATTGGCTGTGTTCAAGAACGAAAAGGATGCATCTGGGCTACGAGACATACAGGAGGCTGGAGTAGAATTAGCAGCCGAAGCACGTGCGATTCGAACAGAGATGTCTCAAATAGGTCAAGGAGAAGGTCATGAACGTATATGTGCTCAAATGATTGTTGATCGGTGGACGAAGCTCAAGGCTGGGTTTGATATTATAGAAGAGGCAACCACGAATAGTAGCATCTCGAATTCTACACCAGCAAAGGCTAGTAGTCCACCACCACCGATAGTAACTCGAGACGTATTGCCTCCACCACCCAAAGATGCTAACTGGAGAGAAAGTATGGGAAATATACCTGTGCGACTCTCATTTAGAGCATCAAAGCAAATGACCGAATCAGAGATGGCAAAACTTGTATCATGGAATGATGAGCAACAGACAAGACGATTATCGATGCTAGCTATCCCTCGAGGGCCAGTTGTAGACGATCAACCAGCAACTCCAACAGAGGCTACAATCCCTAGTGTGCTTGCAGTTGAAGAAGCAATTCATAGTTTACCTGAAGCCGAGCGCAACTCGTGGACACCGCCTCGTCGAACTGATTCGGCACTTCCGTCACCCCCGCAAACACCATCTTCACCATTGGCAGATGCCAGTCGTAGTGATGCGGATAGCAGAAAGGCTAGTGTTAGGATGAGTAAAGCCGATGAGGAATTAGAAGAATTGTTACGGAATGCACGGAGAGCAGCAATAGTGCAGTCAGTGCCTAGTAGTGCGAATGAACACCCGCAGTCATTTTTACCTAGCTTGCCACCACGTATTGAATCCAGTCTGTTTGATTTTGAGACCAAGTCAGAAACGTCTCGAGAGTCGGGACGTTATTCACAACAGCTAGCTCCATCATCCGTTGAAACACCATTTTGGGCTACGTCGTACACTCTGCCGAGAGAAATGGGTAGCTTTAGAAACTCTGGGCTTTCTATTCGTAACTCTTTGGTATGTATTGTAATGTCCTTCAGCTGGAACAGCATAAATACTTACTGTAGTACCTGACTTTTTTAGCTTGCTCTGCCAGCATCGGCAGCAGCAGCTGCTGCTGTAAGCTCTCCGAGCCCAACACTGAGTGTCGCCAGGCCTGAAAGAAATGCAGCAAGACCGTCATCCATAACATCAAATCCGGAACGTCCAGCATCAACAGCATCGGCCTATGGAACGTCATTGTTGAGGTCTCCTGAACCATCACCATCAGCAACTCGAATCACTTCACCACTTGGTCGACCCGTATCAATAGCATCAGAAGTAGCAGGACCACCAGGCGGTATTCCCTCACGCTACGATTCCTTGAGTCGTGATTCCTTCAATCGAGTCCAAGAGACGCCAGATCTGTCGCTACCTAGATCTGTAGCTTCTGGGAAAAGCAGTCATGGTGCTAAGCGTGACAACCCGCAACAGGCGTTCGAGGATCATGAATATTCAGAGCCGATGGTTGCAATGTCATTGCCTCGGACTACAAGCGTACTGTATTCAGCAGAATTTGATGGAGAGTCAACACCGGCTTCGTCGCTCGCTAGGACGAAAAATGATCAAAATCAACATGTTTTGCAGGGTTTGCGTCATGAGATGTCGTTTGCGGTAACTTGTCAAATGCCTTGTCGTCGGCTTGAAACCCTTTTTTTCTCATTTCATGTTTTCGTAACTTAGAGCATCCCATCGACAACCGGATACTCACAGGACAACAACACTCTATGGCGTATGGAACGCGAAAACGCTGTGGTTGAAGTGCTGCCTCTGCAATCAGAGGACTACGATGATTACGATCCATTCCATGATCAGAATCTGACGATTGGTAGTACTCGAATCATTTCGGAAGCACCAATTTTTCAGGCTGAACCTACTGTGAGTTATTAATCTGTTTGCTGATCCTGTGAATCATCGTTTAGTGTTAACTGTTGTCATTTAACAGCCACCACCAACAATATTCATTCAAACACAAAACATCCAACGAACTCCGTCAGTCAACACCGTCAACACTTCCTCCCCGACGACGCCTGTGCAAACCGAAGCCAGGAACTTGAGTGATGCGGAACGACTAGAAGAGGCCCGAAAGATTGAATCTTCTGTCAAATCAGCTGCTGCTCAAGACAGGATTCTTGTTGCGCGTGACAATCAATGGAAGTTTGATAAGCACGCTTGGAATGATGCCGAAAAGGCAGACTTTGCTAAATCAAAGAAGAACGCGATTGTGAGGAATATTGAGCTGGATCAAAAGGCTATTGTGTCTGAAGAGATTGCTGTTTCGGTAAGGTCAAGGCAAAAAATTTGTGATATCGAATGTTGTACCAATGACGATTTTTTAGACTGCTCAATCCGAGGCTGTCGATGCAACAAATGTGCTTCGACAAGTTGAAGAGGCGTCTAAAGATGCTGCTACCAAAGCCGAGCAAGAAGAACGTCGTTACAGGGCAGCAAGAACAGTTGAGATGAATGCCAGAGTAAGACACCTTATCTGTTCGGTTGTTCCCATTGATAGCATCTTTCCAACGGTTTTTTATGCGATAGGCGCGAGCGGCTGCTGCCACCCAAGAAGCATTCGATGCAGCAAGACTTGCTGAATCGCTCCACGACGAATCATTACGTGATTCAGAACAACATGCTCGTATGCTGCTAGAGCAGCAACAGAATCTAGAATCTACAAGGCTTCCCGAGTTATGGCAGTTACAGCAAGATGCTGAAGCTGCCATACGAAAGGCACTAGAAATTGAGAAACGGGCATCGATTGCATCTGTTGATAGAGCACAATTAGCTGGTGCTATTCGGCAAGAAGCGTTACGAGCCAAGGAAGAGGCTGATCGGGCTCTTAAGCGGTTGCAGATGGAGAGTCAGGACGCCGCGAGGCAGGAGATGGAAGCTTTCAAGGTATATCATCAATTTCCATGGGGGCTTTTTGTTTGGATTTTTCCTGTTTTTGAAGTGTCTAAATCGAAAACTGCAATGTTTGTGTTGGATATTTACATTACTCTTGCAAATTTAAACCAAAGGAACGAGAAAGATCGAGACTCTACGAAGAAAAAAGAGCCGTAGATTTGGCAAGATTGCGTGCTGAAGAGCAAGCGAGACTTCAAGAAGAGCTGGCCATTGCCGAAGAGGCTCGAATCGAAGCAGAGAGTAAGTGCGAAAAATTGCTTGATTTTAATGCCATAAACAAGAGAAAAACACTTACTGGAAACTATTGCAATAGTTCGATACGGATCTGCATATAAGCAACGCAACCAACTACAGGGAGAAGAAGACACCGCCCGATCTCGTGCCCTCGCAGCGGATCTAGCTGCTAAACGAGCACATCATGCACTGGAACAGAAACGATCTGAAGCTTCCCTAAATTCGCCAAAGTCTCCCAACGGAAGCCTACATAAAATGGGTAGTTTCTCGTCACAGGACTCTCCTACAGGCTCGGAAACATCTTTGCGACGTGACATGATGCCGCAACCGTCGTCTTCATCATCATCACCTCGGTATGAAGTCGCTAGCCCTAGCAACCCATCTTCGCGGTATAGTCCACCCGGTGAAGACACCACACCGATTGACATCCCCTCTAAATTTACTACACCGCCACGCTCCATTCTCCGAACAACGGCACCAGCAATGACTGGTGACGTGTATCGATCAGCATCAAATGAATCTCTGCCACGCAAAGGAGCTCTACAACAAAATCCACTACGGGATCCATATATTGCTGATAATTCTGATCCGCTTGACGTTGCTGTTGGTGCATTTGTGGCTAGATGTCCCGCTGCAATAGGGATGGTTAAAGATACGTTTGGGTGAGCGAGAAAAAGAAACTAAAAGATGACCGCATTTATGTCTGTATTGTCGAATTCCATTACTGACTACTTGCTACTAATCAAACAGGGGTGGAAGGTACTGGTGGTGGGTTGGAAACTCTCAATCTCAGCTGATTTTGTGTCGAGTAATACGAGATCATGTGTTTGTTCAGCAAGGAGGTGCTTGGAAGGTAAGAGATTCGTTTTGACTCGGTTTGGGTGTGTTCATATAGCAGACTCTCATTGCTCCTTGTGTCATTTAGGAAATCCAAGATGTGGTGAAAATGTAGGTGTTTTGTGTTTTCGGGTGCTATTGTATTCGGTTATGGAGTTTTTTGCCCTCATAGTCCTTTAATATGTAATATACTATTCATGGTGACATACGAAATTTTGCTCATATTAGCGATCGCTTACAGTTTCGCCACTGGTTCATGGTTTCTGCACTTAAACAACAAATTATATTCAAATATCTACATTCTACCGAACCAAATATAGACAATAGCGAGTCCCAAACTATAAGCTACTTCCTGAAATCGTTCTGGACCTAAAGATTTGCAAAATTTGAATACGGCCAAAAAAGGAGAGTACCGACCCATTATACCTGAGCAATGGTCTCCAGCAGCTTCCTACTGCTCTGACGAGACGCACCAGCCGTTCGTCCCTGTATCTGCGAACTAGGACTCGATTCCTTACTACTAGGAGCATCACGCTTCCTCGATGGTCCAGCACCACTTGCTCCTCCTCCTGCATCAGCACTTGACGTCACAGCTGCTTCCCCACCACTTTCTTCCGCATCACTAGCACGAGATCGACTCGTATATGAATCATATACTTTTAATCCACCTTGCTGAGCAAAATGCTCGTCTTGGTCTATATCATCGCGACGTCGTTGTCGTCTAGCTAGTTGCACTTCGTATTTACGTAGTTGGGCTTTGGTTTTCTCGAGTTCCGCTTCTACTTTGCGTTCGACGTCGGATTTGCCTTGGGATGTGTCGTCGGCGTCCTTGTCAACCTGCAGCGACAAAAAAATCAGTGTTGGAACCTAGACCATAATTTGAACTCGATGTACCTCAGTCCTCATAGCTACAAGCTCTTCAATGATTTGCTCCTTATTATCAATTCGCTCCTTCATTTCTACTAAATCTTTTTCCAGGTTGGTGCACTTCTCGGCCATCATCATATAAGCTAACAAAAGCCATGTCAATGAGAAAGTATTGTGGTATCAAATATTCATGAGCCAAATTTGCTTTACCTTCTTGAGCTTCATGTTCAGCTCTATCCGAATCCGCCACCTTGGCTAGTAGGGTTTTACGATCCTCTTCAAGCTCTCTCAATTCACGACTGAGAGCAGCTATTGAAGCAGTCTGCTGCTGTGACAGTTGCTGAACCTGGTCTTCGAGGTTGGGTTTACCAGCATCTTTGGCTGCCTGTTGTAGCGCTTGTTGCTGAGCTTGTAGATGTCTGGTACGTTCAGCAGCCAACAGGTGCTCGAGACGTTCCACTTTGAGACGCTGCGATTTGAGAGGGAAGAGATGGTCGTTATATAAAAATGATGGGATTCGGTTTTTGTTTGGAGAGCTCAGGGACTCCGACACGATGCATTGTCAATGTAGTTTTACCTCGGAACGAACTTGACTCTCGAAACTCTCCTTTTCAGCCTCCAGACGTCTTATAGCACCATTGAGGTGCTCTTTTTCAACAATGCTTGACGTAGCTTGACGTTGGAAATCGTCTTTTGCACGATCTACAGAGAGAGCTACATCTCGAGCAGCCTGTACATCTCTCAAAAGTCTAGCCTTGTCAGCCTAAATCGTAGTGAATTAGAATCTTACCAGCGAAACGTCTGCTGTTTCAACCCATTTGGTCGCTTTTTGTTGTAAAAATACCTCCAGGTGCCGGACAGAACGTTCAGCAGCTGCAAGTGTTCTTGTGAGATCTAAATAGCAGAGAAATCATGTGAGTGTCAATGAGTGACTTCAAAATCAACGGAAAGATGTACGTCTTTCGCGTAGCTTTTTTTTGCAAGTACTCACTACTACATTGCTTTTCATACGATCCTAAATCAATCCTCAATTGAGCAGCTTCAGCAGTCAGCTCATCCAGCTGATTTTGTAGATGTTGGCCTCTCTTATCCTTCATAATCATCTCCATTCTAGAAACAAGTGTCAGATTTTGAAAGAGCAAAAAATCTCAAATTCAAACACCCTAAACATCTGCACATGACAGAGCAAAACTCAGACATACATACCTCATATTATTACCATCCTCATTAACAGCCCGTATAGACCCCTCCAACTTCTCATGCTCAGCAATAAGCTTCCGATACGAAACCATCAAAACGTCCTTCTCCTGTTCACGTCCTCTCGCAACCTCTTCCAGATAGTTATTCTGCCGTTCGGCCTCCACCATCTCATTCCTCAAATGATCTCGCTCAGCAATAGCTTCAGACAACTCTCCATTCAACACTTGATTCTCCTTGGTCAGCGCTACAAGATCAGAGCCAACATTCCGGGCTTCTTCAGCATTCCGCTGTGCCTCAATAGAGAAGTGATCTCGTTCATTGGCGAGGGATTCTACTTGTCGTTGCAAGCTCGATATTTCTCGATCTTGTTCATTGAGACTTGATGCGAGGGCATCGGCTTGATCACGTAACGCCATATACTCGGTTTCCATACGTCGAGAATCTTCCTTCATGCGAGATACTATAGCTTGTAGTTCGACAATCTTTTCGGCTTTGGAGTCCATATCGGCTTGGAAGACATCTCGTTCTCGATCTACTTGAGTCAGTAGACGTCGTTGCTCAGTCATTCGTAATGACTGTTCATCTCGTTCGTGAATGGCTCGAGATAAATCAGATTGAACTCGTTCAAGTCGAGATTCGGCTTCTATTAAACGTGATTTGACTTCCTGAGATGCAACATTCTAAAAAACAAGGAAATTTAAAGGTTCATGAGTCTGTACACTAAAATCAGCTACAACACAACGAAAACATCCAGATTTGAATCAGCGTACCTGACGCTCTCGTTGAGCTTCCATATCGCCAATTTTACTATTCAGCCTCTCGATTTCCTGCACTTTATCAGACAACTCGGCACGAATACCATTCAATTCACGTTCACTTTCTGCAGAAGGTGCAGCAGCATCTCGTGCGGCAGTTGATTCAGCAACTCTTGACTGCGGTACTCGTTCATTAGCTGCCTTCAAGTCCTTTGCCAAGATATCATTCGATTTCTCCAACTCGACTACTTTGGATTCTAGAGATCGTTCTTTGGCACGAAGTAGTTCGACTCGTGCTCGAAGGGCATTTATATCTGCTGGTGGTATAGGACTAGATGGATGAGTGACACTTAATGCGTGTGCATTTCGAAGTGTTCGTAATTCCTCAGTTGCCTGTGGGAGGCGAAAAATCATTACAGGTCATGTGCCGCTGTGCTTTTTTCGCTGTGTAAGTTGAAAGTGGGCTCTTACCTGCTCATACAATTGAGCAATATTATCTCGATCAGATGACAGCGTATCAAATCCATGTTGAACTTCTGCTAAATGAGACTCGAATTGTTCCAATGACTTGACTAGTTCATCTCTCTCCCTATTCAACAACGAAAAAGGAACAATCATTACACTTTTCCAATCACTGGACTGTCAGTCAAAGTCCGCCATTCATACTTTTTAACTTGTTCCAATTCCGCAATCAACTTGTCTTGTGATGCCATAGCCAAAGCACCACGAGATTCCACATCTTCCAGCCTTCTATTCAGCATCTTGACCTCTTCGTTTTTAGATGCTATCTGACGTTCAAGAGATTCGATTTGTAACTGTCTGTCATCCGACTCGAATGTCTTCTTTTGGACTTCCATCAACTACAAGTTATTAAGATAAATCAGAATAGAGAAAGGGAACTGTTATGTATGGATGATTCGAGAGTCTTTTTGCAGTTCGTACCTCTTGATGCAACCCTTGTAAATCAGCTTCGAATTTACCCTTTTCACTCTCAAGATCGTGTACCCTCTGCCTCAGCTCTTCATTCTCAGACTCTAAGCCAGGCTTCATTGTATCTGGCACAATTCGAATCTAAGCAAACAAAAAAAACCGTCTGTAATCATCCCAAGATTCCCTCTCAACTCGATACACGACACAAACCTCTGAGATATCATATTCATCAAGCATCTGACTATCACGCTCCAAATCAGGTTGTATACGAGCACGTTTAGGAGTATTTGGTCGTTTATGTGGTATTGGTGAGTGACGAACCATCTGCAAATCATTCTGAAGTTGACCGATGGTAGCGTTTGCAGTGGCAAGATCAGATCGAAGAACTTCTGCTTCCTGTGATGTCACTAACGAAAGTCATTGGCGTGAGGTGTTTGAGCTGACCCAAAAAAAAGAAGCAAGCAGAATACAACATAGTTGATAGGACAACGTACTGTCAAACTCGGCTCTCAACGATGATAGCTGGTGATTAGTACTCTTCAGCAATGCCTCAGTAGACTTCAACTTGTCAGTCAGGTCTGCAACTTGACGAATCGGTATCTGATATGATAAAAATGAAACATTCAGAATCGAAAGCAAAATCCTTATCACGACTCCATAATCCCACCTTTGAGACATGCTCCTTCTTATCCCGCTCATCTTTCGACTTTGATCTAGACACTTTGGAATCCACATTTTGACGTCTAGGTGATGCAGCCTTCAGTCCTTGCAACTCATTCAACATGGTTTCTAGACGTGATAGATTCTTCAGCAGTCCATCACCACGTTCCTTTTCTCGATCCAATTCATGCTTCATTGCTAGCCGTTCGTCTTCTTTTATAGCTAGCATGGTTTGTTGGCCAGATTCATACGAGGCTAGTTCCTATTGAACATTTGTAGATTGAGATTTTTTTGGTGGGACAACGCAGCCGAAGACAACAGAAAAGTCCCAGCAACTTGCCACCATCGGTATGCTTGACCCACGTCTTCCTCGCTCGTCCTATTACATACCTTTTCAAGGCCATCAGCATGCTCCTGCAAGTACTCAACCTGCATCTCCAACTGCTCAATTCTCTGTCTAGCAACAGTCAAGTCCCGTATACCAGCAGTCTCTGACGTCCCATCATCTCGAATTTCATGTAATGGTCGAGCACCAGGTGGAACAGTCGAGAATTGTTGAGCTCGAGCTACTTCTAATTGAGCTCCTAGTCTAGCGGACTCTTGCTCACGTCGACCGACTTGTTCTCTCAATAGTTGAACCTGTTTGTGTTTACATCAACGTGAGATAGTGTTGGGTCAGCAAAAAGCCTAGCAAGTAACTTCAAGGAATGACATGCCTGGTTCTCCAAGTCAATATTCTTTGAGCTCAGATCATCCTTTATTTTAGATAATTGCTCTGCTCGTGCTTCAGCCATTCGTAAAGCATCAGCAATGACTGGATCTGGACCCAGGAAAGCAGTCGATGGATTCTGTAATGGTTCTACAAAAGAAAACAAACAGGTTGACGTGGTCACAACAAAGAAAAAAGATCAATTCAAGATCAATTCCACATAGTCATGAACATACCAAGTCCAGTCTCCAAATCAATCTTTTGTATCTGCGAAAACAACCTTTCAGCAGCCTTACTAGGCTGTTTCCTCCCACCACTAATCTTACTATTCCCATCCTGTATAACGCCCTGTTTAAGCAACATTTCGGCGACTTTGGCCCGTTCAGTTTCAGCCTTCTTCATTTCCATTTCAGCACGATGCATATGCTGCGAGACCATGAATTTCAAATCTTCACGTTCAGATTCAAGTCTTCTCACAGTTTGCGTGGCTCTTTGTCTCGTTGCATCTAGTTCAGCGGCAGATGCAATCACATCACTGTGTAGACGATTGTTTTCGGCTGTGATGCGAGCGATTTCTTGTCGGAGAGGAGCAACCTTGTAAAAGAAATAAAAGTGAAATTAATACTTGTAGAACCGTGTACAATCAGTCAGTCCTCTCTTGTCTCTCTTCCACGTCCACAATTTGCACATCAAATGTGATTTTTACCTGATCCTCGACAGTTCTTCGCTCAGCTTCAGCAGCTTCCTTTTCAAATTTAAATCTTCGAGCGGTATCAGTAGTTACTATTAGATCCGATAATAACTTTTGGACTAGACCGGCTGCTTCTGGTGGTAGCACTTCTTTTGAATATCCAAGCTGATCTAGTCGTAGACGAAGTAATCTACGGGCATCGTCGCTGGCTGAAAATCCAAGTCCGGGCATCCCCGACATGGCAGTTGCTGCCATTCTACTCGTACAGTAGCGGTTAATGGTCTGCCTGCAACTGTGGTTTAATTTGTTGTGATCAAGTTAACGATCAACGAGTAAGACGACCAGCTTGGTCAAGAAAAGAGGAACGCGATCTGAAATTCTGACTTAACCCAAAAATTAATGCAAAACATTGGAAAAAGTTATATATGAACTGTATTCTCCTTGTCCTTTTTACAACAATTTGATTCGTGCAAAGTGAGCATCCGTACTATTTTACTTGCCTAGTTCCAATATCTATAACAATGAGATACACGTGTAAGTTGCAAGTTAGTGTGTACCAAGTCAAGCAATCCTCCTCGCATACCGCATGAATAATATCTGTCAACGTGACAATCCCAATAGGCACCCTCGCATCATTGACAATCCAAATACGATGCACATGATGCTGTAAAACAGTTTGAGCAACATGCAACAGGGTATCTGTTGGCTTGCATACAATGTCACCACCACTGTATTCACCACCAATTTTGACCCGATCGAGGAACTGCGCGACTGTAAGCTTCTTCATTTCTGACAAGAGCTCGAATATATCGGTTCGAGCTGGCACTTGTCTTAAGTCAGAGATGGAGAGCGTTCCTATACAAAGGTCGACTTAGTCAAGGTTGATATGGAACCTTTGAGTTTGTCTGGGAAGTTACCAGTCAGAACACCATTCTTGGCCTCATTGACAACAGGAATGGCATTGATACCTAGCAGTCAGGCAAGAGTCATAGAGTTAGCTGCCAGTAGTGCAGTCACCTGTTTGCTGATTTTTTTTTTTTGCAGTCCAACGTACCCCAATCACTCATTCCTTTTAGAGCCGCAAGTAGTGAGACATCCTTGTCTACAGTCAAGACTCGTTTGTCGGCACCTATGTATGACTCGTGAGTTCTCGCACTTTATGAGAATCGCATTGGTACCATACCGTCAGGTGCAAGACCGAGCACAGCAAGCGACGTTGAAGCTTTGGCTCTTAGATTTGGATCCTCGTTCAGGATTGACAATATGTATCTGATAATGTCGCTTTGCGTAATAAGATGGAAGCCAGCTGATTCGCCAATAGGTTGTGGGACTAGCAGACGATGTACACCTACCAAGTGCGAAGAGTTTAGGAAATGAGGTGAAACGAACGTTGCTCGCCAACAGACGCATACCTTTGGATAGTGGTTCTATGCACGCCGAGAGCTTGTCACCCGGTTTAGCAATCCAAAGCGTCTGAGATTCTGGGGATTTGCCAAGAAGGGTGCGTACAGATACCGAGTCCAGAGTGTCCATTCCGTGCGCGTGTGGTCTTGGAGCGTCGACAGGTGAGTTTGGTTTGGCAGCATCGACCTCCATCGCAAGGTTTGTGAGGTAGATGGTAATGTCCAAGATCTAGAGCGGTTAAAAGGGAGAGATCATGCTTCAGTAAATATTACGGTTGGAACAGGTAAGGTATCAAACACGAAAAAAGTAGCAAGCAGACTAACGTTGACAGATTAGTACATTTAACTTACAGAAAGGAGACCAATGTAGTGCTTGTCACCGTCAATAGCGTCAGTATCGCCACCGACGCCTAGCCAATGACCTTTTTGACCATAGACGGGGAGAGCGAGTATATTATGTCGTCGTAATAGCTTCAGAGCATCGCCGAGACATGAGTCCACAGAGATGGCCACGAGTTCCCGGTGTTTCTTCTCCTTTTGCGCGAGAATATCCTCTAGTAGGTGGTCCAATACGGAAGACACCATTTTGTATGTATCTTGCTTGCTTGTACGGTTTGTCTCTGGCAGTTTCTGTCCGTTGTGAGGTTTGGTGAGTCAGAGCACATTGTTGCGGTAAACACCTCGAGATGCAGCATCAATACGCGTGACTTAGTTCTAGAACATCTAGAGATTTAGATTTACGTGTCTTGTTCCTGTCGCATCCTAGCTCCACGACCAACCTTCATCCTCCCAACAGAAGTGAACAAAGCTTGTAACAAATCATCAGCATATACCAAGACCAAAGACGCAGAAAATATGAGTTTTATCGCATCAGCATCCACTCAGACAAGCTCCATCGTCGTCCATTATCCTTTGGAAACGGTATGGGCTGACGTTCGAACACTCGCATTTGGCTGGAAGGCTATCAAAGATATCAAGGGAAACGTAAATGAAGGTATCCTTCTATTGCTTGCTACTATTATTTACTATTTCGTGCTGTTTTCTTCTCGTTTTGCCTTTGATTGCTGTCAGAACGGACACATCAAATCATGTCACTTGATATTTCATTATATTTGTTCATCATGGGCCTTTCATGATCAACTCCCAATCTGAATCTCAACATTCATTCTCAATCTCTCCTTCTATTCATTCTCTAGTTGGCGGAACTCGCACTGTCAGCTTCAAAGACACAACTATTCAAACATGGAAACTCCTAGAGCTCTCAGACTTGGATCACTTTGTCACTTGGGAAATCGTCGACTCGGAACCAAGCATCGCAATCATGGCTGCTTCAAACACAATCAAGTTGCGACGTGTCACTCATGTATGTGTGCACTCACAGTATTACAGTATAATCACGTGGGGTGGTCATCATGATCGTTGCATGATGACGTGGTGCTGATGGGGATCATTGATTGTTGACACTTTGAATGACGTGGTGGTGATGGTCATCAATGAATGATGATCTGATGTTCACGTCTTGGGAAGGCGTTTGATGCAGCTAACCCACACAAACATTGCATGTAGGACAACTCTACCTTCATTGAATGGTCAACCTACTTGCCATCCGCAGATACGACCGCAAATGCATTGGAAGACGCCAAATTCAAAAAGGCCGAAGCTTTTGAGGATTTGGTTGCTCATCTCTCTGCCAAAAAGTAGTAAAAGAGAACCATGTTGTGTATAAAAGCAAGCTATATATCACCCGTGTCCAATAATTGATTTACTCTTGTAAGTTGCACATAAGAAACCTGTGTCCAAATGAATATATATGACAATATAAAGCCTCAACCCAAATAACTTGCCGGCGCCATACTTTCAAACAAGGTTTGCAAATAGAACATATTGTCTATACTGTCGTCCCTTTTTAATAGAATATAACAAAGAAAAAAGACCTCAAAACAACCTCCATACTAATAAGGTCTATCAATTCCAAACCAACAAGAGAGTCCTACACTCACCATCTCCATTCAAACCAAATAATTCCCTCCAAAACCACATATGAGACATCGTTTTTTTACATGTTCTTTTTACTTATGGAAGCCTTTTCCAGCTGACGTGCCTGCCTCTTTTGCTCTCGAATGACCATGAGTTTATCCCACTTCTTTGTTTCTTTTGGAGTGAGTACCTGTTTCAACAGGTGCTATACGAAAATGAAATGAATTGTTAGACACAATATATTATCGTTGAGTGAGGTTCCTTTTTTTGGCCCTTTAACATGAGCCCAACGAGGCTCTCACTGAGCTGCAGCCAATACACGCAAAACCAAACTCATAAGGCAGAAGCTCACCGTTTTGATTCCCAAACAGACATCGACACTATAATCAAACCAATCCAAATCGGTAATATCCACATTAAATACTTGATCATCCTTCAAATCTGCCACAAGCTCTCTCATATTGTCGGCGACAAAAGGGCCCTTAACCCACAACATTTGTCTCAAATCTTCTTTTACTTCATTCCATTTAGCATAACTCTTTTTTAAGACTGGTTTCTTTCGGATTACGACAAGACCGGCATCTACGACATATCCAAAGAGCGTCTGCGAGAAGAACTCGTGAATTTGATGTATGGTCTTGCTCTTGTGGAATTTAAAGTTTGGTTTCCGGAGTTGGGGGTTGAGTTTGCCGTATTTGGCAACAAAGAAGGGGTATTCGCCAAACCATTTGGATAGAGTGACTGGATTTATACTGTGACAAAAAAAAAGTAAAAGTGTCAGAAAGACTCATCCTTGACGGCTAGCAAACTGCGATTTGCACAAATAGAAGCCTTACTCTCCAGAACAACAGTGGTAGATAACTAGTTCATGAGCAGGTGCAAGAGTAGTGTTTTCATCCGAGTTGGTGGTGGTATTGTTGGAAGTTACTTCTAGCCACAAACACCAGTGTTAGCTAATGTCGTCTACACCCAATACGCAACCCAGCAAAAAACGATGCATCATATTATATACCTTCTTCTCCAGCTTCACTCTTTACAGGAGTCGACGCGCCAGCATTAACAGTTTCAGCATTGCTGAGTGGCGAGTCTGTAACAGTCTTGGTGGCCAATGCACTGAGAGCTGGAACTGGTGTAGAAGGGGCAGTGAGTGTGCTTTTGGTAGCTTCAGGCTCCAAGAAGCCTCCTAGACGAGCTGTTCTCCATCCAACAGCAATGATGGTGTTTGCAACAATGTCGACAGGGATGACATCAACGATGTATTCTGGATCAGCGTGCATGGATCGTAACGCTCCTAAGCCGCCTCCGATGACGGCTGTGAGGGGAAAGTGGTTTGAGTCATTTGTGTCAACCAGAGCAGCCAACGAAAGAAAAAAACGAAGAGAAGCTGTTGAAGCACGAATTTACCTCCAGTCATTCCCTGGAAACCCTCAACCCAACCTGGATTATCTCTCCAACTGTTTGCCACAATACTCGGACGCACTATACAACATGGCAAAGCTCCTCGTTCCTGAGACATGAAGTATTCACCCAAATGTTTTGTCCATACATATGCATTGACTTTGCCAACGAGCAGCTTTGGTTTTAGGGCCTCAAACATTTCAGGAGACATCCAGTCTAGAGTTGCCAGCAAGTCACGAGGGTCTATATTTACAGGGTAGATCTTTGTTCTTGCGGTTAGAACATATAACCTTTAAAGTAGCTTTTGCAATGTGTATTACCTTTTCTTCGACGACGGGCAGTTGTTCGCAGTTTGCGTAGGCTGTTGAGACTTGGACTAAAGAGACTAGTTCGCTGCATTCTCGGGCCAGGTCTAGTATTCTATTGTTTGAGATGCTGTGAGTCTTGAAGTCTCATCATCGTGACACGTGAAATTGGTATCTCCCACACACGAATGAGAGGGAGACTCTCACCTTCTTAAGCCTCCAACATGCATATTAACGTATTCGATTAATGGACGAGTCCATGACACAATGGCAGCACAATTAATAATTACAGAGACACTTTTTCGTAATAATTGGCGATCTTCATCCGATATGCCGAGCGCGGGCATTGTCATATCACCTACGTAACGTTCATGGCAACGAAATATCGATTAGGATGACTTCATCAATGTGGTCGTCTTCTGGTACTGATTTGCGTACCTTCAATACACACCACCTTTCCCAGCTGCTCGGCACTGAATCCCTCCTATACGACGGATGAGTGTGTGAGATACGCAACAGCGCCAAGCAAAAGCCAGAAAAGGACTGGGATTCAAACCAACAAAAATAAGCTTTCACAGGGCTTAACTTACAAACGCGGAATTGGACAACATCTTCCACACTCTGTCTTTGGGAGCAACATCCTTCTTACTTCGAACCAGTACGTAGATGGTTGCGATATCAGGGCATGCCTGCAAAAGTTTAACAACTACAGCCTATGGGGGAAAAATCAACAAGGTTGTAAGTTCGGAGGATATGTATGATAACACGACATCTCATGATGCGAAATCCACCTTTCCGACGAATCCAGTAACGCCTGTCAAAAAGACCGTCCTCCCAGCGTAGAAACTGGTCACTTGTGATGGCATCTTGGGGATTTTTTTCGTTTGTTGATTGTTGGTAGATTACAACTTGTTTGGGCAATGAGGCGCAAGTCGGGAGTGATGTACTACTCTAACTGAAGCTCAACAACGGTATACAAGCAGCTTTAGCTCCTGTTGGCGATTGATGATGGTGTTTGTCGGTGGTTTTCGACAGAGGTTGAAAAGAAAGCGAAGGAGGCGAAGACAAGAGGGGAGGTTCCTTTTCCGCTGATGACTCTTTCAGTCTCGTAAATGAAGTATTTGGACCGGAGATATGTCTCACAATTCCTATCGTATATATCTGATTGTAGGTAACTTGAACGCTGAAATTTTTCGGGGCCGAATTTCCGAAGTCCGACAAAGCATGATGATTCATGCTGGCTCCAGCAGACGTGAAAACGTACTTGATCTGTGTAAACCTTTGGAAAATAAGATCGAACTGAGAATGGACCGTATGGACAGCCATTTGAGAGAGGTGTCGTTGTTTGCGTAGATGCGCAAAACGCAGTATTGGGACAAACATCATCTTGCCATTTCCCATCACGTCCATAGTCACAGCCAGGCGTTTCTTAATTATTTGATGATAAAAAATATCACTTCTGATACGTCCGTAAGCCGTAAACACGCACCCGTAGAATCAGACAAGGCCAGCTACACGCTATGCGATTACACGGCCGACCAAACGCCTCCCAAGAACCCTTATGACATGAAACCAAGCATATTTCAAAATACGAACCAACCTTCTGCAAGCGGCTACCATGTCGTACATGTAAGCTATGATGCCAGTCAGACTCAAAAAATTAAAAGTCAAAACTGTGATGGATCAGGCCAAAGTGCAGGAGGGACAGGCCCTCATGGCAGAAGGTGATAAAGCGTAAGTGCCTACAGTGATGTTCCATTGTTCCTGCTTGTGCTGATATGCGCAAACGAGTTTCCACCAACCAATGTGGTAAACACGAGATTTCTGTTGGATTTGCCCTTTGATGAGATGCTGCAGCCGATCGAGTCTCCACGCACCCTTTTTGGATAATAATGTCGTCTGGCTACACACCAAACAATTGTCTGATTGTCAAAAAGTACTAACATCAACCATTTTGTCAACAGATTAAACAAGAAGACCTTTTTTGGGAGTAAAAAACCAGATTACGATTCCGCTGTTTTCGCATATGAGCAAGCCGGTACAGAATTATATATTCAATACCTTGATCTAGATCATCAAACTTCACAACATGGTTGACATAGTCGCACCGTTTCCTAAACTTACATTCAACATCCACATTTGCTAGCTACTTGCTTCAAAGTAGGCCGAGCACATGAACTCGCTGTGGATGCTTTTGTCAAGTCAGCAGAATGTCATAAAAACCTTGATTCGTAGGTGTCCATACTTGTCTCTGAGGGTTTTTTTTTGTTGATAGACTCCACCGATTTTGACATTGATCTGATTGCCTACATACTCATACCTCCAACCCTAATAGAATGGCCCTAGCAGCCAAACAATTAGAATCAGCCGCCATAATCGCAGTCCAAAACCTCAAACAATATAAACTCGGTGCAGACTTGTACAAACAGACTAGTGATTGTCTGCTGATACAAAACAGTCCCGATCGAGCTGCAGAATGCTTGGAGAAGGCCGGGAAAGCAATGGAGAATACAGATTCAGAGTCTGCTATGGAGTACTATTTACAGGCTTGTGACTTGTTTGAGGAGGAAGATCGTGGGAGGTTTGGAACGGACACGTTTCGGAGGACTGTCGGGCTGCTTATTATTGCCAACAAGTGCGTTGGATTTGGTTGCTTTCGTGCCATTTTTTCTTCCTTGTATCTCACAACCGCTTTTTGTTTAAATGAAACTTTTAAGGCTAGATAAAGCCGTTGCGCTACACGAACGACTAGCGGACGTATTCGCCAAAGCTGGAAACACTGCATCCTTTGTCAAAACCGCATTAGGTGTCATCATCATTGCCTTGTACAATGGCGATGAAGTGGATGCTAAAAACAGGATGGCCAAGTTTAACAAGTTGAGTTATTTTCAGTTCTTTCGTTGAGCTTTTTCGGCTCTTTCTGACTTGACTGCTAATTTACAGCATGCATGGTTGGATTTCTTCGCAAGAAGGTGAAACTGCCGATGAAATGTTACGAGCATACGAGAATCGTGATTCCGAGTTGCTGGCACAAGCCGTCAAGAGGCCGTGGATTAATAATCTTGAAAATGAGGTGAGGGCTGCAGCGCAAAAAAAACCAGCGTTTCCAGAAGCACCAATATCAGCATACTCTGATGTAGATCACTCGTATCGCCAGATTATTAGCTGTGCCAGGAGGTGGCAAAGTGAATGGCAGCGGAGTCGCAGAAGAAGAGGATACTGGAATACTGTGAACAGATAGTAGTAATGTCCAGGTAATAGAATGTACGCACACACGATACTGTAAATACACACAAAGAATGTTTCAACCTACTCATTTCTATTATGGACTCCTCATATTTACCAACCCGAACGACAGTTTATACTGGTATGTCTACGGCCATCCATTCAATTTATCCGTGGATGTAAATTTACCAGATCCAGCCAGAGATTTCACACGGGATAGTGATATCATGCTTCGAGAATTGGGCAGGAAACTCAAACTGTTGTCTCGAGTAAGAGATTTTATGACACGTGTCCAGTTGGTTGCCTAGACCTTTCTGTTTGTTTTTCATCACGGTCAAGTAATGAGGCAACGGCTGCCAAAGATAGAAGTGTTAAGTGCTCCCCTGCAACGTGGTGCACTGCTCCAAACCTGAATTGGCCAACTATCAAAACACCAAAACCAGGGGCGACCCATGTCCAGTAGAGTGGAATTATAAATGGTGACATGGCATAGCTCTGACCGTACGAGACTACTTCGAGGTGGATTTCAATTACACCAAGTACTAAAAATGTTGTCATTGAATGGGAAGATTCTCCTGAAACGACGCCTTCTGTATACAACAATAATAACAACACGACAGCAAGCACTTACATAGAGCAGTTCTTCCAACCCACCAATGTAGCTTGTCGGGAAAAACTGGAATACCAGGTCGATCAGGACTCCATAGAGCTTTGACTTGGACAGTAATCCTAACCGATTTGGAGTAGACAGTATAGTGCCATGAACAATCTTATTACTTGATGTGGTTCTGTAATGAGAGAGAGTAAATTGCAAGACTAATGAGTTCAATGTTACGTTGCAGCAAGCATGTACCTTCAATGTCAAAGTGTGGTGGAGCAACAAAAAAGACACAAGTGTTAGACCAACAGTGACACCAAACATGAGCCAGACGTGTAATCGGTACCTATGCAAACGGAGAGTTAGCGTCGATAGTCTACACCGAAGAATTTTCTATACACTTGAATCCAACACAATACGCGAAGAGAACTCACCGCCAAACGCCGAGCACATCTGTAAAGAAACGGGCAAAGAATGTTCCAGCAAACGGCTAAACAGCCCACGCCACAAACATGAGAATGCCATATACTCTCAACACGAGTGCTTTATCAGCAGTATTCTAAATAGTTTCAGAATCTGCAGAATAGCTGCATTACCAAGTTGTGATAGATCAAGATCAAAAACTTCTCTTTGGTCGCGTAAATTAAAGCTTCCTGATGGGCTATCAAGTTTCCAGATGTGGTGTCGAGGAAGCCCCAAATGTGTGAAAGACTGCCTGATGAGGAGACAGAAACACTTCGACGTTTGAGACGATAAGCTGCCGATGCCATTGGAACTGAGATGCTGACTCCGAGAGTACAGCCAGTTGTGTGTACCAATGCGTTGAATGGTATGATTTGGGCGTTAAGGGATGCATCGTTTGTTGGCATCGTGTGGCCTTTACATGTTCTCTGCGAGAGTGTGTATCCGCCTGTTTAGTAAGAGACAGGTTCAGTGGCAAAACTTGGAATGGTGCCTATCGTTCAAACATGGTCGAATCTGACATTTGAGTTCCGAGACCAGGAGATACCCATCCATTTAGTGATGATTCGATGGTGAAAACCATAACACCGTTGGCTGGATCGGGGACTGCAGTCAAACAGAATGATGGAGTGGAATCAACACAGAGTGGAGATGCTGACAGTTACAGTTGCATTTGCCGTGATTTCAACACCAAAAGTAACATATGGGGCGTTGAAGGACAAATCTGGTGAATACCCAGTAGCCCAGATATAATTGGTGGCACCATGAATTTTGACTGGCCCTTTTGAAAGAAGAGTGGCATTATACATGGGGCGAGTGAAGTTTTGGCAAACGAAACAATAACAGCATCGTTTAGTCCAGCTACCGTTGGAATCGATTCAGTAGATGAATGTCGCTGCCAAATCACACAGCCATTGCCAGTAGAGTTTTGCCAAACTGTAGAGTGGTTGATTGCGTCAATTGCGTCTGTTTAGAAAAACAACTTATAATATAAACCAAAGTGAATGACACCTACTTCATACCGACGTACACTGCAGCTCCGCTTATTGACTGTCCAATCTCAAGTGCCATCCTTTTCGACGTGCTTGACGTCTCGAGAGTGTACAGAATAGTTTGCGTCTGCAAGTTGGCCTTTCCTGAAAACGAAATTGACGAAGTCACTCAGTATCGTCAAATTATTCCAAACCATTCTTATCACTCTCCATTTTACCTGTAAAACAATAGCTGCCAGAGCAATATGTGATTCCATCCGCAACACAGTGAGAGTGGGCGCCGTGGGCGCTGTGCATCATCCTAACCTTGCAGAAGCCAGCACAGTAGCAAAGAAAAGGAACACACCAAACGATGCCAACCTATGCATGCTTGGAGGACAGATATGTTTGAGTTGCAAGAGGGTTTAAGGTGTTGATTTCGAAGTGAGGAAAACCACTTGGCGGCCTCAACACCGAAACCCCTGATTAGTGGGGACGGATTGGTTGTTGGGTCCAATCGCGAGAAATTCCCTCTTTCTAACCAAGAAATCCAAGCGCTCGGCGTTTTATCGTTGCTACCAAGTACCAAGAATTATCGTTGTTTTACCACATACAGAACAACAATTGCACATGTTGTGACTACTGGAATATATTCGATGCTGACTACTATTACTACTTATTACTAACTACAGCTACTACTACACCTTCACTCACTACTTCAAACTGTGTACTTGTGTGAACAATCGGTTTTCATTTGGGAGATCTTTAGGCATCCAAGGTGTCGTTTGATGCCAGTATTTCATCAGACTTGGTGAAAGCCGGGGGCCGCGGGCCCAAAGGCTTGCTGAATTCTTTGTGGTCGACCAAGGACATTTGTGAAGTTGCCAACTCTGTCTTCTTCAAGTGGTGAACGGCTCCAAATTTGAATTGACCAAATATCAAGACGCCAAACATGATTGCAATCCACGTCCAGTAAAGTGGGATAATAGCTGGAGACATAGGATAGCTTTGACCGTATAGGACTAGGCCAAGGTAGATTTCAATGACCCCAACCACTAAAAAAACTGAGTCAGCAAATGACACTAGGCTTCTGACTGGAGTCGTCTCTAAATAGCAATAATAACGAAAAGATGCAAATACTTACATAAAGCGGTTCTTCCGACCCACCAATGCAGTTTATCGGGGAAAATTGGAATACCTGGTCGATCAGGAGTCCATAGAGCATTGGAAAGGAATCCCAACCCAATTTGGAGGAGACAGTATAATGCCAAAAACAGTCCTAGCGCTTGATGTGGTTCTGGGTTGCGAAGAGATGAGTAGGTAAGCACGGATACATTGAGATATCAAGAAAACGTCCACACCTTCCATCTTGAAGTGAGGAGGAGAAACAACCAAAAAGACAAGAATCACTGAGACAAGGGTAATGCCACCAGTGACACCGAACATGAGCCAAACGTGCAATCGGTACCTATTGAGTAGGAACAAACCTTGAATACCAAAGTGTCACAAACAAACTGCACGGTAATATGAACTTACCACCAAACTCCAAGTACGTCTTTGAGGAACCGAGCAATGAAGATACCTGCGAAAGGAGAAACGGCCCATGCAACAAACATGAGAATACCGTGAATTCTGAAAATCAATGCCTTATCAGGTGTATTCCATAAAGGTGACGATCCCGAAGGAGCGGTTGCGTTGCCCAGCGATGACAAATCGAGAGTGAAGACACCTCGTTGATCATGGACGTTAAAACTGGAAGTTGAACTATCAATGCTTCCAGATGGACCAGATGAAGCAGCACCCCAAACATATGAAAGGCTGCCGGACGATGCGATTGAAACAGCACGTGATTTCAATCGATGCGCTGGCGTTGTCATTGGGACTGAAATGCTGACTCCAAAAGTACAGCCAGCGGTATGCGTCGTTAGGTTGAATGGTACAATATTGGCATCAACGGTGGCAGCATTGGTCGGCATTACATGTCCTCCACATGTTCTTTGAGAGATTGTATATCCACCTATGTTTGATTGAAAGCGATTATAAGCTTTAGAAAATCAAATTGAAATCATGATGATACACTGTGAGAGTTTTTTGTTGGTTTACCTGTAGAATTCTTCCAAAACACAAACATGATTGCATCAGCCATCTGAGTACCAAGACCAAACGATGCCCATCCATTGAAAGATGATTCAATAGTGAAAATTACAACGCCATTGGCTGCGTCAGGTACAGTAGTCAAACAAAACGATTTGGCAGAGTCGACACAAAAGGAGGCGGCCGTCTGTCCCGAACTGCCAGGAGTTGCAGGAACCGGAGTGGTTGTCCCACCATTAGATACTGATCCTCCCTAAAATGTGCGCAAGGCAGATGAGAAATTGTGACTCACAAAGAAGTCTCGATAATCCACTTACAGCTTGGAAGAGGTTTCCACTAAATGAGCCATAAGTATCGTGCTGAGCGATGCTGGAAGTTGTTGAGTCCATTGCAACAGCAGCATTGGAAACACCGTAGATGTAACTGGTTGTTGCACTCGTGGATAAAGTGTATGAGCTGCCTCCAGGTGCCAAAGGACGGAAGAAAGCGGCGGAGAGAGCAGCACCACCAGTAGCTGCTTGTGGACGAGTTACGACGTAACCATCGATAGCCATAGTTGCAGGGGTGTTGTGAGATGACGATGTTACACGCTATAAATATAAAAATAATTGTGAGATAATAAAGGAAAGCTTTGATATCAAAAACAGCTTACTTGAGACAAGGTGTATCCAGATGTGCTGCTATAAAATGCATAAAGCGTGTCAGTTTGCAGACCTATTAACAATCGGCGTGGGCGCTTACTTTGGATAGAGGACGTATATCGTTGGACCAGCCATCATTGTACCTCCGAGACCAATAGCGACATATCCGGTATATTTGGTCTCAACAGTATAGATAGCACCAGCAACACCATTTAGCGTAGCTGATTGAGCCGTAACACAAAAAGTCACCGATGAATCAACACAATAGGTCGACGAATTTGAAGATGCGGTTGGTGCAGGAGGAACAGGTATGCGAGGACCACTGCCTCCACTGCTAACTGAAACACTTGTAGTCGCAGTAAAGTCGACAGCAAAAGTACCAAAGGAGGAACCAGCATGTTGATTGAATGAGGAGCCTGGGGAATTTGGAGAGGTTACGGTAGTGCCAGCGCCCCAGATATAATTGGTAGTTCGAGAGGCATTGACTGGTCCATAAGCCAAGAAGGATGCGTTATACATTGGGCGTTGGAAGGAAACACCAAAGACAGATCCTGCCATAGGTGTGGTTCTTGCGAAGGAGACAATCGTCATATCTTGAACTCCAGTCATTGTTGGAATGGTTTCTGAGGCAGAGTGTCGTTCAGACACTACGTAACCATTCCCAGAGCTGTTTTTCCAGGCTACATAGACAGCAGCTCCATTCATAGACGGTCCAACACCAAGTGCCATCCATTTTGAGGACGAAGTGCTTGTCTCTAGCGTAAATGTTATCGTTTGACCCACCAAATCGGCCTTTCCTAGAGTTTGCACAAAAAGGAACGTGTTAGCATATGCGGTCACATATCAAAAAGCACGTTAATATTCTAATCAAAATATTTCTGAGTGACTCTGGTACGTGATCAATTTGACAACCTGTGAAACAGTAGCTTCCTTGGCAGTAGGTAACCCCGTCTGTTGAATATGTCGCTGTCCCAGAGCCTGAGGTACCATCTCCAGACACTAATGCAGCACCAAAAAGAAGAATAAGTGCCAAAAAATCGAGTTTGGCCATTATTACAAAGTTCAAGATTCGGATTTCTTGGTGTTGGTAGTTTAGACTATGCTCCGAATCACCAGCTGATTGGTAGGGTATGGACTCCAAGTCTTGGCGCTCTAGATCTTCTTTCCTTTCTGAAGTTTCCGTATGGGATTCAGATGATCAAGAAGTGTTCTTAACGGAATGGCTGCTATCCTATCGTCGAACTCGTGCTATTTCTTTCGAAAATATGTATGTGCAAGTACAAGTACGATACAGCATCGACGCTAAAATTACAATTAATCACAGACAGTTGCAGTACATTATCCGGGAGATCATCCATTGAGCGAGCTGTACGTGTTTCGTTCATAACGACTCTTCCAAAATTGCAACACGTAAGGCTTTAAACTGAGCGACACCAACAGAGCACTGATGCAGACGATAAATGCAATAATGAGGGTCTCCTCTTTCTGGCTTCCTCTCTCTACGATGCAGATAATAGATTGTGAGAAACACATGATTGCATATAGAGTAAGCGAAAGATCAACACTGCAACATACGAAAGCAAGACACATTCCAATCACTATCTACAAACAGACGTTCATTTCCCATATATGATGTAGTGGTAAAATTTGAGCAGCTCCTGATTGTTGAACAAAAGGTCTTCGAACATAATGTACAAGTATCGATGGTGTTGAGAGTTGAATTTGCAGCATCAAGAGCACAATCACATTTACATAGTGTTGTGATGTTAGCCGCAGAGATCTATAAAAGTCAAGAGTCAGTTGATGAGATCGCAAATCTCGATTATTAACAGCAAGCGATGCCAAGCAATGATCGGAAAGTTGGAATAACGGCAACGTTACCTGATAGCAGATGCTCAGGAGCAACAGCCTTATGGTTATGAACAGAGAGCTTCGCATTCCTTGCCCCTCCTTGTGTTCGAAAGAAGTTGGACGAGAATGTACAGTCGTTATAATGATAGATCGGGATTGAATTATTGGCTATTACTATAACGAACACCACAGGATTATTACACCATCGAATTGAAATTCCTATATGCTTATAAGTCCCTTCGTTGTAACGTATGTATTACACACATCGAGTATCGCTATATATATGTTTTGAACAGTCGGCCAAGGAAGAACGGCAGATAACGTCTATTGACGCGTTTACCGCACGAGATACGAACAGTGACAACCTTAAAGCAAAAACTCAATAGTCAATATTAACGCAATGAACTTATTCTATTACCACTGCTACACTCCTTACAATAATTTCGATGTTGAGCTACTATCCTTACCAGTACTTCCTTGACTCAATGTCCTACTCACGCTAGGCGGCAACTCTCCTAAATTTGGAACGGGATTCACAGCAGCTGGTTGGGTTTGCATTTCGGGTTGTGTTTCCTTGTCTGAAGATTCTGGTGCTAAGAATCCATTCCCAAACCCATTACCATTATCTCCAGTTTTGAGCGTAGCCATCCCAATGTCACCTTCACCACCACCCAACTGATTTGACATTGAGGATGCAGCAGCAGCTAATGGTGACATAGTACTACCGGGCGAAGCTTTACTACCAGTACTAATACTACTACCATTCAACTTGCTTGCCCCAAATATCTGTTCAAGAGACCGTGGCATCATGGTAGTCTTACTTACACGTGCAATATCACCTTCTCCTACTGTCTTAGCTAATTGCTCTTGCGAAGCACTCGTGAAGGTGGTTGCAGGATGATTACGTACTTGATATGCTCGTGCGGCTTTTCGCAATCGATCTAAATCAGCTTGGCCTTTATGTTCAGAAACGAGTTTGAGGAAGCGAGAGTTGGGGTTGTCAAGTAGGGACATTGGTGTATCGAATTCTACACTTTGGCCATTGTGCATGACCAGGATACGATCTGATTGTACGGCAGTCAAGAAGTGTGAGGCTAGCATTATGAGAGTGGTATCTTCAAAGTTGTCTCGAAGTGTTTTTCGTATCAGTTCGTCAGTGTCTGTGTCTGATGCACTGGTTGGTTCTATGAAAGTTTCAGAGGTGTGAGGAGACCGAGCAAACAACGTAGTAACACGGAAACCACATGATCAGCATACCATCTAGAACGACGATCTTGGTATTCAATAAGATAGCTCTTGCAATACAAAACAATTGCCGTTCAGCTAGTGTGAACATCTTGCCGTTTTCTGTAAGAGATTTGGGAGTGTTGATCATTTGCGCCAAAAGAGGGCAGGACCGAAAGGAGTCATGGTGCTTTACCTGTTATCAGAGCATCCAATTTCAATGGCAACTCCCTGATTTTATCTCCCATATGTACAGAATCAAGGGCCTACAAGACAAACAAACGCAAAGTGTTGGAGATATATTTGAGTCGCTTCTGCGAACTTTCACAGCGAAAAAAAGAAGAACGTTGACAAATGATCCTACCTTCCAAACATCAACATCAGACCTCTTGCCAAATGGATCCAAATTCGATCTCACAGTACCAGTCAAAAGCACAGGCTCTTGTGGAATAACAGCAATCCGTGACCTCAATTCTCGTAACCGGATTGACGACACATTCACATTGTCTACTAGTACATTGCCTTCAGAAGCTTCTACTATTCGTAACATGGCAACTAGAAAAGAAGAAACCTTAGCAAAAAGGTGCCAAAAAAATTCAGCCATCAACTTTTTAATGCTCACCGAGCAACGTAGTCTTCCCAGAGCCAGACCTCCCAACAACAGCAATAGTCTCACCACCATGTATCGACACGTTCACACCCTTCAAAACAGCAACTCCATAACGATGATACCTCAAAACCACATTCCGGAACTCTATATCTCCATTTGATGGCCATCCTTCAGGTGGTGTTCCCGAAGATCCAATATCATGAATAGCACTACCTTCACGTGGTATGCTGTCGGCGGTTCTTATTACTACTTCCACTGATCCGACCGCTGCTTTGACATCGCCAACAGTTCGTGCAAGCCATGGTACAAAGAGTAGTAGTTGAAGAGCGTTGGAGATTGCAAGACCCGTCACAGCAGCATTAGTTTGAAAGATGACGGTAAATAGAGCAGCGATAAATATAAATAGGCATGATAATAAATCAATGTACAGTGCTTGTAATCCTTTCACTAAACGTGATGATTGGGTCAGTAGTGTTCTCTTTTCAGACTTGCATGACCAAAACATACCAAGGGTAAGAGAAAAGAGAGCACGATGATCAGCATCAATCAGAGAACGATTGAAACTATCAAAACGATCGGTTTCGCGATACACTCTGATACTAAACAATCCCTCCAACGTAGCCGATAAGTGAGCAAACATGGGTCCCTTGTTGAAAGCTGATTTGAGAAAAAAAAAGTTAGCGGTGGTGCTGAAATGAATGTCCGGCTTGGGTGACCTCATACCTTCTAACCCCTTCAACCTCCCTTCAACACCACCACAATACCACAACAATAAATACGCCAACCCAGCATATAACGGCAACGTAGCCCAAAACCAAGGAACCACAGCACAAACAAGCACAATAGTGCCCACAAGAATAGGGGTATAACTCAATGCTTGCAAACATGCTTCAGGTAGATAATCATCTACAAGAAACAAGTGTCGTGCGAAATTGGACAATATAAGTCCTAGAGGCGTAGCATCGTAATATGACATTGGTGCACGAAGCACGGCATCTAGGATTTTACGATGGAGTGACACAGATCTTGCTAGGGCTGCTTCGGTAAAGAGACGGCCGCGAAGGAGGACTCCTAGTGCTATTGCCAGTGCTAAACCGGCATAGACTCCCAAGTATGTGGCACTATTATATCCATATGCTCCTTGGACGAAAAATGATAGCCAGACATCTGAATGAAAAAAGTACGTGTCAGCGAGATGTACTTGACAGGAAACTAAAAAAAGAAACCGAACCCCACGAATAATCACACATACGGCGATACTCACCACTAACAAATCTAAACCCATGAACAATAAAGAATGCAAGCACAACAACAATACCCAACGCCAATCCCGTCTCTTGCACATACAATCCCAACGCACCGCCAAAAAAACCTCTGCCACGAGTCATAACTCCAGGCCCATCACTCATAGTTCTAACCGCTTCAATGCCCATTATAGAATGAACAGTCAATGCGTTAGCATCAACCGTTCGAGTAACAGTGTTTTGATTTGCGAAATTAGTAGGAGCACGATTGAATGGGACGCCGCCTAATACAGTCAATTGGGTACGTTCCACCATCTTGGCTATAGCTTGTTCCGTTAGGCCACCAGCTTGAATGGATCGTTGATTGAGGGATTGAAGTGCTTGGATGGTGGATTGGTTGGCTTCTACATTAACAGTCTTTTCGTTTGGTGTGGCAAATGTGGCGTGGTGATGGTTGGATCCTGGTGATGGTACGTTTATGGCGACGGAAGGTGGAGAAGACATAGTGGTGTCGCTGATTGTTAAATCACCTGGTTGATGACCATTAGTAGCATTCGAATTCGCCGAATCTGGTTCAGGGAAGGGGTTGCTTGGATCAATTGGAGCGTTTAGGTTGATCTCATTCACTGTTTTAAGTCGAGTATAAGGGGTGAGAAATTTTAGTTTAGCACTAGTCAGAAACCAACGGGTTTCTTTTCCGCTTGTGTTAGTTTGGAGAGCTATACCTTGATCAAGCAGACCCAAGGGGTCATCTTCTAGCACTAGGGCATCACTAACCAGAGCCGAAAAGTTGACATGGCGAGCTTTTAGATCCTGGAAGGTTCCTTGATCCGTAACTTTGGGAGGGCGCGAACAAAAAGTGTTTAGCCCACAACCGATTGACTTACAGCGAAAAATTGTATAGACTGACCTGCTCCATGCTTCAGCACCATCACAATATCACAATCAGGAAGAAACTATGTATTAAACAAATACGGGCGTCGTGATCAGTCAGTCGATACGGACAAAAACATAACAGATTGAGCACACGACATACCTGCTTTTGAGCAGTAACCAACACAATGCCCTTTCCCCTCTTCAACAATCCCATGATAACGTCATCAAATACAGTGCGAGCGGTAGCCTGATCTAAATCATCCAAACTATCTTCAATCAACATAATGTCTGGATCACGATATAGGCATCGAGCCAAAGATATGCGTTGACGTTGATTCTGGGTCAAGTTCACTTCATTGGCCATGGCGGAATCACCTGCAAAGAAGTTACGAGGGTTGGACGTGAGAAAAAATATTGACTACATAGTCTCATCACAACAAGCAAAGAAAGGAGAAATCTTGTGAAGTAGTCTCGTACCATTCGACATGTAATTAAAGTCTCTAGCCAAACCACACAACTTGATAACTTGATCATACTTGGATTGCTCAAAGGGACATCCAAACAAGACATTATCTTTGAGAGTGGACATTACTAGCCATGGTTCTTGTGGCAAGTATCCAATAGTACCAAATTTAGATATACTTCCTTTAGTACGTTTCAATTGCCCCATTAGAGCAGCTAATAGTGATCTTCCAGAAGCAATGTCTCCAATGACACCAATAAGTTTGCCTCGTTCGAGCTTCATGGTGAGATCTGTGATGTGTGGATGGTCTACTCCGTCCCATACAAAGTTGGCATCGTCCTGATGGTATTTTGATGGTTAAATTGAGTATTGAGTGGTAATAAATGAGGGTTCAAAGACAACTAGAACAATGAGGTATGTGACATTACCACTTCAATCAAGATGTTGGAATCCGTTGGAGAAGGACTAGGCTCGTTCTGCTTATCTACTTCAGGCAACTTGAAATATTCTTCCAAGCGAGTCAGCGATGTCTTGGCGCCTAGGCAAGTGGAATGCATTGGATTCGCGACGTTTTTTGTTTGCCACAATCTTCCAATAAGCATACCAGTATAACTTCGCACAGCATTAGGCAACATGAGCAAAGGATATCTGAGGGTATTAAACAAGCTCAGAATCGTAAAGACAACAGCAGCCGACAAGACTCGACCATTGACAAAGTAGTAAGTGACGAGACACGCCAATTCAGCCACTACAGGAGCAATATAAACCACCATAAAGGTAGCAACACGTAATCTAAGAGCTTCTCTCATCTTTTTAGCTTCTGCTTGTTTCGCATTGTTAACTTTTTCGAGATAGTAGGACTCCCAAGCATAGAATTTGACTAGTTTGATGGCAGTTAGGATTTCGGATATGAGATGGACACGGGATGTGAATAGTGCGGTTGTGGTATATGAGGCAGCGGATGCCCGTTTGGCTAAAAAGTATTGGACTGGTAGTAAAATGAGGAGGATGAGGAGTAGAGCTGGGACGGCAGAAACTCGGATTATTGATAAAGCCAATGCGATGATGACTACGAGAAAGTTGTGTCAGAGATAAGCCAGGGTGTGAAGCTGAACTATCATGTGGGCCTAGTGTGTCTCTTTTTTTGGTTACTCACTAGCACATTCAAACCCAGCAGACCAAAGATAGTGCCAAGTGACTGCAGCTTCAGCGATGCGATTACAGTCGTTTGATATGAGATTGACGATATCTCCTACACCGCCCTTGATATAACTCAATCGTAATGATTTTCTATATATCATGACCATCAAAGCAGCTCGACACTATTGGACAAAGTGTGAGTCACGATGCGGCCCAAAACAGATACACAAGCACTACACAAACCTGTATGCCTATCCTGGTAGTCTGAATAGACAGCTGATGAAAGCACAGGGAGGCAGCAGCACACGAGACAAAGAGACCAGCAGATATGGCATAACCAATCCAAGCAGGATTGTCGAGTTCTTGAGCATCAACACGTTCCGAGTATTCGACAATCCATCTCATGAGAAAGAAGGCGGCAAACCAGGAAAAGATGGCCCATAAGACCTTCCAGATAGCGAGGAGGGCGTATTTGACACCGAAAGCTCTAAATAGTGATCCAGCGAGTGTAGCTTGCCTATGACAACGAGGATAGTATTGGAATGGAGAATAGTTGACAAGCTTATATGTGTCTTGTCTCGACAAACAAGGAAACATTCCAATCAAGAGATGGGGTTGCACTACAAAAAAGCATGTTTCGTACTTTGATTCAGCTTCTTCGAGTTCCCAAGCCTTTCCCAGCAAATCGCCGGTGACTTTGGCCGTTTCAGTGAATCTCAGAGCCAGAGGCACGTCCCGTAAGTCATCCGTTCTTCTGCAGATGGCAATCAGTCGAAACACCCAGAGAAAGAAGAGCCGAGAAATCACATTTGACGGAGCTAGTAGGATCCTATCCTTCTTTTTGGTGAGATTTGGGAGCTGCGAGGCCGTCGATGCCCTCACTTCGGGTTCTTCTTCAGACGATAGAACCATCTTGCTTGTGTCAGAGCGTCATAACATCAATTGTGTGTTTTGAGGAATGTGTGTGAGATCAAGTTGAACGGTAGGGAGGTTCCAAGAACATTTCATCGGTTGTATAGCCACGCTTGTACAATGCTATATGTTGTTGATCCCCTCAAGGCGTTGCACTCGAAAACACATTACCAACATCTAGATTCCAGCGATCGTGGCAGTTTCTCGACGAATTAATGCCTTTGAACGTGTCAGTACGCGTAACTACATATTGAGCACCTATCCGCGAGCTTTTAGAGCTTCAACTTGTATTCCGTTTCATCTGCTGATCGTTCAAACTTTGATAGCATTGTCGAGATACTGAAGCAAACGACTCATCAATCTAAGAGATGGCGGCGGCGAATAATAAAAAGACAACACCACCACCGGCTTCCTGGTCCTTGAAGGGCTTCATAGCCAACAACACGTCAAGATTCATCTGGTTTTCTGGCATTGTGGGTGTAATATATCTCATTGGGAAATATGCCCAAGCTAAACTCAAGGAATACACTGACAAGATGGCTATCGAGAGAACTGCCAAAGAAAAGTATGCTATATCCCTATTCCTCTGTATTGGTGGTTTGTTTTATGGTGTCCTGGTGTCAAACATTCAACCATTTGAGCTGTATACTCACTCTCAATGTTCACACGTTAGTTTACGGAAGCGATTTGAACAGAATCAACAAGACTGCTCATACACAATCATATCTCTGCTGCCCAATCTGAGTGAACAATTACTCAATGGACTGAATGTTGAGGCAATCACCACAAAGTTACAACAATCACGTAAAGAAGGAGCATCTGCTGCTCCTGCTCCCCCATCTTCTGCTGGAGAAAAGACCAAAATGGAATTATGGGAAGATGTGAAAATACTCAGTGCGTAATCTGTTCTTGCAATCATGCCACGGCGAAAACGACAATTATACTCACACACTCCTCACACGCAGGTTTCACGAGAACTATATCAGCTGTATACCTCATAACGCTCTTGACTGCACTTACACACGTCCAACTGAACCTGCTGGGTCGATTCATATATCTCGACTCGGTAAAAATGTTTACTCAAAAGGACAAGGAACAAGAAGTTGCTGGTGACGCTGGTCCAAAGACTGGTCTGAATATAGAAACGGAACGTAAATTCTTGACTCTGAGTTGGTACTTGTTGAATGTTGGATGGAGAAGTTGTGTGGATCGAGTTAGACTTGCTGTAGATAAAGTCATTGCAAGGTGGTCCCAACAGTCGTTCTCCGCTTTTGTGTCGCTTTTGGGAATAAAATACATTACTGAAAATGACTCTCCTGTTCTCTTAGTATCTCACTGAAACAACAAACTGACTACAACAGCATATTAACCATGCTGGATCAAGTTCGAGCTGAAGTAGATTTCATCAATGGTGATCAATCCAAGCCCTTCAAGTAAGCACCTCATGAAAATGTCTCCCTTAAGCTATGGTGAACACTACACGCACAACCATCGTGTTCTCACACCTCCAAAATCTCCATAGTTTGACACAATATCTGCTGCCACCAGAAGGTCAAGAATCTGAAACATTACGTGAAGGAGCTCCATTAAATCAAGTCAGACCAAGCGATCCAAGATATGCAGTCGATGATGAGCTACTGAAACTGTTGAATGAAACTCGGGACTTTCTTGAAAGGTATGCTGGAAGTCATTTATCCTCTTGTTTTCATGTCGTTCAGCATGCCCATCTAACAAGAACTCTTCAAAACATATCTCTCGCCACAAACACAGCCCTGACTTCCGTCTAGTCCTACACGCATCACTAGACGACGCGTTCAACACTCTAGCTCTCCAACTGCGCCCACAATTCTTCCCACAAACTACCACCTCATCATCTGCTGATCCAAAATCCAAGATTACAGAGATTGACGACGAGACTCTACTACGCCAATTACGAGATGGAGAGTCATATTCGGTTAGTAAAGAGGAGAGTAAAGTTTTCCCTTTAGCTGGTGTTTTACCTGCTGTTAGTCGACAAGCTCATCTTGTGATTAATGGATCTCCGAATCACTATATACAGGTAACTGAAAGAGTGTGCTGTAGATGGCTTGGACTGTGAGATTGAGGCTAATTTGGTTTATGTATAGGTATTGACTCGCCAACCTGCATTGATGGCATTCTCTGCTATCATATATACTGCCTTCGATGATCCAGAGAAGTAGAATACGAGTCTCTGTCTGATTGCATCTTGTAGTAGTCTTTTGAATATAAGAACTTTGAAGTGTGATTACGTGCTGTTAGCGCAGTTCCTTAGAAAATTGCCGACTAATCGCTTTCCTCGTTTTGAAGCTAGATCAATCCAGAATAAGCCTTCTTTTCCTAGATACAAGAGAAATGATCTGACGAATGAATGAGCATACATTCTTGGATAATGGTCGCTCTCACTCTGACGGCTATTCGTGAGTCAAAAACACATTGCAAAGTTATTGGAAATTTTTCATGAAAGAAAACAAGACACATTTGAGGTATCGATCGCTCATACCAATATCCATATTCAAACAATAGGAATAGATTTCAGGCCTGTCAGCTCTTTACTGCAGCACAAGTGCTGAAATCTGATGAGAGACATCAAAAGCATGCCAGGGATACGAAGAGACGACAATCGTGAGGCCGCAATTATGTAGAAGGAATCCGATGGAGATCCATATTTACGCTACGATTTTTATTTCAATCTAGGCAAGCTGAAGCACGTCACCGGGCTCTCGAAGCAAAATCTCGTCAACGTCTAGATGACGCCATAAATGAACGTCGTGAAAAGATGCGAGCAATATCAGCATCAGTTAAATCATCACCAACATACCGTAAAACAGCTGCTAAATCTGGATCTTCTTCTGCTGCACAAACTCGAATCAATACTGCAAGCACTGGACACAGTTTTGTGGACAAACAACCAGATATAACGGCACTCGTTATGCCTGATTTCTCTGAATTCGCAGCACAATTTGGTCGGATATCGCCTCCCAAAACACCGCAATCGTTGCTTCGGACGAGTCGAGAAAATAATAACAATGACGATGAAGGCCCGAAACGCATCATCAAGGGACGAGAATTGGAAGTAGTAGACGGTGCAGCACGTCCATCTCACGCTGTAGTAGAGAAATGGAAGGCTATAGCGAGATTACCAATCCAACTACCGCAAAACGCCTCCTTGTCAAGTCAAATGGTTAGGAAATACTCTCGGCCGAATTTAATGAGTGCCAGTGTCCGGGGCTCTGTAGTTACGTTACGGACACCACAATTTGCACCTGCACATCGAAACGTGAGAATGCCTCCAAGTCCAATGTTGAAGAATGTTACGCTTGGATGGAGTATGGTCGACATTGATGCATATGAGGCTTCGTCTTCTGGTGACGATGATGCCGAGTTTAGGGATGCCAGTGCGAGAGAGATTCATAGTTATGATGATGATTCTGATGATGGTTATGGAGATTCGTATTCGGACGATGATGAAGAAGACAATGATGCGTCTAAAGAATGGTCGAATGTACAGTCTGGAAGTGTTAGTAACAATGAGGATGAAGGTTGCCAGCCGTCACGGCCTCCTTCAAGTAAACCTATGCAGCTGCCACAACCAGTAGTCGAGTCTTCAAAACCAACCACGCCGCATTCACGGCCCCCAACAACCAATGCTGATCGTCCACCGTGGGTTGGCATTGGTACTACCAAGGCACCTGTAGTATCGTCAAGTGCGAGTGCAGCAGCCGCAGCTTCAGTTCAAAGAGTTAAGGAAGCAAGAGCAGCTGCTCTAGCCGCACGTAAAGCTAGTAAGGAATCGACTTGTGTTGAGCAACATCAGAACCATCACCAACCACCACGGCAACCACAATATCAGCCACAGCATCAGCAACAACAAGCACAGCAGGACGTAGCAGTGGCAGCTGAACCAAGAACAAGACCAACAAGCTCAAAACGGCCCAAAAGTCACAATACGAAACAAAGTCAACATCACCACCATCATCAAGATCAAAATCACCATCAGCACCAGCATTCAACAGATAGCAGCAGTAACGAGAGCAAGACACCTCGCAAAGCTACATCTGCAGCACCAGTATTATCATCTTCAGCAAAGCATGTCTCAGTGCCAGCGGCTGCACACAAGTCTCCAAGAGCTGTATCGTCACGTTTGCCGAGGGCTAAAACGGCTTCTGAGAGTGCAAGGCCGACTACTGCGGTGTTTGTGACGAATGGGCCTTTTCTTAAGAAGTTTAAGGATGACAGAGGTATGAATGGGCAAAAAAATAGCATTCCTTTATAACTCACTCCCAGTCTGTTTGGGAAACTGAATTTACTCACGATTCTGACATCTCCGTTTCTGTTTAGTGGACTCTCTTGAATTCTTCCTATACGCAGAAAGTCTATGCAAAAGCGGAAACCTAACTCAACATCAAATTGAAGACTCGGTTGAAAAATGGGCATCCATGGATTCAGACTCGAGGACTCTCTTTCCTGCCTCTAACATAAACCAAACCAACAACACAATCCCAGACGCCAAATCATTAACCTCGTTAAGACCGAATCTGCAACAACGACGCCCTAGCCAAGTTTCGGCTATATCACCATCACCCTCAACAGCCGCACCCACGACGACAACACCAGCAATATCAACAAAGAATGAGATTCAAGCAACCAACAAACCTACGATACGATTCAATTCAAACAATAGCATGCAATCGCAATCAATTGATGGATTGAGCCAACCAGTACAAGCAAACCTAAATCCAAAACCAGTATCACATGCTCGCAGTTTCACTAGTACCGAACTACTAGGCACCAAACCACGTCCTGCCATACCGAAATCCTTTGGTTCCCAAATCAACATCCAGCCCACAAATACGATATCAGCATCACATCAGAACGTGTCATCGACAATGCCCAAATCACAGCCAATAAAACCAGCAGTATCTATAACCCTCTTCAAACCAGAACAAGACATCGGAACAGTGCAATTATCGACCATATCTCTCGACAACCGCGGTAGTAGAACCAAACTATCATCGACATCGAATCTGGATCAGCACAACCCGAGTAGTGTGACGAGAAGGCCAGTTGCCAGAGGGACCTCTGTTATAATTCCTCCTGCTGATGATGATACGAAAAGTATTGACTCGTTGATTTCTGAGGAGGAGAGATTGAAACAGTCGATTTTGAGATTGAATGAGTTGTTGTGGACGCGTCATGGACGGTAGTGTGTTGAATATAGCCAAAAGTAATTATATTTGTGTGTGTTCTTTGTCTTGTTGTGTTGCATTGCAGTTTCAACGTGTCAGATTCGAAACATGAATTATTGATGAACGTACGAGAGTATCAGAGTCCCTCTTTTATTAGCGTTCGGTGGAGGTTTGTCGCAATGCGCCCAAAACGGCCACCATTTCAACCAACAACAGTCAAACAAGAAACTAGTTCGGTAAAAGACAAGAGGCAAACGGATTGTATATAGCCACACATCCAATTCAGCCTCATAGAAACAACTCCCAAGGTCTCATTACTCGAAAGAACCCTTTGCTCATCACACACTTGGCATTATGGCTAAGTTCAATTGGTCAACATGGGCTCGTATACAAGCACTTGCTGCTGCCTTCTGTAAGCTTATTCGATCATCGGTATTATACATATTGTTGTTGCTCTCTAATGTTCGTTTCTACCATTAGTTGTGCTTACAGGGGGCGTCATCAGTGTCTTTTACCCAAACTTGTATCTGGCCTTTAGCAACATGTAAAGCTCCTTCAATTTCCTCTTTATTTTATTAATTTCAATCTTATTACATCTAATCTTTCTTCCTTCTATCGCCAGCGCCATCCCAATGGCAATCATGCTACACGAATACCCAATCTCAAACACAATCAACATCTCCAACTATTATATCCGAGCAGTCGTCTACTTGTTTTGCTGTGCTCCAACCATGATTCAGGCTCCTACAATCACGGGTGGGCTATGCTTGTTGTGTGCTGCTGCTACGTATCTGAGGGCTGCCATCAATGGGGAGAGCTTTAAGAGTACTATGGCTGCGGCGGGGTCTGGAAGGGGTGGTGCTAAGAAGGCTGCTCCGAAATGAGGGTGGAATTTGGCCAAAATGTATAAATTCTTTATTTAGAGGATGCAAAGTGACGTGGCGATCCCAGTTATCATTTCGTTTGTGTCAAAACAATAGTATATAGTTATTCAGGGAAACGGGTTCATAAATACAGTTCAGTAAATTTATATCTGTTATGCTTGTCTTTTATTTTGTTATCTACAATATTCTATCACTGTGCAAAAGAAGCCTTACTGGTCAACTCGTTCTACATCTCGTCTACAAGATTTCCATGGCAACTGCCTTGGATGATGACGACCCATTCGCATCAGGTAATGGAGGACTAACCGGCAACACAGCACCTACAGACAACATGGCATCAAGAACAAAGAAATTGTTCAAGGGTTCGTCATTTTGAGCCATAGTTTTGATGATTTCTTGTGCGAGGATACCACCGACGATAGCACATACTGGTGCTAGATCGCGACCTAGCATTGCAGAGATCGTCCTAGAGATAACCAAGTTAGTGGACATAGAGCGAGGTTGGGAGATATTCGTTTTGCTCTTCAACTACATACCAAAGCTGATCATCCTTGATCACTGAGGCCTCCAGGGATTGAGACTCTAGATATGTATTCTTGAATGCTGGTAGAGCTTCTGCATCTTGCTTTCGGGTGGGTAGGTGACCATGTTGTTGTTGGTACTTCAACACAACTAGGGAAGAAAGGCGGTTACAAACATACAGAATAAGCATCATTTGCCGCTTGAGATATGATCTTACTGATAAAAGCAAGGAAGAGAGGTATAGCAATATTTTTTGTTTGTTTTCTGCTCAATGGCCCCCACTTTTTCGTCAGGGCATCTTCCAATGCAACATAATGTGACTCTCGTTGGACTTTCGATATTTTAGGCGTGTCGCCTTTTGATATGCCTGATTTTATTTCTCTACCAAGGCAGAATGTTAGTCGTTCGTATTATGATTATGGAGGTGTTTTTGGCTCACTTGACGAAAGAGTGAAGCATCAAGTCACAGAAAAACAAGCCGTGGAACCCAGCCATGACGCCAGCATAGAATTTGATGCCGTGTTTTCGACATATGTTGTCAATGCGAATCTAAGTGCAACAAAGACGAATTGACGGTCATGGTTGCCACATGTACTTGATTTCTCTTCATACCATGGTCGCCAAGTCAGCACCCGACAAGACCACAAAGTCAAATCCAGCGAAAAAGTCTTCTGGCATGCTTCCTACATCTTTAGCCAGAGCAGCGACTTTGACTCTTGGATTCAAGTTGAGAATACGTTCCATAGATGCTTCAGCTCGCTAAGATTGATGTAAGTTGGTAAGCACGAGCATAGGATGACACTCAATATGGTCTTTTTTTTGGCTCACATTCTTGCCAATGTCGGATTCAGCTATAAAGAACTGCGCGCCCAAATCGTCCACAGAGACTTTAGCACCATCAGCGACGGTCAGTGCTCCAATACCTGCCAACACGAGATTCTTGCAGACTTCGTTCGTTAGACCTGTTAATCCACCGACGAGAATGCTTGAATTCCTCATCCTAGAATTTGATAAAAGTTAGCTTGAGATCAAAACATTAAATCAAGTGGCGAGCAGCCATCCTCCAGCGAATGCACATAATAATCCCATATATTATAAGTTACCTTGTTTGAGCTTCCATACCCCATAATCGTATTTGCCTGTCATATAACGCGACATCATCCTGGGTGAGAGTTGATGCAGCTTCGGGATCTGTTTCTCGACGAACTTTCTTATTGGAGGACGGCGCAGATGAATTATCAGCCTGACTGCTGACGTGCTCTGATGGATGAGCTCGTTTGGACATTGCTACAAGATGACTGCCTCTGATGAATTCGTGTTGTGAAGAATTGATGAAGGGTGTCGCCGATGTGAGGCCTTGGCATTGCAAAAATCACGTAGAATACCGTGTTAGTGATCTAGAATCGCTATTTTGATACGATCTGGGGCTTGGTTTGGCCAAACCGACCTCTATTGTGCAGAATTCATGACCTTTGCGCGATCAATGACGCTTTTCACGGCCAATAGACCAAATCAAGAGGAGGACGTTTAGCGGAGCACTCTTTCTATTGTAAGAATGAAGATGGACGTAGCTTACTTGTCGTAGAGTGTCATTTGTGTGTGATCGTTCGAGTAAAGACCTTTCAACGAATCCAACACGAACAACCAATACCAAACCGAAGCAAATAGTCAATTCCAAGGAAGATTGAATACATCTACGATGTAAATGTGACCCGGCTTCACAAAATTTATAGTGACGTCGTTCAAGGGTTGCCCGTGTTTTTCTTGAACAAACATCCTTCCGGTCACTCCCTGCCTGCTCCGATTTCTTCCTCGCATCGTCAAGGGCCACTATCTTGACTTTTCACGGTGCTCGTTGAACTCTGTTGCAGTCTGTTCCTCTTCAGCTAAAACTACCTGCTACTCTGTCACAATCATCAAAAAATGGCTACTGCTGCATACCTTGCCCCATCCAATGGAAAGAAGTTTACACTTCAAGAAGTCGCAAAACATAACACTGAGGACAATGCATGGGTCATCATTAACGATCGAGGTGCGATCTTGGCTCGAACTAGTGGTTCATGAACTTTGTGTTGCATTGAACTTCATGACCTAAAACCGACTCATAAACCTTTTACTGCACGTCAGTCTACGACGTCAGTGACTATTTAGATGGACATCGTAAGGCTTCAGACTGTCTTTGCACTTCGAAGCACCATTTGCACCAGTCGACCGAGATTCGACATACTCAGACTCCACTGAGCATCTCCATTGATCACGATGACTGAACGTCGTTTTTCCATTTATAGCGGGTGGCAAACGTATCTTGCTCAGTGTTGCGGGAAAGGATGCAACTGCACAATTCGCCAATTTCCACAATGTCGCTGCTGTTCTAGGTTAGATACAATTTGAGAAGAAGTATTTGTAGCAAGCAGAACTGACCTAAATACCGTACATAGCTACAAAGGCCAATGCCTTATACATTGGTGATTTGGATCAAGCTCACAAGGAAGCTCCCAAACCTAAAGGAGAACTTTTCGGTGAACTGATTCCCTATGTGCGTCTAGTAATATCTTGAAATTGGAAGTTATTGAGCCTTACGTTTGCTTGGTCAAAATAGGGAGACCCCAGCTGGTATCAAGGATGGAAGACTCCCTACTACAAGGTTAGTTCGGGTTCTTTCGCAATGAATTGTGCATACTTACAAGACGTGTCATACTTTTAGGAGTCCCACAAGCGATTAAGGGATTACATGAGAGATATCGTTGATACTCACCTGATTCCCTATAACGATGTGTGGGAAGCTGACGGCCAAATTCCCAAGTCGGTCTACAAGCTTTTCGGAGAACTTGGTTTGCTGACTGCTTTTACTGGTGTGAAGGTAAGGCCAATGTTTGATTGAATATTGCCAGCGAATGCCGTGACGAATACCCTCCAATCTTAGCCATGGCCAAGTTCCTACATTGACACACCTCCACCAGTTGGAATCAAGCCTGAAGGTGGGCTCCTCTTGATTCAGTTAGGAAATATGGTGTATGTTTACTGACATTCTTTTTGTGATTTAGAATGGGATGGTGAGTTGTTCTCCTGAACGTGAAAGATGCGAATGAATTGAGTCTCCACTTAACTCTATCAAACCTAGCATTCCATTGGATGATCTGCTTGGATGAACTAGGTGAGTGAAGACTCGATTTCTGTCTTTTAAAAGTAGTTAAATGTTTTGACATCTCCCTCACATTTTCAGCACGTGCTTACTCGCCCGCTCGACAACAACTCACTCTTGGTCCATCAATTGCATTACCGGCTATCATTGGCAAGATTTGTTTTTTTTTAGTGCGCTTGTACTTCCGAGATCTGATCTGTGACGTTTTTTAGGCTTTGGTAATGATTTCCAAAGAAAGGAGATTATGCCACAAGTTATGTCAGGAAACAAGACAGTCTGTTTGTGTATTTCAGAGCCCTATGCTGGTATGATTGAAGCGCTGCGTTCAGTCTTCACTTTACGATCAATCAATCTTGACCCATTTTTTGGTGCTTAGGCTCTGACGTGGCAAACATTACAACAACTGCAGTCAAGACTGCGGACGGCAAGCATTATATCGTCAATGGCGAGAAAAAGGTCAGTTTCGCGGTGTTGAAGCCACTGTTGATCAGTCAGTTTTTACCTCTCCCTCTGTCTTTAGTGGATTACATGTGGTATGCAAGGCGACTACTTTGTCACTGCCTGTAGAACTGGTCCACCTGGATCCGGAGCAAATGGAATTTCAGTTCTAATTGTTGAACGTGGTCCTGGGTTGAAGACTCGATCGCTACCAACGCAGCAAGGAACAGCTGCCGGAACTGCCTATGTGACGTATGACAATGTAAAAGTACCAGTGCAAAACCTGCTGGGTGAAGAGAATAAGGGATTCAAGGTCTTGATGTGAGTCATTCGCACGGCTTTCTAGTTGGTATTAGAAAACCAGCTTATGTCGTGAGTATTTAGGAACAACTTCAACAAGGAACGTATCTCAATTGCTATAAATGCTTCACGTAATGCGCGTGTTTGCGTTGAAGGTATAGTAAAGGCTTTAACAATCCCTTTGACAGTATTTTGATACTCCATGTCTTCTTAGTCGCCATGAAATACGCCAACAAACGTAAAACTTTCGGCCAATACTTGATAGAGCACGGTGTCATTCGAAACAAGGCACGGCAAAGGGTCTGAAATTAAATCGACGGTCATGAACTAACGATTGCGACACCATTTGTTGTAGTTTGGTCATATGTCGCGTATGGTTGAAGCTACACACGCTTGGATTGAGCTTGTCATATATGTAAGCCATCATTGCTGTCATACTAGACCTGGTTTTTGGGCTCACTCATACATTGATTGTTTTACAGCAATGGGACAATATGACTCCTGCTGAATCCAATTTGAAGCTGGGTGGATCTATCGCTTTACTCAAAGCGCAATGCACTCAAACTCTAGGTAAGTATTACTGCACAATTGGCGAATAAGTTTGGTCCATGGCTAACTTCTAAATGTCATTTCAGAACTATGTGCCCGTGAAGCTTCTCAGATAATGGGTGGAATTGCCTACACCAAAGGTGGCCAAGGCGGAATTATTGAAAGACTGTACAGGTCTGTTCGAGGCGCCGCCATTCCTGGTGGATCCGAAGAAATCATGTTGGATTTTGGTGTCCGACAAGGTTTAAAGACTGCCAGAGCTCTTGGTGCAAAGATTTAAATGTATTGCTGGACGTTAAACCCCTAATCTAGCAAATATAAAACTGTTCCTCTGTTAATCGTTTGCTTTGTGTTTCAGATCTGCGGCCGGCGACAGCAACTGGAGTTGTTCCAGTGCTCTGAAACCCCAACAGAAACGGCGTAAGGCAAAAATGAGCAAGAAGATACTGTGTCTCCATGCATGTAAGTCCATCGTCGTAATAAACGAGCGCAGATTCTCCTTTATATTGTTCTCAACTCGAAATTTGGTTTAACATTTTTGCAGTTCAGCTACCAACACCATTTCCGAACTTATAGATTCAATGAATAAAGAGGCTTTCTCTCACGTCTCAGCGCCACTACAAGAAGCTCTTTCCAAACAGGGATATACTTTTGGTAACTCTCTTGAAACTCCTCACATCAACTGTCGAATCCTAATGTTAACCCAACCGATCCTTTCTCTTCATTAGTCTTTATCGATGCACCATACAAGGCTAGGGCATTTTTCCCTCAAGATCCAACAAAGTTCTCGTGGTTTGACTTTGCTAATGGCGCTGATTTCCCGTCTGGAAATTGGACTGGTGTTGATGAGAGCTTGTTGTATATTCGTGATGTGATTGCCAAACAAGGAGAATTCGATGGCATTATGGCATTCTCTCAAGGAACACTCGCTGCTCATGCTATCCTAGCAGAAGATCAGCTGGCAGGGAAGAAGGAATTTAAATGTAAGCCTTGCTGTCACGAACAAGGAACAAGCAATTGCATGAATTTATCGACTCAGGATCTATACATTTTTTTGTAAGAGTACCATATCCGTATCATCCCCATTTACCTTGTCAATTTTAATTAGTTGCTGTGTTATTTGGAGCGTTTGAATCTTATTACAAGCCTCACATTTCAACACTTTTCCCCGTAAAAATTGACATCCCATCAATCCATACGATTGGAGACGCCGACACCATCGCGACTCCTGAACAATCCAAAAAGCTGGCGTCACATTTTGTTGATCCAGTTCTTGTGTCGCATGCGGGAGGGTAAGTCTGATGATGACTTATTCGAGAGTGCGTGAAAGTTTGATCTAAACATTAGAGTATACTAGGCATGAGGTCCCGGGCGATGCAGCATCGATCAAAGCTATTGTGGATTTTGTGACTAGAGTGAGTAGTACTGCTTGAAAATGCAGTCTGTAGCGCTTTCGTCATATATGTTTTGTAAGAAAGTCACAATAAATATAGTTTGAATTAATTTGACACATGTGCTACTTAGTTTATGCTTTTTAAATATGTCAAGAATGTAAGAATGAAAGAAATGCAAAGAAACAGTTTGTGTTGGTCGAGGAGTGACAGAAGAGATCGAGAGAGAACCGTACGTTTCTCTATTTCTCCTTCTCGGACAACACCTTTCCGCTGACAAGGCCATCAACGGAACCGTTCGAGTTACCATTGGCCTTTGAACTAATAGCAGCATTCTTCTTAGAAGTCCCAGCTAGGCTATACGATCTCAACTACAATCAAATCAGCAGAGTTAGGAAAACGAATCGACTCCTAGATCAAAGCTCTCAAACTTGCATAAAAGTCGATGAAGAGCAATAAGTAGGATCCAATGACAAATGTGGCTACTGAAGCATGCATTTTAGGGTCAGCTGAAAAACAGTTCTCAACCGTTCGGAAACCCCATTCCGTTTTAAGCCATGGGAAGGCTTCATTTGTGAAGACGTTGTAAGCCAAATAGGATATCAGGCCAAGATCCAAGACAAATTGGGTGATTTGCATACTAAAACGTTCATCATCTTAACCACCGTACTTTGAAGGACGAGAATCAAAAGTATTGTAACATACGAGGTCAAATGCTTCTTCCACCAGATCTGACGTTTGGAGATGGACGATACAGCATAGTACTAGACACGGAAGTAGTCAGCAACCAAACAGAAAGAACAAACTCAAATCGTACTCACGTAATCTAGAAAGTGAAATTGTGAGATAACAATCTGAAAAAGGAGTCCAAATCTACTCACACATCAGGACGTGGACTGTCAAGTTCAGAAGTATCGTCCACCACACCGCAGGTTGGGGTTTCACTAAGAAGAAAAAGGCAAGCCCGGCAGTCTAAAGTACGTGTGTTAAAATTGCAAAAAGCAAGCAAGCAGGCAGGCAAGCATACAGCACTGTGGTGGTAAACATGCAAGAATTCCAAAGGTCGTTTTCTCAAAACCATAAAGCCCTAATGTGGTAGCAGAAAGATCGTTCAATGAAGAGGTCATTGACGACAATGGAAGCTTCAAGGTTTGAATGAAATTTACCGTGTCAATAAACTCCCAAAGCTTGAAGAGGAAGTTGAAGTAGTAAAACAGTTCCAATCGAGGAGTGTATGCCTGCAAGCGGGGTCGAGTTGACCGTCAACTCTACACTGTGGTAGCAAAACGACGATCCAACGCAAAAGACATCGTTTTGCTTAAATGAGACGAGAGACCACAACTCGTACCTGCTTGTCACAAACAGCGTAATTCAGGCCATGCTCAAACCACATTGGAATCAGCGGTTCCAAGATCAACATGAAGAGAATGGCCGAAGCGATAGACATGATTGCGTTGTGTAAGAATATCGGCTTCTTTAGATGGAAGGGTTCGTATCCCTTCATAATCTCCTGGCCTCCGAGCATCACAACCACATAAAATAAAGAGCAACCGGCTTTGGTCATAAATTGTAAGTTGAAATGTGAGAATCTCATTGAGATGAGCGAATGAATTGCAACCATCATCAAGGCTTCCAAATCGCCTACCAACAAGAGGCAATGAATGTCTATTGAAGAGGAGACCATCATCCCATTTGAAATCATCTGGCGAAAAGTTAAAATACTTGGCCAAGATAAAATCCAGAGCATCGTTTGTGGGTGAGGGCCAACGCATCGTGTAAACTCTCGGGTGAACAGGAATGCAATTTGTATAAATGGGAACTCTACTGAAGTGGTTGAGTGCTCGCTGTCGAACCCCTTGGTGCCTTCCATTTCTTTCTTTCAACTTTGGTCTTGCGATTTTCACTTTCCCAAGAAATAACTACAAGAAGCAAACCCAGGAAAATAATCTTACGGATGAGACTCGTGGCCTTGGAGGTGGATCTTGGTGCTGGTAGGCTGAAGATCTCTCTATGTAAAGCTACTACATCTTGGGTGGTCGCAAAATCGATTTAAGAGTTGGTTGGAGATTACAACCAATTCGGAGCTGCTTCAACTATATCCGCACAATGATTACTGACGATCCGACATGTCAAAGGTTCCGAGAAACGTGATGCGCACCACAACAACTAGCGAAAACGGAAAACCATGATTTGACCAACGGAACGCGTAGATACACTTGGCAGAATTTTTTGTAAGCAATTGGTACGCGTATATAACGCAATGGAGCAATATTAAGCTCGTGAGCTTATACTTGAAAATAATCATTTGGCTCCCAGCGGCTTTTAAGCCATTTAAACGAACGTCTCCACCCAAATTCCTGACAACCAACCCAACATTTCGACCTGATGGAGGACGATTATTAGACCTCGCATGCCTTTGTGAACTTCTAGTCAATGCAAGCACTCGTCGACCCACTAGTCGCCTAGTCCAGAACCTCTTCCAAAAGACTTGTCCAGCGTCCAATTACTCGCGGAAACCAGAAATATTTACAATCAGCAGCACTCGAAGTGAAGCGCGACTCTAGCAATCAGCACGTCTCAAATGGACGGACTTGACCATATTATTGTTTTCGCCGCTCCTGCCTTGAACGACTCAAAGCAATGGGTACAGCGAGCTCGAAGCGTAGCGGGCCACGAAAACGACCTGGTCCTCTTCTCTTGCTTACTACTTTCTTCAGAAAACGCAAGGCATCGAATTCAAAATCCCGACATGTAAGCTTCAAGGGCAGTGTCGTTTCGTCTCTATGTTTCCAACCTATTTCTACGGATTCCCTTAACTAACTAAACCTCAAATCTAGACTGAAGTTCCAGAGAATACATCTGCTGCTGGTGGAGATGAAATCTCACCAGCATTGTTGGTCCGTGTTGGGAGCTTGGTCACAAGAAAGTTGTCAACAACTCCAACCAGGAGGAGCAGTCGATCAAAAGTATCTTCCTCCGATAATGAAGACCAGCTAGATTACTGGCGAGACCCTTCGGTGGGTCATTGTCTCAGCAAACGCCTGGTTTTGAGTGTCGGGATCTGAATATTCTTTCATCCTTAGCTGCCTCTAGTATACCATGAGCTATTCAACCACCCTCCTATCACGCTCACGGAATATCGAGCCAAACAAGGCTACGAGCCGCGAGAACCTGATGAGCTTATGATCTCCACGGACGATAGGATACTTGTTGAATTGACTTTTGCTGATGGTATTGTACAGCTCTCTTCAATTGGTTGTTGTATTAAGGCTCAAAGACTCTTTGTAGGTTGGGCGAGAGGCCTGTGCTTGTCTACCGGTCTCACTGGAGTCATTCCTCTGGTTTTACTGCAGCCAGCCACTGCTGATTCAACTTCTCTAATACTACCATCAGAAGGACACGTCTTTGATGTGGCGTTAAGCTACCAGTACGCTTGTTTCTGATTCATACAAAAGTTTTACAACAACACCTGACGTATCCCGTCCAATAGTTTTGCAAACTACGATCAAGTTGCATGTCTAGCAGACTATCTCAGAGAACGAGGCCTCTCTGTTTGGATGGACGAATTTCAAGTTTCAGACACCTTCTTTCAACTTGCTGCTCAAGTAATAGTGTCTAGCCATGCCATTGTACCGTGTATCAGTTTCGAATATGAGGTATGTTTGATTTAGTCCGCTCAAATCAAACGGTGATTTTAACAGCATCAACGCGACATTATCAAGGGATCTGATGCGTGTATGCGGCAACTTCAGTTTGCTCTGGCCGTCAAGCCGAGACAATTCATCGTACCGATACTGTTGAACCAACCGTTGCCAGATACTGTCGACATCCAAACATATCTAAAATCCTACGACTTGTCTCAAACGGACATGGAATCTCAGCTGCCACACCTGTATAGTGAAATTCAAGCCATAGCCAAACCAACTGATGACGAAATAATACCCTGGCCCGAAAATTCTCTGCTGCCCAACCCAGTCACACACATTGAAGCAAAACCAGACGTTGAATTGGAGAAGCTTATAACTCCACCTCCACGTGAACGTCCATCTGAGTTACGTAACTGGTTGAAACCGATAAATCTTCGTCACGATATGAACGCCGCCAAACGTAGACGATGGGACGGAACGCAAACGTGGAGTATGACTGCTATTGAGACTTGGATTGCAACAGGTACTACAAGAATTTGCTGGGTAACTGGAAGTGAAGGTGTCGGAAAGTCAGTGCTCTTAGCCAACGCATCTGCAATGCTCAGTTACCGGAGTCAATTAGCTGCAACATTCATGTGCTCGTACAATCAGCAGCAAACAGTCACCCCCGTAAATTTGCTTGCCACTCTAGCCTTTCAACTAGCACAAAAAGGGGCATATAAGCACTTATGTCGTCTGAAGGAGGAAGAACCTGATATATTGGCTGTTGGGAAACCATTACACCACGTAGTTGATCAGTTACTAATCAAGTCACTATCGAAATCAAAATACTCAAAGGATCGAACAGCCATAGTCCTGGATGGATTCGACAACTTGGATTATACTCAAGGGTTTCATCTCGCGACGCTAATATCCAAGATCCCCAAGGGCGTCTGCTTCCTAATAAGCTCCAGACATCCACCATCGGCTGACTTGGCTCGAACCACCACTCTGATAGAACTATCCGGAAGCAATCATCTTAACGATCTTCGCACGTATGCAAAGGGTATCTATGGAGAACAGGGCCAGAACGATAATATAGTAGAAACAAACGTCAAGAATGCAGGTGGATCCTTCTTGCTGCTGACGGTTGCCCACAGAGTACTGGCATCAAATGAGCCGTGGCCTGAGGGAACGAGCGAAACACGAATAGACGTGCTACTTAATCGTGTCATATCTGAATTGACTGAAACAGACATGGAAGTATATAAGAAAGTCGCTGGAGCTCTAGTATCGTTACGGCAACCATTATCTGTTGAAGCTCTAGGACGGTTGTTGGGATTAGGAGTATCTTGTGTGAAATCCATAGTTAGAAGGTTAGATCCGTTGATTGTAGTAATAGGAACCACCATCCAGATCCATAAAGTCATTTTTGACTTCGTGACATCACCAACAAGATGTTTATACTACATTGACAGAACCGCTGCCGAGTATCATATGTGCCGGATCTGTCTCCACCATCTAAACGCGTCTCTGGCCTCTGATGTGGGCTTCAGGAATTTGTCAGAGCAAGTGGCACGTCTGCAAGGAATGGTCAAGCCAACGATGCTTGAACATCTTCAATATGTTTGCAGGTACTGGGCTAACCATCTGGACGATACGCCCTTTGACAAGTCAACCGGACTGGATATCCTTGTAGGGCACTGTGGACCTGCGTTAATGATAACGGCAGTGCAGAAGGGGTTGGTTAATGTGGTTAAAGCTCTTGTACAGTTTGACGCTGATCTCATTACAGAGGTGGATGAAGCCAAGTATTTTTATGTGCCGCTGGTTGAACAGGCTAGGAGGCTGGGATTTGATGATGTGTCTGTGGTATTGGATGCCGCCCAGAAGTAGTTTATGGAATTCGATTCACATATGTATGTTTAGTTCGCATGGAAGTAGTGTATTTAAGATTGGAAACCCGTTGCTGAACACGAAAGTAATGTTCTGCCCATGATTCACTCTTTATGTTCTTTATACGTAATATACAATGCTATGTATCATCATCGACATCGTCCGACAAATCCAAAACCTATACTAAGTAATATACAACGCTATAAAATCCAGAACTTTTCTTGTTCACTCGCTATTCTAACATGATGGTAACCAGCACCAGGTGGTTTATAATGACAGCACAGTAACCCTCTTCTTCTCGTTACTTAGTTACACGACGCCAACCATTCCCAAGTTACATCCACGACGCCCTGTACGGGGTCAGCAATCAGTTTGTATACGGTGTCTCCATTTGGACTAGGGTCCCACAAGTCAATGTGGACGGGATTCAAGTAGTCGCAATTCTACAATATGGTTGGAGAAAGTCAACAACTGGTCATTGCGACGAACATCAGGGATTCAAAATTCAAACTTCAGCTTACGACGGGATCACAGACATCAATGACATGGACGGGACTGAGTGTGCCTCGAGGACCGGTAATTGAGATGCACTTGCCACAGAACTATTTGATTTGATAAATCGTTTGTGTTAGGTACCACAACATTGTTTGAGGAATTGCATGAAAATTTTGAGGATCTTGTACCTTTGGATCATAATCAATCGTGCTCATGCCCGTCATTCCGTTGATTGCTATTAGCAAGCAAATTTGAGTCAGTACACCCTCACGTAGTCAAACTCAGTCTGTTGCGAGTCACACATACCAACTCCGTATTGACCATGTGGCATTGGGGTATTGCCCAAGCACAATGTTTCAGTATCATCAAAGTACGTGACGAATCCTTTAACGGGTGTCATAGTTTGACTGGGGTTGCTAGCAACGCAGTCCTGATCGATGTTGGATCCACAGCCACACTTGGTCTGGTGATTTAGGATGTATTAGTTCAACGCATGGAGTCGATAAGAAAAACACAAGTTTGAAGCGCGAGTGTGGTTGAACCAGTAACGCTTACGGTACAGTCTCCAGGATGAGGCGTGCCAGTTGGAGTTGGAGTCGGTGTTCCTGTGGGAGTACCACCGGTTGGAGTTGGAGTAGCGGGTGTCCCAGCTAGAGTGGTTCACAAGTTGCCTTGTTAGTCTCGAAACTGCAAAGTTTTCAACAACAAACTCTTGTAACCTACTGGGTGTGGAGTTGTCACTAGTGGGAGTACCACCCGTTGGAGTTGGCGTAGCGGGAGTTCCAGCTGCTAGAATGATTGAGAGATTGCCTGATCAGTCACGAAACTACAAATGCCAGAAGAAAACATTCGTAACATACTAGGTGCTGAGTTGTCACTGGTAGGAGTTGCGCCGTCACTGGTCGGTGTCGAGCCATCACTGGTTGGTGTTTTTCCGTGATGCACTTTTCCTGCGTCAGTTGGAGTTGACCCGTCACTAGTGGGTGTTGAGCCACCATCAGTGGGAGTGCAATCTGGTAGATCAGTTGGGGTAGCTCCATCACTCGTGGGATCAGATCCGTCGCTAGTTGGAGTAGGAGTGCGTTGATCACCAGTTGGTGTTGCGCCGTCACTAGTTGGTGTTGACCCATCACTGGTAGGTGTTGATCCGTCACTGGTAGGTGTTGATCCGTCACTGGTAGGTGTTGATCCATCACTGGTTGGAGTTGAGTCTGCAGCTTGCTTTCCTGGGGCTGGATTCTCAACAGCTGGACTATCAGCGGCTGTGAAGTAGAAACGTGATTAGTAACCAACCAATAGTGTCCACCAAGTAACCAACTAATAGTGTGATTCACGTTTTCCCGAGTAACAAACTCGAATGACAAACAAAGGAGGCTTACAAGGTGTTCCATCACATGTAGATAAACCGACATCTGATATCTATAGTAGCAACATCAGATCAGTGTTCGTTCGAAAAATAAGTCTCCAAACAGAAACAACCTTAAAGAGAGACCCATCGAATGGGTTGAAACTATCAAAGACAATCTCTTTGACTCGTTGCATTCTGGTTTTGTTACTGTTAAGGATGTCCTGGATTGGTATCACCACTTCGAATGGTATGCCAGGTTGTATTCCCTCTGTGTATCCACAGATCTGGACGACTACAAAGTGTGTTGAAAAGATGTGAGTACATAGCGATGGCAGAGACATGCGATGCGTTCGGTTCGGACAACATTCATTGGGAACAGTGCAACATACATGATGCATCAGCTTTCGTTATACAGTCGTTCTCATTCCAGCTGATTCCCACGTCCATCATGTAATCCGCATCGGGCAGAGTTAGATTAAACTTTATGTACGAGTAACCCGATACATCGAAGCATGATCCATCAGCAGTGAAGGATGTTTCAAGATCTATAGCCATGTGCCAAATCACGGATCAGTCACCGAGTCCATCAAACTGTTGAGATCAAATGCCACTCACTTGAAGATTTGGATGTTGGATATAAATCCACACTGCCATCAGCCTGGATGGCATTAGGGCCCACATATTCGTAGGTGGTATAACCTCCGAGACTGTTTCCCTGAGCATCAAAGTGCGCGACTGGTAGGGAATTACAGGTTGTTGCAGCTTGCGTAGTTGTTAAAAGGACAGCTGTGCACAGAGCACCAACAATTGCTTTTACCACAGACATGCTCTCTGAATTTGTTCAAAAATGATGTTAGATATACGCGGAAAGTGCAATAAGTCCAGACGAAAAGGCTTGGTGGGGCTAGAGGTCCAGAACGTTTACCTCGTCTGATACTCTGTGATGGCGTCGCTAAGATCAGCACTCTATGTCCAGTAATGTTGCGATACTTGTTGCGAATCACTCGTTGAGTAAGAAGTGGAAGAAAAGATATAAGCTACGGCAGCTCCGAGGCTCTTCAACCATTGGTTTGAAAAAAACGAAGAAAAAGGAAAAGTTGATTGGAGCTGGCCAAGCTCTTAAGATGACAGCAGAAGGTATATATCAATTGAATCTAAATGTGTTAGATTGTCCATTACTATCTTATTTATCATTATCTCTCACTTTCACGTGTTGTAATGCGTGTTTGCGTCCGACAACGACAACAATCCCGGAAGCAGACAAGAGGATGAAAACAGCCAATCGTGTCTCTGCGGCAAACTTCTTTGGTGGGTTTTAAGAGGTAGGAATGTGCTAACCACAAAAATTCTGAAATCCGAATTTTTACTGCCTCTCTTGTTCGGCATTCTGCGCACGCCAACAACAAGACCTGCAACTTGAACCGTTTACGCGATTGTTCTCCCTGTATGCACAATATAAAAACTATTCATTACAAAGGCACGTTACTACAGACAGTCTACATTTCAGGCCTCTTGGGCCTTAGTTTCTCTCCATATAGTTGCAGAGGTATCAGATGGAGAGTTGCGACAGCAAATACAATAGCACAAACAGTAAAAGTCCAACCATCTCCGAGAGCGTGGTCCATTTGAACAGCAAAGTTCGGGGTTATCGTAGCTAGCAAAAACCGGAAGAAAGCTGTGCCTGAAGAAACAGCTCCTGCCATCCAAAAGTAGGCATCGACCGTGTAGGACGAAGAAATCGTGAGGATCCACATCATACCAATGCCATTGAAGAATAGGAAGATTATCGGTACAATATAGTGCAAGTTGGACTGCAGAGACCAGCCATATCTAAGGTATTGGTGTCAGTCCAGGTCGTGGCGAGAAAGCTTTTAGAGCAAACGACAACTCTTTTTACCCGATGATACCAACTATAAAGGAAGCCGCCCCCACCCAGACAGGTGGCAGTCGATACTCCGGGAGAGCGATTCCACCATTCCTTGCTGCCATACGGTTTCTCGACCAGTCGGACCTACGTAAGTGTTATTTAGCAGTGTTTTCAATCAACAAAACCTAGAAACTCTCTCACATTCGTCCTCCGACGAGTGCTCCTATCACGTTCCCTATAGCAGCTGAGATTAAAACGAGACCATTTTGTGTCGATGAAAAGCCAAACTTTTGACTAAACGTAGAGGGCTAATACCAACACAATAGGTTGACGTTAGCCTGGTGTGAGAACGGGCATACGATTTCATCCTACAGCTTACCAAGACAGTGACGTATAGATAAAAGATGGAGAATGCCAACCCAGCATACAGTGCCGGCATAAAAATCGCCAAGTATCGGAGTGTTAGAATTGCTGCGAACGGGTTGAATACAGTCTTTTTTACACCAGGCCGGCCTGGGAAGTGAGTTTCAGGTAAACCAATTAAGACTGCGAAGAAAGCCAGTATTCCACAGACAGCTTGAGCATAAAAGATGGACCTCCATCCAATAGCGTCTGACAGCGCGCCTAAATGATAGACGATTTGTTTGCAATGTGTCGAAATTGTCAAACAGGCAAAAACTTGAAGTTTGTTGCATAGCGAACCTCCTATAGTTGGAGCTACAGCAGGGGCAATTAAGACACCAAGAAACTGTTTGGGTGATATGCAATCAGATCATAGATCAAGAAAACAACAAAATGTTTGGAAACCACGTAACCACAAGTACTCAGCTCTTACCATTAAGCCCATTGCACCACCCCTATCCTATTAATATCGGCACATGAGTCTGAGTGAGCTCCACATCCACGTATAGCGGTCCGCTATGCTGAACTAGACAATACCTTTGGTTCGAACATATCAGCGATCGAAGCGCCACCAACGGCCATACTACAGTATAAACGTAAGTATTACTATGTGGTTTCAGTTCAAACAAACGAAGGACACTTACGATCCAGAAGCAGCCAATCCCTGCAAAAATCGCATACACAACATGTACACCATAGAAGGAGATAGCGCAACAGCCACAGAGAGAATGCAATACAGCATTGTACATAGTAAATAGATTGGTCTTCTACCCAATTTGTCAGAAATCGGTCTGTTTCAGTGAAGCAAAAGATGATCTACGATTAGCAACGACCAAGCTGTAGGTGAACAACATTGTACTTGCCCAAGCAGTAAAGGCGCAAACCCGAGTGAAAAGATGTATGTACTGATAGAGGCTGAAACGAGACTCTGGGTGGTGTTTAAGGCATTCACTATTACGGGAGTTACCTAAGGGCCACCGTGTGAGTTCAAAGACGAGAAGCAAACTAGTATCGGAAACTTGCTGGAAGAAACATTGTTGAGCTCAACGGCCCCAACGTGCCAATAACTAGATGACTTCTAGCGTTAGAATCTTGTTGTGTGGGCCCATTTCAATCTGATCTGCAATCCACGAATTGTGCAAACATACCTCCAATGATAGCCAGACACCGGTATTTCTTGCTCTGTGACCAATGCGTTGGCATAAGAAATTCGATCTCTGCTGGTGGAGCATCGTCAACGACCTTCAATTCCAAGTCATCGTTTCCTTTCTCCAAAAGTTGTTCCTGTAACATTGCAGCAGACTCTGGCACTGGGGGCTCCGGCATGGCTGTATATATCGATCTACGCAAAGAATCCGTCGGTCCTTTAATGAATTCCTTCGGTAGGCCTTCTTCGAAAATCGCAGTTGCGTCACAGGGCAAGGTACATCCTGATGACAAACGTCGAAAAAAACGAAACCAACCGTGAGTAAACAGACACGTCAAGCTACAGCGTCGTGGTAGTTCTTTTCTGCCTATTTCCTACTGCCTTTTACACGCATTTAGGCATATGCTCACGTAGGATCAAGCCCCATTTTGAAATGAGTTTCAAAAGAACAAGAAACCTGTAATAGACTAGACTTGTATGTGATTAAATCTAGTGCAAATTTCTTGGAACTAATCAACGTGGGCGTCCACTCAAGATGGAAGGGTTTGGCCCATTTGTGCCACCGTGTACTGATGAGTTCCACATATTGTTTAAATTCAATTTTACACACTGGAGTATATAATCTCTATAACCGATTCAATCCTAGAACATACTCAATTATTACAGTTAGACCCCTTTCTAAGGTTTGGTTCCGTCAAAACCACCAAACACCAAATTGCGTCCCCTTGGATTACAAGTCAGTTTCATCACAAAAAGCCAAATTGCGTCCCTTTGGATTACAGGTCAGTTTCATCCTCTACTTGAATTACTAGAGGATCAATAGCCTGGTCAACGACTTTTGCTTTCGGTGGCCATCCAGGTGGTGGAGTTGGTCGATACTTATGACCATTTTTGATCATGAATAGTATGGAAATCGATACAATGAGGTAGAATCCTGCTGCAATCGTATACATCCATCCATTTCCTAAAGCTGCGAGCATCTGCGGAGCAAACTCTATTGGACAAAGCGTTTTATGTTAGAATGCTTACGCTCACAGACGATGTCGAGATTGGACGTGCCTGGAGTAACGGCCGCAAAGAGCATCCTCAGCATAGCACCTCCAGCTGATACAGTGGCAGCTTGCCAGACCATAGAATCTATACTATATGCACTACATATCACTGATATGGCCATGGTTGCTGCACCAGAGAAGAATAGTCCAATCAGAGGGACGACGTAGTTTGCATGATTCTCGAGAGACCATCCAAACCATATTAACCCGACTGGCATGAGGACTACAGACGGACCAAGAGCATATAAACGGTATTCAGGCTGGCTCATGCCATTATTTCGTGCCACAAGCCTCTTTCTAACATAGTCTGTAAATCTACCACCTCCTAGTGCTCCAACAATAAAGCTAGGTTCATCGAGGCGAAGTGAGCAAGGAGTCAATGAAACGAGAATGAATCAAGTACTATTTACCCCAATGCGTTTCCAAGCATAGCTAGTCCAATTTGGGTTTGTGTAAAGCCGTACACAGTTGCATATGTTGCTAACAAGTGCAAACAGAGTGAGCCAGCGAAGATGGAAATAAGTGTTGGAAAAAAATTACCTGGTAAACACACTGCTATCAAATAATATATGCCAAAACCTATTCCACCGTAGAGAGCAGACCAAATGATGGCGAAATTCTTCAACACTAATATGGCAGCAAATGGGTTGTAGGGCGCCAGTTTGCCATTTTCGTCACGGAGAGGACGATACGATTCTGGCAAGAAAAATAGCAATGGCACGAATACGATCCCACCAAGTATCGCCTGGAGCCAGAATATGCTATGGACAGAAAAAATCAAGAAGTGTCAGGCAACCCATTCTTCGCTGATGACAACAAACCATTCTTAAGTAATGAGAAAAACCATTGAGTGGAGCTCAACAAACCTGCGCCATCCAAAGTGATCGCTTAAAGCTCCAGAGACACTTGGTGCTATTGCCGGTGCTAAGAGCGGTCCTAGCATCATAACTCCCATCATACTACGAAGGAGGAAATCAGAATCTCGAATACACTCCAAAAGTTTCGTTCAAGAAATAACACAAACACGTACCTTCCACGCTCTGATATACTGTACATGTCTGCAACACTAGCTCCACTAACAGCACCACTAGCGCTTGCAAAGAAGGCTTGCGACAGTCGAAGAACGATTAATGCCGCAATATTCGGCGACAGTGCACATCCTATTGATGTCACTGCGTATGCAAGGACACTCCAAACATAAATAAATCTGCGACCGAGACGCTCTGATAGTGGACCTAGTAAAACAGGTCTAAAAAAACAGAGTGAGCAGAGTGCAGTTTGGAGTTTAAACTTTAGGTTTAGGGAACCGATTCCTAATTTGCGAAACGATTCGTTTACCCAAGTCCAACCATCAGAATATATGTTGACACGGACGTGTTGACCACGTTTGCTGACGCATGGAAATCCGTCTCTATATGAAATGACAGAGCCATGAGCATTTCAGATTTGATAGTGAAAGATCATTGGAACCAACCGATTGCAAGTAATGCTGGTAAAAATGCAGTCGTTGCCTAAACCATGAAGGCAACCAAGAGTCAACTCTTTTCCCGTGATTGTAACCACGATCCAAACAACATTCTACTGACCAACGGTACTAGGAAACCTGCTGCCCCTATCAAAAACATTGACAGATTCTTCTTCCATCTTGGCCAGTTCAGTGCATCAATGGGTGGTAACTCCTTGTGTTTGAGATGTTTGATTATTCCGTTCCGCTGCTTCTCGTCATCATCATGGACGACTACTACTTTTGGATCAATTATATTTGATTTCACATATGGGGTTGGATGCGATTGTTCGGTTTGTAGAAGTCTCTGCGTTGTAATGTCGAGACTTGTTTTGGAGTCGTTTTTGTCATCGTCTTGGACGACTGGAGGGAAGTCTACATTCCAAAGTGCTCTGGCACCCTCCGGAGGCTCGAATTGGTCCATATCTCTATCAAATGCTAATGCATCCACAAAGTGACAAAGATCCGACCTGTGTTTAAAATGTCACGCTTTTGAGCCAGTATGACGAAATTTCTAAATGTGAATTGTAGCTTCTGATGACTACAATTATTCAATTCCGCTTGCTATGAATTCTGTTTGCTGAGTCTTCACTGCCTAGGCTTACTTCACACCTTAGGCTATACGTTCAATTGCGTCCGACTTGAAAAATTCACGATTCTCGAGATTTAGACGCATCCACTTCAGATACCATCATCTCGACAAGATCACAACCAATACACTGGCGTGGTCTTTAACTCGAGCAGTCGTCAGAGTGCCTGTTTCCTATTGTCATAACCGTCGCATTCAACTCACGCTGGGATCTGACCACCCAAGTTCGCTTTTTCTCTTTACTGGTATTATTGGAAGACATGTTACAGGTTATTTGAGTCACAGAAAAGTCTACATTTCAAGTCTCTAGTCCTTTATGGCATTTCGTATTCTTCTTCTATTTTGATGGCCTCGACTGCTTGCTCAGTTTTGGCGGATGGAACCTGGCCCCAACCGGCTGGAGGTTTGGGCCTGTATTTGTGTCCATATTTGATGAAGAATGGTACACTGCAGCAGCACAGTAGGAAGAAGCCAACAGCGACTGTAAACATCCAGCCGTTGCCTAGTGCCTGGAGAGAGCATTGTAAGCATGGTTTAATAACATAAACCAAAAATTTCAGCTTCTGAAAGACTTACTGTGTACATTTGCGGGGCGAATTGAGGCGTTATAGCTGGATTGTAGATTGTTAGATCATAGAAAGCGAAGAACAAAGTTGTTGCGAAATGATAGCACGTACCAGCAAATGACATTCTCAACAAGTTTGCTCCAGACGACACATCTGATGCCCTCCACGTCATACTGTCTATTCCATAAGCCGAGCAAGCTACGGATACTATCTGAACACCGAAAAAGAAACCCTTCAGCGGACGTACGCACGCATGCATGTTGAAAAAACTCAAACTTACCATGACTGCGACTCCACTGAAAAACAACCCAACTAGAGGAACGACGCTGTTTGCTTGTTCCTGAACAGACCATCCATACCATAAGAAGCCTGCGGGCATGAGCAAGACGGCTGGGAATATGGCATACAAGCGGTATTCTGGAACTCCCGGTCCGTAGCGAGCGATTAACTTTCTTCTGCTCCAATCAGAAAATCGGCCACCTACTATGGCTCCCACCAGCATTCCGAAAGCGTTGCCAAGGAGTGCAAGTCCAAGCTGCGTTTCGTTATACGCGTATTGGGTGTAATAAGTGATCTGGATGGTAACGGCGACGAGATAGTACAGTCCTATGGTATGGACACATGTAGAATTAGAATATGCGGGTGTTTGGATAATGGCAACTTCCTGTTCTTACCAAATCCTATGCCTCCAAAGGCAGCAGACCAAACAATAGCAGGGTTTGCGAGCACTACTATTGCACTGAATGGATTGTATCGAGGGAGCTTGCCAGTAACAGGGTCTTTCTTTGGTTTGAAAGTTTCGGGTAACAAGAAGAATTGCAAGACGAAAACAATTCCACCGAGTATGACTTGCATCCAAAAAATGGCTCGCCAGCCTAAGTGTTGTGCTATGACACCGCCAAGAGCAGGTGCCACTGCCGGAGCTACGAGTGGTCCAATCCTATAATTCGGTCCGTCAGAAAATGTGGTGTCTACCGTCGCGCTTGTAAAATTCTGCGAGAATCTTACATGATAGCCCCCATCATGGATCCACGGCGACTGATATCATACATATCTGCTACTGAAGCTGCGCTCAAAGCTGTGCTGGGCGATGCGGCAATGGCTTGTAACAATCTAAACACTATCAATGATGCCACGTTGGGAGACAGAGCAGCTCCTACTGCAAACACAGCATACGCCAGGCATCCCCACATGTATATAGGTCTACGTCCAATAAGGTTGGACAAAGGCTATGGCATGAATCGTAAGCAAAGGTCATTACCAGCGTTCAACAACTAGAAGTTAACCATTCACAGTGTCACGAAATACTTACTCCCAGGATCACGGGACCTGCCCCTATCATGAGAATGAAGGTAGAGACCGATACGTTGATTACATTAGCACTAGTGTTGAATTCCGCCTCGATAGTTAAAATGGCGGGCAAGAAAGCGGTGGTGGCCAATGGAACCAAGAATGTTGACATTCCAATTAAGATCAACGCCATAGTCTTCTTTCTGTCAGGCCATGCCATGGGATTGAAGTCATCAATGGATTGAGCTGCAGGAGGTAGCAACAACGAGCCCTTTTCGGCTGGGAACTTGGCATATTGTTCAGCTCCTTGTTTTAAGAGAGATTCTCTTGTGTGAGATGGATGGTTGACGTCGTCGTCAATTAATGTGTCCTGTCCCAACATTTCTGTTGCAGCTTCTGGCACAGGAAGGGTGAAAGACACTCGAGACATGCTATGAAATCGATTTAGAATGAGTTTAATAGGTCTCGATATCGTGGATAAGCCGCAAACGTAAATCCGGATTCCACGACAATTTTGAGAACGTTCAGTAGAACACACCTTTGTGAGGTATCTTATGCGCAAGATCTAGTCGATTCCCGGCAACCCGGCAACTATTGAACAGTGTCGTTATGGTTTTTGATCGAACGATGCGACGTATGAGAAGTTCCCTCTTCGTCGCTTAAAACGTAGGCACGGAAAACGTATACCCTAGGTGCACCCAGCATAAAAGACGTCATAGAAACCATAAGGAGTTACCATACATCAAGCACCCTTTCTGAGGGATCATCAGCTTAAACAATTCACAATCTATCGCTGGAACGTCAAGATCTTCGAGCAAATTCTTAAAATTTTCAACTACAACACTCACTCTTCTCGCCTGTATCGATCGGTGCAATCTGAAGCGATTCAACTTCATTAATAGTACATAGTGCTTGAATTTTCTTGGAGCCTTAATGACTGAGCTTTCTTGAACGTGTCACATCTTGCCAACACTCAAACAATAATGAATCCTTGTACTTGCATCAAAGCTACAAATAAATCATCTATCCGAAAACAAAAAATAACATGGCAAAATAGCATATCTACAGTGATGTTTAAGGGCGCTTGGCCGGGAAAGATGGATATGTCTTGAGTCGTAAACGTTCAACTTCCTCACGCAAGATACTGATATCTGCAGCCTGCGAACGTGCATAATCCACCAGACGACGACGAGAATAGATCTCTTTTAATGGATCTGCTTTGACTGCCATCTTGTCGGCTACAAATTGTGTGTGAGCAAAATACTGTGGAGGGTGCTTGGTAAGTCTTTTGCCCCAGGTGTTCTTACATTGTGCATCGTAGATCCTACGTGTCTCTTCCATGCGTTCACGTAGCCTCTCCAATTCAGAATCCAACTCACTATTTTCGATACTCTTTTCATGAATGCGTCGTTGCAATCTTGCCATGCTTTTACGATGCTCGCTCAATTTATGACCGTGATTCTACAGCCAAAAGATTGTCAATTCAATGTGATCCATCAATAATTCCACTTTTTTACCTGTATACTATACTCGGCCCTTCGCTCAATAGAAGCAACTTCAGAAGCTTGCTTGTGCTCATCTCCAGACCGAAGATACTCTTGCATCTGTTTAGTAACTCGTAATAACTGCACATCACGAATCCGATTCGTCAAATCTTCAGCCTGGAAATCTAGCACTGAATTCTGCCATTCAAGCATCAAGATTCCTTTACGGTAATCCTTCATTTCTTTCAAGGCATCTACTTTTGTCTTGCCAACTTGTAAGATGGCTTCATTGTGCTTTTCAATCACGGCGCGCGGAATCAGGACTGCGTCAGAGTAATCTGTCACGACTGCTGATGATGGGACTTCCACCTATACAAGCGAACGAGTCAGGGTCTTAATTGGGCAGAAAAAATACCATCACCGTCCAGATGAATGCAAGTTGAACACACCTGTCCTTGTTTCAGCTCAATCAAATGCACCAAATCATACTTGGCCAAGAATGCTTCTTCAGCAATCATAGTCAAAGCCTTCTCAGCATTCTCCACATCAGTTCGTAGCCTATCACTAGCATCCAATATACTCTGCACAATCACAGAGGCATCATGAAAGCGTCGTTGAGCAGCTTTTACTTCACATTCCGTGACATATTTTCGTTCTCGTAAATCAGCAATATAGTCTAGAACTGTTTGATCCAGTTGTACTTGGAGACCAGCAACGCTTAAAGGTGCCAACTCAGAGTCTGCTGAGTCTGTTGGTGCATCTGTTTCAAGAGTGGCGTAGGGTGACCAAGAGTTTGCGGCGGCATTGGCAATATCGTTCTAACGGGAGCGTTGATGAATGGACGACAAAAAAACATCGCTATCTGTCCTTGAATACCTGGACCACGTCACGATTCTTGAAAAGTTTGAGCAGTGTCTCCATATGATCAGCAAACTCGGCAAACTCTCGCTTGAACTGCCTCTCAATATCTTTATCACGACGAAGAGCTGATTCCAAGTCTTCGCGACATCGCTCCAAATCCCTCTATATGCACAGATTTGGTTGTTAGCATTCGACAAATAGTAGATCAATTCGTCAAGCCAGCAAACCTTGATTTCAGGGATTTCCGAAGACACAGTGGCCTTCTCAACTCTCAAGTCGTCAAGTTTCCTCAAAATGGTGGCAGCCTGAAAAGAATTCGCAAGCATTTTTAGCTCGTGTTTTTTTTGGGTGGCTCACCGAACTGTCAAAACCCAACTCACTCGAATCTCTCCACCATCTGCATACGCACAAATCTGTGCCAACTTGATGGCTCCAAGTTCATACTTGAGAACTTTAGATTCAGCCTTATTCCGTTCTTCACCAAACTCTTCTAGTTTATCATCAAAGGCAATAGACATGTCCTTGGCTGTTGCTTGCAACTTTCTCAATTCAGCTTCGAGGGCTTTGCGAAACTTTTCTTGCTCTTCTCGTCTTGTTGCTATTTGACGTTCGAATTCTTTGACTTGTTTGCGTTCGTCTTCACTCATGTCGGATTCCACTTTGGTGGTCATCCATGCTGGAGCGACGAGCTCTTCTTCGTCTTCCTCTTCGGCACTGTAATTTTAAAACCCTCGGTTAGAAGCAAAAATAATGAAACGGACACACGATGCTTCTTACCGATCTTCAAGCTTTCCACCCATCATGACTTGAAGTGCACGCGACTTAGAATCATCTTCTTGTTGAGCACGCAGACGTTCTTCATCTTGCCTACGCTTCTCCTCCAGTTTACGACGTTCTTCAGGGGTGATGAACTAAAAGCACGTAGACACAGTCAACGCAATCCATATAGCAAAAGGAGCCTTTCATTCAATTACCTTGGGAGCTCTGATCTCGTCTGGTCTGACTTCAATAACACGTTCTGGAACTTCATAATCGTCCAGAGTGGGATGAGGAATAGCTTCGTTAAGCTGTGCAAAAAAAACCATGAGTAGTGTTCGGATGGATTTGAATCTCGACAGGCATCATTTTCTACCTGCAAATCAGCCATAATCTCAGCAATTCGATCATTCTTCTCCTCAATCTTGGTTATCTCGTCTCGTTTAGATTTGGAAAATTCTCGGAAGCGACCATTGAATTCAGTCTATAGTGCCATCAAACATCAGATACTGGTAATTCTTGACAAAAACAGAAAAACCAAGAAAAATAGTGACCTTAACGTCCATAGCGACTTCAGATAACAAGACGATCTGCTGTACACGTTTCTCAACGGTAGTCAACTCTGTGGGATCATACAAGAGTTCCTTGTTGGTATACTTGTTCACTTCAGGAATGACATCAGCACGTAGTGAGTCTAATGAGGCCAATTTCGGAATCTCGTCCTGAATCACAAAAGATTAGTATCAAAGAGGTTCAAACTCGATACCGAAACAATCCATACTTCGTCATCCCGATTCGAGGGCTAAAGAAAGACACAAAGCCGTTATACATTGCCATATGCTAACATCTATAACAAATCGCATACCTTTAGAATAGCAGAATTAACAACCATTTGCACCCGACGCATCAACTTGACTCGAGTAATTTTGGCCAATTCTTCTGACGACCTTCTACGAATCGCAAAGTTTTGCACTTCAAACCGATTGTTGGTCAGTTTACTCGGATTGAAAGATTTGATGGACTCTCCTGGAACTTCCATTGAGTCCCATACTTCACGCTATAATTCATAAATACGGTTTGACGATTGATGCACAAAAGAAGAAGATGAACGACGTCTATAATACAAACCTTCAGACGATTCCTGATAACACGCATCTTGAGATTCTGTTCTTCCGCTTCAGCACGAACTCGAGATACTCGTTCCTCAGTCTGAGTCGAGAGTCGATCACGTCGACTCAAATCAATCACAAGCTCTCCTTTATCTAAAGATTCATTGGAGGGGACTGTCTCGTTGAGACGGATGGTATCTGTAATACGTTCTCGAATGAGAGTTGCTCTGGCCCTCAGTGAGTTCTTGTACTCCTGCAAATATTCATTTATGGATAGGTTGAGTAAGCTACGATCCTGCAAATCGTGAGTAAAAGGAACAACAATAAAACGCACTTCAATTTCAGCTTCCATGTTACTTTGCTTATTGTCCGTTGTCGCCTGTCCTGCCCATATGGCTCGTTCAGAATCTGAGTCAACAACATCGTCGATGGCCTTGGAGTGAAGCAACAAAAGGGTTGAGTTGCAATTTTGAACCACTTTATTGTGACGCGATCAAACCACACTTACAGGAGCATGGACCAGCGTATCCATAACAGTAGCAACATATTCCACTTGCATCTCTTCAAACTGTTCAATCTCAGATTCTGTTTCAGTGGCTGCTCGACGACCAGCAGTAGTATACTTCCATTCCCATAGACGAATCAATCCATCACGGCCAACAGTGTACAAGATACGTTGATCTCGTGAGAATTGAGCAGTAACTACACCTCCAAGTGAAGGATCATGGACGGGAACTACGATTGCTTGGTCTAGATCTAATACAGAACGGACTGTGACGTGACCGTCAGCAGACCACGTTAGGATCCATGACAGGGTTGGAGACAGGGTGAGTCGACAGTCTGTTTTCTCGTGATTCGAAAACTGTTAAGCAAAAAATGTCAGGCTATATACGTCAGTCGGAATAGCTAAACACATGTCTCTCATCACATACCTGAGCGAGGGCATTCCCTAACAGAACTAGTGGCGTCCCATTTTGCATCGCCTCGTCAAGCGCTGGTCCATTATTTCGAGAGCGACCATTGTATACTTTGAGGCATCGATCTGTAGACATGGCATAAAACACTTCCCGGTATCCAGTCAATTGTCTAGTATTATAGACTGAAGTTAAGAAATGCATCAGTTCTTGAGGTACGTAAATCAAATTTTATACCCCCAAGAAACTGCAAAATCTCTCCACTCATCGTCTGCTTGATATAATACGGGCTAAAATGCAAAAAAACCTAATTATGAGTTTGCTTTCATATAAAAACAAGAACCAAAGAACACACCACAATATCTTACATCTAACGGCACCTTCACCAGAGTCATCTTATCTTCTCCTCCCACTTCCAGTGGATGGTCGTCGACAGGGAGTTGGAATCGATGCACCACTGACGATTTCGTATTATTATCTGTCGTCAGCACATAAAGATACAAAGACTATACCGACAAATGTGTTAATCTGACCGCCGCAATGGTTGTGGTGCAGAAAACCCTATAAGGGAATCCTCGCATACCATCTCATCACTATCGGCACCTTCATCCACACTCCAAGTAAGTTTCACAGGCCGCCCAGATACGTGCAGGTACCCAATAGGCTCAAATTTCGAAAAGACATCGCAGAGAAAGATTCGACCGTCTTCTCCCATTGACGCCAGATATCGTCCAATCGGATCAAAAGATAAAGTCAGGACTCTTCCGGAGTGAAGACGAGTACGAGACAATAATCTGGGTTTGGCATTCTCTGTAACACCATCGGCATTAAATATCCTTAGGACACCTGTTTTGGATGCAGTAGCAACAAGTGGAGAGTATGGAGCGGTTGCTATCACACAAGAGCCTATATCCATGTCTGTATCTTGGAGACGTGTCGATATTTCTCCTTCATAGAATATCAGTTTGCCATCGTCCCTGCCAAGAAGGATTGTGTTGTTGGCAGCTAGCAGCGCGAATTGCGACACTTGGCTACCGCATATGTCCACAGCCTATTCTATGGCCATTAGTACAATAACACTATTTAAATCGTTGAAACTGCTGCGTGTTTCTCACCAAACTGAGATTTTCTGTTTCGTCTTCTGGATGCACGTCATACTTGAAAATCTTGCCGTTGCCGCAACTGATGGCCATATATCGATAGTCTGGCGAGTGTACTAGAGACGTTATCGGTGACTTGTCAACTTGTAAACTTTTCGATATCTTGTTGCTGTTTGATACACCCAACCAGTGTATCCTTCCATCCTAATTGAGACGTGTTAACGAGAATTGTTTGCGGCAGGGATTTGCGAGCTTTGACCTACCTCACAACCAATCACAGCTCCTTCAACACAAACCGCAACGACTCTGATTTGATTTGGAATGGTGTCGGTTTCAGAACCTTGAGAGTGTACAAATTCCTGTTGCTCGCCAGTTCTAGAATTGTATAGCAGTATCGAGTCCCCATCATGCGAAGGTACCAATAGATTGTTGTCTGGTGTCCATGCATGGGATACTAATGTCTTGGTTGACGAAAACTCTACATCCAGCGACAGCAATGGATCGTCATTGACGTCTTTGGTTTTTCTAAAATATTAGGAGGATCATTACGTGGTGCTTGATTCCAAAAATAGCGAAAATAGGGGCTTACATGGATCGAAGATTACATTTTTTGTGTGTTCCTTCAATCTTGAAGAAGCGTGCGCCGATTCTGTCACCACTCGTCACCATAACGCTAGGATCTTGAGGATCAAACGACAAGAGAGATGCTGGTCCATCATTTAGTGTACTCGCCAGCAGAGTACCAGTCCTCCAATCGAATAAACACACTTGGAAGGAAGGTATGTCACCCAAAGTGGCAAGATATCGGCCATTTGGCGAGAATGCCATTGATTTTATTGACAAGTCTCCATGAGGCACTATGAGCATAAAGATTAGTGGAAGCGCCATGAACTGTATGGATATTCCAACCAAGCACTTACCTTGAACCGAGACACCTGTAGAAGTAGCACCAGGCCATTTCAGTACTCGAATGCTCAGTTTACCACGTTCAGCAAATGCAACGACGCCGTCTCGTGGACTTGAAGCGATGGCTGTGATGACAGATTTTCCAACAATGGGTTTGTTGGTCCTTCCTGTTGCGATATCGATGGAATTCACCACAGATCCAGACACATATGCCAGTACGGTAGGTTCCAAAAAGCACGGTCGACATGTTTGTGAATGTCCAATGGAAGAACTGGTGCGAAAAGTACAGTCAAATATCCGATGTTTGCGTTAAACGAGAATTGGTTGCCAATTTGTTCAATGCTTCTGGTAACGTACGATAATTCCAAGTCTCCATAGAGTCCACCTAGTATGCCAGTAGCAGCATTGGCTTCTGGACTGTCAGTGGTAGATGTCTGCCTCTTTGACGCCCGAAGTGCATTTACAATGGCCAACATATTTTGTCACTAGTTTCTTCCAGTCCTGTTTCTACCAGTTAGAACCGCAGACGCAAGAGTTCCTTGATAGATCCAGCTGATTTGCCTAGATATATGTCAGATACCTATGAAACGGTGCACCGCTTAGGTTGCCAGTTTGATGAAAATCAACAATGTTGGTCGAAACGTTGAAACCGTTTGAGAGTAGAGAAACAATACATGCAAGGTAATGACGTGAGCTTACGAATTGAAATCTTAATTGAGTGCAGGTAGCGACCGCGTCACCGTTCGTGTTCAATGCTCCATCACGAACATGATCCAGACGACGCGATGCGAGTTCTGAGATGCAAAAGATTCGTGTAATAAATGAAAGATAGATTAACTGCTTTTTAAACATGGCACATACACCCTCAAGATGCTCGCATCGCCTCATTGTCAAAAAGGACCTCCCGTAAGTATCACGAAACGAGCTGCTAAAGTTGTTCGTTCATCACTCTTCTAAGCCGGCCAGGCTTACTTATAGCAAGAAATCTGAATCTTTTGGTGCCTGAAAAAGATGTTCCCAAGAATCTTACTTAGGTCTTGGGCATCTGTCACGATTGTCTCGCGTCGAGCACAAGTTTCAACATTATCAGAGATTGGACCTGCCATTGAGAGTCTCGTCGACACAAATTCAGACGAATTCAAGGTATGAATCAAATCTGCCTCTCTTGATCCTTCGAAATTGCCCTTGTTGGTACACTTGCAAACCAAACATCAAACTCACATTTCTGCAATTAGGAAAATGCCACTCGTATGGGCAAACTTACCGCCAAGCTGCGTCAAGATGTCGCCAAAATTAAGCTTGGTAATTATCGATACGCTGATTCTGCTTTCAATCACCGTGGTGCAAAATAGGTCACGCTTAGACGCTGTTCTTCATATTCAAGGTGGTGGAGAAGAAGCTCGAAAACGGCATCTGTCGCGAAAAAAGTTGCTTCCAAGAGATCGTGTGGACGCGCTACTAGATCCAGGCTCTCCATTCCTCGAGCTGTCACAGTTTGCTGGTATGCTGACAACTGTTACGACAACGTTCTCATCTTACATACCCGTTCGTTCCTTTTGTCCAGGCCATGAAATGTATGACGAAGAAGTGCCAGCCGCAGGCATCATCACAGGGATAGGAAGAGTCAGCGGTGTTGAATGTATGGTGGTCGCTAACGACAATACAGTGAAGGGTGGTACTTACTACCCAATCACTGTCCGAAAGCATCTCAGAGCACAGGAGATTGCCAAGGAAAACAGACTTCCCTGCGTCTATTTGGTGGATTCTGGTGGAGCGTTTCTGCCACGACAAGCTGACGTGTTTCCCGACAAGGAGCACTTCGGGCGCATATTTTATAATCAGGCTAATATGTCTGCTGCAAAGATTCCACAAGTAGCTATTGTGTTGGGACAATGTGTCGCAGGCGGTGCATATCAGCCGGCAATGGCAGGTTAGTACGCTAAACATCTTCTGAGGAAGCGTGATAGTCGCTGATACTACGAGCGATTATAGACGAAAGCGTCATTGTCAAGAACCAAGGAACCATCTTCTTGGCAGGGCCGCCGGTAGGACTCGACAGATAGAGCTAATTTCTTGTTCTGCTCTCACATATCGACTTTGTAGCTTGTGAAAGCTGCTACGGGTGAGATAATATCTGCTGAAGAGCTGGGAGGTGCTGATACGCACTGCAAGGTAGACGAGCACTCTTGTAGCTGTAAACTTGTAGTTGAATCCTCACCCAAATCATCCTATAGACTTCAGGAGTGACAGATTATATGGCTCAAAACGATGAGCATGCTTTAGCAATGGGACGACAGATTGTCGCGAACTTGAACTATGTCAAAGCCGCTCAGGTAGAACTAGTCACATGAATCGCTCAGCATGCTTTCAACCATTTTTTTGGGTTTAGACGACAATACTGCCGCCTGAGGAGCCACTATATCCCTCGTCGGAAATCGGTGGTATAGTTGGAGACAACCTTCGCAAACCATATGACATCAAGGAAGTAATCGCTCGCATCGTTGATGGCTCAAGATTCTCAGAGTTCAAGGAACATTATGGCACATCTCTCGTAACAGGATTTGCCAGACTCTATGGATACCCAGTTGGAATTGTAGCTAATAATGGAATTTTGTTTTCGGAATCGTCACTCAAGGGTGCACATTTTATTGAATTGTGTTCTGCGAGGGGTATACCGCTGATCTTCTTACAGAATATCACTGGATTCATGGTGGGAAAGAGTGCTGAAGCTGGCGGGATAGCTAAGAATGGTGCCAAATTGGTGACTGCTGTTTCTTGTGCTAAAGTTCCCAAGTTTACGGTATAGGATTTTTGTTCAGCGAAAAAAAGCTGGGCTGCAGTCCTCACGAATACCAATCTTGTAGGTCATTGTGGGCGGATCGTTTGGAGCTGGTAATTATGGAATGTGTGGTCGTGCATATAGTCCTAGGTTCTTGTTTACTTGGCCAAATTGTAAGTTGGTACAGGAGAGATGTGTTTTAGAGAGAGATATTTACTCACAACCACCAATTGTTAGCTCGAATAAGTGTTATGGGTGGAGAACAAGCCGCCAACGTAATGGGACAAGGTGTGTTCTCGCAGTCGGAAATTCATCTGGTTCTTAAGCTGATTTTTTTGCTCTTAGTCACTCGAGACGCAAAAGAAAAGAAGGGGCAGATAGTAGGATTCAATTGCACGCTGAATACGTCGAACGGTTGCTGATGCCGCGTCTTCTTATAGTGGAGTGCTGACGAGGAGGAGACTTTCAAAAAGCCCATCCGTGACCAGTATGAAAAAGAAGGACATCCATATTTTGCCAGGTGATTCGCATGAGGTTTCCGAGTCTCTTTCACTGCGCCTCTAAGCATTGGGTCTTTCTGTAGTGCTCGCCTATGGGATGATGGCATAATCGATCCTGCTGATACTAGGCGCGTCTTGGGTCTATCCTTGAGTGCCTCTCTAAATGCACCCATGGAAGAAACCAAATTTGGTATCTTCAGGATGTGAAACTGTCTGATTTAATCTAAATCCACCGCAGTGGATGTACCATGTTTTGAATGTAACTTGTGTTGCACGCGGTCACTTGAATATAACTGTCAATGTTAAATTTGTACACCAACAGTGTCAAACTGGTTTCCTTCCCACACGAGCTTAATTCCTAGCAGTATATGTAACCACTTTGTCACAAGTTTTGAACAGACAACAATTCTCCAAACATTCCATTTTCATCAACAAGGCCTCATACCACTCTCAAATCTCAAAGTTAAATCTCTCAACCTTATTCTATTCACAACTAGATCAACGAATCTGATAACTTACTTCGTTTGTAGGGATTTGTCTTGGATCTTCATCCCATTCATCACAAACGCACTCGCTAAAATCTGACTCGACAATGGGGAAAATGGTGGTCACAATTATGCTGTTCTGTATCCTGTCATTGAATGTTCCTCTTCGATCCTTTGCTGCACCTCTGGTCAGTTTCAGAATGCTCTGTCTGGACTCTTGAGAGTCTAAATGCAGCATGTGAGAGTCAAAGGGAAACACAGCTGACGAGAGTTTAACAACATTTGCTTTCTAGAAATCTACCATCATGGCTGATGATGACTCAGAAGCGGTCGAGACTGCAATGATTCACTATAGCAATATCACAAAATCACACAGTCTTGACTCTACTACTGCTACAACTGTACATGCTATTAAAACCATGACTCCCAACGATGCTACCACTACTGGCGCTACTGCTGCAGATGCTGATAGTGCGCCTTCAACTGCTGACAGCGACAATGGTGTAGCGTCAGCCTTAGCCCTCCAAGATCATCCTCACGAAACAATCAACGAGTCATCAACTGAAGTCGACCACACATCTACTACCACTATACAATCAACACCCACAATCGTCAGTACACCCCGTATGCAACCACGACAAGGATTTGTGTATGCTGAAGCTGCTGGAATGCCATATGACCAACCAGAGCCTCAATACGTTGGTAGTTATTATGGCCGTCCTGCTGCTGGTAAGCGTTCGGTATTTTCTTTTGTTGAACTTGGGTAATGGGAGAGTTTGATACAAGTTTAATGCATAGAGCCAAGACGTCGCTTTGGGCCACCGCCTGTATGGCATTATGAGTTCTAAGAGTATGTAGAGCCTTGTAGAGCCTTGCATAGTTCCATTTGTTTACTTGAGTTTCTTGTATTCGTTTTGCACCAACAATCTTATAAAATCGTAAGACTACGCTCCCAATATTCAAAACTGCTACATCTTGGATTGGACGCAACATCGATTTCAACGTTGATTCAGGATTGAAACCGAGCTGCAATCACTTTCATCATGATATGACCACGATCATTGACTCGTTGATGCGAGGAAGGGTGTGACATCTACTATACGCATCACAAGAACAATCACCAAACAAACAAGAACCAAGTTTTGACGATCGAAACGCGTCGATATACCTGAGTGGATTTATCATGATGAGTTGCTACTCGTATATATCGAGAGAGTAATAAGATTGTCAGGGATGGATGATAGCAGTTGATGGATGAATCAAGAAAAGAGTAAGACGATTGTGAAGGATGGATGATAAACCAGTTGACACATGTCAACATTTGATGTCGACCAAAAATGCATCAGAACACATATAATGTATGATAAGATAAGGCCAGAATATACTTACGATTGCCTTGACTGTTGGTAGCAGACGAAACGACGTTGGAAGAAGAGCCAGAAGAGCGAGAGGACGAGGTGTTGCTTTGAGAGCCTGATTTGGAAGACATTCTTGACTTTGAAGATTAGAGTTTGTCTATCGAAACTGGAGTAAAAAGGTCAGAAATCATCAAGGGTATATCATCGCAGGCTTACAAGGCTTACTTTGCGCAGTATATAATCGTTGATGTGCGTTGAGGAGGCTGCAGTGACTTGACAGGACAAAGACGACCGTTCCCATCGCACAACCATATTTGAAGATTCGACTTTTACAAATGTCCACATCGACGGCAAATGCCGTTGAATTTTTGACTCTTTCGCATGCCTTCGCTCTGTTTGGAAAAACGCTTGACTATCAATTGGCATCGAACGCGAGTTCTTCGTATAACAAAATAGTACACCTATATACAACAGTTGCCTCCGAAGCTATCATGATGAGATCAGACTCATTCCTCCCCTCACAAACAACACAAAATCCATTCCAATCCAATCAAGAAAGGATATTCGTCAGAATCAAGCGAAAGAGAAACGATGCCGCCCTGGATTGTCTCGTATTGGATGGAGAATTACCTGCTGTCGATGATCCTCCCTTGCCCAATACTCCCAAGAGACTGAAAACCAGTGCATCAAGTATGTTTCAGAAAAATATCAATAGCTGTGGATCTCTACTAACAAGCATCCGTCTGTTGTGTAGGAACAAACTCGGGTCATATATTCTTATTGGCTGAAACTGTTGGTGCTTCTTCTGAGCCTCATCATGCTCCACAAGGACGTCCCTTACATGTCTTGAACAAAACCATACAACCACAGTCTCTAGTCCCAGATAAACCACCTATAAACAAGTTGCGACGAAAATTAGATCAGTATCTGGTTGGTGGTGATGGTGCACAATCACATCAGGTAAGGCAGACAAGTCTCATCTAAGGGAACAAGTTTTGCTCACATTCTTTTGGTTAGTTTGTGTATGAGGAGCCAATGGTAGATGAACCTACAAAGGATCTGCCATCGGAAGCCCTTCGAATGCTCGTCAAGTCTCTGAATACGTCATTATCTAGTATGAACTTTGATGTTTGGAAACGCTCTACGCTTACATAGAACTGATTGTTCGCTTTACTCTAGTACGGGATGATGTCAAAGACGATGAAGACGAGGAAGAGGTAGAAGACGATGATTACGTCCATGACATCTATTACCTTGACCCACAACTATATATGCCAACTGGAACCAACATTGGATTTCTGTAAGACAGTAACTTTAAACACGTCCAATAAGCAAAGACTGACGTGTTAATCTCAATTGAACAGGAGCAAAGTTCTGCCTGAATATGATGCATCAGAAGATGAAGATGACGAAGAATATTACATAGACGACGATGATTCGAACGCCGAAGATCGACCTGAAAACGATTACCCAGATGATGATGACGGTAGAGAGCTTGATAGTGAAGGAGAATTTGTAGATAATGAATCTGGTAGTGATGACGATGAGGAAGGTGGCCGCTGCCGTGATGGTGATGACTGGTGATGACAGATTTTGAAAATGACTGGTAATGGCAGTGCTACGCGTTTCAACACTAAATTTAATGCATAATCTCATAATAAAGTAGCGATAGTAGCGTCAAGCTTCCCAAACGTTGTTTTGATCGCGGTTTTTGGATGACAACTACATTAGGAGTTGTGGTCGTTGTGGCACAACCCACACCCCACAATTATAAAAAAAATTGCGGTAGATTTTAACTGTACCTTTCCGTTAGCTCGTAAATGTCGCTGCCATGAGCTCTGCTTCGGGAACTGATGAGGAGATCGAGTCAATACCAAACAGGAACGGTTCTGGAGGAAGAACGAGAGAATTGCTAAATGTAATCGATAATCTAAGTAACAGATCTTCTTCAGGATCGTCTGAAACTGAAGCAACTGAAGTAGTCAAGCCCCGAGTCACCTTCAGGCCTAAACACATCGAAAGTGATCAAGTTCGAATAGTGGTAACTCCATCTGCCAACTCGGCCCACAGTTCTCCTCCTCAAATCGACGCAACCCCATCTAATTTACCATCTAGTATACCATCTACACCGTATTTACAGGTAACTGCTTCAAGTCCTGAAGATGGTGATGTTGCAAACAACCACATAGCGCCGACAGTTGATGAAGGGTCACAAACTAGATCTCTGAAGCCCAGAGTACAACGACATGTATCGTCTCGTCATGTAGACGATCTGAAGACTCTAGCTGCACCTGGCTTGCCACTGGATCGTTATCCATCTATGGCTCTTGCATCTACGGACGGAACCGCTACAAATTTGTTAGATAATGTAGCTAAATCTTCACTTCGTGATCGCCACAAGAAGACTCGCATCTTGGTACGATTATCATGTCTTTTGTTGGAAGTGTGCTGAGCTGTCGCTTATTCGATGCTTGGACGTCATGACTGAGACACTAACAAAGCTTCTCTGTTCTTGTATGATGCAGATGAGAAGCTTGGATCCAGAGGCTGAAGAAGTCAAGGCGATTGCAAACTCTGGCATTCGTATTGGATCATATAGTATTTTGAGTCAAGAAGTCAGGAGCTACAATCTCATCCGAAGAGCATACCGCATCAAAAGAGCTGCTATTAGGCAAAGTGAATCAATTGGTCTACTTTTGACTTTTTGGCTCTTTATTACGGATCTTACAGGGATTAAGCAGAGGGTGTTGTCGTTTCTGACTTCAACGCAAAGAGTCGTGCTTTTCGTAGGTTTATCAATGCATGCGATCTCGACACACCTGTTCTGTACTCACATCTCTCTAAAGTATATCACTGATCTTCTAGTGGATGTCCTGTTCTGCATTTTGTATCTCGTCGAACTCCAATTTCTTTATAGTTTTCCTGTCACTCAAGAACCAAGGTGAGCTTGGACCCATTTGTCGTTGAATTTCAAATGCCGAAGGCTTACATCTGTATAATTTACTAGGTGGCTTTACACAAGTCGACCTAAAGCTGTTTTCTTGGTGGGATTCGGTATATCCTGCTACATGCTCGTCTCGTCCTTCTTTCGAATCATTCTGGTAAGTCCATGTTCCATCTCGATTGTCGCTCCATATCAAACTCACAAAGTTACTTTAAATATTCAGGCTGATAGACGAGTTGCTGCCATATTCTCATGGACCTCGTTTGTGGATTGTCTCGTTTGCATTCCTTTCGTTGTTTTATACTGTGTGCCGGGCGGAGACATATACTGTAGGTGTTTGACACCCCATGTAGCACAATATCGGTTCCCGATAGCTATTGGTCTAATCAAAGGCTTTCCTAGATATTCCGTATTTCCTTCGGTCTGTACTAGTGGTTTCTCGTTTGAGGCGACTGCTCAGAACCGGGACATGGCTTGGATTTAGCATGAGTGCCATCAGAGAAAGAGTCGCTGCCCTAGTTGCCAGTATTATCATCTTGATTTACCTTGGAATGTGTTTCTTCAATTACTTTGAGGTATGCCTTCTTTAGATTGCTCACATTTTCGGTCAGGTGATGGAAATCTCAAAATAAAACCTTGAACCGTCTTCTAGTACTCTTTCGGCACAGACTTTGACCATTTGGACATCTCGAGTACGCTTTACTATATTGTCGTCACGATATCTACTGTAGGATATGGCGACATTAATCCCAAAACTATACCTGGACGGTGGGTGATTGTTATCTCTCTTGCCACTCTACATGAGCTTGCTGTTTGTTTGAGAGAATGATTTGTTTGACACAAAAAACGCCAATTTGTAGTTGGGTGGTGATTTGGCTCATTATTATCTCACTTGCCGTTCTACCTGGACTTGTTTCATCGCTCGTTGAAGCTCTGAACGTGAGTTTTAAAAATGTTTTGTAGCGAGAATGACTTGTTTGAGACTGACGCAGAAACACAGAGGCAAAAAGCTGGCAGAGGCTCGTTTCAAAAGTCTCATTTTCCTCATGTGGTAATGGTTGGAGTCTACGACAACGCAAGTCGCGTCAAAGACGTCTTGACATCATTCTACGAGAGGGTATGTCTCACATGTCAACTAGCGACCCAAGATTTATGTCTCTTTTTCAATCTAGCAAGAAGCTAAATACCGAATCGTATTTTTGAGCCGAAAAGAACCATCACCAACAACCCTAGTGTTGCTGGGAGATGCAGAATATAAAGAAAAGGTTACGTTCTTGGTCGGCAAGGCTCTAGACGTATACGATATGAAACGTGCAGAAGTGCAATCGGCTTCTGCTGTATTCATAGTGGGAGACAGATTCGCTAGAGATCCTGTCGAAGAAGACAATCACAATTGTCTCCGGTTGTGGGCCTTTGATGATTATAGCAGCTCAACTGACTTGTACATCTCTAATCTGGTGCCAGAGACTGAAAGTTACCAGAGCAGAAGCGCAACTCAGTCTCTCTGTGTTGACGATATCAAGCAGATTTTGCTTGCCTACAACGCAATATATAGAGGATCAGCTACACTATTGCTGAATCTTGTGCATCAGTCCGAGCCGCATTCATCGTATGAAGAGCCGTGGAAAGTACAGTACGGAGGCGAGTTATGATGTGCTGTTTTGGTCTTCAGAATGAACTAATTGAAAAATTGTTCAAAAACAGACGGCCATGGCAATGAAATCTATACTGCTGTTGTTCATCCTGTATTCGTGAATCAGACCTTCGCGAAAGTCTCATGGGTAAGCGCGAAGCTATGGTTGGTCTTGAAGGCTCGCCCTCTTTGCACCACTTCGTCTCATATTTCGTCCCATACGTAGTACCTCTTTCGTGAATTCCAAATCATCCTCTTTGCCGTGCTGACATGGGTGCCATTAAAACGAACTCACCACATTCTATTAAACCCCGGAAATTCGTATATCCTAAAGGAGAACGACAAGTGCATACTTATAGCTCAGTCGCCACATGATTTCAAGGATATGGAGAAGCTCGATGCGTCTCAATTCGTCGAGTCATTGACAGAAGACGAAATCAGTGCACCTGAATTGCCAAGGGCCTCTGTTACTAGAAGAAGTGGTTATTACAACAATAGTGTTTATACCAACAACACGACGTTTCCGCGGTTCCAAGAGGATAAAATCATCACAGGACAACCAGAACCACCGTATATCGATGCTAAGGTCCCCATTTGTCACATGTTGAGGAATCCTACATCACATTTAAAGGATGTTGTCTTTGAAGATTGTTTTGATCTGGAGAACCACTTTCTGGTTACTACTAATCATTTCAATCTGTTTCGGTTTGTTTGCACTTTGAGGTAAGATGCCGTCCGTTTGCAGAGTGTACTTTCTCGACTCGGCAATGATTTTTGTCGGAATGAATTTGTCAATCTGGAAGCATCATCATATTACACTGACGCATCTTTGTACGACTGCTCTGTTTCTAGATCGGCTCAATTAGAAGAGGATGAGACTCGAACCATAGTGTTTCTATGTCCTCGGCTTCCCACTCACGATGAGTTTACGACACTGTGCCAGTTTCCAAATGTATATTTTGTATGTGGTGATCCGTCCAAGAAGAAGGACTTATTGCGAGGTGGTCTTGTAGGAGCAGATAAGGTACAGTCGAAGCAAAAGAAGAGAGAGCCAGTTTCCCCTTGTGTATTTTGTCTGTGGTTGTCCTTCTTAACATAAGGACTTGCTGAGAGCTTGGTCTTGGAAGAGCTGACGGTTTCTGCCCCTTTCTTGGCTTAGGTCATCATCTTGTACAGTATAGTAGGCACAGAAGATGACTTTAGTGACTCGAAACCAATAATGATAAGTCATTTGATATATGGTAAGACTGAAGCTCGGGTTTTCTGGACGAACTTTTGTCGCTGAATTTCTTGCCCTCTCATTCTCTAGGAATGTTTCCTGAACACGAGCGGAAATACGTGATTGTTGAACTTCGTAAGTTTGTTCTGATCTAAATGTTGAAAGCCATCCGCGACTTCTGATCCTATTTTTGCTATTTTCCTCAGAGAAGCGCTCACATATCAAGTTTCTTCGCCCAACTGCCAAACGAAGTCTGACTATGTCTAAACGGGAGAGAAAAGCACATTCAAACCAAGGTGTGGAAGAAGGGGATCTCGCAGGCGAGCACCTTTATACTCCTATGTTCGCAGCTGGGCGAGTGGTATGTGCTCCGATGCTGGATTCTAGTGAGTCAAGTCTTTTGTGTCGTTTTCAAGTGGTCGAAGAGCTGTAAACTTAGACTAACTGCTTACTATTATGTAGTCTTGTATCAAACATTTCATAATTCAGTTGTGCTGGATATATTTAAGAGGCTTTGTGGTGTGAGATACAAGAGAGATATAGAGCTGGATCGCGAACTGAATGCCAATCCATCATATCTCAGGTTAGTTTACACCTAATCTGTGGTTTGAGGTGAAAGACCGTGTGATACTGACCTTCACCCGTTCCACTGCACTCTTAGTTATATTGATACTCCAGACGAATTTGCTGGTCGACCATTCAGAGATCTGTACCGAGAACTGGCACTGAAGCACAGTGTCATCCCATTGGGTATCCTTCGAGATAACTACGATCCAGAGCTTGGAAATCGGCTACCATTCACATATACGAATCCAATGGCCTCCCTACTTCTCAAGAGCAGTGATTTGGTGTTTGCATTGATGCCATTGGGTGGTGGGGTCGACTTTGAATTCTCAAAGACCGCTTAATAGCTATTTAGACGGTGCTGCCAAGTACAACGTCACGGTTGTCTCCTCATGAACGCCAACAGCTGTAACATAGATTCAATAGTAGTACATAGTAGATTCAATATTTAAACTTGATTTAAACACGTATAAATGCTGCAAAATATGTTTGAACTATCCTGACATTGCTGGGATCCTGGTTCTCGTGGTGCAGTGTAATAATTTTAAACTTGCACATTCGCAGTTGACAAGCCGAGTTTTGGAGTGAGGGTCATTCAGTATGGCAGGATTGAAACTATCACCGGCAAAAGACAATGCCCTCGAATTTGATGATCTTTCAATCCAGGTCATTCCTGTCCGAGGAGAAAGAATCTTTTCTAACGCTGTACACAATAATGGGGGCCAAGATGATCTCGAGGTGGAACTATCCCGACTGGAACGTGAATTATCGGTTGACATGTTAGAACTATCGTTCGTGGAGAAGCCGTCTCAGCTTCAACAGCCGCAACAACACCAACATCAGCAGCACCGTTTGAAATCATTCGCGGGGCAACCAATACCCATGCCGAATACAAATGCCAGTAACAATCATAATGATGAATCTGGATTTAGTTTCTCGTTTGATGTCCTTGGTGGTGGTGGCAACAACAATGCAGGAATAGAGAATAGTCAGACTGGTAGAAGGTTATCATCAGCGTCTTTTAGAAGGGAGTCACAGCCTAATGCCATACAGAGTAGTCCGATACCTATTGATGAAACGTTGCGGAAACGTTTTGATCAGTTGTTGAATCGAGAACTGGAACGAACCGATTCTATTCTGGTATGGGAGAGGCATCATTTTGATACTCTATTGGCAACTGACCCTCTATCTTATAATTGTTAGCAACGATCTGCTGGATCCATATCGCATGATGACTATGCTGATGTACATACAGATCTTGAGACAGATCTACATAGCTCATCATCCGCATATTTCACTCAACCAGCAACTCAACGGCCATCCGTAGCTTCAAAGCAGCACGGTATCACATCAGTCTCGCCGCCAACAGATGCAAGTCCGCGTGCCCAACCACCACCAAATCCATCAAAACCACCAACCATTCCAAATCCCGTTGATTATAACAACACTAGTAGCAGCAATATTAGAAAGCCTCCCGTTGACGTATCGGCTATATATGAGAACCTGCCCGTGATGTCGTCGGCCTCTAAAATCTTTGACAGATCTATGAGTCGTATAGTTGATAATAGTCGGCCATTGTCTACGGTAGAGCCATCGATTTTGGGTGAAGAGTCGAGTTTGGGAGTGGGTGAGAAACTCCATCAAGATACTAGCAATTTCTTGGATACTCAGCATCGTCCTATTGGGAATTTGCCTGAAGATCACAGCAGTCGAGGTATGATTGACTGCGTAGGTGTTTTTTTCTTCGCTTTGGGCTAAAATGAGACCCGTTTCTGTTGCCCATAGCTGTTATCTCTGCTTTAAGAACTTTACAAGAAAAGATTGCCCAGTTGGAAAAAGAAAAAATGGCAGCCAAATCACGGCTAGCGGAATTGGAACGAGAATTGAATCGAAATCGTGAAGACGATGGTTTGCCAAATAGAGATAGTGGAGCTCGTGAACGAGAATCAGCCAAGGCTGACATTTTGTTGGAAAAGATTAGTGAGTGCAAGATAATTATATCAACTGCCCTGGTTACGTACGCCCAGATGCTGACAACATCACTTTCAAAACCGTTAGAATTAGAAAATATGCTGGCTTCTTCAAAATCTCAAGCCAATCTACTCGAACGTCAACTAGAGTATTCGAGAAAGATGGCACAGAGTGCAGCATCTGAGCGAGATGAAGCACTACAAAACTTGGAACATATACGACGTGAAGTTGCAATTTTACGTGCCACGGCATTACGGAATGCTGGCGCTGCCGTAGTATCTGCTTCCACCGCCACGTCGCCTACAAGACCCACACAGCCTAGTAGACGAGTAGAAGTATCAGAGCATGGAGATATGCCAAGACATCCTTCTCGACGAGTCTTTGCAGAGAGTGCAGGTACCGCCGCCGCCACTTTGGCTACCAGTGCTGACGATTTGAGCTTTTTGCAAAAGGAGGACGTTGATCTTCTGAGAACTGAGATTGATGAAGCTCGTAGTAGGATGTCGTCTGTAGTGTCTGTAAGCCTTGTGTTTGATTTGATGCGTTTGGCAGAAAGTGACCTTTGTCCCTAACTCAAATCAATGATTTTGTAGGTGGACGATGAAGAAAAGTTGAAGCAGATTTTGCTGGAGAAGGCTCTCAGGAGATCACGCAAGGTTGCAGCAGATCCATCAAAGAAGCGTGTATGTGTTACTGAAGAATACCTTCAAGTCATTGTCTTGAAATCGCATTGATAAGTCCAATGCGTCTCGTAGAAGAAACCTAAAACTGAAGACTTGCCTACAAGACCTGCTTTGCCAAAATCCACAGTTTCCAACGCCGCCGAACGACAAGTTCCTACGTGGAGGAAGGTTGAGTCTAGACCGGCAGCAACATCAGCAAAGTCGGTAGTGAATCCGATTGTTCAAAAACAACGACCTTCTGTTGAAGAAGCCACAAGCCATGATGAAGCTGTTGTGGGAGCAGCAGCTTCCAAAAAGTCCTCGAGGGATTTGCCATTCATCAGTGGAACGGTGAGTTGGACCTAGAAAATCAGCCAGTGTTTCGAAGTATTGTTCTCATGCGCGTGGTTTTGACTTGTCCATAGTCTGTCACAAAATCCTACTCTGTCACGGCCAATTTGCAGAAAGTTTACTCGATGCTGAAGAATCATAATCCTCAACTATGCTCCGTGTGTCGTCAGAAGCGTAGGCATGCTGAATCTCCTCCTAAACCAAGAGGTATTGCACAACTGTGAGTATTTTTGGTCATATCGCAAGACATCTGACTTTGAAGCAATCGAATAGGACGAAATGAAACTGGCAGAACGTATGAGCCAATAGAGACAATAGAACGAGAAAATGATTTAGTAAAGGTATTGAGTCTTTTAGAGGATGAGTTTCTTCACCTCAAAATGTAAGTCCATCTGAACTAGTATCAATATTGGTCTCCAAAAGAAAGAGCATTTACATTTCTCTTCTCCGTACTTCTAGTGTTTATCAAGACCTGGTTGCCCGTTACGAAGATGCTGCCGAATCAACTGGTCGGCCTCATCTCTCTGCTTCGGCAAATAGTAACGAGTCGAACCGCATGTTGAGGTCATTGGGTGATGAGTTGCGTGACATTATTCAGAGTATGGAGATCAAGGTGTGTCCTTAGATTCGGGACAATGAAGTTTTCTCGTTGTTCTTGAAAAAAGTCTCATCCCTTTAACTTGGCTTTACTGTAGGGCGACCAAATCTCGATCTTGCGTGAGATTGTGAGCGCTACGACTTTGGCTAGATCTATGCAATCGGAGGCAGCTGATGACGCCCGAGTTGCGCATCATCTCCACCATCCTCATGTTGAGCATGATCGTTCAAGGTCTAGAAGACGTGACGACAAGATCCCGTTTCCCAGAATGAGATCTAAGTCTCAACCGCCTGTGGAAGGTGGGGATGCAGCTGAGAGACGAATTAGAAGTCGATCTGTAGATAAGGGCTCTCACCTGGCGAACTTGGGCCTATTGAAAAGCTCGATGAAGGTTCAATCTTCGTTGGCTTGAAGCGACTATACTGACAATATGTAGATTTCTTAGAACCGAAATATATGGTGTGAACTATTGTTGTGCGCTGCAGTGGGATGAACTGTTACGGAAGTCAGGTTGATCTCTCTCGGACATTGATAGTGTGGTTTTGTGAGTACTAGAACTAGCAGTGAGGGAGTATATAGAGCGAGATCAAACCAGTCGGCACAGTCGACACTGACGAAATTCGGCGTTTTGAAGCGTGACGTGACACAACCAAGGGAACAAGCTTTTTACGCAGTCCTCTAGTTTTCATGAAGACTCGCAATAATGGAGAGCAAAGGAGACACTTTACCTGTTCCGAAGCAGGATGGTCACACTCTTAGTCTGACCAGAGCAAGTAATGACGAAATGGGACAGAATCGGCCAAGTTTTGATTTGGGTCAAACTGCGATCACTTTACCCAACGAGAGTAACGATGAACAAGGAGATCTGTCACTGCGGAGACTATCATTCGATGCCACCATCCCTGTATCTATAGTTCCTACGCCCTCGCCCTTGAAGAACGACCTGAAGCAAGATCATGGAAATCACATACCCATTAACGCAATTGAATGGAGCAGACGAAAGAAGATGATGTCTGTGGCTGGGATTACCCTTGTTGGATTCTTGGGTCCATTCAGCAGTAGCAGCTTTCTGCCCACTATACTCACAATAGAGCGAGACTTGAACTGTTCGGCCGAGTGTAAGTTTCGTTGCTGGCATCCAAGATGATCAAGGACGCTAAATGGGTCATTTTAGTGGTTAACATATCCATTGGGACGTACATTTTCGCTCTGGGGGCCGCCGTAAGTTTCAATCTCTTCCGTCGTTTTCAATATACTGGTACCAATACTATTTCTATGATAGCCACTGTTTCTTGGGCCATTGTCTGAACGAATTGGTCGGAGACCTGTCTATATATACACTGTGTTTGTAAGAGGAATCAAACTTGCAGAACAGCCTGCGTTATGCACTAACGCATTCAATTCTAGGCATATGTTCTATTGGCTGTTGCAATAGGGTTTAGTCCTAATATCGAGACGATCATCATACTTCGGATACTGCAGTAAGTGGACTGGGTCGGTTTAAAATGACATTGTTAAAACCACGACGTGTCTGTATAGAGGATGTGCTGCAAGTGCCGTACAAGGTAGCCAATTCTCACAATCTTTCCTGTTTTGACTGCGTCTCATGCACCGTCACTAACATCCAATCACCATCGTACAAGGTGTGGGTGGAGGTTCAGTTGCTGATATCTTTTCTATTGCCGAACGAGGCGTTGGGTAAGCGCGAATACAATGTCGCTCTGAGCAGTTTAGAGTGCTAATACATTGGTGGCCTTAGGTTTGGATTGCTCGGAATAGGGGTAAGCTCAATTGCGGTTTACAAAGATTCGCCGACAAAAACTAATTGAATCGCATTCAGCCACTTATGGGTCCCGCAATAGTAAGCTTAATTGCGTAACAGCGCCGTTGGTTGCCACTGATACTAACTTGTTGTTTCGTCTTGCATCGTTAGGGTGCAGCTTTCGGTGGTCTTGTGGCATCAGCGTTGGGGTGGAGATGGGTGTCGTTCCTCCAAGGAGTTATTGGATTCTGCATACTTGTGTATGTCTACTTCTTGCTGCCAGAATCCTATAGCCCGAAAAGAACTCCCGATGGAAAACTGCCAAGATTCGAAGTCTTTTCGAGTTTCAAAGTTATGGCATGGCTAGTAGTACCCGTCTCGACAATTATCGGATCTGCTTCATTTGGTGTATACTACTTGCTCATAACGGTGTTTCCAAGTGTCATGCTCAAGCACTATAACTTTGGCAGCTCCCAAATTGGATTCGCATTACTCCCTTCGCCGGTTGGATCGCTGCTTAGCACATTTGTGTCTGGTCGATATGTTGATTGGTAGAGAGAACACATTCGAATCTTATAAAGACGAGACTACTCACGTACTCGCCAACATTACATAGGATTAGAAGAAGAAAGATTGCCCAACATCCAGAGCACCTATCGTACCCGGAATACCGTCTTTCGGCAATTTGGCCTGGACTCATTATCACACCAATAGGTTTATTGTGGTATGGCTTCGGTCTTAAATATGAGCTCAGTGCGGGATTTACCTTGGTTGGACTGGGTATCTTTGGATTTGGTTGGATATCATTGAACGTGGCATTGTCGTCGTATGCAGTGGACTCGGTGCCTGGCAAAGCAGCTTCTGTTAGTGCTGCTTCGAATTTCCTTCGATTCACTTTTGGGTAAGTGCAGTGACCATACGCCGCAGTTTGACTTTTTAAATAATGATCGCCTCTCCGGGTATGTCGTAGAACCATTACACCATTGTTTGCGACTCAACTGCATTCAGCTGTCGGGGACGATGATGGATACTTTATGATTGTTTGCGTCGCCATTTATTTGACGCTGAGCGTACCAAGTCTTGCGCTGTTGAGATTGTATGGGCCGAAATGGCGACCTCCTCAACTGCATGAGATTCAAAAAGAAAACTGAATGTCTTGTATTGTTGAACTTGTTCAACCATACGAGATTCACACGGAAAGGGAGAGAAAAAAGGGAGAGAAAATTGTAATGAAATGGATTGATCTGGTTGAAAATGGGCTGTCGCTTGAAAGTGACATAATAATTGCTTTTCTTAATTCTTCTATTTGAATCAAACAATACCACTCACTCACTTTGTATCTCTAATACAACTATACATTTTAAACTTGATAAATTACTTTGTACTTGCGACATTTCAACCCTATTTCAATCAAGTGAATCAACAACAGCGAATGGTAGAAGTGCTATTACGATCTTGACTCACAATGCGAGCATCCGCATCACCTCCACTCCAGAGCAACATAGCCGGCTTATGCCCCAAACTGAGTTCACCTTCATCTGCGGTCATACCTTCCAGGCCCTATGTCGAAACATTCAGCAAACGATTTGCAAACAATCCACACAGAAGGCCACACCTGTCCAGATATATCAGCCTCTTTGGCCACTTCAGCTTCAATCTTGTCATATAATTGCTTGACTTCCTTGTTTGCCAATTCCACCGAGCTCATTCGTGCCAATCTCGCAGCAGATATTTGCGAGTTGAGAAATGCGTATCGCAAGTCAGCATTCTGACGGAGATTGTAGGCTCGTGATCGAACAGACTCCTTGTATTGGGATTCGCCTAATGAATGGATTGAAGCTTCTAGTTCTGTTGCGAGATTGATGACTCGCCGATCTAATGAAACAGGTGTTTGGATAAGACTCTTTATTTAACTATTACTTTCAATAAGGAGCAAGGGGAGGCTACTTACCTGGCATGCGGCCTGCATTGTCTTCATTCAGAGCTTTAGCAAGCAAGTCTCGTGAACGAACACGCAAGTCTTCTGCTATCATTTTTGTTGCGGTTGAAAATCCAAACAGTGCCCGAATACTCAAGAATACCCGAAGAATAAGTGTAGGATGTATTCAAATGAAGCTTATACACACGGAATTATGACACAATGGTACATACATCAATGACACGTCACCAGAAGGCGCCCAACATTTGAACCATGATATTTTGGACAATCTATGTATTCCTATTACTATAGGGATAATTATTGATTAACTGGATTGATTCTTGGTGGTGTTGGTGGTCTAGATCTACTTGGATTCCGTGGTAGATTCGGTGTACTATGTTGCATTGATACACTAGATCTGGGATCTGCAAGACTGTGTGGATCAACATTGTGTGGTTGAGTCTGTGGCACCACGTCCTGAGTCTGCCCTCTCAGTCTTGACACACGTGAGAATCCTGCAGTGAAAAATGACGAACCATATGTTCTTATTGTCGTATACATTCGAGTCACCACTGTTGTCGCAGCGTTTCGGAGGCCTTGCTGAGAATCAGGCCTTTCGTTTGACTCTTGGTTTGAATCCTGGACTGGCATCAGAGTTGCAGCACTTGAAATGGTTGATGCAATCCAAGTGCTCTATGTGAAGGCACAGCATGTATTAGTTCAGAGTATACAACGGCGACATCATCAAGTTCGAGAATAGTACAATAATGCTGCTACTTACGCCGAATCCTCGTACTTGCGACATGTACAACATAAATACTACTGTCGCTTTCCTCAAAACGAGCTTATGAGATTCCGGCAAGGTGTTTAACACCACATCTTTTCCAGATGTCACCCAGACGCTCTAAAATCATTGAGAAACAGTCTGTGAGGATGGACTATATCTAACGGTTTGCAAAGAGCTTCTCTACGCACCCCATATTCCTTGATTCTCGACGCTGTTCCAAGTATGGCTTGTCGAGTGTTTGCGACAACAGTGGTGACTAATATAGCTTGAATCACCAATGGAGAAGTCATGGTGCCGACGGCGAGCTTGGTCACCACATTCGCTGACCACAAGACGCCAATCCCAGTCATTACGTACCCAAAGTTCTTCCTTGTTGGAATAGTCTTAATTACGCTCATAACCTGCACCTCAGCACTAGTTACTTGTTCCTGTGAAAGAATGGCAATGTTAATCCTTTGATGCAAGACATTTCGTAACTGATTGTACCAATACTTACAGGATTACGTCGGTCTACAAGCTGAATGCCTCCAGTGGTGGGATCTCTTGTAATCTCGTAATTGATGAACGGCAAGACATTCTTGACTTTCGTCAAAGCTTTCTGTCATGTTGAAAGTGTTGGTTAGATTTAAATCACCACCACTCTTGACATCGAACGTTTTGGCTTACATTTCCATTTGTTTTGATTGCCGAGCTTACACCATAATCAATCGTCCTCCCCCAAACACTTCCAATTGCGCCTGCAAGGTTCTCCATTGGACCGCGCTGTCGAACTGTAGGGTTGGCAGGTTTCCTGAAGAGTCGATAAACCAGATACGCACCAATTGGAAGAGCTCCAAGTGCAACGAATAAGGGAACTGGAGTCAATAGGAGGGCGCCCAGAGCTATTGCTATTCCTACAGAGGCCAAAATGACTCCAACAGTAGCAAGTCCAGCTTTAAGTCTGTAGCTTGCTGAGCGAGTCTTCAACGTTGACGAAGGACGTAGTGCAATGTCGTTTGGTGCTTGTTCTTGTTGATTTGGCACTTGTTGCTTTTCCACTGGGGGAGGTTGATTGTGGTTTCCTTCGTTTATGTGTTGGTTTTCTACAACAGGTTGATTTAAATTGTGCTTTCCTCCAGCATACGCAAGCTGGAAAAAGACACCAAACAGCAATAACAGATAAATATTAATCGTCTCCCTCTTCATCTCTCTCCTAGTCGTGTTGAATACTCGACAGAAAAACGTTTCAAACAGAGGTTGCAAACAAAGGGGATTGCACACCTACTAAAGTTTCAGAATGATGGATCATACGTCCACAACAATGCACCTCAGACATGAAAAATTCATGTAGAAAGAGCTCTGAGTACTTTGGACCTGTTTTTGCAAATGAAAGTGATTATTGTTATTTGTTGACGCAAAAGCAACAAGAGATGGTTTACGCAGATTGTACGTCCAGCACCAGCAGTCGATTCAAGTGAGAAAGCACATCTCTATTTATTTAATGCTTATAATCAGTTTCGCGTAACATACAGCTCTCTTTGCTTGGACAGCCAATTTTCGTATCAAAAAGCGAGTCTACCAATGGATTTGAAGCTACCTCATCGGCCACAGGATTTATTCATAAAGGTAGTCCCTACAATATTACTTTGACTTCCTTTCAGCGGTTGGGAAGATCAAAAGTCCAATCACGTCAAATCGTCATCTCACGTGAGGTCAAGCTCCCTCGAAATCCTCTTGGTCACAGACGGCTTTCGTTTGCAACTTCGCAAATTTTAAAAGTCAGATCTCAACTTGTTCACATACAGAAGGGAAGCTAAAGAGGTAGGAATGGCGCAAGTCTTTGTAATTCCAGCTTAAAGCGATGATTTTGTACTGACACTCTTCCCTTCACAAGTTCTTGTAGACCTGAATTCCCGTCGGTCTTGTAAAATCTAGGTATTATTGGCCATTCGGCTCTCATTTGCATATACTGGACATAAAAAATGGCAGTCGACTTATTCGATAGCTACGCAGAAGCAGGTATGTAGCAGCTGACCGATATCAAAAACGATCCAGTTTGAAAGCTTGTCAAAAGGCATCGAAAATTTGTTGTGAAAAGCGTGTCAAAAAACCATCGCTGTATAAGTTGGTGATGGAAGGGAGATGCACCTACTGTATGTGCATGCTGGCTGCCACGAGATTCTGACTTGAGACAGTGGGTTTGGGACCATACTGGATGCTGATTGGAGGGCTGGTAAATTTGGCAGTATCACATTTTGATCTGAGGACAGAGCCTAGTAGTTCAAAAGGGGGTAAAAAGCGATACGATGGAAATCGCAAATACCCTTTTATATCAATGGCGCTATAATTTTTATATTCAAATTCGGGCCCAAAATTTTCTTGGTCTTCGAGTCAAACAAGCACAGAATTGTGTGACGAGGAAGAGATCAAAGTAATGAGTGCCTGGAAGGAGTATTTGGCATCCGTAGAGCAGGAACCAGAGCAGAATCAGTCTGCATCGCGTAGTAAAGGGAGCAATCAGACTGCTGAAGCAGTTGCAAACAGTAAAGTTGGACCAGTGTCAAAGTCGGATGATGGAGAAGCTAGTAATAGTAGTGGTGCGGTGACCGCACCGGCCATGATATTTGACTCGAAAAATCTGCCATCCATACTTACTCAGTCAGAATCTTATGGTGTGGGGACAACGTTGAACGCGGTGTCATTTGACAAGTTTTGGGAATTTTTTGGGACAGAAAAGCCATCGATCAGACACTCAACTTTGTAACGGATTCATTACTAAATCTATATTTTTTCACGCATTTAGATGCTCTACTCACTCCCGACGGCGATGTCACTCAAACTGCACCATCCGCTGTCAGAGACTTTATCTTGTCGCATCATGGCCATACAGTCATAACAAAGGTCCTGATAGCCAACAACGGTATGGCTGCTGTCAAAGCAATCCGATCCATTCGAAAATTCTCGTACGAAACCTTTGGAGACGAACGAGCAATCACCTTCACCGTGATGTGTACACCACAAGATCTAGGTGTCAATGCTGAATTCATCCGTATGGCAGACCACTACGTCGAAGTGCCTGGAGGTACCAGTAATCATAATTATGCTAACGTGGACTTGATTGTCGATGTTGCTGAACGTACTGGTGTCCATGCTGTTTGGGTTGGTTGGGGGTTTGCTTCCGAAAATCCAGTCTTGGCTGAAAAATTGGCTAAATTGAAAACAAAACCTGTCTTTATTGGTCCACCGCCATCTGCCATGAGAGCTCTAGGTGATAAAATCGCTTCCACTATTGTCGCTCAATCTGCTGATGTGCCTTGTGTCGCTTGGTCTGGTACGGGTATAACTACTCATGCAGTCGATGAAAACGGACACGTATGTGTCCCTGAAGATGCCTTCCGTCAAGCTACTACTCTAGATGTAGATGAGGGTATTGCTCATGCTGAACGCATTGGCTTCCCAGTCATGATCAAAGCTTCTGAAGGTGGTGGAGGAAAGGGTATTCGTCTTGTTGAAGACGCAAAGAACTTTAAGCAGTCCTTCATCCAAGTACAACGTGAAATACCAGGTTCTCCCATCTTTATCATGAAACTTGTCCGAAATGCTCGTCACTTGGAAGTGCAATTGCTTGCTGATCAGGTATGCTGCTGCATCAACATGGTTGTTTTGCCGTTTAGATGTCATATAACCAACCATCAATATTTTGTCCAAATTAGTATGGAAATGCTATTGCCCTGTTTGGTCGTGATTGCTCAGTCCAACGTCGTCATCAAAAGATTCTTGAAGAGGCACCAGTCACTATCGCTCCTCCAGAAACTATTGAGGAAATGCAAAAAGCTGCAGTACGTCTTGCTAAGTTAGTAGGTTATGTATCAGCTGGTACTGTAGAATACTTGTATGAACCATCAACTGGCAAATTCTCCTTTTTGGAACTCAACCCTCGTCTACAAGTCGAACATCCTTGTACTGAAATGGTGTCAGGTGTCAATATTCCAGCTGCTCAACTCCAGGTAGCCATGGGTATCCCATTGTCTGGTATCCGCGATATTCGTATATTATATGGTGTCACTCCGACGGCTACATCCGATATTGACTTTGAATTCACCAGTCCCGTATCACTCCAATCCCAACGTAAACCATCACCTAAAGGTCACGTCATTGCTGCTCGTATTACAGCTGAAAATCCTGAAGCTGGATTCAAACCAAACAGTGGTAAAGTCATTGAACTCAACTTTAGGTCCAACTCGAACGTATGGGGTTACTTCTCCATCAACCCATCTGGTGGTGTCCACGAATATGCCGACTCTCAATTTGGTCACATCTTCTCATATGGTGAAACTCGTAATGATGCTCGTAAAAACTTGATTATGGCGTTAAAAGAATTGTCCATTCGTGGTGACTTCCGAACCACTGTCGAATTCCTGGTCAAACTCCTGGAGCATGATACATATATCAATAATGCCATTACAACAGGTTGGCTCGACATGTTGATTGCTCAACGATTACAAGTAGAGAAACCAGACTCGGTATTAGCTGCTGTTTGTGGTGCCGTATACAAGTCGTTTACTCGCTTTGAAAACAATATTGGAGAGTATCGAAAAGCTCTTGAGAAGGGTCAAATCCCATCCAAGAGTCTCTTGGCTACATCCTTCCGAGCTGACTTCATATATGATAATGTTCAGTATCGACTTTCTTGTATTGTCTCTGGACCTGAGGGTATTGTTGTTACTACGGAAACCTCAAAGGTCGAAACCGTCGCTCGTAAATTGGCTGATGGTGGTATACTTGTCCTCATGGGTGGTCGCTCTCATGTCGTATATGCCAAGGAAGAACCTCATGTCACTCAATTAACTTTGGATGGAAAGGTCATCTTGCTTGAAAAGGAAAATGATCCCACCAAGCTTCGTAGTCCATCTCCTGGTAAACTGGTCAGGTACTTGGTAGACGATGGTGCCCATTTGATGGCTGGTGAAGCCTTTGCTGAAATTGAGGTTTGTTTTGGGTGTGAATGTCTCCGTTCTTGCTTATAGTGCACTCTTCGATGTGAAAGTAAAAAATAACATCGTCTTACTCATAGGTCATGAAAATGTATATGCCTCTTGTTGCTACTGAATCCGGTATTGTCAAATTCACCAAGTCTGCTGGAACCACTCTTACAACTGGTGATGTTCTTGGAAGCTTGATTTTGGATGACCCATCCAGAGTGAAGCAAGCTACTCCATTCGAAGGTGACTTCCCAGAAGTTGGGTAAGCAGAAAAATGTGCTCGTATTGTTTCTCGATCCCAAATCATTTTTTGTTTTGACCAATGAACTCATCATCGACGTGTCCAACAGAAATGCACAATACTCTGGTGAAAAGCCACACCAACGACTCCGTCAAATCATGCTCACTATGGATAACATATTAGCAGGATATGAACCACAAGACGATGTCCAAACTCAAGTTCGAAACCTGGTCGAACTTTTACGAGATCATCAAGTTCCTAACTTGGAACTTGGTGAAGTCTTGTCTGCTCTCAGCGGTCGTCTTCCACCTAAACTCGAAGCAGGTCTCCATCATGAATTGGAAGCTGCCATGGAACACAAACGACCATTCTCTGCACCGACACTGCAAGCTCTCATCAAAGCTGCACGTCCAGAACTACCAGCTGACGAACTCCTCGCTTTTGATGGCAACATTGCCACTGTCCAAACTATTTTGGACAACTACAACCAAGGACTGAAATACCACGAACGTAATGTCATAAATGGCTTATTACGAAAGTATTGGGAAGTCGAGGAACTGTTTAGTGAGAAGCGATATGAAGATGTACTCTTCCAGCTTCGAGAAAAGCACAAGACCGAAATAGCTTCAGCTGTGAATATTGCTCTGTCGCACTCAAAGAGTGGTACTCGTAGTGAAGTCGTGTTGACCTTATTGGATAATGTTAGGTTTGATAATGATGGTGAAGGTTGGAAGACTGTCTACTTGGCTAGCTTGAAAGATTTGGCAAATCTAGCCAATCGATCTGCTTCCAAGGTCTCATTGAAGGCTCGAGAACTCTTGATCTATAATGAATTGCCAACATATGAAGAACGTCATACCCAAACTCTTCAAATCTTGAGTGATGGTGTCAAACGACCATCATTGCCAACAGCACCACCAGCATTCCGATATGATAGCTTACTTAAACTCATCACCGCAAACTATGCTATATTGGATGTATTGCCGGCCTTCTTCTATCACCCAGACGTCGGAATCCAATCCGTAGCCTTCTATACATACATCAGTCATACATACCAGGCATATACATTGAAGGCCATTCGACACCATACAGAATCGACTCCAGTCGTTTTTGAATGGGAATTCATCTTGCGTCATCAGACCAAGGCAGCTGACAATCTAAGTCGATCATCATCTCGACCGCTTGGATCATACTCGGACTTGACAGCTCTAAGCTTTGACTCTCAAGCTTCTCGAAAGGGTATAATGACAGCCTTCTCATCTCTGAACGACTTGGATAACAAACTCACCAATGTATTGACCACCTACGGTGACTCGATGCTCAATGGTAAAGCTTCCGGTCGTATCGAAATATATCGTCGTGGAGCCATGAACGTCTTCAATATTGCCATCAAGGATGATAATAATGAAGCTCTATTGTTGTCGGATGAGGATGCTCGAGCACGATTTGCTCAATTGGTGTTGAAGAACGCTGACTTGTTGAGGGCCAAATCTGTCCGTCGTATTACTTTCATGGTTATTCGTGAGAGTCACTTCCCTCGATACTTTACATTCAAGGAAGCTGTAGATTATGCTGAAGATACCATCATTCGTCATATTGGTGGGTGTTGTTGGTACAGTTAGCTATCCATACTATTTATGAAGGTTTTCTTGCTTAAAAACTTGGATTGACTTGATTCAATTACCATCTCTAGAACCTGCTATGGCTTACCAACTTGAATTGCAACGATTGCAAAACTTTGATATCAAACCTTGCTTCTTAGACAATCGTCGTTTGCATGTCTACTATGCCGTCGGCAAGAAGAATCCAACAGATATGCGATTCTTTGTCAGAGCTATTGTCTACCCTGGACAAGTAGCCAATATCAACACTCACGACTTTTTGGTATCAGAGGGAAACCGTATATTGGTCGATATTATGGATGCCTTGGAAGTAGTTAGCAGCACCTATCCCAACACAGATTGCAATCATCTCTTCATCAACTTTGTACCAACCTTCGAGTTGGACTTGTCGACTGTCGAGTCATCTCTCCACGAATTTATCGAACGTCACGGTATTCGTTTATGGAAGTTGCGTGTAACGCAAGCTGAAGTACGATTTGTCGTCAAGAGTGTTATGGGTGGATCAGTCAAACCCGTCCGATTCATAATCAATAATGTATCAGGATATGTGACTCGAACCGATATGTATCAGGAAACTAGAGATGCTACTGGACAAAAGCTCATGTCATTGTCTCAACCAACTGGTCCATTGCACTTGCAAGCTGTCACCTCCTTGTATGCTCCAAAGGAAGCCATCCAACCTAAACGATACAAGGCTCACTTGATGGCTACTACGTATGTATATGACTTCCCTGAACTCTTCAGACGTAACTTGGAAAAGGCTTGGGCCAAGTTTGCAGAGTCTTCTGGAGCTCATATTCCAACCACTTTATTGAATGTCACTGAATTGGTATTGAATGATGTTGGTGATCTTGAAGAGAGCTCTCGTCTTCCAGGTGAGGACATAAAAGTCAAATTTCCGTTTTTTTTTCCTCTGCTACGTCTAAACACAAAGCACTTTTTTCTAGGAGCAAACACTGTTGGTATGGTCGCTTGGGACTATGAAATGATCACTCCAGAGTACCCAGAAGGTCGTCATATCGTCGTCATTGCCAACGACATTACCTTCAACGTTGGTTCCTTCGGCCCAACGGAAGACTTGGTCTTCTTCAAAGCTTCTGAATACGCGCGTAAACACGGTATTCCAAGGATATATATCTCAGCCAACTCTGGAGCTCGTGTTGGTTTGGCAGATGAAGTTGCTACTCGATACAAGATTGCTTGGATTGATGATGCTGCACCATCAAAGGGTATCTCATACTTGTATCTTGATGATGAAGGATACAAGGCTCTTGTCGCTGGTAAAGATAAACCATCAGTCAACTGTGAAAAGATTGAAGATAAGGGTGAAACACGATACAAGATAGATGATGTTATTGGTCGTGTCCACGGTCTTGGTGTTGAAAACTTGCAAGGATCTGGTATGATTGCTGGTGAAACCAGTTTGGCATACGAAGAGATCTTTACTCTTACCCTGGTTACTTGTCGATCTGTTGGTGAGTTTACGATTTCCATTGACTTCGAGTTATGACGGTGATTTTTCGTGATTTTTTTTCTTATACTAATTTACCCATTTTTCACTCGTACGTAGGTATTGGTGCTTACTTGGTCCGTCTTGGTCAACGTGCCATTCAGGTCGAATATACTCCCATCATCTTGACTGGTGCTTCTGCTCTCAACAAAGTATTGAGTCGTGAAGTATATACATCCAACTTGCAATTGGGAGGTACTCAAATCATGCACAAGAACGGTGTATCGCATTTGGTCGCTTCCAACGATATGCAGGGCGTACAAGAGATTGTGAACTGGCTCTCGTATGTGCCAAAGCACAAAAATTCTGCTCTACCGGTCTTGGTCTCGGAAGATGAAATCGACCGTGATATAGATGTACCTATTCCAACAGGTCCATATGATCCTCGTACCTTGTTGTCTGGAGTCACCAACGAAACTGGTGAATACGTACACGGCTTCTTTGATAAGGGCTCGTTTACTGAAACCTTGGCTGGATGGGCTAAAGGTGTGGTCGTTGGTCGAGCACGATTGGGAGGTATCCCCATGGGTGTAATAGCTGTAGAGACCCGTGTCACTGAAACCGTCAACTGGGCTGATCCTGCCAACGAAGCATCCATTGAACAGACCATCCAGGAAGCTGGTCAAGTCTGGTTCCCCAACTCGGCTTATAAAACAGCACAAGCCATCAAAGACTTCAACAAGGGTGAACAATTGCCATTGATTATCTTTGCCAACTGGCGAGGATTCTCTGGTGGTCAATCGGACATGTTCAAGGAAATTTTGAAATATGGATCATATATCGTCGATGCTTTACGAGAGTACAAGCAACCTGTATTTATATATCTCATAGGTGAATTACGTGGTGGTGCTTGGGTCGTCTTGGATCCCACAATCAATCCCCAAATGATGGAAATGTACGCAGAAACCAACTCTCGTGGAGGTGTATTGGAGCCAGAGGGTATAGTAGAAATCAAATTCCGAAAACCCCAGCTTGTCGCCACCATTGAACGTCTGGATACCGTATACCGAGACCTGAAACTGAAACTAGCCAGTACAGATCTACCCGAAATGCAACGTGTTGAACTCCAACGTCAATTCGATCGTCGTGAAAAGGAAATGCTACCATATTATCAACAGGCTTCTCTACTCTTTGCTGATCTCCATGATCGACCAGGACGTATGTCAGCTAAAGGTGTCATCAACCGAGTCGTGGAATGGCGTGACGCTCGCCGCTTCTTCTACATACGTCTCTTACGTCGTATATCCGAAGAATCCCTCATCCGAGAAGTATTGACAGCCAACCCGAAAATGTCTCGTGATGATTCCTTGACAATGTTGGCCAACTGGTTCAAGGAAGATGCACGTCGTAGAGCAGATAGTGATCTTGATTATACAGGTTCCGACTTGGATGTTGTACGTTGGTTGAATGCTAAACGTGAAGCTATTGAAACACGATTGCAACAAATCAAGGCAGATCATGCTGCTCAACAGATTGAGGATTGGGCTGCCGTCAATCCCCAAGTTGCGTTGGATGGATTCTTACGTCTGGTGTCAAGGCTTAACGATACGCAGAAAAAAGCTGTTGTGGATGGTCTTGGACGTGTGGGATTGATTCCTAACGCCAACAACTAGAACTGACTATAGCATTTATAATCAGTCAAACCTCTGTATTTCCTGGTAGCCTCTTCTATATATAAACAATGCACTCAGTTATAAAACGTCGGAGTTGCTGCGTTCTGCGCTGGCGAAAGAACATGTTGCTGTTGGGCTTCAAAGTGTTCGTGAAGTGCTAGACATTGGCGAAAAGAAAACCTCGATATGTCTCGAGTGCATCCATCCCTTTATTTGGTTCCACTATTACTGTTACTAGTAACCGAAGCAATGAGACGACTGCTGACAGCTCCGGCTTCCTTCAGCCTGTCTCCAAAAAAGGTGGCAGTTTCTTCAAACCTATGCCTATACGTATCAAATGATCCAACAGCAATACATTCAGCCCAACCGCGAGTAGCTGAATAGAATTGCATATCGTCACCACGTATCCGTTTATCATACAATGCGGTTTCGATAGCTAGTGTCAGCAGGTCTGGATTGGCGACAACGTATTCTGTTATACCCTGTGTTTTGGATTGTGAAGGAGGTTAGTAGAAGGCCACTATGTGAGATGTGATCTGTTGAAGTACCAGCAGTAATCGGAACGGTGGTGTCTGACATATGAGATGGTGGTAAGGACTGATGCAAGTTGTGAAGAAAATTAGTTGCGTAAAAAAAACGACGATACCTTTGGAGAATGTAGCCGTCTTACTTGAGTTTCAGGGTGTACCAACAGTCGACCATAGCCAACAGTGACAAGTGACTGTTCGGTAGTCTTGTTGAACTTGACAATCCCAATGAAAACTGATTCAGTGTCGCTTCATCCAACAGGATCTCCCTCTTTTGTGTGCTTGGTGGACCAAAAACGTATTCAACCGCCTAGTGTTGAAGTTATTCGGTGTTTTATTATCGTTTGGAGGCGACAGGAAGCCTGTTTGGGAACACGACTGACGTACCCTTCTCACTCGAAGACTGAACTCTTCCTTCTTTTCTTGTATCATGAGTCCAAACAAGTCTGATACAGATTGTGCATACTGTTTGACTTGTTGCTGTGCAGATGGGTTCAGTATAGCCAGACCTAGGTTCGACGATGCTTTGTGAGGAAACAAAAAAAGGAGACAACACCTATGTAATGTACCAGCGTAAACATGCCACTTGTTTCCATAAATCCTCAACGCCATCAATATCTTGACATTCTCAATACCAGCAGCATTCTCCCACTAACAAACTAAACGTCAGAACTCGTGACGACGCGGTATGAAAAGAATAACGTACCGGATAAGCACCCATAGCCTTCCAAGCACTTCCCATAGACAGGAATGCCAAATGAGTTACAGCCTGAGTATCAGCTGTGATTTGATCGTGTTCGAGGTAACTGAGATACACAAATTCGGATTCTAGACTTGTTAATACTCTCCGAACTAGTTCAAAATGGGCTTCGTCTGATCGGTGTTTTATCAGAACCTAAATGGGAATCATCACACGTGTTAAACCGATTCGACAACGGGACAACTAGCTTCTTTTAGCTCACGAGCGGCTGTCCCTTTGGATTGACACCTGGTCCATGAAGTGAGTGGCATGATACAATGTGTACATCGGGTGGCAGGTGTTTCTCGAATGCTTTGATTTCAGGGTCCTTGACTGATGTTTGGCCTGCAACTACAGCTCCCATCTTGGTAGCTGGTTGATTATAATGAGACATGACGCAGAAAAAACTAGACTTCGAGATTGTCATGGACTTACAGGGACCAAACCGACTTACGACACTGTCTATGGCAGCAGCTTCAACTGAGTAAATAATAAAATCGCTTCTTCTTGATACAGCATGTCCATCCTTGAGCACGGTGAGACCAGAGTCTATTTGTTTGACATGTGTCAGACAGCGTATACAGGCCTTGTGTCACGAAAAAAGCACATGTATCATCACAAACACTAAGCTCTACCTTTGAAATCCTCTTTTATCTTCTCATATTTCTCTGGTAGATCGCAAACATTCACCTTCCTATAGAAGTTGAAGTTTGGATTTAGTTCATCTTTCCGACCAATGGTGCGCGGCGATGCATAGCTCACTTCCAGCCCGCCCTGATGAATGTTTTGGCATACATTCTGCCCATGTCACCTACAAGTCAAGTTTGGGAATCAATATCAAAATGTCATAATAATTCGAATTCATCTGCAGCTGTTTCAACCAAGGAGCTGCGACTTAAGGGACCACATTCACCTAGGCCGATGATGCCTATTTCAATCACTTCCTTCTCATCCAGCCTCACTTTCTTATTCGCTGGTTCCATCCTGCACCTGTTTTTGTCGTAAACAAAAGTTTGGAGCTACGCAATCAGGTGGAAATCCTTTGCAATCTCTCAAGGAACGCGTCGGATTCCGTACTATCACGTACATATATGATGACTGAACCTGTAAAACTATACGGACATCGAGCTCCTATCACATCTTTGACAACATTAAACAACACGACACTGGTGTCGTCAAGTGAAGATTCAACTGTTCGAATATGGGATATTGAGACGCGCAAAGGTATCAAAGGAATAAGATGCTTTGATGGTGAAGAGGTGAGCAACTATTATGGAGGTGGGAGCACATGGCAAAACAAGCTGAATCGAATTCAATGCTATGACGCTGCTCTGTATGCTCACTTTGCCCTCAATTGACCGAATTTTGCCTACAGGTAACCAGTGTCGTATGCGCTTCTCAGGACACGCTCTACGCTAGCTCTACCAAAGCTGTACGTGCACCGCAATCACCTAGATGAAACACACTTTCGCCAACGCTCTCAAATCTAGATATTCTGTATCGACTTGAGAGCCAATTCACCCTTTATCACTACATCGTCTCATGTGCTTGAGATGGGAGAGCCTGACATCAATCAGGTAATAAGTTGTGCTGGGTAGGACGTTTTTCTCTCCAATATACCAACCACCTACCACTAGATATCTATAAACGAGAAAGGTCAATTCTTGGCTATAGCAGATGATTCATGTACACCTCAAATAGTGGATTTGAGGACCCGCAAACCATTTAAACGGTTTCGAACAAGCCATGCTGATGTAAGTATTCGTTCAGTTGTGAATGTTTCTCGAATGTTTGACCTTCTTTCTTACCTTCAAACACCAGTATTGTATGACAGTGGCGTTTCGACCTCGAAAGCCATGGCAAGTGTGGTCTGGAGCTCTAGATTCAATTCTCAACGGTTGGGACTTCTCCAAGGGCACGTTACTACAGTCTTTGCCCATGAGTACGTGCGTCATCCTTTTGACGTCCGGACACTTATAGCTGACAGATATTCTTCATCACGAAACAGAAGATATATCAGAGTCATCATCAAGGACCCAAGCAATCAATCCACCATATGTGAATTCCATAGCATTTGATGCTTCAGGTGACTTGGTAGCTGCTGGTTTGGGTGATGGAAGTATCTTTGTGCTGGACTCGTCTGCCAAAACTTCGGTTGACCGCAGGATTGAAGCTCATTCTTGGTCTGTTACATCGGTGTAAGTGACAAAAAAGGACGTCACGTTTCAAACATCTCTAACACGATCTTTCATAGGCACTTCATCAATACCCCTACAAGTCCAAGACTGATTTCCGGAGCAATCAACAATTATGTGCACATTTGGGATGCAACAATGACCTTAAAGACACAGACAATGCCAGTAAACTTCAAGGTCAACACTGTGACCTCTATACTACTATCCAACAATACTGAAGACACCAAAGCACTGATTTTTGCAGGAGGTACAGCATCGAGTAAAAAAATAGATTGTGATATATTTTTAATTGAAGTAACCTTATGAGTTTGGTTTTTTATACATGCTTGCATATAGAATAAACATTTTCCATGAAAAGAAGCTTTCGACCTTATGTTCTGACGGTATATATATCTATGTTTTACTCTTCCCTAGCTGCACTAACAGGAGACGCGACATCATTCTTACTGACATCATTCTTGCTTCGACCTGTAAACCATGAGAAAGGGCGACCTCGAGCAAGGCGGTTTCGAGCAATCCTGTCTCTGAAGAATACTCCAACCCGTTGTGCAAGACTGCGACGTGGCACCACAGGTTCTGCTTCTGCTGCCTGACCTTCATCGTCGGTGGTTTGTTGTTGGGTTGTTGTAGATGGTATTGTCGTATTTACGGATACTTCTTCGGACGGGTTTTTGAGTGAAGGTTCAGGCATGATGGGCTCTGTTTGTTGATTTACTCCTGTGTCGTCCTTTATGATGATATCCTTTTCGACCAATACATAGTTTTCAGCGGTTTGCTTCTTCTCAATATCATATACAAACTTGGGACATGGACCAGTGCTATGTAACTCCCAGTCGGATCTTGCGACATCGGCTCCACAGCCTTTACAGCAGATTGTATACGTTTCTGGCTCTGAGTACTCGGCGATCTGGTTGTCGTCATTTTCCATTTGTAGCCGCCATACACAAAAGTGTGCATCGAGAGCCTTGGATGATGGGAATCCGAATCGACATAGCTTGCAGAATGTCCGTTGGGAGGATTTGGGCATGGGGACGCCAGTAGAGTCGTCTGGATATTCCTGTTTTCAATATAAGATTTGGTCAGTTATCACAAGACAGACATCAGAGATTAACAATACAAGTACGTGTGCTCGGTTCCTCATAGCTTGGCACGTGGAATTCATCTCTCTACTCAAACTCCTTCCGTACCCACAACATATAGTGTCTTCTCGATCACACTTTTCACGATGTTCAGACCATAACTGTCGAGTTTCAAATGGAAGGCAATTGTGGACGAGATAAAAGACGAGTGGTTCTGGTAGTACGAGTTCCCAAGATTCTCTAGATTTGATTGCAGTTAGCTAGCAAGCCTCGATTGAGATACAGGAAATCAAAAGCATCGTACTTTAACATTGTTTGTTTGATCCTTTGTGCAGCTAACATCTTGAGCGAAAGGGGGCAATTGACTGGGTGTTTCTCGATTCCCGTCAACAAGTCCGAGACACAATAGAATCGTCGTTTTGGGCAGACTTCAAAGTGGTCCTATGTAGTTGAAATGTACAAAGATTGTTGTTAATGGCTCATTCCTTCGAATTGCTCCCCATTGAACACGATCTTGCTGAGCAAGATTTGAGTATCAAATGTAGATGAGGCATAAAAAGAAGAGGACACCTCTAGGAAGAGCACTGGCAAAGTGAGCCCACATGCACATCCAACCCTTGGCTCGAGTGTTCGGAGCAGCTCCAAAGTGTGTGTGTCTAGCAAAGTCGGTTTTGAATTTTAGTTTCGAATGTTGATTCTTCACAAATGCAGCATGAAAATAGGCATGATACAGTTCACTTCACACACAGTCATATGCTTGTTGAATGCCGACAGTGAACCGTGGCTCTGGTATAGCTACCTCCATCCTTGTAAGTCTTGCTTTGGAACGTGACAAAGTGGTGATGATGAACGGCGGATGGGAAGAATTTCAAGATTAGGCGCTGCTGTTGTACAGGAGACAGTAATCCAGTACAGTACCCAACAACAGACCTGATCTAGAATTATTGTAAAGAGTGACTCGCTCTGTTTTGACCGTTGACCGATGTTGACTGAGACTTCGTTTGGAACTGAGTAGGATCTGCTGCCTATCCGGTTGTGACCAGTCGTAGATCTGTCACCTGAAATTGTTTACGAATTCATTCGGGACTGGGCCTCTTTTTAGTTCAAGGTTGGAAATGGCTGTGATTGTGACGAGCAAATCAACAGTCTGTTACAGAACGGGCGTAGAGCCTCTATGTGGTATTTAGTCAAATGCTCCTGGAATTGAACGGAAGAAAACCTATCCTCTTGTCTGGTTGTTGTGTTTCCAATTTAATCCGACAGTCTCCACAAAAAATGCATGCCATTCGCAAACAAAAGATTCCAAACAGCATACGCCTCATTTCTACCAGAATTATACACGTGCAATGAGCACTTTGAGGGCATTCTTGTTATTTGGTAACCTCTCCTTTACCTGATAAACCATTTTGCGTCCAAAAACCTGATATTCAGTTCTCCCGAACCAAAATTAGTACCACCTCATATTGCAACCAACTTCACATTGTCGCAAACGACCAACATACAGTACGCAATGACTTTGAATCTTACTGGCCAAGTCGCCATCGTGACTGGTGGAGCCTCCCAAACCGGTATGTGTTATTGTGCAACTTCCAACCTTTGACACTTCTTGTAACCTTTTGCCACTCTTCTCTCTCATTACTGGATGAATCTCTCTAACATTTTTGCACTTCTCTCGCATCAGGCATTGGTTTCAATGTCGCCAAGAAGTTGATTGCAGCTGGCGCAAGTGTCGTCATTACAGATCTTCTCCTCAAAGTTGGTTCAGAATCTCAAGCTGTATTGGAAAAGCAATATGGAGCCGGACGTGCACTGTTCTTAAGAGCGGATATTACGGCCCCACAGTATGTGACATCTCCATTTATTCTGCTGCTTAGCTGCTTTCTGACTTAGTTTATAGTGAACTTGAGGGCGTATTTAAAGAAACCATTACCCGCTACGGCCGCCTCGATATCGTTATTAACAACGCAGGTACTGTTTGGGTATAGCGGTATCATGATTGTCTCTGACCAGTATGATAATGCAGGTGTGGGAGCCACATTCACTCCGGATCTCAACTTCACCGCCAACGTTAAGGCAGTAGACCTTCTGCTCACCGCCGTGTAAGTCTATAGTTTACCTTGCCGCTCGAGAGATATGTCAACCAACTTCACTGATGACGTAGAATCCACGGTACATGGCTTGCACTGGAAGAAGCAAAGCGCTCTGGTCGAAAGGTCATCGTCGTGTCCACGTCTTCTCAGCAAGGTTCAGCACTAAACCCCATGCCTGTATACACGGCTGCAAAAGGTATTCAGTGCATGTCACCTGCAGAAAACCCAAAACATCTTCCACGTGAAGTTCACTTACCAAACTCAAAAACCAGCTGGTGTCGTCGGCTTCATGGGAGGATGTGCTGGATGGGTCGAACAAATGCGTACTGCTGGTGTGCCATACCCAGCTGGCTGCCGTTTTGGTAGCGTGTACGTGGTGTCCTCAGTCAAAAATGCCACAAATCCACTGAATAAAATTGCTTCTTTAATAGGTGCCCCGGAGCTGTAGCAACCCCCATAATGAATCCCCAGCCTCCATTAGGCACCAAAAATCCAGAAGAGTTCAAGACGAGGATTTCGCAGATGCACCAGTTCATCTCGTCTATCAAAGGAGCATGGATTCCACAAGAAAATATTGCCGACTGCTACCTTCAGATCATTTCGGATGAAACTCTAAATGGTGCCGCTCTCGAGGTTGGTTCAAACGGCGTTTGCGAATTTTTCATCCCAATATTAATATTCTTTTCGCAACCAAGCTTGGAAACTCAGAAACCATGAAGGTTAATGTCTTGAGACACCCACATATTGAAGGGCTCGAATATGACCGAGATTTGGTAACTGGAGATTATATTCTGCAACATTTTTTGTTCAGCCAAGATCATTCAGTTTCGTGCTAACTGATATCTTTAGGGTTTCATGAGTATGTTTAACTGGGCTAAAGAATTGAAAGCCTCGTACACTCCTACTGAGTGTCTGTCAGCCAAAGTGAACAGGTCTTCGTTAAACTTGAAGGGCCAAGTTGCCCTTGTAACTGGCGCTTCTAGGAAGGACGGCATCGGATACAATGTAGCAAAAGCTTTGGTTCATGCTGGAGCAACGGTGGTTATGACTGATGTTTTAGATCTGGAAGGTGGCCAAGCTCAAGCTGAACTCGAATCAGCTTATGGTGTTGGGCGAGCATTGTTTTTACGAGTGGATGTTACCAATATTCATGAAGTGGAAGCACTCTTTAAGGAAGTTGTTCGTCGATACAATCGTCTTGATGTAAGTTGGTATTGCAATTTTGGACAGCATTCTCGACGCTGACCCACCTTTCCGATCAGATTGTTATCAACAATGCTGGTATCTTAGGCGGATTCGGTGAAGGCATTCAGTACAGCCGATGGAAGAAGGTCATCGATATTAATACCACTGCAGTATTGCATGTTGCGTGGGTCGCTATTCAGACCGCCGCTGCTTTGAACAAACCTTTGGTGAGCATGGAGTGAGAAGGGTGTGACATATAGCAAACGAGCAAATTACTGGACTTCCTGGATCGATTCTAACTGTTTTCTAATTCTGTTCAACAGAAAGTTGTGAGCACATCTTCTGCGGCTGGCATTTACCCAGTCGAACTACCTGTTTACGCAGCGTGAGTGATTTAATAGTGGTCATACCATACTTTATTTTGTCTTGACACATAACTATTTAGTTCCAAATGGGGAGTGACTGGAATGACAGCTTGTATGCCTCACTGGTTTCACGAACAATCTATAGCTGGTGTCCGTTTTCCAAGAATCACATTCAACTGCGTCAACCCAGGTACGTGTTTGAAAATTCCTTTATTTCATCATTGCGGTAATCAACTTCCTTGTTCTTTCTCCAAGGCGTTGTATCTACTCAAATGACTAAGCCAGACTCACCTCATATGGTCGGTGATGCCAACTCTACTGTTGAGGAACTCAAAGCCCAGTTTGAAGCAGGAGCTGAGGCATTGTCGGGCTTTGTTCCCATGAGCGACATCGTTGACTGTTTCCTCTTACCAATTCAAGAAGGGAAAATGAACGGTTCAGCTATTGAATTTACCAAACCGTCCGTTGGTCGAATCATTCACCAATATCCTCACGTGATGGGTGACGAATATGTGATTGGTGAACCCCCCAAAAGCAAGTTGTAGTGTTGTGATGATGCTCGAATTAGTTTTCTAAATAAAAAATTGGTCTTCTCGACGTCTTCTGTCTGCTATAACATGGTCACACCCAACGTTTGTGCTTTAAGATCATTGATATATTTAAATTGGGATATAAAACAAGAAAGGCCATAATATTATAATTAATGGGACAATTCAGTTTGATCTAGAACTGGAGGATTCTTCATCAAGTCGATACACTTCTGGATATCAACATGGTCCAACCCTTTCTGGATCATCTGGTCCTTTCGGCGTTCAGCTACAGCTAGTGGCGTATCTCCCGATTCGGTCTCTGTGTAAACCTCGGCTCTGTGGCGAAGAAGATAGTGAACCAAGTGACTATTACCTTGTTGAGCTGCAATGTATAGCGGCGTGTATCCAGAACCAGACTCCTTAACCGTAACCTTGGCGCCCCTAGAAACTAAATACTCGACAAGGTCCATGTTGCCATTGTAACTGTAGCAAGCAGCCAAAAGTGGAGTCGATTTATCATTGGGTGGGTTCAAGTCGGCCTTCGCTTCGTTGATTAGGTACTTCACAATATCCAGTTTGTCCTTGCTGCAGTAATAGCACGCATTCCATAGTGGAGAGACGTTTTTTGTTGACTGGTTGACGTCCGCCCCTTTTTGGCATAGGATTTTGACTATTTCCAAACCACTCTCATCGCCATCCTCTTGTGACGCAATCCACAGTGCACTTGGTGGTCTTTTTGACGAAGTGGCAATACTTTGGAGAGCAGCGCCCTGACGAGATTCTGGGTGAGCATACAAGCAAAGAAATCGACTGTGACCAGCTCTTCATACCTTGTCGGCTAGGTATTTCACAATTTCGGGATCTCTTTTATAGACTGCAGCCCACATTGCGCCGGGGAAAGTTGCACCTGGATCAATAGTTTTAATATCGGCTCCCTATTCGACAAAAGGAGGTGAATAGGACAAACAGTAACTGCTGCACAGCATTGACGTACATGTTCACGTTCGACAAGCAGTTCAATCATAGACATGTCCTTGGCTAAAATGTATTTGACCAGCAACGAATTGCGTCCAACTACAATGTTGACGTTGGCTCCACGGCTTACAAGGCATTTGACCATTTCCACGTTGTCATTTACAACAAAGTAATGGAGTGCCGTATGGCCATAAGCATCCACCGCATTCGGATCAGCTTTCTGTTGGGCGAAAATGTTAACAATGGCAACTAGCAGCAGTAGAGATTCACAACCAAGACTCACATTGTTCAAAAGAAGTTTCACCATGTCTGAATCCTTCGCGTCGGCATATTTGCAGAGGAGTGGTGATCCGTCAACATTGATATTGACATCAGCACCGTTTTCGATAAGGAGCACAACTACCGGTGAATGACCATTCTGAGCTGCAATGACTAGAGGGGAAGAGCCTGACTTCTGCGCCAGTTTGATATCACCTCCCTATGGAAAGTTTGTTAGAAAATGAAGCAAGGTACACAAAAAATGCTAAATCATTTACCTTCTCGACCAACAATCTAACCACGTCTGTATGCCCATTTTCTGCAGCCGCGAATAAGGCAGTCTGTCCTTCATTCAACGTGTTTGTGGCGACTTGATTGACATTCTCAGCCTGTGTAGAAACCCGTTAGAAAACTAAATTACGCAATCATAGCCGATTTCCTTACCTTCTGCACTAAATATGTTACGACTTCCAAGTGCCCGTTCTGCGAGGCAGTCCAAAGTGCAGTCTTTCCATCAACGGTTGAATGGTCGACCTCAGCTCCATGCTCACACAAAACATTAACAACTTCTGAATGACCGTTTTCGGACGCCAAATATAGTGCAGTAGTGCCACGCTCATCTTGAGCATTTACTTGAGCTCCCTATTTCAACGAAGACTATGTTGAGCCAAAACCGGTCAGTAAGATAAACAAACACCTTCACGTCTCACATGAGTTAAAAGAGCCTTCACCAATTCCAAATCACCCAACGCACTGTAGATGGATAGCATTGGCACAGAATCAACCTTCGTATTTGCATCAGCGTTCTGGCAACAGGGGTGTGTTAGCTCAACAAAAGACCACCATCTTCAAATTCACTGCCTTACATTTTCAATCCAGAACTTTACGACATTCAATTGGCCTTGCTGTGCAGCAGCAATCATTGCTGTGTCTCCCATATTCTCGCTTGTTTCAGCTTGGTTGGTGCTAGCCCCCTGTTTTGAGAGTTGAGTAAACTAGAGCCAAGGGTGGCGAAAGAAGAAGAAAGTTCTGACCTTCGAATAAAGGTACTGCACAACTTCCAAATGACCATTATGAGATGCAATCCACACTGGTGTCTTTCCGTTCGTGGGGCAATGGTGCATATCAGCTTGATGATCGACCAAAAGCGTGACTATTTCGAGAAACCCCTTCTCTGATGCAATATAGAGAGCCGTGCTCCCATGTTTGTTTACAGCATCGACTTTCGCGTTCTGTTGAAAAGATGTTACAAACTATGAACGTCAAACGATATAAACGAACAACGCGTCCTTACATTTTGTATGAGAGCCTTCACCAACTCCAGATTGTGCTTCTCAGTATAATAGCACAGCAATGGAGCAGAATCAATCTTGGTACTCACATCAGCCCCCTATGGAAACAAGAATGTTACTACCAAACAAAGTAAGAAATAGCAACTTTATCCTACATGATCCACTAAGAATTTCACAACGTCAGAATGCCCATTGTGTACCGCAACCACTAAAGGAGTATGTTCCGTCTTGTCTCCATTTGGGGCTAGATTGATATCAGCCGACTGCCAACGAACGAAGAGTTTAGCGCGTTAAGAACTTGGTTGAAAACGACACAAACACGGAGAGCTGACCTGATCGAAAAGGTATTCGATGACATCCAAGTGCCCATTCTGAGATGCAATCCACATTGGCGTCTCTCCGTTGTCATTTGATAGATTTGGCCTTGCTCCATGGTCAATCAAAAGTCTGACCATGTCGCATAAGCCCTGCTCGGCTGCCCAATAAAGTGAAGTCTTGCCATTAGAGTCCGTAGCATTGGTATCAGCATCCTGGTCATGAAAAAGTCAAAACTGAACATACAAGGATATGACGAACTAGACAGGCACCCACATGCTCTATAAGTAGTTTCACCAAGGCCAATTTTCTCTCGTCAAGATACACGGAAAGTAACGGTATCCCATCAACTTTGACATTTGGATCAGCCTTCTGGCTAACAAGGTACTCCACCACTTCCCAATGGCCGCTGCTCGCAGCAACACCAAGTGGTGTATCATCTCGTTGTTTTGCGGGAACAGTTACTTTTGCTCCTTGTTCTATCAGATATTTAACCATAGTCAAGTCGCCGGCTTCAGCAAAGTAATAAAGTGCGGTTCTGCCGTCTGCATCCGCAGCATCAGGATCAGCTTTCTGTTGAACGCGATTGTTAATAACGAAACAAGCAGTAAGAGATTACCAACCTCCACTTGCCTTCTCGATAAGAAGTTTCACCATTACGGAATTCTTTTCTGAGGCATATTTGCAGAGAAGTGGTGATCCATCAATATTAGTATTAACATCAGCACCGTTCTCGACAAGATGCTCGACAACTTTTGAATGATTATTCTGAGCTGCAACGCCCAGAAGAGTAACGCCCGAGGTTGGCGTCAGTTTGTCATCGCCGCCCTAGTGAAAGATTGTTTGAATATGAATGAATGATTGAAACTATCGGCTGAAAAGCTCACCTTCTCCATTAACAATTTGGCCACTTCTATATGACCATTCTCTGCAGCGACAAACAAAGGAGTCTTGCCCTCATCTACAAGATCTGTGGCGGCTTGATTGACATTCTCAACCTGTTGTGAAGAATGTGTTAAATGCAACCGCTTGATCTGAAAATCTAGGATCTTACCCTCTCCACCAAATAGTTAACGACTTTCAAATTTCCATTATACGATGCTACCCAAAGTGGAGTTCGTCCGTGATCATCGACAGCATCAACGTTAGCTTTAGGTTCAGTCTCTTCAACAAGGTATTTGACCATATTGAGATCATCATTACTCAAAGACGCAACATGCAGTGGCGTTACTGAGTTTAGGCCGACAATATTTACATCAGCACCCTGTGAAAAAGAGTTAGGGAGGAAGCGATCAAAGACAGATCCAATTACTCACTTTTGTGAGAAGAAGCTTCACGGTTTCCATATCTCCACTTTCAACGTATTTAAAGAGAAGGCTGGATACGTCCGTGTTAGCACCATGCTCTACGAGATATGTGACAACGTCCAAACGGTCATGAACGGCAGCGACACGCAATGGCGTCGTATCTCCAATATCCACTTTTGCACCATGCTGTTCTACGAGATATTTCACCATGTCCAGATTACCAGCTTTGGCAAAGTAATACAATGCACTTTGGCCATCCATGTTTGTGGCATTGATGTCGGGTTTCTGTTTCAGTTTAGAACGAATTGTTTAGCAAATATACACGCGACAGAAGAGCTGATTGCTACTTACATTCGTTGGGTGATCTAAAAGGTATTTCACCATTTTGACGTCGTTCTCCTTTCCGTCCTCAGCATACTTGCAAAGTAATGGGTAACCGTCATGTGTAGTGTCCACGTCAGCTCCATAGTCAATAAGCAACCTCACAACTTCTGATTTCCCACTGGAATAAGCACATTCGAGCACTCCAGCTCCACCAGTAATGGTTTCATCGAGAGATGCTTTGTTTTCTACCAGGAGTTTCACCATCTCTAGATTACCTTCCTCAGCATATTTGCATAATAATGGTGTATCGTTGACGACGGTATTTGGATTGGCACCCTTGGAGATCAACGCTTTCACAATGTCCTCATGTCCACTTTGTGCTGCTATGCACACAGGAGTATGTGGACTTTCTGTAGCAGTGGCATGCACATCAGCTTTCTGTTGGTAAAAGAAATGGAAGGACTGCTGTAGCGATGATGGAGAAGATTGCAAATCAGCTGTTAATAACGTACCTTATCCAACAAAAACTCTACCATTTCCAAATTGCCTTCTTCTGAGTACTTGTACAATAGCGGTAATGTACCACCGGATATCTTGCTATTTACAGCAGCTCCCTGAGAAAGTGACGCGTCACTTAATATCACAAGAACACTCGCTTTTATAAACAAATCTTACCTTCGCAATCAAGAGCTTGACAACGTCCAAATGCCCAACTTCTGCAGCAACCATTACAGGAGTTCCTACATTTCCACTAGCAGGTCGCTTTCGGAAATCGGCACCCTTTTCTAAGAGTATCTCTACAACTTCCTTGTGGCCATTACGAGATGCAATCCAAACGGGAGTTTTCTCGCTGTCTTCGAAACGGTTTACGTCTGCACGCTGACATAAAAGTTCGACAATTTCAACAAGACCATCTCTAGCAGCCAAATATAGTGGTGTTTGTTTACTTGTATCGTCAAAATCGACGTCAGCACCCTGTGTTGGAGCAGCGTTGTTAGACTTCTTTAATCCTGCCTTGGAAAATTCTTCCTCACCTTAGCAATAAGAAGCTTCACCAAATCCAACTTCTTTTCTTCAATATATTGACACAACAATGGACTATCAAAAATCCGGAAATTGGCAATTGCACCGTGTTCTATAAGATACTCAACAACATCCAAGTGATTCTTGCACGCTGCAGCATACAGCGGTGTGACACCAATCATATCACCTTCAGCCTCTTCATCATTAACACCAGCTCCGTTTTCAACGAGCTCTTTTACTGTCGATAGATCGCCAAGAGCAGCGCACATCCACAATCGTTTTTCATCCGTATTGTAACCTCTCATGAAGGTATCATCTTTCAGCATGTTTGCCAAGTTCTTTAGACGAATATCATTCTTCAGCCTGGGCTTGCTGCGGTATGCATCATTTCCTTCGCCCACATTTGTGGTGGTGCTGATGTTTTGATTGATGTCGGCCACTGATACAACGGGAGGTTGAATAATTGATGGACGTTTATGAATAGGAGGCTTGGCGATGCTGTTGTTGTCTATTGGAGAGAATGGATTAGGACTCGCAATGGTGGGCTGGCAAGTAAATAATGTGACGCCTGTTCTTACACTTTTCGTGAGCTCCAACCTGCTGGTTGTCAGCCGCGGGAGTACTACAGCAGGCTCCCATCTCTGGCAAGCCTTATAGGCTATCTCTGCGAAATCTACACGGTTTGGTCAAAGATTGCAAAGCTCCACAGTGTTTTTAGAGCTTAAAAAGGTCATCTGTGTCACCATCGTCGGAACTTCAAGAAACGTTGACGCAGACAAGTCGAAGTTCTCACGTTCACCTGCAAGAATGCATGTGTATCCTCAAAGTATTTCTCTCGCGACGCGTCAATCGATCTGATCCGATCATTTCAAACGAGAGTTGCAAAATAAAACACACACATTCAGTGAAAATACATACATGATTCAAATTTTATTCTTGCTTCAACTTGAAACAAAAGAAAAAAGATAAATTTACGATCAAATATACCACTTATACCATTTTCTTCTTCTTACAGTAGGCACTGAAGGTATCTCGAAACAGCAACTCGTGAATCTCCTGATTTGCGACATCAAAGAGACCTAATGGAGGTGCATCGACACAAGACCTCATCATTGAGACAGATGACGCGACATTCCTTCGAGTAATTCCGAGAATATTGATCTAAGAGGGATGCATATGAGCTCAAGCAAAAACACAAGACGCGAATCGAAATCTTTGGGTATTATACTTCACAGAGAGACCCTTCTTCAATGAATGTCGTGAAGATAGACTCCATTTCATCTCGTGCAGCTTCATAATGGCCAGCATCAATCAACTGCTTGAACGCTGTGGCACGTTCAACAAACAGACAGTTTTCGACAGAGAAGTTGCCCACAGAGAACTCTTTGAATTTCTCAAAGAGTTCTGGGGTCTGCAAAGTTCGATTGAAACATTCAATCGAGCAGCTGAGTGATTTACTTTGCTCTGGAGACTTGGCAAGGCGAATTCTCAAGGTGATGACTGGAACCAATACGATGATCAAATGGCCTCCCAAAGCTCCAGCATAGAGCTGGAAAGTAGGAGTCTAAACATGATTGTTCCTTATTGAGCACATTACAGCTTACCCAAAGTTTTAAATCATTGAGTGGGCGAAGAGTTGGCACTTGGAATGCAACTTCAGCAAAGATGATCCCACCAAGGATAAATGATCTAAAAACATTGCTCGTTTTATTCCGTGATTCCGGGATCACCTCAAATTCTTCAACTCACACTCCCGCAAATAAGGACAGGAAGACATCTGATAATAAATGAAACTCGTCCTTGACATCCTACTTAAGCAAAGTGCCGAGAGTGCATGATAGTTTCTCCAACAAATCTTGGGAGCAAAATTACCTTTCCAAGAAACCAAATCAACGGTTCAACGATGACGACATACAAGAACGCTTCAGCAATCATAACTATAAGATCGATACTACGAGCGCATCTCAGAGCATACGTCGGAGAAGGGAAGATACGATAGTGGACAGAGTAGCGTTGAATGAGCAACAAGATCTAAATTATAAGTTGCTTAAGAGCATATAGCAAGCCAAGAAAAAAGATACAACAAGATATTCGACACACCCCAGCATTCATGAAGGCTTGAATCAATCCCAACACGAATAAAGATTTTGGAGCCAACCAAGCCTTGATCTTCCAAGCAACAGACCCTCGTACAGATGCCAACATAGCATCGCTAGGCCTTCGACCCAGTAGCTTCGATCCTGTAGCTGACGACCACCAGTTCAACCAAATTTTGTCGTTTGATTTCGAGATTGCTTCATCAAGCGCAAATGAATGATGATGTATCTTGATTTCAGTTTGGATGCGGTTCATGGTTTCAGTTTCGGAGCGACTCATGGTAAGAGGGGGTTGATGGTCATTGGATACAGGTGAGGCATAATATAGTGGGATGAGTGATGAAAGAGTCCAAGACGAGCGACCAGCAGTAGGTATGATATCTTCATCAATATGGGTTTGGCATTTAAGTTTGACGGCTGGAGCGACTTCAATCTCTTCATTTACACTATCACGTATATCGGTCGCATGAGGAGTATCATTATTCAACGTGGACATGGAATTCATGGAGCCATGTGGTGTTTCACGTCCAGCGAGTTTCAGATACATAGGTACACTATTATACAGATTCTTCTCTGCATCACCAATCTCAGACGGCGCAATTACTTCAATATCGGGTACTGGATCATTGATAATAAAAGATTGAGAGATTTCTAAACGACGTCGTGATAATTCATATTCTGGAATGAAGGAGGCTAGACGAGCTACCAACAAGAGCGACAAAGTGGAAATCAAGATCGTCTCCGTCCACAATTCAACGGCACATGGCAGACTGCCTGGCCATATATAGCGTGCCGGCCAGACTATTGACACCATCGTTACATGCAGCAGGACATGAAACATTGTAGTCACTATAGCCAAAAAAAAAACAGAGTTAGAATCATCAGGATCAGGATTTAAATTGAAAGAACATGACTTTGAAATGAGGTCTGGAACCCCTCTTGTTCCACATCAATCAGCAGCTCATCGTCAACATTCGTGTTTGATGTCGATTACTTGATTTCACGCTACCGCCAGACTTTTGGATAGAGAAAACTATCAAAGCTTGATCAAATATGATGAACTTACTAACTGCGCGGTTGTCAATATAAGCATGCTTGCGATGCGCCCAAAAAACGAAGTAACTTGGGAGGAGAATGCTGATATACAAGACAAAGACAGTGATGGAGGCAGAGCTGTGGCCTTGAAATATAGGTAGTGCCTTGACGGGGTCAAGCATGGTTTAGTTACGTGTGTCTATTAGAGTCTTTGGATTGCGAACGCCCAAAAAAGTGCAAAAAGTTATGAAGATCGAGCTCTACAAGGTGATCAGTTTTTTATTTGCAAACAACAAAGAGGTGTAATTTATCTCTAAAACATCGTGCCTTCTGGAGGCTGAGCTAATTTCTTGTTTGCTGGACTCGCCATTTCCCTGTGATGAGCATCGGGTTAAGCTAGAGTGATCACACGTGAACTTCAGCAAGGATCATCATTTCTACCTTCTCAGTTCTGTCAATAGAGTTTCCAATGAATAGGTTCGCTTCCAGTTGTCTAGACAAGGCAAGCGTTCGACCTAGCAAGGTGGGAAGACGTGTCAATGTCCCAGATCTACAAATCAAGATGACAAAGATGATCATTTCAGAGTATGCATACTTTTCCTGTTTGTTGATTGATACCGGGTAGATTGATGCGAGAAAGGAAGGAAACGACTGGTGCCTTGTCTGGGTAATCAGGCCCACAATGAATTCGAAGACTGTAGATTCTGTTTTCATGAACCGTCTAATAGCAATAAATGATGAATACGGAATTAAAATGATCGTGATCATGAAACTAACGTCGTGCAATAACGTCTGGTCTGTGTGTCTCAAGCAAGCCAACTCCTCTTACATGTCCAGGACCCAGGATGGTTCCATTCCAGCTTGACATCAGGACATCATCAGAATCGGCCAATCCGTAACTGGTAGTACCATCTCCAATTCCCTTCTCACCCTTCTCTAGCTCTTCCAACAGTCGAAAATTGCGGGGAACTTGATTGATGTTTTGAGTGGTGATATCGTTAGTAATTCAAGCAATGAAGAAAGGACACTGCAATAAACGAAATGCAAAATATATTCAAATTTCTACTTTTGGCCATGATTTCTCAAGTCAACAAATGCAGTCGTCTCGGAAGCCACACACGGAAGCTTGAAAGTCTTGCTACTTATAACCAGCAAGACAATATAATATTCCTCGTATCTACCAATGCAATAGTCAGGTCTATCAAACTGCTGCTTCTGACTGCAAATCAGGCACTTTCTATCACTTTCGAATTGCACCCGCACGATGTTTCAATTCTATTTTAATCTCGAGAAGCCTCACGAAACACGATTTTGAACAGTCGAGTGAATGCATTCTGAATAATATCTTATACTCGACGCGTCATAATGCAATCCATAGCGTATAGCCTCGAGCAACGTTGTTACAATGCTCAACCGCCTTACCCAAAACAGACTCTTTCTCCCTCAAGGAACTGCCTTCACTCATGAGATGTAGAACACATAACACGAAGCTCCATGATTATATGATATTTTAACACGTGCGGAGCATCGTTTTGGCTGGACAAACTCTTCGTTGCTGCGTTATTTAGGAGCTTTCTCAACAAGCACCTCATTTCGAGAGAATCAGACTGTACACCCAAGTAGGGCACCTATATATAAAATAAGCGGTCATGGACGCAGCCAATGCTCTGCGCAGATTTGAAATGGAGAATGGGATGACTGGAGCTGACTCGACAGCGGATATGATGTATTTTTACGATGTCACAGACCAAAAGAAACAAGTCGATGAGAAGCCTTGGAATAAAGAGTATGTTATCTTATTTTGTGCAGTATTTCTTGACAACCCTTGTCTTAAAACGTTGGATTTGGCATGAAATGTTGGACATCAAACTAATATAACAATCATCAATCTAGTCCAAACTTTTTCAAAAAGGTCAAGATATCTGCTGTTGCCTTGATCAAAATGGTATGAGGATTTGGCTCAAGCTTGTGATTGCTTGAATCAGTGTTCTTCATCACAACTTGAACCTCTGCTCAAACAGCTGCCTCCTTGCCAGGATTCTAACGTCTCCTTTTTCAACAAAGGTTCTCCATGCACGCTCAGGCGGAACAATAGAAGTCATGGGACTGATGCAAGGAAAAGTCATGGGCGATACGATCGTCATCATGGATGCATTCGCATTGCCGGTAGAAGGAACTGAAACTCGAGTCTCGGCTGCTGATCAGGCAAACGAATACATTATTCAATACAAGGAACTCATTAAAGAAGTATGTGGCTGACCCTGTGTCTTCAAACTGCTGTCTGGACTCTCTGTTCTGTGTTGGAACTAACGACACAACCAATCAAAGGTGGGAAGGATTGAGAATCCAATCGGATGGTATCACAGTCATCCAGGTTACGGATGTTGGTTGTCTGGAATTGACGTCAGCACACAAATGCTCAATCAACAATATCAAGATCCATGGGTGGCAATAGTGGTATGAAACGCCGTGTAATTTGAGCCTCGTCGCTCGTTTCGTGACCGTCCTTTGAATTTTCTGGCTAGGTCGATCCCATTCGAACAATATCTGCTGGTAAGGTGGAGATTGGCGCATTCCGAACATATCCCGCTGTAGGTCATCGTGTAAACTGGTAGCCAGACACGTCCAACACAACTGATACGTTTTCATGGCTGTGATAGGGTTACAAACCACCAGATGAAGGTCCTTCAGAATACCAGACCATCCCTCTCTCCAAGATCGAAGACTTTGGTGTTCACGCGAAACAGTGCGTTTGCATAGTTGGCAATTTTTGCTCGCGCCAATCAATGCACACATGACTATCTTACTCAATCTTGCTTAAGGTACTACCAATTAGAAGTATCATGTTTCAAATCGAGTCTCGACAACCATCTGCTTGAATTGCTGTGGCATAAATACTGGGTCAACACACTCTCATCATCCCCCTTGTTGACAAATCGTGCCTACAATGCTCAGCAGATCGCAGATTTGGCTGAAAAGATTGAACAAGCTGAATCCTCTCTTTCCCAAAGCTCTCGTTCGGCTTCGTACTATGCAGGGTCTGCTGGTGCTGAAAAGAAGAAGGAGGAAGGACCATTGTCTAAAGTTGCTCGTGATAGGCAAGTTCTGTATCATTTCCGCTTTTTTTGGTCATTTGTCTAACCTCTTTCGTTGTGTGAATCCTCTAGCTCCAAGGTATCTATTGAATCGGCACATGGATTGATTTCACAAATCATAAAGAACGTCTTGTTCAACAGCCCAATTCAACGATCTTAAATACGTATAAAATTGTGTGTAGACAAAGAACCGATATTTGTATAGCTCTCTCTCTCTCTATTTTTGCCAACAAAATATATCATTCGCAAATGCTAGGTGCCTCTTCAGCTGTTTTATTTTTTACTACAAGTGTTGGGGATTTATCCATTTTTTCGTGTTTTTGTGCGATTTTTATCCCACATACTATTCTACAGAGCTATACAATGTCACCAGCTGCATATATAATATCCTATTTCATGATGGAATCATTCAATTCTATCTTCACCTTTTTCTGCTCCTGAAACAAAGCCTACTTACCTCCTAATTCCGATTGATAATGGAGAGACCGTTTCAAGGAGTAACATGGATGTTGGCAGAAAACAGAATCATATCATAAGTATCCTTGACCCAGTCCTTTATAGCCTCTTTATGTGGATCAAGTAATATATTATCACTCTTATGTGGTGCGAGCTGCACAGTCACACTGAATGGCACAGCACAATCCAACAAGACAGGTACACGTGTGCTGTCATATCGGAGTTGGGCAGCAGTGATCAACGTAAGAGCAGAGTATTCGGCATAAGCGAGATTGTTTTCAAGTAATCGTAAGTTTGGGAGACCACAGACGCCATATATGAAGTCATCGACACAGTCTGGGAAGTCGGCTAATACACGTCTATGGACTTCATCGTGTAAAAAAAAGGATGGTCCATGGCCAACTTCAAGGGTTTTGATCAAGTGTAGTTTCAATATACGGAGACCTATGCATAGACGCAAGTCGATCGGGTCTTTGGCTGTTTGATATGGTGCTCCCCCTAGATTATAGTATAGTTCGAGATGTTTAAGCTGTTGCGGTTCTTGTCTGATAAATGGTGCAAGCCCAGCCTTCTTGGCATCTTCATGTGACATTATCAAGGATTTGAGACGTGGCCATGCGACAGACGTAAATATCGGTTTGGTCGTGACGAGTGATGCAGTGGGATGTAGTAGCGTCAAGGATTCCAGATTAGGAGCATGTGCTTTCAAGCACTTTTCAATCTAAGGCAGCAATATGAGTAATGCCACCATTCCAATCATGCATACAAATCTTTTGCAAGTCTCCCTTACCTCCTCCAATTGTGGGCCTTTGATGTTTGTCAATTCCAGAGTCCTCAAATGTGCGACCGATTCAAGTGCTCGGGCTGCAATACATATAACTTGATCGGGACTACCAAAGTGACAATCTCGGTATCGGAGTTCTTCGAGTTTGGGGAGCTTCCGTACGATATTATCCTGATCAAGGAAGATGGTGCAGCCGACTAGTACGAGACTCTTGAGTTCTGTGCATGCTTCAATGGCATCCAACATGTACTTTTCAGTGAGTATTGTTGGTTTGGCTAATCCCTTCAATTCATGACCCTAACATTGAATGAAGAAAGGGGTTAGTAATTCTGGAGAAAGTACAAAAGGCAAGAAGCCCTGACATGACACGGCCAATCACAAATCACATACATCACTTGGACGCATATTGAAATCATATTCAAAATACTCCAACTTTTTCCAGATCTCAAGTGCAAAAGGAAGATTCCTAGGCATCTTACGAGGAGTTTGAAGCTTCTTTTCTTTATCAAACTTCCACGACAAGCTGTTGTAAAATTCCCAAGTCTCATGAATCGTCAAGGATGTCAAGTCTCTACATCTTTGAGCGAGTCGAGACCAAGCTTCTTCCCATAATAAAAGTGGCCGAGTCATGGTGATGATGAGTGTTTTCAAGGTATCTGGTATACACGCCCGCACCTCATAACAGTCAATAAAGGCTTCAGCCGCCAATCGTTCCAATGAAGTACAGCTTTTGAGTACGAATTTACATATAGATTTGATCGAGCTGTCGTTCAGACTAATAAGCGAGTTGCAAGTCAGAAAATACAACTAAGACGACCGTCAAATGTTGTTTTCTGTTGTTAGGCACTTACCCGTTGGCAGGAAGTGGAGAAAACGGTTCATCACTGTTGTGATATTCAGACATGTTGATGACCGCACGAGTTTCTTCAGCCATATGATTTGCGAAAGCTCGTTCAAGCTCAGTTTGATTCTTAAATTTGTGATTAACTCCATTATTGTAAGGGTCATCTTCGTCATCCTCTTCCACTGCATAAATGTCCCTCCAGTCAAAAGCTTTGAGAATCAGCTGTAGATCGAGGGCCTTGACATGTGATAAAGCCTTTTGTGTGAATCCTGCTCGGCGTTGGCCATTGTACATTGCTCGAATAGATCGAGCTAGTGGTAGTAGTCGTTCTCGCATACTATCATCAGAAAGAGGAATAGTGTGAGACGGCGTCACGGCGTAACGATGCGAATAAACGTTTCACGGAATTACGATGCGAATGAACCCTTGCACCATTTTTACTAGCACTTACTCTGTGACCGAGTCAACACCATTGTTGGGATTGTAGTGAGAAAAAGCCGTGTCCAAGTCCTTGTAGATGATAGGCACCGTAGTAGCATTGAGCTAAAATGTTAAAGCGGGTAAGTAGCTAGTACAATAGCTTGAAAACAAGTGTCCATCATAGAAGCGTACGGTTCGCGAGACCCGAGATAGCTTTGACAGGAACTCGCGATCGTAAGCTGGATGCAACCATTTGATCAAGATCTGGAGGACCTAATGAAATAAACAAATGATGGTAAATATACAAAATTGTTTCAAGGCATTGCTCCAAATAAAACACTCTAGTCCGATGCCACAAAGCTCCCAAGCAAACTCATACCTGAGAATCATCACACGTCTTAATTGTCTTTGCCTGCAGGTCTGGAACATGTGTCTTCCATACAATGCCTCCATTCATGGGAGCTGGCGAAACTGACGAACTGTTGCTGAATGCTGATGGAGCTGGAGATGATTTTCCAATAGAAGGTGCATTCGGTATTGAAGCTTTTGTATACATTCCATGATGACTGGCACTACTCCCGTTTGAGTATTGATACGGCGCCTTGTTTGTACCCGACATGCTTTCTTGGCCTTCTTTTTACTGTCTTGTTGGTTGTCCTTGATGTGTGAAAATGCTAAAAATGTCAAAAGCGAGAAACAAAAGCAAGTGCAAACATCGAGCAAGAGGAACACAATTATTTCGACGCGTCTCTTACTGATTTTTACGTGTATTACACTCGAAGGAACGGATAAACATCCTTATAAACAATGATACAGCAGAGGTCATTCGGTCATCAGTCACTACATCTTAAAATATTGTGAGTTTAGCTCTATCCTTGTCAACTTTTTGCTTGTTGGTAAGTTCTCGTTGTTTTCGTCCCAGTGCTTCTAGAGCCGTCTCATACAGATCTATACGTTGCTGATACTGGTTTGCCACAACGGCGTCCTTCTTATTTCGTGTCAGAGCTTCTCTAGCTCGAGCTAGATCCTTCTTGATAACTTCTTCACGTTCTTGAAGCTTTAGAAGCTGTACATTTATGGAAGCTCTGGTGCTGACTTGAGGTTTGGCGTCTTTCGAGTCTACAGGCTGCTTTTCAGCAATGGTTTCATGATGTTGTTGGTTATTCAATTTTCGATTCAAAAAGTCGAATATGGCTGTAGCTGATTTACGATTCCGTTTGATTTTACTTGCTCCTACGTTATTGTTGCCAACATCCTTCTTCTTCCTCTTCCGTTTCTTCTTCGTCTTTTGGATCTCTTCAGCACCAAGACCTCGTTTGGATACTCTAATATCGGCTTCTATAGGTGTTACAATGCCTTGATTATCTCTACCAAGGCCCATGCCAGCCCTATACCCCATTTTAGCCAAGAGTTTCGAGCCAATGCCTTTCGTATGCTGCTCCCATTCACCTAATGATTCACCACTTTCAGTAGCGAAATGAATACGAGCAAACGTGGTCGTAGCTTCGTCCCCTGACTCCTCGTCACCAGATTCATCACCGTACTCGTATCCTTCCAGGCCTTCATCACTAGCATTATCGTCCTTGTCATCGTTACCATCATTGCTATCATTTGCAGAGGGATTAACTGGATTATCTAATACGTGCGGTATTATCTGATCGGGTTTTACGACCTGCTTGTCCGTGTACCCTTCATATTGCACCAAATACGACCCGTCAGATCTCTTCTCTAATACTCGTGCCATGTAATAGATATCGTCACTATATCTACAAAGAGCTCTTCCCTCCACTTTGACAGCCTGCGAGGTAACTATGTCTATATCAAACACCAGTTCAGAGTCAATATCGAGGCCGTGAGACTGTCTGCAATTCGATTTTTTACAGGTTGAAGATAGAAATCCTGGGCACGGAGTAGTGATAGTGTCTACTGGGTTCGAGATCAAGACTTTGACCGCGGAAGGTTCAGACACGAGTATTATTGCTGGAAGTAGCACAGTGGTTTTGTCACTTGTCTGATACGGTACACAGCATAGCGATCCTGATTCGAATAGATTGTCTGTATCGTGTTCGTTATCTCCCTCTAAATTATTTGAAGCCTCATTTGACGTTGCAACTGCAGACGCTTCGTTCGATGCAATCAATTGAGACTGCAATATCTCCAGCTCTTCCAAACCAGTAATAGCCTCTAATAAATCTGTCGCATTTCCTGGATCTACAGCTACAAGATCTCGCAGTTCCTTTAATTGGCTACGAGTCAATTCCAATTCCTCCATTTGCGTAATTTGTCAAGATGGTGGATCTGCCACTAGATATTCAGATAGTCCAATGTGACAATTCTTTGAATACGGCGACCGCTATATGGAACTCTGGTCTGGTAATTTTGCCAATTTCTGTACATTTTTTTTTGTCAATGCAAAAAACACTCACTTTGGGCAACTGCACTAGGTATTGGCGCATTATATTACATCTAAAAAGTCCAAATTGAACTTGGAGGGCCTCAAGTGCCTCGAGCTTGGTTCTGGAACTGGAATTGTTGGAATTACAGCTGCAAAATGTGGAGGAATAGTCACTCTGTCAGATATGAGTGTAATTGGATTAAAGCAAAACGTCATGCTCAACGCTGCTGACACGAATATGAACGTGATTGAGCTTGTTTGGGGTCAAGCGACCGTCGAGAAATACGACATAATTTTTGGATCTGTGAGTATACTGCAACATACATCATTAAGCGTCGTGCTGAAATCAAACATCATCTCAGGATCTCTTGTATGAGGACACATGCATCAAACCCCTTGTGGACACGATAAATGCATCTTCAAATCCCACAACCATCGTCTTAATGGCATTTGAACGACGAGATCCTCTAGTCATTTATAAATTCTTTGATTTGATGTCTGAAAAGGATTTTATAGCTAAGAAGATGAAACACAAGCTCGACACTACCGAAAGGGACGACCCAATCAACGACGTTGAGGTTTGGAAGTTTCAACTGAAACGTAGTCGATAAATATGATCTGAGAGGCAACGCTAGACTAGGCAGAGTGCTCATAATTACAACAGATGTTGAGGTAACGTTGTTTCTGCGTTGCTTCTTGATGCTGAGAGAACGCAGTCCCAACTTGTGGGTTGATTAACTTCCTGATCAATTCTCTAGATTCAGAGCTGCCGCCGAATCAAACTATGATATTCGATCACGTCATCGTCATGATATGTGAGACTTGGTCTTTCTTTATAACCAATAGTTCTCGGACAAACCTTTCACTTTGACGACGCCAGTGATTCAACTACTTCTACGATGCTGTCGCCTCACTGATTCCGTCTACATCGAATTGCTCACAAACGAGAGCAAAAGCTGAGTTGTCATTAGTCTTGTAAGCAAGTTATCCTTCGGAGCCTTGACGAGTCGTCTGACCAATGGATAAAGCTCCAGGGGGTAGTGGTTAATGAGGTAGAAGGTGGTGGTTAATGAATTGGAGATAATGGCTTATGCCTGAGATAGGTCTGAACGGTGCGAATGGGTTCGGGGGTAGGAACGCGTTTTTGCAGGAAACATAATAACATAGTAGTTCTGTGCCATCGATTCTGAAGGTCTCTTTAAAGTCCAGAGTAAAACTCTCAGATCGTTTTTTATTATGTAATGAAGCGAGTCTGTGCTTAGCCTCCACGATTTCGAAGCTGCTGATCAAGGTTTTTGGTGTGACGTAAAACTAGAAGCACTCATCACGCTTCAATACCACCGTTCGCTTCAATAGACGTAAGCTAATACTATAGATCCTGTACCTATCATGACGTGGTCACTTTCAGGCAAAGTTATAATCATAACTGGTAAGTTCCAAATGTCATGTTTGTTTCAATGTCGTTGCTGAATAAAACATTTCTTTCTATGGCAAGTTCCAAACGTCAGCATTTTCTTCAACTGTTCGTTTCTTTGTAGGTGCATCGACTGGCATTGGGCAAGGAGTACGCAAATCATGAACTTTGAAACTGAACAACAATTGTTGAAATATTTGCTACTTACTAGATCGCCGCTCGTTTGGCAAAGGAAGGATGTAAACTAGTATTGGCCAATCGGAACGAACGCGATGGGATTGCTGCTGCCGATGAATTGAAAGCTGTGTATGTGCCCTGTGGTCTATCTTGCAACGTCATCAGACGTACAACTGACACATTCTTTGGTTTGGGGACTAGCACTGGACGACCCAACGACATAGTCTTCATCCAATGTGATGCTTCAAAGGTCGACAGTTGCAAAGCTTTAATGGCTGCAACTGAAAAGGCGTTTGGTGGCTACGATGGATTGATCAACAATGGTGAGCATTGTGTGTTGCTTTGGTACCGTTGGGCATGCAAGCTAAACTGCGTTTTCGATCCTTGTTATAGCTGGCTACTCACTAAAAGGGAACCGCTGGGGCGCCTTCGATGATGAGTCTGATGACTGGATTGATGAACTGAATGTCCTGTTGACTGCTCCGCTGTTGCTGTCGAGACTCGCTATCCAGCATTTCAAAAAGACAAAGAAGGCTGGTGTCATTATCAATACTGGATCTATTGGCTCATTTGCGTTTCATCCAGACACTGTACGTGATTCTCTCGCTTTTGGCCCAACTGGGTTATTCTCTAGCTTTTTGCTCAACTGGGCTATTTTCCCAAGAATATCTTATTCACTCTTGGTTTTTGTCATAGATTTATGGCATGACAAAATCAGCAGTCAATTCCTGGACTAGTTTGTTCAACACGCTTCAAGCAGTTGGTATGGGACCCGGAGCTCATGTTGTTCGCATGAACACGGTTTGCCCAGCTTTTGTCTGGACACCAATTTGGAGCAAGGGTAAGAGCGAAGCATTGCTGAATATTCCTGAGTCCTTTTCCAAAACTGTTTATTCTCCAGGACGTAGTAGTGACCTGAAGCCTGACGACGTGGAAAATGACCCTGTGTACAAACCAATGTTTGAGAAAATGGGAGGCTGGATACAAATGGAAACGCTGGTCAACGTATACGTTGATTTGCTCACAGACGACAGCAAAAACGGTCAGGTTATTGTCGTTCGAAACAATACTACCATCATCCAAGCAACAAATCCAGCTGCTAGTCTGGACGCATTCACACTTCCAATGGCTAAATAGACCTGTAGTGGCAACTGGGTACAAAAACGCGTGCAAATGTTATAATGAGTGGTATCATTTACAAATGTTTCACTTCAATAAAAATACAATGGCATCCATGCGTCATGATATTCATTCTATTATAGCGTTTGGGAGGCATCGTATGCCTTGCGGCTCGTTTCTGTTGAGGCCAGAGATTTGATTAACAACGGAACTTGGTGTCTTGTACTCACAATCCCACACTCTACCTTTCTTCAGCACCCCATAAGCTTCAGTCAGAAGCTGAAAGCGTTTGGTAGCAGCCTCAATATCCATTGGATTCTTGTCTGGATGCAGTTCCTGGGCTTTCGCCAGATAAGCGGTCGATATATCATCATCACTGCTGTACGGAGGTATACCCAACACTCTATAATAGCCCTTCGAGTCTCTATGTTTACGTACTCGTACCTGTTCTGCATCTTCCCTTTGTACACGATGCAGTCTCTGACGATGCTGATGCTTTTTCTGGAAGGCCGTATAGGAATCCCACCATGATTGTTTACTTTGGAAATCTTGCACACGTTGATATTGTGTTTCAAATTTCGCTCTAGATGCAGCTTCGTCCCTTTGTTGTTTTTGAGAAAGCTCCTCCCATGGCATCTCGAATGCATCTTCTCGTATCCTTTGCTTTGGCGATGACAGGCTAAATAGAGGTAGTGCGCGTGACAGAACCATCAGGCAAATTACAGCAAATCCAGACCATGCGAGAATGTATCGTGTCATTATCGAGAATTCAGCTGGATTGAGTACTGCTGCTGTTGCAGCTGCCAAGACGAAGCCTCCTCCAATGGGGTATAGGAGAGGACTGAGACGAGGCTCTAAAACATGCGAAGCTTTGTTACTTTGAAATTTTCATACGTCAATCACTTTCAAGGTCATTGGTGATCACATACCTCCAAGATCAGGTAATCCGCTAATATGGCCATCGAACCCGCTTGTGAAGTATCTTTGAGGTGTCCACAGATACGTCAGATCTGCAATCCATACTGGCAAATACACGGGCACGACACTGGTTATCTTGAAGTCTGTGATTGTGAACTCAACCTTTACGGCATTCAGAGCTGCAAGAATCTCTCGTTCTACAACCTGCTGAGCAATATTATGCACGGTACGGTGAAGCAGATGCAATGGTATACTGAATTCATCAACCGACACAGTATCAGATCCGAGTTTAAGTGCAGATGGGCTGAATAACGTCCAAGACTCTACTGGCGTTTTCATTGCCTCGAGTTGACTTTTGCGATATTTGCGACCACCATATCTAACAGAAACAATGGACGCAATCAATAAGCGTTCCTAACAGATTTTCAAGCCTTTTTGACCCACATTTGAAAGTCTCTGTTGTCTGGTGTAAAAGATCCACCCCATGTGTCATCATCCAGCTCAAGTTTGCGACCATTGGCACCAAAAGCACGCACAATACGTGATTTGACATTTAGGTATACCATCCAATGTGGGACATATACTGGCTTCAGCGACTTTAATCGTATTGGAAATCTGACCTTGTTTCGTGACAATTCCAACTGAATGGCCTAAGATCAAAACTGTTAGCTTAGACGTTAAGGATGCGATCATAGAGCGATTCATACATGTAGTGCTTCCGGCTTGTCGAACTTGAATGGGACGACTCGTGAGTTTGGATCCGTGATTTTAGGTTTGGCATCGGCATGAGACGCAAAGCTACGAGACCACACGTTTCTTCCCGAGCAGCTCAATACAAGAAATCTCAACCTCATCACGTAGTCTCCCTTGGCAAAAGGGCTTGGGGCTGTATGCTGATTTGCGAAATGTTGAAGGTTTTGGCAGCCATTTACATACAGAGTTAAAGTGCAAATATAGGACGGAGATTACGTGTTTGAACGCGTCAAGTATGGGAAAATTGATGCTTTCGGGCCGTATTGTCAGTCTGATCTTACTGCTTTCCTGATTCTTGATCTCGAAACACCTTTGATCGGTATAGAACAAAGCTTCAACCATAGAACTTGACAGATCAGAGCCTTGGAAGTCATCAAAGATAGAAATATGAGTAGCCCGCAACACCAACCTCAACAGCTGTCTCCAGATCAAGTCAAACGCATTCAAGAAAATAAAAATATGGCTCTTGAGAAGCAAGCTGCAAGGAAGCGAGCTGCTGAGCAACAAGAAGATCGAAATCGCTCCAATGCTGCATCTTCAAGTTCGAATGCTCAGCCTGGTGCTGGGTCAAGCTCAACGGCAGACACATCAAACATCAACAATAACTACAAGAAACGAAAGTCGGGGATGAATCTCAAGTATTGTATGCAGTTTAAAGCTCCACATGCTATTAATTGTCGTTTGAATCCAGGATCTCACACATCTTATTGTAGATGAGTACAATCTTTCGACAATGAAGGATAGCAAGGGAGGGTTTCTGGTCGACGAAACTCCTGAACAAGAAGAACCTCAACCGAAAGCCCGTGAACCACAACGCAAAGCAATGTTTGAAGATGAACGTATGTGCCTTCCTTTGCTGTCCTGTTGTTTCTTTGGAATTGAGGCACCTCATTCAACATCTTTAGAAAACTGACCCGATCTTATTCCTTGTTATTTAGCTATAGAGCTTGATCCGTCGCTGATGCCACGATGTAATGAATGTGATTCGATGGATATCGAGTATAATTACAAGAAGCATTACAACGTGTTGGTCTGCAAGGCATGCATTGAGAAGCTGCCAGACAAATACTCGTTGTTGACCAAGACGGAATGTGCCAAGGATTACATGTTGACCAACAGTGAGTGCCAAGTCATACAGCCTCCATTGTGAACCTGTTGTCTGTCTGTCTGTCGTTTGTCTCCCAACTGACGACAATGTGAACATAGGTGAATTGCAAGACAGAGAACGACTTCCTACTTGGGAGAAGCCAAATCCTCATAAATCTACTTGGAGTGACATGCAGCTCTTCCTTCGTCAGCAAGTCGAAGCTTTTGCCCTCACGAAATATGGTAGTCTTGACAAGATGGATGAAGTATTTGAGACGCGTGAAAAGAAGAAAGGAGAACGTAAAGAGCAGAAGGAGTTACAAAAGATGCGAGGTGAGAACAGCAAAGCAAATTTGAGACTTTGATGTATCCGGAAATTTGGATATGCTGTCGCATGATCAAATATTTATTTTCTCTGATCACTACTGACATCGTTTGCTGTATTTAATTGTAGAGCTTCGACAAAAGACACGTACCAGCACATGGAAAAAGGTGGAGACTGCTCATGTCCATACATATGGCGAGGAAGTGTATGATCAAGCTACCAATACCTATATTCAAACTTGCGAAGACTGTGGGATTAGTATATCCTTTGAATCCTTGTAAATCTGTACAGATTATGCGGGAGCTCGTCCACACATGGACGCCATACCCTTTTTATCCCTGACTCGAAACAACCGACCCTCATAAACAACCTATCTCTGATGTACAAACTCTAGATACATACAATTGCAAATGGTGAAGACGCCTAAACTGACACACTCTATTCTTTTTTGTATGATTTCTTAACCTGCCTCAAATTTAAACACCTGCCTCAAATTTAGAACTGCTGCCTCCGCAACTTCTATATGATTTGTTATGCATTTCATGAGGATTTTTGCTTCATAATCTTTGATATTTTGATGTCCCTGTCTTCAATATAAGACATAATCAAAGCGATCGGACTGCGACGTTTCGCAGAAACTCACCGAATTGTGTGGCCTGCAACCGTTGGGAGGAAGCAAAGGTAAGGCGCTAGTGTTGATTTTGAGCTAGTATGAAGCCACCTCGTTAAATCTAATATAAGATCTGCCTTCTCAACCATCGTTTTAAAACCCCATTTCTCGAAACACGCTAAATCACGACGAACGGTGTATGTAGTAACTTGGAATTACATGGCTCAAAACCTTAGAAATCACCTGTCAACACTTGGAGATGACTCTACGCAAGACCTGCTTGAACCCGGCCTCGATCTGTCGACATCACAAGAGTTAGGGCAAGTGGATCCTGAAGAGTCATCGCCGACAGAACAGGCGGGGCAAGATACTCCGGCGCCTGAAAATGTAATTCCAGGTACGTTCATAACGTTTGGCTCCTGTTCTTGTAAAGATCACGAATGGGTAGAGAAAAAAACCCACAAAACATTACCATAGATGAAAGTGACTCACCGGCCACACCCTCGATATACAAACAAGCCTGGTTTTATCAGCTGCTAATTGCTCACTTCTTGGCTTCATGGTCGGCGCGAACAAATGAGTTCGCAATTGGTACGCTCTACCAATTTAGAGAATTTCGGCTGTTGTCTTTTTCACACATGTGTATTCAAAACAGCTCTCTTCATCGTGTACCTATGGCCTTCAACACTTTTCTATGTGTCTTTATACGGGCTGATTACTACATTCTCAACTATATTTGGAAGTGCCATTATCGGTGGAATGGTTGATTCACTACCTCGTATAACAAGTAAGAACCAGAGCGAAAAACGAAATTCCTTGCATACGTATAATCTGAATCATTCGCCTTCCGTTTTAGGTCAACGTGGATCGTTGATTGTTATTCAACTGAGTAACGCCAGTCTCAACGTCTTCTTGTGGTTGATTGCGACACAATTCACTCCTACAGAACATCCAAGTGCTGCTCTTGGGCTGTTTGCAGTAGTGATATTCACTGGATGTATAGCTAGGATTGCTTTTGCAGTGAATACTATATCTGTGGAGAGAGATTGGGTGGTAGTTATAGCTAATCAGGAATCAACGCTTTTGAGTGGTAAGCAATGCTGTCCCCCAGAGGAGTTTTTTTGTTGCTGAAAAAGCATTTAATGGTTCCTTTTCTGAAAAACCATGTAGCATTGAACTCAAACATGAGACGAATCGACCTGATTTGCAAAGTCCTCGCCCCCATATTCGCCTCAGCGGTCACATCAACCACAACGATCTCCACAGCTCAGATCGTAATTGGATCCATGATTCTCTGCTTTTTACCAATCCAGGTCTTTTTCACGTCGAGAGTATATTCTAGTTTCCCGAAGCTGGCCGAACCAAAGATCTCTCGTCAAGCTTCATTACCAGATGCCACCACCACCAATGACACCAGCAACCAGCGTATCAGAATCCCTCATATACGAACCATAATCAAAAAGATCCAACGAGCTACCCGGACATTTGCATCTCAAAAAGTCATGCTGACTAGCATAGCATACTCCATGTTGTTTCTCACAGTCCTCAGTTTCAATTCACCCGTATTAGCCTATCTATTATCTCGGGGACTCAATCCAGTCTTGATTGCCGTCTTCAGGGGGATAGGAGAAATCTTTGGGATCGCTTCTACGGTTGCGGCTCCTGTAATGATAAAGTACATTGGGACGACACGAACTGCTCTTTGGGGAATTAATCTGGAAACGATATGTCTGAGCGTTTCGATCATATCTTTCTTTATGACTGATAAGACAGTTGAAATGGCGCTGTTCTTGTCTGGTATTCTGGTGTCGCGGTTTGGGTTGTGGGTGTTTGGTACGTTGTGATTCATTTTAGAAGCAATTGGTATCTCAATGCGCATAATAAACGACTAGATCTGGCCCAATCTCAGATAATGCAAGAGGACGTGGACCCGGTAGAAGCAGGTGTAGTAAATGGCATTCAAGGAAGTTTGTGCAATGTGTTTGAACTACTAGCCACGGTCTTGACTCTGGTAAGATTCAATCTGCTACGTGCTTTGATGGTCATAACCGAAAATATATCATTTTTGTTAAGATATGGAGCAATCCAAAGGACTTCTTCATACCATCTATAATATCGTTTGCTTCGGTATTTGGCGCTGCTGTCCTCTTTTGCTCCTACTCCAGAAGAATCCGAGGACATTTAGTGCACTTTATACCCAAATTCAAGTAAAACCATCCTGTAATCATCTGTAGCACGTAAATACTCTAGCTTTCTATTGTACAATTGTACAGAGACTTTACATATTTCAAGAAGAAGTAATAAACTACTAGTATTTGCAAAACGAGGGTGAGATCAAGAATCCAGCAACAAAACTATCTCCTTATTGTGGCGTTTCGTTCACGTCCTCATCAATAGCGTGTGGGTTTTACGTCCGGTCATGGCGTGTTTTGCGTCGTTCATCACCATCAGCTTCTTCCTTTGTTGTGGGTTCGCCGTGCGTCTTTTCACACCATGCGACTTTTGTCCTCAGACCCAATATGGAGTCCTGCATGCCTTCCATTTCTGCATCAAGTGAGGCTAACAACAAGTCTGATTCTGGAAATGAAGAGGTAAAATACTGAACATTGCTTGTGTTGTTTTGGGAAGAGCACCAAAAAAAGACTCTTTGCTTCCTACAACACACCTTCTAGGCTCTTTTTCAACTCTCCGTTAGCTCTCTTCTCCAAAGCCAGAGCAACTTGTAACTGCTCAACACGACCAAACGCCAATTGACGTCCCAATTCTTCATTCTCTCCCTGCAATGCTTTACATTTTGCAATCAGTTTGCGTCCAATGAGGCTATTGTTGACGTTAGTGCAACGTGTCAGTCACATCAGTGATGAATTAATCGAGAAGTGTAATTTTACTTGTGTGGTGAAAACTGAGCAGCTTGTAATTCTTGTGTCAGGTCATCAATCTTATTGTTCTTTTCATCAATCTCCTTCTTCATTTCTTGGAATAGCAGATGAAGTACAGGATCCAGTAATCTTTGTTTTGATGCATCCAGTTCGGGATGAACACGATGACTCAGATCTTGCATTTCAGTCTGAACAGATAGTAGTATAAGGTTGTAAGTTTACCGTAAGACGATATTCGCTGCGTTTCTTTTCGGGCCACAAATGTTGGACAGACTCGAAAACTCATACGACATGATCGATCAAAAGCAGTTATTGACATGACTTTGCCCTTACATATAAAGACTGGATCTCCTCTTCCTTCTTGGCAAGTCTCATGATCGCAGTAGTTTGTTGACGACTCATACCTGCAGTCTGAGATTGAAGTTTGGTGACTTGTTCCCGTAATGCTTCATTCTCTTGTCGTAAGCGTTGAACATCTTCCATTGTAGGCATGTTGGGTGTATGTTGTTGTAGTGGTGGCGGCGGCGGTAGTAACGAAGGAGTTGTAGGAGTGCTGTTGTGATGAACCGAGGATGATGGTGTTTGTGGTGCGGGGGGAGGCATGATTCGTGGCGTAGCGAATACAGGCCTATAGTTGCGATCATCAGAAGAGGAAATCAGGTCTAGAGGAGGGGTTCAAAAACAACGATCACAAAGAACTTGCAATGATTGAATTGAGTGTGGCGATTGGGGAACGAGACCATTTGATCCTTGTCCAAGAGGCAATGATCCAGTAGATGCATTTCGGAGCTATCATTGACGATATTAGTTTGATCATCAAGCGGAAGTTCCGCGTGAAAGGAAGATGTAGCGAATAAAACTGAAGGATAAAAAGTGCGACAAGGAAAGCTAACCCGTTTTTGAAGAGGTAATCCAGAAGGTGCATCATCAGGACTCCGTTTCAGATATCCATGGGGCATTCCTAATCATATCCAAAGCAGGATCAATAACGATGATCCAAACAACAAACACTCCAAACACAAAATGTTGAAAAACAAAATGAAATGTCTCCATCTCTCACGGATACCTTCCGGAGAAACTAGTCCACCAATAGAGCGCTTTGAATATTGTTGATCGTATACGGGAGTCTGTGGCTGCTGATGTTGATATGGTTGATTCTGGTATCCTTGATTCTGTTGATTCCACATATTTGACGAATTTGATGGCGATGGCACCTGCTGTTCATGAGGAATCACGGGCAATGGACGTGCATATTGAGGTCTACTCCGGGGAGCTCCTTCCATCTCTTATACGGGGATGACGAGTCGCTCTCGGAGCAGATTGTTTACAAAACGTGATATTTGTAAAAACAAGAATTGTGGCAGCAAAAGTCTATTTAGAACATAGCACGAACGGGATACAAATTATATACACATATATTGGGAATCCGACGTGTTTCAGGGCGGGTTGTCGCGTAGATCTCCATTTGTAGTGGTAAACAACGAACGCAGCAGCCAGCAACACCACCAATGAGGACAATGAAGCTACATAAAGCTTGTAACGTGAACGATACTCTTTCGAAAAATCATCACAAGACTGGCGTGATGGAGATCTCTGTCATCGACCAAATCGAAACTTGGCCTGCACCAAAGGTCACAGAGAAATTCCAAGAAAGGACCCAGTTCCACCCAGATACCTAAAATCATTCGATGACGGTGGTAAAGCCACCACCAAAGAAGTATATGTCAAACATCAATGAATAGAGCAGTTCACCACCAGTTCTCAGAGGCTCATGCACCAAAGGAGGAGACGTCCTACACAGCATCTATAAATACTTTTAAAGATTGTGAGTTGGATTGTCAGACAGACAACTGAAACTTCCTCATAAGCGAGGCCCAAAAGAGGACCCGACCGATGAGGGGGCGTCTCGGTGAGAAACCCCGCAGGGCAGTCCCTACCACTAAGGCGCAACCTCCTCTATCTCAGCTACTGATAAACCTGTCCTTGCATGGTACCCAAACATATGCACAGTGCCATTGTGAAGAACCATGATGGAATGGAGAACCAATCCGTGTGCAAAATCCAAGTCGAGCGAAAACAGTATCACGGAGCGTCGTCGATAAAGGCAGCATCCTTAGCGTGAACGTTTTGCTCACATGCTTTGTTCATCCTCCTCAGCCCGCAAGTAAAACACAAGTTTTACTTACCGAGAACCTTAGCTTGGGGGCCTTCTTGTAGCGTGAGTGGATGTTTCATATACTTGAAAGTGATTTTTGACTCCATATGTGGCCTGGATAGTTCAGGATCTAAGCTTCTATAGGGAGATAAAAACGATGCAAAATTTGTCAGGAAAAAGGAGGTGTCAACTATGCGGTCACTCCATACGTGCAGTTCAATGCAGGTTCTAGAATACTTCGGTGTGATACGAGCCCTCTTCTATCTTAATTCGGGTCTTCGTCGTTGGTGAGGTTGATGTGAAGGAAGTTTGAAAGAAGTGTTGATGATTCTTGCCACTGGACTTCCTTATTATTCAAATTCCGACATAAATATCAATACAAAGCCCCGAATGTGACGTGAAAGCATACCATAAAATGAACATTTTTGGCTGCAGAAGCTACCGGTGAACGTGTTGTTTTGTTCGCTTGCGTCAACTTCATTTCGACCGAGGCTCTTTTGGATGCTAAGGACATCTAAAAACGCGCTTCCAAGAGATTTGATGGTTTGGATCTGTCGTACATCGGCGTGGCACTGGCATACTCGAACTACACGCTTGCTGCTCATTATCTTTTTACGTTCAAGTACAATGGCGCTAGCCATTAACCACCAATACGACCGAAGATATGGTTTCACTCTCGCTCAAATCGCACCTATTCCAGATGTGATCATAGCACACGTGTATGTATTTCCAAATTGGGTTACAATTGTCGTTTTTGGGCTGTTTTGCAAAGGAGATGTACCAACATTTTTCGGTTGTGTAGAGCTGATGGTCTGCGGGAAGCTGAATTTGGCTTGATGTACTATGAGCGAGAGTTATCAAAGCATCTTTTTGGATCAGCTGTCAAAGAAACAGCCCGAGCTATGCTACGCGCAGACTATCGTGTCTGCCTTGGGAGATTGGAAGGAGAATTGGTTAAGGCATCTGCAATCTTCTTGATGCGGGCACTAGACGCCCACCTTCTAGTGCTCGAGCACGTATCAGACTCAACTCCCGAGGGTGTAGTGGCGATGGCACAAACCAGCCAACGTGTGGCTGTAAACATGGCGGATTGGGACACCATGCAGTCAAGTCGCAAACGGAAGGTAGCATATTTGTAAATGAATTTCAATAAAGCTTGAAAATTTCATTTTGACCAACTTGCTCTTTGGTATTAGTTCGAAGACGTGTCGGCTGCATCCGACTTGAGCATCATCTCTCGAGGGATCTGTAATCCTAAAAGATACAAAGTGGTGGCTCAAGAAGCCTCCACAGTGCTTGAAAGTGCCCGTGGGCTCAAACTGGCACTGGAGAATCAAAAGGTCTTGGTCGACAAGAAAAAAGAGATCATCGCCAAGCTGAGCAGAGATATTGAAGCAATGTCAATAGCTTTCCGAGCCATTCGGGAGCAGGACTTTGCTGGAGTTGTAGAGGGTACGGCAGTGCCACCACAGCAACAGCAGATCCAACACCCCGCAGCTGTAGAATTCGACGCTGCATGCCCCATCTGCTACGCAAAGGTGCAAGAGTGGTTTACCACTACTTGTCGTCACGGCTGCTGCAGCGACGTAAGAGAGGAGTGAAAAAGCAATTTCATTGAGTGTCCTGGGAATTTGACTTTGTTTCACCTTTAGTGCCGTCGAACGATGTTGGCAGATCCGGCCATGCGGTTTCGATGCTACTGCAATGGGCCAGCCAACCACCTACACGACTTCCAGGTCCACATAATGTAAATATGTAAATAGTGGGACTGTCCTCTGTACATTAAAAAATTGGAATACATTAGGAGTTAGTCAAGAAACATTGTAAAAACGTTGCGCGCATGATTAGGACTACGCTTCAGATATCCGTGTGGTATTCCCAATCATAACAAACCTGTATCAATAATGATCAACCCAAAACAACAAAGCAAACACAATGCAAAATGTTTGAATCTCTCAGACGAAATGTTACAATCTTTCACGCATACCTTCTGGAGAAACACGTCCACCAATAGAGAATAGTATCGAACATTTTGCTCGTGTACGGGAGCAGAGGCAGCTGATGCTTATACGGTTGACTCTGGAATACTTGATTCGGTTGATTCCACATTTCTGACGAATTTGTTGATGATGGCACTTGTTGTTCATGAGGAATCACGGGCAATGGACGTGCACATTGAGGTATATTCCGGGGAGCTCCTTCCATCTCTTATAAGGTGATATGAGGTCGTAGTTTGTTCTATAAATCCAAAACGTGATTATTTTGTCGATTTTGTCGCAGCACTGAAGGCCAGCAACGGAGAGATCCAGATTGCCTCTACAGCCGGGGAATCAGACGCGTCTCACAACGTGGTGTCGTACTGTAACGAGACACTGTCTCAGAGATACTAGACTGAAGGCAGTCTATGCGACAGACAACATGTGACAGACAACAGCGAAAGGATGTCAAACCACATCAAGAGGCGCAAACTTTCAGAACAGGTTGAATCGAGACAGACAGAAGACAATCTATTTAGACTTGATATCAGAGGAGATGCAAACTATATATGTATATATGAGGTATCAGACTTGTTTCAGAACTTGTTGTCGCGTAGCCCTCCAATAGTAGCAAGTAAACAAGAGCCCAGCTACCAAAAGACCGACGAAAGAGATGATAGAGGGTATATACAGTTGTTGAGGAGTATTCCAAATCTGGATTGAAAGGTTAACGGTCAAGAAAGCAGATGGGTAAAACATCTGAGAGGACACAGTGCCAGTGCTACAATTCTCAATTACTTACCAGAGTCAGAACATGACTGATAATTTCAAAGAAGTGTATGCAAGACCACTGTAACCCATTCACAATCCCTGCTTCTGAGGAAAGTACACCTTCTTGCATTATCTGTGACTGACTGAGATCTAAAATAAACATTCAAAGCCAGTCAGTTTCTTTGAAGACGTGGGCTGTTTCATCGTGCTGATCTACGTACCAAAGACCCAATAACCAAATCGCGAGAGTAGCAGGCCACCGACGAAAAGAGTCATGGCTGCCGTTATGTCGGATATACCAAAGGATATCATGGTAAAAGCCAAGAAGAAGACATGAAGCCATATACCTATGAGACCCGATCGGTTCGTCCCTATATATCGTATTATGACTGTCATGGTCAAGGCAGCCAAAAGTCCGCAGACCTCACTGCCACTTTTTAGCACACTAATATCGAAGCTCGAGTATCCTTTATATGTGAGATATGTAAGCGTTTGAGACGAGAATGTCAAGACGGACATCCACAGAATGGCTGTCGTTATAGATGTGAGTACGACCTTCTGGCTAGCAAAGGTCGTACAAGCGTGTTTTACTTGATTATACCACCTAATTACAGTTGGTATCGAAGCGTCTTGAATCTCCCGATGGGGTTGCTTTGGCGACGCGAGTTCTGGAAATCGTTTGTATACACCCCAAAAGCACAGCAACATTCCAAACAGCGACACTATCCGTATGATTCCAAATATCAATATAGCGACACTCCTAGATGTAGACGATAATATTCCTGACACTATTAAAGGTGCGATGATTTTTGCGACGAGCTCGATTCTCCTGAGATTGGCGTTGACGATAGACAAGAGAGATGATTCCTGCTTTATAAATATCTGGCATATAACTACAAGCCAATCCCGTTCCACTACGACCATATGCATTCCGAAGCACGATCGAGCCATTGTAGCCCCGAATAGCGTGAGTGCAAACAATCCTGAAGCAGCAGTTGACTGTGGACTAGACTGTGCTGAGATGAGGTATAGAGATATGTACACTATAATTTGGCCTAGCTGCATGCCGATTACAGCGATCGATATGCTCGAAGATCTGTTCCAGACGTCAACTCGACCAGCGAGGACGGGAGCGACGAGAAAGCAGATACCAACGACCACCAGCCCATACAAGGACGTATAGACAAGAGAAGAAGCTGTTCCAAATATGCTAATTATGAGCAAGACTAGAAGAGGAGAAAATTGTGTTGAGCGAATCTGTGGTAAGAATGGCTCTTGACAACCAATGCCGCCAACAACACAGAAGACGAGGCAAGAGATTGTCTCACCAACGGCGAATTGATCCAAAAACGTTGCGAAGAAGGCCAACCAGTGACTAGAGAAAGGAATAATGAGTTTACGGTAACATTGAATTCGAATGCTAGATTGCAGTGCACTCACGCCAGAAGGAGCAGGTAAAACCATATCGACGTCCATACAGAGAATGGCTGTGGGGTCAGGGTATCATGACTACTGCATCTGTCTATGTCTAATTGTGATGATGCATCAAATCCCAATTTCTCATCCAAATGTGGACTCGAATCAATGTCGAGTAATTGTACCCTCGATTCGTTGTTTGGGGAGGGTATAGAGGGTATAGACAAGTCCAATGAGGTAGAAGTCTCCATAGACGAGACTTGCAGACCGGTGGGTTCTCGTGCTATTCCTAGTAATCGACCCAGGGTTCGAAAAAGGGGCAGTTTGTCTGGCCCAGTGGAACAAAAGAATTGAAGAAGGCTGCTACTCCAAACGAGGCCACTGTCACATAAACAAAGCCAGCTTGAACGACAGTGCGTATCCTCTCTCGGGCTTCTATCTAGGTTGGCTCTCCTCACCTCTCAACCACCAATTTCTGTGTGATTAGTATTGCCGAATCGCATCGATCTTGAGACTAAATCAAGACTCCCAACGTGGTTTGCCAGTACCTCGCTTGCTTTCATTTAGTCATTTAGATCTATTAATCTATTGATTTCTTCCTTCATCTAGAAAAAGAACGACCGAACATGGACGGCAGCATAACCTCTGGCATTTTGTATCTCAGATCGTGTTTCCATAACTATTCATTGGATGCTAAAATAATCGAACTGGCGATACGGCTACCATCCTTGTCCTGTGATATTTCGTCCTATTTTGAACGACTTTTTCCAGAATTGGGCATTTCCCTCCTTCCTGCGATGATATTTGCGGGCCATTCTCAGGCTACAGTGAGCTACAGGGGTAATTCACTTCAGCTGCGATGTCGCAGTTCGAACTTCTGATTTCATTGATTCAGGTTGTTTAGCAAGTTCCGATCTCGACATCTCTAGCATCGTTCTGATCCTTCAACGACCGTGACTCCCTTGTATCTTTCGCTTCTTTATCTGGTTGTCTCCTCTTCTCTACTGTTTTCTCACTGCACTGTCGGGTATGTTTTTTAAGGTTTCGCGTTTCAGATCTACTTCCGAAGCGTGTTTCTATAGATCGTAATTGTATCTCATATCCATATTTATACACGCTGTTTATCATCTAGATCTATAGATCTCACCTGGTACTTCACATCTCCTCACCCCATTCGCATCAAACTCCAACAATGGATCATCACCAGCAGAACATGATGCAAGAAATCTCGGACATTGTAGCAGCAGCTTCAGCTCTCCTCTCTTGTAAATACGACACAAATCACTGCCTACCTTCTCCTCTCACTCCTTTGGACGATGAATACCATAACTTTGACGACGACAACTACGAATTTGCAGCTGCACCAGCTGCAGAGACCGATGATGAAGATTTCGAAGGCTTTATCGATTCTGCAGATCTCAGCTTCCATATCGTGCTTCCTCTTCCACCAGCACCAGTGGTTTTACCAAAGGAAAAGGCTCCTTCACCGCCTCGACCACAACCCAAACGAAGGAGAACCGCATCACCTGAAAGGAAGGCAGTGCCTAAAAGGAAGGCCAAGTCTACACCTGCTACTACACTACCAGCTGCAGCTTTAGACTTTAGAATCCCAGCACGTCGACGCTCATCACTACCGAATACCACTCTAGTCATACCTCTACTTGAAGAAGCCAGACGTTGCATTTCTCCCACACCACTCACTCAAGGAACTACTGGCAGAATCTGTGCAGTTTGCAGCACCACAGTCACACCAATGTGGCGAACGGGCGGGAAAGGAGAAAAGTTATGCAACAAGTGTGGTGTTGCTTATAGGCGTGGTAAGTTGCCTAGTAGTATGTAACAAGTGCGGTGTCGCTTATAGACGCAGCAAGCTGCCTAGTAGTATCTGAATTAACATAATGCATATCTCATTATTGGGACAACTCAAGACTCAGAACCTCATACCTCAACAACAACCAAAACCTCAAGGACAATACACAAGGACAATAGAACAATTAGAAGAAAACCCTGCTAAGATTTAGAAACAATTTTATACAAGTAGAATAGAAAGAGAACTTGCGCTCATACAGACTGGCCATACCTTCGAGGCTTTTTGCGTGCTTTTTGTCGATTAGCAAATATGGTCATGAAATGAGACAGACGTCGCGTTCCTGTTAATTGTACGTATGTAATGCCATGGGTAGAAAGCCAATGCAGGTCGCTTCTCTGTCCTGTTTACCACACTCATTGCTTGCACTCTGGTCAATCCTTTACCAACAAAAAAGCACAGTCAGCCATGACACATTACCTCTTTGAAGACACAAAATGGATGCAAGATGATCACGCTGATGATCCAATACCTCCCAAATTCACATACGAAGCTGCATTCGCACTTCCTACGGATTACATTACCCAAAATGTCAAAGAAAAACAAGAAGCTTTTATCTTGTTTGAGATTTCACACTTGGCTCGCAAGTTGGTAATGATTGAAAGAACGACCTGTGCTATATTTTATACAATAGTAATTTATGTTGTGCTTTGCTTAGGATGCTCTCATAATGGAAATTCAACGTGGGAGTCGACATCAAGATGTAGAGAAGCTCAAGTGACTTGAGTATTGGTAAGAGGCTAATATCTAAATGTTTTGCCTCATGCAATATTTAGATCATCAAGAAATCAATCTCAAGGCTGGAATTCGAAGTGATTCCGCCAACTGGACCTCCAAGTCCATCACATGTCTCAAGTTTGATGCCTGTTTGTAAGTTGTTGTTTCAGCATCCACATTTGGAAAAGGTTTTTTATATCTATTCTGACATACATTTGCGAACGCAGATGAAACTTTGAATGACACTGAAGACTACTTGGATAGCGTCAACGACAAGTTTGACGAATACTGTGAGAAACTGAAGGCTTATCTCCCTGACTGTAACAGATATGGCTTTATTCATTCGGAAGCTGCCAAAGAGATACTCGCTTTGAGTGCTTTCATTGAAGTACCTCGTCAAGTCGTGTTGGAGAAGATTGTTCTGTAAGTACTCCATGATTGCTTGCGCCTTTTTTTGGCCTTAGGGGACTTTGTACTGAAAGCTGTTTTTTCATAGATCTGGGGTCGAAAAAGAATTGGCTACACGAATCCATGCGTTGTTAATCGAGGTATTGCTCAATTGCCCTTCAGCGCGAAAGAACTGCACACCAAAAAAACGGACTCGCCAATGTAAACAATCTGTCTCCTATAGCCAACAGAATACGAACAATACGAACCCTGGAATACAGCAATAGATACCATACGTCGTCAAATCCTCGAATCAAACAACATCACCCTACCTATCATCACCAAACCAGCAGCATCTCACAAACCACCACCACGACCACTCAAAGAGTTGAGCACATCTCGAGCCCTCGTACTAGAAACTCCTCAACCAACAACTAAACAACCCTTTCGTGGCTTGATTCGACAATCGACTCAACCACAACCTTCGTTGCTACAACATGTACTTGTTAGAGATCGTGATATGGTCGTGTCGTCATCACAGGTTTCTGCTGTTGGTGGGGGAGATGGTCGTATACCAGAGAATATCAAGGCTAGGCAAGTGAGGATTGAGAAGTTGAAGGACGGGAATCTGGGAACTGGGAGTACAACAAATGCAACAGATGGGATGAATGCAAATGCTACAAAGGCTGATGACGATGAAGTTCCTGGTGTAGAGAAGGGAACATCGCCTGACGAAGAAATGTATGATAAATCGCCTCGTGACGATGATCAGGAAGAGCAAACAAGTGCAGATCAAGTAAGAGAATAGTAGAAGCAGGAAAAGGAGAGGAGATAGTGTCAAAACTACAATGTATAACCAACATGCCTTAAAACAATAGCAAAACACATCTATATGCTTCAAATTTCATTTCTTCTTCGTTTAAATTTTTGGGTTAGCTACATTGTTAGTACTACTAAAAACGAAAGCACATATTTCCATCCTGCACCTATTTGAACCTTGATATGATCCTATAATAATGTTTCCTTTAATCAGACTCTTTTGATAGACAATCTAAAAAGATAGTACTGGTGTTTCTATAAGTTGAAAGCCCTGTTTTACATTGGTGGAGGTGGTGGAGGCTGCATTGATGGTGCGGGAGGAGGTGGAGGAGGCGCAATTCCAAATCCTGAAGGTGGAGGCGGCGGTGGTTGCCATTGGGGTTGTGCATACGCTATATTGAAGAGGAGATGAGTGTCTGTATAGTACTTGACATGCGACGTTGCTGCTATACGTACCATTTGGCATACTGGGAGGGGGTGGAGGTGGACCATATGGGTTGAAATTCAAACCAGGAGGTGCCTGTTGTTGAGGTTGTTGCCAAGGCATGCCTCCACCAAATCCTATATTGAAACACAAGTGTGAGCTATATCTCAAGTTGGACTTGTTGCAAACGCAAATGTCTTTCGCCCAAAACCAACCTGGCGGTGGACCCATTCCTGGTGGCCCCATAGTCATTCCAGGTGGACCCATCATCATACCTGGAGGACCATAGTCGTTTTGCATGCCTGGTGGTCCATTATTCATTTGAGATTGTGCAGCTTGACGAGCCCATGGAGGGATGGAATTACCACCGCTTGGACCTCCACTACTTGGACTGGATTGCCAAGGTGCAGAACCACCGCCTCCACTAGATCCCATTCCTACACCACCACGACCAGCAGGTTGACCACGAGGAGGTCCATAATGGCCCTGTGGAGAAGATTGGACATTCCGATGATGAGTGTACGTACAAACGATGAAGGTGGTAATTGGAGCCGTGCTTACAGCTCCTCCAGAAGGTCCCATTCCACGAGCGCCTTCTCCGAGCTCAGCCATGAGACTGGCATATTCATTGTCCAGCTGTTGTTCACGTTGATTGGCCTTCTGCAAATATTCTGGATTGTTACGTTGATTGCAATCTGTCGTGTTTTGATTGAAGGTTAGTAAATATGTTCATTGAGTTGAGAGCACGACATGTATGTTAGCTGCACAGCAAAAGAAACCGGACAGCATTCAAATGCTCGACGCTAAATCATTCACCTCTGGCAACATGACCAACACCGTTACAAATACGACAGACAAGGTTGGCAGTAAAGTTTTTGCCTTCAGGGCATTCATATCGTCGATGACCAGGAGCACCACAGTTTGAGCAAAGCTGGTTTTCATCGTCTCGCAATGTACCGTTGAGAGCAGCCAATTCACGAAGTTGATTACGCTTCAATTCGTTCTGAGTTTCAGGAATGTTCACAGCCTAAAGAAGAGAGTTGGTAAGTTACGTGGTCTTGTGCCAAAGAAGTGCCAAGCGAGAAAACCATCGATGTCCCATACCGTTTCAATGACTCTCTCAATAGCCTTGACTGCTTTTCGAACCTTCTCTTCAGAGTCGGCAGTGACAAGACAATGTAGATCTTCTTCTTCACCAGGAGTCGGTCCATCTGATCTTGATTTGCCTTCCTTGACTGATCCTTTACCTCGAATGGAGATTTTGGCAGCAGATTCAGATTCCATTTTCTTTAACGTATTACCACGTGGACCTTAATAAATAACAATTGTAACAGTTAGTAACTGATTCAAGAATGCATTCTCGCCGATGATGGTCCTGGTTGATGTATGTCCATATTTTTTCCACGAACGAGCATTCATCATGTGTACTAACCAATCAATAGACCAATAAAGTTGATTTCAGGAAAATCCTTTACAGGTATATATATCTTGTCTGTCATTTTGGTGGGCTTTTTGTAATCGGAAGGAGGTTTAAAGTCGGGACTCAATTTGACGGCAGATTGAACCAATGCGTGACGTTCTTCTTCAAACTTTTTACGATATCGATATTCGCGAGTGTTTACTCTTTTACCATCAGCACCATATATGGGTTCCGGTTCAGGTGATCTACGTGAGAGAACAAAAAGGAGTCAGTAAAAGGCATTATAACAAGAATGCATCTATCGTTCCATTTCCAACCCTACCTTTCGAGCGGAACAAGATCGCCAGATTTGAGTTTGCCAGTAAGCTCTTCAATTCTCATATTGATGATGTAGAGTTCTTGTTGTTCAGGAGTAAGACCACTTGGCAAGACTGTAGAGATACCAGGGACGTTGACCTTGCTTGTCTCGTTACCCCATCTTGAGCGTTTCTTTCTTGGGCCACCTGATAGGAATGCACGGTAAAGGGAGCGATTTGGTTGTAGTAGATAGAGTGCGCATAGCATGAGTTAGTGAAGGTTAGAATATAGATAGAGTGAGAGAGGAGAGGGAAAGAATGATTGTTAGCGTTAGTGAGTGTTAGTTAGAAAACAAGAGTTAAAAGTGCTACAAGAGATGAGATTCTGGGCTGTTTGGTCAAAAACAATAAAAGACAAGAAAAACAAGGTTATGCGTCCATGCGTAGCAATCAGAAGCACACGATGGATTGCGATGCTGATACTTGGTCATACTATCAATGCAATAATATCATCGTCACCTTCCGTTAACGCCACCTCACAGCACTCAAAATGTTGGACACCCAGTGCCAAATGTTCCTCATCCGCCTCAACACCGCATGTATTAGGCAGCACACAGATGAATGGCCTTACCTTCTTCAACAGGATCAGCCTCTCGCTTGACTTCATATTGTTCTTGTTTGGCGAAAGAATGAGGCAAGTCTGGTGGAATGTAAGGATTTGGGGCATCTTCACTTCCAAGACCTCCTCTCTTTCGAGGGCCGAGCGGGATGGAGTTGCTACCTGTTTGCGATTGGCCGCCTCCTCTCCACGACATGATTGCTACTAGTATTCGCTTGTAGTTAATTGTCTGTGTGGACGAAAGTCAACCAAGGAGCTTGAGAAAATTCACGAAATAAGTATAGGTGTCATGACGCGTAAATCTAACATTTTAATACTTTAATCATATTGAACTAGTAGCATACCCTCCTTGAACAATGTTTGAACCTATTTAATCGAAACATTTGTATATTCGCATCGCATCAGCTCAAATCGAATACCTGTCCTTTCCGCTCTACATATTTTATAGCCACGCTAGCATTTTTGAGGGCTGATAACTTGGTGTACCTGCAGCTCGACAGCTTGGGTCTTGGAGTGTTTTTCGAAAACAAGGACGATGGTGTACATTGAGAAGTTTGAAGACTTTGAAAAGGCGGTAGAGGATTTGTATCTGCAAGAACCCAATCGCGTAAGTGGCTCTAAATGACCACAGTACCTCAATCACTGTAAAGCTTGCCAACATTAAAACACACAATTCCATCTTTAGACTAGATATTGCACGAGGTATCGACATGTAGATGGACAACTCATCTTGAAAGTGACTGATGACAGAACGGTGACTGACTATACAACTGTTCAGCTGCAATGAAACCCATCGCTGACTCGCTCATCTATATATAGTGCTTGAAGTTTCGAACCAATCAACAACCAGACCTGAGAAAGTTTGAACGATTGACCAAGTCTCTTATGGAGAAGATGATTAGACGGAAAGCAAGACCTGTGCCTGGTAACTGGAATGCTGCGTGGACTTTGCCAATGTTTTTGATACGCAGATGACCAACACCCTTTTCCTTGTTGAATTAGAACCAGCAGTTGCAGACGTGGTAGCAGGCTCATCATCATCGCCTGCAAAGGCCAAAGGCAAAAAGAAGGGGAAAAAGTAATTATAGCTAGTTTCTGTATATAGTATGAATTTGAACGCGAGGAAAAACAAAGTTGCATACATCAGGATCACGGGCACATTAGTTCCTATATAGATCTACGTGGTTTTAGCACGTTATTCGTCTCTTTACATCACGCATGTTTGGGCAGCATCCTTGCAAAATCTTTTTTTTTTTTGCCCTCACGGCCAAAACACCAAACAAAATAATAATACGAACGATGGCAGTTCCGTTGTTGCTGCTGCCGCCGCCGCCCTCAAATAGCAGCCTCAAGGACAAGGATGTTGTCATTCATAAGCAACTAACAGCTCCCGAGACATATAATGTCGAAGCAGTTGGATTCGAGTATCTAGCCATTGGACGAAGAAGAAAGCACAAGAGGACGCTATCTGAAGACGTCGCGATCGAAAAAGCTCTGGAAGATGCCGAAACTGATGGGGCCGAAACCGTAGAAATCGATGATGAAACTGATGATTTGCTCATGAGTGATCCTGATAATTGGAAGGTAAAAAAAGTTGTCTTTTGGAACAGTGTGGAATACAAAGACGAAGGGAGGAAGCTAATATGATTCAAATTCTATTTTCCATTTTAGGATCAAGATCATTATCGCATTTTGGGCTTGTCCAAGCTCCGTTACAAAGCTACCGAGGACGATATTCGAAGAGCATGTAAGTACACGTGTTGCGTTTCATTTGCTACCAATGATCACACGTATGGGTGTGTCTTTTATGCATGATAAGAGGAGAGGGACTGCCCATTTCGTATGGCCATCTTTCAACAGTCACCAAATCGCATTTGGCAAGAGGGCATTCACCTCTTCAATGGTGGCTTTCGTTGCTTGCGGTTTGAAGATAAAATATACACGTCGTATCTGCCACTCCATCAACGGCTTCGCATTTCCGAGGAGTGGTTCGTTAAGACAGTGAACATTTCATCATTGTGAAGAAACATTGACTATGGGATCCTGATTGGTGATTTTCTGCGTTTTGGCTAACACCCAGCTCCTTGATGTTTGTTAGATCGTAAAAAGGTACTGAAACATCACCCAGACAAGAAGAATGCTGCGGATAGAGACGATTCCTTCTTCAAGTGCATCCAGAAAGGTAAAGATAATCAACGCAGAATCGTTTTTTCTTTCCGATTTCAACATTCTTACTCACACATCAACTCGCCAACAGCATGGGAAGTATTAAGTGACCCAGTAAAACGACGACAATGGGACTCTGTCGACCCCGAATTCGACGATGCCATACCGTCAGCCAAAATCAAGGGTGACTTTTTCGAAATATATGGTCGAGCATTCGATGCCAATTCAAGGTATTCCAAGAAACCTGCTCCTCACTTGGGCTCCTTGGATTCAACACGAGACGAAGTGGAAGCCTTTTATGAATTCTGGTATAACTTTGACTCGTGGAGAGGATTTGAGGCGTTGGATGAAGATGATCCTGATTCTGCTGAAAGGTATGAGACGTGATGTCCATTTTTTTTGGTTGGACCTTGTTCCTCACGCCTACTTCTTTGCACGCTGTATAATAGTCGTGAAGAACGACGATGGATGGAGAGGAAGAACAAGAACGAACGACAAAGGAAGAAGAAGGAAGAGAATGCTCGTATTATCCGACTTGTTGGTAGGGTTTTCCGCTCTTTTCTCAAACCAAAATAAGCAGTTTTCTACTGTTACACAACATGCCAATTTGATTCACTCCGTTTCTCTCACTAGATCAAGCAACCAAGTTAGATCCTAGAATAAAGAGATTCAAGGACGAAGAAAAAGCTGCAAAAGAAGCCATCAAGAAAGAAAAGGAGAATGCTCGTCGTGCTATAGAAGATGCCAAATTAAAGGTGATAGAGGACGAACGGTTAGCTAAAGAGAAGGCTGAAACGGAAGAAAAGGCTAAGGTACGCTTACTGTTGTGTGCACCATTGAGTCGAAGTCTCCTGTTTTAGGATGCATTGTGCCTTACTGGTATTTCTCAACAGGCGGCAGTCGAGAAGAAGGAGCGAGAGGCCAAGAAGAAGGCTGCAAAGAAAGAGAAGAAGATCATACAAGGAATAGTTAAGGTACAGCGACAACGGCATTTAATAGCTACAAGTTAATCGCTTTTTTCGCACCACCTACCTAACAAGCACATGTTTAGAACAATGGATTCTTGCTACCAGACCACTGTTCAGCTGAAGCAGTCGATGAATCTTTGAAGAAAGTAGACGAGACACTAGACAATCTAGACCAGGACGAATTAGAAGCTTTCCGTGCACAGTTTGAAGCTCGACAGTATGATGGTCGAGAAGCACTGTCTCTGCTGCTGGAAGAAGAGTACCTGAAAGTGAAGGGTGAGCTTGGGAGGTTTCCGTGTCTCTTTTGTGTTTTAAGCCAAAAAGAACTCACACCCATTGTCATCAAATGTTTTAGGCAAACAAGAAGATCAAAAAGCTCAAGCTGCTGCTCTAGCATCAGAGCGAGCCGAAGCATCTGCAGCTGCCAAAGCACCCAAGATAGTGAAAGCCCCATGGTCACCTAAAGAAGTACAAATTTTAATCAAGGCTGTTAAACTGTTTCCTGGTGGTACCATTGGTCGATGGGAAAAGATTGCGGAATATGTCTGTGCTCACAGTGGTGCTGACGATGAGACACCCGAGCAGATAGCATCTCGCCAACGTTCTCCTGCAGATTGTGTCAATATGAGTAAAAGCGTCTTGCTAAGTGGTGGAATGCGTAAGTCCAGGCTGCTCGCAAGTTGTGAAACTTCGTATTGCTGATTATTTTGGTCTCCTTGTAGCAACTGCAGCAGGAGCAAGAGCAGCTTTACAAGGGCAAGCTCAAGCCAAAAAGCCAGTAATAGAGATCAAGGATGCACCAACTACTCGATTCGATGACAATACGTCTTCAACATCGTCACCGCCAACTCCAGCAGCACCGTCTGATACTGCATCCGTTGATACTGCAGCTAGTGGTACGGCAAGTGTTTCAGGATGGACACCGGCTCAACAGACTGCGTTAGAAGCTGCTATTCGCAAATACCCTGCCGCCATGTTTGTTGATAAGCCTCCGGCGGAGAGATGGGAGAAAGTGGCATCCCTAGTTGACGGAAAGAGTGTGAAGGAGGTGAAGGCTAGAATAAAGGTAAGTGTTGGGTGGTTTTTGTTTCTACACCTTGGAGGTTGAAACTGACTCGTTTTTTGTTGTTGCTTAGGACCTCGCAGGCAAATCTAAAACTAAAGGCAAAAAATAGAACTCTTGTATACTTGAAAGCAGAATGTAAACACCCAATCATAATAATTAGAGCAAAGTTTTCCCAACACTTTAAGATGTCTTGTCGTATAACTATGTTGTGTGAAACGAGGTCTACTTTTTTAAATTATACATTGAAGAGGTGATTGTGCTGGTCCCGAAGGACGGTCTACGTACTGTGACCAAAAACTCGCTCCTCAAAATCTTTGAGTTCAGCGTCGTCTAGAATCTATGATGCGTCTAACCAGTAGTTGTCTCATCCTGACCAGACGACTTGATGGTGCCACTACTCTGCATATCTCAAGACTCCACCTATGTTTCCACAATTCCATCGCGTACTATTCATTAGAGATATGGTCAGTTATGGACAAGAAAAAAAAAGAATATGCTTCAGTCTTGAAGATAAACCAAATTTGTTTCAGCAACTCACATTTTCACATAACGTGCTACTAACAGCATCACTTTCATACGCAATAGACGTATGAGTATGTCCGTGCGTCGTCACCTCGTTATTGCTACTACTATTGCCCAACAAAGCATTTGGGATCCGTGACGCCCAAAATGCGGCTGATGACTGTGGTGGTGCGACGTGCATCTCAAAGTACCGTAGCAGATAATGGTTCTTAAGGAACTGTGTCAAGTACTGATGAGTGACATGATTTAAATTCTCTGGTCCTCCATGTGACAGCTCACATTTCTCCAAGTCCGGCCATATACGCGCCAGCACCTCTAATCCAGACTCTGATACTTCTACACCTGATATCTTGATTGATGTCAAGTTGGGAGCGTTTCGTTCCAAGTCAGTCAGCCAGTTCCCGTCTAACGTGACTCGTTTAAGCACGTCGATATCAGATACAGATGCTCCGAATTCCGAATCCATGTCTGAGTGGACTACAGGTCTGGTTGATTGGACGGCTAGTTCTTTTAGTTTGTTGCTTGATCTCGTCAAGTTCAGTACTGAGGCTAGTACGAATACAGCTGATGCCTGCCCATGTGCATGTAGTTGAAGCAGTTTCAGGTGTGGTAGATCTAATACTGGTAATGGCTTTTGAGACTGATAGAATATCGATATGTAAGATATTTTGAGTTTCGTGATGTTTGCACACGAGTATGTCAGTGTATCGATGAGGAAGGGCAGGCTCGGTGGTGCGTAAATTACAAGTGATGATAGGTTGACTTGTTCGGATGCAGATGGTATTATAATATTCGTTGGTGAATCCGGTGGTAACGCTCCTCCTCTCGTGAATCGAATGTCACAGTATGTCAGACTACGCATCCACATTCCCATATCTGTATATTCTGAGTCGACGTCATCTATGTGGATTTCCTTAGCAGCATTAAAGTATCGGGCAATAATTCCTAACGGAGCCATCCGTCTCCCGAATCCAAGCAGCGTCAGGTTTATAACGGTTTGGTTTACACTCGTATCTTCTTCCTCATCGATAGTATATAAAGATATGAATGGGCCTGTAGGCAGCTCTAATTTGCAATGTGATACGTTCATTTCCTTGAGCTCCGTCAGAGACCTTAAAATCCGTCGTGCGAGATAGTCAGCCCTCGTGCAATCCGTTCTTAAATCACAGCACGACAATATAAGACTCTTTAATCCCGACCGTCTAAATGCTGCTAGGAGCGAGCTCATTGTGACTGGGAGTGACGACAAATGAAGGAGAGACAAGTTTGGGAAGCTATTGTTGAGATACGTATAGTTTACTACATGTGGTTCTGGGAGTGTTGGAAATTCCATATCTGGACCAGCCAAGATGATTTGTTCTAGTGTTGGAATACGTATGTATTTGAGTTGGAGTGGCAGCGTCTGCATGTTTACTGAATGCAGTCTCATCATTTTGAGATGTGTATGTGTTGGTATCTCTTCAGCGTCCATAGCACTTGTATCAGCTGTTGTAGGTGAGACGAGACTGAGCTCATTCCAGCATAAAGGTACATCCAATTCCTGCAGGTATCTAGGTAGTGCAATAAGAAATGCCTCCAGAGACTATTGTTGAGATGGATTAGAGTCAAAAGAGACTTCAAATCAATCCAGAACCAAGGTACCTGAAACCGATTCGTCAATGCTCGTCCAGTACCATCAATAATCGTATCAGCAATATCAAAATCCTCATCATCTGACGAGCTGCTCGTTATAGTTATAGGCGATAAAGGATACGGCTGAGAGAACCTAAGCTTTGTTAACGGCGAATTCAACGCTAGAGTCAATGTAGAGCCCGTCAAAGGAGCAACCAAAGTCCTAAGTGACGGAATAGCAAGTATCGCCAAAGTTCGAGGTGGTGAGTTCGATACCGGTCTACGTTGTTGATGATTCCGTTTCTTATGTGCCTTGATTGTCAGGTGCTTGATATGAGGCAGTCTCTGTAAGATCTTGAAGAGTGCTTCTCCATAAACCACTTCCGCAACTTCTATATCGGAGATGCAAGAATGCCATCTCCGAGACACTAGAGAGTTTGAAGTCCATTGTTTTGCAACGAAACTGAGTATATGACTTAGGATCTCCTGTTTGTGGAATTGATTGTTTGATGTTTGAGTTTAAAGTTCTTATCCGATGAAATGACATATGAACATACAGGTGGAAGAGAGTTGATGGTAGTACATCCACGTTCTCCTGGTTTGGTTTCAGTATTACAGTCCATACCAACTTCTATCACTTCCTCATTCTTTGTTTCAACTTGCAGGATGTTTGCCTCCTCACTCATCGTTGAAAAGTTGAAGTCCATGGTATAGTCCATAGTAGGCAATAAGCTCGGACTATGCGAAACGGAAGAAAGTGACCAGTTTGTGCCTTTCTGTTTTTCTTGCGCTCGATTGGAAGTTTGTCTTTTGTTTCGTTTGTTGTCGTCAATTTCGAACGCCTCTCCAAGAAGCAAGAAGCCAAGTCAATCCAGTACCGGTCACTTCAATCAAACACAATCAAACCAACATCCACAGCTCAAACTCAAGGTATGAGTCCATTCTTTTATTGCTACTTGATCTGCAGTACAAGTGGTCACGATGTGCGCCAGTTCTCTGTGAATGCGGTCTTTTGAGCGACATTTGTTTGAAACTTGTTGCAACTAGCTCCTTTAAAGAAAGAAGCTTTCAGAATCTCAGGAACTACGTTTCCATCTATTGTACGAGCTCAGAACTGCTTGCGCTTGTTACATTCTTTTTGCTTGGAGGAAACCACACACACGCATTTGAGTTCACTACTAATTGTTGGACTGTTTGTACTTTTAGATCAATAATCAACTACGGAAATGTCTGGTATGTCTTCTTATACCTCCTTCCTCGCCATATCTCATTAATGAATTTCCTAACATCCAAACTATACTCATTTCTCGACTTGTAGCTGCACCATCTGAAATCGTAACCATGGATGAAGAACAAGGCCGCTTTGCCAAGTCTGGCAAGTTTGTTGTAGGTGGTGGGAAGAAAGTTGCCGGTGTCGCTATGGCTTGGGGCAAAGTAAGTGTTCCTCATAGCTAATCTAATCCAAGTATTTAGTACGTCTTGCTCACCAAAGAAATGGTCACGACCGTATAGGCCTTCGCCGCTTTCATCTCCCGTGGCAATGTCGTTGACTTGGCAGTTGGTATCGTCATGGGCGCTGCATTCACCGCAGTAGTAAACTCCCTCGTCGCTGATATCATCATGCCATTCATTGGTCTTGCCGGTGGATCCAACTTTGCTGATCTGTACGTCACTCTCCGAGGACCCAATGCACAATCTTGCATTACGTTGGGTGTCGACTGTAACAACATCCATACCATTGCCCAACTTGCCTCTGTTGGTGGTATCTCTTGGAACTATGGACGATTCCTACAATTCGTTATCTCCTTCTTAATTACTGCCGCTATTGTCTTCCTTTTAGTCAAGGTAGAGCAGATTATGAGCGTTTTAGTTTTTGATTCTCAATTCTTCGTTTTAACATTTACTTGCGTTCATTAACGTAGGCTTACACTGAAGTCTTCTTGTACGTTGCCCCTGTACTTGTTGCTCCTAAAGCTGAACCTGTTGTTAAGAACTGTGCAAAATGTACAGAAAGCATACCTCAAGCTGCATTGAAGTGCAAATATTGTGTAAGTGCCAAAATCTTGATCGTTTCTGCGGTTCGCGACCGATTCAGGTTTAACGACAACGGCTCACTGTGATTCTCACTTTCCTTTAATGATTTAGACCGCTGACCAAGTTGCTCCTGAGATCATGGAGCACGGAAAGTCTGCTTAAACTCTTAAGTCATCTCTGAAGCTGCTACAAATGTAGACAAAGTGTCAAACTTATGTGTATTTACTGTATCTAGAATTTTCTACCTATCTGTATCAATATAAAGCGCAATCTGTATCTATGACTCCAAGGTCGTCGCTGTTGGATGGTTCCTCAAAGTACAAAAAGTTCGAGGCCAAGATTATTTCCACTACAAAACCAATACAGTGCTGACTCTTCTTATCAAATGAAGATATGTCACAAAGAATCTCAGGTATATGTATCTCCTATTTGCATCACTGTTCAAGTTTGCGGCAGTCAGTGCCTCTGAAAGAGTAGTGCCAGAAAAAGTAGCACAAAGCTTTTGAGTGAAGAACGCATCATAAGATCGGAAATCGATCTGAGAACTGCAGCTTAATACCGTCATATATGAGTACTGATCCGACTGTTCGATTTGTAGATCAAGACTACCCAACCAGCCACCAGACAGATGTCTGCTACGAACGAAGAACACAGCCGTTTCTCCAAATCAGGGCAAGCAGTAATAGGTGGTGGACGAGGTGTTGCAACTGCCGCCATAGATTGGGGCAAACCTTTCTCTGCTTTCATCAGTCGTGGCAATGTGCCATCGCTCAGTTGATTTGGATGTTGGAATAGTTATGGGAATTGCATTTACAGCAGTCGTCTGTTCTCTTGTGGCTGATGTTGTTATGCCATTTGCTGGTGTTGCTGGTAACTTTGCTGTGAGTGGAATCATCGTCCCAAATCCGATGTTTTGCTATGGCATACATGACTCTTAACTGCACAACATTTCACAATCAACATCAGGATCTGTAAGTTACACTCCGAGCACCAAATGCATCATCATGCGCTACGTTGGGCGTTGACCGTAACAACATCAACACCATTGCTCAACTTCAAGCTGTTGGGGGTATTTCTTGGAATTATGGCCGTTTCATTCAATTTCTGATCTCATTCCTGGTTACTGCCGTCATTGTCTTTCTCGCTGTCAAGGTACGAGACAGCTCGCATGACATTTTGCTTAGATTCATCATCAATTTGCTATAACGGTGTTACTTTCACTTTGCAGGCTTACACTGAGGTGTTCTTACACGTTGCACCTGCTTTGGTTGCTAAAACTCCTGCCACCAAAAAGTGTGCCATGTGCACAGAGACTATTCCTGCTGCCGCTTTGAGGTGTAAATTCTGTGTATGTCTCTTCCCTCAGAGTCGTTTCCGCAATGGCTCTTACAGAGGCAGTTTACACGTTAACTTCAGTGACTGTCTCTCATCTTTGAACTACTTAGACGTCAGACCAAGGTATGCCTGAAATCGTCGACCACGGAAAGTCTGCGTAACCGGTCGACCTTTGGAACCTGCTGTCAGTATAAAGAGTCTGAGACTTTGGTGTAATTTCTGGGTGTAGAGTGTCTGAATCTGTGTGTGTCAATATAAAAGACATCTGGTACCGCAGCTCAGCATCAATGTCTCTGATCTTGTTCAGTAACGTCAAAGTCTGTGTCTCTCAGGTTTTCATGATTCCAAAACTCCAAAAAACTCTACAACAATGTCATTACACCATTTTCATACTAAAGAACCCGACTTATATTGTTGTGTTTTGAGGCCAAATTTCTATACAAGACAAGAACGAAAGATTTTCAATGCTCTATTCGTCATGTTTCACAAATCCTCCAAACATCCTCAAACGACATCTATGCAGCTTCCGGTATCAAGGTAGTAAAGAACCTAACCACCAATTGCGCAGCATGTCCTAAAACACCATCTTGAGCCACTGGCAATCCTGGTTGTGGAATAGCCGTCATCGGTTGTTGCTGTTGTATAGGAGCATTTACGACATCAGGACGTTCTGCTGCTGCTACTACAGGTTCATCTACATGTTGTCCTATAGGTTGTTGTACTGGCGGTTGTACAGCAGCGTTGCCAATCTCTACGGGTCGATTCTCTCGTATAAACGGATAACGAAATGTAGGCACTCTAATTATACCTAATTGGACGACGAATATGACACATGCAGTGACAACCATGGCGGATAATCGATAGATGTTTGCCTGTTGACCGAATATGAATAAAAAGAATCCTAGCTTTATGAGCAGCCACCACCATGACTGTTGACCAGCTCGTTCACCGAATTCGTCGTCCATGTTGAAGAAGCGGTTTTGTTGTGCCATTGGTTGTGCTGGAGGTTGTTGGTTTGGGAGAGGCTCGGGCTGTTGTTGTTGCTGCTGGTGAAGTGGAGGTGCTGTTGCTGGTGTTGTTTGTTGTATGGTGGTTGGATTATAGTTATGATTACTAGAGTGTGGTGTTGGATAGGCTGGTGCCATGGCATATGGTAGGCCACTTGAAAAGTAACAAGAGTTAGTGACACATGGAGTCCGAACATTGCAAGGCGGGTTTCCTTACTTGATGTAGACCACTTGGAATGGAAGAGCAAACGGCCAAGAGTTTGGTGCATTCTGTCGTGTCTGTTGTGTTATCGGCGGCGGTGTGTTGGTTTGTGTGTTTGAAGATGAATCACCAACAGACGACGGTTTTGCGACAGGAGCAGCGGCTGTTGTTGGAGTAGGGTGAATGGCATATCTTGTTACCAAATGTATGACGATAGTGGAAGTGTCGGGAATCTGGTAGGACGCCGGGAAGTGCCAAGTGAGTGATTAATGGCGATTGTGTGCGTGATACGATCCAACTTTTCACAAGGGATCCTACCTTTGGAATGTGAGATAAAAGGGCAGTGTCCTCCAGTAGTCTGCCAGCAGAAATGAGCCTTAGTGAGTCCACCGGGTTGTTGAAATGTTCAGACAATTGTTCCTTGATTTCTCTGATTGTGGCGGAAGGCCTTGTAGAGAACCTGTAGTCCTCTTGCAGACCTGGCTGGTTTGTCTTGATACATACATTAACAACTTCGCTCATTTTGGCTTCGTTCAGTTCTCAATTGCTTGAATGTTGCCAAAAGTTGTGCCAATGAAAGTGGGCACCGGTTTGATCTTGATTGATGGACAAAAAATAACATTGGCATTTGCAACAAATCGCGATCATCGCTTAGTACAATGCAATAAAATACACGTACGCAGATGTTGTATTATGCATTTAGAGCGTGTTTTGCGATCTAGTCAGCAGTCTGGTCGACTTTGACCTGTGCTCTTTGACGTTTCTTTTCTTACTGGGCATCCATACGCGTCCAGGCAATGAATTACCAGAATATATCAATATTATCAAAAACCTGCACGCTCCTTGTGCCTAGATTTCCCGCATGTTGCTGCTTGAAACTTTGTCAAAATTTCGGACAAAGCTTAACAGCACTTTGATTTGTTTTTTCTTGATAGCTGCCATGGTCGTCGAACTGGATGCACCTGCGGATGCCAAGGCTCCTGCTGATCGACTCATCATCATATCTAATCGCCTTCCTATAACAATGACCAAAACTGCAGAAACTGGACGCTACCAAATGAGCATGTCTTCTGGAGGTCTGGTCTCGGCTCTATCTGGTCTCAAGAAGGAAACTTCCTTCATTTGGATGGGCTGGCCTGGTAATTTATTACATCTGATGTGCTGATTGTGTTGGAGCTTTATGCATGTTTAGTCTCATCCAATCCAGATAAGATGGTTGGATCAATATGCTCTAGCTAGTCTGTACAAGACTGATCTGCTTGCCTACTTGCATTTTTGCAACAATTCCACCTGTGTGTCAAGCTAACCTCAACTTACTTAGGTCCTGGCATAACTCGTGAAGAACGTGAACCTATTCGAGAACAATTGATGCAACAGCATCGTTGTGTTCCCGTCTTTCTGGATGATGAAATCGCTGACAAGCACTACAATGGCTTCTCAAACAGGTAATTTGACTTTGATCATCAAACATACCAAAAAAATCTTATCGAAGAAACACACGATAGCATCTTGTGGCCACTCTTCCACTACCACCCTGGTGAAATATCATTCAATGAAGACCATTGGGAAGCGTATCAGGCTGCAAACCAAAAGTTTGCTCAAGAGATTGCTAAAATCGTACAGGATGGAGACTTGGTCTGGATTCATGACTACCATCTCATGCTCGTACCGCAGCTATTACGACAACTTATCTCGTCAAAGAAGGGTGTAAAGATTGGTTTCTTCCTTCATACTCCATTCCCATCTAGTGAAGTCTATAGGTTAGTTGACATGCAGTGTTACGGCCCTTCTTTCTTTTCGCCTGGATAATCTGAGTCAGATCTGACCTTGCTGCCTTCCTTGCAATGTAGGATATTGCCAGTAAGGAAACAAGTCTTGTTGGGTGTCCTGTCCTCGGACTTGATTGGTTTCCATACATATGATTACGCTCGTCACTTCCTATCGTCTTGCACTCGTATTCTTGGTCTCCATACTGCTCCGAATGGAGTCGACTTCGAAGGCCGTCAAGTACATGTAGGAACCTTCCCAATTGGTATAGATCCAGAAAAGTTTGCCGAAGGACTACAAAACCCAAAGGTACAAGCTCGTATAGCTCTTCTCCAAGAAAAGTTTCGTGGCGTCAAGCTACTTGTAGGTGTCGATCGTCTAGACTATATCAAAGGTGTACCCCAAAAGCTGCATGCTCTAGAACTCTTCCTTGCAAATCATCCTGAATGGTCTGAAAAAGTCGTGTTGGTGCAAGTCGCTGTACCCTCTCGACAAGACGTCGAAGAGTACCAGCACTTGCAAACAGTAGTGAATGAACTCGTTGGAAGGATTAATGGTCGTTTTGGAACAGTCGAGTTCACTCCAATCCACTTTATGCATAAATCTATTAGCTTTGAAGAACTTACCGCTCTATATGCTGTCGCTGATGCTTGTATCGTCTCGTCAACTCGAGATGGTATGAATCTGGTATCGTACGAGTACATATGCTGCCAAGAACAAAAGAATGGTGTCTTGATCTTGTCCGAGTTTGCTGGAGCTGCTCAATCTCTAAATGGATCGATTATTGTCAATCCTTGGAATACTGAAGAAATGGCTCAAGCCATCTTGGATGCAGTCACTATGAAGGATGAGGCTCGAAAGTCAAACCATCAAAAGTTGTGGAAGTATGTACAAAAGTATACGGCAGCGTTTTGGGGATTCAACTTTGTGCAAGAGTTGAGACGTATCAGTGAAGAGTATCAGAGTCGCATGAATTTGCCCAGGCTTACCATTGATATTGTCACTGAGCGTTTCCGTGCCTCGCATCGAAAGAAGGTATGCAATCGTTAGCTTTCAATGAATTTTTTTTACCGCTTTTCGTATGCCATTGAATATCAATTTGTGTCTGATTTCATTTTTGATTCAGATCATCTTCCTGGATTATGATGGTACCCTGACTACAGCCCATAAATTACCTGAATTTGCCAAACCATCATCCTCCATTCTCGATACCTTGACCAAACTTGGATCTCATCCCGACGTATATGTATATATCTTGTCTGGTCGTTCTCGTCTGCATCTAGATCGCTGGTTTGCTGATACAGGTGTTGGACTATCTGCTGAACATGGTTGTTTCTACCGCCACCCCAACAAACCTGGTTTGGAATTTGAGGAATTGGATTCTGCAGGTTCTCCCAATATGAGTGGGTCATCAGTACCTTCTCCGTCTCTTCGAGAAGTAGCTGCTCGACGACGTCAAGACGGATGGTATGCATTTTTTATATAACCTTTTTTTTTTGGCTATTGGCCTTTTGAACAGTATCTGAGCTTTCTTCACGTCTACAGGTATGCACTAGTAGACTCAGTCGATCCATCATGGCGAGAAACTATCCGACCACTCTTCAAACACTACACTGAACGAACACCCGGTAGTTTTATTGAAGAAAAGGAAGTCAATATCACTTGGCATTACCGCAACACTGATCCCGAATTCGGCACTTGGCAAGCCGCTGAGTTGCAGGTGAATTTGGAAAAGATATTGAGTCATATGGCTGTTTCGGTGAGTGTGCATTGGTTTTGGGTGACCTTGTTGACGAATCCTACAGGATTTGCTCGATCTAGTATTCTAGTTTATTCGGAACTTCTACCAAAAATCCCACCACTCTGTTAGATCATCTTGGGCAACAAAACTCTAGAATTGCGACCTGCATCCGTGGACAAGGCTACAGCTGCCAGAGCCATCTTGCGTGACTTGAATGGGTATGATTCATCTGACGTGGACTTTATCTTGTGCATTGGGGATGGAAAGACAGATGAAGTGGTGTTCGCGAACTTACGTGAACACCCTCAGGCCATCACCGCTACTGTTGGCAAGAAGGAAACAGAGGCCAAATTTTATTTGGAGGATGTCTCCAGTGTCTCCTCAATACTAGGGGAATTTGCAAAAGTGCTGGCTGAAGAAAAACGATGAATATATTTGTACAAAAGCATTAGTGTTGTGAAAGGCGCAGTGCTCCTCATTCCTATGTAGTAAAAACATATAAAACTCATATTAGAAATCTCTATGGTGATCGAGAACCGCGAACCGAAAAAGCGAGTGCATGTTTGGTTTGTCCAGCATCCTTGAAAATACTGCGCTCATCTGATTCAGTCGCAGCACCACCACACGAGAATCGCACCTCCCACGAATCATAAACCTTGTAATCTTTAGCACCCACTTCAGCAGCAACATATATCACGGCAAAATGGACGCAGTATCCCAATTCGTAGTTGGTTCTCCCTACATGACAAACGACATCACCCAAACTCATATTACTTCGCACGAAGCCTACTTTGGCGGACGCCCGATATTTGGACTATTTGGAGACCAAAACAATGCCACGCTAGGTGATTTACGTGTACCTTCTTCCACCGACCTATGGGAAACACCTGTTTCTCGTCGTGACGCGTCACATCATCAATCAATGAATACGAGGAACACCCCCACTGTCATCACCACCGATACACGAATGCGCCCACCACCATTAGGCAGCATCCCACGTGCATCATCAACCGGATCATGCTTTTCAACATCCTGTTTACGCCTCCGTGAAAACTCGAATGTCTTTTCATCACCACCGCTACAACATGGCACAGACTGTTTCGCATCACCGATTATTACTTCAGCGCCGAATGGATATCATGAAATATCGCTCATATCTGCTATATCGAGTGGTGAGCATCACCATATGGTGGAATTGGAAGCTTCTGTGTTTGCGGCCAAGTCGTCGAGCAAACGACGTGCGTCATTGTCACAGACTATGAATGCTATGACTCTGTCGCTGGCGGATGTGTCGCCTTCGTCTGCCTGTCTTGCTGCTATTAAATCGGAGTATGAGAGTAGCTGTACTTTGAATGGGGACAGTGATGACACGAATACTATAAAGGAGGAGACGAGACATATCAAGAAGAAGGCCAGAAGGGGTGGAGCCGCTGCAGATGAGACTAGGAAGGGTAGCACCAAGAAGTTTAAGAGTGAATCGAGAACGTCCGTTGATACGTTGGATGGTAGTGATGCTGTTTCTCCAGTCAAAGTGGAATCTGATGCTTCTGCTGGATCAATGGATATAGATTCTGAAGACACTGCTGTCGCTGCTACACCAGTTGATGGAATCAAGAAAAACAACAAGAAGAATCGTGTCGCTACGATTCCTCGTCCACCAAATTGTACGTATGAGTAAACTCATGTTCTTGTTTTTGCTCTCTCCTGGCTAACTTTTCCAATTTTTTACAAAACAAACAGCTTTCATACTGTACCGTCGTGAAAGACACGCCGCAATTACAAGCCAATACAAGAACTCTGCTGGCAAAGTCCTAAATAATAATGTGATTTCTAAGATTGTGGCTTCAATGTGGCAGAATGAGTCTCCTGAAGTCAAGGCTACGTATACTGCCAAGGCTGAGGAGGAGAAGAAGGCACATCGTGAAAAGTAAGTTGTATGAACTTATGATCCGTGGAATTTCATCCTTTTTTTGCTTGAAATGACACTAGAGCATCTTCCTACATCACCAGATACCCACATTACAAGTACCAACCACGTAAAAATCTCACCAAAGGACCTGGCAAAGCTACTTTTACCGGTGACGGATCTACTACATCAGCGAGCCTCACTACTATCGGTCGCCCTAATACTCCAGCATCATCTTCAGCTACATCCCTCCTATCGACCATAAAGTCAAACATGATGTCTACATGGCTTTCTCCTCCTCCACCAGCTGTTTCGTCAACAACTACACCATCCGCACATCTTCCAACAGCATCTAATCTTCAGCAACAACAACAGCCACGTATCATCCAAATCCATCAACAGCAACTAGCACCAGCGACCAATAATACCAATACCAATAGCTTTAATCTGAACCTCGGTGGACAGCGGGTTAATGTGTATGCCATGGGAATGATGGGTGGGCAACCGTGTTTTACTTTGAGTGTGGGCGGTGGTGGTGGGTCGTCCTTGTTTCGTACCGCGAGTGGAACTAGTAATGGTGCTGCTGCTACGAGTGCACCGTCCGAGACTCATTAATGTAATGACTGGCTGAATGGAGTGCGAGGACCACAATAGGAGTAAATGATTGAGAATACAATGTGCATATAAATCACAAAAGGGATATGTGCTTGATTTAGTTGCATGAAGCGTGTTTAAAGATATTGGAGAAGGTTACAAAGCGGTATAGACACATGAATGCTGTTACAAGTACAAAGTTCTAACGTTATAAATTATTGACAAATATTACTAGAAGCGGCTGGCTGAGGCCTTTCTTCTGCGGCTGTTGACGCTGTTGCCCCTCATGCTGCTACTGATGCTTCCCACGTGTCCTTTGGACGTTGAGCTTGTAGCTTCATAGCAGCCAACTCTGTACACATTTGAGCCTGTAGACTGCCGCAGAAGTAGTTTTAGCTTAAATGGCACTAATTTGAGCCAAACGCTTTCAGTCCAGCGAACAAAACGTCTTCTAGTGCACATCCGCACTCATTTTGGACGCCTGTAATCGACAGCTTTTTGCGTGAAGTGTTGATCTTAAATTGTCATTTTTGAAACATTTTACGATTTACACTTGGACAATCATAAGAAACAAGCCCGTAGTCGCGGACCAGAAAAGTATTGGAACTGCTTCCGTCTTTGAATCTAGTACAAGCGACAGATTCGACATGTTCAAGCCTGCTCGCCGCAAAATCATCAAGTCATCAAACTCCAATACAAGCTATTAAGTTCCACAACTCTCGACTCCATAGCTAACACAAACCGTCATCTTAAAAAATAAGCCCTGCATGCCTTCACAATAACGAATGGAAGTCCGTCTCATGTAACCTCACGTGGGCAAAAGGACATCATGGATTTGTTTCGTGAGCACAAGATCAAAACACCAAACAGCAACTATAGCTACATAACAACATGTTGCAAATACTGGTAGTAGCTCTTGTCGCCTCCTTAACGTCAGTAGTGTCTGCTCAATTCACTGGAGGTTTCAGTCCAAGGAATGCTCCATACGGAGGTTTTGGTACGTAAGGATGTTTTAACTCTGTTATTTGGTTCTGCGGGAGTGCATCGCCCAAATTTAAACGCTATTACGTTTCCTTTAGGTGGTGCCACTGGTTGTTCATCAAGTTTCATCCCTGTAATTTTTGTTCATGGAAATGGAGACAATTCCGCTGCTTGGAGTGCCAGCTCATCTACTGGTGGTGCAGGATCACTAGCTTCATTCCAGGTAGCTCATGAAGTTATTTCTATGGCACTCTGTTCCTATGTCTGCGTTGCATCAAAGTCACAATATTCATCATACTATTCTTAAGGCTGCTGGGTACAACGGCTGTAACTTGTTTGGCATCACTTGGTTGTCTACCTCACAACAAGGATCTCCCCAGTACAATTATCACTCAGAAACTACCGCCAACCTAATTGGCAACTTTATTCAAGATGTGAAGACATACACAGGCAAGACAACGGTAGCGTTGGTCACCCACAGTATGGGCGTTACTGTCAGTCTGCATGCATTGGAGTATCTGAGTCTGTACACGTCCGTTTCGACTTTCATCGCAATCTCTGGAGGAATGCAGGGGCTTGATAGTTGTCTCCTCACCGGTGCTGCTAATCCATTGAGCTCGACTTGCGGTAGTCAAAACATTTATGACAGCAACGTGTTTGGATTTTATCCAAGTGGTAAGTTTCAGCTTTTCGCATTTAGTCGTTTGTCGCTTACATCTTTACAACACAGGATCCATCTACTATCCAAATCCACGAATGGGTACCAGTGCTACCAATGCATTCGAACTGGCTGCCACTAAACACGCTGGCATTACCTTTTATGCCATCTATTCCGGCACGTCTGACGAGATTACTTGCTATACTGCCGTATGTGTCGTCTGCAAAATTGACAACAATGAGATTTGTGAACTCACATGCACCACAACTCTTAGACAAATTGCAAATCTGGTCTTTTCAAAACTGGCTCTACTAATCTCAAGGCCCAGCTCAATGTGGGAAGCGGATCGCCTAGTGTGAACACTGCTGGGACTGATGATACGTGTTGCGTCGGCCACTTCAGAGCCAGGAGCAACACCGGGGCCATTCAAGTAAACATGGTAAAGAACGGATGTAGCGGGACCACCGCGTGCTGCACCGGGTATTCTGCCACCTGTATTAGTGCATAGTCAAAAGGAACACCATTCAAAGCCGTAATTTGTATGGAGAGGCTTAATGTGTATACATGTTTATCAAGGCTTATTGTTTACAAACTGATGTGCAATATTACTTTACATAGTCTTCATATATAGGTGACATGAGTCTTACACTTCTTCCTCCTCATCAGAACCATCTCCTCTAGCTTTCTCTAAATCTTTTCGCTCTTTATCTAGTCTGATTTGTCGTTCGAGAGCCTTGTCACGTTCCAAGTCCTTTTCAGTCAAAATAATTCGACACCCGGCAATAGGACATTCAGCTCCAGCTGGACTTTTGCTGAGATGGTTCATTATTCCTGCATATGAGTACGAATGGTTGCATTTTTTACATGTATATGGGTCTTCCATAGTCTTGCCCTGTTTTGCAGAATTGCAGAGTATGAGTTTGATCTGCAGAGCAGAGACTGAAACCCTGAAAGCACTCACGAGAAGAGGACACATAAAGCTCTTCTTATCGACATTCATTTCCACATCATCGTCATCCTCTTCACCTCTACCTTCTCCAAAGTCGACCTCAATCTCACACATCCTGAATGGTTTGTTGGCATTTGGACCTGCACTGTGTAATCCCTCTCGAAACGTCTTGTAGTCTCTTACATTATAATACTTTTCAGCTGGTGTCTTGCTTGTATATGTTTCAACAGCAGCAGCTAGCCGAGCTTTATACTCGTCTTCGAGATTGTTTGGTGGTGGATTCATGCTCTTCAATTCTTCCAGTACGGCTTTTGAGCGAGCAGCGAATGCTACATGGTCCAAGTAGTCGCGCATGGCGGTGTCTAGTTCTGTTAAATGATCGAGCTTTTCTTGTTTGTCAAAAGATGTTGAATCTGCCAACTCGACAGCAGTTGTTTTGATGATTTGCAAGATGAGATTATTGTCGTCATTGACTTTGTTAAATCCATTGATAATAGGGGTAAGCTAATTCGATAGAAAATAATGTGAGCAAAAATGAGAGTCACTCGCTTTGCCATTATGAGCATAGATTTCATAGACAGAGTGCCGCTTACTTTTCGGTCTAGGGATGCAGCTGCCATCTGTCTCACTCTATACACTAAGGTATCCTATTGATCTGCTTTCTGCTATTCTATGTGTTTTGAAATGTTGGAATTTGGAGGAAGAAGAGAGCAAGAAGATCGTGACGACGGTGTAGACAGTAACGGGCCAGCGAGCGGAGCGATTTATTACTCGAACTACGAACTACTAGAAATGAACGCTCATCATAGTTCAAGCAAGAGATGACGCGTTTCGTATCTAACAAGGTAGAAAGCGACGCAAAGGCATACCACTCTGATGAGCTTCCTCCATATCAAAAGCACACTCACGACTAATCAATGTATATGTTCAATTGTACACTATTATGACTACGATGCAGGTTGATTTCGCGTGGCAGAGCTCCTGCTTCAAACAAGTGCTAATCCTTCTTGGCTTTAAAGGCTCTACGAGCTTCCATCCAGACCCTGAAGTCCTTGATAATCACTGCCAAGAAAGGTACAGCAACTGGGACAAACAATGGCATGTACACGGCATATCGATGTTCAGTCGGGAAGTAGAGAAGCGATACCATTGTAGGATTGAAGAAAGCTTCTTCAGCCAATACTGTAGCACGACGTGCGGCAGACATGCTAGCATCCACATGATTGTGTTTGATGCCTTCCTTGACCTTGGAGTTAAAGCAGATCGTTAAGGCCAAAGAAAATAGGTGTCTATCGAGAATACTGAGAGTGACTCATCTACCTCCTTCAAAGCACTCAAAGAACCCTCGACCAATATCTTGATTTCATCCTTGACTACCATGTTTCCCATATCAGTCACCAACGTGAGCAATGATTTCAGTGTGCTAATAGCATCGGAAGCACATTGCAAAGTTCGTTTACGGACTAGTCGATCCAGCTCAAATAGTGTTATACCATATAATGGAGCTGTCGCATATGTTATGACTGTATCTGGTGGCTGTTTGAAGAGAGATGTGATGAGGAGGGAAAAAGAATTGAAACACAAGTCTCTCCAGCTTCTTACCAGCACTTGATCAGCAATAACAACGGAAGAAACACCAACAAGTCCTCTCATTTGAGCAACCACAATCTCCAAGAAAGGCTTTAGATCGTCACGAGTAAACTTCAAAATCTTGTTGATGGTCGTCGTTGTTGTATTGTTTGGTGGATTTGTGATTGTTATTCCACCCCATTGCGGTATCAAGAATGCATTTGTTTCCAGTTTGTGACCTATTGATGTTTGGAATCAGTTCGAAGTGAAAAAAGAACACTGAATATTGAAGGTCAAGGATTACCGTTTGGACGTAAGATATGAAGAGGTATTACAGAAGCCTCAGGAACGTACAAGACAAAGTTAAGCGGCGGCGACGACGATACGAATGATGCTATTAAAGTGAATCGTTTGTAAGGCAACAACCCAGCAGAAGAGTGGACAAAAGCCCCATGGTGCCCACCTAGATTCCATTCGGCAGAGTTAATAAAGTGCTTGAGTGATTCTGTTTCAATAGCAAACCATGTTCCCTTATCATCCGTTTGTGGTTTAGGTGTAATTGGCAAACCGGCATAGTGTTGAATCTTGTCGAAACCAAAATTAAGACCGAGACAGGAAAACCCAACACATATAATAATCCATACCTGAGACGACACAGTAAACGTTGACACTTTGGCAAGGCGACTCAAGAATCCCTTTAAATATGCTATGGAGCATAGGTGAGGCAAAAGGAGTACATCAAGTCGAACTTGTTGCATAAGCTTACCATTCACAGCTTGATCAATATCCCAAGACACTAGTAAATCAGCTGGATTTCCATTAAATAGACTCAGCACAAGTTGAAATTCATCTGCAAACTTGACAACTCTCATGCTATCGTGATCCTCCTAGAAAGATGTGCAATGCCAAAAATATTGAGGTCACTATACTGATGAAGGTTATAATTGCATCACCTACATTCAGCATGGTTTTCGCAGCAAATACTTTCTGTAAAGCCTTTTGTTCACCAGAAAACACGCCAGCGATAACTCGAATCACTACATCTGTCAACTTGTCTTGTTGTTTACATATAGGAGGTGGCACTTCCAAGAATATACTTCTGCGTTGTCCTATATGTACAGTATCCCGTATTCCACCACATGTAATATGAAGGCTGTATACACCTGTTTCACCATCTAGATCATCATTGTTGACCAAGTCTTGCAATGTCTTGAGGTTTGATTTGGGTAGCGCTGATATAGACGTTGTAAATTGCAAATTCACTCTAGTTGTGTTTGCAATATACGCTGTTTGCTGAAACATCTCATTCAAGGAGTCTGATGTTTCATCAGCAACGAAAGGTTCAAGTTTGAATGCATGGGCGATGAGTTCCACGTGAATTGTAAACACTGTATCCAGAGCCTAGATGACAATAAATATTAACACTAAGTCAACTGATAAAACCGTCTGATACGATGTGAAGATTTACGTTTGGATTTGACCAAGATGTAATATCTTGATGTGGTAATGGAGCACGATAAATCTCTGTAGTCTTGTACCAAATGGGCAAGCCTATGACGAGAGCCACCAAAAATGAACATACAATCCATCTCCGCACGGTTCCTATATGTGCAATTGGTTTGACTGTGTGTCAGCTTAAAGTGTTTGATGGCAGACGTTTTACGCTCAAGTAAATGGAGAAGAAGGCCGTGTACTTACTGGAATCAGCAATTTCCTTTTCAACCTGATCACTCAGATCTTGTCTCTCTACTACGGAAGTGCTTTTCTTTTTCGTGGTCGCGTCCGTCATATTATTGCTAGTTTTGAAAAAAACTGAAATGGACGCAGAAGCTCAAAGAGGAGGAGCTTGAATGAATTTTCGACAGCTACTAGGAAGGAAATACTAATGGAATTAATGACGTGCTTCTTGAATTCAGGTCGTTGCTACGAGTTTAGTGCCTTTCTTCATCGTTGATCAAACTATGGCAAACGCGCCGAATCAACTATTGGATGATTATAAAGCTACTATATGCATGGTTGACGAATCTACAGTAGTGAAGGAGCTCGAAGGCGTAACAGCCATCCCTTATCGTTGTTTGAAGAGGAGCTCGAAGCCGTAACAGCCGTCCCTTATGCTTGTTTGAAGATGGTGATTGCTGAAACTCCAGAAGTGCTACATCCGAGGTGCTTCTCACGTGAAGCTGAAAACCGTGGACTCGGTGTATCATTGATGGAACGCCTCATGAACATAGATATTAGAACATCAATCCTAAAGAGTGACTACCGATCGGATCCTCGTATACTCGATATGACCAACACCCTCTTCTATAATCAAGATCCTGTTCAACCACGATTCGATGAACGTCGCTTGAGGCCCATTATTGAAATCCGAGACGAAGTATTCCCAACTCCTGCAATGTTTTTAAAGCATCGTGGCGAAGAATATGCAACGACTCCCATCTCCATTCGTAACGAAACCGAAGCAGATTCGATCATGCATCTCATAAAATTCCTCGTCTCTGAAGGCTTCAATCCATCTTCCATCAATATCGTCACTTCATATTGTGCCCAATCGAAACTCGTCAATAGTCTAGCTGCAGCGTCTGAATTGAAGGTCAAAGTCTCGACTCTGGATGCATGTGCTGGTGAAGCAGCCATCGTCATTGTATCAACTGTCCGAAGCTCCCCTCGTACCAAGTTTACGACGTTGTCGCTGCTCTAACGAGAGCACAAGTCGGCCTCATCATATTAAGCCATGCAAAAGTGTTGCAATATGAACCTGAATTGTCAAATGTAATGCAGTTGATGGGGAGGAAGACATAAGTATACTAAGGGAGGAAGACGACGTTCTTGGGGGACTTGCTCAGATATCCACCAAGAGTTTATAAATGTATGTTGTGAAAGTTACTTGTTAGTGTCCATGGAGATGAGCAAGGATGATTGATTGCAGCTCCATATGTTGTATGGCTTGCTAGAAGGAATTCTTGGGGGTGAATTGGTATATTGATGAATATTGCTGGAAGGAATTTCAGGAGATGAGAAAGGATGATTGCTTCTGTACATGTTGTATGTCGTGCTAGGAGAAATATATGGTGGTGAATTGGGATATTGATGAATATTGCTGGAAGGAATTTCATTGAATGGTCCCACATACGAATCTTGCTAACAATCTGTAGACGACTTTGTTGTGCATGAACATATGTTCAAACAAAGAAACTCTTCAAATCCAAACGCGCTCTTGTGCTCTGTTTATGAATAACGTTACGACTATGTTGCACGAAAATACAAAGCATGAGGTTTTTAAAACTATCTTTTTCCTTTACAAACATCGTACAACTACTACCGAGCTTCTTGTTTTGCATCCTTATGCTGAATATTGAGTGTGACGGAATCCACAATCCTCTCCAAGACGACAGCCTCCTGGCTTTGCAAAGTAACGACAGACACTTAAAAACAGAGAAAGGTAAAATTAGCCTACAACATTTTTTCGTATTATAAGAACAAGACACGACAAGAAAACCAAATTACTTTTTGTTGGTTACTCGTCCTGCTCGACATGAACCTCCATTCACAAATCCAGATCGGTCCGTACTTTTACCATTGACAGATCGACCATTCACAAATCCAGATCGTTCACTACCACTACCATTACCAGATCGACCACCAAGTTGATGATGTTGTTGTTGTGGATGAGTAGTATATGGAATTGGTGAGTTATGATAACGGGTACGACTTCCTTCTGGTGGATTGTATTCCTTCTCAAAAGCTGGATACTCATATTCTGCTTGAATAGGAAGTTCTGCAGTAGACGATGGATAATTATGAAGAGGTTCTAATGATGGTGGAGGTGGTGGTGTTTGAATCTGTTGATGGTGCCCTACATTGGCTGGGTGACTTCGGTGGTAAAGATTGTTTGGCTGACTTTGATGGTGTTTCCGATAATTGCTTGGATAACCATGATGAATTCCATTTGTTGCCTGACTTTGATGATAGAATCCAGTATGATCGACGTTGTGGTTGCGATGATTTACATTGCTACTACCCAGTTCAATACCACCAACGCCACCATTACTACATCCAGTATTTGGCAAGGTTGAAGCGAGATTGTGGTGGAGCAGAATACGGAGTTGAAGATGGTGATGGTGACATCATTGGAACTGCAAATATGGTACTACTAGGCATTGGCATCATGGCTTGTGGCAGAGGCGTGTAATTGTATACGTTGGAACTCTTATATACGGGAGTTTGACACCCTGGCGCTCCGTGCCCATAAAATGATGGTGGAGCACTATACACATTTTGTGGTTGTTGATGATGTGTTCGTGGTTGCTGTGCAAAGCCAGCTGGCTGACCTTGGCCAAACAGATGATCATATTGACTGTTTACTGCAGGTTGAATAGTCTGAGCAGATACGATGGGTACAGCCGTAGTAGCTGATACTCCTGGACGTTGAGGCATCTGCATAGTGATAGCAGCAGCATGATCAGCACCAATTGGTCGATGAATTGGTGTTGATTGTTCTCTACTAGGACTACTACTATTGTCAACAACAGGATGCTCGACATTTGGACTCAGTTCTGGCACGCTGCTGTTCAGTTTCTGTGCCGAAACATGCAAGCCAGGTTCCACAGTCGAGTCGTGCATGCCTTTGGTAGAGCCTAATTCAGCAGCCTTATGTTCAGCCTTCGTATATGTTACTGACAAACCATTTACTGTTTTGTTCATATGCGTAGTGCTCGGATTTGGACTCGATTTGGGCATAACATTCAAGTTGTGCTCCTTGTTATATGTTACCGACAAGCCATTTACTTTTCTATTCATTTGAATGGTATTAGGATTCGAGTTTTGCGTAACATTTGGACACGATTTGGGCATAACATTCACTTCATGCTCCAAATTCGAGTTTTGGTTGACACAGGGGCTGAATTTGGGTATCCTATTATACAATTCATTTTGCGAATTCGGGTCTTGTATGCCATTTGGACTCGGTTTGGGCATACTTTCATTCAATTTTTGTGCCAAAACATTCAACTGATGGTTCACATCTGAGTTTTGTAAACCAGTTGGACTCCATCTGGGCATATCATTCCAGTTATGGGTCAAATTCGAGTCGGGAACAGCACTCAGACTCGATTTTGGCATATCATACGAATCTGAACGTATGTTATTCAACTTGGGCAATACGTTCGAATGAGGATGGCCATTCGATTTCGATGACACGTCGTTGGACGTGTTTATCGAGTCTTTGGGTGCCATGTATGTCGATTTGTTGGAAGAGACAACAGGGCCTGCCGCGGCGGGCCTAGTTTGCATAATGGTGGGAGTACTAACACCACCACCATTTAAACTATTCTTTAATCCTGCAGTAACAGGGGCAGACGAGGATGACGCTGCTCCTGGTACTGCTTCGTTTGCCTTTGTCTGCTTCAAAGCATCACGAGCAGGACAAGCAGCAGTAAGTTGATCAATGGTGATGTTCAAATCACACTTGTTCTCAACTAAAACTGCATATGCTATTTCTCGAGGAAATCCCATTTCAACGAATCGAGAGACCATTTCATCCACATTTGGAGACAATGAAGAAGTCGGCTCATTGGGTGATTCACGAGCCTTCTTCTTTCCTTTTTTGTTCTGACTCGTTGTTGATTGTTGAGGTAGTATAGCAGTGGATTCCTCTACATTTCGAGATGTAGCTGGTTGTGGTTTGCTTCCTATTGCTGCAGCTGGTACAAGTGCTGAGGGCTGTGACTTTTTATTGATTGCGGCGGGTGGCAGAATTGTGGTGTTGCCTTGCTGTTTATTGGAAGCAGCAGGAGTAACGGGCTCGACTTTATTCTTCTTGTTCCTTTTCTTGTTCTTCTTCTTTTTTGATGAAGATGCTTCAAATGCTTCAGCATGAGATTCTGTTGGAATACAGGTGTCAATCCTGGTCATTGCCGTTCTTTGTTTTTTGGCAATCGCGAGACTCACTCTTCATTTCTTCAAGTTTTTGTTCTTCTTCTTGACGGATCTCTGCTTCCTTCTTCAATTTCTCATCCATCTTGACTTCAAAAGCAGTTTTGGACTCGACAGAGTCATCAGCTCGAGAAGTGGGATTAGCAACACCGACACCATGACCTTTTGCAAATGGCTTTCCAGCCAACTGTCAAAACGAAAACATATTTGTAAGTACAGTCCAAGCGGTCTATGCCGACAACCAATTGTGTATAAGGCGAACCTTGAGAAGCTTGTTATAGATGACCACAAGTTCAGCACGCTGTTGAGGAGTAGGCATCTTTACATTGCTTGAAGAGGAAGTCATATCAAGTCTATCCTTTATGAATTCTTCAAGACTCTCGTAGCGTCCATGAGAGACCTTGTAAGAAGCTCCCTAATTATGAAATGATTCAGAGGGGAGTTGCTGCACATCGCAAACAACGAAACCACCACGCACATGTTCAATTAGCAAATCAAAGGCCATGATGAGACCGCGCTCAGCAGCTAGACCGAGAGCAGATTTGTTCTGATGATCAAAAACTTCCAATGGAGAATCGTTGCTGAGTAACCATGCTACTGAGTCCAATGAGCATGAGAGAATGGCAACAGATAAAGCTGTTCGCTTCTTTGCATCGACTTCATCAACGTGGCCACCTGGTGATTGAAAAGGTGTTATTTGAAAACCGATATACAACCAACTACCCCCAATTTAGTTACTGGCCTTACCAAAAGAACAAACAGTAGAGAGCATTTCAGGCATATTCGTCCGAGCAGCAATATGAATCAAAGGCTCTCCTGGATGTCGACCCCGCTTGCTAATGAATTCTGAACCACAGCCACTGATTCCACTAGCCAACAAGTCTCGTGCAGCTTGTACGTCCTTTTCTCTGACTTTTTGAAAGGCCAGAGAGCGTTTAGCTTGTTGATCTTTCTCCCATTTCTCTTGAGCAGCTCGTTCTTCAGCTTGAGCTTTCTTACGACCAAAGTCTTCTTCGCTTTTACGCCTATTTTCTTCACGTCGTTTCTGTTCGGCTGCACGTTTCTCTTTACGTTCCTGTTCTACTCTGATTTCTATAAACGAAACGGTCATGACTGATAAATTGCTTTTGATATGCGGACAGGCGAACAAAAAAGAGAACAAAGTTGCCGAATGCGAATCAGGCTTTCATGGAGCCAAAATCTTTTCCCACAAACATCGACTCTACGAAACACACCTTCTTCTCGTCTAGCCTTAGCAGCTTTAGCACGACGTTGTTCAGCAGCCTCATCTCTTGGACAAGGAGGTTTCGCTTTAGGAGCCGTACGAGGAGTAAATCGACCAAATGGAGGAGCAGGCGTGAATCGACCAAATCGAGGACTTGATGATCGGTAATCTGCTTCATCGTCAAAATAACCATACTCTCCATAGTCTTAAAACAAAATGAGACGTCAGGAAAGCGAAAAAAAATCGGCAGAGTCATCCGTGTGAATGATACCTTCATCGTCCTCGTCCTCTTCATCTTCGTCCTCTTCAAAGAAAGAGAACGGAGAAGGACCACCAAATGGCGAGCGATGACCGAACTATTATAGCGTCAGTATCTGTGCATGTAAGTTCCAGGCACTTGGTCTTCAAGACAAACATTACCATCATTGAGAAAATCAACGCGTCCAACATTTCGTCATCAATTTGGAACTTGTCGTTTGCACCTTTTCTATGACGTTCTATGACATCTTTTGCCTCTTGAAGCTAACAAAGGAACCGAAATCAGATACAGACACTTTGACACCTGAAGCTACGAAGCTCACTCTTTGAAATTGAGATGTAGCTACAAAATGGTAATTGTTAGTCAGTAAATATATCAAGAAATGTATCATATTATTGATATGTACTCGTCAACAAGCGACTAGTAGGTACTTACTATCCGAGTCAGGATTCTTATCAGGATGCACAAGAAGAGCCTATAATATTTACATTAGGTTAAATGATAGATTCAGCAGACATCGCAGAGGCTTCCATACCTGTTTCTTGTAAGCTTTAATAACCTCTTCATCAGAAGCTGATCTTTCAACGCTCAATATGGCATAAGCTTCTTCGAGCCTAAGAGTCGCCTTGCGAGCCGCCGCCATTACGTTCTAGCTTCTTGATATAGTTCTTTGCCAGAATTTGTTGGCTAATTATCCGGTTCTCCTCGATGCCTGTCAAGAATTAAATGTTTCAACGAATTTAGAAGTTGAAGCTTGTCGCATCAGAGACCAAAAAGAACGCGTTTACCGCTGTCGAGATAGTCTACATGTCTACATCATTATTCACGCGTAAAATAATTAAAACATTATTTAATGTTCCCCCTGGTCCTTGTATATTTAGACGACAAGTGTGTCGAACTCCTCCCCAACATTTAACAATTAAGACATGGAATCATTAACTAAATCCGTATCTTCTGGAGCACTAATCGCAGTCGCAGTGGCACTTATACATGATCCATTGCTAGTCTCGCTGTGTCTGTCGGTCCTAGCTGCTTATTGGACATACCATGCAATCTCCTTGGTTGGAGGTGTCTTTGTTGCAAAAGGCCAATTCGGAAAGGACTTGCTCAAACCAAACATGCCTGTATTGTATGTACTTGATATCTTACACGTGATCTGTTCTTGAAGGTGGTTGTCGAAGTGGGTGGTGGAAGTGACATTCGGTGATCTTGTTGTTGATGTGTTGATCCAAGTGCAGCTCGACATAGAGCGCCTGATTTTCTTGTTGGGTTCGGTCTACATTTGAATTTTCATTGAAGAAACCAACGCTACTGTATTCGATTACATAGACCGGAGAGTCAAGGTGTCGTTGCTGGAGCAGTCTACTTTGCAGTCATGTTTCTCTTCATTCCAATCCCATTTGTCCAATGGTTTGCTTGGGGATCTATTGAGCATGGTGGTGGTGTACCTACTTTCCCGCATGAAAAGGTATGGGTGATACGTTGTGAGACTTTACAGTTTATGTCGAGCTGTATTTCTTCTTAGTGTCTGGGGGTTTTGTTGTTGTTGGGCCACCAATTTCATCTAACCTCTCTTCTTCGTCATATAGCTAGGACAGTTTCTATCTGGACTATTAGCACTTTTAAGCATGCTCCTCTTGGGATTCGCGGACGATGTACTCGACATTCGATGGAGAGTGAAACTATGGTTTCCCATGTTTGCTTCAATCCCGCTCTTGACTGTCTATTATGTCACCTATGGAGTCACGCATATCAAGGTGCCATTGCTATTTAGAGCCTTTGTCGGCACTGATCTTGTAGATCTTGGTATGAAACACCTGTTGCTCGTTACTTCAAGCAATTCATTGAAACGGTAACATGTTTTTGTGCAGGACCATTCTATTACGTCTACATGTCATTCTTCTGTGTCTTTTGTACCAACTCTGTCAACATCCTCGCTGGCATAAACGGTGTGGAAGGAGGCCAGTCTCTAATCCTAGCTCTCTCGATCGTCTCAAACGACCTGTACCAAACCTATACATCCGATAATCGACTTACAGTAGAAGCACATCTCACCAGCCTCTTCTTTATACTACCATTCATCGGCGTGACTATTGGGTATCTCTTCCAGAACTGGTATCCAGCCAAAGTATTTGGTGGAGACACATATGCATACTTTGCTGGAATGATATTCGCAGTTGTAGGAATACTAGGTCACTTTTCGCAAACTGTTCTGCTGTTTCATATACCGCAGATTTTTAATTTCTTGTATTCGTGTCCGCAAGTGTTTGGATTTGTAGAATGTCCAAGGCATAGGATGCCAACGTAAGTTGTCTCGCTTTGTTGAATAGCAAAATATATCGTATGAGTTTGAACTATTCAACTCACTCGTTGTTCTTGATTAGGTTAAACCACAAGACACTTAAACTAGAAGCGTCACGAGTGAAACTAAACAAGACAGGCAGTTTAGGTCGAGGAATGATTCGATTCCTTGAGATATTCTATCTGGTTCATGTCAATAGAGATCCAAAGACTCACGAAATGCTAGACTGCAATAATCTGACATTAATAAATCTGATACTAGTCAGATGTGGATCGTTAAGGGAATGGCAGACTACACTTGCGGTCATGGCAGTGCAAGTACTTGGATCCATACTTGCTATAACGATACGATATGCACTGGTGCATGTGGTGTACAACTAGTAGAAATGATGTGAACATAGTCTCAAGCTTGTAGTAAAACAATGTCTTTTCTTATACTTAAAAATAATTGCATTTGTTATAATGATAATCTATACAATTTTTACAAGTTACAGCCTATCTTGAAGCAGCAGCACGTTCAGACTCTTTATATTGAATGAAAGCCACCAGATTATCAAGCGCCTCACGACCTCGAGCATACAATGTCCCATCCCGCTTCCTATCTACACCTTTTATCTTGACTCGCACAGCCTGCACCGAATCCTTCAACCTCCTCAAAAAGTCACATCCAACAAACACCGGCTCATCATAATCAAACGATGCATCCGAATACACGTCAAATATAGCATCCAGGGCTTCAAACACTACTTCGGTAGACGGACTGCCTGCAATCAGAGCAAGTAACAGTAATCCTACTTGACGGTTTTCGGGGATGCGGTCTGGTCGATTTACCAGTAGGGATAATACGTGCAGTGATTTGATGATGAGGGATGGTGGATTTGTTGCAGTTGTACATAGGGCTATTAGCGCATCTAGTTGTTGGTTCGTGTATGGCTATGAGTCCAATAAAGACGATGCGTGAGATTGAGAATCGAGGAGAAAAAACCCCCCGCAAAATATGGTATACGAATGTTGGTACTCACGATATCCATCTTCAATCCACTAATCCCTCGACTCATAGCCCACATGATACCAACAGCACCCTCCAAAGCTTCCAAATCAACCACCGGAGCAACAGCACTATTACTAGTATTGCTAGTGGTACGATTGGCGATATCAATCAACCAAGTCCACATGGTTGCGATATCACTACTACTCTGACTAGCAAACCATGACTTGTCAACACCCATAGTCAAAGTCTCCAGACACGACAAGGCTCGGACTCGAGTTCCTTGCACAGATGCAGCTAATGATGCTGGTATTATGGTGGTTGATGACTCAATTTGAGACAATTGAGCCAAGAGTGGGAAGAGAGATGGTGCTGTTGAAGTCATTATTTGAGTTATAAATGCTGCTGAGTCAGATTCTTGTGAATCTTCTTCTTCTTCAACAGCTGCATCCATGGGGTCTACATCGTCTTGATCTCCATTCACATCCTCCCAACCTACACGAGACAGTGTTGGATACGGTTAGCAAAAAAAACCATGAGGACTTTTGCATACAACAGCTTGGAATGGTATTTGCTTTTTATGGTCAGAATTAGCATGGGCAATTTTTCGATCCACATAGTTGTTTTCAGAACAGGTCTGATAAATTGTTCTCGTCCTCCCAAAAAGCAAACATTTCAAATAGTCCTGAGTCACAAGCAATTGGATCGAGCTTACCTCGTTGATTGACATCATCTCCCAAAGCGTTAGCCAAGACTTCCAGAGCATAATGGACAGTGAGGAAATGCGATTCCAGTATTGCAATAGCAGTCTAAAGAGAAAGAAATATGAGCGAAAAAAAATCACTTCAATAGAATAATGATGGTTACCTGAGCTTTCAACACTTTGGTGGAAGTAGCCACTTCCTCATCATGATCATGGCCCATCTGCATATCACCATCCTCAGTTGTTTGTGGTGTCACTGGTGCCTTACTAACCACATCCACTTGAAACTCTTGTTCCAATTCAACAGCCTTGGCCAAAGTGACGGCAACGTCGAGTGACGACAAGGCAGATGTAGTAGCTGGTATTACAGCATTCATCATGACTTGAGATCTACTACTCAATGTCGATGTGGAAGTTGCACTGGCGACATTATATACGATACTGGCTGCCAAGACTCGAACCATCATTCGATTCTCGTCGTCGTAAACCGAGAAGGATTGGTTATCTGGTTGACTGGCACCAGACGCAGCTACTTCCATCAAGGAAGCAATCAAGTCTGGATGGGATGTATGTAGTGAGATTGATAGTAGTGTGTTTTCGGAATCGTCAGTCAGAACGTTGAGACACTGTAGGGAAGCCTTAATGACTGGTATTGGTATTTTCCGGGATGGGAAGCTGGTGGAGACCATGAAGGCGAGTATGGGTGGTGATGAGGTCACAGCAGAGAGAGCTCCTTCGAGTGTTTCGATAAAAAGTTGGAGAAGCAAGAGACATTGTTCTGCCAACCGATACAGAGGTATCTCTTTGGAATTGTCATGGAGTGATGCATCCACAGTCGAACATGGTGTTATCGTCTGAGCTATCTGGTGGTAGGTGGCAGAGGAATATCAGCTGCTAAAAAATGGAAGAAATCGATTTACGAGGCATTGACAGCTCCTCCTTTAACGTACTCGATTCAGATGTGACAAGAGCAAGTCAAACACATTCTTCTTCATCATCTCTTCCAAGACAGAGACTTCGTCATCCAATGCCAAATTTCTGTTTGAAGAAAAAATGTAAAAGCCTTCAAGATGAAAAAAAAAAAAAACTTGTCTAGTGATTACCTCAAGGCTCCAATGATTTCCACGGCGACTTCAGGATTTGGATCAGCCATAGCCTTTGAGAGTTCTCCAATGACATTATTAGCGAGCATCAGCTGTCGAGTTTGAGGATTTTCAGCAGCCAAATGTGCGATTGCTGATGCCGTCCAAGCTCGGTCATCCACATCCAAAGACGATAGCTAATGAGAAATAAGTAATTAATTGTGAGTATTAAAGAAAGATACACGATGCAAAATAGGTACCTTTTTTAGGATGGGAATGGTTTGCTGGTTTGCAGCATTGTCCAGTGGCAGTTCATTCTCGATGAATGAACTAGCTGCAGATGCAGCAGCACCCGTCTTTGTTGACAGTGGACTGGGTCGACTGCGCTTGTACCTAGTTTGCTTCTTCGACTTGGTCATCGCTCTTGGACGGAGCTTTGAGTGTTGAGAAAAAATGCAGGAACTGTAATAAGAATTATTACATAACAATTAATAATCACGAATCACGTCAATTGCGACCGTTAATGGCATTAGCGGTCGGGAAAGTCAATAACACATGCGTTGGGTTATTGGGATAGAGTATCTGCGGCGCAGCCTCGCCGACGACAATGACGAGATACTCTATCGGTGGGCTTTTGACGCGACACGACCATCTTTTACAGGAACTGGGTGTTGGGCTGCAGCTGACTGCTCGTATGAAAAAGGGAGACGTGTTTTGATAGTTGTGGTCGTAATGTAGTTTGTAATGTCGTGTGGTCGTATTAGAAACTATTTTTTTTTCCATGTTTAAAAACGAATGAAACATTGAACATAAGAACCATTGAACACAGAAACGAGACAACAAGCGGAAATCACGACGTCGACAGACATCAAAAGCTCCCATGGCTGCAGTCACTTATGTTCTCTATACTTGTGATTGCAGCTGAAACTGTGCTTTTGCGCCATTCGCAACAAACGCTTAAGAATCAGTGCCCTGTCTGGCCACATCTATCGGGGTTGGCACTAAAGATGGCTCATCACACAATGAACCTCTGGATGGTACGCTTAGTACCTGTTTTAGCTGCTCTTCTTAATTCCAGTCGAGAGGTCAACATCAGACACACCAGTTCAGTATTGGCGTGCTCGGTGCAAGCAATAGAGCATCATTTTGAAGATGGGCTCGAACTGGTTTACCTGGAAAATGGATACTCATCTGGCAGGCTGGTGCTCTTGAAGTAGTTCCTTGTTCTAGAAAGTCAACGTGGTGGTGGTGAAAAGGCGCTGAATTGTATTTTTAAGTAATGCTTTGCCTTTCAAGTATATAGACAATGTTGAAAGCTATGCTCTGTCGGTTTTCCTACACATACCAGTTCTTGCACTTGTTTACTGCCAGTTGCGGCATCAATCTTGTTGCTCAATGTACAACAAACCCAGTCAGTCGGTCTACTCTTCCAATCCAACCAATGTCTATTCAATTGCCTCTAATTACAAAAGATCTAACAATCTGCACCGCTCAAGTCTCCCTCACCATCCTACGTTGGTCTACAATAGCGCAAACTCTGTCATAGCCACAGAGCTTTCTCACAGACCTATCTGGCATAGAATCCACACACCATTGGTGCTTTGTCTCAGTCGTGCTTCCATCTGTGTTTGGTCTCAATCATGCTTTAGCAGCTTTCGAGTCCAGGAACAGATGATAGAGATTGCTGCATCGCTCAACGATGGTGAAAACGCCAATCTTAATGTGTAGTAATAGTGAAGCTAGACGAGGATAGTTCGTGTTTGATCAAATGTTGAAAACTATGGGACCAAGTAACTTACTATCTGCACGGGTCTCCATCTCGGCTAATCAAACGACTTAACATTAGCATACCAATCCTGTGAATAGTTTGGATCTTGTCTCGCCATGTCGAGAACATGCATCTGCTTGTACCCTCGTTGATGGTCTGACATGTGAGGAGCCTCCTTCCCTAGTTAGCCTGTTGCAGCTGGATTCCAGTATTTCGACACGAGGCTACACGAATATATGGACTAATGGTCGATTCTTCCATTACACTGCGCGTGATGTCCATGGGAATCTCTGAATGCAAAGTCATGGTGTTTACGTAGCTTGAGGAGTGCTAGATTATACTGCAAGCTTCACGAATGACCTCTGTATACGAGTATGTTCGAGCAATAATTGCTATGAAGATGACCAGTTGATGTGATCTCTTGTGGAAACTCTGCAAATTCAAAAACTGCAAGCAGCGACTCGACGAACGGAAACTGCGACAGGAGCTACAGACCGAATGAAAGACGTACAAGTCGTCAGGCGCGTCAATTTTGCTTTTGAATTTTAAAGATTCAACAGTCTCAAAAGGAGTTTCAAATTACAAAGTTACGTGTCGGCATCGTTAGGACATAAACCGGTAGTTTCAGCGTCGATATTGACAGATCCTCGATTTTGATAACAATTCTCAGTAGATCCACTCTTCAAACACACATGCATTGTCTATATATGTTGATCTTTATTTATGTTGATCTTTTACACACAACCTCTTCTAATTACCAAAACTCTAACAATCTAAACCACTCACATCTCCCTCAGAATCATATGCTGGTTTGCAATAGCGCAAACACCATCATTGTCATAGAACTCGGTCTGACATTGACCCATCCCATCGCTATTCAGTCTTAATCGTGCCTGAATTCCAAGCCTGCCGCCTTCGGTATGATGAGCAACTCGGGGCTCTCTGTAATAGATGATGGTGTAGTCTGTATTGATTGGGGAGAGGCCACCTTTGAATCCTCGAGGACTGAAGAAGGAACTCATTCCTGAGCCAGAGTCTCCAGCATTGGTTAAACTCAATGTCCAATCCCTATGCACCGTCGTGTAAAATGAGTATAACCGCAACAGAGATGAAATCAGCAGCAGAGAGACGTAGTGTATTACCATGGAACCAGCGTTCCGTCACGCTCTTTGATAAAGTGAAAGTCTGCAACGATTGGCCTAAACCATGCTTCAGCCTTCGCCACATACTTCTTTGAGTCTTCGTCAGTAGCAGTTCCGCTCCTAAACTTGTCGAATCGGCGCCAGACATCCGATCCCCAGTCGGTCGTCACGTTAATTCCTTGAAGGGAAAAGACACGTCAACACAAAAAAGCATAGAAGTTTAAGCAAAATACAACGAAATTATGGTCAAGTAAGAGCTTACCTTCCAATGGATAGTCAGGATGAAAGGAAGTACTTTCAGTCCGAATATTTAAGGGAGGAATCTCAGAGTCTGTAGGTGGCTTCAAGTATCTCCCAGCTTTCTTGTCAGCTTCTATAGCATATGGTTCAAATTTATGCACAATCTCCATAGCCTTGGATTTTAATGGTCGAATCAACAAGACTTCGGCTCGAGCTAGTATCTTTTTAGGATCATCCTTGGCAGTAATTGTAGAGAATAAATGAGCGGTGGATTTGGTAACTTGAAGCTCCCCGACATTCGTGACTAGAATCTTGTTCGTTGGTACAGGCCTGAATATTTCCATGGGCAGAGTTAGATAGGTTATGTTGTACGCATAGCATCATATGTTTACGGTACCTGTAGAGATGCATTGAAAGTTTTGCAAGTTTGTAAACAGGTTTCCCAACTTCCGGCTTGATGTTTGCCTGTTCTCGACAAATGTATGCCATCAAAGTAGTCACTGGGCCTCCATGGCACTGATATGGTGACCATGGTCCATGGCAAAAGTTTGTAGGAGCCCTAGCGAAGTGTTGTCCAGGTTGGTTGGGGGCTTTTAACGGCTTTATTTGATTGTCTGGTTCTGGTCTACATCACAGCAGCGAAATGTTGCAAAGAAGCACAGCTTGCCTCAATCACAAATTACACTAGCATTGAAGAATTGCATGCATAATTCACAATAAAATTCATTTACGGTCTTCCTTTCACTCATTGAGTATTCCCTGAAACGTTCTTTGCGTACATACCATTCAGTTTCAGCAAGACGCTGAAAGAAGAAACCGCCTGCTGTATCCTTCAACTCGACAGGTACTTTGATCTGTTTGGCCAAATGATGGCCTACTTGGGCCACTCTCTCCTTAGAACGATCCATCGTGTTTGTTAGAAAAGGTGAGTAAGCATGTGAGTGACATCACCAGTGCCAAAAACACAATTATAAAGCGATGGCAACCGGAATTCGTCACTGACCTTGATACGGCAATTTATATGAAAATACAAGTCTAGGATTTCTAGTGCACGGCCTCCAAGATTCAAGAACTCTGCATGGATTTTCGTGGAAGATGCTGTATTTTCTTTGTAACGGCATATTACAGGACGTGTTTTTCACGTACATACACAATGATGGACACGTATAAATTGCATATATTTAGATAAATTCCGTTACTCTAGTCTTGCAGAGTGGTGTATTTCATCGTCGACTTTTGCCAAAACCCAGACCCTTGCAAAAAAACATCAGCAAGCAGCAAACGAGAGTTTGAATAGAGTAGAGGTAGAATAGTGTGGTGAACTTGATGCCATCGCCACCAAAGCCTTGGGAAAGAGCAGGAGGAGCAGCAGGAGTCAATCCAACTAGTACACCATCGTCAGCTGGTCCATCTTCGTATACATCGACCACCACAACTAATTCCATGTCAACTGCCGGAGCTCCTGCTGTCCCTGCTAGAACTGGTGCGGTCAGTACTGTATCTGGCCTGAATCGTCCTGGTACCTATACAGAATCTCTTCCTTTTTCCTTGAACATCAAGTCACGCACATTCACTGACATCATCGTTTTGAAACGTAGCAATGCCGTATGGTTCAACGTACGGACAATCTGCTTATGGCTCCTCATACGGCGCATCGCCATACTCATCGAGCTATTCATCGCCATATGGCTCAACGTACGGAAGTAGTTATGGCGGTGTAGGTGGTTATGGATCTACGATGGGAAGTTATGGATCGACCATGGGCGGCTACTCCTCGCCCTACAACCGATTTGGAAGCTCGTATGGTGGCGCTAGTGCTTACTCTAGTCCATACAACAGATTCGGAAGTATGGGAGGAATGGGAGGAGGGTAAGACCAAAAAGTCACGTTTCCGTAAAGCTTGGAACGCACCATGCTTAACTCTTTTATCTCATTAGGTACTCTGGATATGGTAGTCCATATAATCGATTCGGTGGTGCTCCAGGAATGCCAGGTCAACCAGAAGAAATCAGTTTAACACAACGAATGGAACAATCAACCCAGAACGCATTCATGGTATTGGACAATATAGTACAGGCATTCGGAGGTTTCTCACAAATGCTTGAATCAACCTTCCATGGTGAGTGACTCTAATCGAGTCTTAGTTCTACAGACTATCGCCTTTTTTCTCCCCGTTGGAAATCCTTCAGACTTTCTCACCCGGTTATTCCAATTTAGCTACGCATTCGAGTTTCATGGCAATGGTTGGAGTAGCAGAACAGTTTGGCCACTTACGGAACTACTTGGGCCAAGTATTATCCATCGTGGCTCTGATACGCTATGTTCGAGATATAGGATACCGGATAGTAGGCAAAGCACCACCAGCAAACCCAGCCGAAATATCAACAGATAATTTTACCAAGTTTGAACAAACATCACAACAGTCCACACGACCATTATGGCTGTTTGCATCACTAGTAATAGGTCTACCATGGCTCATTTCTCGCCTGATTTCAAGTCTAAACAACAAGAGATTGGAATCTGTAGCAGCTGGTACAGGTTTACCTGGTACTGCAGGTGCACCAGGAGAGCCTGGTAAAGACCCAAATAATCCCAATGTCGCTAATCCTGCTGGGTTGATTGGACCAGATGGACGACCATTGACTTCATCGCAAATACGACAATTGGAATTCTGTAGAGGATTATATGATTTCAATGGCGAAACACCCGCAGAATTGACATTTAGGAAGGGTGATGTGATTGCTATACTGAGCAAAATTGATCCTGCTACGGGTATGACTGGAGAATGGTGGAGAGGAAGAATGCAGTCGGGTACAATTGGAATGTTCCCAGCCAACTATGTAGAGGTATGCAAACCGGATCTGTTTTTCCCCCTCTCGTATTCTCACACTCTTTTCGTGTTACAGATAATTGATAAGAAGACACCATCATCGTCCGGAATGCCACCTGCAACCACTGACAGCCGAGCCGGCAATCCGGCATTAAACCCAGCTGCTTTTGCTGAGAATAATAATACCAACACTAGCATCAACACTCCTAGCTTAAATCCTACCGATTTTACAGCACAATAGGTAGTTTTGTGATTAAGAACAACAGCAACCTTTAGTTTACAAACATTGTATTATAATATAAGTTCTCGTTGACCTCCTTTTATGTATCTTGTTGTTTCAAATGCCACACAGTTTACTCGTACAAAGAGCAAGCTTCTATATGACTTGAGGCACATCACTATCCTCATTCACCTTGGCCCTCTTCTTCACATTCCCATTAGAACTACTCGTATCAGTAGGCCCACCACTACCATTTACTTCCGCCAACTGATACAAATCGTCCCTCCTCTGATTCAACACCGGCATCTCCATCCTAATCTTGTTCAAATACTTTAAATCAATCTCACCAATAGCAAAAGTCGGTGCCGCCGTGTTACTACAATGCGCGATAACCTGTCCCCAAGGGTCGACGATAATTGCATGCCCATATGATTCTCGCTTTGGATTATGTTTGCCTGTAAGTGCTGAAGCAATTACATAACACTGGGTTTCGATAGCTCGTGCTCGTATTAATGGTTCCCAGTGAGCCAGGCCTGTTGGAACAGTGAATGCGGATGGGTATGTGAGGATGTCTGCTCCTCGCCTAACGGGATTGAGAGTGTTTGTTTGTAAGATAGGATTTGGTGCGTTGATTCTGATTGGCTCTACCTCCTTAACAACCATGAGAGCTCAGGAAACCTCAAATCAAAGCACACCATGAGCCCGACTTTGCCAATAGGCGTTTCAACGGGTGATACAATAGTAGGACCTGGTACTGTACCAGCGCTTTCCATTAGTTTCGGACCATCTTTGATGTCCTAAGTGACGTTTAGCGCAAGTTTAGTTGTATGGCAGGATTTGCAACCTATTTAGGTTCATACATACCACGTCAAACAAATGTATCTTGCGATAAACTGAAGCTATTAGACCTTCAGCGTTTATCACTATGTGTGTGTTGTATAATCGGTCTTTGAATGGCTAGTAGCGAGCAAAACAGTTGACCGTTAGAGCTAATTCCTCCATTGATGCAAGTTCATCATAGATTCACTTTCAATTCCGCCCTCTGAACGACCAAATCTGACATACCGATGTTTCATGCACTCCAGCAGATATCCAGACATTCGATGTTTTAGCAGCATCTTTCAAACCCGCGACAAATTTACCAATGTCCAGTGATTCAGTGAGTGAGAGAGCCTGATCCTTGTTTTCAGCGATGAAATCCGATGCTTCTGGTAAAAATACCATAGAAGCTCCACGGGCAGCACTTTGTCTATGAAGAAATGTGAAGGTGTCAGAAGATGCAACACGAAATATCCAATGTTAAAATGTGCACCATTTCTTTCAAATCGTCAACGTTGCAATCGTATAATGGTAATTCAAACGTTGGTATTAACAGTCTCAAAGTGTGTTCGTACCTGATAATGTCGACACAAGATGCCAGATTTGACTCGACCGCAGCACTAGCACAAAACTGGCCCACAGAAGCGAGCATCTTCATCATAGTAAAACGATGCACGTCTAAATTAGGTGCACTTTCCGATACGGTAGTGGGCTTCTTTTCCCTTTCGACTTTAAATTCGTGACCTCCTTCTAAACCGAACGCCGAGAGCTTCTCAGGTCTAGTAGCAACTATGTCGGAGGCTAAGAAGGAGAATGTAAGTTAGACATGTGACTTATTGACGGATCTGCGTTCATATGTCGATATGGATCATACCCGTCGAGTGCTTGCGTTGGTTTGCTTGGAGTTGCACACACAGCTTTGGGGGTGATTTTTGGTGGACGGCTAGCTTGCATATTGAATTTTCATGTTATTTATGCTGTTGGATGCTGGCTGATTCCTATTAACGGCCGACTTGTGTGGGAAGACACGTCTGAATCTTGCAACAAAGTGTCAACATTCACGAAATGGTTAAACTGATTCAAAATTGTCCTTATTTTCTTAGAAAAAAGCGGTGTCTCCGGCGTATTCGCTAGGAGCTGGTGCTATTGCGGGGGCGATTGAAGGTGATTATCGTGTGTTGATGTGGAAATCGTTTCTCAAAGCATATCCTACTAACGATCTCTCCTACTTTATTAGCTACCATAACTTACCCAACTGGTAAACCTGAGGCCATCAGTTATTTCATGTTGATTCAACGTCTCGTTTGCTCACACGTCAACATTCATACCATTTAGAATTCGTGAAAACACAGCTGCAATTACAGAGTAAAGCTGTCGGCGGGAAACATTACACGGGCCCAATAGACTGTGCTGTACAGATCGTCAAGGAGAAGGGAATCACAGGTCTATATCGTGGATTAAGTGCGTTGGTTATTGGGACTGCTGCTAAGGCCGGTGTCCGTTTCTATGCCTACGAGTCATTCAAGCAAATGCTGGCTGACAAGGATGGTAAACTATCGTCACAAGGAATCCTACTGGGTGAGCTATGCAGTGTTTGCGGATAAGAGACGTCAAAATTTGACACGCTAACACTTTGACATTTCAATAAAGCTGGTCTTGGAGCTGGTATCACTGAAGCTATACTTATCGTTACTCCCACTGAAACAATAAAGTAAAACACTGGCAATCGCTTTCCATGAAATCATAGTACTCTAACCATACTTCACTTGACAGAACAAAACTTATTGACGATGCAAACAGGCAAACACCAAAGTATCGTGGCCTAGTCCACGGAATCCGCACAATAGTAGCAGAAGAGGGCATTGGTGGCATCTACAGAGGTGTCACATCCGTAATCCTTCGACAGTCTGCAAACCAAGCAGTGCGTCTCTCAGTATACGGTGTCCTCAAGGAAGCTGTGCAGGATCGATACCCAGTAGATGCCAAAACGGGCAAGAATCTAGTACCGTGGTATACGACGTTCGGCATGGGCGCTATTGCTGGGACGATTACAGTGTATACTACGATGCCTTTGGACGTCATGAAGACTAGAATGCAAGGACTGGATGCTAAACGATTATACAAGAACTCGTTGCATTGTATGTATCGGGTTGTTGTTGATGATGGGTTTTTCGCACTGTGGAAGGGTGCTGTGCCACGGTTGGGACGTTTGGTGGTAAGTTTCGTATTTGGATTTGTTTCCGTTGTTGTGGAGGCTTTGACGAGCAAGCAAAACATAACCTTAATGAATGGCTGCATTGAGAGGGCTTCTTTAGTTTCAGAAGAATATGGAATTGTCAAAGTCAAGATACACTTGGGAGCACATCAACAAACTCTAACACAAACCTTTGCGTTTGATCTAGTTATCTGGTGGAATTATCTTCTCTGTTTACGAAGTGACTTTGAATATGCTCTTAAATGCTATTCCTCCATCATAACAGCAATGAGACACTTTTGTTGGTTGGTAGTGTTTAGAAAAAGGGATCAAAAATACATTTTGGATCAACAAGGCAAAACGCAGTGTATGTATCTTGTACATGACCGTGTTTACAAAATGGCCAGTATATGATTGCCACCAAGTACAAAAAGGTCCTCGCGATGGCAAGCCTAATAGCTGCAGGACCCTTTCCAGTAAGGAGGCCTAGTTCTTGGTTGAGGGCGACATGGAGTGCATTTCTTAGCTCCAAGACTCGGACGTGAGAATCAACTGGATTTGGGATGTATATGAGGATTCGGTTGCATCGCAGGATATAAAGAATAAGATCCAAACATGCGTCAGACATATTGGTTTCAATCAGATATCTCCTGACTAGAGAATTGGGAGAAGGTGCAGTTAGCATGTCGTATGCAGAAATCAGAAAACGAGTTTGAGGTTGGGATGCAACAGGAACCAGGACTCGGGAGGAAACGAACACTGCATCCTTAGCGAGCACTGCACCTTTAACTCACCTTTTACTTGCACTGACACTCTCAACCACGACATTTTTGGCGATAGTTGATGCACAAGTTGAGCGAGTAGTGAAAAACAAGAAACGCCCAAGGAAACAAGAGCTGCTGCGCGTATCAAGACACAAGGCCAGGTACCAGGTACACGGGCGCTTATTCACTCAGAGAGACTCATCAAGTAGTGAGCATCGAGTCATTGGATTGGAAATCGCGTTCGAATTTGAGCTTGAGCGAAGCGTGCTCGTGCTCACGTCGTTGAATAATGCAAGTCTCAAATATACAGTTCTATGTAGATCTATACACATCCTTGCTGTTCCCTCAATAGTTCCGTAGCTGGCACTCTTTCTAACTTCACTTTATCTTTTTCTCAAACAGCAAACACAATGGACTTCTCAGATCAATACAAGCAGTCAAGCAATCTCGTACAGTACTCGCCGAACGGACTCTACATACTTACAGCCGTGCAGCATCGAGTAGTCATCCGTGACTCGGATTCTCTGCAAATCAAACATTTGTTTGCATGTATCGACAATGTCTCTGAAATCGGCTGGTCGAGCGACTCAGAGCTCGTGCTATGTGCATCGTATAAATTAGGCGCTATTCAGATATGGAGTTTGGCTGACTCGGCATGGACGTGTCGTATTGATGAAGGGGCTGGAGGACTGAGCAGTGTCAGATTTACACCTGATGCGAGACATGTCATGTCGTTTTCAGAGTTTCAGGTATGTGTTTGTATTTTGGTTGAAGCGCCACGGTGTGGAAACTTTGGGATCTATCGGATTGCACTCAAGAAACTGAGTGTTGCTCAACATACGATGCCCTTATCGCTTTCAACTCACACACTTAATAATGTAGTTACGGATTACCATATGGTCACTAGTCACAAAAGAGGCTGCGTATATCCAATATCCAAAGTACTCTGATCGCGGTAAGGCCAAACTGCCATACATGCATTCAGATATTTGTCTATTTTTCCTCGCTCACTCAACCATCGAAACTTTCATTGTAGCATACAGTTTCCGAAGCGACTCAAAGTATCTGGCCGTAGCTGAGCGACGGGACTGTAAAGAATATGTTGGCATCTATGATTGTGAGGATTGGACTATGCTCAAGGTAGAGCATGGGTAGTGATAGTTGGCGTCTCTTTTTGGCGACTGACAGACGCACCCTTTTCGTCATAGCACTTTCCTATTGAAACGTCTGATTTGGAAGACATTGCATGGTCTCCTGATGGTCGATTCTTGGCTATATGGGAGACGTGTATCGAGGTGTGGGCAAAAAAGTCACCTGGCAGTTGGCTCATTCGTTGTGCTGACTTCCTCTCTCATTTCCTCGCTAGTATAAAGTCTTATTATATCATCCAGATGGTAGGCTAGTATCAACATTCTCACCCTACACTATGGGATTGGGTATCAAGACTGTGAAATGGTCACCGTCAAGTCAGTTTCTCGCTGTTGGCGGATATGATCAAAAGGTAGTATTTGGCAGAAGAAACGAGTCCAGGTTCGTAAAAGATCTTGGCAATATATCGCTCACACAGGAATTTCAATACAGATCCGATTGCTGAACCACTACACATGGACGCAGCTCGTGGATTTCTCACATCCGACAAAACTTGATTCTCCTGATATTGTACGTCATGAATCCCCATAGTTGGTTTTTTTGGGCATGTCTTCTAAATTATCAATTTGCAATTTTCCAGTTGATTTGCCGAGAAGTCGATTTGCGAGATATTAAAGAGACAGACAAGTGGGCACAAGCTGCTAATCTCAAGCCGAAAATAAAATGTGAGGGCCCCAGGAAAAAAACTAAAGCAATGATTTTGAGATTTGACACTCACTCGAAATCCTCTGTTTCTTTGCAGATGAGATATCAAGACCACCCACCAGCATTCCATTCACAAAACCAGATCCAGACAAACCAAACCCAAAAATGGGTGTGGGTATACTGGAATTCAGCTGTGATGGACGACACTTTGTCACTCGAAATGGTATATATGTCTACTATTATGGACTTTGTTTTGCTTGATACGCCATGGTCATTAAAAACCTACTTTTCTACCAAAATTAGACAACATGCCCAACGTCCTATGGATTTGGAATCTACCTGAATTACGACAAGTAGCACTTGTCATACAATTGAATCCTATCAAGAGTGTTAAATGGTCCCCAATAAACCCACAAGTGTTTGCATTCACTTGCGGTACTAGTGCTATATACTTGTGGGGTGGTGAAAAGGTTGGATGTGATGTTGTTGAGATACCTGCTGGTATGTGGTATTTAACTGGTGGTCTATGTTTTGCCCTCAAGTTTTATCTAACGAAACATCTTGTACACTAGTCAATTTCAATGTTACGCAATTTAAATGGAGTCCAGATTCTAAATCGTTGACTCTTTTGGACAATAAGGACAAGTTTTGTGTTGCCTATCCACTGCCTGAAGATGAAATGTGAATGATGTCTGGAGCGTTAAGGGTCACTTTGTACCGAATGTAAATAAGAATAAAGAACCCAAAAGACAAGATTGCAGAAATGTAAAAAAGAGTGTTTATAATAAGAACAGAAAAATACTACAAACACGTCTCAAACTTTTCATATTTTGTTGTTGTGCTTCGTATCAAAGCATATTTGGTAACTGAGCCCTCCTTTCTAACCAGCACAATTCTATCTCACACCCACCCACACACAAACATCTTTCCATCCGACAATTGGACGAACCCTACAGTTTCTTTCATAGTCCCTGGATTGTAGGAGCTACCAATGGCTTGGACTTTTGTGGAGATGGAGCTGTTCCCAGTGTACCAAAAATTGGAGTTGCTGGAGCTGGGGCCTCCATTCCTAGACGTAGAGGTGGCAGACGTTCATTATCACGATCAGCCTTCTTGGCTTCTTCAAAGGATGTGATTGCTATGTGATGAGGGAGAGGAGGGCGTGAGTATGACGAAATTCAATGATTGGATTTTTCGCCCAAAATATCAAGATGATACGAGGACGCATTGATGGCATCCCATCAACAATTTCAACAAATCCCTCAACGTATACGATAATCATACGTATCGATACGATACGCCAAACTTACCATTCTTGATGCCTTCAGCTCCTAGTGCTAATGTACCGACTGGTAGCGTAGCAGTACCCATAACCTTTTTGAGTTCAGCAATGGTTTCTGTTTCTTGTCTGTAAAATTGTAAGGCGTCAGGAAAAAAGAATGAACGCGTCCGACGGTCTATTGTCTCACCTCAAAACTTGGAAGACTCTAGCCATTTTACCGACAGCCAATATCTTGTTTCGAATAACTTGTCGTCGAGCTTCTTGTTCAAGTTCTGATAAAAGAAGGAAAACATACGTTGATAAAATGTTGCTCCAACACACACGAAAAAAGAAGCAGAGACTCAGCTCAAGACAAGTTTTACCTTCGCCAGATTTGTTCTTGTCCTTTTCAAGTTCTTCCAATTCTTCTTTGCTACAAATGTTGAGAATGGACACCAGCATATCCGTGACTACAAATTAAGGACACGTTAGAGCCTATGCAGCCATGAGTTCGACACGAGTCGGAGCTAATACTTTTTTCTCCCACAAAAGGTAACGACCATGTGAACACATCCATAAAGTTTGGTAGCCAGTAAGGATGAGGTGTGCAGTTAAACTGACGTATGTTCATGACATTATTTTCATATTTAAGTACGGCAGCTGAGTGTGAAAAGAAAGCGGTTTAGGTACTCGATCATAGACTAGAAGATATACCATTTTTTACCCTTGTTATTGTATACATCCAGGTAATTGGGCGCCGAGAATATAGTGATTACAGATGGGAATCCAGTTGTCCTAGTCTTTCGATACATGCGATATCTAAACGAGAATTCGTTGAGTCGCAGAGGCAAAAAAACCAAAGATGAACTATGTGCATACCCTGCATCTTGAGCTTCATGTGCTCGAATCACAGACAACAGATTATTTCTTTCCAAAAATGCACACGCAGCATGATAGCTAGAGAGAAGTTTGATTCCAGTCAGCATGGAACTACCTCAATCTAAAGAGTGCCAACCAATGTTTACCTGAAGAAATATGAGCAACCACGAACATGATTGTGAACAAAGAACTCATTCGTCCGTTCTTGTCCGAAATCTTCCAATGGATCTGCCCATAGCAAGTCACACATAATACCATGAGTAGGTGGTTCTCGGAATCGATTTATCTAACGAGACAAAAAGACGATTGTTAGCTCAAAAAAATATCGCAGATATAACGTGTATGGCGGCGTCTGTACCGATCGCAAGTCCTCCAATGTATTTAACTCGGGTGATAGACCACCATGAATACACAAGAATTGCTTGTTCATGATGGCGGCCAATGGTAATGCACAGAAGGATTCCAACATTGCTTCATAGATCTTTTCAGAGTATTTGTGTTTGCCTAGAAACGAGATAACAAAATCATTTGGTGACAACCCGTTCAGGGAGACTGATACTGCTAACATTTGCAGCTCCATACATTCGAGTTTGAAGGTAAAGTAATCGGTCAAATGTCTACATTCGTGGTTGCCTCGTAACATGTGAATGGTGTTTGGGTACCACATCTTCAAAGACCATAAATATAATACACACTAAGGAAGCATTATACGTGGTTGGATTAGAAACAGTTTCTCGTATATCCCAAATTCCCTCTTGGTGTATTTTTTAGGAAGGAACTCGTACCTCGACAGAAAAGTAACCACGATCTACATAATCACCCAAAAATAAGAAGCGCGTTTCCGCTGGGTTTCCACCGACTTCAAATAGTTTCATCAAATCATAATACTGGCCATGTATATCACCACAAACTGTGTGAAAGAACAGGGTTGGGTGAGTCACGTCCCACCATGATGTACATTTCCCTTCCAGGGCAGTCAAATCAAGGGAACATACCAGTGACGGGAGCATCGACCTCGAGCAAGTTTGGTTCTTTACTTAGAATTTCGGTTCCAGATTTGATAATCCACAGAGCCTGTTCCTCCGAGAGTCGTCCTTCGCGATACAAGTGTTGTTTGAGGAATTCGAGATCAGGCTTTGAGGGATCCTTCTTTGACCGTATTTCAGCATCAGTGGGGATGTTTGTTGCTGGGGGAGGAACATCTGTAAAACGGTAGAGTTTTCTGGATTAGGAGATGCATGATAGTAAAGAGATAACGAGTGGGTGGTTTGATAGCACGACAAGGGCAATGAGCGATTGTACAATGTAGCATGATTGGGAGACAGTGTCATGTTCAAATGGTGGTGTCGTTTAAGGGTAGTAGGGCAACCTCGTTGATTGCCAGAAATGGTTTTTAATGTCGAGCCGCAATATGTCGTGTTTTGAGTGCAATAGAGAAGGAGGAGGGACCCGAGAGTGATGAGGATATACTACTACTATCCTTACATACCTTTTACTACACGCTCCCTGGTGGATATCTTGTCTCCGGCTTCCGTTACGTGTATGGTAAGGTCTTTCACGTCCATAGATGATACTTTGTTGACAAGTTCCTTGTCGACCGTGGACATATAGAGTGAGATGAGTCCTATGCTACTGATATGCCAATTTGCCGCGATTGCCAAATATTAAGTTTGTAATGTTTTGGCAAAATGGTGGACTTGTCAGTTCCGACTGAAGGCAAGAATTACGAGGCAAAACACAGTGTAAGGGCTTGATAAATATCCATGAATGTGACTGTAGTGTATTCCACTGATGCTACAGGCTCAATTCGCGTGTATGAGCAAAATCAGATGTGATTTGTCGCTGAATGGAGCCGAACAGCCGAACGCATTCATTTGAAGACTTTCATATCCAAAGAAGGATGGCTGGAATATTCCCAGCTAATGACGCGTCTTGTCTAGTTGTCCACGTTTTGACACATTTGAATGAATCTGGAACTGATCTCGAGCTGCGACACATTCAACACTTCAACGTTATTTAACGTGAAAATACGTAAATATTCAAATCTGTCTTGAGCTCTGCCATAGTATTTTATTCTGCTCCAAAATCAAAAACATTCCGCCAACCGTCTGAACCACATTTGAGAACAAAACATCATGACAGCAGACATTCAGGCCCTCGTATTGAAGCCAGACACTGTCCCCATTCATAAACATGTCATCATAGCATCCGATGACGTCGAAGGCGCTTCATTTGCTGCAATCCAAGGTAAGCTTCATAGAATCGTGTGTTTTGCTCAAATTGTGTCGGTTGAAGGCAAGGAACCAGGCTTTATGTATCTGGAAGATTCGTTTTGCTTTGTCCTGATCATAACTTGTTCTTCTCGTAGGCTTCTGGGCTCTAGTCAAGAAGGAATCTGGCTCGCTGGTCTCTGAAGCTTTTGGTGACATCCAAGTCACAAACATTGCTCAATCGGAAAGCTTTGTAAGATCATCATTCATCCAAACATCTCAAGTTCGCCACTGATTACTCCCTCTGAACTATCCCATATGTGTATTAGACTCTAGTGGGAATCCCAACACCTCCAGAAGGCCACTCCGTCCATCTGGCACAGGCAATCACCGAATTCCTATCCAAACTCGCCACAAAACCAACAGATATAACCATCCTCGCTGCTCTATCCGGCCTCAACTTGGATGGTCAAGTATACGCAGCATCTCTCAACACGACAGTCCCAGAATCTCTACCAAGGCTACCGGAACATGCTATGATTCGTAATCAGCTTATTGCAGGATTAGCTGCCATGTTGGGTTTAGAGGGGTTTAAGGTCACGGTGTTGGTGTATGATACGAAAAAGGATGGCAGAGAGGAAACCGTCACTGCTTTTACTCAGCAGTTGTCTCGTCTCACCAATATACCGTTTAATGCTGTGAGAGCCTTGACTGCTCCACTTGCTCCTAAAGCTACGAAAGCTGATGCTGCTGCTACTGGAGAAACGGATGCTCTGAATCCTGAAAAGGCGAATAGCTTGTACACATAAAAAGCAATTTCTTGGTTTTGCAGTTATTGAAAAAAAATATTTTAGTTTGTCGATACATGGTGTTGACATCGTGGTTCAATATTATGTCTTGGAATTACATGGAGTCGAGATTAAATTAGATTTTAATACTTTGACGATCCTTTGCGGTTAACAATATGCTTATGACGCGGCTACGTCTTCCAAATGATACTTGACCAACGAAGGCAAAACGTATTCTTCACGTGAAACGACGTGTAGCGACTTTAATCAGCTGGTTGCCCGCTTGTGCTACAATATGTCACCATGAATTTTACGTTTGCCGCAAAGTTTAAACTGCAAAGACAACAATATTCAAATAAGCAGATATAATCCCACAGGACACGCATCCCATCACGTACAATATGACTTGGTCTCTCTCTGGCAAAGTAGTGGTAATCACTGGTACGTTTTTTCCAACACGAACGCCATTGCCAGGAGTGATTTAAAGCACAGTCATCCGTAATTCAAACACCCAACTATCCTTTTGCGAATAGGCGCAAGCACTGGTATTGGGCTCGGGGTATGAGTGCGCTTTCGACCGCTGCGAAACACTGTCTGATGCATGCATTAAACGTGGATCTAACACTCACATGCGAATCAAAACCCCACCACTAATCAATAGGTCGCTCAACGCTTAGCGAAGGAAGGATGCAAGATCGTACTTGCAAACCGAAACGAAACTGATGGCAAAGCAGCAACAGAAGAATTACAAAAAGCGACTGGCCGTGCGGCTGATTTCGTGTATGTTAAATGCGATGCATCCAAGGTTGAAGACTGTCATGCGCTTATGGAGGCTGCTGAGAAGCATTTTGGTGGTTATGATGCGTTGGTATGCCTTCCATCTGTGTTTTCTCAACTGTGGTTTTTCGCAAGAGTTATAAGAAAGACTATCACATGCAACCATTTTATTGAACCAACATACCTACCATTAGATCAACAATGCTGGGTATGGATTGAAGCCACGCTGGAATAGCTTTGTAGAGGGAGCAGACCTTTGGGTTGATCAACTGAATGTGCTCTTGACTGCGCCTCTGCTCTTGTCGAAAATTGCTATTCAGCATTTTAAGAAGAATAAGAAAGCTGGTGTTATTATCAATACCAGTTCTATTGGAGGGTTTGGAACGCATCCTGGTATGTGTTTGTATTGGTGTTCTTTTCACATCTGATGTTTTGTTGTTGGTTGCTCGACTGGTTTTGGAAACTTTTGACTCCTATCTAATGCATTGATTTGTTCGCTAACCTGTTGAAACCTTTTAGATCAAGTATGTTCCTACCCACTCTTTCAGTCCCACAACACGCTACCACACAATCATTGTTAGATTTACGGCACATCCAAGTCAGCCTTACACCACTTTGTCTCTACGTTTGCCTTCTTCCAAAAGATGGGACTCAACCCGCCCACCTCAATCGTACGAATGAACAACATCTCTCCTGCATTCGTATGGACCCCAGCATGGGAGAAGGGAAGTGGTACAGTAGCAAACGTCACGATGGCGGATATTGAGAAGAATCCAATGTATGGGCCTATGATTAAGTAAGTTGATCAATAGTTTAAGCAGCCTTGTGGTGGTTTGGGAGCGAATGCTTGTGACCCACACACATGAATCCCACTTTAGGCAAATGGGAGGCTGGATTGATATGGATGTTCTAGCTGATATCTATGTCAAGCTTATGATGGATGAAACCGCGAGTGGCAAGACTCTGGTAGTTAAGAACAACACTACGGTTATTGAAGCTCAAGTACAGAAGCATTCTGCGGATGAGTATATCTCTCCTATGGGATTGTATGTATAAGCAGTGCAGTCGTTTGTCAATGATTTGGTTTGCTGCAATATATAGATGGGCATCGTCTTTCTGAAGTTCCTGGTCGCACTCTGCGCCAACACAGCCGTCTCGTTGTTTTTAAATTAACCTATATATTCTCGACCACCACTGCAACGATCTACGTCTTCTTATCCACAGCGACACCATCGCGCACCGTCCCAACAGTCTCATTAGCCGCCTCTCGCATGGCATCTGGCAGCCACTCCATCTCCCCATCATCAGTCCCAGCCTTCAACCGCGTAATATCAGCCTCCCTCCCCTGTTCCTTCAATATATCTTCTATAGTTCCAATCTTTTTCGTTGTATCAAACCATCCCAGATGGTCTGCAATAAGATGCAGCGACTGGCACCCCCCACACTTGATAATCACGACACCCTTCTCGTAAGCGTCTTTAGACATTGTGCGGTATTGGCGCGAGTCACATCGTTTACAGGTGTAGCCGAATAACAGACGGCCGGGGATTTTACCTAGTGTTTGCTGTTGTTGAGTGGATGGGTTTGATGTTTCGTGAGTGTTGGGGTCTGAGGTAAGTGGTGAGGGGCTAGATGCGGTTATAGGTGATGATGTCGGTATTAAATCCGGATGTCTCTTGTGATTGTCACCATTGTTGCTATGTCTTGAAATGACAGATGTTGTAAAACAACGTGTTGACCTTTGTGCTAGAAAAGCAGTTCTACACGGCCGTTGCAGCTGACATTTTATACTAGTTCTGGCTATAAGGCTGACTTGGGTTGTGCATAACCGTCTCGCTATTGTTGGATTCATCCTGTATATTAAGTGGTGAGCAATCTAGAAATGAGTTTGGATTTAACAAACACGTCGAAATTCAGCATTTCAAATGGGTTTACTCGATTAGCTTTTGAATTGGTTGCTAGGAATCGCGTCGGGTCTTAATTGCAGTTGTAAGCTTTGATGAGAGTTGGAAATTCCAACATTGCAACGTCCATTCACAATCATCTTCTAGCAGGCGTTAATAACCCCCCACAACCACTCCATCCGCCAGAATTTTCTCTAATTCTTTGAACCTAATGGCTCAAGAATACCACGGTGGCTGCTTTTGTAAAAACATTCAGTACGAGATACGATGTGACCACAAAGTGCTGAAAACAGGTATTGTTTCCCACGATAGTCACTCTAATGTCACTCTAATATTGCATTTTACACCTCACAAAGGCTGCCATTGCCATTGCGACACCTGTCGAGGAACGACAGGAGCAATGTTTGGATCTTTTATATCAGTCCCACAACAATCTCAACTAACCATAACAGCGGGGCAACCGAGGATATTCCCATCATCTGAACACGTTGCGCGACACTTCTGTGGTGATTGTGGCACGCAGCTGTTTCGTAAAGATACGAATGAGGATGAGATATGTGTAACTGTGTCGTCGCTCGATAAAGACGTCATGGAACAAGTGGAGTTTGTGAAGCATATATGGGTTGGTGCTGGTCCTGGCGGTTACATGGGTGAGTGGATGTCTGATGGGTTGCCGAAATATGCTGACCTCTCGAGTGAGTGGAAGCCTACCACCAGCAATAACTAAGGCCACTGAGCTGCTGAACATCTTTTCGGCTAATAGTATCTTGATCCACTGTTTATTACGCTTATAATTGAAATGGAATGATGGATTCGTCTCTAATTTTCAGACTTAGTATCAAATAATTGAAAAGAATGGACGCAAAGTCGTTTTAAATAGCGTACGGGGTTTCCCATGTAGCACATTCAAGCAGCTTGACTTTTATACGTATATTACCGCAACCGTGAGACTAGCGTGGACCATTCTTGGGTTACATTTGTGCTTTACGTATGATTCACTCCGACATTTGCACAAACACAACAGAATTGCAGTCGCTCTCATTTCAAGGTACTGTTTCAATGAGGGCGATTTCATGTACCTTCGCAATTTGCAAGAGTACTCGCATAACTTCCAAAGTCTCTGTCTATCTCACTGACACTAAACTTGTAACATGTTGTAGAGGATTTTTTGGAACTACTCTATACACCCTCAAATCTAGCATATCGAACCTGAAACATTCAATCTAGCGTTGTTTTCCACTGTAATCAGGTATCTTCCTCTATCGCTCTTGCTTTGCTGGACCGCCTATCCACAACATCAAACTCTACTTTTTTCATCATCCGTCAAAGACACACACCACCTAAACGACAAAGTAGTATATAAAATGGCATACAAGGGACGATGCCACTGTGGACAAATCAAGTACGAAATAGACGCCAAACCCGAATACCTTCAGACTGGATCACATTGCCATTGTGTCGATTGCCAACTCTCAACAGGATGCCTCTTTGAATCCTTCATAACAGTCCCCAACAGTGCCCTAAAAGTAACAGCTGGCACACCCAAAGTATATCAGTCATCAAAGAACATCAAGAGACTATTCTGTGGTGGTTGTGGATCACAACTGTTTTGGAAGGAGCATCCGTTGGACAAGACGAGTATCACTGTTGGGACTTTGGAACGGGCTGTGAGAGAGAAGGTTGTGTATGTAAAGCATATATTTATCGGAGATACGGATGGAAGGGTTGCGACTTGGATGAACGACGGGGTTAAGAAGTTTGTGGGGTGGAAGGATCAAGTTGAGTGGGATGGCAAGACGACGAGTAAACTGTAGGAGACGTGTTGCGCCGATGAATCGTGGCTTCAATAGGTTGGAAAGAATGAGATGGCAGGGCAAGTAAATTGTTGTTTCGTGATTCTATGATTCTGTTAATCTAGTACGTGGTACGGACCGTACAGTGGATAATGCTTTTAGCTCGAATAAATAATTAAAACCTTGTTTGGAGTTCGTGTTTGTCTTTGTTGTCGTGTTTGTCGTTCATCATCTCCTAAAATGGTGATTTTTCAATACACAAGATCCATTTGACGTAGAAGCCATGGCGGAAGTCAAACGAATGCGGACCAAGCAAATGGGTGGAGCTGCCATAGAAAGTATACTCAATCCATCAAAGGGTCTAAGGTAAATCCAACAATCTATTAAAATTATCGATTTCAATGAATGGCTGTCGGTGGTTGATGCAGTGGACATTAAACCTGTTTGAACACCGCCAGTTTATCTATATATGTAATACTTTCTGATGCCATCTTTGTCTCCTGTTGACTTCCAATCCAGTTTGCAAAACGACATTAACATCAACACACTTTTTTGATGAAACACACAATCTTAGGGACGAGATTACGAGACGGGGCGGCGTACCCAAAGATCATAAACGAGAGAATTATATGAGATTGAAGCAAGTACAGGCACAGAACAAGATCAAACAAGAAGTAAACACTCATGCTCCAATATTCTTGTTTCGTTATTTGGTTGATCTGACAGTGATACCAATTTTTGTAGGCTGCCGCAAGACCACAACCAGCACCATTCAAGCTAAAACAGTTTACGGATGTGCCATCTAAACTGGCTACTCAGAGATGCAATGTGTGTTGGAGACAATCTTTGCAATGTCGATTTACTGTAAACTAAGCTCCAACTATTTTTGTCGCTAGTCACTCGAATCTATGGGGGTGCTTTCTTCAGCACTGGAATATCTAGTAGATGGAGATGGGAGCAGGCCTACAACAAGACCTTCAACAGGTTCATCAAGGCATTCTGGAACTGTGAGTTTGTGTATTAACAAAGTTTCCATTGCTTATTTCGCGATTGAGATTTAACCTTTTTGTTTTTCTTTCGCTAGAGCTCTGGAGGACGTAGTTTCATTGCAGTCAACGTCGCAGCAGCATCACACGCATCCACAGTTAGTTTAAGAAGCAACTGAACTTGTTTGAAAGAGAGCATCTGCGCTCATTCTTGACTCTCAAATTTCGTTTTGCTAATTATCATATTTTTGTTAGAGGACGCATCCAACACCTCCCTCTCGTGACTTGAAACGATCAACACCAGCTGGTCAAGTACCTAAATAGTATGTACATTCCTGACAGTCGCATAGAAGACGTCTTCTCGAAACGATAGAGGATTATTGACCAGGATTTTGACTCGTTAGCCTACTGGATCGCAAAATGGCCTGGGCGAAGAGGGAAGAACAGCGATTGGCTGCATTGGAAGCTGACAAGTGGGTTTCGTTTCGGCGCTATCTGTCGTATGTGATATATAACTAACTGAATATGTTGTCTCGTAGGATACCGCAGGGAATGATGTGTAAGTATCGACCAAAGCAATATCTTTCCGCACTACGAGAAACTGACTCTCTCTCTCTCGATTCTCGGTGATAGTAATATCAGAAACTGAACGTCTTGATACACTCAGGTTCCTCCAAGAAGGTACTGCTATGTTCAACAAATCACACAAAATCAAGGCACAGAACACCTCACCGACTAATCTTCTAAATACCCTAGTTCGGGATGGTCTGATATCAGATCTATCGAGATTCCCAGTCATTGTCGAAACGCCATCCATGAAGCGCAAACGTGCCGCTATAGAGACAAAGCTGAATGAGGTGGATACAGCGCTGGATCATTTTGGGAAGAAGGTTGTTTATGTGGAGAAGGAGTGGACGGGGATTGAGTCGTTTGGAGGTGTCGGTGGTGTCGCCAGAGCTGCTGGCTAAGACGCTGGCTGTTTGGAGAGTTTGTTTAATTATGCACAAACACACACATACACGCTGTAAGAGACGTTAAATGATATAACAATGTAGATAGCTTGATTTTGGGTATTCAAAAAAGGCTCAAAAATATAATTTTGATTTCAGCAAACATGTACAAAGAGTAGTTTTATATTTATGCTTTTTGGTTATCTAGAGAGTGGGTCTGTGTCGCTGTAGTCCGGTTCTGGAGTTTTCGATGTAGTGATAACAGGGGGATGGTTGTCTTCTTTGACTGCATTTGATGAGACTTGCCAGTTCCTGCAAAAACAACAAAAGCAAGATAAACATACAGGAGGTATGATCTCAAACCGACATTTCCAGTACACCCGACACTTTTCCACTTACCCATAAGGTACAGGTACATCTTCTACGGATGTTGATCGTGTCCTGCTATCAGATTCTTCGGCCCACTGACTAGTTGAATCTAGGGTTGAAGACCTGGTTGCACTGGTAACATTGGTAGCAGATACAGACGTGCTGCTTCTCGATGGTTTGAATCGTGGACCTGCACCTACGAAATCCGTCATTGGTCGCGGTGGGGCGATCGGTCGAATATTGTGTGTGTCTTCTGAGTCGGAGTCGGAAGATTCGTTATTAGAGTATACTTTTGCTCGTTGGAGATCGTCGGGGTTGTCTAGATCGACGAGGGCTTGGATTGGTGGTTGTGTTGTTATAAGGGTTGTCGGGCGCGAGCTTGATGTGTAGTATGTTTTATATTGGTTGTTGTTGTCGATGAGAGAGTCATCCTTCTTTGCCTAAATAAGGTGGCGAGAAAAGCGTGAGAGAGTGTGAGTGCAAGTAAAAGACGAGTACAATGTGAAAGAGTGTGAGTGCAAGTAAAAGACGAGTACAATGCCTAAGTACATTGATCTGTCAAGCGGGACTCCTTTTTTTCAAGGTTACCTGAGAAGCTGCAGCTCTAGTAATCTGCTGTATCTGATCTGCAGTCAATTCTCTAGCATTCTCATCCGTTACAAAGAAGTCTTCATCATCATCGTCATCGCTCTCCTCATACAAGTCATTTGCAGCACCTCTATTACCACCACTTGTCCTATTATTAGTATTCGGTACAGATTGATAGCCACGTCGACTTCCAGGAGCACCTCGACCACGAGGACCACGAAAGAGGGCGATTATACGAGCGTATACATTTGACAATCCATTTGAGGTTGATGTTTGATTGTTTGCGGTTCCAGTGAGGAGGTTTTCGAATTCCAAATCGTCGATATCGGGATTGACATAATACGATTCGGGTGCTTGTGGAGTAAGGCACGGACAGCATGACCTTAGAAACTGCATGTTTGGACTTGGGGGTTGTTGTATGGTATCAACCGCCCTTTTCTGTATAAAGAGAGGAGGGAAATTAGTGAGATATGGAGATTGTATAGCTTGATATGAGGACTGACTTCCTTCTAGTATACTTTTGAATTTGAACTGCTTCGCCCAGTTGATGTTTGGTGCGTTCTGAAGTTTATGAGTTGCAACCTGATTTGGCCATAGGACAGGCGCAACTAGTATTACATTTACGCGTTAAATGGACATATGGACTCAATAACCGCGTCGATTTGTCCTCCGCTAATGGAAAACAACCCGTATGATGCTGTATCTTGCTTCACAACATTCTTCCACAGTAGCAGTAGCGTACGTAAGATAGCGAAATGTCACTAGAGCAAGTGAGCAAATTCAATGCTCAACATGAAGACCTGATACATGATATTGCCTATGATTACTATGGGAAGCGACTAGCTGTAAGTTTTGCAATGTAGAATCATCTTGTTGGTGCATTCCAACTAAAGAACACTCGTTTGCTTGTTGTCTTCCTTATTTAGACATGCTCATCGGATCATCGGATCAAAGTATGGGACTATGATGAAGCTCAGGATCAATGGGTCTTTAGTGATGGCATCAAAGTATGTTGCAACATTTTTGTGTTGAGCTCGACAAAGCGAGCACAATATGTTCAAACGCTAATATAAAATACTCACTCAACACTCATTCAACCCACAGGAACATGAAGGTTCAGTACTCAAGGTCGCATGGGCTCATCCGGAATTTGGCCAAATCATTGCTTCATGCTCCATGGATCGTACAGTGAAAATCCTCGAAGAAAACGAAACTGCTCCCAAACTACGATGGCTACGACGGGCTACAATCACCACCCCGGCTTGTGTACAGGACTTGGAATTCGCTCCAAACTTTTATGGACTCAAGCTCGCTACTGTCTCGGCTGATGGAATGCTAAAGATATACGAACCTGCAGATCCTGCTAATATGGGGTCTTGGGGTACCCCAACGGTATGTGTTGACGTGAATGGAGAAAGAGGGTTGAAACGGATTCATGAATGGACAATAGTGCTTACTCACTACGACCTCTCCTTTGTCACCAGGATCAAGTCGAGTTGGCTTCTGGTGTAAAGGAACCTGATGGCCATTTCTGTCTGTCGTGGTCACCATCTAGATTACAACCCATGATGCTGGCTTGTGGAGCTGGCCGTGACAACGCAAAGGTACAATTGATGTGATATTCATACCGAAAGGCTTTTTGCTGCTCTCAAACGCATCTTAAGCTCTTGGCTCAACCGTCACAACGATATAGATTATTCGACATGATCATACAAACAAACTAGTACCATGTGAAGTATTGCCAGGTCACACCGACATTGTATGTGACATTGCATGGGCTCCACACATGGGTCGATCCTATCAATTGATCGCCACAGGATGCAAGGATGGACATGTTCGAATCTTCAAACTGACTCAAGAAGAAGCCAACACTCGTAAACTAAGTGCTTGGCAATCTGCTACAAATGCTGGTGGTGTTGGGTCAGGTCCTGGAGGAATGACTGGTGGTGTCGGTGGATCCGCACCTAGTAAACGTAAAGGTTTTAAAGTAGAAATGATTGCTGACTTTGGTGATCATAATGCTGAGGTGTGGCGAGTTGAATGGAATGTAACTGGTACCATACTGTCTTCGTCTGGCGATGACGGGATGGTAAGGCTGTGGAAGGCAACATATTTGGATGAGTGGAGATGCATGGGAATTATAGGTGCAGAGGGCTCTTGAAGGGGCAAGATGTATCGTGACAACCGCTGCATAAGGGAGTTAAGGTGATAATCGTTGGAGAAGTTAAGCTAGTAGACACGTGTATAATGTAAATTTGCATAGAAGACATCAGGCATTAATTGAATTGGTTGAATTTGTTGAAGGTGCCCGTGATCGGCACGTTTCCCATATCTTGAGACACTACTTCACCAAACATTCAATTTGACTTGCGGCAGTTTCACACCGAATAGATAGATAGACAGGCTGCTAGCTCATAATAGAGGGGCGTAGGGACAAGTACAAGCAATGGCATCGAGCATAGCCAACTTGATGAAGAGGGCAGCATCTCCTTTAGTGCCGCAAAATACTGGAAGCAATGCCAGCATATGGAGTAATAATAGCAATAGCAGTTCGACGTCTTCTACGGCTATGCAGGACTTGTAAGTATTGCCTGCTTATCATTTTTGGATCGAAGCCTGCCTTGAAATGTCTCTGTTATGTCACTTTACATTGAAGCATCAAAATCCTGCAACCCCTTTGTTTTTTGGAACCATTCACAACAGATCTATAATATTTCACGGTGAATACACCCATTAACACTAAATTTATCCCTTATCATAGACGTCGTAAACAGATCGCATCACTCCGCGAACACGGTCTAACAGTCAGAGAATTAACAAAGGACACCAACTTTGAAATACTAGCCACCCTATCGTCAACTCTGACCGTCTTTCTCGTAATCACCCTCCCTCCACAATTCCCTGACAAGCCTCCTGTAATCCAAATACGGCCACCGCCTGCCGTATCCCATGCCTGGATTGACTCGCGAACGGGACAGGTTGTTGGACATGACAAGCTGACTAGTGGATGGAATCAGCATGTTAGTTTGGGTAAACTGGTCAAGGATATTATACAAGAGTTCCAGATACGGAATCCGGTTGTTATTGCGGGGCAGGGTGTTGCTGTAGAGTGAGTATTCTGTCTCTTCCCCTCGTTTGTGTCTCATCGTTGAGGCCAAAAAGTACACCACTAACTCAACTCGTTACTTTGCTCGCATAGTCCAAGAGCACAACCGTATACACCAGCCCAACCACTATCAATCTCATCATCGCTTGCTCAAAATCCATCTTATTATACACCACCACCGCCTGACCCACACCCTCCTTCTCAGCAACAGCAGCAATTACAACAGCAGCAGCAGTACGATTCATCTGAATATGCAAAGTTAGATACCATGACGTATGTAGTTGGAGATTGTGCTGGAGCATTTTTTCTGTCTTGCTCAAACTCACCTCCTCGTTTCCAACAGAGCTGATGAATTAGAAGTACTCATATCAAATGAGACAGCTTTTCAAACATTTGTGGATGGGCTGCCGCAAATGAGGGAAGCTAAAACTGTTGAACAGAATTTAAGGATGGAGAATGAAGCGTTAGCTAGTAAGTTCATGTTCTGCATCATCATGATTAGAATCCTGGTTTTTGTGAAAAGATCATTTGCCATATGGCGCGTAGCTTCCTCCCTCATTATATTTCTTTTCGCTTGCCTTCAGGAAAGAATCTGGACAGACACGCTGAACTAGAAGAGAAACGAACATCTTTACGAGAAAAGCAACAAGCATTGAAAAAGAAACGTGAAGCATTTGACGCTTTAATGGCCAAGCAACAGGATGAGCTGTTTGTAAGTCTCATGATATTCCACGATCATTAGCTCCATTTTTTGTGTGTCGACTCCTCACGCCCCTCCCACCCTCCGAACAAAATAGAGATTCACACCAGAATACTTGACGATGCAACTACGAGAAGCAGCAAATGAATCCGACTCGTTATCAGAATCCATGGCGGATGCATTTAGAGAGGGTCGAGTTACTGTCGATGATTTTTTAAGGCAGTATCGTGAAACCAGGAAGGTTTATCATATCAGGAATTCAAAGCACGAGAAGGTTTTAAGGCAGCCGGAATTGCTACAGGCTGGCTCTCAGCAACAGTCACCACAACAACAGCAATCACAGGCACCGTATTGACGGATTAAAGCATCCTACTCAGCTCATTTTTTTCTCCTTGCATTGTAAAGACCATGTAAATAATAAGAGTTGCATCACACTATTTCAAAAACATGTTTTCCTGTTGCCTTTGTGCTAATCAAAGTACCATACCAACAAGTCTCTTTAAAATTTATGTACAACTCAGCTGAACTGTCAGTATCTCTGTTTGTCGTTGTGGCATCGACTACTACAGCCTGAGTATCAGACGCTTCCTTAGCTAACCAGTTTCAGATGAAACTCAACTTATGTTTGTCAGATGCCGTTTTATTAATATGGAAATATATATCTTCTAATGACGACTCAGCTAGACATCAGGAAGTCAGTTTGTCTTTTTGGCATCAGCTACTACGGCCTGAGCTTCGGAAGCCTCCTTGGCTTTAAGTTTCAGATGATTTTCAGCTTCCTCACCCATCTCATGCACCATCTTTGCAAACCATGTATCAGAATTACACAGTAGGGTGTATGGAGTGCCGAATTCGACTAGTTCGCCATGATCCAGAACCATTATGTAGTCGAAATCAATCTAGTTGAGATGAATAGGTTTGTGAGAAATCCGCGACACAAATATTTTGCATGAATCTTTTTGAACTTCTTACCACAGTGCCGAGTCGATGCGCTATTGTGAGTACCGTGCTAGCAGCAAACAGCCCATCTTGTGATCGTATCGCACGTTGAATCAGAGCGTCGGTATGTAAATCCACTATAGAGGAGATTGAAAGCAGGTTAGAAAGACTGCTGAAAAAGGAAACCAATCACGATCGTAAGTTTCATCTACCATTAGATGTCGCTTCATCCTATCATTCATCGATACAAGAAAACTTAGTCAGCATTCACTTGCGAAATTCAGAACAAGCAACATCTCCTTTACCATGACAATCAATCGACTATTACGTAAGATGGCTCGTGCAAGACAAATCAATTGTCGTTCACCAACTGACCAGTTGCCTAACAAAACAAAAACGTGTTAACGATGTGAAGTAATGAACTTCTTTGCACTTGAACTTGACAAAGGACTTACTTCCATTCTCAGCGACTTCACTTTCCATCTTGAGTGGCATTTTTTCCACAACACGTTTCAGCTCTACTGCTTCCAGAGCACTCCATAGTTGTGTGTCAGAGTATTGGTCGAATGGATCTAGATTGAATCGTAGATCTCCAGAGAAGCAGAATGGTTCTATTGTTATGTGAGTTAGAGAGTTAGTGAGATCTGAAACTGACACAGATTCTTGTCGTATTGTCTTTTATCACCTTACCTTGAGGTATAATCGAAAGCCTTGACCTCAAATCATGTAATCCTATATCCCCAGTATTGATACCGTCAATGGTAATGTGTCCTTCTGGCTCCACTAGTCGGAAGAGTGCTTGGAGGAAGGAGGATTTACCAGCACCTATGGCGAAAACAAAACATTTGGAACACAGAAGAGGATTTGATATACACTCACATGCAACACCACAAGCTCACGATCCATCTCCCTTACCTGTCCTTCCAACAATACCAATCTTCTTGCCAGGTTCAAATCGAACTGTAATGTTATTCAAAACAGGAGTATCCGTTCCTGGATATGTCAAGCTCAGATTCGTCACTTCGACTTCACCCTTGTCAGGCCAGTTAGATGGTGGCCGAAGACTAGTTATTTCGGGTGCTTCGGCTGGCAGTTCCGTATACTCTCTAAAAACGTTTGAACGACAGTGAATATGGACATGCAAGGCAGAAAAAAACACTGGTTTGAAAGATGCACAAGAGCCATAGCGTTCAAATGTACTCACAATATTCTCTCCATTGACACCATTAGCGTTTCTACTTCTGCAGACTGTCTAAACGCCCATTGTGCCAACCCCATAAGATTTAACGCCGACGATAACGACAACCCCATCAAACTTGCGGGTAGATTCAAGTAACTTCTCAATCCAACTCCCATAAACACGACTGCTGTAAGGTAAACAGCACAAATCAAATCCGTTCTAAAGCCCAGATACCTAGCACCGCACAAAAACGCAAACCACAATCTCGTATTCTCGTTCTGCAAAGTCACAAAGCGTTTCCAGAAACGGTTTTGGGCTTGGAAGGCTCGTATCAGTGGGAGGCCATCTAGGGTGGCGGGAATATTGGAGTATACTGGTGACCGTGAGAGAGCCTCGAGTCTCTTGACTTGACGAGATGACGCCATATAGAATTTGCGCAACCAGTAGAAGACGGTCAGGATTACTGGGATTACGGCCAGTATTGGTGGGAGGATGACGGCTGTTATGATGAAGACACCGCCCATGATGAAGCAGCACTAAAATATCAGAAAATTGTTGATACGAAGTTGGTACAATTGCCAAAAAAAAAATTCAGTACACGGTACATCTGGTTACCTGAACGAAATCAAAGAGTGTTTGCGGCAGCATTTCATCAGCCAGTGCCAAGTCTTTTGCAAAACGATTCAAGATACGGCCACTAGGGTTGAACTGGAAGAAGGACATAGGAGTACGTAGTACGTTCGTCAACTGTGGGATATTTGCGTTAATGTTTTTTGCACATTGCGTCTTTGGCGAAATAAAAAAAATCGCATACCATAGAAACGAAGATATTCTTGGTCGAGTTCAAGGCAATGTTAAAGAAAACTAGTGATCTCGTCATGCCCATCGTGAGTTGCAATGCAACCAATGTCAGGTAGAGAGCAGGGAAGATGGGATTTGATTGATTCGCTGGCAGAGTACCAGCCCATCGAGATAGCCAGTAATCGCCTCCGACTTGAGCCGCCTAGATATTGAATTGGTGGTTGGGAATCAGTGAAGGTAACAAAAAAGTCGGTCCAGGCTGATTGCATCGCACGTTTATGCTGTTTGTAACCTTACCTGACCAACAATCATCAAAACCAGCAGGCCAACTAGGGAAAGCCAACCAGCACCAGCAGAAAAGTACTTTTTATAAATTGACCACGAGACAGTCCCAATAACATTCGTTTCCTTCGTCATTTCTTGATTTGCGTCTGGATCTAATTTATCATTACCAGCTCCTAGCTCGACTGCTGGCGATTCAGCAACAGTGGTTCCTAGTGGTCTTACTACATCGTCTTCCTCCTCAACGGCTGTTGATATCCTGATAGAAGCAGCTTTCACGACTGGTTTTTCTTCTTCAGCATCAGTTTCATCCACCGTCTGATCAAGGTCTGGCCGATTCAAAAATTCTCTCATAGCTTCAGCGAATCTGGAAGCTGCATGTGAAGCTACGTAGTCGAATGTTCCGAACGATATCGGTATTCCTCCTTCTAAAACTAGCACCTTCTCGCAACGGGTCACGTATTGTAACTGGTGTGTGACTAGCAATACTGCTCGATCCTTCAAGAATTCTTTAATACATTGCTCAAAGAGCACACGGCCGACTTTCGAGTCGACTGCACTCAGAGGATCGTCCAAAATACATATATCGGATTCGTAGTAGCACGCTCTGGCGAGCGACAAACGGGCTTTCTGACCACCCGAAAGCGTAACTAGGTTTTCAAAACGGATGTTAAGCGGTCTGCCATCAACGGTTCCGATTAAAATCGAAAAAATTAACCACATGACATGGCATAGCTTTCAACGGACACAAAAACCGGGTACTACTTCAGGCCTCAAGTCGTAGTATTTCACGTACCTCCTCTTTCGCCAACGACCGTCTCATCCCCGTTTGGGAAAATCTCTAAATCACGTTCCAAAGCGCAGACTCGAACCACCTCTTTATACCGAGACTCGTCAAAAGGAGCACCAAACAATATGTTTTCCTTGACTGTTCCACTAGCAATCCATGGAGTCTGCGAGGAATACGATAGTTTCTTGCTAGCTACAGCCAAGACACCACCAACTTGTTCCATTTCACCAAGGATTGCTGAAACAAGTGACCTAAAAAAAATTTTTAATAAATCGTCACGCAAAAAAATCGCCACGGAGAAGGCTTCAACAACTCACGTCTTGCCACTCCCTACAGGTCCACAAACACCCAGCACTTCTCCCCGTTTCAGCGTGAATGACACGTGTTGTAAAACGGGAGGGCGATGTAGTGGATCGTTTTGCTTTTCGGGTATATCGGTCTTCGCGTCGGTGGAAGACGCCGTGTCTTCTTCACTGGAATCTGGACGACCCGTCAGCCATGCAAATGATGCATCTTTGGCTGCAACCAAAACGGTCGGGTCTTGGTATGATGCTAGTAGTTCAGCACCTTCTTTCGATAGTTCTTTATCGCCAACTTCTGGCTGCAGGAAGAACTGGAACGTGGGAGAGATTGTGAGCAAGCATGCCGCAAAATTTCAATTCTTTTATGTTACAGTACCTCTTGAATACGCCCGAGTGATACTCGAGCTTCAGTCGAGAATTGTATACATTTGGGAAGGGCATTTCCAACAGTTTCACTATAGAAGATTGCCATGTTAGATTGGCCACTCTGCTTAATCTCAACCACACGAAAACACACATACCGAATGAGACCATGAAGATACACAGTCATAAACACTTTAGACGGCGATAATGTGTTGCCCAATAACCAATACGTTCCAAACGCAAAGAGGGAAATCAAGCCCGCTGATGAAAAGAATAAGCCTTCGTTGATAGCACGTAAGGTGTTTGCTTTTCCGGTAAAATGGAGCTCAGTATCTCTAAGCTTGACGATTCGGTCTTTGAATGGATTTTCCCAAGAGTATAGTTTCACTACTTGCATCCCGTGCAGCATGTCTGAGAGGGTTCTGGTTGAAATGTGATTTGTGAGTTGATGATACGAAATCACACAATAAAGTGTGTTATGCAAATCACCGAGCTGATACTTACTTGATACGGTCGTCTCGTCCAGAGAGGACCTTGTCTCGCAAAATACCAAAGAGATAGCCGAAAAAGTACTGAAGTGGGATATACATCAGCGACATGGCGAATCCTGCGAAGGCGGCGACACCGATGTTGTTGTACACAAAGTACAACACGAGGCAGATCTGTATCGGCGTGACCCATATGTGATTTATAAATATTGACGCGTCCTCAAACCTCTGCACGTCTATATACCGAAAAAATAAATCAGATTCTCATTTGGTAGAAATACTTTTTCAGATTAGCAGCCATACCGTTACTGATGACATTGATAATAACACCAGAGCTAGAAGCATTAGCAGAGCTTGATAATCTCAAGCATTTCCTATGAAGAAGGACAACACAAATGAAACTTTAATTCAGAGTTTCAAAGACAAAACACCTAAAATTCAAACTTGTGTATCTTACCTGTATATGGCAGCTATCAGACCGACCCGTACTTGCATGCCCACACGAATTGCGACAAAGAACGATACGTGGTGCAATATTCCGGCGGCAAAGACGCACAATGCCAATCCACCCGCATATGCAAATCCAGTCGATTGAGACTGAGTTGGATCTTGAAAGTACCGTAATACAGCTCCCTATTAACAAAGTGAACGAAACTTTGAGTACTTGATTTTGCTGACGTGGCAAAGAAATGCATGCATGTGCTTACAAGTAGATTAGCTTGTCCCAATTCCGCAATAGTTTTCAATCCCAGTAGAAATCCAGCCAGGAAATATTTCGGCGCATACGTCCATACAGCAGCTCTCCAAAGTTTAGCATTCTTGCCATTCTTTTTGACCTCTTTTTCCCATAGATCTAAGAACATGTCTGATAGTTTCTCAGACCGATCTTGATCACATATAGCAGGCATTTCTTCAGGAGTAAGCTCCTTTCTAGTTTGAGTACAGATCGTGAGCAAAAAGCAAGCTTTCCATGATATGCACAGTGAGAAAAACGTAGCAAGACTTACCTATAACCACGCTTCGTCATCTCCTCGACGAACGTAAAAGACCATCGATATAGCCAAGAGCTTTCATCCCAATTCTTTAGGCGACTGAGTGGTGGTAGTCCATTGTCAACTGGTTTGTGATCGAGTGGCACTTTTTTCACATCATTCGTAACCGTAGCGTTCGTGATGTCTAGTTCATCATCACCGGTAAGAGTTTTGATGAGTTCTTTAGGTTCTTGTTCATTGTTTTGATCCGAATTCTTTGTCCAAGATTTCAAAAAAGATCTCAAACGAGTACTAGGAGCTGCCATTCCAAAGTGTTTCAGCTTGGAGACGGGTAATAGACCTATGTACTACAAGTAGGTCAGATACGATGAGCTAGTCTCTTTGCATGCCACCCTCGAAAATTAAAACGTCATTGGTAATTGTGTGAGGCACGTTTTATTGAGAGGCGGAGGAATCGGTATTTGCCACTGGCATGCAAGCACCTGTTTCTGCGTCGAGGCGAATTTGTCCACTTTCAACGCGTCATATTCACAATCTTCAAGTCTTGAATGTGCGATCGTTATACAAAAATTCGCGAAAACATACTCATCTTCTCCATAAACGCGCCTGTTCCTCACAAGAGCATCAACTCGTTAAATATATTCTATTTACGATGTTTATACCAGGGTGCAAGACTCTCTATCTCTACTCCTCTCTCTGGTTCAACAATGGGCTTCTCTCCTCCTCTGCGTGATTTTCACGTCTAGACCCAAAACACGACTTGAGATATAGAGGCCACGACTTGAAATACTGTCCCCACGTTCGCTTAGATTGTGACTCTTTAATAGTAATCCGGTCCAAGCGTAACCGGTCGTGTGAGTCGATACATATTGCAAGACAAACCATTGTTGCAATCACACTTGCAAGTGCAGCTGAAGCTGAAATCATAAATGTTCTATGAAAGAAAGACATGATTTAGCAATGTGTAGAATCGGGAACACTTGTGCGATCTGTATCCTGGGTGTTTTGATTTTCAAGTCTAAGACTGAATCTGATTTTCAAGTGTAGTTGACTACTTCGTTGCTGACACGTACATGATTTGCTGGTATCGTACAGCAGTAACAATCGGCGATCCTCCTAAAATCTGTCCAGTCATCATCCCTGGTATAGCTATAAGACCAGTCACACTGTGTTGACGATGTTATTAGCGGATTTTTACACGTCTTGAATTAAACAATGTTTTACCTCATGGAATTCAGAGCAGGTAGCAGAGCAATCCTCGTTGCATCAATACACACACTCTGAGCAGCCTCCCATCTACTAGCACCGTAAGCCAGTCTCATCTCAATGATCTCCTTTTGACTTGTCAGCTGCGTTAGTGTATGCGACAGTGCGACGGCCTGAGCATTCATGGAGTTCCCCAGCAGCATTCCCAGCATAGGCACAAATCTCCTCGCAGCCCAAAACGGTTCAGCCCCAATAGCGAATTTCAAGCCAATGTATCCGATTGACAATGTCGGCACCAAAATCGAGAGCAGCACGTTTGCAAACATGTAGCGGTGGGTGATTCGAGCCTTGTTGTAGACGATCTCAATGGCCGAGAGGAGTATCAGAAGGGACGTGAGGCCAAAGACCATGTACGGATTCTCGTCATGAGCAAATACTGGTTCGAGTAGCAAGCCCAGTACTGAAAGTTGGATTAAGCAACTAAAAAGTCCATGGCAAATGTTGGCATCCTGACATGATACATCTCAAAAAACACCGAGTTGCAAAATGACATACCGTAGAGCACTAACGATATAGTCAAGCTCGAGTCCGAGTCCAAAGAATGCACTGACGACACCTATAAGTATATATATTTGTGAGATTGCGTAGTTGAAATGTTGGGGAGATGTTAAGACTTACAATTGACAAGAATAAAGCTAGAAGCTAGTGCTACAGATCCCACAGTAAGCTCGTCAACATCTCCACCTCCACAATCCGTTCCATTATTCGGAAGCGACATTTTATAACGTTAGTTGTGTCGGCGATTTGCTAAAGTTTGAAGTGTATCAACACTACTGTTTGATAACTTTCGGTTTCAAGAGTTCAGGTCAAGGACGTGGTTATTCTGCTCACTGTTTCAGTTAAATCGTCGCCTTTTATAGGTAAGCGGTGTAATATGTGATTTCCTTGCTGGAATATGAGCGATTGCTTACACGCTTTTTTATTAATATCGACAGGAAAGCTTCGCGAGATGTTAAGTGTTTCCGGTTTGTGTCTTGACCTCCCCGACAGGTCGACACTATTTAAGGATCTTGGATTCTCGCTCAGAGCTGGAGAGACTCTGTGTGTCCGTGGACCTTCTGGTATCTTTCAGATGTCACATCAAATCAACATTTCGTGCCTTGACCAAAGCTTTCATTAGGATGCGGAAAGACCACCTTATTGAAAGCAATAGCTCAGTTACAGCCATACAAGAGTGGGCTTGTAGCTCTGGACGGACGGTGAGCTCGTCTATCAAAGTTGACGCCACGACAATCGACAACTCAAAACATGTTCAACCCTTCATTTATTTAGCACACCATCAGATCTGGGCATTCCGTGCTGGCGTGCTAGTGTGCTTTATGTTCCTCAGAGGCCGCCAGTTATGCCCGGAACACCAAATCAGTTCCTTGACAAAATACGGCAATATAAAGCTCAGAAGGCTCGAGCGCCTTTCGCAGACCCAGTAAGCTTCTCTATTGACTCAAGCAGTTTTCGAAGTCTTCTTAATAGTCGATTTCATGTAGGCCGACATTGCTCTAGGTTGGAATCTTCCATTGGACACATGGGACAAGCCATGGTAAATGCATGTATGTATTAGTGATTTCTTTCCCTCAGCTTACCGGGGTAACTTTGATTAGGAACCTGATTAGTGGTGGTGAAATTCAACGTACCGCATTGGCAATAGCAATCTCTCAAAAACCAACTGTACTACTACTAGACGAACCAACAAGGTACTTTTACGTTTTTACGAAAGTGGTACTGGATCTAACTCATCTCATAGTGCTCTTGATCAGGAGACCAGCTTACTAGTCGAACAATCATTATCAGCTTTAACTTGCGTTATGGTTACGCATTCTGCCGAACAGGAGCAGCGTGTTGCCACCAGGACTTTGACTCTGCCAGGAAGGAACCATTCAAATGGTGGTGGTGTTTGAATGTCACAGACTCGTTGACACGAGAGACTGTTTATAGAACCGACTTCAGATGTGGTATATATACATTTTATATGGTGGTCTAAAATGCATTTACAAAATGTTCTATAATTTATTTCTTCTTGTTGGAAGATCCATGATTCAAGACTGCAGCATGTTCTAAATGGAAGAGATCCGCATATCCATGTTTCCTTGTATCCCGTATCATTAGAAATTTCGATATACGCCAGTCCAGGACTTTGAGATTGTCGATAAAGTACGGTAGAAGCCACAAGTTTCCAAATAGATACCAAAGAATCCCGATGACACTTCCAATGGCTGCACCGAGTTGGACTTGGGTTTCTGTATGGTATACTAGGGCGATCCTATATGTGCCGTGAGAGATTTTGTTAACGGAGATCTATGATATCCCATTTTTATTAACTCACCGTGACCAGCACACAACACCAGCAACTGCAAAAGTACCCAGAACTATCAAATGCGTCCATATCTCATAGTGGAAATGCCGTCTAATACAAACGAACGATTGAAAAATCAGCAATCATTCAGCAAAGCATCTCAACTGCAAAAGCAACCACAAAATACCGTGAATACAGATGTAGCATCAAGTAAAAAGCAAAATATGCCATAAATTGAGCGTGCGAGCTAGGCATTGCGTATCCTTGCCCAACAATAGCTACAAATCACGAAAAAGATGTCTTTGAGCTGATGTTGACATGCACTTCAAAATGAAGGACCTCATTTACAGGGACGAGGAACTTTATACGTGTTCTTGATCACGTAATTTATAGTCTCGTTGACGAGTATTCCGAGAAACATTAGCATTGTCTCAACATTCCTTCTGTACAGAATCAAAGTCACGAATACAACGAGCAAAGCTGGGGGTATCAGTGATGAGACAGCTAAGAGCTTGCCGAATTGTACGTCTGGATCATATTGTACGTGTGTCAGGCTTATTGAGCGATGAGTTTGCATGTCCGAAATGTGATCTTGTGTTGAGATGTACTGTGAAAGCTTCAAAACTTCCAAGCTTGAAATCAGTGGTAGCTGCGTATCTCACTGATAACGTGATTTATTATGCATATTATATTATTATACGCAGAGTACGAGTAGCAAGCAGAGCACAAATATTAGTAGGAAAGCTACAATGTACGCCATGCTCGAAGGCACTATCAAAACGACGTGTTAATGATAATCAAGACCACGGCATCGCAACCATCTACTTACCAACAAACTTGACAATGAAGAACCCCAAAACACAATACGTGAGCAGCAACCATTTCAACGTCTTTTTGCGATCAACTTCAACATTCAAGCCAATCAGTCCCCAACCATGAGCAGTATCTGTGCTTTCTCGAACCTCGTAAGCAAATCCAGGAAGTATAGGATGCTGTTCCCCATTACGTTCTGCGCCATCATTAGCTGCTACAACAGTCACAGAGTTCGGTATCGTGAACAATACAGAGTCCGACGACTCCAATGCCATCTCTCTGAAGTACGCCCTCATACCAGACTTCATTAAAAAGTCATCGTCAGATCCTATAAAGCGGGCATCGTAATATAATGGAGATTGTTGCTGCGATGACGCAAAAGTGGTTGGCTGTGATTCGATTTCGGGTGTAGTGGTTCTTGGCTGTCCGTTGACGGCGAATTTACGAGATGGAGATACTGATCGACGTCGCATTCCATCTCCCACGGTTCTTTGTTTCGTGGGACTGCCTTCTTCCAGCAGACTCTGTACACGCACCCATTCAACGACGCCAAGACCATCACTATCATTAGAATATACGATCGAGCGGACATGTCTATGTAGGTGTTCTTGCGATCCATCTCCATCTTCTCGTGCTGAAACCGGTCGCGAGGAATCCAACGACTGTCGAGTGGAGCCATGACCAAACTGCGGTATATCTAAAAAGGCGGCATCGTCCGCCGAGTTTCGTCTTGTTGGTGGTCTTGATACTGCCGAAGTTCTTGTGACACTATTTTCCAAAGCCTCAGGTCTCATAATCAAGTGTAGTATCCTTCTGCTTTGCTGAGGCGGCATTCCAAACATTTTTCGAATGTTTGCTGTAAGCGCGGCTGGTCCAGCTACTGCTTCACTCTTGTCTCTGTTATTTTTAGATTTTCGGAAAAGTTCAGAGTCACGTTGGAGTATGGATGTGGTTGATGTGTTGCTGATGATGGATTCGAAGGATGTTGCTGACGCGTTCTTGTGGTTGTAGAATCCATTCTTTTTCGGGGATGCAGATGGCATGGCAGATGTTTTAACTGAGTAATACAGTACGTCTCCCACAATCGTCATATTGTTCAAAGGCTAATATCGTTGAGATAATTAGCAAGGAAGTTTGGTCCGATCTCTGTCACTTGAAATATAACTCACATTTTTGGCCTTCATGCGGTGTAGGAGGCCTTCTTCAGGTTGCGTCCTGAAGAGAACCTTGTTGATGTGATGAGCAGCATAGTAGGAATAGTAGAATTTCGTGAGGTCGTATGGATCTGCAGTCGTTACTCGTGCGAGAACAAAGTCCTTTCCACTAGCTGCATGCATCTTGATCAAGGATTCAAAGCTCTCTAACGTGAACGGATCCTCATTATTGGCATCCAATACATCAACTAGCGGCTCTCCATTCAATAACGTCGTAGGTAAGCCACCAAACGTAATTGCGGTAGCGACGATCTCTGGAGCAATAACGTCCTTTGAACCATCACCACTGGTTGCTATGATTTGGTCTGCAGATGGTTTTGGCAGGCCCAACAATCGAATGAACCGTTTCGGGCCCTCTTCAGCCGAGTCTAGTTCTATATCATCCATGGCATTATGAGGACGGATTGGTGATGGTGCTCGTTTTAGCGAGGGAATGACGTTTAACGGAAATGTTGTCGTTGTTGGCGATGGAGATGAGTTCACATTATGGTAGGCAGTGTCATTGTTTGGAATCCTTGTATAGCTTGGCATATGAACCTATTTTAGATAATGAGATTTAGCTCTTGCGCCCAAAACGCTCAAACAACTTGCGATGTGGCAAGAAACCTCACAAACTCAAAAGGTATGCACGTAGCTACAGAGTGATCGACCGCTTCAAGCTTCCCAAGGCAATTAAGGCAGGCAAGACTCTGAAATCGAGTGTCCAAATGCTGGAAAGAATTTGCTGCGCTGTTATAGGGTTGATTGGTTGCAAAACCATTTGCACCAATTTTTAGAGGTTCTACGCCGCATTTGTCTGCTGTGGTCTGAAAAAGCGCCTATATGCTCCAGCAAAAAGGCATTTATTTTTGAATTTTTTTGCCGTCGATTTTTCACTCTTCACTGCTAACTCGATTCAAATAATCTAGGATAAATTGATAAATCATGTCCTATTTGACCAAAATCTGTGAAAAATGTCTAGGCACGGCCCGAGTGCATACTGATGCCGCACAAGAACATTTAGATGATCCAGCGTGCGCTGGATGTGAATGGTGCAGAGACTGTGTTGGTGGAAAAGTCGTCGGATTACCAGGTGCAGGAATGTCGCGACCTGGACGGCCAGCACCTGTTCCTCCAGGAGGAAATGCACCTTCCCCTGCACCGTCCCCTCAACCTCCAGCATCGACTGTATCGTCATCGACCAATAGGCTATCGCAACTCCCACAAAGTGTACCTGAAGTGACAAAAGTGTCGAACGGCCATATACAAAGCAATCTGGCTTCTATTATGAATATGGGGAAGAGCACATCGTCATTGACTGACAGACCTGCTGGACCTATGCTTACACGGTTAGCTCCATCCGAAGGTGGGCCAACTAGTCCTGTTGCCCTCCCAATATCATCACCCAACGATGCTGCTACTATTGCTCTAGCAGCCATAGCAGCTCAAATTAAACAACGTAGTGCCATAATTGACGAGTCAACCATACCGTCAAGTCCAACTACCGGCAGTAAATTTTCATTAGCCAAGGAGTCTATTAAAGAAGACTCAGCAGAGAAGGCCAACACCAAACCAACTCTTCCTGCATCTGTAACAGCCAGTTTAGCTGCATCAGCATCACGACCGACGTCAAGTCATGGCAGTCTGCATAGCCCTACAAAGGGTGGTGAAAAGAAACCCGAATCTCCAAGTACCACCTTGCCAAGTCCAAAAGCGATTGAGAAGAAGCCAGACATAATTCAAAAGAAACCAGAGACCCTGGAGATCAAGCCAGAAATAAAGACAACGCCTCCCACAATACAAAAGCCAGCCGACAAACCAACCATAGTCACCACTGAGCCTTCACCAAAATCAAACTCTTCGCCGTCAACCGCAAGTGTAGGAGGCAGTTCAGCCTCATCCTCGTCACCAAGCACAAATTCTACATCCAGTGACTCCAAGAAACCAACCAAATACACAGACAGTGCTACACGACAAAAAATCCCAATAGACGTTACAAGTGCTTCAAGAACAACACGACGACAACGTCAAAAGACGGGTGAACAAGAACTAACAGAATCAACTAGCTCTGATTCCCTAGGCAAATCCGCAAATGCTGTCTCTCCCACCGCCTCAGAGTCATCATCATCAGCACCTAGTCCTGAACGGGCAAATGTGGGAGTCTTTACACGTCGATTAGCAGAGAAGTCTGCTTTGGGTGCTGTCTTGTCTAATCCTGTATCAGCGGAAACGTCTGCTCCACCAAGTAGTTTTCCATTAACGACTACGTCACCATTGGGTGTTACTGGCTCTAATTCTCAACTGGCTTTATCGTTGAGAGCTGGTCCAAAGGGTGCTTCAGTCAACTCGTTAAACTCGAATGGATCATTGAGTAAGAGTACGCAGAGTCTGGAGGGGAAACAAATTGGAACAGGTAATCCAAATGACCAGATGCTTTACTGCTTTGTTTGCCTGCGTGGCTAACAGGGTTTCCTTTTAGCAACTCAACGATTGACAAAACGTGCATTTAAGGAATGGTACCCAGCATTCGTAGCAGGCAAGTCGTCAAGGCGGCAGTCCTTTGGGGTGATTCGAATTTGTGTCTCACGCATTTTTCGCATTAGATTCAAGGCCTGAAGCAACCAATGTAAACATTCTGGTAGAAAATTCTTCTTTACAAAGCAGATTTCTCAATTTTCATCAAATATAGGAATCCTACGATTTCAACCAAACGATTGGACTACATTCGCTCTTTGGATTACGAGACTCTGCCGAAACAGCATTGACACGCATAATGTGGGCTGCCAAGTGTTATGAGATTGCCAAGCATGAAGTCTCATGGGAGGAACGATCAGCCCAGCCTGAAACATATGATTCCGGTATGTGGGTTCAGCATTGCCCTTGCAATAGTTCCATTTGTAATTGATTTTGTTTGCACAGATGATGACGACGAGGATTTCGTAATGCCAGAACGTTCAGTGAACGCCATGCCAGAGGACAAAGTGTTTGGAATCACATACGCCAGTGATGTTTTGAATGACAATAAGGTGGCAGCTGGATCGAAAACTCAACTTATTGATGCGCTCATATTTCCACTTCAGCAAGGTAAGAAAAAACCCTGAACAGTCCACGGCTACATTGTCAAGATCATGATACCTGCTTCCTCTTATTATAGATAACCAGTACGCTGAAGCTTTCCTATCAACATACCGCTTCTTCTCATCCGCCCAAACCATCCTCACATCGCTCCTTGGATGGTACAATGTCATCACACCAAATCACTCACTAGCTGCCAATAGTACCTTCAAAAAGGCTCGTAAAGCTATTCAGCAACGTGTCATCAAGGTGCTGATTATATGGGTGCGAAGACACTGGCATGATTTCGAGACTTTCCCTCAAGTTGCTCGACAATTGATGAAATTTGTTGATCATTTGAATGCCGTGAGTTTCAGTGATGGTCAAAAGCTGGGTGTTACTATACGGGATCAGGTATGTTGAGAAACAGCGTTAGGTAGACGTTTAACTGCTAGACCGTAACTTTTTTTTGATGCAGAGATTGAATTGGTACACGATGCAATACATTCCACCTTATTGCAACAACTACCCCGACCCGAAATCATTCGACGTATCAAAACCATGGGTGATATCGATGGAGAAGGACCTATTCGCGCAGAATCTGACCTTGATAGAACATTTCATTTTGCAACATGTTCATCCCGACACGTATATGTCTGTGCTGAAGGACGGTGTGCCTCGTCGTGGTGCAGGATGGAGCTCAGCACTGAAACCATTGTTGGCTGTGGTGTCGTGGTTTAGACTATTGTCCAAGTACACTACGACTGCGGTATTGATGGCAGAAAAGCCAAAGGAGAAGGCTAAAGCCATTGAAAAGCTGATTAAAGTCGCCAAGGTACAGTGTAGCTGCTAAGTCAGTATACAAACATGGCTCTTTTCTGACTTTTTTTCGGTTAGGAATGTCGACAACTAAACAACTTCAACTCTGTGTTTGCCATAATACAAGGATTGAAGAGAGCTGCCGTGATAAGACAGCAGCAAGGGTGGGAAGCTGTTGCTACAAAGCATTTAGACACCTTCCGTCAATTGGATGCCTTGACTGATCCTTCGAACCGATTTGGCAATTATTGGGCAGAGTTCAAAAGCAAAGATGTGCCGGCCATTCCATTCTTTGGTAAGCTTGCAATGAAACGTTTCTAATGTGAAAAGTAGGTTGTTAACTCTCCGTTTGTAGCCGCTTACATGCACGACTTGCAAGAACTCCACGATGAACCAACACCACTAAATAAGATGTCCGTCATCGCCGAGTCAATTGACTTTACCCGCTTCCAAGAGATATACAGTGTCATTGCCGAAGTGGAGGGTGCCAGATGCTGTCTCTACAGAGAGAAAATCCATATGGAGAACGACTATACTGGCTCCTTGTTAAACCACATGAGGGACATCACGTTTAGTGATGAAGATATCGTCAGCCGTATACCACTTACTCCAGTGTCTCCAGAAAACAGCCCTGGTCGTGGATCTATAGTAAACAAGAAGGGAAGAGCAGCAACACCTTCTCTGCAACCGTCGCCTTCTGGTAATAGTCAGGATACCACCAACAAGACTGAGTGGGGTGGAATATCTGCTCAGTAAGGATCTCTTCAGTAGTTAAATAAGAGTATTTTTTTGGAATATAGCCAAGTTTTTCAAAGTTGATATGTTTTAGTGCGTTCATTGGTTTGAATTACGCGATAACGGTACAGGAATGAGCCGTACGATGCATAATACACGTAGATAAATGGCTAACTTTGTTTTGATTGTATTGGTTTGTCGCTCGCGAAATTGGTGTTCCACCTCGTCATCTTTTCTTTGATGTTCATCATTGTTCAGCATCTAGTCTAGGCATTGCGCCTCGAAAGATAACGAAAGACAGACAGCCAAACAGCACAATATCATAGGCGGGTTTCCTATATCAGCTATTCAACTCGAGTCTCCTATAAGCATCTCGCAGACATCCTCCTAAACACTTCAGATCAGACGACGTCAAAAACCAAAAACAAACTTTGAGTGAAAACAGGCAATTGGCTCATTGGATTTAGTACATTGCCGACTCATAAACGTATATATAATCTGGTTGCGGTACTGGGCTTAATATCAACAGGTTGATGAACCGTCAACAACAGATGGAAGGGCAAGATTTCGATGAACTCCATAGTCAGTTTAGGACAACTGCCTTATCCGTGACCAATCTATATAAAGAGAGTATACGGTCATCCAGACGAGCTTATGCACAAGGTATGTTGGATGCTACGATCATCAATTCAGTCACCAATGAACAACACCAGTTGGCTGACTCGATGATTTCGGTCTCTTCTGCGCCTAATGTATCCTGCTCGTTCTGATCTCTGTCTACTCTTTTAGGGTATGCACAGTGCCTCCAAGATCTTTGGCTACTGCTCAGCAACGATGTCGCAGATCAACGAGTATTGACGTTAGGTGACTTGGGCGCATTCGCTAGAAGCAAACAGGACATCTTGAATCAATCTGGTCTGGCATTTGGACAGGGTGAGAACAATGGGTATACTGCCTTCAACCTCAACACAAACAATCGTCAATCATCGTCACCACCACCACCTCAAACAACCGAGTTTGAACGAACAAGCAGCAATAGTAATAATAGTATCAATAATAGTAATAGTCGACGACCTACAAGACCCAATACCAACATTAACAATAGTAGTCATCGGCCATTACCACAGGATGTATCATCGTCACCACCAGTACGTCCCATCATATCTTCTACTGTGACACAACCACAACCATCACAACTACCAGCTCCTCCGAATATAAGTATAAATCCAGCTGCTGTGCCACCCCAACAACAGCCACCAACCATACCATCCTTCACCTTCCAAATGGCACAACAACCAATACACACACTACACACACAATCACAACCCGATACATCAATCTTCCCACCACCATATGCATCGTCCAATATACAGCTAGGATTCAACTTTGAGGCCAATACGCTAGATCCAAACCCAACATATCTAGCTCCATCGTCGGACGGTAGTTTGAAGAGACGTAGGACTGCTAATGATGACTTTTACAGTTTCTTTGGGGCTGCACTTCCGCCTGCTTTTATGGGAGCTGATGAAAGGGAGAGACAGCATCCACGTAAAAAGGGGAACTGGAAGAAAGATGATAGAATGATGAGTGATTAAAAGTTGAAACAGAAAGAAGGGAGGGTATTATATGATGGTAGAGTGGATTTTGCAGGAGGTTGTGATAAAGAGCACAGTGTTACTTGTACGATAAGACAGTAGAACCTTTACAAATCTATAAATATTCCACAAGAAAAACCGCTACTCGCTTGGTCTCTTCTCGTGTTTAAAGCACAGTATCTAAATGAGATACATTCATAGCATCTTCATTCTCTACTTCGCGTTTAATCATCGGGTTTCTTTGCACGCTGAGGTGCGGCACCTCGCCTGTACAAGGACAAATGACATCAACAATGACAACCGACGACGATAAACTCCAGCCAGGAACCGTCGACGACGTACCCAATATACCGACGCTCAAAAAGAAGAACAAGAAGAAGAAAAAGGCCAATAAGCATGACGAGACCTCGTCTGAAACCCATGAAACCACACTTTTGGACGCTGTGACAGAAACCCTGGCCACTACGACAATAGATGTGGTTCCGAATACCTCTATATTCAAATATAAACATGAGGGAGGCGATCATCAGGTCTCGAAAGATGAGCCTTGGGTCGCTGTCAATGAATTCAAGGTTGGTATCACACATGGATTTTCAAACCCAGTCGGTTTGAGATATAAAAAGATTGCCAGGATTTATAGCTCACTCCTTTTCTTTCATCGATTGATGTAGGTTAGAGGTGACCGCATGAAGTGTAAAGCACCCAATGGCAAAATGTACGAACTAGACAGGTGGTGTCCGCACCTGGGAACAGATCTCAGTGAAGGTGGATTTGTAACTCGACCAGCTTATCTGATGTGTCCGCTGCACATGTGGGGCTTCAACTTGGAAGACTCTGGATCGTGTAAAAATCTAAAGGACGGCAAGACTCTAAACTGTCACGAAACTGAAATATGGTAGATAGTAAATCCTGTAGCATAAACAACTTTTTCTTTTTTGGCGAATAATCTATTTGAGTAATTCAACACTACATTTTGGACGAGATTTGAACCACCAATTTACCAAACTGAGCTCCCTTCTTCATTTCGTCAAAGGCTTTCTCAGCCTCCTCAAACGAGAAAACTCCAGAAACAATGGGATGGATCTGATGCTTTGATACGAATTTGATCATATCTGCGAATTCGACTTCGTTGCCCATGGTGCTGCCCTTGAGTTCGATGTGTTTGAGGAAGATTTGAGGGATGATGAGGTTGGCGGCTGATTCGGCGGTGGCGCCGTACGCTGCGATTATTCCTATTTATATGTAAATCGCGTGAGATTCTGATAAGAACTGATTGAGGCAGACAGAAGAGGCATTGAAGCAGACAAAAGAGGCATGACGAAACCAACCTCCAGCTTTCAAAACACGAACAAAGGCCTTGTAATTGTCAGATCCACCTGCACCGTCAATGACACAGTCAAAGCCTTTGCCTGAAAGCTTGGTCAATTCAGCAATCCAGTCCTTCTTTTTGTAGTTGACACCTAATTCAAACAAGTACAAATCAGTAACTTTATTTGAAGACTTTAAACCAAATCAACACCCACCACCAGCAGCTCCTAATTTCACTGCCTTTTCAATCTTCGTGTCATCTGACGATGTTACTACGACTCGAGCACCAGCTAAAAAAAGGATGTTTTTGGGGCGTCAATATAGTTGTCTTCAACACTTGAACAAACTTGGACTTTAGCTTACCACTAAGACAAAACTGCATAATATATAATGCCACTCCTCCACCGGCACCAGTAACTAGATTCGATTTCAAAAGTATCAGAATCCGATGAATTTTGTTTCACAATGCGTGACGTTTGGTTTTCTACCTAGCACGTTTTGTCCGGCCTTGACTTGAGCTTTGGTGAATGTAGCTCTGAATGCTGTTAATGCAGCCAATGGTAAAGCAGCAGCCTCAGGATCCGTCAAATGTGCAGGACAGATATGCACATATCGTTTATCAATGACCATGTATTCTCCCAAAGTACCTAGTAGTCCGAAACACAAGTGTCAGACGTTGTTTCAGTTTTCGATTTGACTCGACTTCATTTAAAAGCTCAAATGTGTTGCGTGTCGTGTAATCGAATGTCAAAGCTCTCATGAGACAAAAAACAAAAAACACTAATGGGTCTGAGAGTAGATTCGTACCAGCGAAAGGCAGCAATCCCAGCATTCCATATGCAGCTGGATTTTCAGGAGCGCGAGGATCCGATGCCCAGTTTTGACTTGGATTTAGCACTACTCGTTTACCAACCAAGCTTGCATCCGATGGAGATGATACGACGGTCCCGACACCATCACTTCCCAATACAGAGTCGTACTAGTACAAAAAATTCATTTTGAACAGTCAGTTTCAAGCTTACGTGAGAAAAACACAACAGTGCGTGGAATGCATACCTTCACACCCGGGTACAGCCCTTGTCGAATAAAAACATCACGATGGTTCAGCGCTGCAGCGCTGATTTTCAAAAGCACCTCATTCGATTTTGGTACAGGAATTGGGATTTTAGAGACCTCCAATCGATCATATTTTAACTGGCCTTTGGGAGGTGCGGGTGCTTGTTTTAGTAGGAGGACGGTCTGAGTTGCCATGATTACGGTGCCTGTACGAGTAGTTGGCAGTGGCTATAAGCGATCGATTAGAAACAAGAGACTTGCTGAGTGTGTTTCTGTAATGTCGTGCAAAAATTGAGCATTGCTTACATAACTCGCTCTCGGCCAATTGTTTTGGATGACTGCATTCGTCGCTTAAAACGAAAGTGATCGCGTGGCTGTCCTTGCAGGACGTCATTCGTGTTTGCCGCAAAAAAAGTGATCCTTTTACAGCAGCTGAATACTCTTGACTGCCTAGCAATTCACTACCTTCTCCTGGATGCAAACATAATTCTTTTATTACATATACAACAATGCAATACAAGCAAATCTCTCCAACTTCTCTCCTCTACTTCCTGACAGCGGGCTGCTGCTGGCGCTTTCTATTATTCATTCTCTCATGGTCTACTCTTCACACTACCTACGAGCTTCCTTGCCGACGAGAACGACGACGATGTGCCTGCACTAGACCGGATACCGGAATCGCCTGTAGCAGGTTTTGATGGTCTTTCTCGACTTGACGGTTTGGCTGGAGTAGAGTCGACTTGGTCCATAGTGCCAACATCATCCATACTCCTATTCCCACTTCTACGAGACTTTTCTTGCGATGTTGATCGTACACCTAATGAGAGCGTCAGACAATACAGCCAAAAATACCCTTACATGTACTGGGTACATAAGAACTCACCAGTTCGTCTCGCTTTTTCGTGCTGTGTTTGCACTTGTACAAAATACGCCATCAAATCATTCCATCGTGGTGAGACATCACTAGATTTGGGCCTTGCTGGAAGCAGAGGACTAGATGTTCGAACATATTGGGATTTTTAGCGAAACATGACAAACGCAAAAAACGAAAGCATTTGCCGCAGTTTGGTTACCTTTTTGCAGCAATACTAGTGGCTGCACCAGGTCCATACATTGTCATCAATCCACTCATACTATTCAATCGTTTCCTCAATGTATGAAATGCAGAGCTTTGTGGTAACAACATTAAGATACCATACAAGCACTTGTACAGTGCTGGATGCTTGTCTGGTTCAAGTAGTTGTAATCGTAGACCAGTGAAAACTGGTGATTCAAGAAGCTGGACGAGTCGGTCTATCTGTACTAGTAAGGTGACGGTGATTTCGAGGTCTGCGAATGATGATATGAGGGTATATGCGTGATCGTAGCAGCCAGACAGGAGACACAATGCAAACGTAGCTACGGCATTGTGTGCCCATGAGCGATATAACGCTGTGAATAAGGCAGAGCCATCCTAGAAGTCGATTTGCTCAGCAAAAACAGACGCGAATCTGGTGGGTTAATTCTAACCTTGTGATCCAGATTCTTCAGCCGCCTTCGTAAATCAATCAACTCGGGCGCCGTTATCAAGATAATGTTGAGGCTTTGCACCATCGTCGATGCGAAATCCAGATCCTGGAGAACCAAAATTGGGCGTTAGGTGGGAATATTCAGTGTACCACCAACATCATATTTGCAGCACCAACCTCTTCTCTTTCAAGAATCTCGGCATAAAGCCTGAAAATTCTCTCTGGATGCAGTGTCAAACACAAATGCCTAGTTATGAGTGCACCGCGCTGTTCTAGAAGTCTTCGATCCGATGAAAAGAGAGACAATAGATTACTCAGGAGTTTCGATAAGGATGCATCATCCAAGTGCATTGATATCTGAGCAATGAGGGACAAATCACGTTTGACAACCTGAAATTTGAGGTATCGCAGTCAGCCAAAACAGGAGAAAAGCAGAAGGTTTACAATTCTGTTACCTCTTCAGAGCGATCCGACAGAGCACGAAAGAGAATGGTGAATGTCTCGTCACAAGGTGCCAATACCTATATGTCGTCGTTACGATGTTGTGAGCAAGGGCGCCAAAAAGTCAAAGGGACTGATCCTTCATCGCTTACTCTAAGTGGTGCCTTTCGATGCAACATGAGCAACCAATCTATAGTAGCTATTCTTGTTTCATCGTGTTCATCAGAGAGCTGAGCAGTCAATTGATGCACCGTAGCCTCAAAGTCCATTTGATTCAGTTTCGATACAGCAACACCTTCTACTGAATCATCACCTTCCACTCTTGGAGTAGGCGAAAGAGACGTAACACTTCGGTCAACGAGTTCAGGTGACTTTGAACGGTCAATTGGCTGTGATGTAGTTGATGGAGCTGCTTCATATGGTAACGAGTATGGTATTCCGGGCTCTTTAGGGGCCCCTGTAGGTTGAGATTTCGTATGGTTGATGACAAGGCGGTATAAATTTGCATTTGCTTCTACTGATATGCTACGAATGGTTGGTGAAGAGTTGGGTAATGATTTGAGAATCGTGGAGAGTAATGTTGGGGTATACGGTAGCATCAGCTCTCGAGCCAATACTATGAATTCTGACATCCATAGTAAAGCAGTAGCGTGTGTTGATTCGTCTACATTGTTATTTGTGAGTTTGTTTGATGCCAAAAGCTGAGAGTACAGTAGCCAGGCATGTAATTCATACCATTAGAAGACAGATATGGCTGTAGAATATCCACCATCCGACCAAAGTCGAGTATGACCGACTGCCCTAGTCTATAGGGCAAACTACCGTCACGAGTAGGATCAATAAAAAAGTGGCCGTCTGCTGTGGTATTAGTCGATGTAGCCGACACCATCACAACAGGTGGACTCATTAGCGTCCCATCTGAAGGAGATTGCTTTACATCATGTTGTGAAGGTGACAACACATTGGTGCTCTCACTTGTAGTCGATGAAGTCACTATCGTACCACCATTAGCAAACGTGACGCCATCCTTCCCTCTGAAATGCACTACACCATAGTCTCGTTGTACTTCGACCACGTCTCGTATTTCTTTTAAAAATTCACCTAAAACATTGAGAGTGGCTGATCGTATATCGGGATTGGGATCGCTAAGATATCCAAATAATCCGTCCAAGAATTCTGGTAGGTATGCAATCAATTCTAAATCCGGTACAGAATCCAAGACACCAATCCATTGCACGAGAAACATTCTCGAGAATGGATTTAGAGTCTTGATTCGTTCTACTAGTAATGGTATAAATCTAGGGAGATTAAATTCGCTTGCTTTTGTGCCTGGTAATTGTGGTGAACTTCCAGGCACGGCGGGGACTGTCATTCTCTCTGATGGTAGAACTGACTCTGGGACATTTGAAGGCGACGGACGTGATGGTGGTTGATGAGGGGAAGCTGGAGGTTTGCTTGGTATTGATGAAGCTGCTGCTATGGCTGCAATTTGAGCTTGTATAGGATGATAATAGACTGCTTGCTCACAGACAATGTCCTTAAGCAGACGATCTAGAAGCTCAGCTCCATTCTTGACAGACACTTCAGAATCCGCAGAGAGCTAACAGGCAGGAACTAGTGAGACGTTCAATCATCATTATTATCTAACTTCGCTTTTTTCCTCCTACCTTGCTCAAGGCATCAAAAAGTTCATTGAAATACTTGAGAACCTCTCCTCTAGCCATTTTTGCGACATTATACATGCTCTCACAAGCGTAATATCTCACTCGAGAGTCCTGATCTGTCGTGCAATTGAGAATTGGAGGCACTATAAAGTCTAAATATTGTACGACCCATTCCTAGTCGTCGAAAGGTCAGAATGTATGTGGGAGGACTTGCATTCCAACAAGTCTTACAGGTCCTAGAGCAATACCAATGGCAGCCAGAGCAATCAAACCTCCATTCCTTGATAAAGGGAGGGTGATCTTAGTATCAAGTTGAGAATCAGTGCAGTGTCTTACAGATACCTGGAGTTTGGGATTGGCGAGTAAGCGAAGTCTTGAATCAACAAGCGTATTAGAGATCGTATTCGGGCGTGATCGTTGGTAGCCAGATAATCACGAACGAGCCTCTCTACATCGAGAGCAGCCGATTTCCGTTTCTCATAGAGCTTATCATTGAGTCCCCGATAGATTTGAGGCGATATCAATGTAGTGGAAGGGGCTTGAGCCTTGTCAGAAAACAAAGGATCCATTTCAATGTACGGATTCGAGGAATTTAATTAAAAATACGGTGAGGTTTTGACGAATTAATGTGCGCAAGCTCCGGCATCCATTCAGTGATTTGAGTGATTTCCAGTTGTCAAAGTGACTATTACGAGACGGATCTCTGTCCTGTACAATGCCAAACACTATGTTGGTCAAGCTTTGAGACACTACTTCCAGACAATCAATGTCAACTGATGATTTCGTCAAGACTTGATATCAGATTGACGACAGCACAATTCAGGCCGTACGGACGCGCCAATAAGTAGTGAATATTCATATTCCATAAAAATAACGCGTAATAGATTGCTTCCATGCCGTTTTGTGGCTTTCAAAAACCTCAACAAACTCGACTTTTCGACAAAATCGGATACATCACAGCAGCTCTATAGAACTCGGCTTTTGCCATGGCAAGTCAGAGGGAGAAGCGAGTTACTGCTGGAAACAAGCTTCGTTCCTTGCTAGACCAAGAGTCGACAATACCCACTGAACAGCTCTTTGAGGAGGAAGAAGGAGATGAAGAATTCAAGGAAGTTGGTATGTCTTTGCAACACGTTCCATATATTAATTCAATACTAGTTTATACATTAAATTTCATCTACATCGTCCATCTCTCTTATTAGACGAGGCCGACATTGTCGATTCGGATTTTGAAGACACGGATGAAGAAGACAATGCTGCTGCTGCCGATCAACCTGGTGACCAAGAGGACGAAGACGCTCTAGCTCGCAAAGTACGCTCGCCTTCTCACTAGGCCATTCCTGGGCATTGATTGGTTGACTATGACCTTGTCCTCGATTGATACAAACTGACGTATATTACGCATCTATAGAGAAAGCGTGACAAAATTGCTGCTTCGGTACAGAAACCTGTGCCAGTCAAAAAGAAACGACCACCGCCTATACCCAGAGAGCTGGGCGGTACTGGATCTGATCTAGATCCTTTGCCAAAAGCTCCAAAGAAACCAAGAGTCGCAAGGCGTATGTACACATGTAATGAGCGTTCACAAGCAACCACAGCTGACTCATTCCATTTCTAGCACAATTTGCTGGCAATGACGTGAGAAAATCGAATCGTACTACTACTGTCGTTGCTGGTATTCAATTGGACGAACGATTGCGTGTAGTCAAACAAAAAAAAGTAGCATCAAAGCAGAGTTGATTGCTTTAGTATCACAGAGTCTAAAACATATTTAATCTAGGCCAATCGTCCTGCCCCAAAAAAGGTTCAAGAGGTGCTACTGACGCAAGAAGAATTGTTAGAAGAAGCCAAACAAACAGAGGAAGTGAACAAGGCATCTCTATACTATTTACAGCAGGCAGAAGAAGAAAGAAGGAATCGTATACCGAAAAGACAGCAGCAGCAGATAACGGGACCATCCATACACTTCTTGTCGTTTGTGGAAAGCAAATACTATGTTACAGAAATCATTGACGACGATGAACCCACCTCTGCCAAACCAAGTATACGTGAATCTAATGCCTCTGCTGGCCCGGGCAGGCCGAATGGAGTACACGGTACACGTTCGAGTAATAGTGGTGTTGGTGGTTCGAGTAGTAACGCAACGCAGGATGTAATACTGGTAGTAGACGATAAGCCATCAGGTACAAGTGGCCCCAACAGAACGATTATAGATTCTCAACCAACAGGAACAGATCGGATCGCCCGCAATGTATTTATATTTGACGAGTTTGTAGATGATCCTTTTGTAGAACTGAAGAAGGCTCCGCCAAGTAAGCTTTGTGAAATCTTCTTGTATTATTGACTGCGGTTCTTGCAACCTTTTTTCCTCGTCGGTTTCAAACTCAATTTATATCCATAGAGCCAGGAAAGGCGATTTGTCCAATAACTGGTCTGATGGCAAAGTATCGAGATCCAGTCACGGGAACTCCATATGCAACGATCGAAGCATATAAAGTCATCAAGGATATGTTTCAAAATCAGAGATACTTGTGGTCTCCCTTCCTCAAATCGTATATACATCCAGCAGATGCACGTGCACCTTCGTCACTACCACCATCATGGAAGGACTCTACTCTAGAAACCGGTAAGTCACACTCCCTCGATGGTGGCAAGAGACCGTTATACTTTGGTCTAAGAGAGCGTGGAAGAAAGGCAGAGGAAGAGGAAAGTGCAGAAGAGGACTCTCCTATAACAGTGACGTTTGGAACGCCCCTTCCGACTTCACGGCCACAGACTCCGATAATTATACCACCTCTAATCCTAACTTCGGCATTGGTAAGACAGTCATCCGCATCATCTATTGTCGTAAAACAGGAACCAGACACGATGGTAGATGTTGAGATGGAAGATGCCGATCATGACGACGCAGACGATGGAGAGCTTGATGACTCGACTTCTGCTCGTAGACGCAGTGGTAAAGGTATGAGGGGCAGAAGAGGCAGACCGCCTGCTGCTGGAAAGGGCACATCACCACGGCGTAATAAAACGACAAAAGCAGCTGGTGCTCTACCTCAATCAACGCCTGATCCAGAACCCCAATCGATAACGGCTGATGTACAAGCTTCCTCGTCTCCAACACCCGGTGCATCGAAAGATATAGAATCTTCTCCAGGAAAGAAAGCACGGAAACCTCAGACTGCCGAAGCAAAAGAGCGTGCAGCTCAACGGAGAAGAGAACGAAATGCTGAAAAGAAGTCTGCAACATCTACTACTCCTCAGCTTGTAGCGACTACTCCAATAATAGGTAACCCGTTTCCTGAAATACCTCAATATGGGTACAACACGATACCGCAACACATGTCGCCGCCACCACAGCTACATAATCTACCATATACAGGAGTCATGAATCCATATCAGTCACCACCGCCGCCACCACTCTTCAACCTGCCACCTATATCGAGCCTACCGCTCTCCATGCAACCACCTCCATACCCCATGTACAACCCACAACAAGGTTTCAACGGTTTAAACGGCACTCCCCCAATGCTGAGCTACCCGCCTCCACCACCATACATTAACGGATTGCCGCCTCTATCGTTGATACCGGGTGCGATGATGGGACAAGGCATGGTTGGACATATCACGAATAATAATAGTAATAGGCACGAGGACTCTCAGAGCAAGGGAAAGGAGAGAGCTTTGTAAGAGAGAGAATCAGAAAAAACGTTTGTAAGTCTAGTATAAATATTAGCATGGCAGAGAGAGGTAGAAAACCGTCGTGTTGCATATTTTTCACCGGGTACATAGTATATTGGCACTGATGTACAGTAAATACAGCATCTTATTAAAAAGATAGATTATTGTTTTCTACTTGAGTTTCTTTGGTAGCGCTCAAGTCTTCAAATGTCACTGCCTTCTTGCTCTTGTTGTTCTTGATGTAATCATCCTCTTCGTGATTCCATTCCTCGACTTGACGCTCAGCGAGATTAATGATTGTTTTTGTTGCGGAAGTTAAAGGTAGAGACGGTCTTCTTTCAAAATCAACAAGTGATGTTGGTTTTACTATGTTGCTTTCAAGCTCGGTAGAATCTGAAAGTGGCGATTGGGTCAGTTTTTCGAAAATATGGTGTTGTAGTGGTGCTGGTGTTATTGGTGCCTTAGGAGCGATGAGTTTCAATGATTCGTTAGAGGCTGATGCTGGTGTTGGATGGCTGGCAAGAGCCATTGCAGCACGTAACAGAGAAGTGCCATTCAATTTCAAGTCCTGTTGTGATCCAGACGGTGGGTGCGGTATGGCTGTCAACACAGGTGCTCGGTCGTATAGCAAGCTTGCTGCTGCTCTAACTACAGATGTTCCTTCCGACTGTGGTGTTGGTATAATAGGAACTAGTGATACTACCTGTTCGAAAATACCACTCGTAGTTGGTAGTGGTGGCGGTGATACCACATCAGGTATTGGAATTCGTACTGGCGTCATATCACTAATAAGATGTGATAGCTCTGTCCTTGATATCCCACCTGCCAATTGTGCTTCTGCCAGACATGACGATGGGGATGCTAATGATTGCAAATCATGGACCTCAACAACTTTATCCGGATTCTGCACATGCCGATCATGTATCGCAGCTCGTATTTCTTCAGCAGTGACCGTAAATGATGATTTCGCACGCTCTTTTTCTTGTGGCGGTGCATCGATAACGTCGAATCCATGCTGCCTTAATTGGCCTTCAGCTATGAGCGCTTCAGCACGTTCCATTGCTGATTCGTGTTGTGATGCGGCTGATACGACCGTGTCTGCTGATGCGTAAATGGGCTGGTTTGTTGGGACTGCTTGTTGTTGTCGTGGTGTACGAGTAAATCCACGTAGGAGGCCATCCAGAATGGATCCGATTGTCATTACGGGTACTAGTAGAGGTTGTAGGATTCGAGTTGACGTGGTGTTTATGTCTTTAAGCCATTGTGAGCTGCGTCTTCTGGCAGTTTGTTGACCTGGAGTGGGTTGAGGAAAGGCTTCTGGTGGTTGTGGTGTTGCTGTTAGGGCAGGGTCTACTGAATCTGTAGCAAGAGTCCTTGCTGTATCAGGTCGAGCAACAGCTTTCACGTCTGGTTTCTTGAGAGAGTCTTGACTTTCATCGTCACCTTTATCCTCAGTTCCTTCCGTCTCATATGATGATGTATCACTATCTTCATATTCAGATGAATCATGGATATCAACCACTTTAGATGCATCGACTCGAGCTTGTCCTATATCGTTGCTGGCGATTCTGACCTTCTTACTAGACGGTGCGATGATCGGCTTGATGATTAAACGAATGGGCGATTGCTCCAGATGTGATCCATACAGCACAGTACCGATTCGTGCGATCACGATTGCAAACAGGTAGAATAGTGTTCCGGCCAAGACTAGAGATGCGCTAACAGGGCAATAATTACGAGATCCACAATCTCCTAGTTGAGCTGTTGCGCCGTAGAGTATGTATCCAGAAAGTGAGACTATAAGAAGGGTGGATGCTTCAAAAGCATACCGAAGAGCTACTATGGTTTCGAATCGGAATTGAGCAGCGAGACAAGCCATTGGAAGAATTGCCATTACGAGGTACAGAATCGGTCCAACACTGTCTTCGTATGTTAATGTGGCGGAAATGGTCCAGCTGTTCGAGATGCTGACACCAATGACCGATAGTATCCATCCAATATTAGCAAGTCCGTATGTACAAAGCACGATGACACGAGCTTGAGGTCGATGTGGGAAATCAAATCCAGACATGCTACAAACGGAAACAGCTATGGCGCCAATCAAGAGCAAAACTGATCCAATGGCTGCAGCAAGAATCGACATGGTTGTAGCTTGCTGTACGGCAGAGTACGTAAAGAAGGATCCTCCGAGCCGTCCAAGCGACAGTAGTAATATGATTTCAGAAACTTGCCACACACAAGCAATGATTTGACTATCGAAAACTACAGCTAGTATAATGATTACAAGAGTCCCGAGCCCAAGGACGCAGCTCAAAATGCCTGCATCAATAACATCAGTTGAGACGCTCGCATCAAGGGCACCAAAAGCACCAGTGACGACTGTCCAAGATAACAGGTTGACAAGAATCAAAGCCTTCCAGAAATTCCATGTATACGGATTCATAGTAATGTGAGCAAAAACGACCGGTGATTTTGGAATTGGTGGCAAAAGGGCCAAGGAATCAGTTCTGCCAGGTGCGGCCCATGCTTCATGAAGTTGTCTTTGCAGTTCGTTCCTCAATTCATCTCCAGGTGCTTCCCAAGACCGGACAACGATTGTCGCTGATAGTACCAGCACTTGAATTACAATCCCAGTAAATATGAGTGGATGGTGATATGTATTCCATATTACAGATATCTCTTGACCGAGAACAGAGCCGCAAAGAAAGATTGTTGATGACGTGATGGCGTTTGCTGACATGGTCATCCATTTGGTGGACGTGGTAGTGCTTAAGATCGTGAGAATCGGTGTGATGAAGCCGAATATTGTGACGGCATAGTAACTGCTTGAAATGTAACTGTCTGAGAAATCGACTCGTGTTCTGCCCAACCCAATCAGAAACAGAGTACAGCCTATTAGCGAAATGGCATTCAAGTATCGTGCCCTACAGACGAGAATTTTGAGTAGAGTAACAAAAAAGAGGAGTTTGCATTGCAATATTGACTCATACCAAGTATCTTGAGCTAATGTAAGCCTCGTCGGCAATCCACAAGACGAAGCAAACTTGCCAACAACAAACATCAACGTGCCACTAAATGCTAATGTCGTTGTGGGAGAAGCAGAGAAAGCCAGAGCAGTCACCTGGCACGTTGATCCAGATCCCACAAGACCAAGACAAGTGAAAACACTTGTAATTGGTCCGACAATCTTGAATTGCCTCCACTTGTAAACTACTATAATACCACCAGCAGCAGAAAGAAATCCACAGGACAAGAAGATAAAAGTCAAAATTGTGCTTGGTGTGGCTGGATTTATCAAATCTGTGCTTGATCCAGATCCGATAGCACTCAAGAGCCAACCAGTAGCAGCTACAATCTCAAACACTAGGATGATCATGGCGGTTGATGTGGGCGGTGGAGGAGGAGACAAAATGGTTGAATCACTGGGTTCAGAAGTGATTTGAGCAACACGGCGGTCTTGTCGCACTCCTTGACGATGGTTCCATATTCCACATGCAATAAAGCAGACCAAGAGTGGAATCGTAACGACAATAACGGCGGTTTGTGTCGAAGTTGATATCGTTGGAATAGTAACACTTGGTGTGTTATTCGAGACTGAACCGCTCAAGTTTATCGATGTCATTGTAGCACCAGCAGATTGAGCTGTAACGACATCATTAACAATAACACCGTCCATTCCCATATTAACTGCCATTCTGGCGGCGCCATACTCGCTTCCAATTCCTAACATGGCTAGCGACAAACGTCCCCGTGAATGACTCGATAGTGGGAGGAATGGATTTGATAATATGGCAGTCGAGTCGAAAATCTCGATGAGGTTTGAGGATGTTATCAATGGAGTTTGGGCGCCGATAGGTTGAATATAAGCAATATTCGAGAGTCCTGCTTGGACGAATTGGAGCAGGAGCTGTAACGAGCCAGTGCCGATGCTGTAAGTGAAGCCAAAGTTGCCACACAGTGTCTAGAATGAAATTATCAGTTTCGTGACTGATATACGAGAAAGAAAACCTTCCAATACCTGGTGAAGAATTGCTACATCCGTTGCCGAATTTACGAGAAAGAGCACCTGAACACGACTGAGAGTCTCGTTCGCTGAAACCAGCCCCTCAATTGTTGGTACTTGCGAAAACACTATTCCAGCAGCCACACTGTTTATACTGAGAGATGTAGTGTCTGAGACAAGCTGCAGGCTGGCAGTGGATCCTCGACTCAACAAGGAAGGCGAAATGCCGAGTAAAATGACAATTATTATCAAAGTAGCTGCACTAAACCAGATAACACCCTTGTGATTGTTTGATGCAACCATCACAGTCCTTGTAATGGCAAACAGAACAACCGATATGGCCAGCGGCAGATACATTCCTTCGACACCTGCGACTCCAATACCAAATATACCCAGTATAAGGCACAGTGATTTTCCAAATGCGCCGTGAAAACGAGATATCCCAGCAGGGAGAGCTACAGGTTGGTTTGCAACCGTCCAAAGCTCAATCCAGAATAACGAATTTGGTACATTATGAGGCACGCTATGAGATATTGACGATGCGGGGTTTATGGTGCATAGTAAGGTGGTTAACGGGAGTAAACCCCAAGAGTAGTAGTATGAATACGGAGTCAGTCCGAAGGCCAGACCAAGACATAGTATGAGGCCCAACACCAAACCGATTCTGACAAATAGTCGAAGAGCAGTAGTTGCTGACCTATGGAAGACTCCAAGGCCGATTTGGCAGAAGAGGATAACCGAGGCTGTCGTTAGGAGGATAATTGGTGTTCCGTAAAAAGTTCCATTGAACGTTGTAAGGGAGGCGATCATAACGCCAGAAGCACATAATCCAGTTATTATACCCAATAACGAGCCGTAAGTTTTGTATCTGTTTGAATTTGATGTCACGACTTGCGACTCTATTATGTCTTCTGGCAAGACGTCTCTCCTCCATGCAAAACCTCGTTTTCGACGACGGTTCCAAATCTACGGAAACCGCTGAATCAGTCCTCAATCAACAACTTTT